GGGAGCGTGGGGGTTTCATCTGACGAAGAGCGGAGACTTGCGCAGGGTCCGGTTTGATTCCATCTTCGTTGATGATTCGGCCCAAAAAGTGAGCTTCGGATTGTAGGAAAGAGCACTTTTCGCCCTTGAGTTTAGCGTTAAACTTGCGGAGCGCGATGAATAGGTTTCGGAGAGTGTTGTAATAGCAGCTGAAAGTCTTCCCAAAACACACTATGTCATCGATATAAGAAAGCATCTTTTTCCTGGTGGGGCTTGAGTCGAGAATTGTGTTTACGACGCGCGAGAATATATTCCCCGAGCATCGATAACCGAATGGTAGTCTGCAGAAGGCGTAAGATTTCCCACCCCACTGGAAGGAAGTCTTGTACCTGTCGCTTTTCTTTACAGGGCACTGCCAATATCCACTTCGTAGATCAACTGTGGCGAAAAACTTATTGCCCGGTCCAATGTTCGCAATCGTATCCTCCATGCTTGGGAGATGGTAAGGGTCGGATTTGTCGGAGAGGCATTTGTTCAGGCTGTTTTTGTAGTTGATGCAGAAGCGCATTTCCCCAGATTTCTTAGGAATAGGCAATACCGGGCTGTTAAACCCTTTCTGGTCTTTGATCTCTTCTATTATTTTCGTTTCGAGCAGTTCGGAGATGTGATCGCTGACCTGACCATGAAAAGCTTGCGGAATCGGGTGTTGACTGATGTTTCGACTCGTACCATCAGTCGGGATTTCGATCTCGAACGGGAATTCACCCATTTTTGACCGTCGCAGCCGAATCTGTCGTCGAATTCCAAACACAGCTCGGCGACCACCTTCTTTTGCCCCGGGTCGGCGTTTGCTGGTAGGGTAATTCCGAGTTTTTGCTTCGCTAGCTGAATGGGGCACCTGGCTGCGTTCTTGTTAGGTGCGTCCAGCTTTGGGACTTTTGGTGGCGGTTGAGTGCGGGATCGATCGCTATCCTTGACCGCTGATCTAGTAGTCAAGTATTTCTTGATTTTGGTCCGCTTCACTCCGTCCAGCTTCACCACTTGAGTCTCAGTTTGTGTGAAGGCTTCGTTGTAGCAAAATGAGAGAGTACGATTCTTATTGTCGACTGTGAAGCTGTCCGTCATCGCATTCTCTAGTATATCGCGGCCCAGTAGACTTGGGTATTTACTGCCTGGCATAATGGTGAGATTCAGGGAGAATGCAGGGCCACCATTGAATGATAAGCGGCAGGGAAGGATACCCATCGGCTGCTCGGCGGGAATATTTGGGCTGAAACCGGTGACCTTGAAGGGACAGGGCTTCAGCATCTGGAGAAATTCGTCGGGAACGTAAGCAGCGGACAGACAGGAGGACTCGGCTCCGCTGTCGACTTCCATCGATACGTCAAAACTTTTAGAGCCCGTAATGATGGTAGCCGAAGCGAAATAAGCCTTTCCTGGTCGCTTCTTCTTCACTGTGTAAAAGTGAACGTCGAATGGTTGGAAATCTTCAACGTTCTTAGTCGTATTTATCTTCTTGGATTCTGGTTGTTTATCGTCTTTCCCATCCTTAGAATCGTTGCTGGCGCGCTTAGCATTCTTCTTCTTTTTGTTCTTATTTCTGTTGAAGTGCTGGGAGACGGTCGCGCTGTCAACTCGATTCTGTCTTGTGGATTGGGCGAGACGGCAGAGTTCGTTGATATCGTAAACTTTTGATAGGCTTGGAAGGATTGCGTTGAAAACGTCTGGTTCTTCTTTCCTAAGATTCAAGTACAGCATCATCGTCGAGAATATGTCAAATATTTCATCGACCCCGGCGTCGGCTGACTTCTCTTGTCGGTAAGAGTTCAAAGTCGCTTGCTTCGCCTCGTTCATCTTTTGCAAGACGTTGGCGGTGTAGTGTGCAAACGGCTTCGAATGGTCGTATTCGACGTCGAAAACTTCGCTTAGCTTCAGTAAGTAGTGACTCTTCGCGGCGAATGATTTCTCTAGCAGCGCCTTGGCCGATTTCCAGTCTTGACAATTCAGAAATTCGGTTCCAAGTGAGCGTTCGATGTTCAAGTCGAAGTGGCTGTACACTGCTGCGATGAAAGGCTGTTCACGTGAAGGTCTGTCGCGGACGTAGGCGCGGTGATAAATGTCGGCTCTGCCCAAGAAGGTGTTGAAAGATGTGTTGCATGCGGCGTCCAGCTTCGGCAAGTCTTGGACGTGACGAGACCAGGTAGTGGCCACCCATGCTTCTTCTCTCATTGTCGCATTCGTAGAGTCTTTTCCTTGATCGAGCTCGCAGGTAAGAAGCGTTGTACTGAGCTGTTCTAATTTTACTCTGCTTTCTGTGATCAAGGGCTCTAGGCTTGGCTTTAGTGATTCGTCATTTCGCACTTGTTCTTCGAGGTAGTTTACTCGATCGTTTATGCTTCTTATTTCGGTGACGGTTTCTAGCAGTGATTTGTTCGCCGCCATAGCTCGAAATATATCGGCAGTAAGGGTTTATGGGCCTTGGATTACCTTTCAGGCCCTCAGAAAATACTGCGACTAAAAGTCGCAATATGATGAGCTGAGGTGCCTTTTGCGCAAACGCCCGACGATTTCTCTGTCCAGCGATTGTCGAAATTTCAAGGTCTGGTCCAAGGGTCGATTCTTCGTAAACTTCTCTCGATTTTTGGTGAAAAGTGGCGAAAGAATTATGTTTTTCTCAGTATTTTAGGTTTTCCCCGGCGTGCGTGCGTGGTTGCGTGGGCGCGACTTTCGGCGCGTGGGTCGTGGTGGCGCTCGTGTGGTGGCGCTCGCTCGGGGTGGTGTTGGTGTGGTGCGGCGCGGAAAATTCTCTGAGTGGAGTTTCTCCGGCGGCGCGGTGGCGGTTGGTGATTCGGTTCCCCTCGACTCCGCTGACGGCCAATCAGCGTCCAAGTTGCGAAACTTCGGTTGTCGATGGCGGAAAAATTTATCTTTTCTCCAACGGGACTACTCTGATACCACTGAAGGGATCCTAGCTTCTGCTGAATCTCCCACTTCTAGCGTAGTTTGCCTGCTCTCTATATCTGGACGAGTGAAGAAAACGAGTAAAGTATCTTGACGTCTGTATTTCGAGCTGGAGTAAAATAGAGGTTAATTCACGAACTGCGTGAATTACCGAATGAAGAGAAATACACGGCGGCGACCGAGCAAAGCTCGATCTAGATAAGCAAGTGACCTTAGGGGACGAGGGAGTCTAACGAATCTAAGATCCCAATAATATTCTTCCTGTTCAATCGGTCGATACAACGAGTCAATAGTTAGGTACTCAGGATGAAGAAGAATTCTCTCTGTGGTTAAATTAACTAGCGTATTATCTGGAGTTTCAATTTCGATTTCAAGGTTATGAAAGTCACGTAAATAATAATAGTCGAGACAATGAGCAGCTAAAATACTACAAACAAAATTAATAGAAAATGAATAAACCTGTAGCGATCCATTCATGGGAAATAACAGTAGCTCCACAGAATCTCAAGTAAGCAAAACCCGGCCAAGTTTTTAAGCTAGCTTTTTCGCCATTTTAAATGGCCCATTTTCTATTCTCAGATGTATTCGCTCGCCCGTTTCATTTTCTCTCGAAGAACAACTCGTCAGATTTGATTGTCAAGTGGCTTAAAGGAAGGCATACATTTCAGGTTCAACTCGGCAAGGCTTATTTCCAAAATATCGTGATCCCGTTCAAACTTATTCTCCCTCTCGTACTTCCAGTCTTGCGCTCGGAAAGTCCACTGGCACAAGGAATGTTTCCAAAAACACGCAGCATAAATGCGAGGGTAAATTTCACCCTTCATTTTGACCGGCTGATTGTTTGTGCATTTTATAATTGCCCTGCTTCTTCCGTTTTTGCCGTGCTTGTAGTTGACCCTGAATTCATCGCTGATTGAGAACTCATCGCAATCGAGGCCGTCCTGCTTTCGTCGTATCGGCTCGCATATTCCTAATTCTCTTTTCAGTTCCCAGCGATTAAAGCCTCGAAAATAGATGCATCTGGAAGCCTCGCTTCCCTCAAGAATATGATTTTCCTTGCAAATTAGAGAGCACTCATTATTGTCGCATCTTATTGATCCACCATCGACGTCTGTTTCGCTTTTTGGAGATTTCAATTTGGCATATTTCACGTTTCCTCAATAAAATCTCGAACACCTTATCAATTTTTTACGTGGTATGGGCTGATTCTTCGGCAAGACCGAAGAATTGATGCTTTCATTCACACTGATTCTTCGGCATATTGGGAATTCCCTTGAACCGAAGGATTTATGATAAAATTGACAGTGATTCTTCGGCAAATTTTCTAGAATCCATTGTCGAAAATCTTTTGAGAATTGTAATCTGTGAGTCATAACTTATGCAAAAAAAGACATTTTCTAGAGAAAAACTCATTTTTAGCAATAAGAGCATTCTATAATTTGAGGTTAGGGTTAGGGGGCACTGGGCAAAATGACGAAGGTAACCCTAAGTAACCATAGACTAGACCCCGGCATTTTAGGACCTAAGGGGCGGAGCCCCGTGGTAAGGGGCAGAGAATGATTCCTCAGGAATCTGTGAATTAATTTTCCTAAGCCGAAGAATCAGTGTATCTTTTATCACTTATTCTTCGGTTTTTGCCGAAGAATCAGTGTTCTTATACGCATCAATCCTTCGGCCTTCAAGCCGAAGAATTAGGCCGTATCACCATTTTTTAAAACTTTTATCCTTGACCCAAAGCAAAATTCAAAATCAAAAGCACAAAATTTCTCATTCTCTCTTTCACTACCAGCCTCGTTCGCCTTTCAGCAAGCTTAGCTGCTAAATTTCAACGAAAACAATCATAAAAACTTCTTTTTCAATCCTTTCATACAAAACACTTTTCGCAAGATATGGGTAATTTACGAATATCTTGAAGGAGGATTCTATGTCCTCAGAGGAGTTTCCATTTATTGCCGAAATGTGTATAAGATAAATTTTGGAAATGAAGAAATTCGAACGAACGATGACAGAATATAATTGTGACGATACATGTGAAATTATGATTAAATAGTGAATGAAGTCTACTCTTCGCCGCACAAAATTGACTGGAAGTAGAAAGGTTTGAAGATGATTCCTTCTCCGTGGTAGAACTTGTCGCTGAACTCGACCCAGTGGAGACGCATCGCGTGCAAGAATGCAGAAAGACCTTGAAAAAATTATTAAAACTGCTCCTGATAAGAGCTTTGATACCTTCCATGCAAAGGAGAATACTAACAGAAAGACAAGCAAAAGCCCAGAAAACCAAATAGCTCATGATCGCACCGACAGAGCCAGAGCTAGACATAGAAAGACCCATTTTCAAAACCATGTTCCAAAGGACTTCCGACAACTCAGCGTGAGCCAAGGACAGGGCCCAGAGACGAAGGTAAGAAGCAGTGTGCGAAATGCAACCAAGCGCGAATTCGATCGTGTGAATAATCTGTAAAAATTTTACATGCATGAATGGCAATGCCATTCCGCCGATATCGAACTCCTCAACTTCTTCTTGAGGCTGTTCTTGAGTGTTTTCTTGCGCGAGCTCGTCTCCGTCGAGGATTCCTTCTGTATCGTCGTTGCCCTCGATTTCAACTCGAACGCCGCCAAAGTAAGCAGTGCTCCGATTTTGTCGGTCCTTCCACTCTTTGTACTTGATGTACGGCTTGGCACAGAGCATAACTGGCAAGCTGGCAAAAGCGATGAAAAGCAAGAACTTTTGGACCAATCCTTGCGCTGTCGCCTCTCCATCAGCATTCAGGGAACCGTAGACCCATGTGTTGTCCTGCTTCGTTGGAGTCTTTAACATGAACATGCCAATAAGATTGATCAACAAGGAAGGAGCGCTGCCAGAAGTCGTTGCATCCTAGAAAATCCACTTGATGAAGATAGTCAAGCAAAGATAGACGAAAATGCAGCCCATGAAAAGACATCGAGGAATCCACTCCCAAATAATAGTCACGTGATCGTTGAAGTGCTTGTGATTAAAGTAAGAAAGAACCAAGCCAAAGCACATGTGAGTTACTCCCAAGATAACCGAGCCCTTCATCTTGAACGAGTCGATGAAGACGATCTTGTTGCTAGACAACTGCCAAATCGGGTCCATACCATAAGGATACGGGCCGTCAGAGATGTAGTTCGGGTTCAATTGGATCGTAGATTCAGCGGGAGCAGTTTTCAGCCAATCTTCTATGCCCGGCTGGTCACTGACAGTCCAGTAAAAAGCCGAAAATATTCAAAGATTTGGAGAAAATATCGTTGTAGATAAAACCGGCGTATGTGGAGAACAAGCCCATGAGCAGAATGATATAGCGTCCGCTGAACAAGATCTCGATCATTTCATTCAAGTCCTTTTTCCGGCCAATTTCATTTTCTTTCCAACACATGAATGCAGCTACCAAAGCCATGATGATTCCGTGACCCATGTCGCCGAGCATAACTCCGTAGAGGAACGGGAAGGAGATGATGGTAAAGAAAGCAGGGTTAATTTCGCGGTAGTCAGCTACGCCATAGGCTTCGATGATGGCCTGAAAACCGGTGGTGAATTTGTCCGTGCGGAAATATGTCGGAGGGGTCATGTTCGTCTTGATTCGGTGTAGAATGGAGTTGACAGAAGCTCCACAGCGCTCAGTTCCACGACGGAAGGCTAGTTGAATCCGATCAATCTCAGCTACTGGGCACCAGATTTCGCCAATCAGGCATCGTTGGCCAAGATCAACGGAGAACATATGCAGTGAGAGGTAAATCGCAGCGACTTTTCGAACCTTGATGAACCATACTCGAATGTTTCGCGCGACCTGGGCGAGGATGCGGTTTCGCTGTTCGTTCGTCGTTTTCAGAACTTGATCGAGGTCTTGGATACGGGTCATGACGTTCATAGCGACTTCGCGGCGCTCTTGAGGGTTTTCCGGGCAGGGATAGATCGAGGCTTTGAGCGGCTCGCAGATTTTCTTTGTGCGGCTTCTGAGTTGTTCACCTAAAAACTCTTGCAAGAGTGAATCGATGTTTTGGGGAATACCTTGGAAAAAGATGATAAAGACGGACTTGTGAACTTCATGTCCAGTAACAGGGTCTTTCAGGGGTGTATCGATTTCGATGTGACGCAAAAATACATTTCCTAAGAAACATTTCTTAAAACAAATCGATCGAAGTGAAATTCTAACCTCGGTAGGCTCGCCAGAGAATTCTCTCAAAGAGCGGAATGCGCTCTCGGACAATGACTCCAGCAATGAATCCAAGTCGAAGAGGATTGGTAGACATCTCCTCATGTCCAGTGCTATTCTTGGGCTCACTTACAATCCGAAGAAGATGTGGCAAGGGCCGATGATCTACCCACTAGTCTAGTTATTGCGTAAAAATTGATACTGATACGTGATTTGTTTAGCACCTTTTCCCCTACACATAATTTTCAAGCGGAAGCGACTAGTACCGTCAATTGTGAGCGGCTAAGCCAGCACCTAATCGGCCCAAAATAGAAACGAAGAATGAACAATCAGACTTATACAGACTTACAAGACGAATACGAGGAGATTAATCTAAATTCACCAAATATAGTTGAAGGTTTCATGCTCGGGGAATACTTCGAATGGGTAATCATCAAATAAGAACATGCACGTGACAATAAAATTAAGAAAGAAAAAACGCCTTGGCCGATTTTTTTTCCAAATGCGTTTTTCCTCGTGCAGCAAATCAGAGCCGCGTGAAACATGAGAAATAACAATATGAAAGTTTTTAATGGATCTGAAGTGAGCGGGCCTGTTCAGTAACCGAATTCTTTCTTCTTCGCCAGTTTCGGGATCGACAGCGCCCGGTCGTTGCGCTACAAAGTCTTGGGCTTCTTCGAAAAAGCTCTGAAAAGGGGTTGAAAGATGGCTGCTTGCTCAGACTGACCTAAGTTTTGCGGAGAACGTGCTTGAGCTCCGTCAACTCGGAAAAGTTCTTATTCAGCTGTTCTTGATTCTGCGAGACTTCACGCATCTGCTTCTCCAGCTGTTCCAGATCGTTTTCTAAAGGAAGCGTCTCCTTAGGCAAGGGAGCTTCGGGACTCTCATTGTTGTCGATGACCGGAATATCGGCTTTTTGAAGCTCTTCTTCCAAGTAACGAAGTTTTCTTTCCATCTCGTCGCAGCGGCGAAGTTCTGGAACGAATTTGCGCTGGAAAGCGGAGACATCGGCGTTCAAGTCGCGAAACTGAACCAGACCAAGTTCGCCAAGCTCAGAAATGCAGGAATAAGCACTGCTTATTAAGCAGCATCGGACTAGGAAAAAATTTAAACGACAGCCAATTTTTATCGAAATTTGAAGAAAATCATCGCTCTAAACTTGAGTTTTCTTACCTGCAAGAAGAGCTGTGCTAGGCACATCTCTTCCGACCGAAGAATCGACGACATTTTTAGATAGCGAAACAGAGGCGTCTCTACTCCCTCAGTCTCACTTCGCTTCTGAATAAAAAGAAAAATATAATAATAAAATAAGATGTGCGGCCAGAGGGGAAAGTCGGAGGTGCGAAATCAATACAAAATGACTGCCCGCACAATTCCCCAGGGAACTGTAAAATGAGCAATGCGACGAGCTTTAGGTAAAGAAGGTCGTCTCAGAAGTTAACTCATTTCATTACTTGAAATTAAGGTAAAAAAGAAAAGAGGGTGATTTTTTAAATAATTTATTAATTTCAATATGGAAAGTACGGAATGATTTCAAGAAGCAAGGTCTGAAACGATGATGTTTTTAAGAGAAGCAAATGTAAAATCTTTTGTAATTTAGGGAAAGAGCAGGCGACAGAAATGAAAGGTCAGTTATTCAACATTTATTATTTATATAAGCAAATTAATTTTTATGTATCAAGAATCGAGGATGGAAATAAAGAGTTGAAAAAGTTTAGGCGCTAGTTTTTCTCTGTTTTAACAAGGCACGGAAAATTTTATGTTGCGAATTTCAAATATACAAAAAGTACTCGAACGATAAAAAGAAAAAAAATGAAACAGGATAAGATTTAAATAATAATTACTACTAATTAAATAAAAAGCAATCAAACTGCTGTCTGATTCTTTTGATCGGCGGCGGGTTGTTCTGAGCTCGTACAGTTGTCATTAAGCGTAGTACAGTTTTCCGTTTTCGCAGTAGCGCTAGAGTCGTTACAGTTGTCTCCGTTTCTATTACAGTAGTTGTTTTGATAGAATTCTTTCGCCGCTTGGAGGTCTTTTTCTTCAACGATAGAGGCCAGGCGGTGGGCCGAGTTGAAGCGGTTTTTCGATTTGTTCCGTCTTTTCGGGCTAAAATTACTGTAATCGTTTAGAAAAAAGGCTTGGTGATACCTTTGATCAGTTGTTAATGACTCCGATTTTGACCGATTCGGACTTGATGCTGAGTCTGATTTTGGCTTGTAAAGATCCTGAAGAGTTTGGCCAGGTTGAACTTTGACTCAAAGTCTTTGAGTCTTTCTGCGGCGGATATTCGATCTTTCTTTGCTCCTCCTGAGATGTTTTGGAGAAGAAGAGGTTTGAAATTCGCCGTGTTATTCTAAAATCACTTTTATTGACCGCTTCTTTGGCTAGATATAAACCTTTGTCAAGAGATTCTTCGCACGTCTTGAATCCGAGCGGCCTCTCGAAGATAAGCTTTGAGTGGCTCTCAAGCCAAGGCCAAGTCCAGCTGGAGGTCTCGGTCTTCGTCCAGGCGAAACTGACGAAGAACGGATTGGGGAAAGTGAAGCAGGGGAAGAGGTTCGTTCGAAGACTTCATCGTCTTCCGGTTTTGTCAGCGGCTCTGTTTCAGATGTATCTGATAAAGCCCGGTTGGGATTCTCGATGACAGTGATTTCTTTCGAAAGGTTGAAAGAAAAGAACTTTTTAGTTGCTTAGTAAGAAAATCTTATAAATGTACTTTCGACCTTTTCCTATCGAGTCTTCTTCTAGCGTGCTGTCACTTTTCGCCGGGCTTGCGGGGGCTCCGAAAAGAATCTTCTTCGGTGAGACCTTTCTAGGGCTCGAAACTGGCGAAAGAGAAACCTTTTCTGGCTCAGGTGAAGAGAACGTTCTATCCATACATGTATGATACAATAGGTTTATATTCTCAAGGTCAAAGAGAGAGCAGGAGCAAATTTGCCCGATTAAATTCAAAACCCACCTAAGAGATTGTTTCTTATTTCAAAAAGGTACCTTCACACGACATTTGCTCGAAATCGTAGTCGTGAATCGTCTTTTTCTGCTCCTCCTTGGTCTGCTGATGTTCGAAAACAATGTCGTCTTCCTTTTCGCTTTGATTTTCTTCCACAATCTGGTCTCGCCCAAATCCGTCTTGGGAGAAATTTTCATTATGAGGAGAATACTCGCCGTGAGTATAATCTGGCTCGACGAAGTAAAAAGTCGAGCATTCATATCCTGATCGTCGGCGAAGAGCCGGAAGTAATGGCCGATGTTTTCGTAGAGAAGTTCGGAGCATTTTGCAGCGGTTTCGAGCTCCTCTTCCGCGTCTTGTTGTCGCCGAGGAGTGTTTACGTCGATAGAGCGATTTCGAAGCTGAGGAGGGGGCGATCGATCTTCTAGTGCAGTGTCTGATGGCTTCGGCTGACCCATGAAAAAGCTAAATAATGGAACGATGAGCCTGTTTGTGAGTAGATGTTAGAGTTACCTTGTACGATTTTCATGCTTCGGGGAACCCAAACTGAGCGAACTTCCTTCATCACTGCTTCCTGAATTTGAGTTTATCAGTCGAAAAGGATGAAAAAGTATCTCGAGTGAATGTCGTAAAAAATGTGGGAGAGGCGAATTCTATGATTTCTAGAGCCCTAGCTAGCACCGTGAAGTGAGTATTGGTGCCCGAATTTCTATTAAATTTCAGGCATCTACTAATTAATGAACGTGATTTTGCACCGAATGAGTGTTTCTTTTCGAAAATCTACCGCGAGAGATAGAAGTAACGCTTCGGCGCCTCATAAGTCTATTCCGGAAGACTGAATCAAGTTAAAATGTCGAAATTTACGACAAGAAAACAACAAATTACCTTCTTCATCAACATCCAGGTCCATATTGTCCCCCGCAGCTTCGTTTTGCCGCATTTGCTCATCGAAATTCACGCATGAATGAGTAACCTTGAGCAAGTATTAATACTCTCGCCCAGGTTTTCTTTCAATAACAATCTTCATCAAATAACTTCGTTCATTCAAAAACTCGCGTATTTCTTCCAGAATGTTTTCTCTTATCGCTATTAGGTACAAGCAACCAGAGTTATTCAACAACTTCAGTGCTTTTGCAAAAGACTGGATAATAAAAGTTCTGTTCCATTATTTCCACCGTTCCATGAAGCACTCAGATCTTGCTCTTCTGGTGGTTTGTGGAGCTTCTCACTGGTTGTCACGACATACGGAGGCTTTAGCAAGACAAAATCGAATAGACCTGTACGAAGGCAACTACCCGCGTTGTCTACGGCGCTGTCTATAAGTGAATTGTTCTTTGCATTTTTACTCGTGCATTCGGAACATAACTCGTTGATGTCAAAAGAAAGAATGTAGCTTTTTGTCCAACTCGCAAAGGCACATGAAATGACCCCCGATTTCAACTGCTAGACCAGGCTTTTCTGTGGAAATAATCAACAAGCGCTACAAAACATGCTTCTGTATCTGACTTTCTTGCCTAAACATTGATCCTGAAGTTCCTTTTCAATGCCATCAAGAAAGACAAACGAATCCTCAGAAGGCTCATACACACTTTTTTATCATGTCAGTTTATTGAAATTTCCGATTTGGCAGTATTTAAATTTTTCAAAAGATTTTTAATATTGAAAAGACGTTAATTTAAAATCATAGTTAGGCAGTAATGAAAAAATAAAGGAAGGCAGTGAATTAAGAGTATAAAAGTGAGGTGATGTGTGAACTATATACAGTGAAGAAGAAGGAAAGGGGTTTAGTATTTTTCCTTCACCCGTGGGTCGCCATTATTTGGAGCGGTGCGTCTTTTGATGCTGCATGAGCGACCATCTGTCGTGGAAGAGTTCTTCGCAGTAGCGACATTGCATGGGAATCTAAACGAAACGGCGATAAACAAAACAAAAAGAACGAGAACCGGTGTTACCTCTTGATAAGAATGTTGCTTGCGCAAGTGAACATTCAAGTCGGACTTTCGGCCAAACATCGTGTGGCAAATTTCGCCTTAAAACGCGGAATTGAAATCAACAACAAATAACTTATTTTTGTTACTTACATTCGAACTTCGGCGCGGTCTTCGTGTGCTGCTGCATGACGTGCACTTTGAGACTGCTGTTCTGCGTAAATCGCGCCTTGCAGTGCGGACACTCGTGGGGCTTTTCGCCCGAGTGAGTTCTGAAAAACTTTTATCCAGGGTTGGTTAGGGTTAGGGGTTAGGGTTAATAAAATAAATAACGAAGTTTTTTTAGTATTCTATGTTGAACTGACTTCAAATGGCGACGAAGATTTGATTTTTCGGCGGAAGCGTATTCGCACAAAGTGCATTTGAACGGTTTTTCGTGGGTGTGTTTGTACCGCCTGTGTCTCGTCAAATCCTTAGATGTTACAAAGGCCATCTCGCAGTTCGCCTCTGGGCACTAGGAAATTATTCAATGAGCGCTAGAAGTTGAAGTGTGTTTACCTTGTAAGGCTTGAAGCTGGAAGCTGGTTGGACTGACACTTCACTGGCGGACTCGTCAGACTAAGGTAAAGTTAGAATACTTTTTCATGATTACAAATCGTTACCTTCTCTTTCCGTCGTCTTTTTACAGCATCAGCAATTGAAGAGCCTTTATCGTCCTTTCGTGCCGACCTTCTGGAGGAAACATCTAAAGAAGAGCCAGAAAACGCAGGCTCAGGCTGTTCGGAGGTACCATTAGTGACTGCAACGTTTCTCTCGGACGTATGATTGGTGACGTTAGCAGTGTTGTCGAATATGCCTGAAATCTCTGAAACTTCCGATGTGTCAACTTCCTCATCCTCGCTCGAGTTCAAGAAGCTAGAAAGATCAGCATCTGGTGGCATCGCTGGAGGTGTTAAATTCTTGCTGCACGTTGGTTCGTCATGCCTCAGTTTCGCACTCTTTTGCTGCATCTTTCCGACTCCTCTAACTGGACTGTCATTATCAAATGCAGAAGACAAGTCCGAAATCTCGCTCAGGACATCTTCCTGGACCATACATCCTCTTCCAGCTCTCCTACTGACTGGAGTAGCTGCTCGAGGCTGAAAAGTTGGTCCAGTTGGTGGTGGAGGAGCAGGGCCTCTCGTAGCAGGGACCGGTGGTGGTGGCGGTGGTCGGATATTCGGTCGCGACGATGTTCTCACCGAGGCAGGATTAGGCTTCGGTGAGGAAGTTGCTCGTTGAATATCTCTTCCTGGACGACGAGCAATGGTGATATCCACAGCTGGCTTGAGAATCGTCGGCTTTGAAGCGCTTTTCTTAGGCGTTATATTTTCCTTCTCGTGCTTGCTCCTTTTCGCTGCGTGATCTTTCGCGCTTGCTTCGCCCTGCGCTTCCTTTTCAGGAGTCTGAAGCTTTCTCTTGTTTGAGGTGGGAAACATAGATTCGCGAACGTCCTCTCTGTCAATTGGCGCGGGTGGGGACTGATCATGTTCAGGCGATAGTGCTTGTCGATCCTCCGCAGATTCATCGAACAGAACTTGCTGCGACCAGTTATGAGCTGACTCCTGCTCTTCTCGTGGCTGCGAGCGTTCCTGACTTTGCGATTTTGAAGCTTTAGATTTCGAAGGTCCCGGTTTTTTTTTGCAGGCTTTTCCGCTACTGGAAGAGGCTTTCTGAAACGGCTTGATGATCCTGGAACGGGCTTCGAAAAATTCACGTTTGGCACTTTTGGCTCCCAAGAAATCGCTTTTTCAAATTCTCGATTCAAGCTCGAATCTCGTGGTCGGTATCTTGTTGAAGTGAAAGCTCTCGCGAATTCCAGACGTCGACTAATACCGCCAGCTTGTAATTTTCGAAGGGCTCTAGCCAAAGATTTATCCAACTCGTCGCGCGTTGGTTTTGCTCTCGATCTCGGCATTTTTCTGTTAACTCTTTTTTGAGAAAAATTCGCATTCGGTACTTTTGGCTCCCAAGAAGTCGCATTTTCGAGTTCTCGATTCAAGGGATCGCTCGAATCTCGTGCTCGGTTTCTTCTTAAAATAAAAGCCCTCGCGAATTCCAGACGTCCACTAATACCGCCAGCTTGTAATTTTCGACAGGCTTTAGCCACCGATTCTTTGACCTCATCACGCGTTGGTTTTGCTCTCGATCTCGGCATTTTTCTGTTAACTCTTTTTTGCTGTTTAGCCTGATCTGCTTGCTTGTTAATTTTCGGCGATTTGAGCTTCGCAAAGTAATCGTCATCTAAATCCTCGTCGAAAGTCTTCTGCGTGGCTGAGGCTTTCTCCAAGGTTGGAGAAGTGGGAGGCGTAAAATATTTTTCATTAGTCCCTTGTGACTCTTCTTGAGGTTGAAGTTGAGTTGCTGATGTTGACTCTTGTCGAGCTTGAGTTGCTTGGGTTGACTGTTGTGAGTCGAGAGCAAGCGCTGTGTGGTTTAAAAGATCGCCCACTCGCTGGGTCTGGTTTATCCCTTCTTGTGACTTCTTCTTTCTTTCTTCTTGAGACTTCCCGGCGCATAAGTTCAGCGCATCGTGAGTTCTCCTTTTTCTCCCTTCAGTCTCTCGTAGCGTCTCTCCAGAAACCTGCGACCAGGAATCTTCGACCTTTTTTGATCTCACCGTCGTGTCTCCTGAGGACGCCATGATTATCTCCGGGGAATCCATCGGTTCTTCTTCCTGATTTTCATTGAAGAGGCTTCGCCGAAGCTTTCTCGAGGGCTGAGGAGGTGTTGCGGGTGCTGATTGATCAGCCTTACTCGGCGTTTTCGGTAGACTCTTTTCAGGCGTTTCATAGACGGAGGAGCCTTGAGAGGAGTTCGCTTTCTTTTCTTCTTGCTGGGAAATCTCCGTAGTATCCATTGGCTGCAGCTCCTCATTGAAAAGTTCTCCGCTGACGGAGAGGGAGATCTCTGGATCCGAAGGCACCTCATTATCGAAAAGTTCTCCGCTGACGGAGAGGGAGATCTCTGGATCCGAAGGCACCTGATCATTGAGTAGTTCTTCTTGACTAGTTCTTTGAGAAAACTCAGCAGCTCGCTCCATCATCTCATATCGGCTCAGTTGAGAAGGTTGAGTTTCCTGAGTTTCCCGGCCATCGGTGCTCTTCTGAGATTGGAGAAGCTCCGCTAACGGTATTCGAGGGGGAATCTCAGTTGATTCCTTTGGAGAACTTGTCTTTCGTTGGGGAATCGGCGCTATAATTCGAGTTTATTTTCAATATTTATTTGATCGCTTACTTGGCTCGTCGGGATCAAGATTTGAGGCCACCTTTGAGTTGGATGATTTGTTAGAAGTCTTCTCCGGCGATTTGAAGTGGGGTGAAGGCTGCGAAAACTCAGCAGCTCGTTCCAGCGGGGGGATATCTACGCGGAATTGCATGAAAATACGTCAACTGGCTTTAATTTTACCTATTTCTGAAGATTCACCCTCGTCAATGACACGCTCTCTCGAATTATCATCCGACGAAGGGGATTCATCACTCTGTTTTAGTTTCATTTTCAATCCGATAGCGCACTGTCTGAAGAAAATAATATGGGATCCTTTCTCCCATATTTTATTTCAATTTTCTTCCATAAATATCTTCCATAAATCAATGATTTATAGTACTAAGATAAAAATGGCCTACGGTGTGTAATTTTTCAATGTATCTTCTTGGGAAATTGCAGCTAAATTTAAACAGGCCGTGTTTTACATGAAGAAGTGCAGAAGTAACAAGTAAGCGCGGTATGAATGCACAAAATCGAAAAAGGGAGTTTCTGTTTATAATTTTCATGTTTTTCAATTGGTTTATTCAACCTTTGAACTATCGGAAACAATAGCGAAGATATGGAACGTCTTGATCTTCTTCGGCTTCTGTCATGTCATTACAGCAGACGTCGAGCACGAGGTATCGCTCGTGCGCGCCGATTTCTTTTTTGTCGACTGTTTTCACTGCCTCACTAGAAAGAATGAGCATTTAGCTGCAGTAACAAGTGTAGAGAGCTTACCTGACAGTCATGGCAAGTCGGTCCTGCTTCTTCTTCGGCGGGTTGAGGAAGAAGGAGTAGAGAAGTGTCACTCCAGAGCTCAGCATCTGGACCTCAAGCTTCCTATCATTCTTGAAATGGTCGAGGAGCTCGCCAATTGTCATCTCTCCGCCATTTTCTTTTCGTCCGTCGATGTCAAATCGATCCCAGAGGGTCCAGTGCTGGTCTCCAAAATAAGTGTTCTAAAACTGTTTTGTATAAAAGAGCCATACTTTCAGTTTCACCTTTGGTGGAGTCATGGGCTCGGAGAAGGAATACGCTGGAATCGCGAGATTCATGAACGTATTTCGATACTTTTCAATGTCGTCGATTCCGTTGACGATCTTGTAAAGCTCGGCAGAGATTAGACCGGCGACGAGGGCGGTGAAGAAGCTGGAGAATGGTGGTGACGTAGTTCTCTTCGAATCTGTGGCGCGCCCATTCGATGCAGTCATTGAAGTCATTTGGTTTTTGGTCGATGAGGAAGTCAACGAGTTGACTCAACGACTCCCTGAGCAGAGGTGATTGGCTCGTTGCCGGGCAGCTTCTCAGTTTTTGCGACAAGTCGGCGGGATCGGAAAGGAACTGTTTCGCAGAGCCTGCCTGTCCAGTAAAGAGTCCTTCAAAATTATCTCGCGCCCACTAAAAAAGGTCATACTTTGACCAAAATAGGCTCAAAAGGTACCTGAAGGCAATGCTCGATGGCATTTGGGAAATTTTTCAAAGTACAGATGGGAATGGATTTCTCTTGTGCATCGCGGGAAGAGCCGTAGGACTCGGAGACCTTGCCATCCTTGCCATCAGTAGGGGTCCAGTCGTACTCGGTGAAGTTGGACATGTAGGAGACATCCTTTTCGTGCTCGGCGGGGTGCATTTTGGTGGGGATGTATCGGTACTTGCCATCGACGATGATGATGTTATCTTAACGATTTTGTCAGTTGGTGCCAGCTCAAACACGAAGCGTACCCATCTGGAAGTGAGAGGCAGACATGTGGAACTTGGAGTAAAGGAAGTCAGCTCGAGCGAGTCGATCAAAGGCCCAGAAGAAGAAAATGGCGCCGGCAGCGAGGAAAGCTTCACCAGAGAGCTTGGCAGAGCCCCAGTAGACCTTCTTTAGTGGGACTTGGTTGAACTTGTTCTACAAGCGCAGATCAGTAACTCCTCTTTCTAAAGCGAATTACCTGGAAAGAGCCAGATCGGAAGTTTCTGACGGAGACGATCTGTCGAGCGAGAGTTCTGTTCAACATCTTCTGAACAAGCGAAATCAGTTTAGCGACGCTATTGAATTAACGGAGCGCACACAACATGTTTGAAGATTGCACAAATTCGAAATAATCTAAGAAAGTAAAGCTCGGTGTGAGACATTTTGGGAAGGAAAGGGTAGAAATAGTAGCGCCATTGTTCAATTCGTGTCATTTCGCCTTTATACTAGCGTCTTGGTGCTCGGTTTGCGCGTCCACAAGCATAATCACTTCTTGCAGAGATCTGTTTGTCCAGTCGTTCGTGAAGTTATCGAGGTAGCAGTCAAAGTCCTAGAAGTGGCCATGCGTGCGCAAAATAATAGAAGTTCTTACTTGAAGTTCGAGGCAGAAGTCGGCTTTATGCAGCTGAGCGACGGTCTTGAAAACGTTTTCGTTCTCAAAGCTGAGCTTGTTTGAAGAGTACACCCACTTTCCAGACTAAATGCAAATCAATGAACACAGATTCTAGAAGAATCGATAAAATTTCGCACCTCTTTGACAAACGGTCTCAGGGCGAACTTGGAGTCTTCTTGCCAAATGTTGTGGAGAAGGAAGGCATCCTTGAATTGCTCCCGGAGCTTGTCGCCGACCTTCTCCGCGTACTGCGATGGCGTGGCGCTCTTGACGATTTCGGGCGACTCGTAGTAGCCAGCGATGGCCAGATTGTTCCGCTCGCAGTAGTCTTCTACCGTTCTCATCGCTACTTGGAACATTGGCTTCAGCGAAATGCCCTGACAATTCAGATCACAACTGCGCAACAAAAGTTATACTCACCTGGTGGAAAAGAGGAATACACTCGGATATATAAGTTTCTTTCTCGATGTCGCAGTCCATCAGTAAAACACCATTTTACTGATCATTTTACTACACTATCAAACATTTTTTATAGAGAGATGCGCTTTAACGTACCGATGGGTGGCTTCTCCAGCGAAAAATAATCGATCGGAAGCTGGTTCCGCCATTTTGTCGTAGTCTTTTCCGGTTGAACCGAGTTTGATAAAAGAATAACTCATATGGGAGTATTCTTCTTTTCCCCAGCGTGTAATGTGGAAGCTCAGGGGCTCTGGGCTCGTGTTTTCTTTGAAGATTTCTTTTTTAAGAGTCACAAAATGGCGAAAATTCAAGTAAAAAGGAGCTTGTTAATTGACTCTTGCCTTGAAGCGTCGCTATCGCACTGGAAACGAGCTGTTTATCACTCATCGAATGATAAATATCAAGCGAAGCTCCAGCTGCGATCGACATGAGCGTAAAATGATCACTCCCAGGCGATTGATATCGTAGAACACATTAAAAATTCCCGACGTATCGTGTTCATCATCAGCTTCGACGCCTGAGTCGGAGCCAGAAACGCTGATGGAGCCAAAGAAATCAGCGCCACCGATCTTGTAACTCCACCATTTTGAATCGAAGCGGAGGAGGCATTTTTCTATCAGGCCGGCGCCGATGTTTTCTACAGCGCGCCATTTTCGCTGAGATAAGTCGGGGGTGAAATTGATGGTTTTCTTTTTCATGAGGGCGAGTGGGATTGACACGACGCATCTTTGAAATGGATACAGAAGTCTTATTTCAAGCTATTTTACAAAATTGGTCAGCCACTTGCGGCTTCAAGATCTATTATTTATCTGTATCCAATCCTATCCGCCTCAATTTTCTCCCCATGAGTCGTCTCGACGACCACCTTTTCCCCAGAATGATCAATGCTCGCCACCGGTTAACCGAAAAATTTCAAACTCTGTATTCAGCGGTTTCGACAATTCTTCCAAAACATCAGAAAATCCGTATGTCACGATCGCATGATCCCCGCCAAATTGCGGAAAACGCTCGTTCTGGTCCCAATTGAGCGCTGAAACGCTAGAAAGGCTCGTATTCCAAGTTGTTGATGTGGAAGTCGAGCTGTTTCATTTCTGTTTTTGAGTATCTTTCCGCGCTTTGGCTGACGTATTCTTTGTGAGCGTCGATGAGTGGAATGTCCTTTTTCTTGTCTAATCAGGGGTCTAAATTCGCAGTGCGAATTCGCTTTATTGCGAAGCGATGCGAAGCGAAGCGAATTCGCTTTCGCTTCGCTTCGCACTGGAGAGCAGAATTCGCTTCGCTTTCGCTTCGCAAAAATTCCCAAATTTTCGCATAGATTTTCGCACATCAAGCGACTTTGCTATTCGGAAGATTCTTTATCAAAGAGTTGGAGAGGGGCATCTTTGTCAATAATTTATTGATGCTCTTATAAATTCAAGTTTTCTCAGTCTTCTGAAGACGAGTCTAATGGTGGGTCTAACTCTCAATAAATCCCCGGAATACACGTTGTCACCAGCCTTTTGCTAGTATGCTTGTAAGTATGCTAGAATATTTTTTGAATGATCAGAGTGATCTTTATGAACAGGGCTTATCTAGAATCGAAGATGATCTCCTCTCCTATCGACTCGATAGTATCGAGCAAGGGTGACCATTCGGGCAAGAAATCGTCGATTGGCCATCCGAATGCCCGGCCGAAATGAAGGGCCAAGAGTCGCACCGTCCGAATGCCCGGTCGACCTGGTGATGGGATTTTCAATAGATAAGGGTTTGAAAAATAAGTTTCGAGAGGCTTTTGATTCAGTAAGAGGAGCAAGAGAGTAAAAATTGTTGTAAAGAATGCGAAATTTAAGAATTTTCCTCGGCGCGGGCTAGACTGAAATGCCCGAAAGCGCTGAATTCCCCGAAAGTGCCGAACTTGCCAAAATGCCCGCTTTTGCCCGGCCAAATTTAAGGGGCTGAGAATGCCCGGCCGAACACATTTTGCCCGAAAATTGTCCGTTTTCCCCGACTTCACGATGCCCGAACGGTCACCTCCGCTATCGAGTTTGTTACTAACTTGGAATTATCAACAGTTAGACCCAGCATTCGGCTTATATTGACGAGCTGAAAAAGTACAATAACAGATTTTTTTGTTATTTTCTGCTCCAAAAATAGGTTTTTGAAATCATCTTTGCTTTTGAGTGGCTGATTGCTAAAGATTCTTGCCGAGAATGCGTTTCAATTCAAGCGAAAAAATTTTCGCTTTTTTTCGCAATTTTCAATGATATTTCGCTTCGCTTTCGCTTCGCACATGGGCGAAGAATTCGCTTCGCTTTCGCTTCGCAAAAAATTTGAAAAAATGGTTCGCTTTCGCTTCGCTTTCGCACTAGGATTTCGGCTGATATTTAGACCCCTGGTCTAATCTCCAGTCGGATAAAATATCGAAAATCGTGTTGAAATGATGCTCCATTCTCAAGTCTGGTCCACGAGCAATCGATTCGGATTTGACAAAAAGGTCGCATTCGCTTCCGAGGATGTGGACATCGTGGTAGATTTGACGACTGATGGTGATGATAGGGTTGTTTTGGCGGCCGTTGATGACCATTGCTCCTACAGCTACCTTAAAATGGACGATAAGTGAGCTTTTTCACTCAAACGAACCTAAGGTGCCCAAACATGAACTCGTCCTCCTATCCTCTCCCCGCCTCTAGAATCTTCAAAAGAAAGCTGTCTGGCTGTAGAAATTCCTGATGGTGCAGCTCCAATTACAACAATCGTTTCTCGTTTCTCCAGCGGAATGTTTTTGAGAACCAACGGCCTGGGTATGTCCTCAAAGATGCCAAAGTTGATAATGCCTTTTATCGTAAGAAATTTTATAACAAGGTTGAATAGTTCTGGCAGAGCGGCGCGAATGTATCCTCTTACAATCACATTTTGCATGCAGCTCTTTGGAGTAACCAAAATCGTCGGAGAAATAGACCACATCGAAACGACCAGATTTCTCACCGCTAGAATAATCTCTGCGCGGCGGGTGGAAAGGTTTGGTAGTGCGCCACTTCATCTGGTTCGAAGGAATCGGGCTTGAGCGTCAAAGCAGCTGGGTTGCCACCGGGCTGGTAAAACGGACGACGATTGCGAAGACTAATTTCACATTCAATCGAGTGCAGATCAAAAATAATCAGTGAAGAAAACCCCTTCTTTATATTTCTTGTTCTCTCCTTCTCTGTATTCTTCATTTTCATCCCTTCGCACCATTTTTCGCCTTTTCTCTTTTTCTCGCCTTTGAAATCTCCGCGCGCGCTGATTGGTCCGCGCGCGGAGCGAAAGATTTGAATCACCGAGATTTCTGAAAATCTTGAATGTAGGTCGATTCTAGCGCTGGGAAAGCAGAAATAGAAAAGAGAGAGGATGAAAAAAGGGAGAGAAATATATCGAAGAATATTTGAGCAGGCGAAAAGCGCGAAAACAAATGCCAGATTAGGAAGAATTCGGCGAAGATGACGACGAGTGGGAAGTTGTTCAGGAAACGCACTGCCATTTGGAACTTCCTGACTGCCCTGTCAAGGTACAGTAATGAACTGATTTTCTAGTCGTCCAAAATTGATAAATTTTAGCTTTCGGAAGCAGAGAAAAGCAAGTCAACTGACGGTTCTGAAAAAGAAGCGGAAATGAACGAAGAATGAACTTTTGAGAAAGTTTTTGAAAATTATCGTTTTTAGAATGCCAAATGTGGAATTGAGAGAAGTCGATTAGCAGTCTTAATGTCTCTACTTTATCCAGCGGCTGCTTGCGCGCGGAAAACTGGCTCTGGAAGGCTTCAAAATGATCCACTACGATCCCAATCTCTTGAACGAGCTTTTTGAAAAATTTGGGGGAAAATCCTTCGGAAAAAAGGCTCCAAAAAAGCTTTATCAGGACCCTGACACAGTTATTCTAAAAAAAGAAAGCCGAATTCAAGCGGCAGAGAGTCCCTTTTTTCACCGGAAGTGATCAAACAGGGTAGCTCAGCGGCCAGAGCGCGGAATTTCTCCGGGACGTGGGTTCGAATCCCACTCCTGTCACTTCTCGGAGAAAAAGGAGGATTTTCAGCCGCTAGAATTGGCTTTTTATTTCGAGAGAAAATGTTTTATTTGAAGCTTTTGGCTATTTTTGCGGCTGTTTCTTTCGCTCCGACTAAAATGTCGCCCGGCCTTTTTTTCGTAAAAAGGAGATAATGGGTGACTGGAAAAAAGGACTTGGCGTAAAAAATATAGTTTTCTTTTTCCAAACTTTCGCTTTTCCGGAAAAAGCAAAAATTCCCGAGTCAGGTTCTGAAACAGTTTAAATTCATAGTTGAACTGCGATTTTGTCAAAAATGAAGCTGCAAAGCGGCTTTTCCGAAATTTCTTTGAAAAGTAAAAAATTTGCCAGGACAGAAAAAGCTGCATGCTGTTTGTTCGAATTTCAGAGTTGCATCGGTTTCTTGGTCTGCCAGATATTTTAAGCGGAGGAAATGGAGAGGTTCTTGGCTGAGATTCACTTCTTGTTGAGAAGTTTGTGCCAGTTTCGGCCCTTTCGGCGGATTTCGCCGTCGATGTCGATTAGGGGCAAAGAGGCTTCAAATGATCCACTACGACTCGCATCCTGATCTCTGGAACGTGGTTGACGCTATTCTAGGAGCTACTTCTGAAGCTGAAACAACCAAAGAAAAGTGCGCCGATCAGCTTCTCAATGGAGCACATTTCAAACGCAGAAAAGATGCGAGAAATGACCTCGATCGAGTACTGGATCCTCCCGCTCGTCTGCGCCAGCCACTTGAAGGAAATAAACTGGCTGCATCCTCCCTGGGCCGATCAACTTGAAGACGGCAGAAGAGAGCTTTCCGTCGGCTTTGCGGAAGGAATCATCGAAAAGGGAAAGACCAGGCTTGCCGTGAGCTGGTCGTGGGATTACTTCACTTCTGACGCGACCTACTGCGCCGAGGAGAATTGTCAATTTATTCAAAATTTTCAGATTTCCTTTCTTGATCTGATTTGGTCACCATTGGAGCGTCTTTTTCTGCGGGTAGATGCAGTCATTATTGAAGAAAGTAAAGAAAGCCGATATGTAAGGAAAGCAGCTAGGAGAGCAGCCCCAATAGAACTGCACGAAGAGTTTCAAAAGCGACGAGCGAAGAAACTCCACTGCTCTGAAGGCAACGATGGCTTGCTGATTTATAACGCCGGCAGGACCAGTCAAGACGACCGACCCGCGCTGCCCGTGCATATTCCCACGGACCAGGAAGTCGAGCAGATGATTAAGCGATTTGGTGCGAAAGTGCGAAGCGTTTTTGCTGATTTAGGCCTTCCAGCGGAAATTCGCCTCGCCAGGAGCACAAAAGATGGATTTTGCCCGGAAGCAGTAGGACAGTTCGCAAATTTTCTTACAAAAATGCAGTTTCAAAACTTTGAAATTCAAAGTTTGAATTTATCCTTTTTGCGAACTCAAATAGTGGAGTCTATTCAAAGTTCCGTGATAGCAGTTCTGAAAGAAATATTCAAAGAGTTCTCTCTGCTTCTTAATTACTTATAAACGAAGTTTTCAAGACTGAATTTTTGTTTCTGCAATTAAAACAAAATTGAATTCTCATTTCGCTGGCGGCTTGCGTTTTGGAAACTCGCTTTATCGGCCGGTCTAGGGGGAGCTTGCTTTCCCATTCGCGCATTCGTCCAGCATTGCTCGTATCACGTCGAACACTTAGTTGCAGAAATCCTCCTCGTCGACGCCGATTGAGCGGTAGAACTCGGATTGCTCCATGAAATTATATGGCCAGACGCTTGTCATTTCTTGCTCTAGCTCTAGAAGGAATTCGAGTCCGTGCACTGCTTGGTTAAAGCTTCGATCGAAAATTTGCGTTATCCGCTGGTTTTATTTTCTCCCGCAAGTGAATGTTCAAGAAGTCCTTGATAATATCTAAGTTGATTTTTTCGTAGAAGCGAATAATGTTATAGGCGACGTCGAAGGCTCTAGTGCCGAATTCTGAGTTGTCGTTGTCAACCAGCAGCAGTCTTTCCTCTATCGATGTGCCTTCTGAGGGATGAAAATTCTTCCGTCGTTGGCGTCGAGATTGTGCCCCACTGAACATAAATTTTGATCAATTTTTCGGGATAAGTAGCTGTTTTGTAGTGCGATCTGATCGCTTTCGTGTTCCAGGGCCAGGCGTGGTAGCAGGTCTTGATCGGCCTTTGACTCTCTTCTTCACTGATGATGTGCATTGAAGCAAAGCGCTTTGCTGCAGCGTGGAAGACGTCGATGTCGCTTGGTCGAATGTCGCTTGCAAATCCTGTTTTTGCTGCAGGAAAATCACATGGGGTACGTTTAAACTGAGACCGGAGTCGGCTTAAAGATATCGTCTTCTCGAAAGTCATTGCTCTTCCGCAGTCAAGACGGTTGGAACTGGAATAAGTGAATATGGAGGATCGAGGCTTGAACAGTATTCAAGTTTTCTTGTCATCCATTTTGATTTCGAAAGACATTTCTTGATTTGTCTGGTTAGACTATCCTTGTTGTTTTTGTTGTTCGAAATAAATCATTTTTACACTGATTGATAGTTCAGCCGGAGACATTGACTCAGGTCTTGAAAAAGAGCATAAGCTCAAAAGAAATCAAGGAGGAAATTTACCATCAAGAAGAAAGCGGAAGATCCGAGCATGAAAAGCCAATTATTTCATTTGATCAAATAAAGGAATTCGAAAAATGATTTAATAGATAAAAAACCCTTTGATCGATTTAATTTTCCCCAGCGCAGTGCTGAAATTCGCGCGCTGATCCTTTTTCTAGCGATCAATTCTCGTCATTTGTGCCCCTTTCCCCGTCATTAAATCGCCGCAGCGTATATAATCTTTGAGTAAAGAAGCACTCGCCATGGATCCAGGTAAAAAAGAGCTTCTTAAGCGCGAGGGATCGCAAGAACTCATTCTAGAGAACTTGGATGGACAAGTTTGTCTTCGAGAGCCAGTTGTCAAGACCATGCTGGATCCGAGATTCGAGGTATGCGGGATTTTTTTTATTGTGGCCGGATTTTTGAACTTGTTTTGGGTTCCCGATCTCGGTGAAGCCACTATGCGGCTTGGATTTTAAAAGAGCCGCTACGCGGCTATTCTTCGAATTCCTTTAGCAACACAGATTTGCGAGCCCGGCTGGTCACCTCTTCAAAGTTGAAAATGTGATTTTAAGCAAGCAGATCGGCGAATCAGAGCGAAAATGCTGTTTGAGAAAACGACACTGATCAAGCCCGACGGCCGCTGCTTCGAGGAGCTCAAAAGAGAAGTCATCGAAGAAGGAAGAAAAATCATCGAAATGGAGATGAACCTGCTCAACATGAAAAGACTCAAGATTTCAGAAGCGGTGGGGCAGATAATGACTTTTTGCATCGACAATGAGCGTGAGTCTCTTTTCTTTCGATGGAAAAACTGTGACGAAAATCTGACTTAGGGTTCTTGAACGACTTGATCCTGCCTCAAGTTCCTTGAGTCAGGTTTCTGAAGAAGCAATTGATTTTTTATTCTTATATTTTTCAGAAGAAGATCCGCTCATTAATCGAAGCCGCAACAGCTCAAATCCCTGGATGAGTAAGCTTTTTTTCTGTTCTCGCAATTCGAACAATTGTTCAGCCCGGCGAGAGAGATTTTCCGAATATCTTCAAGCGCTGATGATGTGCAAGAGCCAACCGGAAGACGCTGAAGGAAAAATTGAAAAACGCGCGAATTTGAAGCTCCATTCCGAGGCGATCGGGGTCGAGGGCCTAACCATTCATGACTTTATCATGGACCATAAAATGTTCATGGACCCGAAGTTTATCTTCAAATAGATTGGCCGTCTTTTCTTATCCTTTTTTACTAGAATTTGTTTTCTGTCGTTTTTCAATTTCAATTCGAAGAGCCCATTCCGCCGAAAAAGAGCGTGGAAACTCCAGCCATGTCCTTGCCAACTGTCTAAAATTCTATATTTCTGAAATAAAAAATAGCTTTTCTCAAAAAAGTGCTAAAAAATTTGAGTCAGAGAGAGTCAGTTGACGAGGGCTCAGGTTGTTAATTGTTTGTTTTCTCCGGCGTTAGAGAAAAAAGGACTACAAAAGGAGAAAAAAGAGAAAGAAAATGAGGAACATCGGTAATTGTTATTTCGAAAATGAGGATTTTTCGTAGCGCAAATATAAAGTCAAAGAATATTTTTGAAGCTGTTATAAGAAGCCGCTTTTATTTTTCAGGGCCCCGACTCAGGTTTTTGACTCAGGTCTTCGATCCCTTTTGAAATCAAGGAAGAGACTTTCTCATGTCTTCAATTTCTAGCGCTTTCTTTTCCATTCCAAATCCTGGCCCGAGGAACCAGTCATCTTCAAACACCCACAAATGATCCTACCAGCGAATCCTTTAATTCCCACGTCGACGGAATCCTCGACCAAAACCAATCGCGAGAGTTTCAAAAAATGACGCAGGAAGAAAAGCTCTTCAGTTTGGAAGAAATCTTCAAGAAAATGGACGCCGATGAAAATGAGGAAGTTGACGAGGACGAGTTGCAGCAGTGGATGAGATACGTCGAGAACAGATTTGTGTTTGAGGACACGGATGCGAAGATGGAACAAATGGACTTGGACAAAGACGGGATGGTCTCGATGGAGGAGTTCAAGGAGGCGAAGTATAACCCAGGAATGATTTTATCGGTTCTTTGTTGCTGAAAACAGATGAAAAATGAAAAGCTCAATTTTTATCAAAATCAAAACAGAGCGAATTTACAAAGATCCCTCATTAAATGCAGCGACAGCTATGTACCAGAAAAAGAAGGATTTACGAAGATTCAACGCTGCTGACACGTACGTAGCTTTTTTAGCTGATTCAAAAGATAACTCTTCGGGAAAAAGAATCATTCTAGTTGTTCGAAAATGAGGGTATTGATGATCGTCCTTTTTTCAGAAACGAAGATCGCCATCTCTCCCGAAACGAATTCGCCCATTATCTCCATCCTACGGGACACATGGAGATGATGGAAGTGATCGCTTTGGAAACCTTGGAAGATCTTGATAAAAACAGCGATGGGTACATCGATCTAGAAGAATATCTTGGCGACATCGGAGCGAGATCGTTCTCTGACGAACCAGATCAAGAAGAAGAGACGATTCTTCCGATGGGCGACGACGAGTTCGACGAAGAACCAAACACTTGGAAAGCGCCGGGAATCGACGATGATTGGATCGAAAATGAAAAGCGCATTTTCAACGAAGAAAGAGACATTAATGGCGACGGATTTTTGAACATGGCCGAAGTGATGCTCTGGATGAATCCGCCGGTAATAATTCTCGAGGAATGATAATTCGTAGCTTTAGGACTTCGATGTGATACAATCTGAGGCAGATTATCTGATCGCAACTGCCGACCGTGACGGATCGAGCACGCTTTCCAAACAAGAAGTTTTAAAAGGAACCGTATTTCTTCGATTTCAACTCTTCTCGTTTATCAGTAAGCGATGATAGTTAACCGCGGTTAACCACGGTTTATAAAAAATGCTGTCGTTTTATCGTGGTGAACCGCGGTTTTCTCATAAAAGGATACACTTGTGGTAAATAAGGAATAATTTTAAAAGATTCAACCATTTTAAACCTCGGTTAGAATCTAACCGTTAGATCAATCAAAACCTTGGGTAACCGCGGTCAACCTAAGTTTATTATGAAGAAAAACGGACGAAAGCTTATGATGCCTTCATTGAATCGCCTGCTACTCACTGGGGAAGCTCCCTTCTCCATCATGACGAGCTCTAGAATCATTTTTCAAACTGCTTTTCTTCAAAAATCGTGCCATAAAAATGCTTCAAAATAAATAAGCGTAGTTTTCAAAATGTTTATTTTTTAAGTCTGTCGGAAAATTTGTCGAAACTTCGCATTTCTGCTGTAATCATCTCTCGCTCCTTTGTCTAAAAAAGAGACTTAGTCGTTCAAAAATTGAGCACAAACCAAACAAGGTTGAAAACAAATCGTCAGAAGAATGATTTTCTTCGAGCGGCGGTCTGGGAATCGGAAAGGGAATTGTCGCGCTGGAAGAAAATTGAGCGAAAGAAACAGCCGCGAAAATAGCCAGAAGCTTCAAATGAAACATTTTCTCTCGAAATAACAACGAAAATGACAGTCTTACTTATATGAGAAAAGGAATGGAAAGCATTTATAATTCAGCTTTCGTTGAAGGTTCTTTTGACAGCGGAGAATTGACAAGACGCCGCGAAATCTGTCAAAACTGTCGATCATAAAATGAAAAATTGAAAATGTCAACTCGAGTTTAGATCCAGTAATGCTGACAGTCAATGGCCCAGGTTCTTTACTGAACATTATCTGTGTTTAACACCCTGTTATGAAACCTAGGCTCGACAACCTGTATTTTGAACCGGAGTCAGGTATTGAAACGTCTTTCGGATTCAATGCTTATGTTGGTCAGTATTGAAAATGTCAAGAATGTCACTAATGTCACGAATGTCATGATTTTGCTAAAAATTTGACAAAAAGAAACATGTCTTCGTGCCATTCGTGAAATTTTCAGAACTGTCGCTTATTATGACCTGACTCAGGCTGCCAAGTCCGGATGGAATCCTGACTCAGGATTAAGAATATGTAAAGCCGTGTAGAAATGTTCTTAGGGATCATTTTGGTATTTTAAAATTGAACTTTTTTAGGACCCTCACTTAGGTTTTTATTCAGGTCGTTAGATTCTTACCCAAAATTCATCAAAACAAAAATATCGCTTTATATAAGAATAACTACATATAAAATTGTCGTGGAAAGATGATGGTATCTAATCTCCATGGAAGAAACATATAATATCTCGGAGCGGAAGGAACTGCTCGATCCACACGAGCGGCTTCAATTAGTTCCGATTGTTTTGAACACAATCCGACGAAGAGCGGACATGAAACGCAAACTCAACGGAAGGAAGAATCCGCCATTGCGCGTGCCTGCTTTGTCCCGACTCGCGACCCGTGTTTTTGGTAAAGAAGGCATGTCAAGACGGAGATATTAATCGGCAAATAACTTTTCCTTTTGTTTTTCTTTGAAAAATATAATTGAACGAAATTTCATCAAGACAAAATATGAAAGATCTTGAGCTCAAAAATCTGTGTAAAAACCTGAGTCAGGGTTTTCAGACAGGGTCTCACCATTGGCTTGAAGCCACCTGAAAATATTTTGACAAAAGGTTTTCTAAGCAGATTTTCGAGCCAAGAAAGAAAGCTTGATTCCTTTTTGTATTTTCGAAAATCAAGGTCATTTTCCCCTCCCCAAAGTTTTGCTAATTCAGAATTAATTATCATTTGCGTGATCAAAGAGCAGATAAGTGTCGCCTTCAAACGATTTCCGTTTCACCCTTCAACTCCCATATTCCATGATTAGGCACTCGCACTTCAAAACTCGACCGGAAGCTCGGCCGACCGGAAATCTAATATTCAAAAAATATCTTCTAAAAATCAAGAAAAAGAGCTCAAGTTGGTGAATTCCAAAGTAAGAATCGAATCAAAAATATCATCGAGCTTAGAATTTTCGTCAAAATAAACCATCGAAAAGTCGAGGTTTGCGACTGTTAGACTGTCTGCCAGACAGCTGAGATCGGCAGCCTGTTTAGAAAACCTGAGTCAGGGTCTGAAATCGATTTTATGAAAGGCGGCTTTTTAAGACCCTGACTCAGGATTTAAAGACAGGTTGCCGATCCCATATTTGTCTGCCAGACAGAGACGATGTCTTGCAGACAGAGGCGCAAACAGAAGCTTTGGTTCTTTGAATTTGTAGATTACGGGTTTATTAATGAGCGAGTAGCCACGCGCTGCTCTTATCGCAAATCAACAATAGTTTATTGAGTTTGTTCTTTTTAGAGAAATTCGACTGTTTTGTTTACTTCGTTTTTTGTATATTTTTGGCGATAAGGGAGTCCGAAGCTGAGCACGAGCCGGAGTAGCAATGGGTGTTGGTTTCTCCACTCGAGCGCGAAATTGAATAGTGTGACCTCGCTCGCCCAGGCCAGGAAATTGTTTGCGAGGGGATTTCCGGAATAGAACTTGTCTGATTTGTTATCCCTGCTCACGTGACAAACAGCCGGATAGAGGTTGAGAAAAGCGCGAGAGCATTTTTTTTGAAGTATTCTGTAGAGAGGCATCTTTCTCTGACTCTGCTGCGATTAATCTTCGTTTAATTACAGGCTGTAATTTACAGCCATCTTTGAACTCAATTTAAACTTCATAGTATGTTGAACTTTATCCCCTTTCCCTGTATTTCCTTTCAGAAACATGTGAGGCGAAATCGAAGATCGTAATTCGTGAAGCAATTCTACTGATTACAGTACATTGACGTCTTTTTGCTGCAACGTCAGTATTATTTCAATTTAACAAGTCTATGGCCCTCACGCGCCGTATCACTTTCCGAAATCGAAGTCGAAATTTGACGTCGCCAGTTCAACCGTTTCAGCTTTCTTCTGATTTTACAAAGAGACCATGAGGCTATCTGAACTCAAGATCTCGACGTCAATTGCGCAGCTTACATTACAAGCTCGGAAGGAGGAGTTACAGGCAATTACAGGGGTCTGGTTACGTAAGGGACCAATGAAGAGGAAGTTTAAGGTTCTGGGTTGGGGATAATCGAGGGTATTATTTCGGGTCATATGTTTTGAAGCGTTTATAGACTGGAGATCTGATAGCTGATGGATGCTTACTGTATTAATTTTCAAAAAGAATGAAACCTTTTTTCTTCATGTTTCTTTTTAAAATCGGGTGCCCTTTTTCGTCCTCAAAGTTTTTGAATGTGTCCCCTCGTTTATCGGTTTGAAAAAGCCCCTTTTTTATTTGAAACGGATTATATAATATAATTTATATTCGGTCATTCAAGAGTAAGGCTACGTGACCAAAAGACGAACAAGGGGGCCCATACAGAAAGATAGAGAGTAAACAAATGTACGTTTAAAAATTTTCTTATGATTCACATAAAAATAAATTAAGGGAGTCAGCCCGAAAACCCTTCAAGAGCGACCTTTCCAAATATTTGTTGATATAAATTTCCAAGTCCATATTGATCTGTATTCGATTTCATTTCACTCCTCCTCAAAATTACATAAAACTCGGCCCGGCCAAGATACTTCCTCATTTATTATATATAATTTAATTACTTGCCCTCTCAATTTTTTATCTCCGCCGCTCCTTATCTCATCTCGAGTATCCGAGTTCTATCTTTTTTATTTCAATAATTCAAGTCGCGTGTTTTCCAAATTTTATGGCCCCAATTTGGCTTCTTCGCGAAATTGGCGAATTTCCGTGGGAACAAAACGAATAGCAATTTGTTTGATTCTAGAGCGTGATTTCAGAACGGCGCACCTGTGGAACATAAAATGACTTATCGGCCCTTATCAGCGCCGAAAAAAGTTCATTGTCGATAAGTACCGCGAATTTCGGCGACCAAAAAATGTTCAAAGAAGATTTTGAAGATCGAAAAATAAGCTTCAATTTGTCATTTTTATATTTTTTATTTTTCTTTCTGTAAAATTGCTGGGAGAAGAAATTCAAGGTTGACTGAAAAATAAGCAAGAAAAACATAAGGTGCAAAAGTCGTGTAATTGAGGCAAATGTACATGAGGATGGGAAGGAGGCCAACCACGATGAGTTCCACTTCGATAAGCCAAGTCCATCCGGCAGCGGTAAGCGAGTTTTTACGGCCTAATTGGGCAATTCCGAGAAATATACATGTTTACAGCTCAAGATCTGGCATATATGATGTTTTATACTTGTCAAAATAATAAGACATCAATTTTCTTTATGCAATACTTTTTGAACAAGACCTGAGTCAAGACATAAAATTGCAATGATGAAAAGCCGCGTAGCGGCTTCTTTATAATCCAAGCCGCGAAACCGCTTCCCTCAAGCTTCAAAAAAGATTGAATATATTGAGGAGATGAAAGTTTTTTTAAACTCCCGACTCAGGTTTTCAACTCAGGCTTCAGAACCAAGGCCTCAAAAGTTAAGTTGAATTTAAGAACAGGGATCGCAATTATCATTTTGTCAACTTTATCCTTTGTTTAATGATGACAAGCTAGAATAAATTTTTGCATATTGCAGGAGCATAAAATCTTTTTTTCCCAAACTCTGATTCGCCCTTTTTTCTTCTTTTTCGCCGCTCGTGCCAGAGGTGGCGCTCCACGTCGTTCGATTTCACCTCCGATACGCCATCTTTCGAAGCTTTTTAATAAAACGAGCGTCGATTCCATCCATTCAGAAACAGAACTTATCAAGATAATTGATAAACGATCGAGAAACAGCAAAAAACAACAAGATGACAGATTCTGTATCTTACGAGCAGAATTTCAATCAACGCGCTTACCAGAGCAACTACAGTTACAACAGTATAAGTACGGTTTTTCGGAATGCTTCAAATTTTCAATAGCCAATTCAGATAGCGCCTGGCAAGCTGGATACAAGCAAGAGAGGGATGCAAACTCGCTCGATTCAAGTGGATTTTATCAGACTCACCATGACTCAGGTAATTTTTGATAGCAAAACTTTGGTTTTTTTCCTAAATTCTTGATTTCAAGGGTCGTTTTATGACCAAAATAGTCTTTTTTTCTGATCAAAATCAAACTCCCTTTTCAGGAATTTCCTTCACTGCCGACGTCTCCCTGAATTCTCCGATTTCCGACAAATCTCAATCTCAACTCCCCAAAGCTCAGTCTTCCCCTACGAAGCAGCATCTCTCCATCTCAAATTCCCAGCAGCCAGCTCCTGTACGAAATACTTCCCCAACTGGTCCAGTCTCTCCTCAACTCAACAATACAAACTATCTCCCTTCGCAACTCCCCGTCCAAGCATCGTCTTCTCCTCAAAGCAGCCCAAAGCCGCTGCAGATTCAAAATCAGCGCGAAGGACCTTCAACATCTTCTCCCGTCGCTCAGACGATCCCCTCCGCCTTCAAATCCGAGCCGAACGGAAGCCAACCGACTCTTCAGCCGACTCAGACGGCGAATCACCCGCTCCCCGTCAGCCCGATTCAGCCGCATCATACAGTCATCCCTTCTCCCGCCCCTCTTTCCTACAACGAATATCTTTCCTCTCAGCACTTCTACCCGCATCCTCAAAATCATCTCGAAAATCCCTCCTTCGCGCCAAATGCCCAAAATCTCGGAAACAGCGGATACGGCGCGCAAAACTCTGGATATCTCTTTTCAAATTCTGGACAGAACTTTGAACATGCTCTTTCGGAACCAGACGTGGCAAAAATCGAACCAAGGGATCTACCATTCGAACCTGAGCCAAAAAGAAGAAAAAGTGATCCATCAGGTACAGATTTCATTTTTTTCAAAGACAAGCCATTTTTCCCATATACACCCATAAATCTCACTTAATTTAAATTTCCGTTTCAACCTCTTTTACGATACTGGCTTTGCAGCATCGTTTTTGTTAAAGCCGCTCCGCTATTTTCATTGAGAACTTCCTGAATCCTGACTCAGATTTCTTCACAGGCTGCTTAAAAGCTTCTGGCTCTTTAGAGACTTTTTAAAATTCTGAAAAGCGATACTTCCATTATCGACCATTTCCATTTCCTATCCAGATCTCGCACGCCGGAAACGGTTTATTCCCGAGTGCCAAACACTTTTGACAAATTGGCGCTCAATTGGGCTTGAAAAACGGGCAAATTTACAAACTCGCAAAGTTTGCAACCTTCTGCATCCAAGCTCATCCATCCCTTCTTTTCTAACTTTGGTTTTCAGGACAAAGGGAATGTGCAAACTGCGCGGCGACTACGACTCCATTGTGGCGAAGGGACAAGTGCGGAAACTATTTGTGCAACGCTTGCGGCCTCTACTACAAAGTAAACGGCCATAATCGGCCCTTGATCAAGCCCAAAAAGCGCGTGGTAAGTTCTTTCACCCTTTCACTTTCAAAAATAATAATTTGCATTTCCAGGCTCCGAATAAAAGGGTGGGCACGATTTGCGTCAACTGTAAAACCAATCAAACGACTCTTTGGAGACGATCCTTGAAGGGCGAGCCTGTCTGCAATGCTTGTGGACTGTATGAAAAACTTCACGGGGTAAGTCTCAAAATTATAATAAAAAGAATGATTTCAGGACATGATTTTGTCGTAGTTCCCTTTTTTATATAAATCAAAGAGGATCTTATATTTTGCTCATCCTTCAAAAATTTCAAAATAAAATTAAGGTGCCTCGTCCAAAAACAATGAAAAAGGACGGAATCCAAACTCGCAACCGAAAACTCTCCGCTCTTCCGAATCGCCGAAAACGCCCTAATGACCCTAGAACCGCGATCAACCCCTATTCCCATCCTCATTTCCCAGCGACCGGAAATTTTCCCGAAGCAGCTCATCTTCCCCAGCAAGTCGAGACGCCCCAGATTCCTCTTTTTCCGCCGCAGCCGCAGCTGAACCTGACAAAAGACGCTTCAAACGCCCCCTCAACAAGCAGCTACCCTCACGACCTGCAAGCAATGGCCAACTCGATGTTTCCAATGTCGATGAATCCCATGGCTCTTTTCTCGAATCCCAACCCAGCGGCTTACGCGGCTCAAACAGCAGCTGGGCAAAATCCATTCCTTCATGGCTTTCCTTCTATTTTTCAACCTGCCTTTCAGTGAAAAGAATTTTTACTGAAAATTATTTTTTAAATTGCTTTTTTTGAATAGAAAATTATCTGTTTCTGTTTATTTAATTTGTAAATTTGAATAAAAAATAAAAATCATAACAATTTTATTTGAAGCTATCAGTTTTGACATCATTTTCTCTACTTTTTGAAGGATCTTAAAGTTCTCTAGCAGAAAAATGATAAATGACTACGAGCGGGTGAGTGCTCACTGTCCGCATCTCAAATAAAACTCGACAAATTTAGTGAATTGAAGCCAGATTTCTATGTTTGGCTTTGAGTTTGACACGGTAGTCTAGCTCGGCCTCTCGGGCAAATTCTACACCGACACCCACGCTTTTAGTTTTCCTTTATTAAATTTTGTTTTATGTCGCGTAAATGGCGGTATTCTGAAGAATCAGCATGTCCTCAGAGCGATAAAAACCACGAAATGATTCACTGGGTTTTATTTCATTGAAAATAAAGAAGAGAGAGAAAATAATAGAGAAGGGCGCTAGAAGAGAGATACAAACAGCAATCAATTGATAGAAAAAAAGAGAAGAAGGAGAGAAAGATGAAGGAAAAATGGAATTTATTGGGAGATATTCTTAGAGGAAGCCTTGAGAAATCAGCAGAGAATTGCGCAAAGGATCGGTTTAATTGACCTTGCTTTAAAAATTATTGTATAAAATCTACCTAATAATAAGAAAATTAAAAATTTTGACCGAAAAAAGCTTCTTCTCTTTCCAACCTTGAAAAACCTCTCCACCGTCCGTTATGAAGTCAACAAATCAGGGCCCGTCTCAGAAGTAGCTTTTTATATTTACCTAAGGATTTTGACTTGAACTTGAAGATCTGAAAAGCTAAGCCACGAAATTCATAAATTGTCTCCCTTCAAACGACCCTTCAAAAGCTAATATCACTTTAAACAGACTCCCATCCGGAAATATTTACAGATGCTCTTGTTTCCTTGCGACCTTTTTCACTTTTTTATTTTACTACTGAATTTTTTCTTCAAAATTTTTTTTTTGAATTTTGCGATTTTTCTCTCTGGTTGAGTGTTTGTGCAGAATCGCCTCTTGTAAACTCTTAAATCAGAGCGAAAAAAGTTTGAAGCACTTTTTAAACTTTGCTCAAGTCTTGGTCGCTTTCGTGGAGAATTAAAAATTACTGAGCCGGGAAACAGACGCCAGATGGAAAGAGAGATTTTTCCAGAGCCACGGATTGGACCAGATCATTCATGCTTTTGAACTCGTCTTCAGGAAACGGTTTATTGTTTATATAATATAATTTGAGAATATTTAGTTATTGTGAACGGGCGATTCATCGCTTGACCTTTTTGAACAAAAACGAAAACCGTAAAAGTCGCACAAATTGCTCGTTAATCACCTCCTTGGCGCAAATTGAGTGCATCACTATTCTCAAGGTCAGTTTTTTTTCTTGTTGGATGATAAATTATTGACAATAATTTATTGGGAAAGAAGTGGTCCGGAAATCATTGGTGTTTAGTTAAGGGTTAAGGCTGAGTCAAACTTGCATTTAAAAAATAAGGTTGTCAATTTAATAACGGCAATTTAAAATGAAATAAAATCTCATAAATTGAAAATTCACGAAGATTTGTTTCTTCAATTTGTGTGGTGACACCCTTATTTATGACATCAAAAATTATAACTTATAATTTATAAGTCAGTTTTGACCACTTTTATTCAAGTTTTTTCAATAAAATTTCTACTTATATTCTTCCAAAATTAACCATTTCTAACGACTAAAAATTGTCTTACAATTAAAACTAAAAAAAAGCCGATTAATTCTAGCGCCCACTCATAATATGAGTTGATTCTCTTTTTCGAAAAGACTGATCACTTTGAAAAACCTCCACATCCGGTTTCTTTAATTCCCCGAAACAGTGAATCTGTTCTCAATTTATCCCACTCTATCTTTTAAAAATGAATTAGTCGAAAAAAGCAAGCTCTTCTGCAGCAGCGTAACAATGAAAAGCCACACTCTGAATAGTTTTTTCTCTTCCTTTCAAAAGGGCTTTGCAAAATCGCCCAAGCTCAAGCTCAAATCACGAAATTATTTGTTTAACTCAGAGATAGACTCTTCAGCTTTGCTTCAAGAGGTGATTGAAATTCAGAGAAAAAATGGTCGATTTTAAATTTCCCAGAGAACAAAATTTTAATAGCTATCAGCTGAGATAAATAACGGGACAAAGAAATGGTTTAATAATGAGATACCCTTATTTTATCGATTAGAAAAGAGGGTAAGATAGTTCCTTTCTTGTCCAATTGGTTAAAATTTTTAATTTTCCGATTTTCTTGTTATGATTTTTTATAAAAATGAAATTTTTCATACACAAAGGTGTTTATTGAAGCGCTAATTTAGCTTCAAATTCTGAAAATAAATTGTAAAACGCTCAATCAATATCTATTTTTTCGGTTGTTCTGAAAGATCTATCCCGAAGATTTTATCAGAGCAAAGAGCGGCTTACCAAAAATTTAAGCTTTTCTTTGATATTTTTCTTTTGCCAAAAAATAAGCCCCCCTGGCTGAAAAACAAAAAGAAAGACATTTTCGAAGGAGAGAAAAAATGCTGACTTTTGCTTCTAGTGCACAGTAAACTCGACTTATGGAATGGAGTACGTCACGCAGCAAGATGATGCTGCGGACCTTTTGTCGATCACTTTCGAGGAAGGGGATAATAGAGAAAGTCAATAGACTCGACTCTTGAACTTGGCACTTTTATCCTTACAAAAGTCGGAATCTTCGCAAGTCAAAAAGGCCCTTTTCGAAATGCTCGCCGCGATGACAGTTTACGAAAACTCGCAGGATCCGTCGCAAGGGCGAAGGCGCGTTCTAGAGACGCTAGAAAACGCGGCCGATCAGAATTTAAATCAGACGCCGATTGCTTTTCTTGGGAAGGAATTCGCGCACGCTGGAAGTGATGCTAGTGGACTCGCTTATGCCATTTCGACGGTGAAGTTGATCAACTGTCTTTTACTCAGGTAAAACCGTCGAAATTCCAGGATTTTATTTATTTTTCCAGCGCGGAGTTGCAAGAAAAACGCCAGCTCTTGGACGAATTGGACGGAATCAACTTCTCTTCAGAAGTGGACAAGTGCCGCGGCCTCGACAATGACGAGCTCTTGACCCAAATCGACCTCTTCGACAAAATGATCAACGAAATGGACGATGTTTTCATTGTCGACCCGGAGCTGGAAAAATTCCAAGAGCTTCTGGGGAAGATGTCGGCTGAAAAGAGAGAGGTCATTTTTGGCGTTCTTGGAAAACTAGCGCGAGTGGATGGCGATTCTCTTGAAAAATTGTCGAAGCAAATTGAAGAAAACGAATTTGATCGTCTTGTTTCTTCTCCGCCAGTTCCCCCGAAACGATCAGCCGCTCCCCCTCCATCTTCCCTTCCACCTCCTCCTCCTCCCCCAGCTGGGCCGGGCGCTCCACCCCCTCCCGCTCCTCAAGTCCTCGATGGACCCCCTCCTCCTCCAAGCGCCGGGGGGCCGCCACCTCCTCCTGGTCCCGGAGCGCCCCCACCGCCAGGACTCCCAGGAGGTCCATCCGCCTTTTTACCTCAGAAACCGCAACTGCCATTTTCGCCAAAAAGAAGTCCAAAAGTGAAGCTGACTCCCGTCCACTGGGATCCCGTCAAAAGAAACATTCCGCTCGAAAAATCAATCTGGAGCCAACTCGAGCCAGATACAGAAGAAACACTCCAGGATCTCTACGCGACTCTAGAATCCAAATTCACGGCGAAGCAAAGTCTCCCAGCGAGCAAATCGAACCTTCAGCCAAAGCCGAGCTTCAGGGCTAAAAGATCCCTCCTCGACCAGAAAAAATCGCTGAACATTGGCATTTTTCTCAAACAGTTCAAAATTCCCGCGGAGGAAATAATCTCTTCCCTGATCGAAACAAATGTGAAAATTTGGTCGTTCGAGAGGGCAAAATCCGCGTTGAAGCATTTCGAAGATGTTTCATCTGATGTCGAAATCGTCAAAAGCTTCGTGGAAGAAAACGGAACGGGAGAGCTCGGGACGGTAGAGAAATTTTATCACGTGCTTTCCGAGTATTTTCCGAATCCGAGTGTTTTTACGCTGCGGCTGGAATTGATGCTGCATCTTTTCAGGTAAGAAGAAGATTAACAATACTCTCAAACCATTTCTAGCGTTCATGAAATCTGCGTGACAGTAGCGAGCAACTACAGTAAAGTCATCATGGCGGTGGACACGTTTCTCCGCTCTGAAGCTTTCCGACAAGTCCTCAAAGTAAGCAATAAAAACGAAGAAAATAGATAGATTTATTTGTTCAGCTTGTGATGGAGAGCTGCAACTTTATAATGGCAGGAACTTATGGCGGAAACGCGGCCGCGTTTAAAATGAATACATTGCTGAAACTCCAGGAAACGAGGTCAACTCAAAGAGGGTAAGTTTAAATTAACTTTGACATAAAAATTGAGAATTGCGCAATACGGTAATGGTCAAAATCGTGAAATAAAATCATCGAATTTTTGATCTTCTTTTTAACGATTTTTGCCGGACGGTCTTCATTGATATCTGCCCACTAATAATTTTGCTCGTAAAATCGCCCCTCTCAAATCCATCAACACCGGATCTAAGCATTGTTTAGATACACTCTTCTGCATTTCATCGCCGAGCAAATGTCGGACGAGCACGTGGCCCAGTTGCGCAACGATTCGGTTCTTTACAGAGAAGCGGGAGCAGTCGACTTGGCTTTTTTCGACGCGCAGTTGGGTAAAATCGACAGAGAAAATAACCGACTCGATGGAAAGACGAAATCGTTTCCAGAGCTCCGAGCCCAGTTCGAAACCTTTTTTGCTTCTTCCAACGAAAAGATAGAAAAATTGCAGAAACAGAAGGAAAACGTCGAGAGCTTCAAAGATCGGCTGAAGGAGCAATTGCCCGATGAAGGGGAAAAACTTGACCTGTCTTCTCATTTTCGAATTCTGGGCGACTTCGAAGCTCAGCTGTCAAAAGCGAGGGGAGACAGGAGAAGCAAAAGCGTCCCCAACAAGGTTTTCTTTGATTACATAATGCTCATTTTTTATTTAATCGTTTCAGCGCGACCATATAACTCCGCGAAAGAGTCTCAACGACGAGCCGGTCTTTGACAATCTCTTGAAAGAAATCAACTCCGGAAAAGTGGAAAGTCTCTCCCGCGGACTCGATCCCAAAATGCTCCATGCAAAGAACTTTTCTACCTCCACCAACAGCGGGCAAAGATCAAGGATTCAAAGCCGCCGGACAGTTTCGACAGCCAGTTCTTCTGCTTCAGGTTTCCTCTTTTTCTAAAGTCTTAATTTATTCTTTTTAATAGAAAATGGCCCGCAACAAAGCCTAGCTCAAAAATCCGCCTTCGCCAATGAGTTGAAAAACGTCTTGAAAAAGAACAATCCTCAACTTTCAACAACTCCAGAATCGAAAGAAAAAACACCCAGCCCGGAGCCAGAAGTCCAAAAAACAGACGAAAAAATCGACGACAAAGAAAAACCTGACGATGAAAAATTACCTCAAGAAATTAGAAAATCCGAAGATCAAAAAATTGCAACTCGTAGAGCTCCAAAAGAAGCGTCAATTCAGCGAAACGGTTCGATACCAAAACGAAGGGAGTACAAAGAAATCGCCACTCAAACCTTCCAGCGAGAAGAAATCAAGGAACCTCTTCCAAGTGAAACTGAACCAAGGTAAAGAAAAAGCGCTAGAAAATGCGTAAAATCGGTGGCTTGCGGTGACTAGAATAATATTTTCCTTTGTAGCTATGGTTGTGTCCCTGCTTGGCGAGTTTTGTTTGGTAAAAATAAGAAGAAAAAGAAAACCAAAAAGAAATCAAAGTGATCGAAAAGGATAAAAAGAGTTCAAAATCGCAAAGTTCAAAAAAATAAATACTGTTCAAAAATTATGTAAATAAACCATTTTTCTTCAGGCTAATTAAAGTTCTTAATTATGTGATTGATTGAATCAACGACTCGCTTGTGTTAAGTGTCAGCGTAAATTGTTATGGTCGTCTTTGTTAGTTCCATCCAAAACATCCTGCTCAATATTTTACGCGCTGATCGAAAAGTCTATTTCGCTCCGATTTTTCTCATTTCTCGAAGAAAAAAGGCGGTGACGTAAAATTCGAGGACTTGAAAGACAGTCGGAACATGCGTTTTAAAAGTTTATTGAGCTTATTTGTTTTTGTGAATGGAGAGAATGTACAGTCGAAATACAGAGAATTCATGGAAATCGCTAGTCCTTCTTGTCGGGGGATCATTAGCACTTGCGAGAAACCGTTCATCGGAATGGACGTCCGAAAAGAATGCGCTGGAGTCGACTTTACTCAAACTTGCCGCCATGCTGGATGCGCTGCAGAGCTCTGCACCCTCTTCGAAGTCGGGATCGACAAGTGCCAGAAACTCTGCAAACTGGGCCCGCTCTCAGACGACTGCCAGAAATGCCCGTATTTGCCGATTTTCGAAGAGATTTTGGGAGAAAACGAAATGGAGGAACTCTCGGCCAGCGAAATTCTAGAAGGAATGGAGCTTGGAAGAGGGAAGAAGTTCGGGAGGGGAAGAGCATCATCGACGCGATCAATTCTCTTCCGTCGAAAAAGAAGAAAAAGGGCAAAAAGAACAAGAAGAAGTCGAAAAAGGCGAAGAAATCAAAGAAACAGTCGAAAAAGCCGCTTTTGTTCAAGTAAGTTTTTTCAATAAGAGTATGAGACAATAGAAGAGAGCGAAATCAATGATTTCAAATCATGTTTCCAGATCACAATTCTCTTTTTGAATTTATCGACGTAACACCCTTATTTACAGCACTGAAATGCAATCATTTAATCCCGAAGCAATCAAACCCGACAATGTTGGAAAGTGGCAGTTTTCCCTCCCAAGTTCAACAACTCCCCAAACAACAACAACCACAACCACAACAGCGACAACAACAACGAGCCCACCGTCAACAACAAAACCGACTCTCGAACCAACTCAGTCAACGTCAACTTCTTTCATGAACGAACGGCTTCCTGGAATTACAAACGCGATTCAAATTCAATCAACTAAATCTCCCAAGAATTGTATTTTCAGACAAACGAGATCAGATAAGAGTTTTTTGTGTAATTATATTTCCAAGAGGAAGATCGCTCGCTCCAGTAGCTCATCAAGCAGCAGGATATCAGCAAAATGATAAGCGCTTAATTTTAATTAATTGATATTTATCGAACGAAAATTGAACAAAGGGAGATCTGATTCCATTTTTTGGTTACCTATTGGAAGTAAAAAGATCTCTGAAAGAGGATGAAATTCCGAAATTTCTGTCTTCTCCATTTTTTCGTTTTTTGAACGTCTTATTTCGAGCTCTCTTCAGAACACGAAATGTATAATTTAAACTTGCGGTGTGCTGGTCGTATTACTTTTTTTAACCAGCTAAGTTCTTCATTATTAAAAAAAAAAGCTGCCGCAAAAAGGGCAGTCTGCTCCCTTTTATAACCAAATCGACCTTTTTGATAATATGCATTCTGATTTTAATAATTGATCAAGTTGAAAATTGAATGAAAATCCGACTTTAGCCAACTCCGATCCCCGTCATTTTTCCGATCGCCTCAAAATTGACGAATGGCTGGGTGCTCCCGACAAACACAAGGGCAAATAAAAAATGCCAGCCATTCGAAATCCACCCTGACGCCGAAGTCGATTGCGACAACGGCCTGCGAGCAATGTCAAAATGCCCGATCAAGTGCAAAGAGGGCTTTCAACTCGAACCTGGAACGCTGCCGCAGCCGCAGTGCATTTGCTCCTGCCGCAGATGCCCGTGCGTCTGGGCCAATCTTCCGCAAAAATACAGATGCGTTGAGATTTCAAGTACAACAACGTCGACAACGACGACTACGACGACATCTACAACGACGACAAAAGCGACGACAGTTGCGAAAATTGACGCTTCAGATTTGGGCTCGGAAACCTGACCAAAACCTGAGTCAGGATTTTGAAATGAGGCATAAAAGATTTATCAGACTCTTATACAGGTTTCCTACACAGGTTGCCAAGCCCATTGCAGATCCTCGTTTCGGCGATTGCGAAGCTAGAAACGACCTGAAAGACGGCTCAATTGAATGTTACCCCTATCGCGTTGGCTTCATTTCTGCCCGCTGCGTCCACCGATGCAACGAAGGAAAATGGCTCCACGGCTATCACAAGATCCAGTGTCGAAATGGCAAGTGGGAAGAATACAGCACGAGTCGATTCAGCGCGCCGAGCATCATCGACATGGACATTGACTTGACAAAGCCGATCTGCATCGACCACTGTCCTTGTCGAGAAGCTAATGCTTGTCAAGCCATGCCAGTTGAGCTCAACAAGAGTTTGTCGATGAAGATCGAATGCCCGATTGGGGGACGAATCAGAGTCCAAGGAGCCGTTTATGGAAGATGGGATGACCACTCTTGCACTGATGATATTTACATGGACAGAGGTAGGAATAAGCCGTAGTACGGATAAAAGTTTCGGCAAACGCGACCGAAATGAAAGTCACTTGGGAAGGCATTAATGTGATAAATATTTCGGCAGCCTGCCGAAATATTAATACAAATTTCACCCATTTTTTGGCAAAACATTTCGGCACAAGCCGAAACAAATATCAAAATTGACCGCCTTCAGAGCAAAAAGTTTCGGCAGGCTTTTTCACTCTCATCCTGATGCGCGCTGGTATGCACGTCCAATGAGTGTGCATGAGCAAAATCTAGAGTTCTTTTCTTCTTGCGATATTCAGAACTTCTGAATCAGAAGAGTTTTTCTAGCGTGCTTCAACTCTTGAATTCTGCGAAAAATTGAAGTGCGATTCAGCAGGATGCATTACCGCGCCTGTGATTATAGAAAACACGCAAAGCAAAAGTGTGACGCAGTTGACTCCCCAAGATATTATTTTCAATATCAAAAATTAAAATCTTAGTATTGGCTAAAATAAAGGTTAGCGTTAGGGATACACCTGCAAAATGACGGAATAAATTACCCGAGCGGGGATAGGCTCCAAATTGCTCCCCGATGTTTTTTAGGGTTACCGAAGCTAGTCTGTAAGACAATTTTTCGTTCTTAGACTTTTACGGCGATCACAAAAGCGACCGAAGTGTTTCTGATCGGCGGAAAATGAATGATCCAGGGAGCCATCAGAATGAAGAATTTTATGGCCAAGAGCATTACTGGAAATTTCGCGCTTAATGATTTCGAATAATATTAGTGCACTAAATCGAGTGCGCAAATTTATTTTGATAAGCAATTTTTGACTTTCCGACTCTTAATCTTTCTCGAACCAAGTCTCGAAAATATGTTCGGCAATGTTTTACAATTTGCCGAAATCTTTTTACTAGAAACGAACTAAAAGTGAAAAGTTTCGGCAGCTTGCCGAAATATTTTTGCAAAAAGAGTGAAAAATAAAGTGGATTCGGCTATTGCCGAAATATTTATCAGAAAATGACTTTACAATATTTCGGCAATCTGCCGAAACATTTATCCCTACTACCGAATAAGCTTGAGAAAACAAGGTAAAGAGAACTTTCAGAAATTATCGATAAGTCGAAACCGCAGTTGTTTGGAGGAAGATGCGAGATTGATGGCGCTCTGGACAATACTTTCAGAAAATGTATTGACTTGTTCTCGAAAACTGTATTTTCAGCATCAGGAAATGATGAAGAAACAGATCTTCGGTGAAAAAGTTGTCGATTCTCAAACCCTTTTTTATCATCTCAAAGATTTTCCTACAGATGTCTGCCCTCAAACCAGAAAAGTCGCCCGCGTCTGCTACGGCTGCTCCGACCAAGAAGCCTGCTGGTCTCAATGGTCTTCTTGGGGCGAGTGCTCTGCTGAATGCGGCTCTGGAATCAAAACACGGCAACGAGCGTGCGTAAAGTTTGGAGATGAAGACTGCGAAGGATCGAAGTTTGACACAGAACAATGCAACACGGAGCCCTGTGGTTGTCCTGAAAACACGCCTTGCAAATGTGTGACGCATTTGACTCCGGCTGGACAAAGCTTGTTGAAATATGATTGCTCAAATTTGGTAAGGACTTGAAAGAGGATGATCGATAACCTTAGCTGATGGTGAATGAATGTCAGGATATTCAGCGTTTTGCACAAGGGATAAAGTTGTCCATAAAACTCTTCCTTTCTCAAATCAACTCGTATTTTCTTCAAAGTAGCGCTTAAATTTTCGCTCCAAATTACTCCTTGATGTTTTTCTGATTCTTCCTTTGATATTGCTAGTCTGTAACTGACAATTTTTCGTTCTTGGGCTTTAACGGCGATCACAAAAGCGCCAAGAAGTGTTTCTGATCGGCGGAAAAGAAATGATCCAGGAGATCCATAAGAATGAAGAATTTTATGGCCAAGAGCCTAAAAAGCAAATTTTTACTAGAACTTTTTTATGAATTATTTACTCTAGAAATCATGTTAAAATATGACGGATGCCGCTAGATAGCTTCTTTGACAGCTGAAAATGAAGAGTTTTGGACCTCGATGAACTCTCTCAAATTTTCCAGCTGTCGCTTCAAATCATCATTTTCAGTTTCAAGATGATGGCTAATTGAGTCTTCTGAGAATAAACTTTCTGATTCGGCGCCCGAGAAATTTTCATAGTCAGAATCCTCCATCTCTTTCTTCTTTCCAAAAAGTCCTGGCCGTTTTGAAGGAGATAATGAATCAAACAAGTCATTGTTCAAATTTGCCTTTCAAAATTTCAAAATCTCTTCAGCGCCTGACGAACACAAACACCGTCTCCGCCTGGCCAGAAGCTGAGTACTTGGACCTTTCGAACAACTCTCTCTTCTCATCCCTCTACCTTCGCGCCTTTCTGCAGCAAATGCCGAACCTGAAAAGAATCGACCTCGATGGAAACTACTTGACCGAAGTCGTCGAGGACCTCTTCGCCTCCAACCCTGCTCTAGAATTTCTAAACTTTCTCAACAATCGAGTCACGAGCGTTCCCGAAAAGCTCTTTTCTGAAAACCCAGAGCTCGAAGTTGTTTGGTTTTCTGGAAACAAGCTGGCAGAGCTTCCGCAAAACCTGTTTCAGCAAAATCGAAATTTACTCTTTGTTGATTTCAGCCGAAATTTTATCAAAAAGATGCCAAGATATCTTTTTAGAAATAACTTCTTTCTTGACGAGGTAATTTGCAATGATCAAGGTTGATCTGGCAGCCTGTATAGAAAACCTGAGTCAGGGCTTCTCAGAAAAGACCTTTAAGACGCTGACTCAGGTTTTCCACACAGATTGCTAATAAAAAAAATCGAAATTCTCACCTCTTTTATCCCTTTTTAAGGTCCATTTTGAAGCCAATACAATGGAGCGCGTTTGCCGAGACCAATTCCGAACGAACCCGAATCTCCGAATCGTCTCCTTTGTTGGAAACGGAGAGCTGCCAGAACTCATCGAGCGAGCTTACTGCTCTGGTTTCAAATTTTGCTACAGCTATGGCGGAGGGCCGATTTCAGTTCTTCTCGCGCTGCTGAATGTTTATGGCGATGCCTGTTACCAAGGCTGAAAGAGTTGAAGTTGACCGACTGTAAATACCAATAAAGCAATGAAAGAATAAACGTCTTCCTTGACGAGTCTAATGAGCATTGATCAAATTCAAAAAGCGGCGGCTTATTGCATTATGATCGTCCAAATGGCGGCCATGTCGGTAGGGAAAGCACACGCATGCATAAATAAATAAGCGCGCTTCTAATCCCGAAAATAATCAAAACAGCAGCTCGCGTATTCAAAGTCATCATCGGGATTAGAACACAGCCACTTTCAAAACCAATAATGAACTCGCGCCCAAATGAGTTTGATAAACAGAGAATGCATCAGTGTACGGCTAAGTTTGGTCAAGAAAATCCTGAGGTAAGCAAAAATGTTGAGAAAGAGGTTTTTTGTTAAAAAAATAAAATATTCACAAGAATTTTTTTTTGAAGAACTGAGTTAAATAAAGTCTTCTTTTTCGAAATAATAATTTCAGTACTGGTTTATTTTTTGCTGCTTTACGACTGTTTGTCCCCTTATCTTTGCCATTCTCGCCTACATAACTGCAATTTACTCGGATGAACGCCCCGCTAGAAGTCTCGAGGACAACAAGTACAGACGATATGAATCTGTGACCTGCAAATTCCACAATAAATCATGCTACGAGCGAGAAGGATATCCATTTTATCAACGAACGTAAGTTTCTACCGATCAATTTTTATTCAACAAAATTAAGAATGACGAGGAAAACGAAAGAAACAGACAATGGGCGATCTTTGTTTATCCAACCAAACATCAACAGGTTCGAAATTTACGGCTTTTCCATTTTTCAGAAATGTTTTAGCAAAAAAGAAAATTGCTCAAAAAGCCAGTTCTCCGCTAGCCTACGATCTCGAGCCTCAGAGGGCGCTAGAACTCCGATTCAAGAATCTGCTGACCGAAGAAGCTACGTCATTTCATCCAAGGGCATTAACAATAGTTCTGATTCTAGCTCTTCAATTTCTGTTTGAAAAAGAGAAAGTGACTTTTTTATTGTTTTTCATTTTTGATTTCAGAAATTTTCAATTCTTCTTTTTCGAATTCACTCCCGCTGGAAGTTGTTTCTTCGGGAGAATCGATTGAGAGCACGGTCGCGCTGATGTCGATAGAAGAGGACATGTTCGAAGAGCTTCAAAAAATCAGCGAATTTTCTAGAGATTTCTGTACCTGGAGATAGTCATGTCAGAAATCGAAATAGAAGCAACTGTTGACAGCCCGGGCTCTTGAATATTGCTCATGGCTTCGTTTGTCATCGAGTCGACGTGCGCTGGGTCTAGAATTTGGATGGAGGGAGTTGAATGGTTAATGAATTAACCTGTTCGGACTTCAGCTGTAGAAGCAGTGGAGACATCAGGCTGCTCGGTTTCTGGAACGGTTAGGTTTGAAAACGTCTTCACCGTCTAAGAAATGATAAAAAAGATGATTTTGAAAGAGCTAATGACCTTTGTCGTTGTGATGATTTCCCTTTCCGTCTTGATTTTTTCCATCGTTGGTGAAATCGGCGTCACTTCTCGATGAGTCGTTTCCTCCCGCGTGATTTCTTCCTTGATGTCCTCTTTTATCACGCTCAAATCTTCACTGCCAGTCTTTTCTGAAATCAGAAAGTCGACTGATTTTCGTCTTTTTCGCTCTTCATCGACGCCGGATGATTTTTCGACGGGGACTTCGACTTTTGGTTCGAGAAAAATTGGTGTTTTTGGCTTCTCCGGTTCATTTTTTGATGGTATTGGTTCATCAACTGGTGAGGAATCGTTGACAATCGGCTCTGGAAGAGGGTGAAGGGAGTTTTGACGGACATAGGTTGGTTCGGATGGCTTTGCCTGAATCTTGGCGCTTTTTGGAACAGGAAGAAAATTGGCGAGGCTGGATGAGTCCGAGTTCAAGAGCGATTTCGACTCGGAAACTCGACCGCGTTTGAATTCAGGATCGGCGACATCGCATCCAGCGATTTCAGGAATGCCAGACCCGTCTTTCGTCGGGTAGAAAAGATACAGACTCAGGCAGAGAATCACCAAAAGCTCAGCGAGGACGATGGCAATGCATGCATAAGATGCATCTGAAACTCCGAACCAAACTCCTGCCATCGAATTTCTCTCCTTTTAGCGAAGCGCTCATATACTAAGTATCAAGCTCTTCGCCGATAATTCAAGAGCAATTATCAAAATTGCTCTTAATTCCCCCTTATGACTCATTAAAAGACCTTCGCCTAAAAAATCAAGCCATTTTTATTGTAAAAAGACTTGAAAACAGCAATAAATTTCGCCATCAAACTCAAAAATAGACATGTGGCCTGATTCTTCTTTGTTTCGATTCACAAAGGGGCAAAGCAAAGGAACCTCCCACCTTCAAATTTCAGAAAAGCTTTCAAAAGAGTCTGCCCTTAGGTGCCTTTTATTCCTTCAAGAGCTAAGAAACAGCCGCAGAATCAGAAAAAAAAGATGAATTCTGAGATTTACAAGCCATCTGAAACGGCCATAATCGTGGTCGACATTCAAACTCCTTTTTATTCCGGCTTTCCTGGAATTCCCGAAACAAATCCAAGCTTTCCAAATTCAATAAGAAGCTTTCTATCCGCTGCTAGAGAAAAAGGGTTCAGAATTTGCCACGTGAATCAAGAATCATTGTCCGGAAAAGACAAGTGGCTTGAAACTTGGTATCGAAAGAACGGCAGGGATTGGGTAAGCCAATTCTCTTTCTAGCTTCTTTCAGCTGAATTCTAGAGCTGCGAAATTTTATCAGGAAATGTGGAAGATTTTGCCGCGCCAGTTCCAGGAGAGCCGCTTTTTGTGAAACATGCTTTTGATGGATTTACTTGCCCTCAGCTCACGGCATATCTAGGTCTGTTCCCTTATTGCCTCGAGGAAAAATCACTAATCAAAATTTTCCAGAGCGCCATGAAATCAAATCAGTAATCGTTGTTGGTCTTCTCGCCACCATTTGCGTCCAATATACCGCCATTTCTGGTGAGATACCCTTAAGTTTTCAAATCGTTGATTCATAGCCTACATGAGAGGATACCCAACGGCGATAATCGAAGAGTGTGTTGGCGATATCAACGAAGAAAGATACGATGGCTTCAAAAAGATCACTTCCAACCTGTTTGATTTTGTCAAACTTGACGAGTTTCTCTCCGCTTAGAAGTTCCTTTTTGCTCGATTTTCCAAAGCTTGCAAATTCATAATTCTGACAACCATCAAACAAGATCATAATAAAACAAACTTCAAAAAGACACGTCCCACCTAAAAACACCCAAATTAATGATGTACCGCCTCTTCTTTTTCAACGACTCCCGAATTCTGACTCTTTCAAACAAAATCTAAAAATGAACTCCGAGATTTACAAACCGGGAGAAACAGCCATCGTCGTGGTCGACGTTCAAGCTCCCTTTTACTCCGGATTCCCGGGCATTCCCGAGAGCTTTCCAGATTTTCCAGATTCAATTAGGAGGTTTCTGTCTGCTGCTAGAGAAAAGGGCTTCAGAATTTGCCACCTGAATCAAGAGTCGCTTTCAGGAAAAGACAAGTGGCTTGACAATTGGTATCGAAAAAATGGCAACGATTGGGTTAGTTTCGATTCATTCTATCGGTTTTTTTTTATAAAATTCTAGAGCTGCGATATTGTTGCAGGAAACATTGAAGAATTCGCCGCACCGGCCGCTGGAGAGCCGATTTTTGTCAAGCATGATTTTGACGGGTTCAGTTGCCCTCAGTTTCCCGCATATTTAGGTCCGTTTCCTTGAGGAAAGAACACTTATGTGAATTTCTAGAGCGACATGGCATCAAATCACTCATCATTGTCGGACTTTTGGCCACGATTTGCGTTCATTACACGGCCATTTCAGGCAAGCTATCCTTTTCTCTGAGATCCATTGAATTCTTTAGCGTACATGAGAGGATTTCCGACGGCAATTATCGACGAATGTGTTGCTGACCGAAGCAAAGAGAAATTCGAAGCCCTGAAAACTCTGACCGGCCATCTCTTTGATTTTGTCAAACTTGACGAGTTTCTCTCTGTCCAAACATAAAAACCCAAAAGTAAAGAAGCTGTTAGAAGGTCATTCTTCCATGTTCCAATGTTGATTTTGACTTGACCGCTGCCACGCGTCCTGTCAAAATATTCCGTTCAATGTCACCGATAAAGTCGTGCTGCTTTTAGAAGATTTCAGTCGTCTCAGTGGGGAAATAAACATAAGAGATAGGGCGGCTAGGTTCAAAATCTCTTTCGATTCAAAAAAAATAGTGGCCTGCGTAAAAATTGGAAACAAAGGCAAGAACAACTGATTTTTCATCAAATTTTCAGCAAGAAAAAACAAACGAATTTAAAAATGAAAAAATACAATTTTTCGTTACTTTTGTATTTGCAGTCGTTCAAAATCATTCACTTGAAAAATTCTTGTCTGAATTTTTTTGTTGAGGGATCACGACAGAATTTTTCATACGTTAAATTTTCTCGTGAAAATGTTTTTGATGCTGGATGATTTTCCGTGGTGGTGGCGCTAAGCGTGCGCCTGAACTTTGCACTGCTCTTGCGCACCATACTTGTGTTTAAATTCAAATGCTCACAGTAAATCGTCATTGAGTCGCTTTGAAAACAAAAATGAGAATTGTTCTTTTTCTTCTCAGTTTTTCCATCGCCTCGCATTTCCGAGCTGCTAGTCTCCAGGTAGAATCAAATTTAAAGAGATCATATTCAACGGTTGTTGTAAGTATCGAAAATCAAGCGATCCCGGAAGAATGGAAGTCACTCGATACATGGGCTGGAGACGAGGATCGGCGGGCTACAGGGAAGAATGGATCGACGGATGCACGCAAGCTCATATTGATAATCAAACTGTTTCTGACATGGGCATTGAATACATGTTCATGTACAATATCGGAAACGGTACACGTAACTTGCAAAAAGTTCCTGCTTTGTACATTGTGACGAACATTGAAGACTCTCCACTCGTCGACGAGGGTTAGGTTATTGTCTTGAATTTTTTCTCACTGTAATTTTTAGACTCTCATTTTTGCTTCGGAAGTTATACTTTCGAGATTGATGTCAGCAACATTGGTTACTTCAGCCATATGTTTAGCGGTTGTTGCACTATTGAGCTGTCAAACGACACCGAAAGTATAAGCACTGGCAATTATGCATACACAGCGAAAGTCCTTGATGTCAACAACAGCTCGCCTCAGTTCATCTCTCCACCAATCTGGTACATTCTTGATGGCTGCGAGGGACAAGCCTATCACGTAAACCCAGTGGATTCTGAAGGAGATACTATCAGATGTCGATGGTCGACATCGTCAGAATCTCGCCATATGGCTTGGAACAGCGGTTTTCAGCAGTTTGTTCTCGACGAAGAATACTGCATTGTGACCTATCGACCTGAATTTGATTTGCTTGGAGAAGGATCAAAACCTGTCGCTATTCAAGTTGAAGATTTCGACGCGAATGGAACGCTTCTGTAAGTTTTTAAATGATCTTGCTCTTCTCAAAATTAATTCTCAGGCACTCCGTTCCGTTGGCTTTCGTTTGCGTTGTTTTTACACCAGAATTCAATTCATCTAGAATTTCCTCCAAAATAATCGACTTTACGCCGGCTTGCTTGAAGAAACAGACAATAACGACGATTATTTTGATGATGGTCCCAGGCGACTTTTACCAGATCAATTCAGTCCGGCAGTTCGACACGTCCGATCTACAGGAGAGCCAAATCACTGCCTTGGTAGACCTTCGTTCAGTGGTAACTCCCCTGCTCAGGGAGAAGAGCGAGTGTGGGTTTGGACTTCCGGTCTGAACATAACGATTGAATGGAAGGCCTCGTACACTCTTGGCAATGATACCTTCACCGATATTTCTCGCAATCAGTTCAGTTCTCCTCATGGAATGACCTGCACGGCTTTCGACAGCGATGGCGAAGCAACTTGCTCGTGGACGCCAACAGCTGATCAAGCAAGACAAGGAGAGCATCCGCATTGCGCCGTTGTCTACGATCCATACGGTCGAGCTTCCGAACGAAGATGTACTACTCTCCGAGTCTACCCACCATGTGATGTTGGAACCGAAAGAGTTGGCTCCGCCTGCCTCGCAGTCTGCAACAGCGGCTATCAACGTGACGATAACGGTGACTGTATAAAAGTAGCGATTGCTCTTCAAACCCATGCAGTGCGTTTGAAGACTGCATAAATACTTTTAGCGGCTACATTTGTCTCTGTGTCATCGGCTACTCTGCAAACAATAACGGAACATGCCTTGATGATGATGAGTGTGCTGCTGGCACTCATAATTGTGCTTTCAGAACTGAAACATGCAAGAACACTGACGGCTCTTTTGCTTGTCTCTGCTCTAATGGATACGAGCGAAACGGGAGTGGAGACTGTGTCAACATCGATGAGTGCACCCGAGAAACAGATACATGCAACGATGTGACAGAAGTTTGCAGCGATACTCAAGGATCTTTCACGTGCAGCTGTGCATCTGGGTACGCTGCAGACAGCACCGGAGTATGTGTTGATGTCGACGAATGCGCCGCAGGAAATCATAACTGTGTTTTCACTGTGGAGATTTGCAGTAACAACATAGGATCATTCACGTGTTTGTGCACAAGTGGATATGAACGGATCGAATCCGGAGTCTGCATTGACATCGACGAGTGTGGCCGAGGTACTGACACGTGCGCTCCTACCATTGAAAACTGTGTTAACACTTTCGGATCTTTCCATTGCCCTTGCTCTTCTGGATATGAACGCGATGCAGATGGAGACTGCGTCAACATTGATGAGTGTTCCAAAGGAACTGATACCTGTAATGATTTCACTGAGGATTGCGAGGACGTCCCGGGGTCATTTACATGCGCCTGTGCTTCTGGGTACTCCGCCGATGCAACAGGAACTTGCGTTGATGACGATGAATGCGCTGCTGGAACTCATACTTGCACTGCTACCACCGAAACCTGCGTCAACACTCTCGGATCGTTCGATTGCCCTTGCTCTTCTGGATATGAGCGTGACGATGATGGACTTTGCAAGAAGCGTCTCTTACTTTGTCTCCACAATCAAGAACGTTCCGAAAAGGCGATGTTACCGTTATTTTACCGCTATTTACTTTGTAAAAAGTTCACTTGGCGCAAAAAGAAATAATGAGGCGAAGACTTGATCGGCTCTTACGAATGCGTCTTCTTTCAAATGTCTTTCAATAAAATAATAAGGCATTTTATTGCTTAAAAGCATTGTCCCAACTTTCACAACCAAGTTTATTGTTCCCCTGTTTGCGTTACTGTAATGGTGAACTTTGCATTTTTGTACAAGCGTAACCAAGGTGAGCTATCCACTGTGAATAAAAAGTGATTACTGAAGTGCCATTCCCTGTCAACAGTCTCGCCAAAATCCAAAAAGCACCAAGCAAAACATTTCTTTTTCCTCATTTTCGATTTTAACGCTGATATTTTGGGATTTGAGAAATGTCAATAAAACATGTAGCATTTGGCAGAGGCGGCGATAAGAGAACGTTTCCGTCGTTTGTACAGCCCGATAGAGTTGGTAACGAGAATTTGCTGCCTGTGCTCTATCAGGATCCAAAGATGGGACCAGGTGTTTTCCTCAAAAAGAAAGCTCTTATGAGTAAAAATACTCTTTAGGAAAATACGATATTGATAGACAAACGACATTCGTCTCTAATTTCAGCCCAAATATCCTCAGGTACTCCCTTACTTCTCAATTCTAGTGCAAGACCCTTGTTCAGCCCAAAAGGATACATCATCGGAGGACGAAAAAGCAAGCGCTTTGAGGATCAAGTCGAATCTGGTGTCCCACCAAATTTCTATTTTCGAAGAATTCACGATGAAAAAGTTTCCCGCGATTCTTTCCTCCCTTTCAATTCTCAAAAGGGACCGAGGTTTCAGAAAGAAAAGACAGTTCTTGGGCCAACGATCGGGAGCTACAATGTAACGGAGGACTTTGGCAGGCAGGTCAAGCATTGGAGAAGAGCACCAGGAAAGTTCTAGAATCTAGTATGATATTTCGCACACCATTAAGGTAAAGTCTTTTGATCTGTAAAAGCATTTCAGATAGGCTTTTTGATGAGTTTGATATCTAATGTCCAAGAGGTTTTTCGCGCCACGAACATGTTAATTTAAATTTATGAACCCATTGAAGCGAGTATGAAAGAAAAACGAAGAGTTCCTCTGAATCCGACCCGATCTATTCTGATCGAGGAGAAAGAGCACAAACGATACTGCAGACGACTGGACTACCTTTCACTTTATTTTTGAGACCCTTTTCTATGCAGAAATATATCTTCAAATTTCATTACTTTGAGCAGCATAATATTTATTATTAAATAGTTATTTACAGATCAAAATATACAGAAAACCGTCTCAAGATCTGGACGGCATTGAAAAGGGAATCGTGATCGCTCTTTTGCTAGCCTTGATGAGAATATGGCTTTTGTCAGTGAATGCGACGCCCGGAGCAGAACTTGGCAGCTCTTTGACTCGGAGAGGGATTTCGAGAGGCATGAGTCCGCGATTGACGCAAACTTGGACGCCCTTCATTTGGACCAGGCCGCCAGAGCTGATGTCGACTTTTTCGGATTCGGAGCAAACGAGTTCTCGAGCATCGTCGTCGTCTTGAACGGAGACTAAAAAAGATCGTTGAAATCAAGGGAGAAAACAACATTTTCTAATAAACAAAAATTTCTGAAAAAGGAACTCACTTTTGAGTGTGATTTTCTTCGAATTCTGAATCAACTTCACAAAAAGTCTCAGCGGCATTTGATGAAATCTTTCGACATGAACCACCTTTTCCTCCGGCTTCGAAGCTCTCCAGACGCAGAAAGCACTTTTTTTTCCATTTTCCAAAATGACCTCTTTTTCCGATTCTTCAAACTTGTTCGGGTCGGCGGTGCTTTTGCCGATCTTGAATCCTGGAGGGAGAGAAAGCTGGACTTTTGAAGCTTCGGTTGATGATTGGTCGAGGAGGCGAAGGAAGAAAACGGAAGAATGAGGAGCGCAAGCGTCGGAATGAGACGCGGTAGAAGAAGGAGCGGAGTAAGGATTGGAGGCGATCGAGGAGTCCTCTATGATTTCACTGTCCAGTCTTCGCTCGATATCATCAACTGGCGGTTCCATCTCGCAAACGACATCAACCGGCCCGGTTTTGGAAACAACCGAGATTCCAGAAAAGAGCTCGATCGGCTTCTCCGTCACGCTGTGAATACTCCTCGTCGCACAGAAAAGAACAACGAATGTTCCGAGAACATCAGTTTCCACCCACAAGCGATTTTCGGAAGGCAGTTTTTCTTGGTCGAGAATTTCGAGCTCTTCCCAGCCGCGATGAGATTTTCGGAAAACGCGAAGTTCAGTGCCGGGCATGTCTTTTGCAGCGCGAAGGAGGAGTTTTGCTGGCTTGAGAAGGCTTCCTGGCGATCCTGAAGAGAAAATAAGGGATGAAATTTGAGGAAGTTTTTTACCTGGAATGTCAATTTCAATCGGCTTTGATCCAAGCTGACTTGACGCTGGAAGATTCAAATTGTCATTTCGAATCAAGCTTTGCAATTTTTCTTCGCTTGCATCAAGGATTTTTGCGTACAATCTCCTTTCGCATCTCAGCGTGCCTGCTTCAAATTCAAGCACCGCGCAGCCGTGAAGATGTAGTCTCGCTTCTCGGACTCCGACGCCAGAGCATTGGACTGAAGAAGGTTGACCCGTGTTCGCCGGGAGCTTGGCAGGTAGACAGGTTCGTCCAGAGACCTTGGGCTGGTTCTTCGAATTTCCGGGTCGTTTTCGGATTGATCGGACGATTCCAGAGACGGTGGTGGCTTTGACCGAGCCGTAGATGCTGGTGGAAGTGGTAGAGATGCCGCCAAGAGTGCCTTTTGACCCGGATCTGTTGATGTTTTGTCCGAGTCGCTGAGAAAGATCTTCGGAAAGCCGCCCATCGCTCGATGTAAAAGAATCGCCCGTGGAGCCGGTTGATCCAAGGGCGAGGGACGCTTGGCCAGATTGATCGGTCATGAGCCGCTTTGTTGGAATGGCAGGCGCTTGAGAGGCCCCTGATCGAGTGGAAACTGGGCTCATGGCTTCGCGGAGGAGCTTTTCGCATTCTCCTTTGCCCTTTGATTTTTGAAGAATCGACTTTCCTTTTGCATTTTTCGAGTTTGGGCAAGCCCCGTTTTTCAACAAAATCGCCACTGCGTTTGTGTTTCCAACTTCGACGGCGACAAAGAGTGGCGTCTTGCCCTTCTTGTCCTTGATGCTCACTGATGCCTTGTGCTTCAAGAGACATTTGGTGACATCGCCGATGACATCGTAAAACGCAGCGCTGTGGAGAGCAGTGATGCCGGCAGAGCACTGGGCGTTGACGTCGACTTTGCTGGAAGCGGAGCTCTTTGAGGCGAGGAGGAGGAGCTCAACTGTTTGAGGCGATAAGGAGTAGACTGCGGCGCGGAGAGCATTCCAGCCTTGCTTGTCAGTTGGCTGCAGACTTGCTCCACCGCGGAGGAGAGTCGTGACGAGTGAGGCGTCCCCGCGTTCTGATGCGAGCCACAAGGCTGTTCGCTTCTTTTCATTGGTCAGGTTGACGCCCTAGAAGATAATGAGAAAAATGTTTCAGAAGGAAAAGGGTACCTTAGAAGCACCACCAGTTTTCAACAGCAAATTGACGCAGTTAATCTGCCCCCTTTCCGTCGCCAAATGCAGCGGCGTATTCTGCCTCGCGTCCTTTGCAAAAGCCAGGTCAGGAACAACTTGAAGAACCTCTTGCAAAACTTGTTCATCCCCAACTGTTGCGGCGATGTGAGCAATCGTTTGACCATCTTTGTCCGTCGCTCGCGCTTTTGAGCCATTTTTGAGGAGGAGTGCGGCAAGGGAGGGATCGTGGTGGGCTCGGGCGGCAGCGGTCATCAGGGGAGTGCGGCCGGTTTTGTCGGTTTTGTTGATGGCTTGGGCGGATTTGGGGGAAGCGAGGAGGAGTTCGAGGATCTTGGTGGCGCCCATTCTCGCTGCGACCCTGGAATCAATGATGAGAGCGTGTTCTTTCAAGATTTTGAAGAAAAGAGCAGCTTTTTATTCAAACTTACCAAATCGGAGTTCTTCCCAAAATATCGCATTTGCTGGGATCAGCCCCAGCTTCAACCAAAATCTCCGTAATCTGGGGCAAATAGGAGCCAGCAGCTATGTGCAGCGGCGTAAAACCATCCCTCGGTCGATGGAGATTCACATTGACGCCGAATTTAATCAACGACTGGAGAAACTCGGCGTGATTGGATTCGACGGCGGTGAAGAGCGCTTTTCTTTGCGTTTTTTCGGAGAGTTTTTCGCCGGATTTGATTGATTTCTCGAGTTTGGAGATGTCCACGCCTAAATTAAAATTGTTAACAAAAGAAAAATGATTATCAAAGATTAAGGGCTGGTTTTCCTGATTAAATACCTGTGTAGAAACCTGAGTCAGGGTCCTGACCGAAATAAAATAAAAAGCCGCGGTGCGGCTTTTCAAAAACGAAGCCGCAAGGCAGCTTTCTATCACAAAGCACTTTTAGAACCCTGACTCAGGTTTCTACACAGGCTTCAGCTCAGGAAATTTCAATGAAAAAGATTCTTGAAAGATTTTTGCGGAAAAAGCAAAAAAACGATGATTGAAAAATTGATCTTAACGGATTTATTAGATCAACTCTACCACAAATCAGTCAATAGAACGCGCCCAGTATTAATTTTTATCGCCAGCGCAAATATTTGGCGACGGAAGAGATGCTGCCAGCCGCCTGTTTCCGACCTCCGCTTTTTTTATTCTAGAATTTTTCGAAAGACATTTTTTCTTAATAAGAGGCTCACAAAATCCATTTTTGGCCGTAAGCACCTTAATTAAATTTGGATTTATTGAAGCTCCTTAACACCTCGAACGATTTTGAACAAGAAAAAGGAACGGGCTTAAAGTTCCGGCAAAAGAAAAAATGAGTAGGAAAAATAGTGGATGTGTCTGTTTTTATTGACTTCCTTTGTTACTGGCGGCGCTTCCGGATGAAATAAATTTCAAATGCCAAGCGACTTCCTCGTGTAACCTCGCTTTTACGAGCTCAGCTGCGGCAAAAACCAGGATTTTTAGTGGAGCATAATTGTAATCAAAAAAGCATCTTGGGTTCCAATAAAACTTCTTTCGCCAAAAAATTATTTTTCTTCAAGCGAAAATTTCGCGATAAAGGATCTGTCTTTTGGGCGGCTGATCTGTCTAAGCTGTCGTGTGACAATTTGCTGGGGTCGGTGGGTTGGCGGATCCTCCCTTTTGAAGAAATGATTTCATGGGTCATTTGTTTGGCCGGAGAAAATAGTAGTTTCGGCGCTTTGAAAAGTGATATGGGCAACAAAGTGATATAGGGGGCAAATAAAGGAAGCTCCGAACAAATTCGACAGGTTCTGTGTGGGAAAAACAGGGCCTGAGTCAGGTCTTATGTCTAAGCCTTAGCTTGGGCTCAGAAGCCTGTGTAAAAAACCTGAGTCAGGGTCCTCAATGATCTTTAACAAAAAGCCTTTAGAAATAATGAACGACCCTGACTCAGGTTTTATACACAGGTTTCTGAGCAAATTTTGTATGATTTTCGAGAAGTTCAAATTCCTTTTCGATGAATTCTTGAAGGAAAAGTTCATCGACTCAGAAGGGTGGTATAAATTCGGGTTTATATTGCTCGGAAGTAATGTGGCATTATCCATAATGCTGAGGGGCGGAAACACTCCGGAATACGGCGCGGAAGAATCGCAGGCAGCTCCTGATCACATCGGAGACAGCGAGCTTCCGCGATGAGCCGCAATCAAAATCTCAGCTTTATTTTAGCGCCTTTTTGCTTCGAGAACTTTAACCTCACTTCCGACTTTTATTTTATTGTATTACCATCGGGTGGGATAAGTTTGGAAAGTAATATTGGTCTTCTGACTCAGGGCGCGACTCAGAAACCTGTGTAAAAACTGAGTCAGGGTCCAAGAGAGCAAAAATGAAAAGCCGGGTAGCGGCTAATTTTGAAAAGAAGCCGCAAAGCGGCTTTGCCAAAATTTTCATTTTTGCCCTCTCAGACCCTGACTCAGGTTTTTTACACAGGCTGCCGAGCCGAAATTTGATCTAGACATATTTGAAAAGTACTCTTATCAGAAAACGAAATTCAACTGATTTGAAATTTTGCCAAATCTCCGCCAAACGACCATATCAACTGGCGATTGCGGGCAATCAGAAGGAAGAAGAGATAAGCAGTAAATATTCATCTCCGACATTATCGACAAACCACCGGGGCCGGCGAGGGGATGGCGCGCATCCTTGATAAGGGAATACTCCGAAAAGGAATTTCGAAGCAACTTGAACTCTGATCGAAAAAAAGCGCTGTCTACCCGAGGAAATGACAACTTCCCCTCGCGGATGTGTGTCGCAAAAGGCGCCGAGTTTTTGTGTTTCCGCGTTGCCTACTCACTCATCCGTCCTCCGGCAAGTGTCTTTCCGGCTCCATCTCTCTCTCACTCGACTCTTTCCCCAGTCAGCCAGGATCACACTTCCCGCTCGTCTTGGCTCAAGAGGAGCTGGGAGACTTCCTAGGAGGATCTCCTGCCAAAGGAATTCTCAGCAAAAGCAAAATCAAATTCTCAAAGATATTCCAGAGAAAGCCGCATAACGGCTTTTAGAAATTGAGCCGCAAAGCTTCATCCTCAAAAAAACATTAGAATAAGCTCGGAAACATGTGTAGAAAACCTGAGTCAGGTTCTGAAGAACTTAAATGAAAAGCAGCTTCGTTTAAAAAAAAGCCGCTGCGCGGCTTTTCATTTAAGCCCTCAGAACCTGACTCAGGTTTTCTAGACAGGTTGCCTTCCCTTAGTTCTTAGTTTTGCTTCTTCTTTTTGGAAGTTTTTTTGTGTATTTTTCGATAAGATAAAGAAAAAGAGGGAGCGCGTTTTTTATCAATCTGCGGCTGAGAATTTGGCGCATATCGGTCGAGTGCCCTTCTGTTTTTTCTGGCCTTCTTTCCTTTTCTCGCTTGGCTAGACACAGTATTGCCACTTATCAAAAAACACGTGCAGCGACATTATCAATTTATAACGCTGCTTTAGTGCTCAGGGAGGCGTACTTCCGCTTTTGTCCCGAAAAGGAGGAAAAATGAGCTAATCCCCTTGCTAATTCCAACATTCGGAAATCGAGAGTCATGAAGTTTCGTTTTTATATTTTTCGATTTTCTGATTATGCCGTTTTGTCGCCGTAAAACGGGATAATAACAAAATGGCTTTCCAACAATAAAAATTTATCGCGCTTTTTCGGCAATTTTAACGAGGCGTTTCCTGTTCCGGAAATGACAAAATCAAAAACTTGCGGCTTTTTTCTTTTATCTTTTTTTTTCCAAAACAAAAGTCAAAAAAATATCCAAAAAGAAATAAAAAAAAAAGTTTAGTTGAAGAATCGTACTTTGATTCCATCAATAGCGATTTTGACCTGAGGTCAGGAAGAGAGGATTTTCGATAGATTTCGATAGATTTTCGGTTTCCTGTGAGGCGGAAGTTGTGCGGCCTGGGACCGGGAGAACAGGGCGATACGCGGGCGATAGCGCGGCCCGCTTCCCATAAAAATATTCGATTTTTGGAACTCGCTATTTTTGGACACGAAGAAACACGCATCTGCAGTAAAAAAGGGATGCGAGACGAAATTTTAGTACAAAGCTGATTCTCTTCAGTTCGGAGAGCCGCGGATTTCCCTCGGGAAACCTCGATTTCCTTCTTTCTAAAGCACTTATCCTACATCCTTCTCCGCTTTACACCATAATCTTCAGTGCGGCAATCTGTTCTTCGAATGGCAAAGCGGCTTTTATAAAATCGAAGCCGCAAAAGTCATATTTTTTAAATCAATGAAGATTCAAGCGAAGCTGCTTTGCGGCTTTTTATTTTTTATATTCAAAATCCTGACTCAGGTTTTCGACTCAGGTTGTCTGGCCCTCAATTGGAATTTTCCTATTTCCTAGCCTCAGGCGCGTTCCGGTGCGTTTTGGAGCTGAAGTATTTGTCCACCGCTCCTTTATCAAATGATAGACGCTTTATGAAATAAGCGGGCCGACCTCGAGAATCAGAATTTTGGAAGAAAAATAATATCGACCGGAATCATTGAGAAATGCCCCGGATGGTCGTTGACAGAATCACATCCGGGCCACAGTTCAGCGCGAAATTCAACGAGCAAATATTCACGCAAATATTTTTCCGAAGAATGAAGGAAATTCTTTGTTTCAAAAAGCCCTTCAAAAGAAGCCGCCCGCGGCTTTTCTTTTCAAAAAACAAGCTTGAATTTGAAACAAAATTGAAATAGCCGCGCGAAATAATGCAAGAAAACAGCATCAAATGAGCTCAGATTTGAGCGGAAATATCTGCTCGCGCGGCTGTGGGCCCAGCCAGTTGGCTTGTCATTACTCAACGCAATGCCACTTCCGTTTCATTTCAAAATTTGTTCCGGCGAGAATGCCAGCCTGGCGCTGCCAAAGCTCGCTTTATTCCGACGGAAAAGACATGCTTTCCCAAAAGAGGATTAATTCGTGCATTTTTCTTCTGATTTTCTTAATTTTTGCAAAACTGCTTTTTAGATAAGAGCCGCGCGCGGCTTCTTGATTTGATCTGTGAGAATGTAGCACTCAAATTTGAAAGCCGCATGCGGCTTTTTCCATCCAAAACAGCTGCTCAAAAGAATGCTTTAAAAATTTTATTTTTCAACAAAAAAGCCGCATGCGGCTCATTCTTGCTTATTATTTCCAAAAGCGAGTTAAATCGAGTTCAGTTTGTTGATGTCGTGGCCTGGCAATTTAAATGCGGAAGCCGGTCAGAGAGGCGCAAAATCGGCTCATTTCCGTCGCCGGAACTCCGCGGCTTCCGCTTTATAGCACGGCCGAGGCCGCTTTCAGCCAAAAGATATTTTCTTTTAGCAGTAATGATCCTATTTAGCTTCTTCAGAGGGCTCTAATGGGGCCTCTTTCACCTGACTCAGGTTTTTAACACAGGCTTTCGGCCGCCAGACCACCCCAAAATCTCCGAGTCACTGGCTTAGTAGTCCGAAATTTTGAGGCCAATTTCCGGTTGGCTTATTTCCGAGAGAGTTTGATAAATATTTGATAAGGCAGCTGAGCAAAAACAAAAATAAGAAGCTACAAAAACGAACCATCTTCTTTGTAGAAATAATGATGTCTTCCCAGGGAAGAAAATATTTTATGGCTTTTGACAAAAGCATAAATTATGGCTTTATACATTGTTACATGATAATTGCTAAAAAAAAGAGGAAAATCTATGGCTTCTTTTTCGATTTAAAAAAGCTTTTATTAGAAATAGAAACTGACAAATCAAAGTTCTCAAAAAATAGCTTGCCCAATCAAAAACCCGAATTTTCAACAAAAAATATTTTAAAAATTACCTTGAATTGGATTTTCTTGAAGTCCAAAATGTCTTTGATTCGAATTTCCCATTTTTTCTTTCAAATCTTCATTTTTCTTCTGAAAAATCTCTTTTTTGAAAAGCCCTTTTTTATGAAAAATATTGTCGCTCAGTTGATTTCTTTTTCTCGTCGCGTTTTTTTTGGAGAAAAGCGCGTTTCAATACGCGGTCCGTAGCGCGTTGCGCCGCTCTAGCGCGCCATCGAGCCCACTCGCCATTTTTCAGTCCCCAGCTGCTCGAGAAAATTGACTGTAACTTGATTGATGATGGAGTTGAGGGAACTTTGGCGAGATACGAGGTAGGGAAGGGGTTAGGATGAGGTACTGCCTTGATGAATTTCAGTTGAACTGATGTTTTAATGACCTAAAATTATGAAAAAAGCCCCGATAAGTGCGGCTCTGATATCAATTTCTCAAAGCCGCCAAATAAATTTGAAATCTTTAAAAGCTGTTTCAGGACCCTGACTCAGGTTACAACACAGGATGTCGAGCCAAAGCCCTTCTCCACTCAAAAATGCCGAAAAAAGCAGGAAAAGATTTGAAAGAAAGATCGCACCTCCGCTGTTTCCACCTGGGCCTCCTTGTAAAACCCAGTTTCTTTGAAGCGGCCGCGGAAATTTCGCGAACAAGGCGCGAAAATGCCTTTTTTGATGCAGATCTTTGAATCTTCTTCGCAATCTCCGACGCTTCTGACGCTCCTTGGTTTCATCTTTTTGAAGATTTATTCAGTTTTAGGACCCTGACTCAGGTTTTTACACAGGTTTTCCAACTCAGCATCATTTTATCGTCATTTCTCTTTTCGACTTATTTTCAATAAAAATGATGAATCTCAATCAGTTCACAAAAATTAACGGTCTTCCCCTTCTTCCTTTTCAAAAAATGAGGAAGTCGTCAATTCAAAGCAAATAGGAAGTATTAAATTAGGCTGCTAAATCGTGTCCTTTGATGGTGATTGACGAGTTCCGAGCGTCAAAACCAGCCAGAAACAGAAAAAAGAGAATCTGCACTCAAGCGTTTCGACGAAAAAAGGTCAAAAACGATCACTAATCGTTAGTAAATTAGCTTTTTCGAGATTTGAGGATTTCAAGGTCAATCCGGGGACGCTTGATGCGCCAGGTGCGCGGGAACCAGGCGCGAGAAGGATTAGCCAAATTATCAAAAAATCATTCAAACTGTGTAATTTTCCGATTTTGCCACTACTGTTTTCGAATTCTGACGGCTTCAGGGGCTCTGTCTGAAACCTGAGTCAGCGCCTAAAAAAGCTTGAATGAAAAGCCGCGTAGCGGCTTTTTGAAAACGAAGCCGCAAAGCGGTTTCGCCAGAATAAAAGATAAGAAATAATGAAAATTTTGGCCAAGCCGCTCTGGGGCTTTATTTTCAAAAAAGCCGCTACGCGGCTTCTGATTCAAGCTTTTTCAGGCCCTTTTCGAAATTTCAGAAAAACCATTAAATATGCGATCAAATCGGAAAGAAACCCTCCGGTTTATCCATTTTTTGAGCCTTGTGACTTATAGAAGATTGAATTTCCCCTTGAAAACGGGATTAAAAATGGGAGGCAGCGGTAGGTCACAACGGCAATGAAACCAAATAAGCGTGACCATCCACTTCCGCCGCGTCAAAATAAGAAGCTCACGGTGAGTGATCGGCCCAGGACGATCGGAAGTCCACGAGTTCTTCACGCTCGACGTCTTTGACAAATTATTGTTGTCCCTGGCACAGCTGGTCGCAGTAAAATTCAAGTTTCTCTAGAATGAAAATGCTTTTTTACAAAAATTTTTTCATAAAATCAGTTTTAAAAATGGGCAAATTTTCATACGAATATGAAAATGATCAATCAAGTCATCTTCATATCGTTTCTCCTCTAGCCTGGGCTCGACAACCTGTGTTAAAACCTGACTCGAGGTCCTGAAAAAGCTGTGAATAAAGATATCGCGCGGCTTTTTTGCTCAAAGAAGCCGCAGAATTGGTAGAATAGATCGAGAGGTCTTTAAAAGACCTTACTTAGGTCCCTGACTCAGGCTTCTACACAGGTTTTTGCGCCCTTGCTTAGCTGAATCCCCGAAGCTATCAGATCTGGCGAAACATGAAGTGTTGCTGAAACTGGACAATCTTCAACCAGCTGGTTCTTTCAAAATAAGAGGTATTGGAAGACTAGTTCAAAAGGCAAAACTTGATGGAAAGGTAATTTCTTCTTTTTGGGCAAAAATCGAACTATCGTAGAAAACCGCAGTGGCTTCGAGCGCTGGAAACGCAGGAATGGCCGCTGCTTATGCTTGTGCAAAGAGTGGTCTTCCCTGTTCTGTTTTCCTGCCGAAATCGACGCCGGACTTCGCAGCGGCGAATATTTCCGAACACGGGGCCGAGGTCATTTATCACGGGTACATTTTAAAATTGAAATCAACGAGGAAAACAGGTTTTAGCGAAATCTGGGACGAAGCGAATGAAGAAGCGATGAAAAAGCTGGTCGATGACTCGGTTTTGTACATTCATCCGTTCAACCACCCGGTTATTTGGGAAGGGCACGCTTCTTTGGTTGATGAACTTGTGACTCAGCTAAAGGGGAAGAAGCCAGGGCTGGTTATTTGCGCCGTTGGCGGAGGAGGACTGTTGATGGGCGTGCTAATTGGTTTGAAGAAGAATAATTGACAAGGGATTTGAAAGTCTGTTACTTTCGATAGGAAAATAGAGTCTTTGAAATCCTCAAAAATGGCAAGACGTGCCCGTGCTTGCCATGGAAACGAACGGAACTGATAGCCTGAACCAATCGATGAAAACTGGAGTTCTCGCCACTTTGCCGGCCATCGACTCGATCGCCAAATCTCTGGGCACCAAGTCGGTCGCTGCTGAAGTGTTTGAAGCCGCAAAATCGTATCCTGGAGGAGTCATTTCCAAAGTCTGCCACGATACTGAAGCTATTCAGAGGTGAAACAGTCATTATTCTTCAAAAAAATCTGATTTTTTTCAGCGTCAAAAACTTCCTGGCGCATCACAAATTCTTCGTCGAACCTTCTTGTGGAGCCGCTCTTGCCGCGACTTATTTCGCTGACAAATATCTGAGCGATATTCAAATCGGAGAAGGGCCGATTGTCAACGTCGTTTGCGGTGGAAGCTCTGTTTCCTACGAGATGATTTCGTATTGGGAGGAAAATGCGAAGTCCTAAATTTTTGAGAAGTTTTTTTTTGTTCTATCTTTTCAATCAATAAATTATATTTTGCTTGTAAAACAATTGTCGAAATTGCCAAATTTTATCGAAAAAAGAATCAACAAGCGGAAATGTCATTTCCACCCTAAAATCATGGCCACGTCAGTCCCTAGTACTCCGTCCAACATGCTCAGTCTCGTCATGCTTTTAACATTTCTTGCTCAAACAACTCCTCATCAATTCGATTTCTCTGTTCCCAGATTTTCATAATTCAAAAAATTCATCAAAAAATGAAGCTTTTTTGTTCTCTTCTCGCAGCAAGCTCAAGCTTAGAAATCGCAAAAGGGTTGAAAAAAGATGTCGCTGAGACCATGGATTTTTTCCAGACAGTTCAATTGCGGGCGGATCATTTGTTCAGAGATATGATTCAAATGCACAGAGACAACGTCGAAGATACTGACAAGGTGAGATTTTCGAATATATTTTCAATCGGACCTCTTCTATCCTTTTTCTAGCGAAATCCTGGTCACATGGAAGCTCAATTCCGGAAAGACCTGACCGCCAAGCTCGCGGCTCTCATCGGTATCAACAACTCCATCCGTACCGAAACCAAGACGGACACCAATCGTCTTCACACTCCCTATTCCATTTTCGATTCCAACCCCGAGAGCAGCGAGAAACGACCCGTGATCGTCTACGCCCACGGTGGCGGCTACGTCGCTAGTTCCGTCGATCTCTATTCCAACTTTTTGACTCATTTGGCGACGGAGACGAATGCCATCGTCGTTGCACCGCATTATCGACTTGCACCGAGGCGAATGTGGCCCGGCCAGTTTGATGATGTGAAGGATGTCATCACCTGGATCAGCGATCATCCAGAAGACCTCAACGCGGATTTCACGAAAATGATCATCGCCGGCGATGGATTAGGAGCTGCGATTGGTGTTTCCGCGGCGATGCAAGTTGCTAAGAATGGGATCAAGAAAGGAGACGGTAGGGGTCCTTGGGAAAATCAAATCAATAATCTCCTTCTTCAGAATACGTCACGATTCCAATCCACGGCGCTGCTCTTCTCCAGCCTCAGCTGCAAATGCTGAACTTCGACACTCCCAGCTACCGAAAGTACAACAAACTCACTCTCCGAAAAGAAGACATGGCCTACTCTATGACTCATCTTTTCGCTGGAGAGCGCGATCTTACCCTCCAAGACACGGTAGACTATCCAGTAATGCCTCTTCTAACCTGTTTTAGCTCGAATATGGACACCTAATCGACGCAGGAATGAAAAATGGCCCAGAAGTCGGCTTCGTCGACCCTGTCAAGTGGCTTTCGAAGGAGACCCTGGGCGATTATGTGCCTGAAAACTTGATTTACGAAGAAACTGAGCACATGTGGGAGAGAAAGTTGAAAAACAGAATCACCAACGGTTCCGTCTCGCCGCTGGGGCAATACGATAGAATGCTTCAGAGCATCAAGGTTTGTCGAAAATGATTCGGAAGATAATTTTCTGCTCTAGAATTGGTACATGAACGCGAACGAAAAAGACGTCCTCCACGACGATGCTGAGATGATGAGCAGAAGACTTGCGAAAATCGACGGTTTTTGCGATTGAAATGATTTTCGATAAAAAGTTCTTTCAGGGATGAACGTGAAATTCGAAGAAACGAAAAATGCAATGCACAATAATTTCTGTTGGTCCCAGGCTTTCACTGGAAACGAGCTCGTCCAGCTTGGAGATGAACAAGTCAACGATTTCATCAATGGAATCAAGGCGCTTTTGAAAAAACCTTCGGCGGCGCATGATGAGCTCTAGAATCTTAATTTTCGTCTGTTCTTTAGGAATCATTTTAGTTTACAAACGCATATTCAATTTCTTTGTGCAATAAATATTTTGACGATTTATAGCAAATTATTGTTTGTTTTTATTGTTTTTCGAGAAGCGGGAAGAATTTGTGAAGCATTTGCTTTAGTAAACATTGAAATGTCACGCGATTTTAAAATTTTGAGAATGTCACTTTTTCGGCCTTGAGAAAAGATCTTCTTATCGTCGACAGTGAAAAGTTATTGTTTGACAAGAACTCGAGTGCCGGTAACGCCTCCTACGGTCTGGATGACGTGCAGTTTTCCATCTCGGAGGGAGAAGACTCGACGCGAATCCTAGAAAGGTAATTGAGGGAGGAAGTAGGGAGGGGTTTTACCTCGAGTTTGTCGCCGCATTTGACTCCCTTGCCATTGATGACCATATCGTCGCCTTCGTAAGTGATGGTCGTGGCAATTGTCTCGTCGCTAAAACCTTTTTGGTCGGAGCTGCCGGTGTAGGGGAGGGTCGATTCCATGTTCTTCAGCTTCGTTTTTGTTGAGAAATGAATGCTCTAAAAGAGAGTGAGCGACTATGAGGAGAAAGAAGGGTCTAACATCGGCATTGCAGGTGATTTCGATGTAGACATCCATCATGTTTGCAATTTTTCGTGTCGCCCAGCCGAATCCGAGCTTCGTGTTCAGCTAGAAATGTCAAAAAAATAAGATATGTTATTGATAAAAAAACTGCACCTCTTCGATGTTATCGGTCGATTCCTGCTTCCATTTTCCCACGAATTTTTCAGCAACAGCTTTACCCATATTTATCTTTGAAAAAAAAAAGAGTAAGTTTTTTGCGAAAAAAAATTTTCTTCTGGTACTTACGTTCTTATTTTTCTCTCGAGACGAGTGGGCGCGTTTTTCTCCGCTTCCAAGATTTTTAAGCCGCAAAGTTATGTATATTTGCGTTGGAGGCAACACCCAACAGTTAAATACCAGTTCGATTTCACCTTGTGACGCGGAAAAAATTTGACTCCCTCGCGATTTGAAAATATCCGCAGAATCGAGTCAACGAACATCCAATCGATGACATTTTGAGTCACGAAGGGTATCGACAGTATTTCTCAAGGGACCATGATGGTGTGAAGTCAACAGTATTAAAAAAACATGTTTTGTAGAGTTTTTTTCTATGACTCATAAAGTTAAAAGGCTGCGTCGATTTTTGATTGATTTTATTAGGTTCATCAAATGAAGGTGATAAAAAGATCTTTGAAAAGTAAAAAATTTGCCAGGACAGAAAAAGCTGCATGCTGTTTGTTCGAATTTCAGAATTGCAATTTTGGTATCTTGGTCTGCCAGATATTTTAAGCGGAGGAGATGGAGAGGTTCTTGGCTGGGATCCACTTCTTGTTGAGAAGTTCGTGCCAGTTTCGGCCCTTTCGGCGGATGTCGCCGTCGATGTCGATTGGGTTCGAAACTAAAATTAGGGATGAGGAGCTACTGTGGTTAGCGACTGTTACTTACCCTTTGAGACGACGAAAGCCCAGCACTTCTTGGAGTCGATGGCTGGTCCGAGTTTCCACTGCTTCTTGCCATCTGAAAAATAACGTTATCTGATTGGTCAGAAAACTACAGCGCCACCTACAGTGGTGTGAGTAGTTTCCGCACCCCTAAAGAGCGGGCAAAAGGTGCGGAAACGCAGCACTCACTTTTGCTACTTCTGGAAGAAAATAGTAGAAAAAGTGCGGGCTAGGGGTACGGGAACGCAGCACTCACAAAGGGTGCGGAAACTCCTCACACGACTGAAGTGGATGCCTTACCCTGGCTGTGGAAAAGAAGAACATCGGTCTCGGAAGAAGTGTTGTCTTCTCGGACGTAGATTGGTCGGCCGAATTGATCGAATTTTTCGAGCTGGAAATGAGTCATCTTTTTTCTAAGAGAAATTTTACCTGGTAGGCTCCAGTGAGGTTTTCAGATTTCCACTCAGACTTGAGTTTGCCAGTGACTCGGATTCGCTTGGGGAACTGGCTTTCAGAGTAGCTTGCTTCCAGCTCGGTATCAGTCACATCGCTAGAGAGTGGAGTGATGAGGAAGGGAAAGACAAGGATAATGGACTCACGGTGCTTTTGGTGGAGCAGCGGCGATCGAGAGATTGGCTCGGCTAACGGGAGAAGCCTGTTTCGGAGAAGCCTGTTTTGGAGTAGCTTCAGATTCGGAGGATGACGAGGAAGATGATGATGATTTCTCGACTCGTTTGACGACTGGAGAAGGTGTTCGCTGTCGGAAAACAACTGGAGATGGGGATCGTCGTCGAACAACCGGAGGAGAGGGAGTTCGCTTTCGGACAACGACTGGCGATGGAGTTCGCTTTCGGAAGACGACTGGAGAGGGAGATCGTCTTCGGCCAACTTCGATGGGGGAGCCGCGGCCATCGGGGCAGACGCAATCGCCCTTGACTCGGACGTCCACGAGCTTGGTCACCGTGACGACTGACACTCGCGCATCGAGGACGATGCTTAAAAGCTAATTGACAAGGGGGCCTTGATAGGTGTGATTTTGGCTCTTGAAATCAAGGAAGAGTATCAAAACGCTGATTCAATAAAAAAACGATCGATAACTCTTTTTGATGTTATTAAAAACAAAAGGCCGGCTTATGAAAAAATTCCGCGCTCTGTCTATTTTCTTCTTAAGATTATCATTGAAGCATTTTTACCGCCTAGGTCATTAGTTTTAACGGATAAGTTGACTTCAATATAAATTTTACGGCCGTCCGTCAGCCCGAATAGCCTGAGAGCGATGGGCGAAACAAAAACACTATAAATATTTGGCCAGTTTAATGATGCTTAGGCTACATAAATTAAGGATTCGTTTGGAGTTTTGGTCGCGTAAATTTGGATTTAATATCGAGCAATAAAGAATTGAGCTTTCGATGCAGGGTTTTCAAGGGCTTTATACTCGAAACTTTGAACGAAACTGTCAGTTTTTCGCTCTAGAATCAACGAAATTCGCATTTTTAGACTGAAATTCGGGAAAATCGACCAAAAAATGCCATAAAAAATGCTTGCTTATGCAAATAATGACTTAAACACCCTAATTTTGTACATTTTTGACTCAAAAAGCGTCATTTTTGGTGTAATTTTCGGCAAAACTCGCTCAGAACTGACAATTTTGATCGCACATGAAGTCATTTTCTGAGCCATAATTGGCCACAAATGATCGAAATTTGAGTTTTCTTGATGAACATAAGGTTTTCTTCAATATTATTAATTAAAAACTTACTCGGAGGCCATATTTATCTCCGGCGCTTCAAAGCAGATTTCGTCCTTGGCCATTTTCGCGGATTACTTGATTCTCGAGTAAAAAGAAGTCTCAACTCCAAGAGCCAAAGAATAAGGTTGTGGCGCGCTGACAGGTACCGCTTGCTGAAATCGTAAAATCAAGTAAAAATCTTACGACTACGGATTCACTGACGAAGGAGCCCAAGAGCCGCTTTGTGGGCTCTACTCAGAGCCAAATTCCTTTATACCAGTGCCAGATTAGTCTTTCATCTCATAAAAATGAGGAAAAATGTGGGAAAAAAGACTAAGATTAGATGAGATTTTTAGTTCTACGAATATCGACCTACAAGGGCTAGGCTCAGCGACCTGTGTAGAAAACCTGAGTCAGACTCTGATCCATCTCAGATCAGAGATCTTTGAAAGCGGAAGTTGAATCACACCGGAAGGACTTTTTTTGAATTCGCAAAAACTTTAGATGAGTTAGTAAAATAAGATAGATAAAATGACAAAAATCGCTGACTTGACGAACGCTTACGTTGAAATTTTCAACAAGCACGCTGACAAGGACAGAACATTGTCAAAAGAGGGGCTCAGAAAAATAATCAAAGGTAAAATTTCGAGATTTTAATTTATGTTTAATTCATTTTCTTAGAAGCAAGTGAGCCTTTCGATTCGGAAGGACTTTTAAGCGCGCTTATGGATGAGCTCGAAGAAGGTCTCGAAGGAAAAATCTCCTTTGAAGAGTTCATCGAGTGCATGGGCGCCATCATCATGGTCTTCGCACTTATTAGAGAAAGACCTGGGGATTTGACTGATATTCCTCGTTTTCCTCCTGGACGCGATGCCGAGATCACCCACTATTCCCAAGAAGAGACCAAAGAGAAGATGAAAGAAGAAGCAATGCGAAAAGTCAGAAAATACATTGCCCGCATCTTTGGAAGAAGAAAATGAATAAAAAAGGTCGACTCATCACTGAAGTCTCCTTCTTGGTCAATTATCGAACTTACCCTGATCAAAACTCTCTTTACCGCAGCACTCAAATCAGCTGTTCGCAATTTCTCATCTCTGTTTTCTCTGCTCAATAAATCATTATAACCGGAAATCTTTCAAGCATTTTCAAGTGCTCTTGATCGGCTAAAAATACCTAAAATTTATTAGGATACTCTTTCTTTATTCAAGCAAAAATTGAATCTTGAGCATGGTTCTCGGACTGTGCTGCTTTGAAACAAAACTTTCGAGCTTTCGTCACGAAACTGCAATTTTCTTATAATTATCCGAGCGCGAGATGTGGGTCTCCGGGAGGAAATGAAATACTTTTTGCATCTTTGATTTAATTGTAATTACACGCGCAATTTTCTGCACAACGATAAATTACATGAGCACGGATCAATTAAACGCAGTTTCGACGCTGAGATTTTCGCGATCAGATCGAGAGATGATTCACGTCTATTTTTTGCTGTTTTTTGAGCGTGTCGAAGGAAATTGCAATTTATTCAATGTCGACTGTCAAGAAACAGGAGCTCTTGTAACACTGGTAAGGACAGTTCCCGGAGAGATTTAGGACCCCCCCCTTTTTTTGAGGACTCTGCCTGTCATGAATCCTCTGGAAGTTCGATAGATGCGGATCTACAGAACTTGTTCTTGATCAGTGACGGCCATGGATATACTGTTTCAAACGACTGTGCGCTCTCTCCATCGCAACTTTTGCAATACTCAACCTGTTTTGACGATTTTTCTTTTGATGGCTCAGGTTGATATTTTTTTATAAGATTATTTTCTTAGACCTCATAACTAGCGAATTATACGGCGCTTGTCGTAGAATCCATTTCCGTCGATGGATTAAATTTGATAACTCGCCGGATTGAAGATGTTTTCTGCAAACCCACTATCGCCCTCTGGGGTCGGCAAAAAACGATGAAAATGGGATGAGTGCTCGAAAAAATGCTCTGAAAACCTTGGAAAATCTGAGTCAGGGTCTGATTGATCGTAGCGGCTTTTCTAAAAGATCTTTCAGACCCTGACTCAGGTTTTCTACACAGGTTGGCGAGCGTAGCCCTCATCATTATCCCAGTTTTTGCTGGTTTGCCGACCCCAGATCGCCATGAAAACTGACAAGTCAGCATTGATACTTCGAGATAAAAAGGCTTCTGGAAAAATCCCCATTGCTGCGCCAGATATGACGTTAAATATCGAAGGTAAAAATCATCATATAGTCTACAGACAAAACGGACACTTCCGGAACGGACAATTCGGAGATTTGGGGGAAATTGGTAAAATTTTGTAATCGCACAATTTCGGAAATTTTAATTAAAAAATTCAACTGAGAGGTCTATTTTCTATGTTGGACCACTTTTTTGCGAAAAAACGAAGAATTTTCAGAAAAGTAATCAGAGAAAAGCCAAAAAAGCCATCGGCACCACTTTACCCCACGAGTCCAATCGGAGGGCGTAACCCCACAAGTCAAAATCGACATTTTTTGTCGTAATGGCCTTCCCGATGAGATAACTTATTGAAAATTAGTACTTATACTAATTAAAACGCGCTCTTTCACATGGTGGTCTTTGTCTTTCTCTAGCATGAGTAGGACATGATTTATTTGGTCTAAACCAATTTCACAAGCACCGTCTATTTTTAGCGACGCGCTAATTTTCAAATCTTCATGACAATATTTGAATGGAAACAGACTTAATCAATTAATAAGGCCGGGATTTTAGCAGGATAACTGCAGGATGTATAAATGCTTCAAGAAGAGCTTCCAAAAGCTTTGAATCGAGCGCGCGCGCAATCAGAAGCTTTGCATCGAGCGTGCGCGCAATCAAAAGCTTTGCATCGAGCGCGCGCGCAATCAGAAGCTTTGCATCGAGTGCGCGCGCAATCAGAAGTTTTGCATCGAGCGCGCGCGCAATCAGAAGCTTTGCATCGAGTGCGCGCGCAATCAGAAGTTTTGCATCGAGCGCGCGCGCAATCAGAAGCTTTGCATCGAGTGCGCGCGCAATCAGAAGTTTTGCATCGAGCGCGCGCGAAATCAGAAGTTTTGCATCGAGCGCGCGCAATCAGAAGTTTTGCATCGAGCGCGCGCGCAATCAGAAGCTTTGCATCGAGCGCGCGCGAAATCAGAAGTTTTGCATCGAGCGCGCGCGCAATCAGAAGTTTTGCATCGAGCGTGCGCGCAATCAGAAGCTTTGCATCGAGCGCGCGCGCAATCAGAAGCTTTGCATCGAGCGCGCGCGAAATCAGAAGTTTTGCATCGAGCGTGCACTCAATCAAAAGCTTTGCATCGAGCGTGCGCGCAATCAGAAGCTTTGCATCGAGCGCGCGCGCAATCAGAAGCTTTGCATCGAGCGCGCGCTCAACCAGAAGCTTTGCATCGAGCGTGCACTCAATCAGAAGCTTTGCATCGAGCGCGCGCGCAATCAGAAGCTTTGCATCGAGCGTGCACTCAATCAAAAGCTTTGCATCGAGCGCGCGCGCAATCAGAAGCTTTGCATCGAGCGCGCGCGCAATCAGAAGCTTTGCATCGAGCGCGCGCGCAATCAGAAGCTTTGCATCGAGCGCGCGCGCAATCAGAAGCTTTGCATCGAGCGCGCGCGCAATCAGAAGCTTTGCATCGAGCGCGCGCGCAATCAGAAGCTTTGCATCGAGCGCGCGCGAAATCAGAAGTTTTGCATCGAGCGTGCACTCAATCAAAAGCTTTGCATCGAGCGTGCGCGCAATCAGAAGCTTTGCATCGAGCGCGCGCGCAATCAGAAGCTTTGCATCGAGCGCGCGCGAAATCAGAAGCTTTGCATCGAGCGTGCACTCAATCAGAAGCTTTCTATTGACGGCAACTCTTGAGGTAAATAAGCTTAATTTTTGTCAAATAAAACATTTTATATATCGAATTCAAAATAAAAATTTCAGCGTTGCTCTGCAATCAATGCCCACAACGTCTTCGAATTACGGGCATGCCTTTGGAAGACTTGGGCCTTATAAAAATCAACCGACCACTGTTAGTTTTGGTTTATCTGGCGACACGAGGAAAGTGGAAACACTAACGAACAATGGATGGAGTATGATCGGAGATCCACCAGTTCGGCAAAATGAATTATTTTTTATCATCGAAATTATTTTAAGCGATATTTATGGTCATGTCTTGGTCGGGCTTCAGAGCGGAAATTTACTTATGCTTGGTGGCTTTGGTAATGGAAATAGAATCTGAAAAAACAATATTTACGAAATTTGTTTTTTTAAATCTTTTCAATGGAATTGAATTCTTGAAGGGAAAATGGAAGCATTTATTTTCTCAGGCGACCAAGGATTCAGATTTCGGCAAGTTTATTTGCTGAACAACGCTAGAATTGATTCGAAAAAGAGCCTGTTTTACTTGATTTTAATTCGACTAGCACTCACATAAAGAGCACAAGCAGATTCGACGGATAAAATTTTTATTTCTGCTCCGCCGAGGTCAAAAATAGAAAAAACACGTTTGATGCATAAATACTGCTTTTCGAAATAAGCATTGTTTTTATTGAAGCAAAAGAATCAAATTTTCAATATGATTCTCGGACTGTGCTGCTTTGAAACAAAATTATGGCAAATTTGAAGATGTCTTCCTCCCCAGCCAGGAAGTTTCGTCAAATTTCTGCACCAGTATCGCATCAGTTCTTTTCCAGCGAAAAAATTCTGAACAAAAACTCATCATTTTTCTTTAAAAACAAACTTTACCAAAGCTTGAAATTTCTGCGATCTGGTTTTCGTTGATTTCGGTCCCGAAAAATCTATCGCTCGATCGAGTCCAGTGAACTCATCAAAGATCCGGGGCAAAATTTCATCGTTGATGCATTTGTTCGCGTCGAGATGATGCATCATTGTGAAAGTGGCGAGGCGTTGTTCTTTGTTTAACTTGTGGAAGACTGGCAGTCCGGCTGCAAAGAGGAAGAAAATGGGTTGGAAAATGAAACGATACCTAGATAGCAAGAAAGAATAAGCGATGAATTTGTCTTTGTTTCGATGAAAAATCCTTGGTAAAACAGCGGCTCAAAGTGGAAATTCTCGCTTTTCAAGAGCTTTCATTCCATTGTTCTTAAACCCAGAATCTTTATCTTTTCAATGCCCCTTCCTAAGATTCGCCTTGACAAAAGTCTCTCTGACCCAAACATCATCAATCGGAAACGTTGGATTTTCCAGCGCTTCTTTTGCAAATTTCCTCATCCCCTTATTCGTCATCACAAAAAGCGCGCCAGAGAAATAATCCGGGTAGCGATGACTTTCATCCACGATTGATTCGGAAATCGAAGCCGGGACGAAGTACTTGTCGAAAGGGCTTTCTTTAGGCGCTGCGTGGAGAATGATGTTTCCGAGAATTTCGATCGTGTCCTTGTATTTTCTCGCGGTTTCGCCGAATTTGTGATAGGTTCCGTTCATTGGCGGTTCTGGGTAACGGAGGACGTAGAGTTCGAGAGTTCGAATGAGGACGAGAGGGTTGAGGAAAATGTCATCGTCTGCTTTGATGATGATTTTCGCTGCTGGGCAGTTTTCGGTGAAGAAATTGACTAGTTGCTGGTCTCTTTTGAAGGGCTCAATATTGAAAAAAAAAAATTAGCGTACCAAAGAACCGTTAGAATTTAGTTGAGAGCCTGTCATTATAAGTCAAGCTGTACAAGTGTTCCTGAAAAGATCCCTGCAAAATGTCACTGAATTCATCTTATTCTTTCTGGACTTGAGCTTCTATTGCTTCATCCTCTGATTTTCCCAAAAGAAAGATCCGTTTTAAAATGATCTTCTGAGAAGTATGTCTGCTGATGTTTGGCCAATATTTTGGATCGCCCCAGGTTTTGCGGATCAAATCCCTTCTTCTTCGCGATGTTGGAAGACTTTCGATCCCGACCAGGAAAATGATTGATTCGGGCGTAACGCATTCGCATTTTTCAGGAGAATGGATGCTCTCGATTTTCTCATGGATCTTCCTTGGTTCGAGAAAGTTCAAATGCTCGAGTGGTTCTTCAAATCGTTCAGAATCAAGGTCAAAGTATTGAATCGTGTCTGGATAATTTTTGACTATTTCTCGCCATATTTCTTCGTTTGCGCTTCTCGACTGTTTTTCTTGCTTTTTTGATTGGCGAAATTTTATCAAAAAGAAAAGAAAAAACGAATTTATCAAAAAGAAAAGAAGCTTTTTTCGCATTTTTCACCGGTAAAAATTCGGAATAAAAATTCATTTCAAAATAAACAAACCATGGATCATTCCTGGGCGAGATGGCCTTTTCCCATTTTTATAGCTAGCTAAAGATAGGTTTTTTTTTCAGGTAAGCGTTCAGTAATAATTTGAGTGGAATTGAGTTAATTGAGACGAAGTTCGTTTAAATGTGGCGACGTTTGAGAAAAAATGTCAGGACGTTTCGTTCATCCCTTTTTTTTCTAAATTTCATTTTCGATGTCGTGGACAAGCTCGTTGATTACGCACCAACGGCCGGGCGAATATCTAAAGCTCTAGTCATCACAAAGGTTAATCAGACAAATTTATCTTAAAAAAGATATAAGCTGATGTTTTGTCAATCAATCATTTGCCAATTATTATTCAAAGTCATAGATGGATACAGGCATATGTTAAAATCATGCGTAAAAACCTGAGTCAGGTATTCAAAAAATCAAAAAAAAAGAAATACACTTGCGGCTCTATTTTTAATTTTTCGAAAGAAAAAATAATCTCTTTTTGAAAATCAGCCTAACTCAGGTTTTCAATACAGGTCACGTGGCCAGAGCCCATAAAAAAAAACAATATGCAGACTCTTTTGAAAAAATGATGTTTTAGCTCGTTGCATTGGAGAAATAAAATCTTGACCAGATCGAAAAATCGTCTTGAAAAAAATCTTGAAAATAAATGAAAAGGTCAAATTGTTGGAAACACCAAAATACCGAAAAATGCATGCATTCGCATCCTCGCATCTCCGAAAGGTCAAGATATTGCGCGCTATAAAAAGAAGATCGCCGCTCGATTGGGGCATATTCAAACCGAATAGGAAAGGGATCGACAAGAATTTTCAAAAGACAAAGAGATTCAAGAAGATAAATTTATCAATTCTCGCTTTTTTAAAGCAATAATTCTTGTCGATCCCTTAAAAGCGGCAACTAAGCGACGATTTATCCGATAAGGATAATGACGAAATTGATAATTCTCATACTCGGCCTTTCTTCCGCCCAAAGTAAGTCCCCCTTTTCCCCTTTCCAACACTCATCCTTTTTTTCAGGATCTCCAAGAAGAAATAATCGCAACAGAAATCGAGGTCCTCCCACAGCCAAGCCAACGACCCGCGCTTTCAACCTCGACGAATCAAACTACATCGGCAATGTTGGCGACGAAATGGACCTGTCTTTTGGAATGGACGGCTTCGCTGGATACGAGTATGAAGGACTCGACATGTTTTTCGGCGCTTCTTACGGCGGCTTCGAATCGATTTACGGAGACAACCTCGGCGACTTGAAAAATGGCGTTGTTCCGACTTTGACTGCGACGACTCAGCCGGTAACACGGCCAATGGTTCCAACAACTCTGCCTTTCGCCAAGGTAGAAAAGCCACTACCTGAATTCCAGCCAAAAGAGCCAGCGAAAAAACAGCCAAAGAAAAAGAAGTTCCAAAAGAAAAAGAACCAGCGGGCAACAACAGAAGAACCGACAACTGTTGAAGTGACGACTACAACGACCACTACGACCACCACTACAAGTACTACAACCACGACAAAAACAACTACTACAAGTACAACTTCTACTACAACTACTACTACAACTACTACTACTACGACTTCTACGACAACTTCAACAACGACTACAACCACAACGACGACAACGACGACAACGACGACAACGACGACAACTTCAACAACTTCAACTACTACAACAACGACTTCAACAACAACTACTACAACATCAACTACAACTTCTACTACCACAAGTTCTTCCACAACCACCACATCAACCACCACCACTACCACCACTACTTCAACAACATCTACTACTACCACCAAAACAACAACTTCAACTACTTCTACAACTTCAACAACTACCCAAACCACCACAACAACCAGCACCACCACTGAACCCGAAAAGCCCCTCGCCACCTTTTCCAACTGGTCCGATTTCTCCGCCTGTTCAAAATCCTGCGGCGAAGGCGGCATCAAAACTCGCTCGAGAACTTGCTCTTCTGGAATTCCTTCTGATTGCGAAGGCCCTGAAACTGAGTCTGAGCCGTGCTTTCTCAAAGCTTGTCCAGTCTATCTCGGCTGGGCGAATTGGTCGACTTGCTCTCTTTCCTGCGGAGGCGGGTCTCATTCGAGAAGAAGATATTGCTCGACAGGTGATTTGATGGACTGCCAAGAGTTCGGAACATCAATCGAAACCGAGACCTGCAATGACTCCCCCTGCCCAGTTTTCGAGCAATGGACAAACTGGACCACTTGCTCTCGCTCTTGCGGAGGCGGAAATCAACGACGAAACCGAGCTTGTTCTTCAGGCCGAATCACTGACTGCAAAGGAAGCTCCGTCGAATTCCAAGAATGCGAAAAACAAGCGTGTCCAGAATGGAAGCTCTGGCAGCAATGGTCCGAGTGCTCGAAATCATGTGGAAATGGCGTTCGAAATCGTGTCCGAGCCTGTTCCACGGGAAGACTTGTTGACTGCTTCGGCGATTCCGTCCAGCAACAGCCTTGCCGAGCGTCGATTTGTCCTACTAGTGAGCCGCCAAAGACGCTTATTGCTCGACAACGGGAGCCGTCTAGATTTGCCAACAGCCAGAATTCCGATACACTAGAAATCAAGGTTGAAGAAATCACAGCTTCGGAAGATCTTGAAAAGAACCACGAAAACGGATTCGGCCTCTTCCAACAAAATGGCCGAAGAAAGCAAATTGCTCGAGGAAGCCGATTTGATTCAAAATACGATTATGAAAGCTACTACGATGGCGAATATGGAAACTACTACTACGAAGGTAATGGGGATTTTCGAAGGGTAGATGGTTAGAGAGGTTTCTAGAGACATATGGACAGGCTGCTTTTGATCCAACGGTTTTGATGCCGTTCAAGAATAAAGTGGAAGACTCAAAGATTGGTTATCAAATAGTTTATTCTAGAGTAGGGTCGATAATTCGGATAATAATGCAATAAAATGAAGAAAATAATGGTTTTAAATATGGATTTTTTGATAAGCTATGAAAGATTTACGAAAGAACTGGTCGAATAAGGTAAGATCTCATCCTAATTTCATCTTCTTAACCTCTTCATGAAGCTGCTGGAGATGCGATGACTCAAGCTCTTGGGAAGATTGCTGGACAAACGGAGAGTTCGAGCAGTGTGTTGACTTTCAGGACTCCTGCCAACTTACAGTCAGGCGAAGAGGCATTGATTTTTGGATCAACACTGGCTGCAAACAAGTATCTTTCAATTATTAAATAATTGAATGCAGTAGTAACGATTCATTAAGGCATCAGCTTGCGAAGTGAACAAATCGCAGAACTTCGTGTCCGAAACACCAATCAACTCCCAATGCGACCCATCTGAAGAGCACTCCGTCTGCAGGTACGTCCTCCCCCTCGATTTCTCTTTCCTTATCCCTTTCTCAGGCAATGCTGCTACGACCACGGCTGCAACCACGAATGGGCCCCACTTTCGCTCGAGCAATGGGCCGAAGATCTCTCCCCAAACGCGACTTATCCGCAAAATGGGAGCTACTAAAAGACTAAAATTCTAAATTATCAAATTTTTAAAATTGCCGCTTTGTAAATTTTTGTAAAATCGACGCTACTAAAAAGAACACTGACTGACGTTTCACTGAGTGCGCTAATTCGGCCAATCAAAAACGTCTATTCAAAGAAAAGAAAAATCACGAAAAATGCCAAAATGCGGAGGCTTTCTTGAAAAACGAACAACTCGACAGCAAGTGCACGCTGCCGAAGATAAATTGAAAAAGCACCTCTTGAGAAGTATGGAATGGATTGAATACGGAGAAACAAGAAGATTTTACTTTTCTACTGACTTCAGTTTTCGATCGCTTCTGTTCGAGCATTTTGCATTTGATTTTGTAAATAATAAAATGAATTTTCAAAAAAGTCTTTTTACCTATTGATTCAGATGACAAGTAAAACTCATTTGCCGAGGAGAAAATAAAATGTTTATAAACGATGATTTATTTTCTGGATAATTTTACATTATTAATTTAGTTTTCTGTTTCACTCAAGAACAATATTTCATTTCAATTCTCCGACTTGATCCTTTGCTCTGGACATAACATTGCCATGCGGCCAGTATCGGCAAATCACTGAAAAAGCTCAATGCTGAAGAAAAAACAATGAGAATTCAAACCGGTTGTCCATTTTCCTTTCGGCGGCGGTCCAACTTTGAATCCTTCCCTTTGCTTGGCAATTCCGACGCCGAGTTTGACCGAGTCTTTCCAGACGAGTTGAGTGAAATGGCCGATTTTGCCACCGTTTTTCGACTTTGCATTTTTAAAGTCGTAATTGTTGATTTCGCCGTACCAGCATTGCACGGCCCTTCGAGCTGCTTCTTCATAATATTCTTGTCGCAAGGGATAATGTTTATGTTGCCACTTGGTGCTTCCGGCCATATTTTCTCCCCCGTTCCTTAATTTTTTTTTTTAATATCAGATTATCTGCAGTTCCTTACCAGTCTGGATCGTGACCAGAAACTTCTCGTGCCATTTTTCTATCAGCGTAATCTTGCGCTGAAATGCACATGCTTCTACTCAGCTAAATGAGACTGGAAGACAAAGCAAAAATATGTGTTTTACCTTCATCATCGGAGTATCCTTATGAAGAGCTCTTTTTTCATTGTGCGCTCTAAGACATGCATCTCTTCCTTTTCGAAGTGCCTTTGTTCGGAAAAAGACTGGCTCGCCGTACTTGTTTTTAGCCGTTTGAGCTGGTGTTTCCTCGTAATCCTTGCTCTTGCTCTTGCTCTTGCTTTTGCTTTTGCTCTTAGATTTACTCTTGCTTTTGGATTTGCCTTTGTTCTTTGTCTCTTTTTTCTTCCTCTTCTCCTTCTCTGCTTTTTTCTTCTTCCTCATCTCTTCGTACTTTTTTCTATTTTCCTCTCCCCATCCGTGTCTGAAGGGCTCGGCTCGGCAACCTGCGTAGAAAACCTGAGTCAAGGTCTGAAAAAGAAATAAAGGATATTTCAGAATCTGACTCAGGTTTTTAACACAGGCTGCGGAGCCAAGCTATAGGGACAGTAGCCATCCTCTTCCTGCTCTTCTTCATCATCATCAGATGATGATTCATCACTATCGGGCAAGTCGCCATCCGCCTCGTCCTCACAGTCAGAAAGGTCGAAATCAGAGTCATCTTCGCCAAAACTTAAGGAAAAATTTGAGTTCTTAAAATATCGGCGCCCGGCGCGGTCAGGGCCCTTAAATTTCCGACCCTTTCTTACACGAAACCATCAGGCAAGTCAGCCGGCGCAATGTCGAGCACAATCTTTGCCTCAGGAATCCAGATTTCTTTCGCTTCGTCCATATTATTTTTTGAATTCAAGAGAGGCTATTTCACAGCGAAAATAAGGGCAAAAATTCCGATAAAAATATGAAAAAGAGTTCAAATAAAAATAAAAAATCACGATTTGAGATTTCGACTCTAAAATTAATGCCGTCAAGAATAAAAGTAAAGAAATTGTCTTTTCGAAAAAAATGAATTGCCGTAAAATCGCCTCTCTTGAGAACTGGACCCAGATAGGCTCGTTTATAAAGACCTGAAGCCGGAAACAAACTCTCGAAAGAAGTTCATTTCCTGTCTATTTTTTCAATTACTTCCAACAAATCCCGAATTAATTTCATTAATTTACTAAAAAAGACAGAAAAGATGAAAATCACGAGCTCGGAGCTTCTAGCTGCTTCGATGATAATTACCTTTTTGTTGGTGAATTAGAATGTCCAATTTTTGGAAGCATATATTGCAAATCAAATAAAAAATGTCCTTTTTGATTTGAGCACATGATACTAGTAAAAAAAGTTGACGATGTTGCGTAATAATCGTCATCGTTTGCCCTTCCGTTACCCTGAAGTCTGACCTTCTTCTTTACAATCTCCGAGAAATAGCAACCAGAAACACACAATCTTAAAACTCGTTCACAAGATCATAAAGAAAAATGTCGTATTGGGAGAGATATTCCTGCGCAGAGACGTACCCAGCTTCGACTACAGTGCCAGCAACTACGACTCCAGCAACTTGTTTTTCGACCACTTCAATTTTTTCATCAACTTCGTCGACTACAAGTACAACTTTTTCGACCTCATCTTTTTCCTCAACTTCAACTTGGGACTGGACAACAACAACATCTACGGAAACCCCTTGCCTAGAAGAAAACCCTCCTCCTTCTTCAGGAATTAAACCAATCAATCTTCCTCAGAATTATTCTTACAGCATCAGTACAAACGGCATCTGCGAAGAGCAAAATCCCGACTCAACCTCCACCACCGAAACAACAGAGAAACCGGCTCGGAAAACCGACAGAACAAGGCTCTTCTACCACAGCAGAACGACCCAATCCTCAACACCAGAACCCATCACCGAGAAAATCAAGCTTCATCTGATCAAAACTACGCGAAGAACAATGACCCTTGAATCTTCTTCCCAAAAAAGAAACTTCTTCAAAAAGCTAAGTTTTCTTTTAATTTTATTATTTTTCTAATAAAAAGGTTTATTGAAGAGGAATTTCGACAAAATTGTCTTTTATGTTTTCGATTCGTTCAGGAAAGGTCGCTTTCGCTTTGCATTCATCATGAACATCGTATCTCCAGAATTTCATCACGCTTTTGTACCAACGGGACACTTTTTCGGCGCGTTTTTCTCGGACAAGGCGGCAGATTCGGCAAAAATCGTACATATCTCGGTCTAAAATCGACTCATTTTTTGAGAAGAAAATCATTTTTATAAAGGAAATCGAAATTCTTGGGAAAAAAGCAACAAGAATTTTCTCGTCTTTGATTGGCTGCTAAAAGAAATACGTGCTTCTGATTGGCTAAGAGGGTACCCTACTAACCAATAGCTCTGTAGCTCTCCCCTCTTCGCGAAACAGACTCCGGCCTCAAATTCCTCCACCTATGATAGTCCAAGTAAGCAGTATCATTCTTCCACAAAAACTCCATATAAAACACCAAATCGGCTGGCGTCGCAAATTGCTCGGCATGAATAAACGAGTTCGGCGGCGCAACTTTCGCAACATCCAAATAATGTGGCCCAAAAACGACCGGAACGAGCGTAGCAGTCAGCGAGTTTCGCCAAAACTTTTCGGAAATGTAGTCGGTGCAGTGGATCGCATTTTCAAAAGCAAGGTAAAAGCGCATCTTCGACCAAAATGCGTCCGAAAGCGATTTTTTGCTGAAAACATGCTCGGTTTCTTTCTCAAAGCATTTGCCTTCGCCGAGAAGATGCTTTTTCAGCCCGCTTTTGATCATTTCTTCTCCGTACGCCCATCGTTTTACAGCGCCGATTGTGTGATCGCAGTTCGAAATAAACCAGGCCGTGTGCAAGTTTTTCTTGTTCTTGTTCTTTTTCAGACTGTTTTTCCAGTCTATGATTCTTTTCAAGTGTTCCTCGTCGGAGATTCCGAGAGAAGCGCCGCTTTTGAAACTGAAGTAGAAGTCGCGAAGGATGTTTTGAGTCGAGCCATAGCCTCTTTTTCGGTTTTCAATTTTTCAATTCAAAAATTTGAGGAAAATGAATTTGAAAGGATTGATCTTACTGACATTTATTGGGCTATGGTCAATTTCAGGAGTTAAGAAGAACTGGAGCAAATTAATTGGAGTTAGTTATTTTTTTAATTTTCTAAAAGGAGTTTGTTATTTTTTTAGCTGCTCCAAATCGGAGCGACGAAACTTTCAAACCCGATTTTAAGGGTGTTGCAGAAATAATTAAGGGTATCCGAATAGTGCAAAAGATAGCCCGGGCCCTGAGGCGCGTTTTTACCGGGGTTTGACGGGGCCGGGAGGCCCTTAACACCCTTAAAATCGGGTTTAAAGTTTTGCTCCAATTTGCAACAACCAAGGGGTAAAAAAAAGATGTCCTAAAAAGAAATTAAAAAAATAACTAACTCCTTTTAGTAAATTAAAAAAATAACTAACTCCAATTAATTTGCTCCAAATCTTATTAACTCCAGAAATTGTGTCGAGCCCATTTATTGTGTTTATGATTTAAACTGACGCAGAAAATAATACTCATTCTGTTGGAGGGAGGAGTGTGAGTATAAAACACTGTTTATCTTGCTTCATTTTATCAGAATTTTTGTTTTCGAAAATGGATAAAATCATTCAAGCTGTTCATTTGCTTCATTTTGTGAGTAAAAGTTTTTGAATCCGAGCACTTTTGTAACCAAAATTTTCCACTTTCAATTTTTCGCTTTTTTCGATGTCAAGCTGCGCTTTGAAATTCTCATCGATTTCCCAAAAAAAGAACCAAAAATCAAAAACCTCGCCTGACAATATCGCTATCTCTTCTGTACGAATACGTAATATTAAACGCTCCGTCCAGATCATCCGGCATCAGATGCGCCTGAGTCTCGATATTTTTCGCGCCACTTTCATAATTGACAAAAACCCAGTATTGCGAAAGATTTCGGTGCTCAAGGTCGGGAAAGTTCTTTCTCGTCTTTGGATTTTGGAGATTTTCGTTGTTTTTGAAAGTCGCGTTGTTGGTTAGTCCGAAGGTTTTTTGATGAAAAAGGAGGGGTCTTTTGAGGGTTCAAAAAGTCTGCTTCCGCGGGATTCGAACTCGCGCCCTTTGGCGAACCCTTTCCCGTTGTCGACGACCAGCACATCCGCTTTCTCCCGATCCTTCGTGAAAACACAATTTCCGCACATTCTGTATCCATATCCCTTCACTCCAAATTTCTCATCGTCTTTTTTGAAGCTTCTATCCTTCATCTGCTTCTCCTCCCCTCGCCCGCCTTGGTAAAAATGAGCAATGCTCACCTCCTCGTCCTTGTTTTCTTGCTCCGTGAGTCGATCGCCGAAGATTTTACAAATCCAGTCTTCTTTTTCTGTTTCCGAAAGGCGGTGAATTAGCTTTTCATGCATTTCCTCGGCGGTTGAGGTTTCTCGGGAGAGGTTTAGTTGCCAGTTTTGGTTGATATAAGGGTGGATGTCTGAGTATTTCTGGCCAGGAAGGCAGTAAGTTAGCGGGTCTCTTGATTTTTGAGGGGGTTTCGCAGGTGGAAGAGGAGTTTTTTCGGGTTTTTCGGGTCGAATTTCTTTGATTTTTTTGATTTTTTCAGGCGGTTTTGCTAGTTTTTCTCTCTTTTCTTCATTTTTAGGTTTTTTCGCGTCAAATATAGGATGATCTCTGATAGATATAAAAAACAAAAGAGTAACGAGAAAAATATAAAGTTTGAAGGAAATTTTTTTACAAAAATCTCTCATTTTTCGCCTTTTTAGTGCAAGAACTATATGATTTGGGTAAGCTCGATTCTGTCATCGTTTATCAAAATAATGGACGCGGGGCAGGTCCGCTCGTGTTTTAACCAAAAATAAAGAAAAAATTATTTTTCGCAAAAGCGAAAAAAATATGACTTTAGTTTCTTGACAGTTTATTTTCCACAGTCTTTCAAGAGCTTTTCACATTCATCTGGATCTTCTTCCCCGTTGAGGCAAAAAACAAACGAGCACTCGATTTTGGACTCCAACTGCCCTTCATTTTTATCGAGGATTTTGTACTCAAGTGTTTTTGCTCCAAATCTACTCGGGCTCGATTTGAGAACTCGGTGAAAACGAGTCACGTCCAAAGAACAGCCATTTTTCATCACTTCTTTTCCGTCGATCGAGCAGTTTTCAAGGGCGAAGGTTGTGGTCGAATCGGCGGGTTTGTCTTCCCAAGTGATTGTGAGATCAAAACGGAGGGTCTGTTCGAAAATGGCGAGAAGTTGCGCCGGCCAGAATTGCTGGTTTGGGACGTTTACTTGACGCGCTAAAGTAAGGGCTCGGCTCAGCTACCGGTGTAGAAAACCTGAGTGAGGGTTTTCCAGCCTAGAATAAGGACATGGCTTACCGTTAAGACTGTAACTCATTTGCGCAGACCACTGTATAATTTCCTGTCGACTCGGTAGAACAGGCGATCTGAGCAGAGTTCCGAATCATTTAAAAAAATGCTTGGATTGAAAATCTGAAAAATCGAAAGAAATTTCAAGGTGCGGCTAAAAATCAAAATTTTCTTTGAAAAATTTAAAAGCAGAAAATCGAAAGCCGGAAATTTTGGTTATAAAATGACATCATTCGATTTTCATTTATTTAAAATGAATCAAAATGACAGGAAGGTTCTTGCTTGATTTATCCACTTTTTTAAAAATAAAATGATTGGGAACTCTGCTTCTGAGCGTTTCAAAAGTCGAAATATTCAGCGATTTTTCAAGTTCACTTTTTTCCGAGAATCTGTCTAAAACTGCGCATTGAAGTCGCAAATTGACTTTTGGATCATCGTGAAAATACAGCTTCCAATCTCCGTTTCCCGCGACTTGAGTTGGATCGTGTTTGGAATCCGGGAAGACGGAGAAGTCGAAATTGTAGAAGAAAAAGAGAGCGTCGATTTCTCCTCCGGTCGTGATTCCTGAACAGTCGGTTCGCTGGGAAAATTCAATGAATTTGGTTGTTGCGTTGTATGAAATTGAAAATGCATCGGCTTTATTGTCGCAGGATTCCAGGGCTACAATTGGTCAAGAAAAAAGCAAAAGCTTGGAGTAAGGGTAGATTGGCCCCTGTTTGGCACCCTGTTTGGAGAACCTGAGTCAGGGTCTACGCGGCTTTTCATAGAAGATCTTCTTACCCTGACTCAGGTTTTCCACAGAGGTTGCTGAATCAAGAGATTCGCTGAATGTCTCTTCTGGACCAATCCTTGATTGGAAAATTCTCCCCTCAGCGTTGGCCAGTCTTTTTCTGGGTTTTCCGTGAACACATCGATTCTTATCTTCGTATTGAAAGTATTACTCGAGCAGTCAGTCACCACGCACTCCGGATTGAGAATCTTGCACTTCCCATCTTCCGCCGTTTTCATCCAGCAGCCGTTTTCTTCATAAGTCCTGTTTTTTATTGAGCCGTCATAAAGCCGCAGTCCGTAGCAAGTCTTTTCCCGGTTCGATTCAGCGAGAGAACAGGCCGCTTTTTCGTAAGTATTGATGGCCAGATCTTCTTCGATTTCGCGGCAAGCATCTGCTCTGTAAAGCAAGCAGTCGTAGAGATTGTATTTGCACTGGCTTCCGCATCTCATCGCGGCTTGGAAAATATCTCAAAAGGTTTCATAATTTTTTCCGTCCCCCCAAAAAGAACCGACAAAACCAAGTTCCTGAGACATAACCAAAAAACGCGCACTCCTCATTTTCATCGCAAAGCTTGTAGCAATTTTCGAGCCCATAAACCTTTTCGTTGACTTCAATTTCTTCTCCGGTACAAACTCTCTGTGCAACTTCATCGCATTTTATTCTGCTCGCTTCATTTTTATTCAAAAATAAAAACAGCCAAATGATTTCTTGCATTTTCCTCTTTCGAATTTATTTTGAATTGATGCTCAGAGAAACGATTTTAACGGAGATAGATTAAAAACAAGAAAAATTGATGATAACGGGTTTTTCCGCGAAGTCTGCATTTGTCAAGAAAAGACAAGTCTTGACTCTTTAGCAGAAACCCTGTCAAACAAGTTGTTATCAACTACAACACTTTTAATCCTTGCTGCGAGGTACCAAATGTTATTTCTTGACGAAATCTTATTAACCCGAATTTAAGCCTTTCATTTTTCATTCAGAAAATCCATTGAGTATCGATTTTTCTATAAAAAAAAAGATAGAAAGGAAAAGATTGTTCGGAATTGTGCCTTGGGCGAAATTTGTCGGTTCACTTGAAAGAAAATACTTTGATTTACCGCGCTTTCGATAGAATTTGAGAGCGGAAAGGGTTGTTATTCCGTATTTTCGCGCTTTTCCGGCTGACAAAGAATGAATTAAATTTTCAACGAGAGTCCAAAAACAAGAATTCAAAAGAAAAAAGCGAAAAACAGCTCTTATTTTTGAGAAAAATCTTAAAAAGAAGTAAAGAAGAAAAAATAAAAAAAGAGACAAAAAAAGATGGAAAGTGAAGACGAAATAAATTTGTTTGAAAAAGACGGTAGTTTAATTTTATTTCTGTTCTTCGGAAAATAAGATCGATTTTTAAGCACTAAATCTGCTCGGATTCTCGATGGAGCCCAATTTAGCAAAGAAAAATTCAACTTCTGAAAAAGAAGAAACAGACAAATCGGCAATGATGAAGGAACTAAGAGGAATGGCTTAAGGATATAGCCTGTAAAATTCAACTTTCGTAGCGGCTAAACGCGAGGTCGGATCTTTTTCATTTCAAGTACAATCCTACCTAAAAATGGACGGAGAATTCAATTTTGGTACTTTTTTAAAAATTTTTACTTGAATTTTTCTCTCTAGAGCGATTTGAAATCTTACGATCGCGATTCCTCGAAAATTTTTCACTAAATCGGTCGAGTTTTTTCGATAGATAGGTTCTTCAGACCTTTATCTACAAAATTGACGGTTTAGTTTTCTCTAAGTCCGAAAGAAACCGATTTTACAGCCATTTCCATGAGGCTAACTCAGCGCGCAGAAGCTATGAAAAGCGCTGCGCTGGGTGCTCGCTCTCTCGCCTCCTCTTTCCCGGGAGAGCGTGCGTGTTTTTGCGAGCGCTCTGATTGGCTACACGCGATAAAGCGCGCAGGAAAGAAAAGCAAGAGCAAGAAAGAGGAGAATACTAGAATGAAAATATGACCGAGTTTGAGAATTTCATTCCCTCAATTTTCTAGCTTAGCATCATGACAACAGAGAACACGGTTTAGTTTAAGCGAATTAGTGGAAAAATTTTGAGAAATCGCGATCGTAAGATTTCAAGTCGCTCTAGAGAGAAAAATTTAGTTAAAAATTTTAAAAAATATACCAGAATTGAGTTTTTCGTGCATTTTTAGGTAGGATTGCTTTTGAAATGAAAAAGATCCGACCACGCGTTTAGCCGCTAAGAAAGTTGAATTTTACAGGCTATATCCTTAAGAGAAATTCTTATCGACATTTTTATTGATTTTTTACTCACAAAATTTGATCATAAAAATTCGAGAAAAAATATTTGAGCCTTTGGAAGATCTCAAATGGCTTTTAATACCAATAGCAGTGGTTCAAGTTCTACTGTTTCTCACTTTTGTTCTAAAGGTAAGATCAAGAAATGACTTTTTGAGACAAAAAATATTGAATCTAGTGGGTGATGCAACATCTGGCAAATCGAGCAAATGCTCAAAGAGCTGCTCCCATTCAAATCAAGTAAAACAGACTCTTTTTTCGATTCATTCAAATCAATTTTAGCGTGGTTCAGCAAATTGACTTGCCAGAATCTGAATCCTTGGTCGCCTAAAAAATTTGATTCTTCCATTTGAAATGGACCATTTTCCTTCAAGAATTCAATTCCCTCAAAAAAATAGATAAAAAAAAACAAATTTTGTAAATATTATTTATTATTATATATAGTAAATAGTAAATATAATTTATTATAAAAGCGAGTACAGTAGTATTTAAGCGCAGAATCCAGAAGACACTTGAAATAAGACAGGTATTGCTTCATCAGCGCTATGGTTGCCAATAATTTCAGAGTTTTTAATTTCGTCTCCGTCAATGTCGACTCTTTGAACAGTGTTATTTGATCCAAAACCGGCAAACAAGAATATCGAATCGTTGATTTGAAGAGACGAATGCGCTCTGACAGCCTTAAAACAATACATAATAGATAAATATAAACAACAAATAATAGCAAATGAAAAATTTGATGACAAACTCATCGATAAATCGCGTGATGAATAATAAACGTACGCTTTTCAAAGTTCCAGTTCGTGACCAGGAGTCGTTAGAAAGAAGCCAGATATCATCCAAATTAGTACTTCCATCGCGAACGCCACCAAGCATAAGTAAATTTCCGCTTTCAAGCCCGACCAAGACATGAGCACGAATATTGCTGAAAATAATTTATTGATTAAATAGTCATTCATTTTACCTTATTGGTGGATCTCCAATCACACTCCATCCAATTTCTGTTAGTGTTTCCACTTTCCTTGTGTCTCCGGAACCATGAGAACCAACAGTGGTCGGTTGATTTTTATACAACCCTAATTTTGCATATGAATGCCCGTAATTCGAGGAAGTCGTGGACGTTGAACTTGTTCCATCATAAATTTCGCAGTGGTTCTTATTGGAACCACTAGCGAAGCAGAGCAAGACTAAAATTTTAATTTTTAATCTGATATTCAAAATCTATAATTTCTCAAAAATTTGGCTAATTTACCTCGCGAATCGCCGTCAATAGAAAGAGCAGCACTTGCTTCGTCTATGTCATTCAAAAGCTTCTCCGATTTTTCTTCAAAATTGCATTCATGAAGAGCAGCAATCTGAAGTTTTAATTATATTTAGAAGAATCAAGTAATTATCAAACCTTCCTCTTTTCCGAATCTCCACCAAATATATAAAGTTGATTTCCAATTAGCGCATGCTGTGCTTTTTTCGCATAATCATCTGCAGGAGCGGTTATAGTTGCTGAAACTTTTGAATTTCCATCGCCAGAAATCACATATGCTTCTGAGTAACGAATAACGAGAATGAACATTTCGCTCTTGAAATTTTTCAATTGATTAAAAATTATACAAAGGGCTTACCGGATCGAGAGGCTGTTGAGTTGTCGGAGGAGCAGTTGTCGACGATGTTCCCTAGGAAATATTGAAGAAGACTCAGCAAATGATTAATCGTTACCTGTGACTGAAAGCAAGGGCAAGAAGTCATCCTTTCTCGATGTCCGGAGCAACAAGTTTCATGGCAGGTGTCGGTGGGCTCACAGGTTTTCATGCAGGAAGTCTGAAAGAAAAATCATCTCGAAGCTAAATTCCTCAATCAAACCATATCGTCAAGTGAGTCATTCAGGCAGGATTTGTATTCGGGGTTGTTCTGCTCCGCATCAAGACATTTCCCGGCGCAGAGGGGGTGTTCTTCGCACTCGACGCATCCAGTTGGACAGTCAGTTCCGCAAGGACAGGAATTATCGCAAGCTAAGAGACGTTTTTTTGCTTCTGATTGAAAATTTTAGTTTACCGGAGAAATTTGACAAACACGACGAGTGACATAAAGACGAGTCGCAGGAAGAGAGGCAGTCCAAGTACGTCAGTCTGCAAATTGCCAAGCATTCCTCGTAGAGAGGGCGATCGCTTAAAAAAAATGATGAAAGATTCATAAAATGTCTTTTGGGCTCATTTTCATACCCTGTCTCAGGTTTCCCGGCGAAGAATCCCTTCTATTGAATACTTACATGCATAACTCATCCTTTTCTCCAAGCAATCTCGAAAGAACCGCCGTCTCAGCATGAGAATCTCTTGAAAAAAAGAAAACTACAGTAAAAAACACAAGAAAAAACATTTTTTCCTTGCAGTCGAGTGACGGCTTTGTTGAAGAAACGCCTCGTTTTATGCGCTGCGCAAATTTTAACTCGCGTAAAACAAATTTAAGCTCGCCGTTTTCCGTAATTTTTATTGAATGAAATGGCGGCGTCTCAAGAACGATGATATTTACTTTCGATTCTTTTTGATTTTTTAATTCAGGCGAAAATACTGTAGATTTTGAAGAAAATCACAATCATTATAAATTTACGAGAGCCCGTTTGAGTGGTTATTTTATTTGACAATCTGCAAATATGAAAAATTCCTGGACACGCGAAAATTGAAAATAAAGCGTTTTTTGAGACAAAAAACTCAAAATTTTCAATGTCGGATTTTCGAGAAAACGGAGCGCTAGATTTTCCTTTCTCGGAATTTTCGCCGAAAAATGACGAATTGAATTTCGCCGAGGATCTTGGCTTGGTGATAATCGACGAGAGGAGATTTTTGGAAGAGTTTGAGAAGCAGGATGAAATTCTAGCGCAAATTGACGATGTCAACAAGAAACATTCGCGGAGATTGAAGGATATCGAAGTGGCGGTGATGAGAGTCAAGTGCGACCATTCCATGATTCAAGAAACTGTCGAGAAACAACAAAAACAATTGTGAGAAAAGAAGACATCGAATTCCCGACAAAAAATTGAAAAATTCTTTTATTGAAAAGGAGTTTTTTTTACTTTATGTTTTATTAAAAAAAAGAATGTATTCAGAAAGAAAGAATCACGGTGTGAAAGAAAATCGATTTCAGGCAAGCATTCTAGAGCGGTAAAAATTCATTCGCTTATTTCGAGGAGCAGGCTTGTCGGATCGTTTTGTCATCCTAGCAAAGGTATTCTGGTGATTGAGAAGGAAGCGGATGTAATCGGCTTCGAGCTGCTGGCTGTTGAATTTGACGGTGTTTTTGGCTCGAAGGTTGTTTCCAAGTCGGTTTTGGCCGATCAAGTCCGCCGCGATTTGGCCGAAAAGGAGGAAAAGGGAGATGAAGCGGGAAAGATGCATTTTTGAGCTGTTGATTTTTTGTTTTTGAGAGTTGAGTTGTTTTAGTTATTCTTTCGAACGGTGGTTGTATTTATGTGGATATTTTCGGGCAAGAACGCCACCAATAATTATGTTTATGGCGCCTTTCATAGCTCGTTGCTTTCTTTTTAATTGGAGTTTTAATTGTTCTTTCGACCGAAAGAAAGATAAAAATAAGTATCAATATAAGAGCAATTATATAATGGAAAGAAATGAACTCGTCAAATGAAACAAGCTTTCAAAGAGGCAAGCTCACCCAAAATGCTTACTATTCTTGCGAATGAGTTTATGCCGCCTTAAAGAATAGAAAATTAGAGGAGTTCTCTCTCTCTTATCGTGAGAATCAACCCTTTTTACTATAAAAAAAAAGATCTGAAATATTTGTTTTGCGCTATTTTAGCTGGTGTTTTTGCTTCGTCAAAGTTTACAGGAGCACATTTTGATTCGAAAGTTTGATTTATGATCGAAAATCTTCGGTAAAGGAAGTTTATGACGAGAGAACATGAACTTTTCAGCCTTTTAAATGGTTCATTTCTTATCTTTTGATAAAGCAATGAGTTTCTTTTTATCGAAAAATATATTTGTAAAGGACTATCTTATTTTTAAAGCTTTAGACCATGAGCTATATAATATAGCCTATATTTAAAGTTATTAAAACAGAAAGTGTTTTATTATTGTATCAAAAAATATGTGCAAGGTCCAAAGTCTATTTTTTAAACATTAAAAATGATTAAAAACCACTCATCCTTGGTTGAAATAGCCTTAAACTTAGATGTGCTTTTTGTAAGTCTGAAAATTTACTCTTTTGATTCTTTATCATCGATAGTAGAAGAAACGGCTTTATATAAATTTTCATAAGCTCGGAGAGACTCAAAAGGTTCATTGTTTCTCGATTTATTGCCGAGATACCGTTTTAAATTGGCACTTATTCAGTGGTAAAAAGCGATGATCAATCAGTAAATTCGGCTCTTTACTTCTTCAATCAACTTTTCTTTGACTAAGTTTTCTTGATGAAGATCGCGAAGGCAGTTTAGGCGTACCAACAACGATCGTTGTTCAATATTTTTGGAAAAAACCGAGTTAACAAACTCTGAAAGAACTTTTTATAATCTTGATTGCGGCCGTAAAACCATCAAAAATATCAAAGAAAATTCGAGTTATTTGAAATTATAAAACTAAACGAGAAAAAAGGCCTTCTGTTGTACAGAGGGATAAATTGTCCCGGACAATTGTATAATTGCCGCGTTGTAAAAAATGTTATAAAACTTTAACTTAAACGAATTGGGGGACCATAAAACAATATTTCGGAAAAAAAAACTAAGAAGAGCGAATTCGCTCGGCAACGAAAAGGTAAGAAATGAAGCTGAATTCATTCCTAAAAATATCAGCCCGAAAACAGTGTCTCATTTTGCTAGCTCTCATTATATAAATGTAATTTTCGATAAAAATAGTTTCGTAATTTCATTCAATTTTTTTTTTATTTATACTCTAAATGATGCACGTCTTTCTTTTCTTCAATAGATAAATTTAGTTTAATTAAAGATGCGTCTTAACTAAAAATAATTTATTGTAATGAAATTAATTTTGAGTTTCTAGGCGTTTTTCGGCATTTTGATTGCATCTTCATAAGATGGCAAATCGCTGAATTCTTGGTGTCCCTCGTTGCATTGATTTTGAGCGGTTTGCAGATTCGGAAGAGGGCGATTGTTTTCCACAAAGGATGTTGAAGCTGTTGTAGGTTGAATTCGAATGGAGTGGGAGATATTCAGCCCTTGGCTCAGAGTTTGGACGGTTGAAAGATGATGGATTCGGGATGATTGGGATTCGAGGAAGAGGACTCTGTTTCGCTCCCGGTTGTTTTTACTGAAAAATAATTTTAAGGGAATTATCCCAAAATGAGATTTTTCAATGAAGATTGTCTTTCCTAAGTTCAAAAATTAAGGGTATCCCTTCAATAATTTTAAAGAGAAGTCGCTTAAGGGGGTAGTCCTCGCTTTTGAAAAAATCGGAATTTTCAAATTTTTTAGCAGATTCTGAAAGCTCGTTAGAAGAGCTAAAAACTTTGTGTTGATCATTTTTTCCAAATGTAAGAGGAAAAACCCCAAAATCGCACTTGAAAAATAAGATTTTGATGAAGAATTTCAAAAACTCGAAATTTTTTGCCAATTTCATCCATAGATATAGCTCTTTTTCGATTTTAAATGACCTCTAGATAATAAAAATAATAAATAAAATGTCTATTATTATGCTTATTTAGTATAAATCATCCTCAAAAAACTTATTTTTCAAGATTTTGAGACCCAACCTTTGATTGATGGCATTACATTATGACTTTTTGGAATTTTTTAATTTCCCTTAATTCAAACCTAGACGAAGGTATGAACTTTCAAAAAAATCAATTAGTTTAAATTTTTGAAACATCCTCTTGATTTTAGGCGCGTTCGAAAATAGGCCAAAATGGCGATTTCGCCCGGGCTAGGTTCGATTATCGCCCCCTTACTCCTTAAGCAGGCGAATAAAATTTTTTTCCGTGAATTCAAACTTTTATCAGGGTTCGGCCTTTCTATTCATAGAGTTTTTATCCCTTAACTCCAGCGCAAATTTGTGGGAGCGCTGTTCAAAAAGTGCCGAGATCGCAAAAAGCAGGGACTACCTCCTTAAAGATCTTCGCCTCCTCCCTTTTCCGAGCGAAAAGAACTTACTATCTGAGAAAACACTTCATAAAATAAAAGCCGCCAATCAAAAGCACAGTAAAAACTCCGAAGCAAATGGTAATGAGCGTTCCCTTCGTTCTTCTCTCGTTGCTCATTTCTTCCGACATTCAAACATTCAAAATAGCTCATTTATAAGGAGCAAGCTAATGAATAATTTCACTCGTTAAAACTTTCTGACGCATCTGTATAAGGTCAGAGGGATTTGGAGGGAGACATTTCTAGGCTACGCGACGGGGATGATGAGTCATTTTTCATTTGTTTTCTGAAGTTTTCTTCGTTGATTTCAGTGAAATTTGGGGGGACTGGGCTTGGAAACCTGTTTAAAAAACCTAATCAGGGACAGAAGAAGATTCAAAGAAGCCGCATATACCTGACGATGGACCCTGACTCAGGTCTTAAAGACAGGTTTGTTGAATCTTTTAGCTGGATTTATAAAACCTAAGTCAGGGTCTGAAAAAGCCAGGCGGCTTTTTTTTGACGGCTTTTGTCAGACTCTGACTCACGTTTTCTAAATCCAGCTAAAAGATTCAACAAACCTGTCTTTAAGACCTGTGTCAGGGTCCATAGACTATAAGGCCTGTGCGGCATTTCGACGCTTTTTAGACCCTGACTCAGGCTTCTTCATAGATTGCCGAGCCCAAAAAGAGAATCCGGGGGAGAAATCGATCGATTTCGGTGAATAATCGAGGAAAATTTGAAGGTGAAAAATGCTTACCAGGCGAATTTTGCTGAATATATTAGAGTGTTACACAAAATTGTATAACAATCTTGTTCATAAAGAAACGACAATGGAATTGAAATTTGAAAACCGCCAAATGCGCTTGAAAATTCTTCAAATACTGTTTCTTCTGCTTGTAAATCTGACTGTAGCAATCAAAATGGTCGAAAGAAAACAACTTCACTTTCACAAGCTGAAAGTCAAGATCCACAGTCGATCGATTCTTGAAGACTTTATTTCTGTCTGTCTTTTTGGCGATTCTATTGAATAAAATATAAGCAGTCGGAGGATCCAGTACAGTGGTTGAATGAGTCACCCTTAGGCTGCGTTTTGAGCCAATGGGCTTATCGGGAAAATGCATTGTTGAAAACTTTCCAACAAAAAATCCGCTTTTCAAAAGCCCCTTTTTGCCAATTTAAAGTTTCTCTAGAAGCACTGGTTCATTTTTTTGATCGATCAGAAGATAGGAAGAAGAGAGAGCTTGAGAGCGCTAGAAAAATGAAGAAAAAGAGCCATGAACACTTGCTCATTTGGTCCGGAGCGTTTGAAATATTCTTTGGTGAGCGAAACGAAAATTGCGTTTTTGAATAAAATATCGACTTGATCAAAAATTAAAAAAAAGGGTCAAATCAGACTCTTCCTCAGGAATTTCAAGAGAGAGGATCAAAATTATGAGGAAGAAGCAATATGAGCTAGAGTTTCCATAAGAATTTATTTTAAGGGGGTAGGGGCCGTTAAATTCTTATCATTTTGCTTCGGCTCAAAAACCTGTGTAGAAAACCTGAGTCAGGGTCTGAATAGCGTAGGGGCTTCTTTTTTGCGCTCTTGAAACCCTGACTCAGGTTTTCTACACAGGTTGCCTACTATAGAAGAACAGTACGTAACTCTTAAACAAAGCACTTTGTAATCTGGTCTGGAACCCTTGAAATTTTCTTAGGTAAGTACTACGGCCTCGCCGTGAGGTTTTTATTCCACTGCGGTTTTATCGAAGGGTACACCCTTAAAACCTTTGTTTTTTCAAAGAAGTTTCTCCCCCTTTTTAGAAATTTGCGCTCCCACAATTTCGAAAACGAAGTTTTGTCGTTTCGTTGAGCTCATTAATTTCCGAAAATGTTCAGTCGGCGGCATTTTCTACGGCTGGCCAGCGCTGCAATTTGTGCTCAAGGAGGAAAATGTCTTCGCCGAGCTCTGCCATTTCGAAAACAGCACGACTTCTAGTAATTCCACCAGGCACGTTGATTCCCCTCGAGAGCTTATTTTGTTTACAAACTGGAATTTTCAATTTTCTCCGCACTGGAAGTTCAACTTCAAGATGGGCTGGAAACCTTTGTAAAAAACCTGAGTCAGGGTCTGAAATATCTTCTGTCAAAGCGGCTTTTCATTGAAGATTTTTCAGACCCTGACTCAGGTTTTCTACACAAGTAGCCGAGCCCAGGGCGAAAACGTTTACTTTATTTATTCATTTTTTTGTAAAAGTGGCGATTTCGAGCTTGGAAAAATCCTTCCCGGAAATTTTCTTTCCGAGTTGTTCAAAATTTTTCATTTTAAAACAAACGTCTCGGCTTCAGAGCATGAAATAAGCGAGGAATTTCTGTAATATTCCATTTTAAAACCTTACATACAATTTTCGAATAGATGTTTCTCGCCAAGGGGAATCAGGGACAAGTCAGATTTCTTGCGTGGAACAGGATAATAGATTCAACTCGATTTTCGTCTTTGGGGCGATGATGTCCAATTGCTTCGGAATGGAATACGGCTTTTTAAAAATTGATACTGTTAAAAATTACGAAAGGGAAGCAAGAAATTAAGGCTTTCTTAAATTTAACGGACATGTTTTTACAACAAAAATACTTCCGAAAGGAAGTCAAAACAAATCTCAATCCAGACTAAAAATTCCCCAAAACAATGTTGAGTTCGCTTGAGCCTTGATGTAACAATTAGCGAAAGAATCCGTCAAAAAATACTTTTGTCAACTTTCTGACCAGTTGACGTATATTTTCGACCCTCAAGGGTGTCAACATGACTTGAAGTTACATTCTAGAGTCATGTTTACCCGAAAAAACTTTACTAAAGAACTGGTAATTTTTCAAGAAAAATGATAGTTTTGTATGAAAAAGAATGGACCGAAACTCTTAGTACGTGACCCTGTGTAAAAAGCCTGAGTCAGGGTTTGAAGATGGTTTAATATAAAGCAGTGTCACCATTTTCAAATCCTGACTCAGGTTTTTTACCGAGGCTCTTCGTAATTAGGAAATTCGTCAGATTATTGAAGCCAAACAAAGTCTACGGTTACATCTTGGACAACATCGGCCTGATCCCCTGCCGTCTCGCCACCTCCATCCCTTTTTCTCTCGGCTTGGCGCTGATGGTCTTTTACAACAACCGCACCCTCTTCACCATCGGAACCGAACTAATGGCGATAGGCGGAATAGGAGTTCTGCTGACAAACATCACGGTTCAACCGATTTGGCCGAAAAAGACATCGACGATTGGATCGATCTTTTCGGGAACATTCGATGGCTCTGCGGGCACGATTTTGTTGCTAAAAGTTTTGTACGAAGCGGGTATTCCGTTACAGTACCTCTTCCTGGCTCTGTTTGCGCTCACCGGCATTCAGTGGTGGAGAACGTTTTTTGTTATGCCAGCGAAGGTAAGGCTTTCTTTTTAGTTTTTTTTTTTTCTAAATTATAATTCTAGCGCCTGCCCAATCCGATTCCAGAAGACTATGATATCCGAAAAGAAACCTATTTCGCCAAATTCACCAGTTCTTCCCCTCCTGCCGAGCAAACAAAAGAAGAAATGGAGCTTTTGGAAGAAAACGAAGCCGACTCGAAAATTGACAAGAAAAAAGATTTCATGAAAGAAATCAAAAGCGTCAAATTCATCCTTCTTGCTTATTGAAAAGGGACTTAAAAAAAAACATTTTTTTTTTAAATTTGAAAATTGCTTGTTTGAAAAAATCGCTCACGTGATCAGATTAAGGGGCCCAGTTTGGTAACGGATCAGAATATTGAAAATCCAGTTCTTTGTTTTTCGCCAAATAAGATCAGCTTTTCATCTGATTAGCGAATTCTTTTTCCCAAATTACCGTTTCCCTCCGCGAGTAAGAAAAAAGACGTGATAAGGAAATTCGGAAATTCGAAATTTCTAAAAACAAAGTCGATAAGTAAAAAACGTGTTTGAGCCCCTGCAAGTACTGCTGTGTATCTCTGCGGATAAACTCGTATCAATCGTGGTTTAACCCTTCGCTCCAATGGATGTTCAAGGACGACAAGGACAAGGGTAAGAAAAACGCCGAGTTGCGGTTTTTTCACTTCGTTTTTGATCCCGGAAAAAGGAAACTCAGTCGTTATTGACGGATATTTTTGGACTCACGTATATAATGTCAGGAAAAGTTGCGAATAAGTGTCAAAACCTGTGAAAAAATCTGAGTCAAGGTCCTTAAAATAGGAACTGACAAAAAAAATTCAACAAATTTTGCGTAGGCGGGTACTCGGTTTCTGATTGGTTGGTTTGCCCAATTCTGTCTTCTGATTGGTTGAAAATTTCCACGCGAAATTTGTCGGATATTATGTCGAAATTTTTCTTCGAACCCCGACTCAGGTTTTTCACACAGGTTCCCGAGCTCAGGCCAAAAAGAACAGTATTCGTAACTTGTTGAAGTCCCGTTATCGCCCGCTCCCGGAGCAATAGTCGATTTCGTCGCCAAAAAATACCGCCACTCAGAAAACAACCACGAAAAAGGGCAACGAGTCGGCATCGCCATCAACTGTCTTCTCATCACCATTTCGACCGTGATTCTCTCCTACCTCTGCACTTTTCAAAACAGCGTCAGCATCGCAAGTAAGATCCTCTTTTTAGACTGGACAATACAATATTTTGATTTTTAGTCACTGCGGAGGTAATTTTCTCGATTATCCGAACATTTCTCTACGCTGTTTGTGCTCAAGGAAATTTGGTTTTGATGATAGTAATAACTCGCCCCAGCGCTTTAGATCCAGTAATGGCCCTTTTTCGGCCTTCGAGTCAAAATCAATCGTTTCAGCTGCGTTTTTACTCTTTCCAAATCATCTGTTCGGTCTGATTTATGGATTCTTGAATCTTCTCAATGGTCTGGCGACTCTTCTGGCTGATCCGATTTTTCGAATCATTCAGGTGCTTTTTAGAAATTTCAAATAAGAGTCTTCCAAATGGAAAAATAAGAATTAGCTGCAAAAATAAAAATGATTTTTCGATAATAAAAAAATTTAAAATAAAATAATTAATTTAAAACAAAAGAAAAAATAAATTAAATTTATTAATTTATTTTTTAAAAATAATTATTAAATAAAAAAATATAATTAATATTGTATACATAATTAAGAAAATAATTCTAGGGCCCGCTAAAAGGAGATTACACTTTGGTCCACTACATTCTCGCGATTCTGGTTTTCTCGACAATCATACAGGTAGGAATGAAGATAAGACCACCCAGCTTTAAAATTAAAAATTTAAGAACATTCATCTTCTGAGAAACAAATCCGAAGCAGAAGTCAAAAAGACAAATTCAAACTTGGAAAGTTCTTCTTGAACCAAAATTATTGATAAATAAATTGAAACGTCTCGCTGCCGAAAAATGCTAAAATTCTAGCGTCAGCGAATTCAGCTCACGTAATGTTATTTTATAATTTGATCGAAATTTCTTCCGACTTGGAATTACGATTTCGGGACGGGTCAGCTTGAAAACCGCTTTTTCCAGAGAATTGGCAAAAGTGTAACTTCGGGTTAAATTTCGGTCGAAACACTTGAAACTCCTCAAAAAGGTCGCAAGTAGAGTAACTTACAGTGCTTGTCAAGTCCAGTAATTAAAAATGAAAGCATCATCGATGTCCAAAATTTCCGGGGCTAAGATCTTGAGCGCGAAGAAATCTGAAGAGGTCCTCAATCGAGGCTGGTATTTTTTTGAGAGATAAGAAGTTTAAGAAGGTTCCGTTTTGAAAGAGAGGAAAAGCTTGCTGATCTTGACCCGAGTCCCAAGTAAACTGGATAAATAATTAAAAAAGAGAAAATCACCAGAAATTTGGATGTTTGAAAGCAGCGTGAGGCGCGGCTTTTATGTTCAAAATTCGAAGCCGCATGCGGCTTCTTGAAGATTTTAATCGCTTTGCTTATTCAGAAATTGAAATGAACTTTTGTTAATAAAACAAAAGGGTTCAAAAAACCGACAGCTAGAATTCCTTCACTCTTCCCCGACCATGTTTACCCAATTTTCATCCACAAAACTATTTTCGAATTCCTTGTAGAACTCAAAAACCGCTTGCATGATCAAGAAAACTCGCGCGCCGCGTGCTAGCGCCACCTCGCTCCGCGTCGCGATCTCGTCGTATTTAAACGCGGCGAAATCAACGGCTGATCATCAAACCTGATCTAGAAATACTCTAGAGCTAGAAACAAAAGCCAAACAAAAAAAAACTTTTGAAAAATGAAACTTTCTCTTTCTCTCATTCCCGCGGCTTTTGCCTCCCTTCAAAGCACTCATGCTGAAAACGATCGAAAGGTAAGAAAGGAAAGAAATATTGAAAAAAAGCCGCTTGCGGATTTTCGAATCAAGCTTTCTTTTAAAAAAAAATTCTCCGAAATAAAAGCCGCTTGCGGCTTTTTTCCAAAATCAAAGCTGCTTTTTAATTTACTAAAAGAAAAATTGTTAAGGGTGTCAACAACTTTGAAAAATGAGTTTCTTTAAAAAATAAAAAAGCCGCTTTGCGGCTTCAATTTTCTCTCCTAGAATTCTTAGAAATCGATAACCGGCTACAATTTAGTGTTATATTTCCCTCTTTTTTATCCTTTTTCTAGGTCCCTCCCCGAACCCCCGAACAACGCTTGAACCGATTGAACCAATTCGCCGAAGAAATCCTCATCCAGCACTTTCCCCAGCTCCCTTCGCAAGAAAAATGGATCGGCAAGTTTCGAAAAAACGCCGGCCGAATGCTCCGAGCTTTTGAGCGAGAAAACTGCGGCTTCTTCGACCCTTCTCTTCCCCACGGCGGACCAGACCCAGATTTCGACGAAGACCGATACGACCGAGAAAACCCTAGAATTGGCGTGAAACAGATTACGACCGGCTACCGCAAGTGGGCGGAGAGATACATCAACAAGTGCGCCGGGCAGCGAAAGCACAAGTACCAAGTGACGAGAATGAATCGATGGAACCAGCTTCTTCAAAACCACTACAACAGATTCAACCCGCTGGAGTGATAGAAAACTGCTTTTACTGTATAATTTTATATAAATACTTTTTTGAAACTAACGAAAAACTGAGCTCATTTTTTAATAAAATCAAAACAAAAAAGCTTTGTTTTTTTTTAATTTTATTCTCGACGATAAAGGATAATCGGAGAAAGACAGGAGAGAAGAGTCTTGTTCTTCAGAAGAGCTTGAGGATTTGCTCAGCGGTGAACGCTTTTCGGCAGATTGGGCAGATCTTTCGTGGAAGAGAGTTCAAGCATCGGAAGCAGGAGCGATGGCCGCATTGGAGGGCGCATTCCTGACGAATGGTGCCGTTGTAGACTTCGAGACAGACCTTGCAGGAAGAGCGCTTTTCATCTTAAAAATTTGGTCAGAATTCAGGATTTAAAAAAAATCACCTGTGATTCCAAGTTTTTCTTCTGTTTCGGCGTGCACATCTTTGAGTGAGGCCTTCATGCTGTCGAGATCAGCCTGGGCTTTTTTGAGCTCAGCTTGAAGGAATTCGATGTCCGGCTTCAATTCATCAATTTGCTCGAGAATCAAAGCGTGAGTGCCTTTGTCTTTTAAGATAGGTCCTGCAAATTGCATAATAATTAATAAATAAATTATTTATTATTGATTGTTTTATGAAAGATTAGTTTTTTATCAACAATTGTGAATAAAAATCAAACCAAAGAAACCCAAGCCTTTTCCACGCATTTTCTTGGCATCATCGCAGCATTTTCCGATGATAAATTCTCGAGGAGAAAGATTCTCGACACCACATTTATGAGCTGGGCATCTGAGCTTCGCATCAGAAAGAACTAGTTGATGCTGAGAGTCGGGGTAGTATTCGTTAAAGCTCGAGAAGGATTTTCAAAATTATATAAGAAACTTTTAATATTAAGATGTAATTATAAAAGTAGAAATTAAATCTTTTGAAATCCTCTCCAATCAAGACAGACTGTCCATTTCTCTTTTGTGAGCTTCACCATCTTCTCAGTTACAGCATGACAGTATCTCCCATAGCGAGGCTGGTCCAAACGCTGGCAGACTCCAGCAATTGCTTTGGAAACTACAAACTCTCTGGCTATTTTCATTTTTTAAAAATCCTCTTTTTTGATTCAATTTCGAATGAAAAAAATGTTGATTGAAATATCTGTCGCCGCAAAAAAGGGAAAACTGCAAAATCAGAGCCTATCAGCTCGAAGGAATTCACAGAAACCCAATTCTCGAAATGAAAATCTTCAGACCGAACCATTCAAAATCAAAGTCAATTTCCAGATTTCAACTTCACTGTTGCGTTCAAGAATTTTCCTCAATTTTTCTATGGGAAGGAAGCATCTGGTATCTTCTGATTTTCAAAGTTCGATCTCAAAACTTCATAAAAATGAAGCTTCTTTGCATTTTTCTAGTCTCAGCTCATGCTGCCGTCGGAGATTTTTACTGGAATCAGTATGAAAACTACGGGTAAGCAACCTTTTATTCGGCAAAGAGCGACAAATTCCAAGGCTGATGGGCTACGTCCAGCACGATCCAGTAGAAACTCTCGAAACAGCCAAAGATCTTTGCATTTCAATGGGCGATAAATGCGCTGGAGTCACTCTAGAATCGGTTCTTGAAGCAGTTCTGACAATTTTTCAGCAAGAAAAAAGCTAGAAAACCGGTAAAAAGACGCTCTGGGCTACACCCTCCGCGCCGAACTCTTCTTTGTCTCCGAGCCCGAATCCCAAACCTTCGTCAAAGGCCAAATCTGGGCCGAAAACTTCGTCCCCCGCGCCCACTGGGAAGCCCGCCTCCCCCTCGGAATCGACAACTTCCACCACCCAGCCGGAACCGGCGTCATCGGCCACCACACTCACTGGGACAGATGCTACGACATGATCGACTGTATCAAGGAAGTCAAGAAGGTGCAGGACTACCATATGGACGGAAACGGCTGGTGGGATATTGGATACAACTTTTTGATCGGAGAAGATGGGCGGATTTATGAAGGAAGAGGCTTTCACATTCAAGGCTGGGCTTCGCAACCTGTGTAGAAACCTGACTCAGGGTTCTAAAAAAGCTTTGATGAAAAGCCGCTCAGCGGCTTTTTCTGAAACAAAGCCGCGAAGCGGCTATCAAAAAGTAATTCTCTCTTTCTTATTTCCTAAGTCAGGACCCTGACTCAGGTCTTTACACAGGTTACCAAGCCCAGTTCAGGCGCCCACTGCTCTGGCTGGAACACTCAAACCCTTGGCTTCACAATCATGGGCAGCTTCATTTCCGACCTTCCAAATGAACGAGCGTTGAACGCCGCGAAACAGCTCATGGCCGAAATGGAAAAGAGAAACTTCATCGATGAGCGCTGCTGGTCATTCTTTGGCCATCGAGATAAAGGAAGCACGACTTGTCCGGGAGATCGACTTTATGAAGAATTCAAGGGCTGGAAGAACTTTCACCGAGAATGCTATTGAATAAAGGAGCTACTTAGTTCTTTATGTTTTTATTAGTACAGTGAGTGTCAGTAGCGAGTGATAGAAAGAAAAGAAAAAAGGCAAAAGTGGTTTTAGACTTAGTGATGATCTTGAGAAGTCGGAATAGGCAAGGTAATCGGCGGCGGGGCAACTTGAGAAATAATTGCTCCCGGATTCGCTCCTGGCTGCGAGTTGAGGCAAACTTGATCGATCGAGTCGGAAACAGGTTGTTCTGGCATTGAGTAGATTGTTGGAGTACAATCAACCTGAAGTAACAATAAGAAAAATGGTGATGAAAAAATTGATAACAATTGAACATCGATATTAACGATGTCTACCCCCTTAAAAAGGGGTGGTGTCTTGAACTGACAAAAAATTTCGACAAATTTTGCGTTGGTGGCTAATCGGCTGCTGATTGGCTGGTTTTTCAAATCCAGGTTTCTGATTGGTTGAAAGTTTCAAGCAAAATTTATCGAAATTTTTTGTCGGTTCCAGACACCTTCCCCTTAAAAACCATCATCCTTACCTGATGCGCTTCGTCCCACTGGCTGACCGGCTGATAATACCCCGCCGAGTTGTTCGCCGCCGCGTGCTGATACTGCTCCGGCGTCCAGTAGACAAAGCCCGGCATGTTACTGTAGTACTCGCTCGCCTCATACTCCCGCCCGATCGGCTGATACATCGACGCTTGTTTCTGAGAATGCTCCATGGGCAGATTCATGTGCTTGACTTGCTTTTTGAACTTTGAGCGGCGATTTTGAAACCAAATCTTTACTGAAGAAAAAATTGAGGGGGAGGATTAATGCGTAATTCATGATCGGGGGAATGAATTATGGAAGCAGTGGCGCATGAATTCGTTTATTAACGAACCTTGTGTCTGCGTCAAGCCGAGTGTTGCTGCCAGCTCTGCTCGCTCGGGAAGGGCCAGGTATTGCGTCTTTTGGAAGCGGCGGACGAGCTCGTTCAGTTGGTAGGAGCTAGAAAGAAGGGTTAGGGTTAGGGAAAGGGTTGAACATAGTTTCAAGTGAATTTGAAATTTATTTTGTTCATTATTTCTAGTTTTTTGATGAAAAGAATCTCTTTCTTTCGGTTTTTAATTTTGACAGCAAATACCATAATTTTGATATTCCTTTATTTTACAAAGAGATTTTTCAAAACAAAAATTTTGACAAAACTAAACTTTATTCAGCACCGATTGATAAGTGAAGACCACGTTATTTTAATTAAGTAAAAGCAAAAAAATTCAAAGAAAAATTTGAAGAAGAAAATTTACAAACGAAAACTCGTTAAAAAACTTGAATTATTGAGGGAAAACTCGGTTAATTTTCAATTTTCAAAAGAGCTTACCTGTAAATCGTCCTTGGTTTCCTCGGCTTCTTCGATCCCTTGCTTCTTCTCCCTCCTTCCATCTGTTCAGGCGATTCCGACCGATCTTCCTCCAACCCTTCTTCATTCGCCATCGATCTTGACGATGCATTCGGCGAAATAGAATTCTCATAGGTCTCCTCAGGCTCATGCTTGGTATGCCACAAGATATTCCCATGACTAACCGGGACCGTCGAAACTTGAGGACTTTGATTCTCTCGTCCCGGCGAATCCCCGACAAAGGCCGAGCCAAAAGGAGGCAGAGCGATTTGGTACTCGCTCGGGGAAAATTCAACTGATTCCGTCATTTTTCTGATCTCTGTTTATCTTTTTTTCTTGATCTCAACAATCTTCAACGAGATCATCTCGCTTTTCCTCGATCATCTTTTTCGCGCTCCCACGCGAGGCGCACTTTTTCTCGGCTCCGGCGGCGCCATCTTCCGGCTCCTCGACTTTTTCTTCGGAAGTTTTTGTTTTTCAATAATTTCATCAATAAGTTAACAGTTATGAAAAATCATAGTAAAACTCTCAGATGCCGAAGGAAGGGAAGAAAGATTGTGAAAGGGAAAACAAACTCCTTTGCGATAATTCTGGCAATTTTTGTAATTCACTAAAATGAGCACATATTAAATATTCAAATGGTCCGTAAAACGTCGAACACCCTCACAAAATTAGAGAAAATCAACGCGATTTTTTCCCGCTACTGAGCTTTTTTGAAGTCTTTTTGGCAAGAAGCGGGATCAAGGAAGACTTTCAAGGGTTCAATTAAAAAAATAGATTGAATTGGTTATTTTGGCGTTGCTTTGCGGCCTTTTTTCTTTAAAAGCCGCTCCGCGGCTTTCATCAAAAGTCTCTCAGAACTTAACTCAGGTTTTTACACAGGCTTCTGATGATTTGGCAATTTTGTCTAACAAAGCAGCCTGTGTAAAAACCTGAGTCAGGTTTTGAGAGACTCTTGATGAAAGCCGCGTAGCGGCCTTTCTAAAAAAAGCCGCAAAGTAGCTTCACCCAAGCAAACAATTGAATTTATTTTTGTAGTACAAAATTGTCAAATCATCAGAAGATTATTCCAAAATTCCATCTGAGCTCTTCCAAGCAAAACATTAAATTCAGGGTACTTTGAATGATTTCGAAACGGAATGTAACCATGTCTCGGGAGCATAAAATCCAGGCGCGGATTAAAATCCCTAATTACGCTCCTAATCGTGCAGCGAGAAAAAAAGGCGTCAATCATTAATTGAAGAATAAATTTCCGGTCGAAGGGATTTTCCATGATCTCCGCCGCGCCTTGTCATGTTTCGCCGAATCGGGAAAAGGGATCAAAGAGGGTTAATTAATCAACGGGGATAGAATTTCTATTTCTAGAGCGCAAAAATAACATGATTCAAAATTTACTATTTTTTGATGGTTTTCAGCCTTTTTTCCTTTTTTGAAAATTTCTATTGGTCGATTTCTTTTGTCCAGAATTCGAGTATTTTTTGAGCCGTATCGATTCGATATCAATAGTATGTTTCAGTTACAGTGTTCCCTTTTTTGCTTTCTTTGCTCGACAAAGTTTGTGAAAGAAGTCGCTTTTATTGTTTGGCGTAATTGGCGGAGCAGCGAAAATAAAGCAAAAGTAATTGCCTCTGGATTTATTCTTTACTTTGAATGCTAACGCCATAATTGCGCCGATCCCTGCTTCCTCGCCTCGCTAGAAAAAAATAAATGATTTGGTAAGCTTGAGTCATGGTCAGAAAGATCTAAAATGAAAAGCCGCGTAGCGCAGAAACTGATCTTAATTGTACGAAGCCGCTTTACGCTTTCTTACTAGTATTTAAAAAGCCGCAACGCGGCTTTTCATTTTAGATCTTTCAGACCACTACTCAGGTTTTCATCACAGGTTGCTGAGGCCAGCAATCAGAATAACAAGCCATACAGTTAGCAGTGCTAACTTAGCACCCAAAATTTGATACATTTTCGAAGGTTTCGGCTACGAAAATATGTACGGAATTTTGGGTATTAACTGTATCAAGCCCTAAAAAGGGCTGCTTTCTTGTGACGTTGTATAGGCATTCTTAATTTCTTGATAATGCCCTTGATTTCTCAAAAGTATCCGTCGACCTCCTTCTTCATCACTTCGTCCAAGAGCAATTTGCTATTCTTGTCTAAAATTAATTTCAAAAAAAAAACAGAAGTCAAAACTTACCGCAACGGAAGAGCTTCCTCAAAAACTCAAAATTCGCAAATGAAGAAATCCCGCTTTTCATGCCGTTTATATACGCCGAGCTGAGAAGCGCAAGGAATTTTTCTTTCTAGATCTTCGCTTCTTCTCACTGCCGCGGCATTTCTCCAAAAAGATCGCCTTTTTTCTCTAGAGACGCTCGAGCTTCTCACCTTGGCGCGGTCTAGAAAGAAAAATCCCTTGCGCTTCTCACCAACGCGTATAAAAGCGGAGGAAGAAGCGGGAAGTCTTCAATCTGAAGATTTCTTCTTCGGGAGCAGGAATACCTGAGAAAAACGCCTAAAATTGGCGCACAGCGAATTTACACCACAGTGACATTTTAGCGGACAGGAACAGTCCCGTGAAGTAAGCCCTTTTCAGGGCTACAGATTGAAAGAAGAATTTTTTAGCTAGAATTTCTTTTGTTACTCTAACTTTTCTGCAAGTCGAGAAGCCGCTTGCGGTTTCGAATTATAAAAGACGAAAAAGCCGCGCTTTATTCTTTCCAACTCGAATTCGCGAGCGGCTTCTGGATTTTCAGAAAAGTCAATTTTGTAACTAAAGAAATTCTAGCTAGAAAAAGTGACGAAGAAATAAAAGTGATTTGATTTCCAAGATCATCGATTCTAGCTTCCCTGCCTCGTCGGAAACGGAGAAAAAGAGCAAAGCCGCTTGTCTCGAAGTTCCGCCATAATTGCCTGAGTCGAAAATTGGCTCAATTACTTTTCGAGCTTCAATTAAATCCACCTCCTCCAGAGCACCAGTCCGTCCAGCGACGATGAATGGTGCCGGTGCGTGTTCTGTCTCTCCAAATTTCAAAGATAATTGCCCGCAATTATGCGCCACTTCGTTCTGGAGTAAAAAAGGATGAATAATGAGAGTCTTCCTTCCAAGTTTTCTTTTCAAGAACAGATTTTCAAAAATCATAAAAGAAAAAAAAAATTGACTAAGTATAGATATTTTATTTATTCAGATTCGCCTCAGTACCACGGTGGTGGATAGCGCATGATTTGTCACGTCTAATTACTACTGTCTTTGAATTTGTTATTGAAATATTCTGAAGTTTTGAAGCCCTAAGAAGGGCACGTATGCCGAAAAATATGATCGAAGAATCAAAGAATCTTTCAAATCTTGAAGCGACTCTCATCTTTGACTAATTCTTGGTGTTATTTCGATTCCTTCGTTTTTGAGCCGAAAGTCGTGAGCTCGGTTTCGAGTAAATGGAAATTCTAGCCGCGCGCAGCACGGCTTTTCCTCCTCAGTTACTCGAAGCCGCTCGAGGCTTCTCGAATTTCGGCTAAAAACGAAGGAATCGAAGTAACACCAAAGAGTAGTCTGAAACTCTATTGTAGCTAGAATCGGGATTTCTTTTTTCTAAAAAAGCATTTCCTGTTGGAAATTTCATCATTCAGAGAAAAAAAGAAAATGAGAGGAAACAATCGATTTTATCATTTAGCGCTCAAGCCGAAGCGGCGAACACTTACTTAGGGTGACATTTATCACACTTTCCCAATTTTAATTCTAGAGGAGGCGATAAATGTCAATCACAAGTTGAAGCTTTTTGGAAACAAAAGAACTTCTCGCTCAGTCGCCTTACTCGCCAATTCAGCCCGCGAAACTGGGCAGCGCTTTCTTTTACAAAACGCTGGGGATGAAAATTACGGAGAGACTTTGGTTTCTGATCGGGCTGGCGAATGGAGGAATCATGTTTTGGATCATTTATGCGACGTTGACTGGCACTGGGCTCCGCATGTTCGGAATTTGATAAAACAAACATTTTTTGTACAGTCATTTCTGTATTTAAAATACATTATTTTGCTCAGTCTCTGTCAACAGGATGCTTCATCAGTTGAAGACCAAGGGTTTGTTTTTCGCTCTCAAATCTTAAATTATTTCTAAGTCGAAAATCTTCAAGCTAAAATATTTTTTACCTAGAGTCACTTCTGATAAGTTTCGAGACAAAAATATAAATCACTAGAATCGGCAAGATCTTCGTTTCACCGGAGTCGCCTTTCAGCTGAAAATATTTATTTGGGCTTCCCTCTTATTTTTGAATTTCATTACCTTTGAAAGACAGAATCCAAAAAGAAACAAATATGAAAGAAAAAACAGGCATTTCGCGTTTCTCAAACAAATAGGACTGAATTGAAATCGCTCTTTTTCAAACTGAAATCCTCTCATTTTTCGAATCGAGAGATCTGAGTCCCCAGTGGCATGAGTCGAGATTAATGGGAAAGAAAGTTCTGACAACTGGCATTTTCGACTTGAACAACTCTTAATTAAACTCACAACAACTCTTGCTTCCTAAGCTAATAAATGTTTGATCAGTTCTTGGAGCATTTCGTAAGATCCCCCTTGGCCGAAGGAGGTGACATTTGAATTGACGATTGACCCTGAAAGTACTCGTGTTGAATCCTGGGGATGACTCGCGAGGCAGAATTTACGACCTGCTAATTTTCACGCGTGGCGTTTTTTTTCTGCAAGTTTTATTGTCGAAAATTACTGTACTTCCTTCGCAGCTTGTTTCTTCCGGAAAAGTCAATGGCAAAAGAAGTCTTTTTTGTTCGAACTTTCAAGGTGTCGATTTTCGTCATTGAAATCAAGGAAGAAACCAGCTCAAAAAGATGAGAAAAAGAGCTCGTTAAAGGCGCAAATTCAAGGATGAGGAGTGCGAGCTCCATCTTTTTCTTGAAGAGATAGGATGGCAGGGGGTCACCGGCGCTACGAGCTTGGCTTCTAATCAGTAGTTAACTCGACCGCCACACGAGATGTCTGAATTCACCGAGGACCAGATTGCTGGTAAGTTGAAGAAAAGAGATAAAATTTTTGGTTCTGACGGAATTTTGAACCTTTTTTGAGCGAAATCTATATTTTCAATCTTCTTTTATCATTGCTATTTGGTTCAAGGGGCCTGTTTGCCTATTTGTAAAGCGTAAAATTAAGGGTATCCCTTTGATAAGATTTTTAGCTTTCAGAGACGCTTTCGAGCTCTTTGACCGAACTGGCGCTGGAACCATCGCCTACAAAGAGTGCTCCTCTCTCGCCCGATGCTTTGGCTACTCTCCCACTGATGCTTTCGTCAAGAGTACGTTCCCTTTCCCTTATCCCATCTTCATTTCCTTTCAGACCTCCTCAGTGGCGGTGATGGAATCACTGAGCTCGAGAATGAGCTCTCCAACAAGGACATGGAAGAAAAGATGATCACCCTGGACGAGTTCCTCCCCCACCTCTGGAACATCTCCCAGGCTCCCGATCCAGGAAACTACGAAGACTTCTACGAGGGACTCAAGGTCTTCGACAAGAACGGTCAGGGTCTTGTCAGGTACGCTCTCTCCCCCAAACTATTCTCTAAAAGAAGCTAGCTCTGCTGAACTCCGACACGTCCTCACCTCCCTTGGTGAGAAGATGACCGCCCAGGAAGTCGAGAAGCTCTGCGAAGGTCTCGAAAACAACGACGGTGAAGTCAACTACGACATCTTCATCAAGACCCTTATGTCCGACAAGGAAGGCATCTGGACCCCAGAGGAATGAGTAATCGACAATTTTGTACTGTACTGACTTTTAACTCTCTTTTGTGACTATTCAAAGTTTTGGGGAAATTTTGAATAAAAAAACAGACTCCGTGTATTACACGGCGTGTAAGTCAAAATTCGAATTTTGAATCAATTATTTTTTATTGCGATTTTGTACAGTATTTACAGAATTTATGCTGAAGCAGTTTCGGTCAATTCGTGAGGTAATCGTACAGAATTATAAAGAGAAAGACTTGAAGACTTGGATTTTCTAGAGGTCAAAGGTCATGCTCGCCACGGACTCGTCTTGGCTCACTCGCTGGGCGACTCGATCTTGTTCTCGTTGTAAAATCGCTCTAGAATTCGAAGTTTGCTTTTGAGGCTAAAAGAACAGCGAGTACCTCATCGTTTGGCGGATAAAATCACGGACTTTTTCTTCAGAAGATTTGTATTTTTCGACGAGTCTGTCGATGAAATCCTGTCGCTTTTTGAGCTGATCTGTCAGGCGGACGCTTTGATCTGAGAGACCCTTGAGTTCGGAAGTGACGTCTTTATGCTCGTCTGATTCGTCGGCAAGCTTTTCTAGGGCGGATTGAAGAAGGCGGATCTAAAGCGCATTCATTGAAATTCGAGAAAGGGAAGGATGCTTACAGTTTCTTTGGATTCTTTCAGAACATCGATGCTTTCTTTCTTCTTCTTTCCAGCACTAGAACTGGACCTAGAAGAAGATCAGGTTACCAGATCTTTTGAAAAGCTTACTCGAGGGAAGATGGACCGGAAACTTCTTCTCTGACGATTTCTGGCTCGCTGAAAATGTACCGCAATTCATTCACCATCTAAACAAAGCTCTAAAATCACGAGCAAAAGACTTTCCTGACCTCAAGCTTGAGTTTTTCTTCAGCAGTCCAGTTATCTTTTACCTCCAGATTTTCGATTTTCTCGACAAGGGAGTCTCCAAGACTCATATCTAGAACAATCAGAAATCCATCCGAAGCACTCATTTTACCTTGAATTTCAGAATCAGGAGATCTTCTTCCTGAGCTCTTCAATTTTCCCTCCAAAACTTTGATCTTGCTCTTCAGCTCTCCGATTTCCTCCTCATACAACTCGCATTCCGCGCGGCTTTGATCCAAATGGCTTTGAAGATCATCCGCTTTTGAGCTCATCGATGCTTGTTCAAGCATTTCTTCCTGCTTCTCGATCTTGTCCAGGGCGGAGGTGTATTCGGTCATGAGTTTGTCATAATCATCGACGTTCGGTTTCGCCGTTGTTTCTCGCAGGGCTTCGAGCTCTTTTTGCTGCCAGATGAGCTTGTTTCGAGCTGAATAACTGTAACGAAAGGTGCTTCAAATCGACGTTACCTTGTTTGAGATCACGCTCAGTTTCTTCATGCTCTCGTTTAAGCTGATCCAGTTCGTAGGAAAGTCGATTGTTTTCGTCGTCAATGACTCGCATTTCATCCCTTTTCCAATATATTGTTTTGTATCAAAAGATTATCATACCTGTTACGAATGAGCTGATCAGTCATGCTCTCGTTTATCCTGTCGAGAGATCTGTTCGACGAACTGATTGACATATTCATCAAGTCAGATTGGTCACGTGAGGCCCTGTTCAAGTGCCCTTCAAGAATATCCGTCTGTTCAAGCGCACGCGAGTTCTTGTTTTCCAGCTTTGAATTTCGATCGTCAAGTTCTCTCAGTTGCGCTAAAAAATCAATTTCTTCTTTTCCTACAAAAAATATTACCTTGGAGCTGTCGCATATCGCACTTCATCTTTTTAATATTCCAAAGAGCGTCGTCATCGATTGGATCTCGTCGTTGAACAGCTAGTTTTTCTTCATCAACAAAAATTTCATCGTTGTTTTTCAGCTCCCGAGCCATGATGCCGTCGAAAGTTCGTTCTGGTGCTGGAATTCTAATGAGAAGTGGGTCGGACAGACGTCTTTTTTCAGTTTTTCAAGAGCTCTTTTTCTCTGACTCGAATGAAATTCGCTTGACAGAAACTGTTCCTGTTCGAATTTTGAGCGTTTTGAAGAAGCTGCTGGTCGTAGGGCTCCTGGAGCAGCTCCAGTTCATTTCGGCAACGCGCGAGCTTTTGTTTCAACTCGTCGTTTTTGGCCAGGAGTTGGTCGTACACTGAAATTCGATAGCTTTGATTTTTTCACAAAACTCACGTGTTGTTAATTCTTCAAGTTCTTGACCAAGCTCGTGTTTTTCTTCCACCGCTTTTTTGAACTTCTTTTTGTGCTTTTCCGCGTCGTATGCTTCGATCTTTAGCTCCTTGTTTTCATCCTTTAGTTCTTCGATTTCTTTCTCGAGCTCGTCGATTTCCTCGGCTTTTTCTTTCAGATTTCTTTTCAGATCTTCGAGGGCCTTTTCTTGCTCTTCGGGGCTCTTTTTCGCGAGTTCGGAGACGTTTGGCTTGAGCGCTTGAAGTTGAACTTCGTTTTCCATTGTTTGGAGCTCCAACTCGTCGAGTTTTTTGGACGGGATTGGTGTCGACTGCCTCGAGGACGATTTCGAGTCGCTCTTTTCCAGCTCTTCGAGTTTTGAAGAAATCAAGGAAGAGTTCAGCCTGTCGACTTCTGCCAGCGCCCCTTCTTTCAGCTGCTTGGCTAGTTCTGCTTCTTCCTTTGCTTTGGCAAGCTCGTCTTCTGCCTCTGATCTTCGTTTCTTTTCTCGCTCGAGTTCGCTCAAAGCTCCTTCTTTCAACATCTGCTGAGCTTCTGGCTTTTGGAGATCGCTGATTGTTTGGTTGAGTTTTTCAACGATGCGCTCTAGGTCCTTGTTTTTCTCCTCTTCGTCCTTGAGCTTTTTCTGGGTGTTAGTTAGCTCGTGGAGGACGCCTTCCTTGAGGTTCTTTTGGGTATCGGCTTCGAGAAGGTCTGGGACGGAGTCGACTCGTTTGGCCGGGCGGAGGTCGACTTCATCGTCGGAATCGCGGCCTTTGTACATGGCGACCAAGGCAGCAAGGCGCTTGACTTCAGCTCTGAAGAAAATTATGGTAGAAACTAAGGTTCGGTTATGGAAGAAAATTAAGGTTCGGTTTATTCTATCAATAAAATTAGATTGAAATAATATCTATTCTTCTTTCAAAAAGAATATTTATGGTTTTTTCAATATTACCTAAGTTTCTCATTTTCTTCCGCTAGGTCACCAGAACTCGAGCCAGAATCACTCTTCTCCGCAGTAATAAACTTCATCTGAGTCTGGGTCAAATCCAGCTGCGCTCTCAAATCAGCCATTTCTTCTTGTAACCTTTCATTTTCATCCTGAAGTTCTTTCAGAAGATTTGAGTTATCAACTGACGGCTCAGCAGAAACTGCTTGTTCAATTGAGCTTTCAATGTCAGAATGCGTTTGTAAAAAGGGATTAGACGATTGAACTTGCTGCTCCTGCGCGACAATCGGGGCAAGGGTAATCGAACCAGGGCGGGATTGAACGTCTTCGTGGAGATTTTCGTTCTCTTCGGTGAGTTTTTCGATCTCTTCCTTGTTTTTCTGTCGGATTTCTTCGAGCTTGTGATTTTGCGCCTTGAGCTCGTCATTTTCATCCTCCAAATCGGCTATCTGGTCTTTTAGGTTTTCAAGATCAGGGTTGTTGATTTCTTTGGACTTTTTGATGACGAGAATCTTTTTGATATCATCAATGATTTCTTCCGGTTGAGATTCGTCGTTCATATCCGGGAAGATGTCCGACTCTTCCTCTTCAGAAGAATCCTCTGGCTCCTCCGATTCTGCGGCTTTTTTCAATGCTTTGAGCGCGGCTAAAGTCTTGGCTCGCTCGAATTTCTCATTCTTCACTTGCTCCTCGATTTGGGAAAGTTCTGCGTCTTTTTCTCTCAATTCAGCTTCGAGTTCTTGATAGGCTTCGTTGAGCTGAGCTTTTTCCTCTTGTTCGTTTTCAATCAACTTTTTCAATGCAAGAGCTTCAAGGTATTTTTCTTCAAGGTCTTTTTCCAGAGCTTCTTTTTCGCCCTTCAGTTCCTCAACTTCCTTTTTAAGGTCTTCAATGTCGTCAGATCTGTCCTTGAGAGCCTTCAAAGCGACGAGTTCCTTGAGTCGATTTTCATTCTCTTCCTTGATTTCATCATTTTCCGCTTGCGAGTTTTTCAGCTTGTTCTTCAGATCGCTAAGGTCATCTTCGACCGCTTGGAGGTCCTCATTTTTGAGTTCAAGGTCCTCCTCGAGTCCGGCTTTATCTTGGAGCAGTTTTTCCAGCTGACCTGTGAGCTCGTTTATTTTCTGTTGCTGGAAATCGAGGTCTTCTTCCAAATGAGCTTTTTCATCTTGGTACTCTTTTTTGAGAGTTTCAACGTCGCCGACAGAATCGCGCTCTGAAATAAGACGCTCGTTTTCAATCTGCAGTCGTCGGATGATTATCATTTGTGGTTCAGCGGGGATGTTTTCCGTCGAGCTTCCGAGGGGAATGTCCTCGAGGGTTTGCGTCTTGTCGAAGATGCCGGAATCCAAGGTCTTGGTCGAGCCCGTGAGGGGTTTCTTCGCAAGATCTTCTGCAGAGCTGTCAGCGTCCTGGGCATTTCGGAGCTCTTCGAGTTCTGATTTCAGCTCATCTCGCTCTTCCTTGAGCGCGGAGAGGTTCGATTCAAGGCCTTCATTGGCGGTTTTCGCCTCTTCAAGTTCTTTTTCGAGTTCGGAAACTTTGTCCGCAGCTTTTTTCAGGACGAGAAGATCTTTCAACTGTCGATTGTTTTCTGCAATCGTTCGTTCATAGGTTTGGATTTGCTCATCTTTCGCGAGAATTTCTTTCTCTTTCTTGTCAATTTCATCTTCGAGGACTTTTGAAAACTCGAGATCTTTTTCCAAGCCCTTGATCTTCGCTTCCTGCTGGTCTCGTTGATCTTCCAGCGCCGCGATTTCGTCCTCGAGCTCTTTGATTCTGTTTGGATCGGCTGAATTGAGAGCGTTTTGCTCTTCAAGAGCAAGAGCTTGTTTGAGCGACTCGATCTCGTCATTTCGATCTTTCAGTTCTTTCGCGATCAGGAGTTTTGCTGCTTTGGCTTCTTCATTTTCAGCCGCTTGTTTTTCTAGCTCCTCGTTTTTGTCCTTGAGCTCGTTGAGTTCGTCGGTCAGTTTTTCAATCTCTTCTTTTCGCTCGGCCAATTCCTTGGCGATGAGAACCTTCTTGGCTCGATCATCTTCAGCGTCTTGCTTTTCTGATTCGAGCTTGGCGTTTTCGTTTTCTAGAGATTTATTCGCAGCTTCGAGCTTTTCAATTTCTTCCTTTCGATCAGCAAGTTCCTTGGCGATGAGAATTTTCTTGGCCCGACCGTCCTCTGTTTCTTGATTTTCCGCAAGCTCAGCATTTTCTGCTTTGAGGGATTCTAGCTCTTGATTGAGTTTTTCAATATCTTCTTTTCGGTCAGCAAGTTCTTTTGCGACAAGCAATTTTTTAGCTCGATCTTCTTCGGATTCTTGATTTTCGGCGAGCTGGGCATTTTCTGCCTTGAGGTTTTCAATCTCTTCTTTGAGGAAATCAATTTCGTCCTGTCGATCTTTCAATTCTTTCGCGACAATCAGCGCTTTTGCTCTATCGCCATCAGCAGTTTCTTGCTCTTCCGCGAGCTCGGATTCTAGCTCTGCCACTTTTTGCTTCAAATTGACGACTTCTGTGGATTTTGAGTTGAGTTCTTCTTCCAAATCTTGAATCGCTTCGTCTTGGTCTTTGATTTGTTTTTCTAGAGCGGCGAGATTCGCCTTGGTCTTTTCAAGCTCGTCTTCCAAGTTTTCTTTGTCAGTTTGAGCTTCTTCCAAAAGCTTGATCTTGGCAAGCGTTTTTAGCTTTTCTTCCCGGGATTTTTCGCTCTCTCCGTTGAGATCTTCGATTTGGTCTTCCAGAGATTTGATGGTTTCTTCGAGTTCTTCAATGATTTTGACCTTTTCTTCCTTTTCAGCCTCGAGCGCCTGGATTTTCTCCTCGTTTTCTTTGTCTTCCTGGAAAGACGCGTTTTTCAAGTCTTCAACAGAGGACTTGACTGAGTCGAGCGTTTGATTCAGCAGTTTGTTTTGGTGCTTTGCATCTGCAAGCGCTCTTTCGTCCAGCTCGCTCATTTCACTCGCCGCATCAAGTTGTTCTGCGTACGTGTCGATTTGCTCCTGCAGCTCCTTTTTCTCCTCTTCCAAGTCCTTGATCTTTTTCAGCGCCGCGAGCTTGGCGAGTTTGTGATCATTCGACTCATCCGCTGCTTGCTGGAGCTCGTTCATTAGGTCCTTGTGCGCGGTGGTTAGCTCGGCCAGTTCTTCCTTGGCATCTTTTCGCTCGAGGAAGAGCTTTTCGACGTCGTTTTCGAGGGAGGCTTTTTCTTCCTTGATTTCTGCGAGTTCGGAGTTCAGTTTTTCGATTTCCTTTTCTTTGTCGGCGAGGTTTTTCAAGGCCAAGATCTAGAAGAAAAAATAAAAACCATAATAGATGGAAGATTGTTTCAAGTTAGAAATTTTATTTCTTAAAAACAATGAATCCCTATTAATAAGCATTCAACGCGCGTTTATAGTCGGGTGCCCTTACCTTAGCAGCTTTATGATCATCTTCTTCATCCAAATCATCCTTGAGCTCCTTATTTGCTTCAATAAGCGCTTCATTTAGCTTCTCCAGCTCTTCGATTTGATCATCCTTATCTTTAAGCGCTTCATTCAGCTCATTTTCCAGCTCATCCTCTCGATCCTTCAATTTCTTGAGCAACACTGCTTTGTTCCTCCTTTCCGTTTCCAGGTCGTCATTGAAACCAGCGACTTCGTTCTGAAGCTCTCGGATTTCATCGTCTTTCTTTTGAACATCTTTTTCTAGCTGCTTGATGATTTCATTTTTCTCGCCCTTTTCTTTTTCGAAATCATCTTGAAGGCCCTTCAGATTCGAGTTGAAATCGTCTTGGATTTTGTCCACTTCTTCAGTTTTTTCCTTCAATTGGGAGAGAAGGAAAGCGTTTTTGCGCCTCTCTTCTTTGTCATCATCCTCTAGTTGTTTTCGTAAAGCCTCGTTTTCAGCAGTTAATCGTTCAATCTCCCTCTTGAGCGCTTCTTCCTGCAACTGCGCCTCGCCAATTTCAAAGAACTTGTCTTCCAGGACCTTTTTCTCTGCCTCCGTTTTCGCGAGATTTTCTTTCAGTTCGTCGATTTCGTTTTCTCTTTCCTTCATATTTTTGAGAATGGCAGCATTCTTGACCTTTTCACGATCCAGCTGTGTGCCTTCATCTTCACTCGCTTCCGGCGGCGGTGGTCCGGCTGATTGGACGAGGTTTTCTTGCACCGGCAGAGCTTGAACAGCTGGAGGAGCTTCAACATTTTCGATAAAAACTGGTGGGGCATCAACATCACTTGAAACTGGGCTCGGCAACCTGAGTCAAAAAGAGCCCAAATGAAAAGCCGCGAAGCGGCTTCGCCAAGATAAGAATTTGAATGTAATTTTTAAGATTTTAAAAGCCGCTTCGCGGCTCTTTTGAAAGAAAAGCCGCTACGCGGCTTTCATTAAAGATTTTTCAGAAGCCTGACTCTGGTTTTCTGCACAGGTTGCGGAGCCCAGACTTGAAGAACTTGAATTCGACGATGATTCTTTTCTTTCTTTCTTCAGCCTTGCATTTTCCGCAATCAATCGCTCATTCTCCTCCTTTAGCTTAGTCATCTGCTCGGAGTCCGAATCCGGATCACGTGAAAGATCGTCGGTCGATTTCATCGAGGCAGTGCTCAGCGGTCGTTTTTCAACGCTCGTCTTTTTCTTGCTCGGTACGCGTTTGATCTTCACCTTAGATGGCTTAGTGTCTTCATCGCTAGAACTCGTTCGTTCCTCCTTTTTGAGTTTTTGGGCGAGCGCCGCGGTCTTTAGCATTTCATTTTCGCGCTTCAAATCTTCTGCTTTTTGCTTTAACTCGGCGATTTTCCTCGAATCGAACAAGGTGTTCACCTGCTTGTTGACCATCTTTTCGTTCTTCACTTTTTCCGTCTGGATGGTTTTTGAACTCGTGACTTTGGGCTTGGTCTTGGTCGATTGATCCTTCGTCTTGATTTTCTCGGGATTGGTGCCGGAGGATTTGGTCTTGGTTTTCTTCGATTTGTCCTTGATGACCTTGGCTTTGGCGAGTTTCTTTGCTTTGTCGGATTTGGAGGACTTGGAAGACTTGGTGTTTTCGGACTCAGAGTCGGAGGATGAGCTGGAAGAGGTTTCAATCGTGTCATACTAGATAAAAGGCATAAATTTAAATTTTGATATCAGATAATGTTTGATCTACCTTCGATTTCGGCCACTCAATCGGATCGCAGGCCATATCCATCATTGTCTTTTGCACAACCGGTGCCGCTGCATTGACATTCTGCTGCTGCTGCATCCTGTTGACAATCACCGCCTTCTGAACCGGGGTAGCTTCAATATCCGAGTGATCCGCGGCCGAGTCGATTCCAGAGTCCAAATTTGATGTTTGCTGAGTCTTGTTCGAGCTTTTATGCAGGTTGCTCTCTGTTCCTCATTATCAACTTCTCGATCGGGCAAATTTTATTTGCAAAAAACACAAGATAATAGGAAAAAGTAAAGAAAGAAAACTCATCAAGCCGTTTTATCGCCACTTTTTGGTCAATATTAGTTTTGAGTAATTTCGCCGAAATTTTTCTCAAAAACTGAAAATTGAAAAATATGTTTGTATAGATCCTGAGTCAGGATCCATAAAAAGAAAAAGATAAATTCAAAGCCGCGTAGCGGCTTTTTTGAAAATGAAGCCGCGCAGCGGCTTCCGAGAATTATAAAATAAGACTCAAATGGGAGTTTTGCGAAGCCGCTTTGCGGCTTCATTTTTAGAAAAGCCGCTATGCGGCTTTCCGTTTAGGCTTCTTATGTCCCTGACTCAGGATTCCTACACAGGTTGAATTCGATTTTTGGGCTCTAGAAGGCCAAAAGTCGAAGAAAGCAACCTTCCTGAGAATTTCCTTTGTTTGAGAAAACGAGTCGGTCAGTTCCATGGTCGTGTTCCTCTGCACATTTGTTTGGCTTGGGGCATCAACACCACTCTTCGGCTTCGTCGTTTGCATGGCTATTTCATGCGCCAACACCTTCGCCTGCGATTTCTCATCCTTGACCTGCAATTGCGGAGTTTGGGAGGAATAGTCTTCGGATTTCTTGCGCTCGGGCGGCTCAGTCTGCGATTCTTTGGAAACCATCTTGACATGTTCGACCTTTTTCGAGCGAATCGCCTCGACATGCTGTCTTGTCAACTGCGGAATATCGTATTCGAAGATTGGTTGGGCCGCGATCGTGACTTAACAAACCCTTTAACAAAATGTCTAGTAGACACTTGGCGGCTCGTTAATTCATAAATCTGAGCGACAACGACACGCGCATTTATTAATTTCGTGTTCCACGATTCAAGTGTTCCGATTCGAATCAACGCGTAGAAACAAATGCTGGCTGATTTGGACGAGCAAATATTTGAATGGAGAAAATGAAAATGGGACTTCAGCTCAAAACTCAGCTACAACACCAATTTGTGTCCAAAGAGATTACCTGTAGTTTCGACCACTTCATCAGCTGGTTCCTGATAGTGGATTATCTTGAGATAGCTAATTTGAGTCCTGTTGATGGTCGATTCTTTCGTCGAATCAAGACTTGTTTCGGTTTTCGAGGGATCTTCAGCAACAGTATCATCCAACGCATCGAGTTCAGCATTAACTTCATTCAGCTACAAAAACAAGTGGTTATTCTTATCCAAATACAGGGAGAAAAAGTCAGGCGTGACGTCAGAAAACTCATAAAACCGTGCGGTGGAGAAGAGCAAATTCTGATTGATCTGCTTGAACAAATGCGCGAACAAATAGAACCTCAACTGGAATTTTCTCATGTTGAAACTTGCTCTGTCTACTTTTTTATCATTTTCATAAAATATTTTTCATGACACATTTCTTCCGCTCAATTCAAAAAATTTAAGATGGCATTTTTCCTAACCTGTTTTTCAGTTTCCTCTCTTCTCGAAGGATACTTTTTCAAAATATCTTCCAGAGTTTCTCTTTTCCTCAAAAGTTCGAGCCGCTTCATCATTTTTTGAATTTCATCTTCGAACGCCCATTCTTGATCCTTTATGATCGAATGTTCAGCGACAAAAACAACGTTTTCACTTGTCTCGCAGTGTCGAAGCCCCTTGACGATGCGGTCGTTGCTGTCGTCGACGAAACTTTTGTACTCGTCTCGAACTTTCTTCGTTGATTGCAGAGTCGTTTCAAGATCGTCAGAAGACATGTCCTTTTCGTCAAAGTCCTGGGTTCGGCGGACAGAAGGCGTTTGCGGAGGAGCCACCATCATCGACGAAGATGCCCAGCCTCCACCAGCGCCGTCGACGATGCTCAAATCGCCACTCATCGTTAGACTGAAAAGATCATCAAACAACTTGATTCGAACCCATAATAGGACTTTCTTCTCTTCGAATAAGTATTTTATAGATTGAAGGCTCTAAAATGTGAAAGTTTCTACATCTGTTTAATTTAAGCTAGGAATATTACCATGATCTTCGAAAACAAAAAAAAATATGAAAATAATTAAGTTTTCCAAGCAATATCTATTTTTCAAAAATATCAAATAGAGAACCATAATTTTAAAAATCACTATGAAAAATCGCAAAAAAGCCACCCTTATTCGTCGATGAAATATACTAATTTGAGGAATTATTTGTCCTTCCTTTATGAAAACAAAAAAATATTGATCATTCTATTAATTGATAAGATAGAGTTAACTTACTCCATTGGTGGACCTTCTGCATCCATCTCAATATCGCTCAGTGGGCTGAGAGGGGAACGAATTCCCTTTTTCTTGGCTTTTCTCCTTTCTTTTTTACCCGTCTTTCGACTCAAAAATCGCTTCAAGAAAACATCAAAACCGCGAATGTTTGATTGAACTCTCAATTCTCAGTTCTTTCCATATCCATTTCAATAATTCGAATTCGAATAAAAGAACGTTTATTGTAATCGGAGAAAAAGCCCGTCCCTGCCCGTCCATGATCTCCTTTGTATCTCCGCTCGGGTCTCTTTGAAACTGATAGGCGTCTCTAGAAAATCGGGGAAAGCGAGATGGAAAGCGCGGCGAAGAATGTGTGTATCGAGTGAGAGAAAAGAGAAATTCGGCCTTGTTCAAATTTGCGCCACATTTGCCGTCGAGATTAATTTTTACCATTTTTTTGATTTAGAATTGAAACGCAAATATTTGAAAATTTCGCACGACGCGACGTTCTCTCTTTTACAGCTGGTAAAGACTGCAATTGCTTCCATTTCAAATTGCCAGGAATCATTTTGAGAATGAAAGAAGGTCGATTTTAAGAGTTAAAATTATTAAAACTTTTCATTATATTCTTCACTTTGAAATCGCAAGGAATTCTCGCTGATTTGAATTCATTAAAATTTTATTAGATTTTTCGGCTCGTTCTCAGGGGTGCAATTCAAGAGGCAGCCGGATGATAAGGCGATACCGCGTTTTTATGAAAATTGATAGTATCGCAGTGCGGTTTTTTATTCTGTATTTTCCGAAATAATGATATGAAGATATTTGACAGTTGTTGACATGGTCGTCTAAAAAGTGGGCGCTCTCAGAATGCAAGTAGATTCGATTAGTTTAAGAGCGGCGAAAATGGTGAGCCGTGCTGCTGATAAGCACCAGCGGTACTTCATTATCATCTCGTTAGATTTCCAGAGGTCACGTGCTTCTGCATTTAATCAAAAAGGATAGCTCGGAATCGTTTATTGTGACTTTTATAATGTCTCACGATGACGAGCAATTATTTCCAATGAATCTGAGGAAAACTGGTGTAAACCGAGGATTTGAGAGATCGGAAGAACTATTCATCTGACGAAACGTAATAATTTGACGCTGATGATGTCAGTTATCCTTTCGTAGCGTGAGAGCTATAAAAATCCATGCGTACGTAGCGCCGCTTACTTATTCAGCCCTATTTACCGGTCTTATCGCAGCGGTATATAAGGCTGAATTTCGGTCAGCAGCGTCAATCAGAAATCAGAAAAAGACAAATCAAAAAAAAAACAAAGTAAAAACAATTTTATTCGACTTTATCAAACAAAACTCAAAAATATGTCCATTTGGAAATCGAAAATGAGCATTTTAATTTTTTTCCATCTTTTGACTTCGATTCCTGCCATCTTTCTTCCAATCTACAATCCACATCCAACAACCTACAGATTTAATCATCAGAATCGAGTTTCATTTTCTGCTCAAAATCTTAATGCTCTTTTGCGATCAAAAAGAACAACAATGACTTCTCCACGGAAGTTTTTTAGCAAAGAATTCTGCTTCCGACAACAAAATCAGCTGACCAATGCCTGTTTCTTTTTTCGAAAAAATTGTGTTGGCGAGTACACTCTTGGAATACGAGCAATCAACAACAGCAATGAGTTCAGATGCATCTGCGACACATCTCACCGTGGAAAAACATGCTCTCAACAAAAAGATACCAAATAGAAAAATTTTTGCCTTATCGCTTTATTGCTGAAAGCTGCTCAACTGACATTTTCGTGGCGCGCTAGAAACCGATAGTATTTTTCACAAAGTTTTGTAAATTTCCGACGAATAGTTTTAAAAAAAAATGGTTTTCAAACCTGAAAAAAATATTTAAAATGTAAAAAAAATATCTAAGAAATTGTTTCATGCTGCAAAATCAAACCAAGAATTGAATAATAAATCAGTTGTAAATTTAATTATTTTTTATTTTTACAGAACTTTCCTATTTTTTTGGTCGTTGTCTTTTTATCGATATTTTGAACACTTGTTGGAGCACTCAGCCGCGTGTGAGGAACGAGGCTTTGTCAAACCGAAGCTGCTTTGAGAACGTGAGCTTATCGCATCCTCGGGCCGGGCCCGTGCGCGCACCTCAATTTCATGCAGCGGTACTCGAATTCCGCTGCACGTTTTTACGAGTTTAGAGGAACGTGCGGCGCCATATTGGCGCTTCCGCTCTTTTTAAAAGATAAGGAAATTGGGAATCAAATTTGAAAGAGATAAAAAATTATAATCGATTTTGTCGTCCCGAAAAAAAAATCGACTCAAAAAAAAAAAACTCTTAGCAAGAAAAATTAAAGAATTGAACATTTATTTGCTTGATCGAATAAGGGTTTCGCCATGATAATTGCTAAAAAGAAGGTCTTTAAAGATTTTCAAATTTTTCAAATTTTAAAACGTCTTTTGGATAGTCTGAATTCTGTGTAGAAACCTGAGTCAGGGTTCTGAAAAGGTGTTAGAAAAAAGCCGCGTCTTTCAAGACCCTGACTCAGGTTTTCAACACAGGTTTTCGAGACAATTTTTGATAAATATTTTTCCATAAAAAGCCTCGATAAAATCAACCTCTAGAATCTTTTATTACTCCACTTCATTTTAGTTCTCCGAAAAACCGGCCCTAGAAATCGCCTCAGGCAAATCTTAAAACTCTGAGACGCTAAATCTTTTACGTTGCTTATTTAACAAAATCAAGGTTTTTTGATTTTTTGAAATGTTTTCACATTATATTTGCAGAAGAAAGTAAGGAAAAATTTTGTTGTTTTCAAAATTCGCATTTCAAGCTTAGCTTAAAATGCTTCATTTGTACAGAAACTCAAGCTCGAGTTGTTTAGCAGTCACCGGCTCGGGAGGCGATGTTTCGGACTCGGTTGGTTCGCTTGGAGAAGGCTCGCTCGAAGTTCTTCTTGGGGTAGGAGTCGACGCAGACGAAGGTTCGGAGGTAAGATCGGAGGGCGGTCTGGACCTGGCCGGCGAGCTTGCAGTAGTTCTCCTGGTCGAAGACGAGGTTGTCGTCTCCCTCATCGACTTCATCGGCGGCGCATGGGGTGAGGTCGAGGGCTTCGAGCTGGCCGAAGAGCTTGTCGGTCCAGGCCTGGACTCGGCCAACGTTCTTGTCGGAAGCGGTGGTGTTGTTGTCCATGAGATCGATGAGGGTGGCGGTGTGGCCCTTGATCTTGTTCAATCGCTTGGTTGGGCTGAAAGAAAGAATTAAAATGTGGTCAAAATTGAGAGAAAAAGATTATTTTATTGGTTTTTTAGAGGCTACGCGGCTTTTCTCATTTTCTAGTCAAAAAATGAAGGAATGATTTTTTTTCCAAAAAAGCCGCGCGCGGCTTTTTCAAATATTTTTAATAAGCTTTTTTTAAGAATTTTATTTCTCTTTGAAAAATTTAACTTACTTGGGGGTTCGGCCAGCGAGGGCGGCGGCGAGCATGCAAGAGTTGAGGAGCTTCATTTTTAGTGTATGTTTTTTTGATCAATGATACTTAGTTGCGAGCGCGCGGGGTTTTTATGATTCCAGAGCTCGCTAGGTGGAGATAGTAAACTGCGCCCCGCGGAGCCGTAACATTTTGCGGGGTCACCGCTCCTAATTTTCCGTAAAACGGTTCTTTTCTGCGGCTTTCGGAATAATTCGAAATAGAATTTTCGAAATAAGATGAAAAAATAAAAAATGTTTTCAAAAGAAAAATTGTTTTTTGAATGCTTTTCCATTTTATTTGCAGAAAATGAAATAAAGAAAAGGGTTGAAAATCGGGGAATCAATCGTTGTTTCGGCAGTTACAATACCTTTCAAAATTAACAGTCTCCAGCTCGGTAGGCGATGTTTCGAAATCGGTTGGTTCGCTTGGAAAAGGCTTTTTCGAAGTTCTTCTTAGGGTAGGAGTCGACGCAGACGAAGGTTCGGAGGTACGATCGAAGAGCACCTTGGACCTGACTGGCAAGCTTGCAGAATTCATCTTGTTGGAACCCGGCGACATCGTCTGCTTCGGGAGCAACGTAAGTGCATGGAGTTAGGTCTAGTCCCTCGAGTTGGGCGAAAAGCTTGTCGGTCCAAGCAGTGACTCGGCCAACGTTCTTGTCGGAAGCGGTGGTGTTGTTGTCCATGAGGTCGATGAGGGTGGCGGTAAGACCCTTGATCTTGTTTAATCGCTTGTCAGCACTAGAAAAGACGGTTCGAAGGGATGTCACAAGGAGAAAATTTTCTCTAAACTTACTTTTTTTCACGGCCAGCGAGGGAAACAGCAAAAAGAAGAGATCCAAAAAGCTTCATTTTTTATCAAAGTATTCGTCTGTGAGGATTTTTCGATCTCTCGAAGCGTTTTTATACCTTCTAAAGCCGCAAGGTCTGTTTTCTTACGCCGTACTTATTCGATCGCTGCGGCAGGGACACGTGACCGCCAATTTCATTAACCATGACATTTTACGCGGGGTCTCAATAAATCTGCTTTATTAATGCTATCGCATTTTATTTGCAGAGAAAATATAAAGAAAAGGTTTGGCAATCCGTGAATCAAGAGTCAATCGTCGGCAGTTACAGTTTCAATGAAAAATTAACAGTCACCAGCTCGGGCGGCGATGTTTCGGACTCGGTTGGTTCGCTTCGAGAACGCCTTTTCGAAGTTCTTCTTGGGGTAGGAGTCGACGCAGACGAAAGTTCGGAGGTACGATCGGAGGGCGGTCTGGACCTGGCCGGCGAGCTTGCAGTAGTTTTCTTGATCGAAGACGGCGGTATCGTCTTCTTCGGCGACTTCATCAGCAGCGCATCGGGTGAGGTCGAGCCCTTCAAGCTGGCTGAAGAGCTTGTCGGTCCAGGCCTGGACTCGGCCGACGTTCTTGTCGGAAGCGGTGGTGTTGTTGTCCATGAGGTCGATGAGGGTGGCGGTGTGGCCCTTGATTTTGTTCAATCGCCTGGCAGCACTAGAAATGACGATGAATACACTTCACCAGAATGAAAAGAAAAAAGGGTCTTCTATTGTCAATTTCTCTGTTAACTTACTCTTTTTCTCGGGCAGCGAGGGTGACGGCTAGGAGAGCAGATCCAAAAAGCTTCATTTTTCTATCAAATTATTCGTCTGTGACGATTTTTCGATCTTTTCTCCTGTTTTTATACCTTCTAGAGCCGCAAGGAGTCGGTAGAGAAGACCAAACCAGTTGGTTCTGGAACCAAAAGAGCCGCGGGAAGAGCTTGCTGAGTTTAAAGCGAAGGTACGTTGCTAGAACTCGGCCTCGGGTCAGTTTTCCTGCGCCGTACTTTTTCGATGGCCGCCGGAACACGTGACCGCCAATTTCAACATCTCTCTCTTTTTCTTCTTGATAATAAGTTGAGCCGATGATTGAAATTCAATGCGGAAGACAAATCCACGCTGCGTTAAAAATTCTGCTCCGAAGCCCCCGCCCTCTTTTCTGCACGAAAATCATGAATTTAAAATCATTTCTGTATATTTTTCTTCTCAAAGATGTAAAAGGATACTATAAACGATCGTTTGGGATGAGGAAGTTTTCCAACGGAAGCTTGAGAAATGCGAGATTGAGGAATTTGAAGAGCAGTTTTAGAAACACTGCGAATCGAATACCAAAGTACAGGTATTTATGCCGAAATGGGTTAAACAAAATCGACCATGGGAAAATTAATTTATTATAACTCGCAACTCGAAAGCCTCGTTTTCGAAAAATGCGTTCACAAGTAGTCCCTCATTAGTAGCTCCAACAAGATTAAATTAGCCAGAGTTTCGACAACCAATTTTACAAATGAGAAAACATGGAATCCATATCAAACTCAGAATCCTTCATTTTCAGTGCAAACATCTAAACACGTCTTTTAAGCACTTATCTCCGGGCTCGTTTGCTGACTGAAAACAAAAACAGAGGGCCGCCACGAATGCGGAATTATCCGAAAACAACGCTGCGCTCTTTCCAGAATCAAAGGTATTCTTCCCTTTTCCGGCCCTTTTCCAACCCTTTCAAGGCCCGTTCCGACCCGTCCCGCACTGCCACCTGCTCAGAGAGCGAACATTCCAGGACCAACGGTTTATAAGGGGCCCGAACCTAAGTGGACCTTTACTTGGCAAAAGGGAGACTTTTGCTATGGAAATACTGGAGCAGCGCTTCCCTGCCAGGAACCAATTCGAAATGGCAGCATGTGCAAGAAAAAACTGCCCTGGTCGGATAGAGGGTGGACAGAAGTGGAGATTTATTGCTTGAGAAATCCGAATTATCCAAAGTTGTCGATTAGAAAAGAAAAAATCAAACAGGTGGAACTCAAAAGCTTACTTTTTTTCCTTTTTTGGTCAAGAATTAAGGGTGTCACCACGTTAAATCTTAATTTTTCTTTCAGTGTTTCTATCAAGACGGCCTGTACGAATGCTGGGAGCACTGGTCGACCAACCATTTATTAGAAGATTTCAACTATTCTTCTTGAGAATCTTTCAAAATTCTTTCAAAATTCTGTAACAAATAAAGCCCCCCTAAAGCAATTTTTGACAATTGAGTGACAGGTGTCTAGACACGACAGCTAAGAGTCAGAATATTTTTCTGAGTCAGAATTCTGATTTGTTAATTTTCGGCTTTGAAATTCAGAGCAGCTAAGAAAAGGCTGCTGCATTTTGAAGCAACACCACCGCGGGCAGTTTCGATATGCGGCATGCAGCTTGCGCGTGAGCGGTTTCCTGATAACCTTTTCTAAAGCGGTAATCTCAGACGGGTCCCGTGAGGTTGATGCATCGCTCAAAGTTACATCAGAACGCAGCACTTTTTTATAAACATGAAAACAAGTGATAAAGTCGTGTTCATAATTTGACGAAAAATCATTAATAATGACAATATGGTTGATAGAAATAAAAAAAAGGATTTTTTAATGAACTTTCTCGTCAACTGACGGAGATAATTTCTAATGACCCCAGAGCAGTTGTTTCGATGCCTTGTTTTTCCTTTATAAATATTTTTTGACATATTTTCTTTGTCTGAAAAAATAGCGGTGTTCTACCGATATAAAAGAGAGCTCAATGAATAAATTCCTCAGACTCTTTCTCCAAATATGAAAGTTTTTCTTTTTTCATTTTTCTTCTTTCTCGTTCTTTGTGCGACTCCGTACTCGTTCATAAAAAGTCATCCCGGCGCTGGTAAGAATCCAAAAAGGCCTTTTATAAAATCTCTGTAGAGCTGAATTTGGATGTTGTCAACGACGAACACGGCGATCATGACAACAAAATAGACGCTTCTCACAAACTTAACCATCAACCGAAGAAAAATGAGTTTGGACCACTTTTTGGGTACTTTTAATTTTCTTTTTGAATAAAGATTCGTACTTGCTATTTTTTCTTTCTCCTGAAAAAATCCTGAGTCAGGCTTTTTGGCTTTTGAGTAAAGATCTTTTTGGCCCTGACTCAGGCTTTTTCGTTTTTTTTTCCGAATAAAATTGAACTTTTTCGTTTTGGAAGACTTTTAAGACTTTTATTATTTACAGAAAATGCCTCAAATATTCGTAATCGTGTATTTATACGAGCTGTACTTTCTTATCCTCAAATAATCTCCGATCGCTTCGAGCGCCAGCGCAGTCAGGAACATGATCAAAATCGCAATCACTAAATTGAGTAAAACTAAAATTCTCTTCCTTGATTCCCGCTTCGCCGAAAAACTCACAACTATACGCAGAAACCTCGATTTGATCATGCTGATCTTGGTTGTCGTGCAAAACGTTAAAAATATCTCGCGCTGGTCGGCTTTTCAGCATTCACAAATATCGCCTTTTGGAAAATGCGAGTTTCATTGAAATTGCTAACCGCTTTTTTGGTGGAGGAAGCCAATTTTATCGGTTTATTAATTGCTTGTCGATTCTCGACCGTTTTAGACGCAATTTGATGATCAAATAGAGAATTTTTGAGAAGAGGGTTTTTGATAAAAAATAATGAAAAGAGAAAAAGGTAGATTTAATGAATTCTTAAAATTACTTACGTAGACAAGAATCGATCTCCAGCTTCTTTTGGTTAAATATGAATTAGACTTTTTTAAGGGCCTATACAGAGTTATTTGGATTTTTCCCGAAACTATTTAAGGTAGACCCTTAATCTTAATTGCAACTTTTAGATTATTCCTTGCTCTATCATCGCTTCCCTTTGGGTAATTCGTAGGTATCAAACTTAAGGGTATACGGCGTAAAAAGGAAATCAGCATAAAAAAGCTTGAGTTTAACCATTTTCTGAAGACTTGCGCCGGGCGAACCATGCATAAACGACATTTTTTTTCTCCTCCTCTATTTTTTCTCCTTCTTTTTGAAAAAAAAAAATCTCAGTCCATTGGGTTTCTTCACTCTCAGCAAAAAGATAAATAAAGCTTCTCTATTATTAACAACTAATTGCTAAGTGGCTCTCTTTCTTGTTTTATCATTTAGTAAAGCAGAATGGCCGATGAAGCTGGCAAGGTACAAGTCGTGCGGGGACGCGCTATATCAACAGTGCCTGCCGGTATAAATTTTTAAAGCTGTATATCCTTATTGGTTGCTCGAGCAGAAACAAATACGAACTTATAATTTCATTCATCTTTTTAATCCTCATTTTACTTTCCCGAGGGACATCGTTTTGGAACGTAGCGATCAATTTTTCCTTTTTCTATTTCTGATGATTTTTTCTTTTATATTAATTTGACCGAAAACAGTCAAGAAAATGTATCTTTGAAAAGGGCAAAATTTGAATAAACTAAATATCAAGCTCATCAAAGAGCATCAAAAACACGCGAGTCAATTAAATGGTCAGAGAGAAAAAAAATGACTCGGCTTATTATTAATTTTTCGAGTTTTTTCGGAATTTTGGCGCTTCAGAATCAATGGATGAAGGATATTTTGAAAGACAACTGCATGTAAGAGCATTTTCTATTATGATTTGAGCAATGAATAAGTGACACTGATATCCATGATGTGTGTCTCCATGGTTGTCGGATTGAATACATTGACTGTCTTGCCGGATGTGGTGACCAAACACTCTGTCAGAATCAGTGTCGCGTTGATTTTGGAGGTGAGTTTCATCAGCACCGTTTGATAAACTGATTTTGCCAAGCTTGCGATTCATCATGCCCATGTGGCCTGAATTGCCCCCTCGGCTGCAAGGGTTGCTCCCATCCCCTCTGCGAATGTTACGAAGCTGAGATCAACAATGAAAATTACAAACAATGCATTGAAAACGCCTTGGAGGATCAAAATAATTGCATCAAGAGCTGCCCTCCAAGTCTCATCTGCATGGAAGAATGTTGCAAAGCGTACCAGCTGGAGGTCAAATCCTGCCCGTGCATCGAAGAGGGCACAAATCCTTGTAAGAATAATCCTTGTCAAAATGGCGGAACTTGCAATGCAGATGGGGAACAGTATTCTTGCTCTTGTCCCATCGGCATTTCAGGCAACAATTGTGAGACAACACCTTGCTCTTCTGAACCCTGTGAGTACGGAGAGTGCAGTTTTGTCGGAGCCATTTGGAGCTGCGAGTGTCCAAGTGAGCTTTTCGCTGGCCGAGATTGCTCAATAACTCCGTGTGAAAATGACGATTCGAATCTTCCCCCAGCATGTTTCAATTATGGCGAGTGCAGTATGGTCGGCGATGATTACATCTGCAAGTGCCCAGAATTCCATACTGGAGATAGATGCGAATCTTATCCTTGCATGCATCTTCCTTGCCAAAATGGGGGAGTCTGCGTTAATACTGGAGATGACTCATTTGAATGTCAATGCCCAGAAGACATTACGGGAGAGCTTTGCGAAGAACTTCCTCCTGTGACAAACAGCTGTTATGAAATGGACTGCGAAGATGTCTGCATTGAGATGGAGGATGGACCAAGATGCTTCTATAATCAACTTGTTGGATTTTTGAACAATAACAACAATGAGGTAGAATTATTGAAATCATTGGAAAATTGAGAAAAAAAATAAGTTCACTGTCACTTGCGGAAACCCCTACAATCCATTTATGCTGACAACGCCTGAAATTGAGATTCATCATTTGGAAATCGAACCGACTTATAAATTGAATGAGTACTTCATCAACAGTCATGGCTGTGGAGGACAAGGCAATTGTCGAGCTAGTTTTGCAAAAGGTTCGCGAATACTCACACTGACACTGTCAGTCTGACAGTACTTTTTATTGAACATTGATTCTAGATATGCTTGATTTGGGAGATGAAGTCAAACATGAAGAAGTCGGAAGAGCTGGTTTTTTGCAAACTTGGAAACTTCAAAAAGCATGCGGAGTAAATCATGATTTTGGCGGAAAAAAATTTGATTATAATTCATTAAGGGCCCTGATTGTGATAATTGGTGGATAAAAACGACAGTCACTGATAGTAAAGGTAGTTTACAAAGCGAAAAATTTAATAAAGAGCTTCAATTAAAGGACAAGAGCTTGCTTGGAGAGGCGAAGTTGAAATGATGGAGAGAGGCGATTTTCTGGCAGTTAGATTTTCTGGCAGTTAGACTTTCTGGCAGAGGCGATTTTCTGGCACTGCCAGAAAATCTAACTGCCAGAAAATCGCCTCTTTTGATTTGAATCTACAGTTAATGATCCTGGAAGGTAAAAAACGGAGAGGGTTTTCGACAGTACCACCAATTTTTTCTTACACGTTTTTTTAAAAATTCATTGACAAAAGCCACTTTTGATCCATTTATTTAAGATTATTGGCTGTAGCAAACATAAATCAGCTTCTTGCGGGAATTTTTGTGTTAATCAGCCGGTGTTATTTGCATCTGATTTCGAGTACTTGGTCATAGCGGGCACCCACTGAGATAATGGCGCACGCTAATGTTTTTTGAAACTGAACTTGTTATAAAATTCTCCAGAAAATTCTTCCTCAGGTGGTGAAATCACCTTTATAGGATGGATAATATTTGAAATTCTGCAAGAAAGTCTTTTGTATAAAATCATTTTATAAATTCGAAAAACTAGTGATTATCACACAAATTTCATTTCGGAGCAGTTTCAGCAGGAGTTTGCACCTTTCGACGGGAGCGATTGATCTAAAAGCCGACTATTCAGGGCGCTAAAAAAAGACTACGAATTGGGAACTGAAATTTGAATGAAGTCGATAAAAGTTGTTCCTTTCGATGAAAACAACCCTCAGTTTCTCTGGACACTTGTCAATGCAACTGCTTTGCCATAATTGTTCTCTTTAATAATAAGATCATTTTCTTATTCTTAAGTCTTGTACATTTTTATTAAAAATAAACGAACAAAAAGAATTAACGAGTTCTGCATGCATAATTATATATTTGCATATTTGAAATTGGAGGAGAAAGGAGAACTGTCGAAAATATACCAAGCAACCAGAATTTTCCATTATTTATCTATGTATTTTAAAATGTCAAAAACCACACACTTTCCTTCTGATTCGCGGAAACTCTTCGTATTCGAGAGGTACTTTTTCTTCTTACAGTCTTCTGGGAGCGATTTTTTATGTTCAGATCAAGAGAGCAAGATGTCCACTTCTTCAAAATCAAGCGATTCCAATAAGACACTGAAGAATTCTTCCGTGGGAAGCACTCCGAAAGAATTTTTCGAAAGTCAACAGTATAAAAGTATCCGAACTTAATGTAAACATTTTATTCATTATCCCAGAATTCACTGAAGACTACGAAGAGGTTGATAGAGAACTCGCACCGATTCTTACAGATCTTGAAAATAATCTCGGAGCATTCTCTCATTTGAAGGCTAAAATTGAATCTCTTGGCAATCAACTTAAAAAAACAAAAGATGAGAAAAACAACCTAAAAAATCAGCTAGACACACAAAAACTGAATAGAAAAAACTTGGAAAACGAAAAAAATCTCCTTGAGGAAGACGTTGCTCTCCAGCAGCAAAAACTGACCGAACTCGACAAAATAAAGGAAAGCATTTCTGATCAGCTTGTAAGAGTCAGGTATGCAATACTTACCTTATGAAATCATTTAATTGTTGAAAAAAAGAGATGAAATGAACGTCACAGATAATGAAAACAACCGGCTCTCCTACGAACTGGATCAGCTTAAACGAGAGCATGAAGAAACTGAGCATGATCTCAAACAAGGTAACGTCGATTTTAGCCATCTTTTGTTACAATTATTCAGCTCGAAAGAAACTCTCCTTGCAGCAAAAAGAACTCGAAGTTCTGAAAGAAGCAACGGCAAAATCCAAGGATGAGCATGACAAACTCATGACCGAATACACTTCCGCTCTCGACAAGATTGAGAAGCAGGAAGAGATGCAGGCATCGATGAGCTCAAGAGCAGATGAACTTCAAAGTCATTTGGATCAGAGCCGCGCAGAATGCGAATTGTACGAAGAGGAAATCAGAGAGCTGAAGAGAAAGATCAGAGTTTTGGAGGAAAAATTAATGAACTCGGGAAGAAGATCTTCAGATTCTGAAATTCAAGGTATAATGTGGCCTGCAGATGGATTTACTGATCGTTCTAGATATGAGTCTCGGAGACTCCCTTGTTGAGAAAATCGAAAATCTGGAGATAGAAGATGACTGGACTGCTGAAGAACGGGCCAAACTCGAGGTGAGGAAACTACCTTATTTTTCCTCGCAATTCTATAGCTTTCTTTCAGATAGTGAATGAGTTGCGCTACATCTTCAGCGAGCCAGAAATCGCCAGAGAAGAAGCTTCCGGTCCATCATCCTTAGAGTAAGCTTTTCAATAAATTTATCTAACTTACATCTAACTTTCTCTCGGTCAAGTTCTCGCGCTGGAGAGAAAAGGAAAGAAAGCATCGATGTTCTGAAAGAATCTAGAGAAACTGTAAGCTCGCTTTTTTTGTTATCAAATTTTCATGTTATTCGTTTCAGATCCGCCTTCTTCAATCCGCTCTTGAAAAGCTCACCGACGATTCTGACGAGCATAAAGACGTCACTTCGGAACTCAAGGGTCTATCAGATCAAAGTGTTCGACTAACAGATCAGCTCAAAAAACGACTTGATAACATTGACGAACAACACAAATCTTCAATAGAAAAAGCCGATTTTATGCGTGAAACGATGAGGTTGACGATTTTTTATGTTTTTCAAAATCAATTTCCAATTCTAGAGCGCTTATACAACTTGGACAAGATCGAGGTGTCCAGCGAGAAAGCCAAGATGAGTCCGTGGCTAACATGATCTTTGACCTCTAGAAAGCCAAAGTCTTCGAATAATTTATTATTATTTATTTAATAGTATGAGTATGATAAACGCTCTATCATAAAAAGCATCCCAATAAATATTGCAATAACATTTATCAGTTGACTATATAAAAAAATGATTTCGAGATTTATTTATTCATTCAAAAACCTTCATTGAAAAAATCAAGAATTCCTTGATAATTTGGCCCGAATTCGTTGTTGTCTTCTTTTTCCTGCTTCGAGGAAGCTTCTTTGACGACTTCTTCGGTGATTCCTGATTGTTTGAGTTTCGCCTGGTAGTAGAGCATCTGCTGTTGCGCCAGTTTATCTTCCAATTCGATTATTCGCGCCTTAAAGTTTCAATAGACAGGAGCTGCAGGAGCAAGAAAACTTACTGTAAGATGTTTTGATTCCTGGTCTCTCGATCGCAAAATATCATCAATGAGAAATTTAAAATCCTCGACTTCAACAGCCAGCGCATTGAGCGGCTCATCAGTTTCATCCGCTTGAGCAAAAGCGGCGCAAAAAACTCCGAAAAATCTGAAAAGCTTCATTTTTTCGTCTCAGGAAAACTATTTCATCTTTTGGAGGAGACTTTCTTATAGACACTTTAATCGGGCGACAATTGACAATTACTCGAGTAATTTATAACAGCCACGTTTTCGGTGAGACGATTAGGTGATTGATCGTTTAGACCGTCTTTTAGAGGATGAGTCGACGTCGGATGAAGTTGCGAAAGATCTTTCTGTCTGAGTTGAAGGAATGGAGAAAGAGCTTATTCATTAGGACAAGCAGTGACTGTAAAAAGGTCAAAAACTGTATGTTGTTGGAAGAAAAAAGTGATAAGTTAAGGAAAAAATTGTTGATTCAAAGTTATTTCAACAATTTGAAAGATCTGAGTAAGCGCGAACGCGAGCTAATCCATCAATACGGAGGTCCTTGACCTGAAGCAGACTGATAATTGGCAATGAGAAGGATTTTATGGCCAAACGACTTCTAAGTAAGTGCAGATTACTAAGGGAACTTGATTATGTAAGCGATTTGGTGATGTCATTACAAAGAAATCTGACGAATTTATGACGAAAATCAACAAAGGGATACCCTTATTTTCTTTTATTATTATAACAAAAACAAGCTCAAAAAATAAGGGTGTCACATTCTTAACATCGATTTGAAATGTAAATTTAAATTTTTTTTAAGATAGTGACTCCCTTAATTAAAGTTTTATTCTTTGTTTTGATGAAATCAAATAAGGGTGTCTCAACGTTATTTATCGGCAAAAACATGGGAAAGATATTTTTGGAGAATTTGGCCTCCAATTTGTAGGTCAGCACTTGTTAGATCGAGAATCCGTTAATGGAGATAATAACATTCAGATTGGTTTGTTTTCGCTTGTCCCGGCGAGTGATTCCAATAAAGAACATGATGAATGGGGGAAAAACTGGTCAAGTTTGCGTACAAGATTCATGGCGCCCCATGCGCGCGCGCTACGCTCCGATCTGATCACAACATTCAAGCGCTAGAAACTAGAAAAAAATATCAAACATGTTCAAACTTTTAATTGCTTTATTTTTAACAATATCAAGGGCAGAGTTGAGGAGCCGGCCAAAAAGCAGAGTGAAAATTGGATCCGAAGAATGGAGCCAAAAATATCGTAAGTAAAGAGAAAAGGTTCAAATAAGGAGACAGGGGCCGATATTTAGCTGTCTAGAGTCAAATTTTAAAAAAGAATTGAAGGAAATTTGAGCATTTTTTTGTAAATAAAAGGGTTGTTTAGGCCATAAACGATATTATGATTGCATTAAAAAAGATATTGGAAGCTTAATATATAAATTTAAACATGATTTATTCTGTTAATTTTAATGATTTTTCAAGAAAAAGAGGGTAGACTTGACAATATTTGAAAAAGGAAAGATCAGTCAAGTTCATAATATTTGACATTCCACAAAGTTACCGCTGATTTTCCTGATATTTGCCAAGAAATGAATCTTCCTCCAGGTCATTGCGTCCAGAAATCACGTGATCATCATCATCAACTCATTTTTCCATGTAAAAATGAGAGGCGCCAATAATTGTGACATTTTAATGCACCCGAGCATCGATGTTTATCTTGTTCAAACAGATAGGATCGAGTCCATAATCCAAGGGTTGGATAGCTTTCGTGTTGTTTCCAACGAAAATATTTGACATTCCAGCGTAGTCAAAAGAGAGAAAAAAATGATGATCGCTTATTTTAACCGCGGGCTACTGTCAGTAGAGGTCAAATACAGTGATCAAATATTAACCCATTAAAACAAAGGGGGCCAGAACTTTTGGCGGAAGGTTAAGGAGGACAAGAAAGAAAATAAGGGGCTGCTTATTCTAAGAATTGTTTTATGATGATGATGATGATGATGGACTTTTTGAGAATCCGGTTCATAAAACTTCCGCTTTTAACCTCAAAAATAGTGCTCGACAAAAGATTTCTGAGAAACGATTAATTGTTTTTGAAGATTTCGAGTTCGTGGCAGCTGCGAAAAAGTGGGTCGACGCGCGAAACTACTGTAAAGAAAGAGACATGCACTTGGTAACTATCGACTGTTCGGACAAACAGAAAGGATTCGCAAAGTGGCTCAATCGACATTCTCCTCCAGGAATGGATGGAATTTTTAGTCTTGGAATTTTGGAAAGTTACTCAAAGTTCGAGCAAGTTCTCTGCGAGTTCGAATTCGAATCGGAGGTCGTGCAAGTTTAAGACATGTTTTTATAGATTCCCCTGAAAGTTACATAGAAGCGAATAAATACAGATTCAAAGCGTTGTTTGCAGAGCTTCTTACGCAATTCTTTTAGGAGTACTCATCGGAGTAAATGATGACTTAAGTAAAAAACTTTATTATTTTCTTTCAAACATTTTCTCAAAAATGAAATCACCGTTTTTTAGAGGAGGGCCCGAAATTATGGTTTTTATAATAAAATAAATTTTCAACAAAAAATCATCCATCAACAGGAACACGAGTTTGGACTGGCCTGAACTCGCGGGAAATGGAGTGGTTATGGCAGCACACGCAGATTCGCCCGACTTACGATTACTTCCGCACTGGCTATCCGGAAATAAGATCGAACACTTGTGTCTACGCAGACGACCGCCGCAAGGTGAGCACTTTTTTCATTGTTATTGATGAATATGTTATTTGTAGCGAACATGGCGCGGGGGAAAATGCGGGATGAAACTGCCGTTTGTTTGCGAGACGAATCACTACTTTCCGGAAGTGCCGGCGACCGACTACAATGTCAAAATCGAAGTCAATAGAAGTTTAAACGTTGCGGTCGAGATCGAAACCACTCTTGCCGCGAGAACTGGGAACGGGCTCAAACACTTTTAAAATTTGTAAAAAAAATGAATTCTGGAATTTGAAATTATGATGGAAGTATCATTAATGTTGAGCCCTTTTGCGGTAGGACCGGCGATAACAACGACGTTGTCTCGATTTTGTGGCTTCCGCTGAACGCTGTTATCACGGACGTATCAATGGTGAAAAAGACAACTGACGGGGTGGCGGCTAGCAACGTCACTTCCGCGAAGAAGACAGAGTGCACGAAATGCGATGATGTTTTTAGGAATATTGCGTCGAATGGAATCGTGGTTACGAGACTTGACAAGGAAGGAGTTCAGGAGGACAAGTTCAGAACTGTCAGGGTAAATAGTCTAAGGTCTCCATTTTTCATGATTTTAACCTGTATTCGGTAGCTGATGACTGCGCTCTGTGGCATGCACAACATCGCTCTCCGCGTCCGCTACGAATACCCCCTCGAAAACGGGAGAATCGAGCACTATCTTCGACCTGGCTACCGCGCTGGAAATCTCAACTTTGAGCTCACCACACCCAACGCCAAGGTACCCAATCTCAGCCGTCTCAAATTCACAGCAATTTTTCCAAGGTCACAACGAATTTCGAATCAGGTTTGGATCCAAGCTGTGATCGATTCAACAAGTACAAGACGATGCGAGCAGAATTGCGCGAACCAACTTGCCTGAAATCCTCAATTTGGAGCGGGAAAAATCTCGTCTCGCGAAAAAAGAACTCATTTTTAAAAACAAAGACGCACAAGTTCTACCTTTCCCTAGGTAAGTCCCCTTACTTGTTCCGTTCTAACCCGTCCCTTCTTACCCAGGTCAACAAGAAAGCTTCGGCGGGCGTTTTGGAGGCGTCTCCAGATGGCTCTCAATGAGCATCAGAATTCCGCGGAAGCAGCGCCTCCCTGCCGATCCAAATCGACCGCGAGGACTCAATTTCAAAATGACCGACGAGAACGAAACGAGTGCAAAGACTTGCGATTCCCTGGTCATTGCTGATCCCAGCAGAACAAATTCTGAATTCTAACGAAACTGTTCTTTCAAGTTCAATTTTTCACTGCCAAAATGACAAAAATTTTTCAAAACAATAAAATATTTACTGATATTAAAATTTTTTGCCAAAAATTTTATTACGATTTTCTACCAAGAAGTTGAGCACTAGGAAGATTACTTTCAAAAAATTCCTTCTAGGTCGAAATTGGTGTTCCTCGACCTCGCATGCTCATTCCCAGCATCGAGGGGGTCGGAGGGAGATTGGGAGTAGAGCAAGTCGATCTACGGCCAGAGGATTGGGCTGAAGGATTGACCAGGCTCTGCGTCCGCCGGTTTTTAAAATATCGCGCTTTTCTAGAAACGAAAATTGAGCAAGACTTTTTCGTTCTTTGACTTACTGATTGACCCAGGAGGATCCGCGTTTGATGCCGATTACGGAGGTCTGTCCAAGAATGAAGATTCCATTGAAGACCAAGATGATGATGGCCAGGGCGTTTGAGCCGAGCATAAAGTAGGTAATGTAGGTCTGAATGGACGTGAGAAAGGGTTTATTTCCAGAATACCTTTTCGGTGAAACGAGCGACATTGCAAACAGACTCAGCTTGAGAGCAGGCGTGTTTCGCTTTCCAAAAGAAATATCGAGGATCCGTGGAGTTGAAGTTTTTAGCTTGGGCAATTTCTTTCGGGATCGAGGTGAGACTGTTTTCATCGATTACGCAGCTGAAGGATGCGGGAGTCTAGGGAAAATATTGACAACTTCTATTTTTTATTCTGGAAAAAGTGATTGTCAATATTTTCCTGAAAGAGCTTTCCAGTCGTCAAAAGAGTCCACCAGCCGGTTTTGTAGTGGTACTGATGCTTCAAAAGAGACAAGAAGAATATGAAAAAGACCAGTTCCAGCCCTAAAAATGAAGAAAGGAAGGAGTTTATAAAAGAAAAATCACCAAGAAGCGTCATTTGAAAAACAGCGCGATGAATCTTCGTCTTTCTTGTTGTCACGATCATTTTTCGACCCTTGTAGCTCTCCGCAATCGCGTTGATATCGCTGTACTTGGCCTTGAGCTTGTTCAGCTTTATTTGCTGGTAAGAAGGGGGGAGGTCCGATTTTTCCTCTTCATCTGGGTTGCCGATCTCAGCTTCGAGGGATCGCATGAGCTTGAGATCTTTGCTCGGCTCGTTGACGATTGTGACGAATGCTACCGCGGTTATTCTGAGAAAATCGTGGAAAAAATGGATTGAAAAGGTTTTCTTACCCAAGAGCGACCATATGCCAAGTCCAGAATCGAGTCAAATTCATCGGCATAAACTGATTGAAGCACACTTTTTCCTAGTTTTCCCACAATTTTTTCCATGTGCGAATCGACAGAGAAAGAGAATACCGCTCTCAAATCGTCATTGTGTTCAAAAATAAGAAAACTGGGTGCCTGAGTTGCAGAGGGGCTGTTTCGTGGAGCACGTGAAGGAACTTGCGTCGTTGGAGTAAATGTCCGTTCCCACGGTGAAAATCATGATTCCGCGCATGACTAGCTACAAAAAAATCTCTAGAAAAAATTCTTGCGAAAATTACTCCTGCTACTCCTGCTAGTTTACAAAGCCTTATATTTTAGTACTCACAGTCAGGTACCAGAACTTTCCGAGCGTGGTTGTGTAGGGAAGAGCTCTAGAATAATAGTTGGTCAGGGAAGTAACCCTACTTCCGGCTAAAACCGCTTGGCTCATTTTTACTCCTTTCTCTTTCTCCCCTTTCTGCCTCGAATGATCAGTGAGAGGAAGTTATTTAGGTTTTATCAGCTTTGAGAAACAGCGTCATCGACTCAATTTTGATTTTCTACGTAGAAGGTATTTCTTATCGGTTCATTTTTCGCTCCCAAGCCCGCTTGACACCCTCCTCCTGCGGTTTTTGACGAAGAATTTGAACTTGAAGAAGACTTTCGAAGGAAAAAAAACGGAAGCAATTTGCCTAACACTGATGTCAGAGTCTTGTTTATCCGGAAATTCGCTGAATGAGTTTCGTCGATGCGAAGTTAGACAACTGCTCTGATGCGTTCTTTTCCGACTTTCCAAACTTGGTCACCTGGTTTTTTCGCAAGAGAGGAGCCATCTTTAAATACCAAAGCATCGGTGCCTTCCGAGTACAATCGATTAAAAATGAAGGTTAGACATTAAATCACAAGATAAGATAATCGTACTTTTTCAAGGTAGTAATAAGTGTATTTAGTTTTCAATCGCCCTTTTCATGTCGACTTGCGTCAGCGCTAGAAATTGGATTATCGGCGGCTATCCAGAAAAAATCTCAGCTCATCCATCGACCGTCATGCTCACGAAAAGCAAACCATCTGTCCTCAATTTGAATCCGAAGTTCAGAGAAAGAGTCCTAAAGAAGAATCAAGTTCACTGTGGTGGCATTTTGATTTCCTCGTAAGTATTACTAAGCTTGATTTCAATACTTATTACCAGGGCTGGTAAATTCGCGTCCTAAAATCTGTCGAAAATTTTTAGTGCACTAAAATTAGTGCGCGAATTTATTTTGTCGAGACTTTAGTGACTTTCGCGTCTCTTTCGCGTGTGTCTCGAAAAGTGTCGAAAATAAGGGCTGCTGATTGGCCCGCCAAGGAGCGCGGGCTCTTTAATTCTGAAGATTACGTAAGTTTGAGAATTTCAAACTTCATTACTATTAGAATTTCAAAAAATTTGGTTTCAATAAAGTGGGTTGGGTAATCGAGGGCGAGAATTTTAATATAAAGTCAAAAAAGACTTTGTCAATCCATTTGTTAATTTTCTTTATAAATATAAAGTAACAAATATAGCCTATATTATATCAAATAATACAATTCAACTTTTGTTTGCAACTTTTTCTGTGCGGGAATCGAATGATAAGCTTAGACTCTTAGCCTAAGATTAGCTTTCTAAGGGAGGTCTTCTCCCTAATTTTTTTATTGAAGGGCCATCCGCAGCTTATTCTTCCTGCTTTTTCCCTTTCTTGTCAATCTTCCTCTTGTCGTCGTTCGACTTATCTTCGGTGTCCTCAGAAGTCTGCAGCTGGAGCAGCCTTGTGCGAATTGTTAATATAATTCTTAATTTACAAAATCATATTTATTTAATAATTCAGAAGGGAGATCTTCTCCCAAGTTCATGCTTACCTTGTAATTCAGAAAGCAGATTTCCTCCCAATACATTTTACTCTAAAAACTTACAATGCTATATCATATAGCCTATATGATAGCCTTTATCCTAGAAAACAAAAGAAACTTTGGGAGGAGTTCTCCATTAGCAGTTATCAAGTAAGCGTAAATTCGGGAGGAGACCTCCCTTCTAAATTATCAAATAAATATGATTCTGTGAATAAAGAATTATATAAAGATACTTAAAACATATACAAAAAAATGAGAAGAGCTAAAGACCACGAAAGTAGAACGTATCGGTCAAGGCTGCTCTAGCTTCAGCGACTGTTGAGGACAGCGATGAGAAGTTGTCGGACGACGACAAGAAGAAAGCCAAAAAATTAAAAAGCAGGAAGATCCAGCTGCGGATGGCCCTGCGATAAAAAAATTAGGGAGAAGACCTCCCTAGCAGAGTTCGAAATTCCCGCGAACTCGACGATTTTTAAAACGCTCTTAAGTCGGGCGCTCTTAACATGGAAAACCACGGTACTCGACAAAAAGAATTTCCAACAAAAGTTGACTTTTATTCTTTTCAACTTATTTTTTACTAAAAGTGTCATTTTTATTTAGAAAAATCTTATCTTATCTAAATCTTATCTTTATCTTAGAAAAATTCTTTAGAAAATTTAGGTTTCCGTTTATTGAAAGTCTTCCCCTGGCAAATTCATCTTCCATGAAGTTGTCCTCCAAGAAGAGCGCGCTCATTGGATGATGAAAAAGAGCCTCTTTTTTCGCGTCTTTAGTGCTGATCAGCTCTCGAAAAGTCACTAATTTCCCCAAGAGGAAAAATTAGTGTCATTTTAGTGCACTAAAGGCGCGAAAGACGCGAAAATGTCTCTAAAAAATAATTAGTGCACTAATTTTTTTTTCTTCGAGAGAAAATAGTGCGCTAATTTACCAGCCCTGCTTATTACGAATGATTTTTAGGCACTCAGTTCTCTCCGCTGCTCATTGTCTCTCTACCTCGAATTTCTTCGTATCTGTTGGCCATGGAAGTGACGACAATAAAGCTGTTGATTGCCCCCCATCACATCAAAAGAAGCATCCGAGCTACAGCTCAATCTACCTATCGAATGATATTGCAGTTTTGAACATCGAAAAGAAGATCAAATTTTCAGTCAATGTCTTTCCAGCAGCACTTCCTTCCAGGATGCCAGTCAACAACAGAGTAAGTTTGAGACTTGAAAAAGGAGTTATCCTTTTAGCTGCCCCTAGGCCTTACCTTAACCCGCTGCCGAGCGTAGGCGTTAAGTTGCCCTCTGCGCCAATGAGTATGCGGCATTTATAGCCTCTGGGCGTGTTGTTGCAGCGAAACTGCAAGGCGTTCGCCAACGGCTTAACAAACTGGCTAACCCAACCTTATCTCTATCTACCAACCTTCTGACCAATAAATTATTGGCAATAATTTAGCCATCAACAGTCTGTGGTTGGGGCTCAACATCATACCCTTCGCTAAACTACCCAACAGAGATGCAATGCGCCGACAACCAAATCCTCGACGCAACCAACTGCATCCAGTACTACGGAACCCAGATCAAGCCAGGCATGGTCTGCGCAACCAGCATCACCTACGAACAAGACGCCTGCATAGGAGATTCCGGTGGTCCGCTCTTTGACTGGTTTTCCTACGTAATCGACAGCCACGGCTGCGTCCACGAAGAGGTCGTCGGCATCGTTTCTTGGGGCAATGGCTGTGGAACAGCCCCGGGGGTGTACACAGATGTCTTTTTCTTCAAAGATTGGATCAAGAGAACTGCACAAGAATGTTTATTCTGCGAAGGAATCCAAAGTAGAGAAGATGGAAAATGTATTGTTGACGAAGAAAACAGTTGATGTAGGTTAAAAAATAAAAATTTACTGTACAAAGCTGACTTCACAGAATAAAGTGATATTCAAGAAAACTCATTGACAGTCTGCTTTGGGAAGCAAAACAGCTGATTGCATGCGCAGTTCCGTTCTTTTTTAACTTGTGACTATGAGCTACCATCTGCTCGTTCTCGATCTAGGGCGAAACGAAATTCCATTTTTTCTAAATATCATAGAGAAAAGTTTCACAAGAATGAAAATTAAGATAGCACCTGCATTTTTTGCCGCAGCATGGTCAAAGACGCTTGTTATCGGAGGAAAGTCGGAAAAAATCGAGGCTCATCCATCAGCAACAAAATTATTGAAAAACAAAAACACCCTGAAGTGCGGCGCTGTTCTGATTTCATCGCACTCATTTCTTACCGCCGCTCACTGTCTCCAAAACACAAACTTGGAAGCAATTACAGGAAGCGGATCTGAGGGCGAAGAAAAATACGAAATTTCGTCGAAGAAGCAGATCAAGCATCCAAACTACAGCTCTGTCTATTTCACCAACGACATCGCTGTTTTGAACGTTTCAAAGACTATTTCTTTTTCCAAATTCACCTTTCCAGCGATTATTCCGAACCATGCGCCAGTCGATAAAGCAGTAAGTTATCAGGTTTATTTTTTTGAAGATATGGGGTTTGGCTTGTACTTATTTTGAACAGTGAGAAATTTAGACGATATTTTCGTCTTTCTGTTTTTCTTCGTCCTCTTCCTTGATTCCAATTGATAAAAAAGCTTAAAAATTCAATTAAGGTCTTTATAAAATTGGAGGTTTCCGTTGAGCCAATCAGATTGGCGTATTGAATGCATCAGCCAATAAGAGACCACTTATCCCCTTATTGCTTTTTTGCACCAAGAAAACAGCAGAGAAACGATTTCAGCCTTCGTTTTCTTACTTTTCTTACCTTCTATCGCGGCAAAAATCGATGTAAAAAGAATCGCGTAAAAAAGAAACATCTTTCGTTGAGTAATTTTCTCTTCCTCCAACTTCCTCCTTAACTTTTCTTATCAAAACAAGTCCTGAACTAGAGAAGGCGTCATTTCTGTAAAGAGCACTCGAGCGTTAGCGCAATTATTCAAGCGTAAAAGACACTAAGATATACTTAAATTCTTATGAATGAAAGTTCTATTTTTAGCCTTCGACAGTTTGCGGCTGGGGAAGCACAACGTATCCAGAGGAAAACTACCCCCTCGATCTGCAATGCGCGGATAATTACATTCTCGACAACGCAAACTGTCGAAGCTACTACGGCGGCGATATTCGACCTGGCATGGTCTGCGCGATGAGCAATACGTTTCACGAAGACGCTTGTACCGGTGATTCTGGCGGCCCGCTCTTCGATTGGTTCTCTTACGATAGTAGCAGCAGCGAGGAAGCGACGGAAGAAGTCGTCGGGCTGGTTTCGTGGGGAAATGGCTGTGGAACGCACCCAGGATTCAGCTTTATCTCAAACAGATACTCATTTATTTTACGACTTTGACATTGGTCTTGCATGGTGCTTATTGACCATACGCAAATAAGAACTGTAACTCTGCGTTTTCCTACGGAGGAAAAACGGCCATCTTCGCAAAAAAAAATATGATTCTCAAGCGCTCTTGACAAATATCACGATATTTCGAGGCGAATTTTTCACGTTACAATCGAAAAAAATATGTATCAGCTGGGATTCGAACCCACAATCATTAGTTCACTGATTTTTTGCTATTCAAAAGCGAATAAATAAATTTATTTATAAAGCTGCGAACAGGTGTATATACAGATGTTTTCTACTATCGAGACTGGATTCATGACAATTCTCAACAAGATTAGCTGCTTGACTTCTGCTTTTTGCTCCGTTTCATCAAATAAATATTTTTTGAAAGCTATTCCTATGAAAACTTTCCTGTTTCATTCACTGAGTAATAGTCTCCCAAAATTGCAGCGCTTGATATTTACAGACTAATTAGTCCAAATTCACAAATATTATTCGCGACTTAGATTTGCAGAAAAAGTAATGAAAAGAGAAAAAAGTTGATGAGAATCGTGAATAAATTCAAGCGAGATGTTGTGAAAAGCGGAGTCGATGCTGTTATTTATTTTGTCGGAGTCGCGAATTTGATCATAATTTGCGTCGCTTATGGTCTTGGCGAGTGGGTGAGGGGAACTACCAGCAATGATTTGTCCAGCGCGCCGATGATCAAAGGCGACTGTATCGACGCAAATGGCGGCAATCACTGTAACGTCAATGTAAGAGGAAATTCTTAGGCTCCAAATGTTAGTTTTAGATTGGGCTTTTTCAATTCTGGAAGTACGATAAGGGCAGTTCTCAGGGACAGGTAGTTATTGCGCTTTGCAGGATTAAAAATTCAAATTATCGCTTTGCTTCTTTTTTGTTTTCATTTTCTGGCGAATATTTATCCTCCTCAAGTCATGGAACGCCAAGCTGAAAAATTGCGAAGCTGGTGGCGATTTTTACCTTAGACTTGGGCTCAATGGAATGCGAAATGGGGCCGATTCTAGAGCTGTTCGAAGCGAGCCACTTCTGTGTGAGCATTCGAACTGTACTGGAGTCGGAAATGAGCTGTGCGTCCGCCTCATTGTTCCGATGAATTCGCTTGAATTGACCTGGTGCTGGATCGGCATCGCGATTGGCTTGTCTGTTGGCGTTGTTGGAATACCCTTTGCCAATTTTGGCAACTACACTGTGAGATGGATAATTGTCGGATATTTGGACACCTTTTGCTGGATTCTGCAGATGATGGCGCTTTTATCTGTCAGATCGGCGTTTGAAAATATTGTCGACTCGGACAAATTTACTTACAAAATGTTCCCAGGTAGAAGAGATTCGCTGTCAAAAGATAGAAAATTTTCTAGTTTCTGATATTGAGCGATTTACAGAGTACTACGGCTGGGATTTTTGTCAAATTCTTCTTTTTTGCACGATGATTATCAGTGCTTGCCATGCAGTTGGTAAGAGTTAGGCCTAGGGTTAGGGTAGGGGAGGTGTTGGGCTCGAAAACCTGTGTCCAAAACCTGAGTCAGGGCCTAAAAGAATCTTTATTCGTGCTCTTTCAGGCCCTGACTCAGGTTTTGACACAGGTAGTCGAGAAAAAAAAGATGATTATTTTCAATTATTAATTATATAATTAATAATATAATCATTATTATTTTCAATTTTAATTCATTTATTAAAAATAATCATTTTGAAATTAAATTTTTAAAGCTTGTTTCTACATAACCTCCTTCGAAATCCCGCGACCGTATTCCGCAAAACGCGCCTATCGAGAAAAACTTGAAGCACTCAAAAAAGCGATCAAACGAAAACGCCGGGAAAACGAAGAAGCGATGAAAAGGAGGCTAAAGGAGCGGGCGAGGCAGGAAGAACTGAAAAGACAACAACTAGATCAGCTGGCGAGAATCACGAATACGAGAAAAAGCGTCATGATCAAGTCGCAAATAAGACGAAATACGATGATGAGGCCCAAGTCGCCTGGAAACGGTCTTCCGAGGAGGTCGATCGCGAGGAAATCGCTCTGCAAGTAGGGGAGTTGAAAAGAGCTCTTTTGCTTAAAATTCTAGACGCGATTTGAACCTCAACGAAAATGACAAACTCCAAGCAAATGCTCGAAAAAAGAGCTTGATGATGAAGCGAATCTACGACAATCAACTCTCCGCGCAAGGGATTAATCGAAACGACATTCCACTTGATGAGCCAAAGGACACATTCGTCTTTCCTGTAAGAAAATCGAGCCCTGGGTCCTTAAATTTAACCTTTTAGTCGCCGGATGAGCCAAAAAAGAGCGCAAATCTCAACGACGCAATCGCCAATTATCGAAAAACTCTCGAAGCCGAAGAAGTTCCCCGTAAGTCGATCACTCAGGAACTCTTTCTCATAAATTTCTAGCGACGCCGAAATCTTCCGATGGTGCTTTTCTGATTCCTTCTTCTCCGACTCCGAAATTCGCTGATATTTGAAAAATTCTCGATTTCTGCGTTCTTAACAAATAAAACTATTCTTGATATTTACCCCTCGCTCGTAAAATCTTCTCCTCTCTTTTTTCTTGATCAAGTCCTGGAAAAATTCTAGAGAAAGAAATGAAAAATGGGAATAATTCAGAAATTCAATGAAAAAGTGGCGAGAGATCCTTTTGGCAAAATCATCTATCTCTTTGGCATAGCTCAGTTGGTACTGTTGTGTCTTTCTTACAGTCTTAATCAGTGGATAGAGGGGACGACTAGGTATGACAAAGTACCGGATCTGAATGAAGGCAGCTGCGGGAACTACTGTAACGTCCAAATCGGCCTCTGGGAGATGCAAAAAGAAAGTCCTTCGAATGGAACATACAAGAGAAAGATCCGTTCTTGCCCCGGCGAAGAGAATTTTCACCTGAAACTCTTCCTCAGCGACGTTGAAACGCTTCCCAACGACCTGCCCCGAGTCTGCGAAGACTGCCCAGCTTTCGACTCTGTCGCTGCTCCTTGCATTCGGCTCATGACGCCGATGAATACAATTACCGCTTCCTGGGTCCTTTTTGGCATGGCGATCGGAACAAGTACGCTGGGGTTGATTTTGCCTTGGATTCAATTCGCTGGTTATCGAATTCGATGGATTCTAGTGGCGTATGTTTCGATATTCTCTCTTGTTCTGGAAATTATGGGGACGTTGACGGTCGTTTCGGCCTTTGAGAATGTCGTTTATTCGAAGACTTTTACTTATCGAACTCAGGAAATGTTGAAATCAAGGAAGATTTTTTCGATAGAAAAGACCATAAAACGAAAATTTATTTTTGCTAATGGTGATTTTTATTGTTTTAATCATTGATAAAATTCATGAATCCATATTAGATTCCGGAATGATTCACTTAATCTTAAATTTCCATCGTATTTTCAATCAAAAAAGCCTGTTTCCTTCTTCGAGTCATCCGTCAAGCACTACCAATGGTCGACCTCGATGATGATTCAAATGTCAAACTTCATCGTCACCTTGATTTTCATCCTTGGCGCCTTGGTCATTTCAAAACTACGAATTCCAAGAAAATTCTCTCACAAGCGAATGTTCAAAGAAACTGTTAAAGCGATCACCAAAGAAAACGCAAAAAGGTGGGTTCGAAAAATTTTCTTCGAAAAAAGCGGTCGTTTAGGAGAAAAGAAAAAGAGCGCCAGGAAAAGGAAAAGGCGGCGAAAAAGAGGGAGAAAAAACGGCTCGAGATCGAAATCAAGGAAAAAGAAAAGGAGATTCGTCTAACTAGGGTTCCCCCAGCTACTCCGGGCAGAGTTCGAAATTCCCGCGAACTTTTGCGGGTGCGGGGGAGCGGGAACTATGACTGAAATTTTTCGCGGGGGCGGGGGAGCGGGAGCAAGGTCGAAAATTTTTGCGGGAGCGGGGGAGCGGGAGCAAGTCCAAAAATTTTGCGCGGGAGCGGGGGCGGGGAAAAAGGCCTGAAAATTTGCGCGGGAGCGGGGGCGCGGGAAGGATTCCCCCTCTCTTTTGCTCCCGCGGGAGCCCGCGGGAAAGAAAAATCAACGTGAGGGCTGGTTTAAAAAGGTCTTCACTAAGGAAGAAGCCTGAGTCAGGCCCCTAAGATAATTCGACAATTGAGAAATAAAATTGAAAAAAATTAATAAAAATCATAACAAAGCTAAGAACATGAACAATATTACTTTCACATTGAATGGTGGTGGGTGGGGTTGGGGACGAAACTAAGATTGATCAACTAAGACTTCCCCGGCCTTTGTCAAGCCCCTTAAATTTGAAAACCAAGGAACGGGGCTGAAACGGCCCGAAGGGCCGTCAAGCCCCTTAAATTAAAAAACCTATTTCCCCGCTGCTCCCGCAGCCCCGCGGGAGCATTTTCGAGTTTTCGCGGCGCGGGAAGGGGCGGGAAGAAGGCGGGAAAGAACAATTTACGGCGGGAGCGGGGGAGGGGGAAAGATCACGAGAAAATCTCGAGGGAGCGGGGGGGAGGGGGAAAGAATATCCAAATATCTTGGGGAGCGGGGGCGCGGGAGAAATTTTGCTCCCCCCCGCTCCCGCGGGGCTCGCGGGAGCATGCGGCGCGGGAAATTTCGAACTCTGACTCCGGGGCCGAATACATGGAACAGTTCCAGGCTTCAATCAAACAGAAAATCGAGAAAATCAAAAAAGTCGTACAATGAGAGCATGTGAGCATAGTTCTTCTCTGAAAAAATATTTTGTAAAAAATGTCATTATAACTTCGTTCAGCAAAATAAAAAGAATCTCCGAAGCAAAACGTCAAGCAGAAAATGCAAGAAAACAAAGCATCATGGACCAAGAGCAGTGGAGAAATACGATGGAGGAAAAAGTGAAATCTGGTGCAATTCAACTTGACGGCGAATTCAAGAGCGCATTCAATTTTCCGGTAAAATAAACAAAATATGCTCAATGCTTATTTTTTAGTCGCCAGAAGGGAGCGTGAAGACGGTAACGAAGAGTCTGGAAGACAGTCGGAGAAATTTTCAAGAGCAGATTTCGCTAGAAAACGGTATTTTTTTCTGATATCCTTCTATTAGATTAGCGGAAGTTTCAAGAAAACCGGACATTTTACAAATGTGGACATTTCAAGAAAGTGGACATTTTGAGAAAGTGGACATTTCAAAATCTATTGAAATGTCCGTTTTCCCTGTTATTTCCGGTTTTCTTAAAATGTCCGGTTTTCTTGAAATGTCCACTTATCTTTTTCATCCTTAGTTTATTTTATAGAAGCTCTGGAAACTCAAAATTCAATACCTCCTATTCAAAAATACGCCGATATCTAATGCTTTATCTATCTGCAGTAAAAAAAACAAACAGGATCGGGATTCCCTGAGTTGATTGAATTTTTATTAAATCTAAGTGAGAAAATGATTCTTGTGATCTTGAAAATGAAAGTGATAAGTTTCATAAAATGAAAAATAAAGAATGAATTTTTACCAGTCGAAAGGAGGTAAACGGGCAGTTATAAATAAGAGTGAAAGGTCTACGAAAAAATCCATCACCTAAAGAGAAAGAATTCTAAGCAATTTACAGTCAGATTTTCGGTTCATTTGAAGGTAGCCACAAGAGGGCGGAGCTGCAGGAGCTCTCGTTGAAGATACTGGATTTGTTGCTGAAGCTAGAATTTTTCGGTAAAAGGGGTTTTTCGAGGTCAATTTACCTGGACATTTGTGTGTTTTAATTGGCGATTTTCATTTTCAAGACTTGAGTTTCGCTTTTCGATTCCTTCCAGATGCGCTTTTCGCCTCTGGCGCGAGAGGGAGGCGCTTTCTCGATTTCGGATCATTCGTTGCTTGCGTTTTAGGTCTTTTACTTCTTGGGCTGAGAGGTTTCTGTCATTCGGCTAAATTGAATTCTCATTATATCCTATAATCTATCTTTAATTTGTAGGGCAATCTTACGCTACTAAATTCACAATCAGTTTTATTAGGATCGCTTCACATAAATTCGAGTTTAAAAATTATATATAGATTTGAAAAGTCATTGTTATTATGGTTTTTTGAATATAACATCCTTTTTGCTAATCTAAACAAGTTATTTATCGCCGCTTTTGTCACGAGGTCTGTTTTATAAACAAAAATATGCGGCGCTGATTTTCCGCCAACAACTAAAAACTTGAGATCGAACCTGTTTTAGGACGCATTGTGACACTTTGAGAGACGGCGAGTTGGCTTCAAAGCTGCTTTGATTCCCTTGGCTTGTTTCTTCCTCGTATTCCTGAAATCGGGGATTATTGAAAAAGAGGGTTGAAAGGAGGGGATGGCTACCTCGGCTGGCTCGATTTTGATGACGGTGCTGGAAGGAGTGGAAGTGAGGATGCGCTTTAATTTTGGCTTTTTTGTCACTCTTGAGGCGAATTCTTGATTTGGTGCCCTCTTTTCGCCAGCTTGGGTACAAGAAGTCTGGGTCAGGAAAGGAAGAGGAGATGGGTTTTCTGTTTTGACGGCATTTTCTGTGGCAGCTGTGTTTTCGGCTGGAGTTTCTGGGCAAGTAAATAAGATGTCGAAGAGGGAATCGTCGAGGGTGGAGGAGGAGGCGGTGCCGGAGTCGACGGAAGGGGGGTTTCCGAATGAAGAATTTTCTGATGAGTTGATTGAACCTGAAATTTAACCTATTATTCTCACGTTAAAAAGGCCGCTGGAGGCTAAAAGCCATTTGTTCAAAATATCAAAATTTCAAATTTCAATTTACCTCGGTCAGAAATAACCTCCCAGAGCGAATTTTCAATTCCGGCATTACAGTACTCTTCTGAAAAGTTCTGCTCCAAGTACTCCATATTTTCTTTTCTTTCTGTTTTTTTTTCTCTCTTTGTTTTTCTTTTTCTGTTCCACTGTTCCGGGATTTTATACTGCGATGATATTTTTAAAGCGATTTTCGGTTTTTCTTTTTGGTTAGCGTCCAAGAACAGGAGGATTTGCCCGAGGAGTCAAAGCTCAAAATGGATCTAAATAGGAACGAACCTTAAAATTAAGGGGCGGTGCAAGGTTTACATAACAGAAGATGGTGGATTTTATATTTTTTTGAATTATCATTTTTGATTTTGCAAAAAAAGATGGCACAGTTTTATTTTCCAAAAATATTCGGACGAAACATGATATCTTGAATTGCTTTCAGCTTCATTTTCTTCTTATTTTTCTCATTTTCATTTTTCTCGTTTTTTGATATTTCTCGGTTTTTCTGCTTCAAAAAATAACGGCCTTAGCGAAGGATTTCGCCGGGGTCGCTCAAATGTCGCGCAAATACGCTCAAAAAACAAAGTTCATCTCTGCCAGCCGCCGATCAATTTGACTCTCTTCCTTCTGCTACTTCTCACGGAGAAAAGAAAACATTTTGTTTACAAAATTTTTTTCACCGAAACTTTCATTTAGTCGTCTAGAAAACGAAAAAGTTCGTAGCGGCGCATGAATTTTTTAAGAAGGCGCTGAATTTTTCACAAAAGTGTGAAAAAAAGTATTCTTTTGCGCGTTGCCATGCTCGAATGACTGGAGTGGCGAATTTCCGGATCTTGCTGAATTCAAGAAGGTCGATTAAAATTGCTTTTCTCAGGAAATTCTGGGGATTTATGAGTCGTAAAAATGCTTTTTCTTGATTTTATTGCCATTTTTGTCGAATGAAGCTGGGGTCTAAATATCAGCCGAAATCCTAGTGCGAAAGCGAAGCGAAAGCGAACGTTTTTTTCAAATTTTTTGCGAAGCGAAAGCGAAGCGAATTCTTCGGCCAAGTGCGAAGCGAAAGCGAAGCGAAAGCGAAGCGAAATATCATTGAAAATTGCGAAAAAAAAGCGAAATTTTTTTCGCTTGAGTTGATACGCATTTTCTGGCAAGAATCTTCAGCAATCAGCAACTCAAAAGCGATGATGATTTCAAAAACTATTTTTGGGCAGAAAATTACAAAAAAATCTGTTACTGTACTTTTGAGCTCGTCAATATAAGCCGAATGGTGGGTCTAACTGTTGATAATTCCAAGGTAGTAATAAACACTACAGCAGGGGTGACCATTTGGGCATCGGGCAGTCGGCAAAAGCGGGCATTTCGGGCATTTGGGCAAGTTGGGCACTTTCGGGCAATTCGGCGCTTTCGAGCAGTTGGTCAAGCCGGCGCCGAGGAAAATTCCTAAATTTTACATTCTTAACAACTGTTTTTGCTCTTTTGCTCCTCTAACTGAATCAAAAGCCCCCCGAAACTTATTTTTCTAGCCCTTATCTATCGAAAATCCCATCACCAGTCCAATTCTGTTGACTTGAAAATCGAAAATTAATGCCCAACTGGGCGTTTGAGGCACTTTGGTTGCCTGCCCGACGGGGCATTTTCTGGCGTTTCGGGCACTTCGTCCACTTGCCCGACTGGGCAGTTCGGGCACCTGGGCTCGGCCGGGAATTCGGACGGCGCAACTCTTGGCCCTTGATTTCGGCCGGGTATTCGGACGGCCAACCGACGATTTCTTGCCCAAATGGTCACCTCTACTCGATAGGAGATAAAATATGGCGGTCATCTTCGATTCTAGATAAGCCCTGTTCATAAAGATCATTCTTATCATTCAAAAATTATTCTAGCATACTGGTGACAACGAGTTTTCCGGTAATCAGCTTGCTAACCGGTCACTCCTTGGATTTATCAAGAGTTAGACTCACCATTAGACTCGTCTTCACAAGACGGAGAAAACTTGAATTTAAGGGGGAGGTGGTCGAGAAATTTTTTATCGACTTTTTAAAATTTTACTTATATTTTTGGACTCCTCGATCAAAAAGGAACATTTTTGGTCCCTACCTTTTTTTGATTGGATTAACTTTAATATAGAAAATTTTTGATTTTAGGTCATGAAGTCGAGATTTTTCGGAATTTTAGAATTTGTTTTTTTCGAACTTAAACCAATAAAACTTTATTTTCTTATGTATAATATATTTTTTTATCAGATTAAAACTGTAAATAACAAAAAATTACGGGTTTTCGCGATTTTTCGAAAATTTTAATAAAATTTAGTGAAAAATAACGATTTTTAGCAAAAACGATATTTTTAAATCGACCGTTACGACCTTAATTATCATAGCAACCCTATTTTTTTTCCACGCGCCCACATCCGTAAGGGTCTATTCTATCATCATATGAGGTTTGATCTTTGAAAAAAAAAAGTTATTTTGCCCGTAATCTTGGATTGAAGTAGGGTCCACTTTCATAAAATTTTTCTCAGCTTTTTCCAAAAAAAAATTTTTTTTTCTCCGCGCGCCCACATTCTTTCAACGTTTATCTTTAACCCTTGAAAATTTAGATTTTCTTGTCCCTTTCGGTTTTTTCTCAATCATGGTTTGAAAAATCTTAATTCTCGACCACCACCCCCTTAAAGCGGCATCAATAATGCCCCTCTCCAAATCTTTGATAAAGAATCTTCCGAATTACAATGCCGCTTGCTGTGCGAAAATTTAAGCGAAAATTTTGGAATTTTTGCGAAGCGAAAGCGAAGCGAATTCTGCTCTCCAGTGCGAAGCGAAGCGAAAGCGAATTCGCTTCGCTTCGCATCGCTTCGCAATAAAGCGAATTCGCACTGCGAATTTAGACCCCTGAATGAAGCCAATGGTAAAAAAACATGTTTTTATAATTTTTTGAAATAAATTTAAATGTCTCTTTTTTGAATGTATTTTTATTTTCCAACTGCAGCTCCGATAGTTCTCATAAAGCTGAATTTGTTGCCGAGAGAAGATTTCTTGCCGATTTGATCTGCTGGGATTTTAAAATTTCTCGTCCACGGGGTTCTCTCCTAAATTTTTGATACAAAAATTCAAAGTTAAAATCTTACGAGGGAGTTTTCTTGCTGAAAAACACGAGCTGGGTTGAAAATCAAGCCCGAGACGGAAGAAAGAAAAATGATCAAAGTTGCCTTCATAGTGTTTTGTCTTTGAACGAAAGTAAATCAGTAGGTCGGCTAAATAGTTTGATGCTCTGAAATATAAATGCGGGAAATATGCCGTTTTATTGTGAATGCGTCGATTTTTGATTCACCGATCTGTGATTTGCATGCTTGAAAAGGCTTATTAATGTGGATGGATACAGTACTCGCAGTTGAGAAAGAAAAAATGATTTATTCAAAATTGATTTTAAAATTGGAACGTTCACAGAAGATTGTTCTCTTGATAACCAAATCATCAAATGACGTTGAATCACCATTGTATTACAGTATGAGTCCATGAAGATCTTCAACTTCAACTTTGAGCCCGACGTAAAGATTCAAGCTGATTTCTGAGTGATTCGATTTCCGCCAAGTATCTTTCATTTTGCTCTTGGAGTTGAGCGTTGGTTTCCCGCATAAGCTCAGATTCATCTTGCAATTGCATGTTATTCAATTCCTTCGTCTCAAACTCATTGACTGTGTTTTTGACCCATTTATCGAGTTCTTCAACTTTTGATTGAATCTCTGATCGTTGTTTTAGAGCGGTTTGCTGAGCATTCCATAGTGGGTTGATTTTATTGTCGATAAGCGTCGATATTTCTTCTTCGGAAACATCTATCATGAAAAATTATATCGGGAATTTTGACGAAAAAACCTTGTCTATTGATCCCTTCTTTTCTTAAAAAGCTAGGAGGAGCAAAACCAGACGGTGTCTTATCAGAAATATCGCTGAACACTATTGTCGGTGCTCTTTGATTCGGCTCCTCCCTCTCGGTCTTTTCTTCCAATTTTCGGTCCGCTATGCTATCAGTTCCACTTGATGACGTCATGAGTCCGATCTCCGCCCGAAGATTATCAATAATGTTTTGAAACTTGGTATTTTGAGCATCTTTTTCTGTTTCTAAGTGTTGAACTTTTATTGAAAGCTCATAATTTTCTTTTCGAAGGTCGCCAAAAGCCTTCCACAATGGTTCAAGTTGTGATTGAGCTTAATTCTCATTTTTAAATAATAAGGCTTAAGCTGTGTAAAGTCCCCAAAATATTGGGTAGAACATATTTTGGGCAAATATTAGAATGAAGAAGTTTATTGTGACTAATAATTGTACCTTCCAACAGAATTTCTTCTTTTGTAAAATCTCTTTTTTGATAATCTCGGTAACTTCCTAAAATGCTTTCAGAAATTGAAAAACTCATTTTCGAACTGACAAAAAATCTTTTAGCTCTCGTATTAACTAACGGAGACTGATCAAATTGTTTGCCGACAAATACGTATTGTTCGACTATTGGTCAAATTCACGATTTAAGACTCCTGACTCCTTCAAGCCATCTTTTTATTATTTTTTATTCTTTTAAAGATACGCAAAACATGGTTGACGGCCGATCAAGGAGATTGTGTCCAAGAATTCGAACGAACGTTTTACAAAAATATTGTCTTGGATAATACGCGCGCTCCATAAAATCGAGCGTTTTTGTGTTTGACGCTATCATTTCGCTCGAGAAAGATGGTAAGAAATTCCTTCCCTTAGAGATCATTTTCGAACTCAAAATTTCAGAAAGCTTCGATTTTCCTCGCCGTCACATCTCCCAGTTTCGCGGACATTTTTCGTGGTCACGTGAAAAGAGAACTGACTGGCAGTTGGATTCGCTCGATAAACAAACAGCCCAAGAATGCAAGAGGAGGAAAAGCACTTGTTGAAGAGTCGCTTCGAGCGGAAGATACCAGGAACGAGTTTTAACGACTTCAAAAATTATGAAAAAATAGTCTATGAAAAACTTGATTGAGCGATTTTCGACCGTTGGCAGCGATGATGATGTTTCTGATGACTGAAAATGGCAAATACAAATACGATTCTAGCGACAAGCAAGATTTCTCAGAAGAACTTCGCGAGCTGGAAAAACAATACACCAATTACGGCTGCTACTGCTGGATTGACGGCGCTGATGCTGGAGTCATTGGTTTTGAAGAGATCGAGCAATCTTTTAAAAATCCCTTTAGGCGGCGGAAAACCAGAGGACGCGACAGACTTCCACTGCAAAGAGCTTTACCGTTGCTACAAATGCGTCGGCCTCGACTACGATTCCGACTATGCCAACTTGACTTACACGGCTGAGTTGAGAAACAACCCATTTGACCGGCAAATCGATTGCTCAATGAACGCAAAAGAAGATGCTCAGAACATTTGCGAGTGCGACAAACGATTTGCTGAAAGCATTGCTCAAACTCGTCAAGATTGCGTAATTAGAACAACTTCGCTAGAATTCAATATCTGATCATATTCTTTCAGGAAACAGGAATAAGTGCTTCAGAAAAAGGAGGAACCTGCATGAACCCAAAACTCCGAACAATGACTGGAGGTGGCGATTTCGTCCCCCGAAGCCAGTGCCAAAAGGTTATTTGTCCCGATTCTAGAGCTCTCTCCACCCACTTCTTCTAGGAGTTCATGAACATGGACCGAGACAAATGCTGCGGAATCTACCCAAATCGACGACCGTACTCCTCCACTGAGCAAGAATGCTGCGAAATCGACCAGTCCGCCTTCGTCGGTGAAATTTCCGGACGACTGTTGGAATATTCCGTCACGAAAATGGACACTTGCGAGGAGCAAAAAGGCGGGAGAGTAGTCCAAAGCGCACAGGGCAATCCTCATGTCTATTTTGAGCTCAAATAAGTTCAAGAACAACTGAAACAGCTTTGCTTGTAAATAAATGATTGATTGACTTCTCGGTCAGTTTGATCGAGATTTTATTTGAAAAAAAATGTCTAAAATTGATCTAAAAGCAACTTGGAAATTTAAATCCAGTAGCAGAGGCAGAGAAAAGTAGCAAAACAAGTCCAAATGAATTTTTCCGGAGCAAATCGTTTCATATAACTTCTGATTCCATGAAGAGTTGGGTCAATTCGGTAGTTTTTGATATGCAGATTTTGCTTTTCGATGAATCCCAAGAGCCCTAAAAAAGTTGAAAAACCACCAAAATAATCGACAAACCTTCATTTTTCAATGTAATTCGTCCCAAATGAACCGTTTTCTCGCTTCTTTTCCAGATATTCTTGCTCTTTTCGGGATCGGTGTAGTGGTACTTGTACTTGAACATTCTCACTGCAGTGACTTTTCGCAAATGAATGAATTTTTTGTAATCAACTCTTCTGCCATAGTTGTGGAAAAGATCTTGAACATCTGTCGAGTCCTGAAGCAGTCGGATAGCAAGAGTGATCAACCAGGGATCGTATTCGATTCGAGGAGCAAGAGCAGCGAACCACATTTGCCAGTCCAAACGGGGTTGATGCGGGAAACACTGAAAAATTACTGTTATAAGAAAATCATTTAAGATTTCCCTTTTGATAAAGCCTTTCAAATAGATTATAATTTCTAGAAAAAATATTATCGTGAAAAATATTTTAAAAAACCATATTGCATTTCAGAGTTTTTTCATATATAAAATTTCAAATCTTCTTAATGATGATTAAGATACACATGCATTTGCCTTAATGCCGGATATAATCCCCATCATCGAGATTCCCTACCCATCACTCACTTCGAAATGTTATTAAGATTAATTGATTTTTATGATTCAAATTAATAATCAATATAAGTAATATAATATAATATTATATTATAAGTAATATCATATTACTGATATATTGGTATATGAATCATATATCAGATCCAATCATATCCGCCCTACAAACGCACTTACCCATGGACAAGATCTCTCCAAGCTCGTCGGTTTGTAAGGAAATTCCAGCTCAAAGTAATCATTATCCACTTCGACTTCGACAACTACTTCTGGTCTTCCACCAACGCCAGTCATTCTTCGGAAAAGCCCGTAGGAATGTGTCAGCTCAAATCGCTCATCCAAATCGGCAATTTGTGGGAAGGGCTTGAGTTGATCATTGAGTTTTTGCTGCAGATCTCGGTCGATGTCGTAGAAGTGTTTCAACGAAGCGGTGAAAATCAGCAAGCTGAAGGGCAGGGCGAGCAGGTCTTTTCGCGTCAATTTGATAGAGAAAACAAGCAAGAGAAATCCAACAAGAGTGGAGGGGAGGAGAACGAGGTCTCTGACGGCCTTGAGCTTTGATTGATCTTCGGCGGTCTCTAGAAGTCCCATGTCCCCATCGGAGTCGATGAAAATGCATTTGGAGATTCCGTACGCCAGGGCTGAAAGTTGAGCGATTTCGAAAAGCGCGGCAAAAATTCTAGAGCATTTTCCACTTCCTTCTTTCTTCTGCTTTCCTCTTCCCAAGTGTTTATCATCAAAGCAAGTAAAGCCCAAAAGAATCGTGAGCAAATTGAAGAAGTTGTAATTTCCAGTCGCTAGAATTCCGATCTGATGCAAGATGTGAACCCAGCCGCTGAAAATTCGAAGTCGGCGGGAGGGAGATAGAACAAGGAGGACGATTCCCATTTGAGAGATGTAGGTGAGTAGGACGGAGAGTTTCAGGAAGATTTTCGGCAGGTGATGAGCGTAATAAGCCAGGGGTGTTGGTATACACTAGAATTGATTGAGAAAAAGGGTTTAAAAAGTCGACTTTAAAGACGACTTTTCTCACCTGGGATTCAAAATGCCAGTCGAGGGCAGTAAGTCCCCACCAGGTTGGGCAGCCGCTTTCCAATTTCTTATATCCCGAATGAAACAGGAGTCGTAGCAAAAGCCATCTGCACAGAAAAATCCCTTGTTTTGGCGAAATCGAAAGGAGAACGCAAAGAACTCCGAATTCCAGCAGCATAATGTCCCATTGGAAGTGCATGAATGTCTGCCCCACTCGGTAGATTGACAAGTAGAAGACATAGAGGAGAATGAAGCCGGAAGCATTTCTAGCGCTTTTGAGAAACGACATTGTGCCGGAAATGACCATGCCGAGGAGCGAAAGGACTTCCATAAATTCCGTGACTGTGAATCCAAAACGGTTTGAAAAGATGAAAAGGTTAGGGTCTTCCCAAAAGGCGCGCGGATCAAGCTCCGCCTTTTGAGGAATTAACTCGTCGACGGGCAAAAGGCCATTCGGGCCGTAAAGACCTGGAATCTGGAAGTAGATCGAGGCGAAGGCGGCGAAGAAGATGAAAGATGCGCCTTGAAGTGTCAGCTGAAAAGAAATTTTAGATTGAAAAAAACCATAACTGACCATTGGTTTGCAATTTTAAGCAGTTTTACTAATTTCGGACTGTGGAAAAAGCCCAGTAGAAATTGACTGAATATTCGTTATGCTATCGGTGTATTTTGTTCACGACAATAAATTAGGAATCTCAGAAATATAATTATGATAAATTATTTACCTCGGCGACCCTGTCAATTCCACTACTGCTAGTTTCTGCTTCTGAGTCTTCTTCATCTTTCGTTTTCCGGACAATATTGTCGTGCTTCGCCATGACCTCTTTACTCTTTAGAAACTTTCAATTTTCTCTCCCCTCGTTCACGCTAAATTCTCCACCTCATCAAAGCGCCGGAGGACTCTGGTGCACTAGCGGAGGACGTTTTACTGGAAAACTGTTTGACTTTTGGAAGACCGACTTTTTACGACTCTTGTCACAAATTTCGCTAAGTCTTTTCTGCATAACTCTTTAATTAAACTCTTTATATAAAATATTGTCGAAAATGAATGGTGAGTCATAAATGCACGTCAAAAAATTGACCTTTCAAGGCTCGCGCTTGATTTAATTTCATTTTTCTCTCTCAAAAACAACTCAATTTTCTGAATGAGAAATGAAATTTCTCCCTTTTCTCGCCCTTTCTCTCGTCAATTCTGATCCCGCAGAGAATGCTCTTCTTTTTTCTAGCGCCGAGTTTGGAAGCGCTCATAAATTCATTCATCATTTGGCGAAAAGTCTTGTAGAGAATCAGCCGCAGTTGAAGTCTGACAGTTCTTATATTTCTTCCCAGCAGGGTTCGGTAATTTGAGCTCAAGCTAAAACTCATTTTGGCTAGACGCTCAAATTTCCTCAAATTGAGAACTCAAAGTGATTTGAGAAATCATTTTGAGAAGATTTGAGAGTTTTGACAGTTTTGAGTTTTTGGGAGATTTGAGAGTTTTGAGTTTTCAAAACTCAAATTAAGCGAGCGCTTCCTTGATTGGCTCATGGATCGCCAGAACTGATTTCTCACGCGAGCTCTCATCTCTGAGTTCTCAAAACTCAAATTAAAAAACGTGAGTCTCAAGCTTTGTTTCCTTGAGTTTTAGCGTGAGCTCAAATTACCGAACCCTGCTTCCCAGTCGTTTATCGACAATGTTTTCGACTATGGCTGCTGGTGCCAGATGTCAGAAGAGCTTCTCAAGTATCGACGCGGCCCAGGAAAGGATTCGATTCAAGATCTTGTCTGACAGACATTTTCGATCGGAAATATGCGTCTTGAATCGGTGTAAATAGCCAAGGATGTGATTGATCGTCAATGTCAAAACTGGTATCGCTGTACAAAATGCATCAAGATCGATTCCTTTGGAACATGTCTCCCAGAATCGAAAAATTATCACGTGACATTGAATTTTCTCTCCGGAAGATACGAGTGCCCCTTTGACGCAGATTCCTGCGCGCTGAAAACTTGCATGTGCGATGTCGAACTAGCGAATCAAATCGCCCAAAACGCTGGAGAAATTAAAGCATATCTTCTGAACTCGAATGGCTGGGATCCGAGCTTTCAATGCAAACCTTCGAAGAGAGTCGAGCCGGAGTTCGAGGTTGGTCCTATCAGAACGATGAGTTTGGAGAAAAATGATGATGAGCCAGACTCGTGCTGCGGAGACTATCCACAAAGATATCCGTTTAAAAGCTTGGAAAGAGGGTGTTGCGGGAAGAAAACTTTCAGAAAAGATAGGTTTAAGCCTCGAACTTGCTTCTTATAAAATATTAAAGTTTGCAACAAATATTCTAGAGCCGATAATTTGAGGATTATACTAAACCATAATTAGACGAAAATGATGATAAGCAGATAATTCTTATGAATTAATTATTTGATGGTTTTCAAATAATATTACGGACATATTGAAATGCATCTAGTACCTAGGTAGATTAAAATAATCCATATCTACTACCTAATCATTCTATTTTCCACACATTCATTTAAGATTTCAATGCTGTTATGGCGAAGTCGTCCAGCATGGAGAATGCTCCAAGCCCCTGATCTGCAACTGTCAAAACGGTGGAAAATGCATCGAAAAGGGACTGAAAGTATTCTGCTCCTGCATCAACGGCTTTCATGGAGACAACTGCGAGTGGGGAGCCTGTCAGCCCGACCCGTGTTGGAACGGAGAATGCGAAGATAAGATAACAAAAACTGGCATTGCTGGGGCTTTCAAGTGCCACTGCCACGAAGGATGGACGGGGCAACTTTGCGACATTCCATTCAAGGGCGAGTTCAACTTTTTCAATTTTGCGAGACGACTTGATGCGCCCAGGCCGGACGTTGGCGACTTCCGTGGAGAGAACGAAACTGACGTGGAAATTCTAGAAGATAATGACGTTTTTGAATCGACTTTTTCTCAAATATCAACTCCGTCTTCTATCACACAAGAGCCTGTCAATAATTTCTTGGAACTTGAAAACAATGTTAAAAATCCAAAAACTACAACAACAGCACCATCATTCAGCACCACGATTCCAACGACGACAGCAGTGAAAATAACAACTTCAACAAAATCGACGTCAACATCAACCACAAAAACGACAACTACAATACCAGTATCACAAAAAACGACAAGAGCATCATCAACAACAACCACAACAACATCGACGAAAACCACATTATCGTCAACATTATCGACAACACGATCAAAACCATCATCAACTAAAACCTTTAAGACATCATCAAAGACATCCCCTCGTAAAAAGCCCAAGCAAATCAAGTCCCCAAAAACCAAGAAAATCCTCAAAGCAAAAACCCCATCAACAAAACAAGAAAAAGCTCTCCCGAATAAATTTCGCCAGCGAGCATCTCCACCGAAAATCACCAAACCAACAAAGTTGCCAAAAACAAAATCGCCCAAATCAACTCCTCCTTCATTCGATGCTGATCTCTGGAACTTCGACATCGCCACAACCATTTCACCAGAAAGCTGCGATTATTCATCGAAAAAGATTTTGATCGCGATAGAAACTGACGAAGAGCCGCTTTTCAAGAAAATCAAAAAGAATCTCTACGTTTCTGAATTTCTCAAAACCCTTTCCGAAACTGCGGGAATCCAGCTCTTTGGCTCGGCAACCTGTGTAGAAAACCTGACTCAGGGTCCTGCAGCTGAAATGAAAAGCCTCTTTCTGAATCCTGACTCAGGGTTTTTATACAGGTTTTCGAGCCAAATTTAGGTCGAAATCGTTTTCAATGATCGAAAATTCTTCACCGGCAAATCCGAAGAATTAAAAACGAAAACAACAGAGCTCAATCGCCAAAACTGGAATTCTTCAGGCAAAATCCCGCTGAAATTTCTCTCTGGCAAGTTCGATTTTGTCGTTTTCTTCAGCTCCCACCCTCTTTCGGGTGCTTTTTCTTACGAAGCGCGGCTCAGAAAACAACCAATTTTGCATTTCCAACTTTCAAAAGACGACGGAAGCCGTGTTCAAAATTCAAATTTTTACGGGGAGAAAATGTTCTACGTGAATCCTAAGCAGGCCCGTCGATTTGTACCGCTCGTTACAGGTAAGTGTCTGGAATTCCAACGAAAGGGAGAAAAAGGGAATTTTTAGAAGGATTATGTCGCGAGGAATTTCAACAGACAAGTGCTTGTGCTGCGGTCGAAAAAGTGACGTTTCTGAAAAGGGTGGAAAAAATTGGAATTTCGAAAGAAAAAAAAATTTTAAATGAAAAAAGGTTTTGTAGAAAATTTTTGCTTAAAATTATTTTGATCATTTTAATGATAATTAAACAAAATTATTTTATTTAAAAAATTATTTAAAAAATTTTATTTTTCAAAAAATTAAAAAATATTTTTTTTTGAGAAAAAATTAATAAAAAACAGAATCGAATTCTTTTGTAAGTTATTTGAAGGTCAACCTTTAATTAATTTGTTCCTTCCATTTTCAACCCTCCTTCAAATTGACTCTTCTGGCCTTCAATCATCGAAGAACTTTGGCAACAAATTAAAAAGCATTTCAAATTTCATTTCTGCAGCTTGGGAGACGCTGGATCAGCCGAAACTCGATGTTATCTCTTTCGGCAACGCGCAAAAAGGATTATCCGCGAAAGTTAACTTTCAAGATGACCGTTTTGATACCTCACAACAAATTGAAACGAAAATTACCGAAGAAATGAAATGGTTTGGCGGCAAAGCGACTTTTGGAGCTATTTTGGAACGAATTTCAATCCAGGTTCGTTAAAAAATAATTTTTAAAATGATTTTTTTCTATTTTTAGGAAAAAATAATCTTGGTTTCAAACGGCTTTTTCGGCGACCTGAGCGAGATCAAGGCACGACCGAATCTTGTCACAATCGGATTTGACCCAATGAACGCGATTTTAAGGAGCTCTCTCGAGGATCTGGCGCAAGGAGATGCGAGACGCGTCTTTTTCGCGAGGAATAAAGAGGATTTGGAAGGGATCTCGGCCGACATTCCTTCAGGTTTTGCTTTTACACTGCTGAAAATCGAAAAGCCGATTGCGGCTTCGAACTCGAAAAAGACGGAAAAGCCGCGCTTCGGCTTTTTTCAGCTCGAAGCCATAAGCGGCTTGTCGATTTTCAGCATTTTTAAAAAAATTGTTCTTTATTATGAGTTCCAATATTCAAACTGTTTCTAGCGCTCTGTGCTGCTGGGGAAAATTTCGAAGTCCCCGACTTTTCTATCCCGGAAAAGACACTCTTCGAGTTCGCAAGTGGATATCGCGCGAGACTCAATTCCTTTCCCTCAAACATGCCTGGTTTTGCCGACTGGAAAGCTGGAAAACAACCCTTTTTGAACTACAATCGAGAGTATACTGATTTCTGAATAAATCTTACAAGCGAATTACGTAATAAAAGGAGCAATAAAATATTCAGAATGATCATAATCATTGTCCATTTCCATTAATTTTCCAATATTATCTGTACTAGTAAATGAGCTCATTAAAAAGATCAAGGGCATTTTGTTTCGAAAAAATTGCATAACACTTTTTTATTTCGAAATTTTTTACACAAGGAGAAAATTGGATTTGAGCAGGAAATAAGTTTTCAACAAGTTTTTTCGCTTTTTTTGTCACATGACCTTTTTCGGGTCAAAAAGGAGCAAAGGAAGAGGATCAGCTGATTTCTTTCATCGACCATTTGTTAACCGACTTTTGTCGCGAGAATTTTCGCTTTTCGGAGCTCAGGGGCGTCGATTTTTGGACGATTTGAACTGGAGTTTTTGGAAGAGTTTTCGGAGAATTTCTTGATGAAATTGGTTCTGAAGCTGTTTCGGTTTTCGCTCGTTGAATTGGACAGGCGGATTTTGGGCAACGAGGAGTGGAGCTGGGAGTTTTTCGCATATGCGCAAATTTCTTAGCAAAAGATAAATAGCGGAAACGATTTTTGGTTAAAATGAACGACTTTTTAAAAATGCCCGAAGGCACAAAGAGAAACTTCGAAGACGCTCCTTTTATACAGTTGGTTTCCTATTTTCCGGAGTCCACTTTTCCGGACAATTTTCAGATTTTAAGGCCTTTGAGTGAGTCACTGCAAAATCGACCATGGACCATGGTCCAATTTTCCGGACTTTTTTCAAATTTTATTGACAGGTTATAATTTTTTTTTGGAAAAAAGAGGGAATCGACGGCTGAATTAAATTCTTTTCGGGCGCAAGTGGACCTTGTTGGCGAGATTTCCATCGATTCTCAGAAGCTATAAGTTTAGTCCGTGGTAAATCGACTTTTAGACTGAACAATGTCTGTTTCTCGAAAAAATTTAAGTATACATGGTGGGACATGCATTTACATCCGGTGACCCGTTTTTCCGGACATTTTTTCGAAGACCAGGGGACAAAATTTGTCCGGAAAAAAGGAAACCAACTGTATATGTTTGTGTTCCACTGTGGCACGAGAATGAAATCGAAATGGAAACCCTTACCAAGTCGCTTATTTGGTAAGCTTTTGCGACTTATTTTGGACATATTTTTGTTTTTTAGGTTGATAAAGCATAGAAAAAGTCATCCGAAAAAAGACTTTGACCTTGAGACTCATTTATTTTTCGACGACTCTTTCGACAGAACCACATTTGGAAAGGAAACGAATAAGTGGGTCAATCAGTACTTGCGAATTCTTCAAAGACTGTTCGTTGAAAACGGCGAAGAAAATGTTAGAAATCAAGGGAGAATAAGCGAAACGCCTTATGGTGAGCGAATGGTGTTCCGTGCTTTTGGAGCTGATCTGACTATTCATTTGAAGGATTCTGAAAAAATCAAGAGAGGAAAAAGATGGTCGCAAGTTATGTACATGAATTATCTCTGCAACTGGAAAATTGGGCAGGAACAGGAAAGGTTACATAATAAAACATATATTTTCAATAATGAACAAATTGCCTCATTTGGTCAAAAATTAACTTTTTCTAAGATGAAAGACTCAAATGGTAGAAGAGCAGACGAGAAAAATTCGTTTATTCTAGCGCTCGATGGCGACGTCGATTTTCAACCGAAGGATTTCGATCTTGTTCTCTCAAGAATGCTCAAGTCATCTAAAATCGGCGCTTGTTGCAATCAAATTCAACCAAACGGAACTGGTAAAAATCATTTGTTGATTGAAAATATAGATTTCTTAGGACCACTGGTTTGGTTTTAGCATTTCGAGTACGCAATACAACATTGGTTTCAAAAGTCAACTGAGCAGCTTCTTGGCTCTGTCTTATGCTCGCCTGGTTGTTTGAGCCTACTGAGAATGTCCACGATAAAGACTGTTTTGAGCGATTATGCGAAAGAAGCATCAGATGCGAGGACAAAACTTATCTTTGATCAAGGAGAGGACAGATATCTCTGCACTCTTATTCTACTCTCCGGCGCTAGAATTGAGTACGAAGCAAACAGTCGATGCAAAACCTTTGCGCCGGAGGATTTCGAAACATTTTTCAAGCAGCGACGAAGATGGAGAAGAAGCATTTTTCTCACCATTTTCGAGCTCGTCGCGTAAAGAAAAGAAGCAGTGAAAAATAACGGACGGTTGAACAGATTTTTCATCTTTTACGAAGCTTTTTGCTTGCTCGTTTCATCTCTTAGCGTCTCGACAATGCTTTTGGTTATCTGGGACTTGCTTGAAATCTCTGCTGTTGGCTTCATATCTAGATGGGAAGCCTTTGCCATCCAGTTATTATGTATTCAATCATTTGTGCGACTGATTTGGAAGAATTGAAATTGCTGGCGGCGAAGGTCCTTTCTTTAATCTACGTCTGCTTGATGGTTCTTCCTTTTGTTATTCCTGATTTTTGGACTTTGAGGCTTTTTCTTGACCCTCTTGTTTTGACAGTTTTTGCAATAGCGGCTATTTATTTGATATCGACCATACTCTTCTTTGATTTCAAGAGTTTTTTCAACAGTGTCATCTATGCTCTTTTTATCCAAATGAATACGATTTTCCTCCAGGTAATTTCCGATTCTTTTTTCTTCATTTTCATCTTCGTAGATTTACATGATCGCAAATATGAACAATATCAGTTGGGGAACGCGATGTTCAACATCTAGTCCTCAAGAAAATTCAATTTACGAACACATTGCCGCGACAAAGAAAGACTATTTTTTGAAAAACACCAGCCGAAAATTTTCATCATTTACTGATCCACTGGAGGAACAATTCTGGGCAAAAATGCTCAGCGCTGGAGTTGGTCATCTAAGTCCCTTGTCTGACGCAAAGAAGAAATAGATGGCTGAAAAAATGGAAAAAGACCTAAAAAAATTCAGGTGAACTTTGAATTTCTTTAAAATTTCATTATTTTTGAAGAAACAAAATTGCCGCAGTCACGACTTTCGCCAATTTCGCCTGGTTTCTTTTCGCTCTCATCATTAAATTATTTGCAGCACCGAAGTCGAAATTTCTGAAGCTGCTCTACTTATTTCCCTTTCTAATAATGACATCACCACAAACTCTCTGTATGCTTGTTCATACAGTTTTTACAATAATAAATATGATGGAAATTTAGCTTGCCTTTTCTTATTTATAATTTCAAAAGTCATTTTCGCTTTCTAATCAAATTTCTAAGAGTTTGAATAATTAAGGGCAAGGTCGATGAACCGAAAAAAATTGGGACTCAAGTAAATCTCATTTATCATTTTCTGTTCAGAACTTGCGCGTTTCAAAATTCAAAAATGTTAAAAGCCAATAAACTCAGATTCCATGGCGATGGAACTTGTAACATTCGACCCGCTCTGCTTTTGATTACACAACTGCACAAGAGACAGAGAGAGAAGGATCTTTTTCTATTTTTAATAAATTCAAAAATGTCGCGAACTTTGAAAAACGGTCGTTTTGCGTCAATCGAGGATGCTCAATTCGAAAACGATCGCGGCGTCACCAAAGCTATCGACACCGAAAGCGGCGCTTCTGTAATGATCAAGTGGATCACCGTCAAGGGGCCTCGAACTATCATCGCCGCGGAAGAAGAAGCTGGAATTTTGCGAGATTTGAGCGTAGAGAGCCAGTTTATCGTTAGATTCGTCGACTTTTTGCCCAAAGTTTCTCCAGAATGGTGGGAGTGGAATGCTTTTTCTTTCATCGTGATGGAGTTCTGCCCTGAGGGATCTTTGAAAGACTGGATTGAGGCGAGGAGAGAACAGGGAAGACGGACTTCCGTCAAGGAAGCGACTTTAATTGCGACACAACTTGCTATGGCGCTGAGTTTTTGCCATTCGAAGAAGATTGCGCACTTGGATGTCAAACCGGCGAATGTTATGATGATGGCCGACGGATGCACTGTAAGATCTTTGATTATAGTGTTCCAAATATCGAGGATATTTAGATCAAACTTGGCGACTTCGGCATTTCGACTCTTCTCGACTCGGTTCGAGACACCATCACAACCAAAGGCTTGCAAGGGGTCGTCGAACATACGGTTCTTTATATAACTCCAGGAAAGTTTTCACAGATATAATCAAATATATAGAAGAAGTGAAAGTACGATTGAAAATAAACAAAAGAATTTTTGCGAAATCAGGTCGACTCAAAGTCGCCGAGAATCGATGTTTGGGGCTTCGGACTTGTTCTTCAAGAATTGATCACTTTGGAACACGCTTTTGGCCGGCATAATGCACAACCAGCAGATGATCGCAGAATCGGTAGAATAAACAAGCAAGAACTTTTTGAAAGAATTTTCAGTGAAAAACATGAAAAGAACAAAACGAACTCCTTTCTCTGAAATTTTGGGAGAAAACAACGATTTCACCGATTTCGAAGTTCTCATTCAAAAATGCCTCAATCCTTCAAGGGAATCTCGCCCAGACAACATGATGATGGTCAAAAACGAAGAAATCTTCGCCGAAGTCGTGGAAAGAATCGAAAACGGAGAACTTCCAAGTGACATCATGGCCACTCCTGCTCAAATAATCAAGAAGCTGCGAGAAGAAAACGAGCAAAAAGATCGACAAATTCAGATGCTCGAAAATATTGTCAACAAACAGATTCGCGAAAATGACAAAGTCAAACAGGTGAGTTTTAATTTTTTGTCGTTGGCTAAAATATTGAAGGAATTCGATGCTCAGCGGGAAAACTGGGAAGAAGAATCGGCGAAATTCAAGCAAGAAATAAATATTCTTCAGCGAGAATCTGTGGCTTCAAGAAAACGGGATCAGGTTTTTTCATTTTTTAGAAGTATTCAATTTCGATCTTTTTAGGAATGGAATCAACTAAAATTTGAGCGAAAAAACTGGCAAAAAGAAGCAGAAAAAATGCGGCGAGAAATTCAAGAGCTTCAAAAAAATCTGAAAAGCCTTCTCGACGAAAACGATCGAAATCAACGAAAAATTGGAGAAATGGACTTGCAAAGAAATCGATTTCGAATTGAAAGCGAAAATCAGAAGAAAGAAAATGAAGAGCTGAAAAGGGAAATTCAGAAGTTTGGAAAAGAAAAGGAAGAAAGGGAGAAAAGAAAAGAGACGAGGGTGAAACAGCTGATGAAATTGGAGAGAGAAATTGGAGTGAAATATGTGAACGATTTATATTATCTTGCTGGGTGCTACTATGGCGATGATCGGAGTATTAAACATGGCGGACCAAGAGACGGATTCAACAAAGAGGTGTTACGAAGCGTGCTTAGACTCCTTGCTCTTGGTGGGCGAGTAAACATAAAGGAAAGAGAGTTTTAAATTTTAAAAATCAAAAACGAATTTTCAAAAACTCTCTTCGAAGTTATGCACTCATATCGACGAGAAGGCCGCTTTCGAAGACTGGGAGTTGGAATATCGTGCCGCCTGCAAAAGCAATGGAAATGGAAGGATTTCTCCAAAAGAGGACGCGAACCACTATCTCTGGATCAAGAGCAAAGGTTAAGATTTTGAATTTGAATTTTTGAAATTTATTTTTAGAAAACTTCCGATTTCACGCGGTTGTTCAGCAATTTCGTGGCGACGATGGAATCATCAAAGACACGAAGGAGATGACGAGCGTGCCGGATGGAGGACGACAATTGCTTAAAATAAAATTTGTGTGCGGAAGTGCTATTCGTTTCAATATCTTCTTGCTGTGAATTTTTTCTGGGATCTTTTGTAAATTCGCAAAAAAAAAGTTGATCCATTTTAAAGATTTTTTAAAATATTGTTTTCTTTAAATTTTCAAACCAACGCAAAAATGTGCATCAAAGGGGACAAAAAATAGTCGAAGATGCTTCATTTATTTCCGTAACTTCTTTTGTTTTTTTTTTGTTTACTTAGTTAATTGTTGGATAGAACATTTTAGCCGAGATAAGACTGCCTTCCCTATTCACTCAATCGGAAAATGATAACACTTGCAGCCCTGCACTTGCCGTTGTAGATTTTTATTGATAAGACTCAACCCCTTCTGCGTGCAGGGGCAAAGTTGTAGAAGAATTCTCGATTGATTTAAAAGTTAGTTTTCAGGCATCAAAGAAAACTAGAAATCTTGGCTACCGGGGACTCCCAGTACCAATTTTGGCAAGGCAAAATTTAAGTCAACCAGGAACGCCCGCTCCGCGGGTTCAATGGTAAGAAACTTACTGATTCGGACAGGGTTCACTTTTATTTACCCACCTACTATTGTTCCGACTGAAATATTTCGATAAAATATCACTCGAAAAGCCGAAATTGGTACTCCCAGTACCAAAATTGGTACTGACAGTAACAAAAAGCTTTGGTACTGCGAGTCCCCGACGCCCGAAATTTTTGCAGGCATCAGAATCATGCTTCAACGCAAGTGAAGAGGATAGAAACAGCAATATTTCCAAGTTTCCATGTTAGAACTCATTCCTTTACAAGAGCTTTGAGTCATTGGTTTCGACATCTTGTGCATTGAAAAACTTTACGGCGAAGTCATTGAATTCTCAAAAAATACGAGATCGACTTCGTTTGCGTTTTCATACATTTCCGCCGACGGGCTTAGATAATCATTATTTGTAATATCATTCTGTGGATTTTTTTTTTCTTGTTGAACTTGTCAGGATTGATAGTGAAAGTTCTGTTCTGATCATCATTGTACTTTGCCAAAGACGATTTCGGAAAATCTTTTCTGGACGAGGAAAGAGAAACTGGTCGAATTCGTCCCTTCTCTTTTTTCGTATTCTGTTTGGTGGTTGTTGAATTCATTTTTTTCCTCGGGTTTCTGGGTCGCCACTGAATATGTCACGAATGTCACGATTACTGAATATGTCACGAAAGCCGAAACGTGTTGTTTTGTTTTTAGTTGATTCTAGAAACTTTTTCGACGAAACGAGATTGGGTAGCATCATTTTAAACAACATTTAAAACCCACTCAAAAGTGCAAAAAAAGTCAAAAAAGGCATTGAATAGTATTAAAAATTGAATATTATTTTATAAGACCAAAAATCAAGGGCATTTTGTTTCGAAAAAATTGCATAACACTTTTTTATTTCAATTTTTTTTACACAAGGAGAAAATTGGGATTTTAGCAGGAAATAAGCTTTCAACAAGTTTTTTTGCTTTGTTTGTCACATGACCTTTTTTCGGGTCAAAAAGGAGCAAAGGAAGAGGATCAGCTGATTTCTTTCATCGACCATTTGTTAACCGACTTTTGTCGCGAGAATTTTCGCTTTTCGGAGCTCAGGGGCGTCGATTTTTGGACGATTTGAACTGGAGTTTTTGGAAGAGTTTTCGGAGAATTTCTTGATGAAATTGGTTCTGAAGCTGTTTCGGTTTTAGCTCGCTGAATTGGGCAGGCGGATTTGGGGCGACGAGGAGTGGAGCTGGGAGTTTTTCGCATTCGGACTTGGGAAGAGGAGGAGCTGCTGATAGAGTTTTCTGATTGGTTGGAGGAGTTGGAGTCGGTGGAGGTTTGACGACGGCCCATTTCGCGGGCTTGGCGGAGTCTAGATTTTTTGGTAAAAAGAAGGTTAAAATGAGGTGTTCTCTGGAACCGACAGAAAAATTTCGAAAAATTTTGCATAGAAATTTTCAACGAATCAGAAGCCCGAATTCAGCGAATTGGCCAATCAGCAGCCGAGTTGCCGCCCACGCAAAATTTGTCGAAGTTTTTTTGTCGAAAAAATAGGATTTTTTAATTTAATTTTTTTTTGCATGAAAATAAGTTCTTATCTAAAAAAAGCCTCTTGACTTACATGATGTAATCATAATGAATATCTTCGCTGGTCGGAATGCCCGCTAGTTCGGCAGGACTCAAAGTCTGCGAGCTCGCTGGCTGGTCCAAACTCTTCCACCACTTCGACGCGGATGATAAACTCTTTTTCAGCAAATTCTGTTTCGACATTTTTTCGTTTGTATTTTTTCGCTAGTACAGTTTCCGCGTCAGCTTTTATTTGTGCCCAGAGGGACTCTTGCGCGCCATCAGTGACAGTGAGTATGAGCTGCTTACTGTAATTTCAGATGGCAGTGTTTCATTTCAGACTATCTGGCAGAGGGTGAGACGAAGTTCAGACATAATTTATGGCCTGGCAATATTCTTTATTGCGGATCTGAATATTTAAATTTTGATATGAAACTTCTGAAATGTCCGTTTATATAAAATCATTTTAGTTAGATTACTGTCAAAAATTTCGACTCAAAATTGAGAAACCGCTTGCGGCTTCGAGTACCATAATAAATTAGCCGCGCAAAGCGCGGCTTCTTTGTCTTATTTTACTCGAAGCCGCAAGCGGCTTTTCGATTTTGAATCGAAATTTTTGACAGTAATTCAATTACAGTGATTCTTATAAATCGCTTTTTAGCATGATTCATTTTCATTTGAGCAAGAAAGGATGAAAAAGCAGCTCAGTGCATCAAAAAGAAGAAAAAGTCAACCGAGCTCGGAGTCAAATCGCTTATCCTCTGAGAGACAGCTAAAAATACGTAAAAGCCGACATAAGAGAGGATCAAGGAGGATGAGGACGCTACAAATCGCGGCGGTTAATCTTCTTGCCGTGCAGAGGTAATGGGGTTAATGACGTCAACTCTATTTGACTAAAAAAACCCTGAAACCTTCGAAAAATATTTGACTCAAAAGTGAAATTTCGGATCAAAATTGGTTTGATTTTTGGAGCTTATGAGAAGACAGGGGGTTATTTTGGTGTATTTTAGCCATATTTTATCAGCCTCAATATTCCTTCAATAATTATGGACAGCGCTACTAATTAACCATTTTAGTCAAATGTCGGATTCAGATATTGGCTCATATGACGCAAGGAAAGGGTAACAACTGATGATTTTGCAAATTCCAAAGCCAAAATGACGTTTGAATTTGGAATCAGAAAATGAACCCCTTTTTAAAAGCTACTATATGGACAACTATTATGATTACTATTACGATGACGTGGATGAGTTTGGAGAAAGGAAGAAAAAGAAGAAGAAGAAACAGCAGAATAAGAATAAAGTAAATTATTATGAGGAACTACCGAGTTATCTGAATGGAAAGGATGAATATGGCGAAATCGATGAAACGATGGGTAAGTACGATTTTCGACTCAAATTTTCGAACAAATTTTGAATCAAAAAAGCAAGAATTCTGGTGAGACAGTATCTTAGTAACTGTATTCATACAGTATTAGCCTTCATCGGTCGGTCTGCCTGTCATCTACAGACTGATTCTTACAGTTTCTGACTGTAAAACAGGACTTTTTGTTTTTCCTCGAAATCAGACCACCCCTCTTCTCAAAATTGCCTTTTTGCCATATTCCGGCTGCTCAGACTGGAAAGCAGGGACGCTTACCAACTGACAGTGGCACTCAGTCTCCACTCTGATTCCCATTTTTTTTCTTCTGAGCGTCATTTTGTGTATAATTGATGCGTCTGACAGGCGGCTTATTTACAAATACAATAAAGATAATGATCATCGACAATGTCTATTCGGCCCTGAGCTGCGAAAACGTCAAATTCTAATCCCGCAATATTTTATTCAAATCTCGATTGTGCAACTGAGTATTATCTCGTGCATTCTATTGCTTTTGAGTTACCAATGACGTAATCATTTGAAACATACAGGTAACATACAGTATTATGGTCCATAATTTATGGAGAATTTTAAACTCGGCCTTTGATTCGTCGTTTGATAAAAAAAGCAGTTCTGATTGGCCAATTAAGCGAATTGGGGATCATGATTGGCGGTTAAGAAAAATTAAGGCTTTTAATAGGCTCGAAATGAAAATGATGATTTTTGATTGGCTAATTGAACATTCGCGGGCAAAAAATTCTTCGCATGGAAAAACGGAGCTTCTGATTGGCCGATGAACCAAAAAAAGGATTTTGATTGGCTTGTTGGCGAAAAGAAGTCTTTTGATTGGTCTCGAGATTTTAGGCCCTTTGAATGGCTTGTTCACCCGATAAAGGCTTTTGATTGGTTTTGATTCTTAATTTGAACTTCAGAATTTTTTGTTTTTAGGCCACAATGGTCACCAATGCTGGAAGTGTCACTCTGCCTCGTACGAAGAGTGCGTTTCTGAAGGCTACTACGTAAACTGGTAACTTATTTGGCTCGCTAAGAAAATCGCTCAATTTTTAATCAGCAAGGATGAGCAGTATCATTGTGACATCAGAGAAAATCGACATTTTGGCAATGTGACCAAGGTTCATATGGGCTGCAAGGTAAATAAACGCAAAATTTCAGTAATAAGGAAAACATCATCAAGAGCCTGTCAAGGCTCTGATTCTTCTCCTCCTCGTCTCCGAGATTCGTGTCAATTTTGGAGATAGACATAGTCAATAAGAACAGATCATCCGTCTTTTAATCCGATCTCCGCGATGAGCATTTCAATGTGTCGGAAATCGCCGATCATTCTTTTCAATAACTCTTTTTTTAATTTTTTTCGATAAATCGTTTTTTCTTTAGCAATCGAAGGCCTGCCTCGCCGAATTTGAGCAAAATGACAAGTTCTATGGGCGAGATCTTCCAAAAGTAATGGGCTTCAACTTTTTCTTTGGGCAAACTGAAGGAACGGAAATTCGAAATGAAGAAATTAAATTTCATTGTCATTTTATTGTGACTCTCTGGTGTGGATGTAGATGCGTTCGAACAGTTAGAATTGTAGCTTCATTTCAAAAAATTTAAATTTGCCATACTGGAAACTGGCGACGATTTAACTTCTTAGATTCCCTTTGGAATTCATTTTAAAAATGAATTATATTTATGATGCATCTTTGAGGCGAAAGATCTGATTTTATAGCATGATTTTTGAATTGATAGCGCTAGAGAACCCCTTATCTTCGCGAGATCGGTTTCCTGCTGAGAACATCTGCCCTAGTTTTTTACGAATGGAACATCAGTGATGTCTTAGTTGAATCCTTTTTGCTTTTGAATTTTTTAACAGATGTTATTTGATTTTGGATTTTGGGTCGTTCTGTAAAAATTGCTCTGTTTGAAGATATTCGATTTTTTTGAAAAAATCTTCAGAAAAATGAGTTTCATAAAGTTTCCAAGTCAATAACGAGGCTTATCTTTTTCGTCAGAGATTTTCGTAAGATATTATTTCAGGCTCGATTCGATTTTTCGTAGATTTCTTTACGAGAGCGTGAGATCCCTCCTTGATCCAGTTCGAAATTTTGTACTTCCGTATTTTCCTTTTTCCCCGTAAAAAGACCAGCCCGGGCCGTACCATCAATGCTTCCCTGCGAATTCGACGATTGAAGTGTCCATCTGCCGTCAATGCTGCACTGACAACAAGGAACTCGTCAAAAGATCGCATAATTCGTATTTTGGTGACGCAAAACAGGAACCAACAGTTGTTTTGAAAATTAGCCAAATTACGACGAATTGACTTGTTATAAAAAGAAGAATGTGTTTGAGTCGTTTTTGACGTAGCTGAAGTGCAATTATAATTGGACAGATGGATCGCTCGACACGGAGCAAGAATGGAACGATAAAACAAACCATCCTCTTCTAGAAGAAGATGACGAAGAAGAAGAAGCCTGATTTGAGAAGATTCATGATTTCTGAAATAAAAAAGTCTTGATGAGTTATTAGTGCTTTTCTCTGAATCAATTTTCGGCCAGACCGGAAGTCGAAGAAAAGATTTTCAAAGATTAAATCAAAGGCAACTGAAAAAAATATGTCTTTAGAGATCAATGATATCAGCTGCATCCCTCAGTCCAAGGTAAGTTTTCGAGGCGGTTTTACTAGAAGGGGGTTGGAAGAGGCAGACGAATTGATTTCGAAACCATGTGTTGAAAACCTGAGTCAGGGTGCGAAAAATCTGTAAAGAAGCTCCGCGGCTTTTCATTACAGATCTTTCTGATCCTGACTCAGGTTTTCTACACTGGTTACTGAGGCCAGCCGTCGAAACTTTGGCTGAAGGAATCGACTTTCCGTTATCTCCCCTGTCAAGAGTTTTCGAGCATTTTGACCACCCTAATAAAGATAATAATTTAGATTTGAACGAAAGTGAGTAATTTTTCAGGGTTCTGATCAACCAGATCCAATCTACAGCGGAACCACGCTAAAACGTCTTCCTGGACGTTTCATCGACTCTCCAGGCAAACCCGATGCTCATGGATATCTTCTCAAATCGAACGTAAGCAATTATACTCCACCCTAGTTACTCCAGTATCAATAATTGAAATAGAACGACTCTGACAGAGCCAAATCGGTACGATCTTCCAAACGAGAATAATAAATAAAAATTGAGTATCTAACAAACTGACTGGATTCTTACTAGACCCCGAAACAACAAGAAGGAGGTCCATCAGCTGATTCCGCAGGATTAGGATCGATCTCGTCCAACGACGGCCCCTTGGACTGGAAATGGACAGCTAAAGATGTCGCACGTGAGTTGATTTATTTAATTCTCGATTATGAATCACGTGATCCCCAATTAAGATTTCGACGCATACGAGCGCGAAGGAGCCAACCGAACTCGTTATTTCAATTCCATCAAATTTGACCTCACCAAATTTGAATAAATGAACGTTCATCCCTTCTTTTAATCTGAAAAGAAAAAATATATCACGTGGTTAGATCATTTCGGAGTCACATGAAATTGATTAAAACGAACTCGGGGCGACCCGAATTCATATTTTATTTGATCATTTTCGAACTGGGTTGAAAAGTATTGAAGTTGTTTCGTCCATGAAAATTGATGGTCGTGGACGGTTGACATCTTTTGATCCGACAATCAGGCCTAGAAGACAAATGCTAGAATTAAGGAGAGCACACCCTTAGGGATAATTCTTGGGGAGGTGTATGGAACCGACAAAAAATTTCGACAAATTTTGCATGGAAATTTTAAACCAATGAGAAGCCCAGATTCGGCAAACCAGCCAATCAGCAGCCGAGTAGCCGCCCACGCAAAATTTGTCGAAATTTTTTTGTCGGTTCCAGACACCAACCTTAATTTTTAGGGTATGGAATCCATACTATGGATCCTTAAAAATAATGTCTTCTTGTATATTTAATAAAGTGATACCCTTATTTTTTTCCTGAGTCTTAGAAAAAATTTGCTTTCTTCTTACATTCAAAAATGAAATTTTAGCAGAGAACATTATGTTTAAGAATGTCTTACATTCAAATTATCATATTTTAGAAAATACTTTATGAAAAACACAAAATTTCTTGTTGAAAATGGCATTTTTGTCAAGATCTCAAAATAAGAGAGTTACACCCTTATTTGACATTAAAATAAAAGAGGAATTGTTTTTTCCTCGATTAGATTTTGATATTTTTTCATCTACAATTCTCAAAAAATAATGACACATTTATTTTTGAGAGAAAAATAAGGGTGTAAGCAATAGTAAAATCAATAAAATAATGTGACATCATCATTTTGCGAGATTCACAAAAATGCAATTTAACAAAAATCTTTCTCGTTTTCCGACGTCAGTTGAGAAAACAAGCAGTTTGAGCGTTTGTTATCACGAGTTGTTTTACCAAGACGGTCTTGTCCCTGGCGATTATGGCATTTGGCGTAAAACAAATAAAGCAGAACTTGAAGCGACTTACGTAGAAAGGCGATTCTGCGCAACGTCCAGCGCAGACGTATTTCTAGCAAAGGGCTCTTGAGCTGATCACGTGAGTTTAGAAGTGCAACCGGGTTGCACTTGAAATGCATTTTGTAAGCACAAGCTTACGTTGTTCCTGCTTCTATTCCTGGCAAATTCAAGGAAGAATTACTATAATTATTTCGACGAAAATATATGACAATTTTAGTCCTCTTTTTTTCGATTATTTTGAAGTCAAAAGCCCCTCCTGAAAGAATAAGCCGCTCGAACGCAGCATCCAAAACATCTAAAAATAATTTTAGGGTCAGATTTAAGGAAGTGACACCCTTATTTCTCTTTCTATTCTAAGAAGAGTTTTCGTGTAGTCAACCTTTTATTTTTGAAAATGAGAAGCAATTTGCGGCTTCGAGCGAAACGAGAAAAAAATCCGCGCATTATTAAAAAAGCGCAGCTAAATTTCGTCTAGCTCTGAGCCGCTTGCGGTTTTTCGTTTTCAAAAAAAAAAGAAGAAGAAGATTTTCTTGAAAAAGTCTTTTTAGAATTGAACGAGAAATAAGGGTGTCATTTCCTTAAATCTGACATTTTGGAAGCTCAAGAATCCTGACCTACCCATATCTGTCCTAGGAACAGCTTCAACATTTTTCCTCGCTTTCTTGTTCTGCTGAAAAAGCCCCGCCAACAGCGCCTAGGAAGAATTCGAAAAAGAATCCCGCAGTTTTGGTTAAACAGCCAGTTTCGAAATGAAAAGGACTTCTGAGAAGCTTCAAGCTGAGAATGACAAGCCGCAAATTGGCCAAGTAATGAGGGTGATAAGCGAAGCAGGTGCTTTTTCTTGTGTTTTGCTTACGTACCAGCTCGTCGTTTAGCAGACGATGGGCTTTAAACGAGCTTCGAAAATAGCAAAAAATTGGTAAAAAAAAATGATTGAAAATAGAAACTGCATTTTCAAAAAGCCTAAAAAGCGCTTTGGCTGTTTCTTATGAAAACAAACGATTTTAAAAAAATGGTCAAACGAAACCCTGCCTGTTTCTTTTTGCAGTTTCTCGCGAATCGCCATTTAGTAGACTTGAAAGATTTGATGAGAAAGTAGTTGAGTGGACGGTTTTTAAAGATCATTTTTGAATAAAATATTCATTTTATGAGATAATGACTGTTAGATCAATTAATTTATAAGGGGCAATAGAGTTTGAAATGAGGGGTAAACAAGAGCAAACTATGAACTTTATAGAAGTAGCTAAGTCCTTTTTTAGAAAGGTTCTTGAAGAAAAAACGTAATTAAATTTTTAAAATTTAAAAAAATAATAAAAATTTTATCATTCTAATTTTTGAGTCCTGAACTATTTCTAAACGCCATGCAGATGTGAGAATAACATTGTAATGTGGTCATCGAGTAATTTGGTAACAAAACTAAAACGTGGCCATGTTCGCCACCTTCTGGCTCTAAAAAAGTATAAAATCAGCAACAACCTTCGGAAAATTATTCAGTTTTGATCAAAAAACAGAAAATGAAGCTTTTTGCCGCGACAGTTGCCCTCGTCCAGGCCTCCGCCGTCCAGGACCGAATCGACGTGATTCTTGGTCATTTTGACGTATGTATTCGGAGATGTTAAAAAACAGTTGCTTTTTACTAAAATTCTTTTAAAAGCGTCTCGTCGAGAATGGCCTCTACGGCGGCAATGCTAAGGACGAACGATACGTCGCCAAGATCCAGAGCTGGGCTGCCAAGATCGTCGCTGCCAACGGCGACCGAGACGGTGCCGAGTGCGACGCCGTCGAGGAGGAAAGCGAGGACGTCAGCGTCTTCTCCGAGGGCGACTGGTGCAAGTTAAACAGGCAAATCAACTCGGCCCTCAGCTCTGCCGCTCGACGATGGGCATGCGACGGACGTGGCAACGTTGCCAGACAGGCCGTCCGACGACTCAAAAAAGTCAAGAACCAGTACGAGCGACGATACTGTTATTAAATTTTTGCTTTTGACTGATTGGAAGAACTCACAATCATTTCTGTCTTATTTTCTGTCAGAAACTATTGTATTTGAATTTTTCTGTTATGATTACAAATAAACTTTCATTTGTTCCGATTTCTTCCTCCTTACGAACGAAACCTTCAAGCCGCAAAAATTTAAGTTTTTCCCGGGGCAATTTCAGCTCTCTAGAAAAGATCGCCACCTTTCGGCTCACCTCTCATCCGGAGTTCCTTTAAAAGCTCGCTCCCCGGCTTCAGAGATTTATTCTGAAAAACAGAAGAAAAAAAAAACGAAAAATGAAACTTTTCGCCGCCGTCCTTGCTCTCGTCCAGGCTTCTGCCGTCCAGGACCGAGTCGACATCATTCTCGGACATCTTGACGTAAGTTACACAGAGAAAACTGAACAGTGTAGAAAACCTGAGTCAGGGTCTGAGAATTCCACAATGACTTCTTCTTAAATTTTCATTCCAGCGACTTGCCGACGCCACCCTCACCGCCGGTGATGCCAAGGACGACCGCTACGTCGCCAAGATCCAGTCCTGGGCTGCCAGAATCGTCGCTGCCAACGGCGACCGAGACGCCGAGTGCGACGCCGCCGAGGAAGAAGCCGACGACAAGTTGGTCTTCTCCGAGGACGACTACTGCCAGCTGAACTCGCAGATCAACGCCGCCCTCAACTCTGCCGCTCGCCGATGGGCCTGCGACGGACGAGGCAACGTCGCCCGACAGGCCGTCCGACGACTTCGAAAAGTCAAGAACCAGTACGCTCGACGATACTGCTCCGCTGATGAAGGCGCTGATGCTCGACGATACGGCCGACCTCAATACTACTAAAGAAAATCGTTTATTTTCTGAAATTCCATCATATTATTCAATCCATTCTTTTATGATGAATTTTAATAAATTTCAAAAATTCAAAAATTTTTTTCAAGTCTTTATTTTCAAGAAATCGTTGAAAAAAAGCTTCTGAAACGTGTGGTTTCTTATCTCCCATTCGCTTATCAGTCCGGTTGACTCAAATCCCTTCCAGTTCCCCCGCGATAACAGGCCACCGCAACTACTAAAAATTAGACAGGCAGAAAGGAATGCTTAAAGAATTTCCTCGGGCGGTTTCGCTGTAGAGCTCTGGCGGCGGAGCTGACCCTTAGCATTCGCGGGAGCACCGCGCGATCGCCACCTGCCGGTTCACCTCGCCTCTAGAATCCTTTAAAAACCGCTTCGCCGCTTCGAAACGGTATTCTGATAGACAGAAGAAAAATAATTAAAAATGAAAGTTTTCGCCGCCGCCCTTGCTCTTGCCCAGGCCGACGTTGTCCAGGACCGAGTTGACATCATCCTCGGACATCTTGACGTAAGTAAAAATTCAGAGATATAAAAAATAGAGATTTTTTGGCTTTTTAACAAAAATTTTTTTCGAAAAATTTTCTAAAATTCTGATTCTAGCGACTTGCCGACGCCACCCTCACCGCTGGTGACGCCAAGGACGACCGATACGTCGCCAAGATCCAGTCCTGGGCTGCCAGAATCGTCGCTGCCAACGGTGGACGAGGTGACGAGTGCGACGCCGAGGTCTCCGAAGCCGAGGACGTCAACGTCTTCTCCGAGGATGACTTCTGCAAGTTGAACTCTCAGATCAACTCTGCCCTCAGCTCCGCTGCTCGACGATGGGCCTGCGACGGACGAGGCAACGTTGCCCGACAGGCCGTCCGACGACTCAAGAAAGTCAAGAACCAGTACGCTCGACGATACTGCGCCTAAGTTCCTTTTCTGTCTTCCGAATCCGATCGAAACCCAGGCTTTCGTCTGAGCCGTTAAGTTTTTCATTAACGGCGCTTGATCGTTTTCAAAAACTGTTGTCATGACTGCACATTATGGTTTATTATTTTAAATATTTTGGATTGTTTTGTGGAGCTGGCTTCAAATAAATGTTCAAAATTCGAAAATTTGTTTTTTTTTTGGATTTGATTTTGGGAAGATTTTTTCTAGAATAATTAAACAGAAACCGCATTTTTTTATCTTAAAATATCGCTCTGGATAATTTTAAGGGTGGCCTCCATGAATATATTTAATGATCTGCGCAGTCACTACGAATTTAACCGTAAGCTCAAGAAGTTCAAATTATGTTTTTGAATATTTCAGCAAAAAAAAAATCGAAACACGTACAGGAAAAATCGCAAAAGAAGCTGATCGCGGATCTCTTTATGTTCGAGTTGATCTTCTATCCGATTTGGGTTCTAAGCCGCGGTTCAAATTTCACCACCGGATGGTCGTGTATACGTAGCGGAGGCTGAATTATGCGGATGTCGAAGCGTGGCAGGGCTCAATTTTGAAACGTGACGGATCATCTTTTAATAAAAAAAAGACAAGATACAGTAGGTTAAAATGGAACGAGTAAACGAACGAGCAGACTAACGTTGAAAAGATTATTTATTTGGGCAGGAAATAAAGTGACGATTAATTATGATTTCAAAAATGGATGAAAATTTGGCGTAATTATCAATTTTCTTATCAGCGGAGCTTAGGTTTTATCACCAAAATGGCAGAACGTGACTTCTAGTTTGTTGCTGAGCAGGTTGATAAGAGTTTATGATAACACTTTCTCCGTGTCATTCTAACTGACACGGGAAGACACAAGTTTTTTTCATAGAAACCTATCTTTTCTTCTTCTTTTCTGGAAGAAAAATGACAGAAGAAAAGTTTTTTTTTTAAATCGCGTTTTTGCATTTTGCAAATCCAGATAGTCGGATTAGTTTTGTCATCCTTGATAATCTGCTGATCATTTACACAAAGTTTCTTTCCGCTAGATGGCCTTGTTCTCGTTTTAACTCGATATTGCCGGAGAATCATCATCAGAGAAAGAAGTAATCCGGACAGACCTGATGAAGGCCCTTCGGGTTTTTCTTCTCGCTGGAGTTGGCCTCGCGCAGACTTGGAAATCCAGCAAAGAGGTGAGGGAAAAAATGAAGAGTTGAAAAATAAAAATAATTTTAGGAAAGAAAATGGAAACGAAAACAAGCAAAGCTGAAAAATGCCCGGCAGGAAGCGACACAAAGCTCTGAAAAGAATCGTTTTTCTTTTGAACCGATAAGAAACGAAACCGGGTCATTTATCAACACGCCGGGAGGGAGAGTCGAAGTCTTTGAAGAGCAATCTCTCGATGATTTTGTCGCTGAATCCGAGGTAGCAATCGATTCGGTCCTCCTTTTTTAGCTCATATTTTCAGGTGTCTTGCTGGACCTGTAATGGGTTAGACGAAGATGAATGTGGAGCTCGCGGGTCCTGGCAAGCTTGTCATGGAGATCAAATTTGCGCTGTGGAGATTCGTCGAAGAGGCTCTCGCTTCGGTAAGAGTTCTTATGCTGTCAGTACATAACTGCGATTTTCAGAGGGAATTCAAATGGGTTGCAAGCAAGCCCAAGCCTGTTATACAGCAAGAAACGAGAACTTCCACGATCCTCAAGAATCACAACAACAGGAATGTTACAGAACCTTTTAAATCCTTTTTTCATAAAAAAATGGGCTTAATCCTCAAGTCTTTCTTTTAAAAACAGTTGCGTAACCTGAAAAGTGTAAACTCGGCTCGAAATTCCTCTCCGTTTGCCGCCAATGCTGCATCAACAAAAAATGCTTCGTCTCTCACGGCCTCAACCTCCGCGGCGACGTCCCAATCCCATGGAAAGACTTCACCAAGCAAATGTGGGTCGCTGACTACAATATCGGCTAAAACACTCAATTCCATCTTCTCCTGTTTTCTCTAGAACAGGCTGTAACCAAATACCTTCCGGGCTGTTTCTCGATAACTTTTGTTCTCTGAAATCATGGAAGAGAGATTCAGAGACGAGAAATCAGCCTGATTATTGTACAAAAATGCTTATCTGCTCGCTCAAACATGGAATCAACAAACAATAAACTAACAAAAATTTGAATTTTTGAATATTTATTGTGGTTATTACAAAGGGTGTAAAGTGGGCGAGAAAGGCACTTAGAAGCACTTTCGGTGGACGATGGAGGGACCGGCTTCGTCGTATTCGGCCTTGGTGATCCACATGGCCTGGAAGGTGGAGAGGAGGCGAGGATGGAGCCACCGATCCAGACGGAGTACTTTCGCTCTGGGGGAGCGATGATCTTGATCTTCATGGTGGATGGGGCGAGGGCGGTGATTTCCTTCTGCATTCGATCGGCAATACCGGGGTACATGGTGGTGCCGCCAGAGAGGACGTTGTTGGCGTAGAGATCCTTTCGGATGTCGATATCGCACTTCATGATGGAGTTGTAGGTGGTCTCGTGGACACCAGCAGATTCCATGCCGATGAAGGATGGCTGGAAGAGGGTCTCGGGGCATCGGAATCGCTCGTTACCAATGGTGATGACCTGACCGTCGGGGAGTTCGTAGGACTTCTCGAGGGAAGAGGAGGAGGCGGCGGTAGCCATTTCCTGCTCGAAGTCGAGGGCGACGTAGCAGAGCTTCTCCTTGATGTCTCGGACGATTTCTCGCTCGGCGGTGGTGACGAAGGAGTAACCTCGCTCGGTCAGGATCTTCATGAGGTAGTCGGTAAGATCTCGGCCGGCAAGATCGAGTCGCATGATGGCGTGGGGAAGGGCGTAACCTTCGTAGACGGGGACGTTGTGGGAGACACCATCACCAGCGTCGAGGACGATACCGGTGGTTCGGCCGGAGGCGTAGAGGGAGAGGACGGCCTGGATGCAGACGTACATGGCGGGGACGTTGAAGGTCTCGAACATGATCTGGGTCATCTTTTCTCGGTTGGCCTTGGGGTTGAGGGGAGCCTCGGTGAGGAGGGTGGGGTGCTCCTCTGGGGCGACTCGGAGCTCGTTGTAGAAGGTGTGGTGCCAGATCTTCTCCATATCGTCCCAGTTGGTGATGATACCGTGCTCGATGGGGTACTTGAGGGTGAGGATACCTCGCTTGGACTGGGCCTCGTCACCGACGTAGGAGTCCTTGGAGCCCATACCGACCATGACACCCTGATGTCGGGGTCGGCCGACGATGGAGGGGTAGACAGCTCGGGGAGCATCGTCACCAGCGAAACCGGCCTTGACGAGACCAGATCCTGAAAGAGTTTGTTAAGAAAAATTCTTTCAAAGCAATAATTTTAGGGTTTCTTGCATCGAAAGCTGTGTTATTTTTCTTACCGTTGTCGCAGACGAGCGCGGTCTGCTCTTCCTCCTCCTCAGAATCGTGCATCATCATTTTGAAAAATGGATGGGTGAGTTCTCGATTAAGAAAAAAACACTAAAGCTCTGGGCAGCTCGGTTGATAGTTTTCAACCCTTCACGCTTGCCTTTTAAGGCATCTCGTCAGTTGATTGGGCAGCAACACTTGACGCCTTGCAAACAGTAGCGGTACCTATTTTAGGAAGATTATCAAGCGCACCCGCCGCGGGGGGAAGCGCTTTTGTCAGCTGGAAAGTTCATTTTCGGAAAACCATCAAAAATGTGTGAAATCTTCAAGAAACAGTTTTGTCCGTCTGGTATCTTCTCTCTTATAACTTTATTAGGTCATCATCACGCCATCATTTTTATGATTAGCTCCCAGCTTGATTTGATCATTCAAATTGTCGGTCCAATTTCAATCTGAGAATAATGCCTGAGCAAGTCTGTTCGATCTCGGGTCTGGCATACTTGCAACTTTCGACATCAAGAGAACAGCTTAAAGAAGACTTGGCGGAGACTTTTGGGTTCAGAAATTTTGACGGAAAACCGGATGGGCTTATTCAAATTGATCTCAGGAACGATTCTAGAGCTCTTTTTGGGTCTGAAAATGGCCGAAGAGTTGAAAATCTTCGGAAAGATCGAACACAAAGGAAGAAAGAATTCATACAGCAGCTTTTGTCGGGAACTGCAACAAGGAGATCGCCTCAATTATTCCCGGATTGACTCATAAGGTCATAAATTCTGAAGAGATCAAGGAGTTCCCGGGCGCGGCAAGACGCAAATCCAAAATATGTTTTGATTTTATTGACCACATTGCTCTGGTCGTCCATCTTCAGGACTTTGCCTCTACCTCCGTAAGTCGCAAAAGCCCTATCTCGATGAACTCACCGGTATTCTCAGGAATGGTATCAGAAGACATTCGGCTTGGTCAAAATCGTCGAGCATCGAATTTCTGCCAGGAACAATGGAATGATTCTCACGGTCTTAAAACCTCCTGATTCTCATTTTGCCATTGTCATATCAGGTAAAAAATCAACCTCTGGTCTTTCTCTTTCATCACAAAAAAATAGCGTCATTGTCGAAATCCGATCAAACAGACCACATAAAAAGCTATCTCTCCCGAAACGGCCCTGGAATCCAGCACATTGCCTTCCACTGTAACATTCATCAGGAACTGAAGAAAATTGAACAAATAGATTCGTTGGAAATCGTCCCCACGCCGATGAATTATTACACTCGGCCGCATGTTCAAGAATGCGTTCAAAAGATCAAATACGATATTCACTCCTTACAGGTAGAATTCATTTTTCGAATCGAAAATGATTTTTCTTCAGAAAAATAATATTCTGATCGACTTTGAAGACCTAAACAAAGCTGAGATTATTCTTCAAGCGTTCACCAAACCAGGTTTTTAAAACATAGAATTGGCAACAGTAATCTAATTTGAATTCTAGTGCTTGAAAATGGAGTGTTTTTTGAACTGATTGAGCGATGGAACGGAAGTCAAGGATTCGGAAAACAAAATGTTAAGGCTCTTTGGGAAGGAATTGAAGAAAATTGCTGAGCTGTATTTTGACTGTAGCCTGTTTAATAATATCATTACTTGTAGAATAAATATATCTGTGTGAATCCATCGCGTACGCTTCAAAAACCATAATGGTTTATTAGGTTGTGAGAGCAATCTAAACTCTCCCTCCGTCTTGCCTATAGCGAAGAAAGATGGAGACATACGCTTTTGTATAAATTTCAAGAACTCGCTGAATAAATGCCTCAGCGACAAAAGCGATCCATACCACCTCCCCTCGATGGAAGAAGTCATTTCTCAAGTCGGCGCGGGAAACTCATTCTTCAGCTGCTGCGATCTCCGCAGTGGATACTGGCAAGTCGAGATCAAGGAGAGCGACCAGTACAAAACCAGTTTCCAGTGGGGCGGGAAAAGCTACTGCTTTAAGCGTTTACCCTTCGGGTATCGCTGCAGTGGGAATATTTTCTCCAGAATCGTCAACCAAATCCTCGACACATCCCCTACCAGAAAAAGCATGATGTCCTACATCGACGACGTCGTCATTTTTGAAAAATCTTTCGACGCATACTACAAAGTTCTCAAAAATTTCTTCATTTCACTACGGAAATTCAACGTGAAACTGAAGAGCGACAAATGCTCTTTTCTACAAAAACAAGCTCATTTTCTGGGCCGCATCATCGACAGTCGCGGTGTTCAACCGGACCCTGCGCAAGTTGCCGCGATTCGCCAGATGAAACCACCCACATCCCAGAAAGAGCTTCTTTCACTCATCGGCTCCTTGAACTGGATCCGAGTCTATTTGGAGACAAAAATGGGCGAAAAGATAAGCACCGGTTGCTTCAGCCACCGCATGGTGCCCATTAACGAAGTTAGAAATGCGGCTAACTCTGGAAACCGTTTCCGATGGACAAAAGAAGCTGATATAGCACTGAAGGAGATACAAATGCGGTTATCCTCGACCCCTGTCATCTCATTCCCAAACATGGACCACACATTTCACCTCTACACGGATGCTTCAATGTTCGCTGTTGGAGGGATACTGATCCAGGAATACGACGGGAGAGTCCACCTAGTAAGTGCCATATCTCACACCTTCACCCGCGCCGAAAGACGCTGGAATGTCAGCGAAAAAGAGATGTATGGCATCTTGTGGTGCTGTGAGCGCCTGGAAAAGCTACTCAAAGGCCGGTTTTTCCACGTGCACAGCGATCACAGGTCATTGATTTACTTGAACAAGCGGAAGTTCAAGAACTCAAAAATACATCGATGGCAGACTCGACTGGAAGAATTTGACTTCCACGTGACCTATATCAAAGGGTCGGAAAATACGTTCGCCGATTTCATGTCTCGGAGACCAGGTGAAAACGACAAGTCGCTCGATTACGAAGCGGAAATCCCCGCCGGGCGCGAATACTCCATCTCCGATGATTCACCGATTCGTATCTTCGTGCCGTTCTGGAACAATAGTCAGTTCCCGGATAAACTCCAAATCACAGCAGCAAAGGTACATAAAATCAATGTTCAAGCGATCACTGCCCCGACTACGATTCCTCTCGTCTCTGCCAATTTCGGCAATCTGCTGGAATTTCAACTTCAAGACTCCGCACTCTCCAAGATCATCGGAAAGCTAGAATCTGGAAATGGACCACTGGACATTGGCTCTCTCTTGCCCGACTCGGATCATCGGAAATCTGCACTAGTTAAGTATCAAAAATCACTTTTTCTGGACCACGTGACTTCCGCCCTTATGGTAAATTTACGTAACGGATCACGTGCCGTCGTGCCGGAAGCCGTCAAAAGTCACTTCCTCTATGTCAGCCACGATTTGGCTGGGCATCTCGGTATCCCGCGCGTTATGGAAAAGTTAGAAGATCTCTGGTGGCCGACAATCGAGCAGGACGTAGACAACTATGTTCACAGCTGCGTACCATGCTTACGACGTAAAGGTTCGGCTGGACAACGGACAAAACCCCCACTTGGCCAACTCCGACGTGGCAAAAGACCTGGCGAAAGTATCCACATCGACTACGCGCACATGACCCCTTGCTCTGGGTACAAGTATTATTTAGTCGCAGTGTGCTCCTTCAGTCGATTCGTCTGGTGTATTCCTTGCCGCTCGGACACCGCCATAACCGCCGCACGCGCCTTACTCTACAAGGTATTTCTACCAATGGACTTCCTCCCTCAAAATCTGCACTCGGACCGCGGAACTCACTTTGCAAGCCAAGTTATCTCCGAAATGTGTAAGTTAAACGGGATAAAGCACACGATCTCCTGCGCATTTCACCCCCAAAGCAACAGTTTCGCGGAGAGAGCCAATCGCACCATCAAAAACTCCATTTACTGCATGGTCAACTCGGCTGGAAAACGTAATTGGCCAGACTGCGTTCCCCACGTGATGCGATCTCTCAACTCCATGAAAAACAAATCTACGGGAGTGAGCCCGAGAGAAGTCTGGTTTGGACGAAAATCCGAGTTCACAAACGCCACTGGCACAGAAATGACCGCCGAGACGCCCAAGCTATTTGGTCTCAACGTGGCTGAGCTCGCCAAACAGGTAGAAAATATCGTTACTCTTTCTATGGAAGCCGCTGATAAATCGATGGAGCAACGCTTGAAAAACCAGCCTGCCCCTAAGCCAATCCCTGATGGTTCTGCGATTTTCATCAAACGCGACCAGTTGACCGACCCTCGGTCAAAGAAAGAAAGATGGGTTGGACCGCTGCGCGCCATCAAATCGAACTCATGGGTAGTCCTTGTCGAGGACAAAAACGGAAATCGCGACTTTATCCACCGCGAACACTGCGTCCAGGCATCAGAAAGGATTTCTGATCTAAAATGGATTGAGGAATTCGAAGATATGTATGTTTTTCCTCACCTTACTGATGTAGTCAAGGATAAAATTCCTCAAAAAAGCCCTATCGTCACTCCAAAGCCTGCTGAGAAAGCTGCCAGTTCGAAGACTCAAGGGGGGAGAAAATATGTGGAATCGACCCCGATGCCAAAACTTACTAAGCCTTCGAGACTGTCCATGTCACCAATTGGCCCTGGTAAGCCTGCTACAGACACGTCTGGATCCGATCTCAACTCTTCTGGATCATCTGGTGGCTCAGTCATCCCTATGGACCTCGGTGCTACCAACGGAACGATGTTCGAGACCGCCCATGACACTACTGCAATCCCAGAAGTTGTTGCTAGTGAAGAGACAGTAGTTTCTCACCACTATGATTCAAAAAATGCTACAGCAACAGCTGAAAGACCAATTGAAACCGATTCTAAGCCCGAAAAACCATCTGGAAAACGTCCCCGAGTCGACTCGCCAAACTCATCCGTGATCGAAGCTGCACCACCGAAAAGAAGGTCCGCTCGGGAGAAAAAACAAACAAGCCAGCTCAATATTGGATCATCCAAGGGGAAGTCTTACGACTCAGCGTAAACCTTGCCCCGCTCAGGTCCCCAAGAACTTCGTTCTTTCCTTCGACTAGGGGCCTGAAAAGGTATGGAATAGACTTCTCGTCCCTTATCTGCCGTATTTTGAGCACACCTTCGCCGCCGTATCCTGTAACTCCATCCGCTCGGACATCAAGAAAACGTCGGTACTCGATCATGCTTTTTCCCACTGGGTTTTTTAATGCAGATCGTTTATCCTTTTGTTCCTGCTTGCTCAAAGTACATATTCCTGCCTTCCAACAACAACAACTCATGTTTCAACCCTTGAGAGCGTTCTGAGTTTCAAGGGGGGTATTAGGTTGTGAGAGCAATCTAAACTCTCCCGCCCTCAAGTGTTATCTGATCGAAGCTGTTCTCTCGGTCAGCGAGGCAATTCGCCTCATTCGGTTATTTCTCCGTTTAGAGATTTATTCTCCAATAAATATCAACTCTACAATTCAACCTCGTTGTAACTTTTATCTTTGAGAGAAGGGCATTTGCTTCTAGAGTGGGAGAGACTTGACGTTGTCTTACATCCTAAAAGGTTATTCTGACTTTCGATTTTCAGATTTTTTTAGTTTAGGTATTCCTGAATCAGAAAATTCATGTAAACGATAAATCTCATCGGCTGATCTACGCTGTCCAAATTTATTTCATAAAAAAAATCAAAACTGAACTCGTCTGGCAGGACTGAGGGATTTTCCAAAGTACTGTTTGTACAGATTCGAAATTTGTCGTCGAGCATTTGATTGCATTGGCGATCTTTCTTCAAGTCTGTAAGAGCTGACAGTATTCAAAATCGCGATAGCGAAGCACTCAAAAACTTCATCAAAGGATCAAAAAATATCGAATCAATTATTTTTTTCTTTGAATTCGACCCTTTTCCTTTCATTTTTTTTGAAGATATCTCTGGCCGGGTAATTGTGTTCTTGGATTGCGTTTTCTCAGGGATTTTAAGCACTGGCGCGATGATTTATTCATTCCTGCTCGAATTCTCACCCGCTGCAAAATGCACCAGCGAATGACATTTCTCAGATATCATTGTCTCATTATATGTATATTAACGACATTCCCTGTCAATAATACTGTATTCGGTTCAGCGAATGCTAGTATTTCCTTGTCGAAGATACGATTATGAACTTTCGAGCCAAATTTTAAGGAATTGGCCTTTTTAAGAAACCTGTCTCAGAAAAAAACCTGACTCAGGATCTTCAAAATCTTTGCGACCTTGATTTATCTAGGGTTTCTCTGTCTTAAAACCGAGAAATTTGGGAGAGGCTTCCAGAATGTTCGATTTTTGATTTAGTAAATACTTGAACCTGCCCATTTTTTATGCAAAATAGGTTTACTTGTCAGACATTTTTTGAGCGGTCGAAAAACGTTGACAGACGGGAAATAAGCTGACTTGGATTTAAAATGAAACTTATGTCCAAATGGAACGACAAATTGTTTATCCTAAATGAACAACTTGGATTCGAAGTCATGGTGAATGCATTTGCATATAGATGATTCTAGAGCTTTTTCAATAATGCAAAACTAACCGGAGAAAAGAGTCAGACTTTCCATTGTTAGCACGTGGTCTTACATGAGTTTCCCTGCTATACAACAATGTTAACATCATGTTCAAAAGTTTGGTAGAGCTTACGTATTAAACTATTTTCATAAAACAATCGCCGATATTCTTGAATTTTTATATTTTTTATTTCGTTTTTTTTTTGATTTTTTGAAAAATTGGAAAGATTAGGCTTTGCCAGTGTACGTAAATGTAGTCGCTTCGGTTGGGTTCAGAGTTGTTTCGAGGGGAGCAGTAGTCGTGACGATTTCGGTGGTTTGAGCGAGTGCTTCAAGGTAGGCTTCGTATTGGCGCTGGAGGTGCATGATCGTCTCTTTGGAGGGGAAGCGGCTGTCGAATTCGGCGCGGAACTCGATCGGGGTGATCGGCTCGTTGCCGATGGAATCCAAAGTTGGTTTACCTGAATGAGAATGGATTTGGAGGGGGTTTCTTTACAGTTAGGGGCCCTGACTCAGGGTTAGATAGTTCAGGATTTCCTGCGTCGAAAACCTGAGTCAGGTTCTTTAACAGAAAATTCTCTTTTATTTACCCTGACTCAGGGTTTGAGTAGGCCGAAAACCTGAGTCAGGGTCTTCAAAAGATGAATGAGATTCTCTGTCTGGACCCTGACTCAGGATTTTTTCACAGGCTGCCGAGCTATCTCGGCAATTCTCTATTTTGCAGAAAGCTAAGAATACCTAAGGCAGTAGGAATGAGAGCAATCAGAAATTTCCTCATCTTCTTCTTATTTTTTTCTTGCGCTTGTTTCAGCTTTCTTTCTCGGGTTCTTTTTGGTTTTAAAATAAGTTTCTCTCTTTTCTTTTTGCAAAATTTTAGAAAAGTCGTTTTGAGAGCGGATACTCGTAACTACGTACGGCGGCAGTGCGTGGTGGTGGTGTCGCCAATTAAGCCACTTCCTACGAAACACTCATGCCCGCGTAAGTGCTTATCTTTAACGTGGAGAGGAGCTCGTGTATTAGAGAGACTGGCGAAGGTTACCGAAGAATAGCCGAAAATTCAAGTCGAATCAGCATTTTTATCGCTTCAAAGGGGAAGTTTTCAAGTTTAGAGGGCAATGAGATGATTTTAGGGAGAAAAATTGAGGGTGTCTCTAACTAAAAACAAGGATGCCCTTGTTCATCTCCTTTCTTTCTGCATATATCCCCTTGTTCAAACTTATTCTAGAAATATCGAATTTAGTGATTCTTGATAGCGATTACGTGGCCCAAAGGTTAAGAAGGGGACATACGCAGGAAATGAGAGGATGAGCAAAGGTACCCTGTATTAAAAATTTGAGTCAATTAACGGATCCTCCTCCTTATCAATCATTCAAACAGTAAAAACGAGGTCAAGACAAAGTTTTAGCTTCAATATTTATGCTCTATTAAGACAATGTTCAAGTACAGGAAGAGTTTTGCGCCCAAGATCATCATTCAGCTGTTCAATCATGTATTTACAGTATTTCTTAACAGGCACTCAAAAGATCATTCGTGCCCCCTCGGGTCCACTTGCGCTAAAAAATATAGGTTAGAAAAATTATCAATTATTTATGGACTCACCTTCATGCCTTTGCGTATATCTCCAGGGATGTTCCTTCCATGACTTTTCTGACGTTACTGATATGCAGTCATCTGAGCCGGATTTGTCAGGAATCGTTTCCATCACGGACACGTGACGACCCTCAGAAATGTGTCGTTCGCGAGGCATCGAGAAAAACGCCCGTTGAGAGACGGCTTCATCGAAGTGGAGGTAATGCAAGTCACCTTGATTAATATTCGTATGAAAACAACAAAAATCGCTCACCTGATGTGACGACTGAGTTGCCCCTGTATTGCTGATGCCTGTGTCTGTGCGTTTCCGATCTTCTCCTCGTCGCTGCCACGGCTTTTTTGTGCTTCTTCATAAGATTCTGATTCGCGGTATCATTTGCTTCGCCAATAATCGCCTTTGCTTCCAGATTTTCTCTCGTCGGCAACAGTCCCGTCTAAAAAAACGTAAAAAATCGAACCTAAGGGAGGGAGCACCTTAAGCTGAGCGTGAAGAATAATATTTTCTTCAGCCTCTTCTTGTTTCTTGCCCGAATCTGCTCTTGATTTGGCGAGATCGTCCCCGAGTCCTGGAAGTATCATTGCAACGTTGGGGAGCAACATTTGAGCGATGTTCATTTTCGCAGCCGTTGGCATCACTGATTTTCGATTGCTGCCTCCGACGATCTTTGTCGCTTCCTTTATGTTCATCCTTAAAGGAAATGTCAATTAGAAATTCATTATTGACCAATCAGATTTCTTCATTTTTGTCGTCAGCCAATCAAAAATGAGTATTCAAAATTTTCTTATTTTGATTAAAAAATTTAGTGTTTTTTCTTTGTTTCGACTCATTTTGAGCTAGAAAATATGCACGTGTTGATTCTGGTATACCTCTTGTTAATTTCAAGAATCTCTTGATCTTTCTTCAAGTGCGGGTCGTGCGTAAAGACTGGGTTGATGTATTTTGCATTGAATCTCTCAAAGCGACGAAGGATCGAACTCATGCCATATCTGCCGACTACGTCATTGATTCCAGAGTTCAGATGTCCCATCGCCCGGTAGTAGACTTCTTCGTTCATTCCTTTTTCGTGGTCGTCTTTCTTCCTGACCTGCAGGAGCTAGAAAACATACAGTAAGGATATTGTAACAGATCTCTTGAAAAATGAATTGAGCAAGAAAAAAAACCACTTACTTGAACAAACGGGCCAGCCGTCGCTCCTTGAATAAATGAAGTGAAGAAAACCACGACCAAAGTGACACAGAGCATGGCATTCGAATGCGGTACCAATTGGAGGGAGGTTAATTTCATCAAGCCGAAAGCGATTCCACCGCGAAGTCCGCCGTACGCCATGATAAATTGATCAACGAAGCTGATTTTTTCGACTCTAAAACCAAATTCAAAACCCTCAATCTTCAACCGTAGTTCGGGCTCTAGAACACCCCTCGGGGCATGCTTAACCTACTTTTCCAGTCAAAACTTACCGATTTTTATTCAAAATCGCGGTCAATCCATAAACCGAAATCAGCCGAAAAACGGAAATAAACAGCAATGTCCACATGACAAAAGCAGTATTCCAGTGCACCCAGAAATCCGTGATCGCAGATGTTCCGAGAAGAAGAAAAATGATCATTTCCGATATATGCGCGATGAGTTTCATAGATTGTTTGACAACGGTGTGGGATTTGGCGGAGATATTGTGCTCGACGTAGGAGACCATTGTGAATCCGCAGAAGACAACTGCCAGGATAGCTGACAATCCACATGCTTCCGCGGCCAAGTAGCAAGCATAACTGACGCCAAATATGAATAACGGCTCGACGATGGTCTTGTTTTGAGTGTACTTGGTTGAGAAGGCGCCGATGTAACCACAGACGATTCCAAAGAGGGTGCCTCCGCCGGCGACGACGAAAAACTTCAAAACCGCTCGTAGAATATTCTTTGCGTCTATATCCGCCTCGTCCATTCCCAAAAACGCTTCGAACACTTTAAACAGCACCACGGCCACGCCATCGTTCAGCAGCGACTCGCCAAACACGCAAATGTACAAAAGCATGTTCACCTGGATTTCTTCGAAAACAGCGATCACAGCGACCGGATCTACTGCTGAAATGATGCTTCCAAAGAGCAGCATGTGAAGGGGATTAATCGGCATTTCGTGCGCCTCGTCCAGGCCTGGCATCCAACCTGCTTTGTAAACTCCATACAGGCAACCGCCAGTGCAGAAGGAATTGAAAATTGTGCCGATAATAGCATATGTTAGAATGGTTCCTAAAAGGCAGTAACGTCAATATTTGCGTCGACATTGAGAGACACTTATATTAAGAGTGCTTCTATAGTAAAAAACCTGCTAAAAGTCGAGAAGCCGCTTGCGGCTTCGAGCAATGAAGACGAGAAAGCCGCGCTTCGCGCGGCTTTAGTTCTTTCTTTCTCGAAGCCGCAAGCGGCTTCTTGACTTTTAGCAGGCTTTTTACTACAGAAGCAATTGAAAATAAGTCAGTCGAAAATGATAACTGCGGAACATTATTGAATGCATTACTGTAAATACTATCTACGGTATTGACGTTTTTCACTTACCTATGTTGTGCATAAACGGTCCCTTGGGCATGTAATAACCAGCTTCGAGAACAATCGGCGGGAGGAGAATCAAGAAGAACGTCGATGGATTGAAAAAGCTTTCAACGATATTGATGTATTTATCATTGTGGCTGCCGAAATCCCTGGTGCAGTAAACAAGCCCGCCGATTGCGAAGCCTAGCGACATGAGAAGACAGCAATCTGGCACTTTTGGGCGGCAAACATTCGCGTAGGGGAGAATTATCTAAAAGAAGATGGAAATCCAATTGGAGTGTCAATCAAAAATTAAGCGATAAAAATCTACCGGGTCGTTAAATCTGAAATGATGTTCTTACATGACACCACTTTCTGATTTCTTTACCTTTAAAATTCCCATGAAGAGGATGAAGAGGGTGAAGATCAGAGGGATTTCTACATGGCCATACGCAGTAGTCAGGATCGGCAGTTTCTTTCCGACGGGAGCGGGGTCATGTGATTCGCCCCAGACGATTAGGAAGGGGTCCTTTGAGGGCATGAACTCTTGAAATAGGAGGGTGAAGATAAGGGTTGAATTAAGATGACGCTTTATATGATTTTCTGGAAATTTCGGGATAATTTTCATAAAAAAAAATTTTTGGGAGAAAAGTCTCACGTGATCAATTCTTTTCCTGAAAAATCATTGCCAGCTGCTGGAGCCAATATAAAGCGAAAATTTTAAATTCGAATCACCAAATTATCAAAATGAAGCATTTATAAAGAAAACTTTTTGATGAACGCTTTTTGAAAGTATTCACCAAAAAATGATTTTCATACGATTTCTTCGAAGAGAAGGGCCGAAGAAGACCTCAAAGTCGATTTTTTTTTCTGAAAAAATAATAAAAAATTTTCGTAAAAATAAAAATTGAAAGAAGTTTATGCTTTTCCTGATAATCCAAACTTTCATGATGAAAATCTGTTTCTGATCTGTTGATTGGGGACAAGCCCATTTTTCCTTTTTTCAAGATTTTCTCTTTTCTTTATTCTGCAATTTTCTTTATTCTTTCAGTCAAGTGCCTAAATCTCTCCGGCTTAGTGGCTTGAAATTCAGCCTCCATTTCTCTTTTATAATTACGCGATGGTCGTAAAAGCGGAGGAACGAGCTACTACTCATCGGAGTTGCTAATTGATCAATCTGGGTCAGACGTCTCGTAAAATTTCCGGTCATTAGCAAATCATTTTTCGAAACGAGAGATAAGAGGAGATAAGGGAGACTTCAATTTTATTGAGTAAAACAGTTGCCAGAAACGGCAGTTCCTTCGAAGGCAGCGTTGATTCGGAAGATTTGGACTTGAGTTCCGGGGCTGAATGAGACGGATTAGATACAGTATGGGAGTATAGACTTACAGAAGCTTTCCTTGGGTCACTTCAAGTTTGAGTTTGTCGCATCTGTTGATGGCCAAAACCTGCGAAGACGACAGCAAATCGGTCCCTTCTCGAGTCAGGTCAAGAACACCAAGTTCTCTGCCGACGTATTGCTCTAGAATTTTCTTAATTTCGCTTTTGCAAAAACTTTTCTTACGTAGTTTGACATCGTACCACTGGAAGACGGCGTTTGGCGCCATCACTCCGTTGACAGTGAAAAGATAGTAGCCGGCTTCCATGAAGAGAAGCTCGTCGGTCATTGGGACGATATCGTAACCATCATAGCTTCCAGGCGGGAAAGAGACAGTTCCAGCGCGGAAGCTCGATTTTCGGACTTCTTCGGTGAGAACCAAAGAAAAGTATTTTCCGCGCTAAAAAGTCCCTTGATCACTATTGGCTTTGGGCAAAACAAACCTGGTTGTCAATAGCCTGTAATTCACTCTGAACAAAGTCGAAATTCGCTTCAACAGCTTGATCAATATCCTCCACGCTATCCTTGAACGCTTGAACTTCCGCCCTCCAATAAGCTTCGAGACTGGCGATTCCGGACTCGACAGCTGATTGACCGGGGCTGACGCCATTGTTATCTGTCATCGTCATGTTTTCTTGGAGCCGCGTGAGATAGTCCAGCGTCGTGTCCAGAAGATTGTTCATTCGGGAGATATCTGATGAAAGAACCGTGTCCGCTTCGAATAAGAGTCGTTCCGCGATGCTGGCGAATTGCTTGTCCAGAGCGGTGATGGTAGATGTATTCTGAATTTTTTCATTAATTCCATCATCAAATCTCTAGAAAAAAACCTTGGCAAGATTGTCCATATTCTGGTTGTATTTCTGGAGCTCCGATCTCATCGAAGTTTCGACAGTATCGACTTGTTCTGCAATAACAGCTGTATTCGCCAGAATTTCTTTCAACTGAAGCTCATCCGTGATCAGCTCCTGTTCTTGAAGAGTGTCCAATTGATTGATTGTGAAAATCTAAAAAATCCTCCTTCTCGGTTGTTTTTCCGATTTTACCTTTTGAGCGAGCATATTATCTCTAAAATCGACAATTCCATCTCGAATTTCTTGATCAGTTCTTGTCAAGTTCCAGACGAAAAAGTCCAGCTCGTCTTCAACTTCTTCGATTTTCTTGAAAAGAGGATCGGTAGCAGCGACTTCGATGGAAAGATGAGATGTGACTCGGCATGCTGTGCCGATTTCTGTGCCATTTCGAGGGGTGGAGCCGCGAATACAGGCGCAATCGTGGCCAAACTAAAGAAAAAATGAACGATCTATTTGCCAATTTAAAAGGGGAGGCCTTATTCAACTTCGAAATTCCTGCATGTGCCCCCTTGTTCATCCTTAGGCCACGCAGCTTTCCCTAGAGTCTAGAGAAACTCCCGTGGCGAAAGAATGAATAAAGGGACAGATGCAGAGAGCCTAAGGATGAACAAGGCTCCCTTTACGAAAATAAGGGTATCACGATGATAACCCTTTAGGGGTACCTTTGTATTAGTGCAAACGCCATAAACCGGATCGCAATTATGAGTCCCAGCAGTGCATTCATTCACATCGCTCCAACTCGTAAACAAATATTCTTTCGCTTCATCCTTCATCTTCGCCGTTTCTCTATAAATGACTGTAACGATGTCCGAAGCCTGAAAGAACTCGGTCGGCACATTCGAGGCAGAAATCGACATATTTGCATGAAGAATTGCGTCTTCCACGGTTTTTCGTTTTAAGGCGTTGAAATGCTCGTTGAAAAAGAAGAAGTTTTTGTTTTTCTTTGGGTCCTTGGCATTCAAAGCTGGATCGCCAGTGCCGTGGTTTTGCTCCCACTGCCACCAAAAGTGCTCCCAGTGGTCGTTTTCATGAGTCAGTGTTTGGTTGAACTTGTCATAGACAACTTCCCCGTCGATGATGCATTTTCCAGCAGTGAGGAAGTCGTTTTCGCAAAGATCTTCGGTGGGGTCGGACTCGGCGAACATTGGTGGGCCATCGTAGCTGAAGGACTTGCGGACGCGGAAGCCGATTCGCTCGTGCTCGCTTGAAATGTCGGGCTCGCCGTAGAAGACCCAGCAGCGGTAGTCTTTTCGGACGTCGGTGGGGATCAGGACGTTGGAAAGGTACTCGTCGTTGAGGTGCACATATCTTGAAAGAGGGGATGAAAGATTGAGAAAGAAAAGAGGGACTTACTTGCAGTTAATTTTACTACCTCTGGAAACGTCTTCTTCCTCGCAATTAGTCCCCTAAAATCGAAATAAATTCAAATTCTCTTTCAAAAACTGACCCAGTAGCTATCGACACATTCGCAAAACTCAAAACCACTTCCGGTCACGTGCTCTATTCCTCCATTTCTGCATTTGATCGCTCTAGAAACCACCAAAAAAGTGGCGAAGAGCTTCATTTTTGCTTTAAAAAGGACAAGACTGATTCTCTCTCAGATGCTGGGCCATTCCTAGCTGACCATTGTAAAACAACGAATTCTGACTGATAAGATCGCCTCGGCAGGTGATCGGCTTATTTGAGCTTAGTTTTTTGGTTTATTTTTAATTTTTGACAGATTCTAGTTTTTTCGTCTTTTCGTCGCTTTCTCGCCAAATTTGTTTGAGCTCGTAAAGTGGGTAAAATACAGTCAGCCCGCAGCAAATTCCAAGAACAAGCTAAAAAACGAGCTTTATGGTCTTTTTTCTTGAGTTTTTCTCTTACCATGATTTGGTCAAGAAATTCGGTATTCGAAGCAATGTAGTTGGTCATAAAGAAAATGACAAAAGCAGCAGTTAGGTTGACGACTCCGAACATGAATCCGAAATCTTCTCGATATCTGTCCATCAAGATCATCGAACTGATTCCATAAAACATTGTCCTTCCAATAGGAAAAATAATCGACATAAATTTTATCGCCCAGCTCGTTGCAAAAAGAGGCAAAATCGAAACACCAACCTAAAGAAATGATTTTTACGCTCAGAAACAGAAGATAAACCTGAATCAAGATAATGAAAATCAACAAGAAATTAATCGTTTTTCTCCGATGAAATCGGTCCGCAAGAGCTCCTCCCATCCAGCAAACAACGAAAGAAAGCGAATTTGCCTTCGTGAAAAACTGGCCAGCTGCTAATTTTTCTTCTTCATCCTCGAAAGTGTTTTCCAAAATGGTCGGAACGACGTAAAATGTCAAAACAAGCCGGGTATCGATAATAACGTAAGAAACGATGAACATAATCGTGCTCAAATTTGTGAAGATCGAAAGTTTTGAAGTGAAATATTTAAGCCCGGAAGGAGTTTTCGGCTCATTTTCTTCGAGAAACATTTCTTCTTCATGAATTTCGTCTTGCTCATTTTCTTCCTTCAATTTCGGATTCTTCTTCGGCAAAAGAAGGAAAGTATTGAGCCAGAAAAACGCCATAAATCCTATTAAAACCATCGCCATGAAATTCACACTCATTCCATTATTATAAAAATAGGTCCAAAGAGCAGTAGCAGCGACGGAGGTATCGAAAATTCCATCACCGATGGTCAACAGGGTCATTTGATGCTTCGGGAAGTTGTTGGTCAGTTTGAACGTTGTGAGAAGAGGAGCAAGGGTTGATGAAGAGAGGAGGATCCAGAAGGGCCAGACGAGGTGGGAGGAGAGGTCCAGGAAGTAGTAGATGATGAACGAGCTGGTGAGGCAGAGGGCGCAGAGGATTCGGGTTACGCGAATTTCAAATCTGATTATTAGCGATGATGGTTAATCGTTTAATACCTGTCAATGACTAGTCCATACATAAGTCCTCCAACAGACACCATCAGAGATCCTGCTGATGTTACCTGGAGCTAGAAAGAGGCTGATAACAAAAAATGATGCGATAATGCCAGTCTTACGAAGATTTTATCCTGAGCCGGACAAGTTTCATTTCCTCCACTGGTCGTTTCACAGAGCTCTTCATAAACACCTTCTTTTCTCAAAATGTGATCGAAAACTGCCCAGGAATAGACCAACCCGCAGATGAGAAAAATTTCAACATAGCCGGTCAAAAGTTGCAGTTTTTGTTTCATTTTGCAGAATAAACTTTTGAGCATCGAATGATTCTTTTTATGCGAGAAAAAGAGCATTTTTATAAGTTTGCTTTTTGCAGATTTTACAGTTCTGTACAAAAGCGACTTAGTTTTGCCCCGGTTTTATTTCTGTGATTATGTAACTTCCGTTTGGCACTGTCTAGGAAGTAGTTTATTTCAGTTTGTAACTGAGAATCGAAAGGGGAATCGCCGGAAAAGAGTATGATAAGCAGGTGGGAGGTCTGGATTTTCAGGGTTTTCTTCTATGATTTCAGACGGGGCGGATGGTCCAGGCTCAGGATTTTCTTCTGGTTGATTGGTTAGAGATATCTGAAAATCAGAAAAAAAACAAAAAGGTTTTAGTTCTTACGGCTTTGATAAATTGAATCAGACTTGTTATCTTGACAAGGTAGATAATTTGAAGAATAAGACCAGTTGAGTTCCCCAAGAGAACGAAATTATTTTGCTTTGAACATTTCGGGCTCATTGTAGGCTCGGAAAAGCTTGTCCAGAAAGTTGTGGACATGGTTGTTGACGGAAGCCACAATAAAGTAGTAGTTGTTGTGGGCCAGTTCCACCAAGGGGTAAAAGTTCGAATTGTAGTGGTTTGGATTGTTTGAGTAGATGTTGAAGTCTGAATTGTTGAATACAACAAGGGGGGACTTAATTGAGTTGAAGTGATTGCTGTTGTAGTGGCTATTGTGGTTGTTGTGGTTGTTGTAGTTGTTATGGTTGTTGTAGTTGTTGTGGTTGGTGTGGTTGTTGTGGTTGTTGTGGTTGTTGTAGTTGTTATGGTTGTTGTAGTTGTTGTGGTTGGTGTGGTTGTTGTTGACGAACTACATGTATCATTCGTACTCGGTGGTCGCCAATCAACTGCGCATCCCCAATGAATAGAAAAACCCTCGCCTGTCACACTATAATCAGACACGAATCGGACATGAAAACTACTTCCTGGAAGCATAGTCGAAATTTCATCTTGTCCACTGTAGTCTCCCAAAAATCCAGAAACGCCATAGAGAGAAACAATGTCGTAACGAAATTCAGTATTGAAAAAATCCGACTCAACAGTAACATCCTCACATGTTGTCCTTACACACCATTCTTCGATGTAATTATTTTGATAGTTACAGGTTTCTAATCTTCCCTTAAAATCGAATATAGAATGGACTGTTGCCATCCTCGTCTTACCTGATTATCATACAGTTCTGTTTGTATGCTTCCATTGAGAAACGGGCAATCAAAATCTGACATTGCTATCGTGCGAGCATGATTACGATAGGATCTTGTGGTCGGTCCTTTTGAGATAATTTGTAACGGGTCGCAGTTTTCCGCCATAAATTCATTGATCACGACGACATAAAGGAGAACAAAAAACGAGATAGAAATGGAAAGAACACACTTTAAATCTCTTTCGTTTGCTGTCTCTAATAGTTCTTTACCATGATAATGTTTCTCGATTTGATGATATTTTTATTAAAAATAATGCTGTTTGCTTTCTTAGAAATGATCAATCCTCTAGCTCCAATAATAATTGCAAGAATTCCAGCAAATCCTGAAGTCATAAACGAGTTCATCATCTGCCATGTTGTCAAAGCATCCACCCTTATATAAGTGTTTATGCTAAATTACCTTCTGCTTATATAATAAGAACTTATTTCAAACACATTCATGATGAGTAAAACTGATATAATGATTTATTTTAGTGAAAAACTTCTCAATAAATGCTGCATCTCTTCAATATCTCTACCGATCTTGTGAAACTTACCCTTCTCTTTATTTTTCGAGAAGATAATTTAATTACTTTGGTCATAGGAGATCGTAGGAAAAATATAATTTGATTGTTTGATGAAGTAATTTATTGAAGTTTATGAGCAAAATTTACAAATAAATAAAGAGTCAGTTACTGCTTTTTTCGCTGACGTAGTAATTCATAAATCGGGTGTGCGAAGGACACAGCTGAGAAAATTGCCAAAGCGATCTAAAATAAAATGATAAGCTAAAAAAGCAGTTCATTTTTTACCATAAATTGAGTCAACGATTGACTAAAAATCGCGATGAAATTCGTCAGTGCAAAAATCGCCACACCAGCGCTCAGATTCGCGAAGCCATAAAGGAAGCCAAACTGGGACTGGGGAAATTCATCAAGCATGATCATACTTGAAACGCCGTAGAACATGGTTCTTCCGATGGGGAAGATGATGCAGAAGAGATACATCGCCCAGGTCGTTTTCAAAAGAGGAAGGATCGAGACCAAAATCTGAAATTTTGTTGGGTGGGAACAAAGAGATTTGAATCTACCTGTATGATGATGATGAAGATCATCATCGTATGAGAAGCAGTTTTTCTGTTGAACGTATCTAGAATTCATTCAAATACAATCTCTTCATCCTTATCTTACCAGCAAGAAATCCCGCGAGAGGGCAAATAATGAAGGACAGCGAATTCGCCTGCATAAAAAGCTGATTGATTTGCATCTTTTTTTCTTCATCATCATAAACGGAATCGAGAATGGTCGGTAGGAGGTAAAAAGTGAGGATAATTCGGCAATCGATGATGACGTAGCAAAGGTAGTAGAGCATAAAACTCGCCGACTTTTTGTAGGATGACATTTTTTCCTGGAAATTTTCCCTAATAGGAAAAGTAGCATCCTTTCCTGTAAGGTTTCCCAAATTGTCGGCTCTGGTTCTTCTTGCTCATGTTCGTATTTTACCGACTCCAGTTTTTCTTTCTCGCAATCCCACGAATTCTCCTCGTTTTGATTCGTTTCTGCCACTGTTGACTTTGGAAGCATCACGAAAGTTCTACGAGAAAGTCATAACAAACAGTTATTTATCCGTGACGCAAGCATTCTAGCTCACCAAAATTTGCCTTACCTTATCCAGAAGAACACCATAACACCGATGAGGAACATGGCCATGGTCTGAATACTCATTCCATTTTTGTAAAAACTCGCCCAAAAAGCAGTCGCGGCAACGGAGCAGTCGTAGACGCCGTTGATGATTGTAATGATCATTCCTTTTCGTCTAGGGAAGTAGTTCGCCAGGGGGAGAAGAGTGAGGAGGGGAGCAAGTGTTCCCATGCACAGGAAGATCCAGAAGAACCAGAGAGCATGGGAGCTTAAATGGAGGAAGTAGAGGAAGATGAAGGAGAGGGTAAGGAGGGTACCACCGTAGATTCTAGCGACGCGAATTCCAAATCTGAATAATCAGTTTTACGGCCCGAAGAAAAGAAATTTGCTTAATTTTTCTTCTTTGATTTCATGAATTTTTTTTAAAGAAAATATTTATTTTATCTTCAAAATAACCTGTCTAATAATGAGCCAATCATCAGCGACCCAGCTGATAAAATAAACGTCCCAATCGAAGTAATTTGCAAAAAAATCTTATTTTGTCCTTCACAACTCGTCGCATTCCCATGCTGCTCCTCTTCATGACAAAGCTCTTTATAAACACTTTCCTCTTTCAAAATATAGTCGAAAACGCCCCAGCCGTAAACAAGCCCGCATATAAAAAATATCTCAAAGAGGCCGGTCGTTATTTTTAACGCGTTTTTCACGCTTTCGGAAATCATGGTTCTTGGAAAATTGCTTTATGAGTTTCCACCGCTGGGATTTTATAATAGTAGTTGTCTGATTGTTTAATTACCATTGAAATATCGAATTCCAACGTAATTCACAAACAATTCAAAGATTTGGGGACTCTTTGCGAACTTATGACATAATTTTCAAGTTCCATATTCAACGTCTTTTGACAAATATTTTCGAAAGTTTTGAGTTCTTGGATTTTTTCCTGGATTTTTGAGGGGTGCGACTTAAGGGTGTCAACAGCCTTAGTCAGTTTAACGGGTTCACCGAGCAATAGGCCGTTGACACCCTTAAAAACGGGACTAAGCAAATTTCAGGTGCATTTTTGGATGACCAATAAGATTACTGTATTTTGCCTACCAGCTAATCAAAACCCTGATCTATAAAATCACTTCTATAAAGTGGCTTATCCCTTAAAAACAAACCCCATGAAAAAACGAGGAAAAAATCCAAAATCTTAAAATATCCTTAGGTTGCCCCTTATTTTAGTGCTGCTCCAGTCAGGACGAAATTGAACTGAGGACTCGATATTTTCATTAAAAAAGGAAAATGAGATGAACGCAGGCGTTGGTAACGGTATTTTTGCAATACTTTGCCCGAGTCAGTAGTCTGTCTAAACTTGGAGGAAAAGTATTCTCCCGAATTCCATCGAAATAAAGCTCGACCAGCTTCCGTCAGCAGGCGAGCATCTTGACAGGTGATAGCCTGAACACTTGACCACGCGTCTTGGCGCTAGAATCCGAAGAAATCGATTAAATAGGAATATGTGCAGTGTTTTATTTAAACAGAAAAAGTTCAAAAAAGGGGACGAAATGTAAAATTTCACAGTCTTATTTTAAAAAAAGCGCACGCTCGAATCAATCTTCTTTGTATCCAAAGTTTCTTCGTTTTTCAGTTTCTAGCGTCGGGCAGTTTTTTGTAACCTGTGTTGAAAGATATCTAAAACATATCAAGACGAAATGATCGCCTTTGTTTTATCATCGAGTATTTATAAATATAAAGAATTTTTAAAAACAGAAAAATTATTTACAAAAAAAATGAGTTTTTTTGAGAATTTTTAATTTCAGGAAAATCTTTGTTAATCCCCTTAAATTTTTTTTTGTCTTGAAAAAGCCGCGCGCGGCTTTCTTTTATTTAAAAGTACATTTTTTGTGCCACTCATGTGCTGAGGGTTAAATTTTTGATTCTGATGAGCTGTTTTTTCTAAAGAGAAAAGTAGCTCTATTTCTTTTTCGCCAGATATTTAAGGCGATGGAGCTCGTGAGAACGAGGGGATTTCTGAAAGGAGGCGAAGGAGGAACAGCTGAGCGGCTCGAGAGATTCTAGAGTCAAATCGGGATTGACGCAGTCGACGTTTATTGATGGAGAATCACTGCACCTACAGAAAAGTTTTGCTTATTGGCTCAGAAACGGGGCTACTATTTTCATCCCTGTGTAAAATCCCTGAGTCAGGATCCTAAGGGACCAAACATGAAAAGCCGGTCAGGACCCTGACTCAGGTTTTAACACAGGTTTCTTTCCCGTAACATAACTCTTTCTTGATTAAAGATGACATAAGAGTCATCTAACCCCAAAAATCCTCCTTACCCAAATTTGGAACAACAAAAACAAACAACTCTTACCACAAAGTGCAACTTCCACTGTCACACCGCCAATGACCATCCTTGACGTCAGGCAAATTTGCACAAGTGTCCATTTTCGGCTCCTCTTCCTGATCGTAGTACTCGTATTCCTCGAGGCAGGAAAAGCCCAGCTCACGCTCGAAGTCTTCTGGAGGAGCAAAAGTGCTCTCGCTTCCAGATGTGAGTCGATAAGCGCAGTTTTCGCCGACACAGTGGCATTTTAGCGAAACGGGATGAGATGGCTCCAATCCGGGTGAGCATCTGAAGACAGGGTGAAAAGGGGCTGGCTAGTTTGAGGTTTTGAAAGAAAAAGTCGGTCGTAACAATGGTTTCCTTTTCCGTTGTAAATCATGCTTGACCGATTCGTTGGGATAAGACAAAGAATAAAAAATGAAAAAAAGAGATTTTTGTGATTTTTTTTGAAATGATTTTTTGAAAGGATATTTGTTCTGCAATTTTGTTTCCTGAAGACATTTAAATGAAGCATTTGCGAGTCTATGCTTTAGAATTACTACGAAGAAGTACTTACTCATTATTAATGAGTTTAAAATAATTTGACTGTGTATTATGAATAAAAGTCTATGACAGAAGATCATAAATGAAGATCATTAGAGATTCTTAAGACCCTAATAATAATTTATTACTAAAAAATTTGTTACTTACGTCAATTGGCATTCTCCTTTTTCCTCCTCGCAAACCCACTTGCCCCTCTTCGTCTCCGGCAGCTCCTTGCATTTCTTCCTGTGCAAAAGAGAATTATCTAAATTAAAGGTTTCGAAAAAATGATTAAGTTCTCCAAGATCGGCAGTGCAAGTTCCAGCATCACCAGTCCACGAGCAAGCGCCTCCTCGATCGCAGACGCATTCTTTTACGCTTTTTTCTTGGTTTCAGAAAATTTCAAAAAAAGAAACACGTAGATTTTAAACGGTAAAAACGTCAAACGTCAAACTCGAGGTTGACTGGTACTCGCTGCTCATCGTGAGTGAAGCATCGTGTCTGCTGCTGACGCTAGCTCCACTTTGTCAACGCTTAGCTTGACAGATGGCTGACATAACCGTTTTTGACGCTTCTCATAGCGAAAATATTCTGATCGGTTTTGGGGCGAAGAAATTTAAACAGAAATTAAGGGGGAAAACCCCATTTTTCGACTGCTTGACCCAACTAAGTCCTCCTTTTTCAACTCTTACTGTAATGAAAAAAGCCATTTCCAACGCATGAAACCGCCAATGCCCGTCCCCGAGACCGGAAAGAAAGCCTCTTAGCTTTCCCGCAAAGAACGCACTTTGCGTTTTTATATTTGCAGTTCTGGACGTGCTCTGACGAATTCAAGAAAAAAGATGCGCCCGGAAGAACGGTTTTTTCGAACTTTGCTTTTTTAAGATTTGCGATAAGGAAGTGATAGAAAGTGTTCACGCGTGCGATTTCGTGCGCGCTCGCGAAATTGGTTATTTTTCTTGCGTGTTGCCTAGTTCCGACGATTTTTTGCTCGATTTTGCAACGATAATTTCAAAGAAATTCGTCAAATGGAGCGAAAATTGATTTATTGGATTATGAGCCCATTTGTTTAAGTCAAAACAGTTCCCTGGTATTATAGTTCGTACTTAGTCTAGTGAAATCGAGATTGTGTCGATTCAAAATATTTTACCCTTCATTTTTTCGGCCCTTTCAGTTTTTCCTGAAAATATGAGGGGAAAACGTGTTTTGACAACGTTCAACTTGGAGTTTCGAAAAAGGCATCAACGTGCCAGCAAAATTAGGCTTCAAGAAGTGAATCGGTTACGCCACTGGTCGGTATCAGCTTGACCAGATTGTGGGCGCCTTTTACCTAACCGTATAACCGCTCTGTTTGGGGCTGACAACTGTTCTTCGTCAGAAAAACACCGATTGTTTCTCAACAAATACGTAAGGGCCCATAGTTTCGATTACCGGGTGAATCGAAAAAGTATGCTCGTTCAAGTGCTGCCCAGAAAAAGTAACCGCCCGCTTAAAATTGCCAAACCGCACTTACGTCAGCTGCAACTCGAGTTGTACTTTTGGGTACCCACCTTTCTTGCTGCTCTTTTTGATAAAAAAAGAGCATTTTTGTTCGAAAACCTGTGTCGAAAACCTGAGTCAGGGTTTGAAAGGCCCAAAATAAGAAGCCGCGGAGCGGCTTTTCTTTAGATCAGCCGCGAAGCGACCAATTTGCGTCTTTATTTATGAAAATTTTGGGGAGGTGTCTGGAACCGACAAAAAATTTCGAAAAAATTTGCGTGGGCGGATTCTCGGCTGCTGATTGCCCGGTTTGCCGAATATAGGCTTCTGATTGGTTGAAAATTTCCACGCAAAATTTGTCGAAATTTTTTGTCGGTTACAGACACCTCCCCAAAATTTTGGGTGTTTTAAACCCTGACTCAGGTTTTCTACACAGGTTTTCGAGCGAAGAAAACCATTAAACGAGGCTCAAGTTGGATTTTTTGATTCAAAAAATTTGAAAAAATCGCGAACTTAGAAAAAAGTCGAAAAAGAAGCAATTATCAGTTGCGCACGTAAGAAAATGTTCAAGCTGCTTACGATAAATCTGCGGGCTGACGGACGCATTCGTTTTTCGAAAGACTGGCCGATTAGCGCAAAGCTCGAATCGTTCGAATGTCATTTTTTGTTGAGAGTTTTAAGATTGAGCGGATCGATTAGAAACGCAGAAAAAAAGGGATGACTTGGAAACGTGAGTACTCAAAGAGTTTTTTTTTTTCTGAATTCCCAAAAAAAAATTAAGGGTGTCACCATCAAAAAAGAGCAAAAACCTGCATAAAAACCTGCGCTGCGAAAATTACTGAGTAACCTGTGCAAAAACCTGAGTCAGGCTCTAGAGCGGCTTTTGACGACCCTGAGTCAGGTTTTTACACAGGTTTTTCGAGTTCAAATGACTAGTTTTCGCGGAAAATTAGAAGCTCTCTAATTGCTTCCTATCGAATCGAAAATGGAACGTCATATCATGTTTTACATTTTTCCGGGATGTTTTTATGGAAGAGAAAGAAACATCTGGCCCGAGCAAGCAGCTCTTTTAAAAACTGCAAGGCTGCAGTAAAATATACTTTAAAATTGATACCGTGCTAGGCGAGCGTAAGAAGATGGAGATTAGTGCAGGTTTCGGTAGATTTGGATCACTTACACAACAAGTTTTTAGTTGCTAAAGCGGGCGGGGACCGAGAAAAAAAAAGGTTTTTGAAAGCTATTTTAAGGGTGTACCCATCGATAATTGCGCTTTTTGGAAAAGACGAACAAAAAGCTGAGTAAAAATCATTTTTTTGTGAATAGAATTAAGGGTATCACTATCTAAAAAGAAGAATTTTAAATTTGCTCAAAACTCTGGATTTTCGAGGTCTGTACCCTTAAATTTTTTTCATAGAAAGAAATAGCCTTGTAAGAATAGAACGTGTTCAAAAGAGAGGTGTTCCAAAGCACTAGAAAAAAACGTCGCCAGAAGACGAAAAAACGAATCCTGCGAAAACAAACAACCGCAATCGTCTAAATTGCGGTTTTTGGTTTGAGTCTTCAGTACGACAAAACTTCGTGGATACTCTGAAGCTGAATACTACCACGATGATGTTCCTGGATGCTGGAGCTTATAAATGATACTCAAGTCTAAGCCGGAAAAAAATTTTATACGAAAAGTTGAAAAACAAAAATTATCGTTTTTCAAAAAAAAAAATTTTCTAGAGAAAAAAGTTCTGAAACCATGCCCATGCTGTTCTTTGACAAAACCATCAGGACACTCCAGTTCGCACTGATCGCCATGTTCCATTCCCGTGCACTTGTTTTGGCCGACTGGATGATAGGGCGCGTCGCAGCGGAAATCTCTTTCATTTTCCTTGACACACTCGCTCGTCACTATCTCCGTTGAACTCTTTGCAGAGTCACGTGGCGAATTTTCAGACTCATCGGATTTCGATTTTGAATAGAAACTTTGACTCCAGCGACAGCCGTGCCGATTGCAACTGCATTTTCTGCGGGAAATAGACGACTCCGCCAATTTATATCCTTTCTAAAGCGATCGTTAAGCAAGTAATATCTTATGATTAAAATAAAAAGGGTGAGCGGCAGATAAATTTTGATGATAAAAAATACGGTAGATAAAGTGGGTTCTTCTATCAGCTGGATATCTTGCCTAACCAGCTGCCTTTCATTCATAAAATCAGTCGAATTTTCTATTCTACAAGATATTTACTATTTTTCTCATAAAAATGAAGCTTTTTTTAGTTCGAATTCAGTTGAACAACTTCCAAGATATTAATATTTTGTAAGTAAAATATCATCAGTGAAATATTTTTGAAAATGAAACTCTTCGATCGAAACTTTTCTCGATGTCTTGCTCCTGCCTGCTTTAATAATCATTAGTATAAAAATTTTGATGAATAAATAATTTAAAGAATTTCTATATTCAGGTCTTGTTTTCAACAGGTAAAATTGTAATCGTAAAATTAATCGTTTAAAAACCGCTGACAAAATGGTTCGTTTCAAGCAAAAATCTTGCCTATTCCACCTGTTTTTCACTTATAAAAGGAACTTCACGAGATTTTCCTCAGTTAAGGGGGTAGAAACAACTTTCTCAATTTTGCACTGTAGCTTAATAAAGAAAAACATCAGATTAATTTATGTTTACAGAATTTCCTCATAAATGTTCCTAAAAAAGGGGTTCAGCTTCACAAAGATGTGAATGAAATTTGTTTCCCCATTACGTGACTCGAGATATTCGAGGTTGAAAATGTGCGAACATCAAGAATTTCGGAGAGATGAGTTGTTTCTGAGCCCAATTACTCAAAAATTTGATAATTAAATTAAATTTGGAGGCAAATGTTCCTAGCTCCAAGATGTTTTTATCTAAATATGAAAATCTAAGATTTTATTGTCTGAAACGCCAGTCAAAAACCGCCTGTTTTCGAAAAAAAACTGTTTCTACCCCCTTAAAATTTTTAAAAGGGCAAGGTGCTGATAAAACTAAAAGATAAAAATCTGGTCGATAAGAAGATTCGCTTAGCAGCTGCACACCTTGCCTAAGCCAGCTGCTATTGATTATAAAATAACCAAATTTTCATGAACGGGAAAAATAAATAAAAAACTTTTTCACTGTATTTGTCTTTTAAATCAATTTTTTTTAAATGAAACTTTTTCAAATGCTTTTATTATAGATTCATCATCATTTCACGCATAATTATGAAAATGAAACAAAAGTTTGTTTTACTTCTATACATTTATCAAGGCTTCTGAAAAACAAATATTGAGAATAAATGAAAACTTTTGAAATATTTAGAATCTTGAATATTTTTCAAATTTGTCGATCTGCGACTAGTTTTACCTTGCATTTTAGCTGGCATTCGTTTTCATCCGAGCATCCCCAATTTCCATTCTCTTCTGAAATCTCTCCACAGGGCGTCTTTTCCACCCTCTTTGCCGTCTTTTGCGCACAGTGAGGAAAACCAGACCACTCGCAGGGGATGTTAAAGTTGACGCCGGCGATTGATTCGGAACATTTGCAGGAAACGTCGCTCGACTAGAAATGAACTGTGAAGGCGGTTTTTTTTCTTAGAAAAGATTTGTTAAAAAGCTTCTCCACGAAAGGTGTTGACACAACTTCAATGAATCTCGGGATAAGTGCTCAACCCTTGTTAAACATTTTCTCCGGGGCTGGAGGACTTCAGGAGCAAGACTTTTATTCCGCACGTTTTTTGACGGAAAAATGATGACTCATAGCTTTTCAAAGGTCTCGGAAACCTGCATTAAAACCTGAGTCAGGGTACTGAAAGCCATAAACCCTGACCCTTACTCAGCGTTTATTCACAGAAAATTCAGAAAACGATTTTAAGGGGGTGAGAGGGTGTAGGGCGGCCCGGTTCTGCAGTCACAGTTTTTGTGCGCTTCGCGCCTGTCTTGAAGAAACTTCAAGATTATTCCAAGTCAGAACATACATGCAAGCCTTGTTTAACGTGCTGACATTGAGGAAGTTCAAATAATATCAATTAAAAAATCTGACTGCAGAACTAGGTTCTGCATTTACAGAACCCGGTTCTGCATTTACAGAACCCGGTTCTGCATTTGCAGAACCTGGTTCTAGCAGAACCGGGCCGCCCGCCACCCGGGTGAGAGCCTTATTCTGGGTTTATTTCAGGACTTTTTTTTGCTGAGAGGAAGAAAACAAGGCTGTGGAATTTGTAGGTTTCCGGTTGAGACTTTCCGCTAGGCTGCAATTTTTTCTGTGGCCACGATTTTGTGGCATTTCTTGTTTGGAATGGTAATTAGCAGTTTTTTGGAGGGTGGCACTACTCGCAGGCACGTAAGAACCAAATATTCGCAGCGTTTTTACAATTACTTATTTTTCCACCCGATCTGTAATATTGATGGCATATGTGGCATATTATATGCCTTTGTGAATTGGAGTTGATGACAGAGGTAGATAAATATTACGGTCGATTGAAGAGGATCTCAACATCTGATCGGGAATATTCACCAAAGCACCTGTTTAGTTACATAAAAGGAAACATTCAGTGTTCATCGTTATTTATAAAATGAAAAACTGAAAACTCAACGAGTTTTTGAATATTTGCTTCTTCAAAGCGTTTTCTTAATATAATTTTTAAAATGTTTCAACTGGCCTAAAGAGTAAGTGGCGCAAGTGGCGTTGTGTGTGTTTTTCACTTCTGAAAAATAAATACAAAAAAAAATAAGTTAAACTGACAGCAACAGAGAATCGTTTTTGGTTTGGAACTGAGCATTCCAAGAAGTTTCTCATTTGTTTTTGTTATTTTAGGTCTTCCTCGTCTGCGCTACAAAAATAGCCATTAGATGCTGCGATTGATGTTCTACGTGGCGGTTTAATACTCGGCCCGTTTTCTTATTTTTTCTTGGGCAGCGGACGAAAAAGTAGGTTCCAAGTATAGAAACGCGCGCGTAAGTTATTATTACTTTACGTGCGAAAGAACGATTTTTTGCTGCAACGGGTTGTTATTTTTCACGTGCAGCGCGCAAATTGTGAGAAAATCGACTATTAGTTTATTAAACTGGACGAAAATTGGAAATTCCTCTTTTGAACCCGCTTTTTCGTGACACGGAATTTTCGAAGAAAAAATGGTCATTTCGATTTTTTCATCATGAAACCCTTAGTTTTCTATCTCAACCGACCTTATCAAAGTGATACCCTTATTTTGTCATCAAACGAGATGGCACAAAATAAGGGTATCACTTTTATTCTCTTCCACCAATCAAAAGTCTCTATTTCTCCAATCAACCAATCACAAGCGAGAAAAAGCCCATTTTTGAACCTTCAAGGTTCGAGCGAAATTTTTTTATATTTCGAAAATTCTAATCGGATATCGAAAACGAAGCTTATCAAAATAGCCTATTTTAAATAGGCATTAACGTGATTTCTGAAAAATTCTAGGGCGATGTTGATTACTAAGATAGCGCGTCGCTGTTCACATTAGCGCAAGGACGTGGGGTTTGTTGTGCCAGCATGTTCGCCAGCGTACTCGCCAAGTAAACTCTCCCCAAATCCAAATCCTCTATCGGCGATAGACTATCGCTCATCCTTTATTTTACAACTCAAGGCAATCACGATGCTTAGCCGAAACTGACGTTTTTGCAAAATTAGAAAATTTGAAAGGAAAATTTTTCTCTCTGAAAAACCATAATTTTATTCTGAAAAAGACAAGCTGGTTTCTTTTTCTTAAAAGATAATTGAAAAACTCTTGCGTGTATTAAAGCATCTACTATTACTGCAAGTATTTTCGTTATAGAAAAGATGATGTTTTTAAAATTATTTTCTTCAAAAACAACTAACGAAAGGAAGCAAAATTTCATCAAAAAGATCAAATTATCAAGCATGAAATTCCGACTTTTCAATACCGGAAGTGACCTTTTCCCCGAATTTTCTAGAGACGTGGAATTTGGAAAAGGGCAAATGCACCGAAAATCGAATCAAAACGGTCAAAATATCGAAAAAAAAGAATCGATTACAGGCTGTAATTTACAGCTAAAAATCGAGAAGCTGCTTGCGGCTTCGAGCTAAGAGGACGAAAAAGCCGCGCTACGCGCGGCTTAAACTATTTTTTTGCTCGAAGCCGCAGGCTGCTTCTCGATTTTTGCAGTTTTCGATTCTTTTTTGCGATATTTTGACCGTTTTGACTAATTTTTTGAAAATGAATGAGTCACTTACATGATCTAGGAGGCTAGAATCACAGTCGTATCTGCACTGAAGCTGTCCCTTTTTAGTCCTTCTGCAGCTCTGCCGATTGATCCCTCCATTTACTAAAACGAGCAATTAATTCAATTCAATCTAGTGCCCAGTTTTCCCTTCCGGCGGATGAATAATTTACGGGATAATGAATCCACTTAGTTCCTGACGACTGCTGAGCCCTTTGCAACTGTGGTATGTTGCGTCAAGCCCCAGTTGTGACAACAAATGTCCAACGGGCTCGGGTCAAGACAAATTCTAGCTTCAATTTGGTATGAATAGCATCAGAGGCGATTTTGGGGGAAAATATACAGAAGAGATTGGATTTCGTGATTTTGGCACGTTTTCATAAGAAACTGATTTAGCGACAGTTTTTGGATTCAAAGAAATGGAATTTTCGACAAAAAAATTTTTGAAAAAACAACGGTAATTAATGCCTGTTGCTGACGATTCTAGTAGTATCATCGCATTTTTGAGCGAATAGCTTCATTTTTATGAGAATTTTTCTCAGCATTCGTCGAAAAAAAAGGCTAGTACTAAACTGTTTCACGAATTTGAGTCAAAGAATCTTCAAATTTGAGCGATAAAATCGGGGTGGCGCCAAGAACCGACAAAAATTTTCGACAAATTTTGCGTGGGCGGCTTCTTGGCTGCTGATTTGCCGGTCCGCCGAGTTCGGCTTCTGATTGGTTGAAAAACAAATCTTACAGTCAGTCGGGATGTTCTGAAAGCACTGTGCCAAGTCCGTTTGAATTTCGAATCGAAATCGCTCTCTCGACTCGAAAAACGGGCTCTCGCTCGTCACATTGCTCACTGAAAACATCGTTGCCAATTTCTCCACCATCAGTTTCTCCATTTTTTGAATTCAACTCCGAGTCTCTAGAATTTCTCTTTTCGCTATTTTTTCTTCTTTCCCAAAAAGTTTTTCTTTCGTTCTTCTTGGATTTTCTCTCTTTTTCAAAAAGCGAAAATTTCACGACCGTGAATTTTGAGAATTTTCGTCTTAGAAACTTGTTATTTGTTGTTTCGGGTCTTGTTAATTTATACAATCAGGCCCTGTAAGTAAAAAAAGGTTCAATGAAGCGTGGGCAACGCCGAGAGTTCTATCGAGCAACAAAGGATGAAGCGCACACCAGTTATCGTGAAAACTCAATCCGCGCGCTTTTTGCTCGAGAGCGCCCTCGGAGCGCGACCTGCATGCGATTTCGCGATTTCTTCTATTTTAATAGAAGAAATGTAGACGATGTTAGACAAGAGGGGTTATTTAATGCAAATTTCATCCTCGTAACAGGTATTCTAGATTATTAAAAATATTCGCTTGTATCGAAAAATGAAAATTTCTTACATTTATTTATTGTTATCTTATTATGGTTATCAAAACAATGATAATTCTCGAAACAAAATTCATAATCGACAAGAGTATGATATAATTCTAAGGACCATAACTTGTTGAAAAAATATATCGTATGTAATTTTAATATTTTGTCATTGTCGGATTGAAAATCAAAAAGTGTATATATGCCAAAGCATCAGTAGAATTGACCCTAACTATAAAATTAAAATTAAGATGATGTAATCATCGATTCAATTGAAGATAGACCGCGAACGAAAGTAATTATCTACTATGAATGTTTAAAATATGATTTTGTTTCTAATTATACTCTCGAATACCCTTCCCTCGTAATTTTTGTCACAATTGTCTTGAACGACAAAATTTTCAACAAACTTTGCGTTCTCCCCATTTTATAATCAATAAATCAAAAAATTATATCGGAGATTTTCATCAAATTTACTTGTATCTTCAGATCCCTTCAGAATCTTCCGTGGCAGTTGAACTACAGATCCCTCGGAAGTTGCCTTCAAATCCCTTGCCAAATATTTGTCTTCGGAAGTTGCGATAGATCTGTCTCCAGACCTCGCCTTCGATAAAAGTTTGAAACTCCCTGATTATCTGATAGCTTCTGTCAAAAACTCAAATAATGACAGAATCGCAAACTAAGCAAAAATTACTGAAAACTTCTCTCTTTATCTTTTCTTTGGAACGACAATTTTAAATTATGTAATTCTTTTATCGAATTTGTTATGATTTCTTTGATAATACAATCGGGGAGCGTAAGTTTTGTTGAAAGTTTTGCGGGTCAGTGCAAAAAAAAGAACGAGGCCGAGAAACTTGGGAATAATCATTTATTTCGAATTAAGTTCGAAATTTCGAAATTTCTTCGCCTTCCTCGAAAGCGGACTCGAGGGGGTTGAATTTGAAGGAGCGCGACTGCCTTCGATCTTGAATAAAAAGATGCTCGTTCGTTTGAAAATCGTCTGAAACCTCCAAAACAAAAAGAAGAAACCATCTGAAATCAAAAATCCTGAGTCAGGATTTGACAATCAACTTCATTTTTGGTCAAAATTGAGTAATGATTCCTCTTCTTTTTTTTAAATTTCGAAGTTTCTTCGCGTTCTTCAAAAGTGGACTCGAGAGGGTTGAATTTGAAGGAGCGCCACTGTCTTCGATCTTGAATAAAAAGATGCTCGTTCGTTTGAAAATCGTCTGAAACCTCCAAAACAAAAAGAAGAAACCATCTGAAATCGTCGCTCTTGGTTGAACAAAGTCCCCAAAAATTCAGTTTCGTCAATTTCGCGCCCTTGAAAAATTCATTAAAAAATTGATTTGAAAATGTAAAATTTGCGTTTTATATTTGAAAAAAATCATGGCGGCCAGCTCATCTAGAATTGAACGAGACATGCCTTTAGAAACCGCGTAATTAGCCGACTCTTGTTCAGTCGAGAAGAATTAAAATAAGCGCCGCATTATCTTGCTCAATGGTTGATTATTTCCGTTAGAGAGAATTTGAGAAAGTCTTCAATTAGAAACTGTTGACTAGGGATTATTTTATTAGCAGATTCGCAATCTCATCATCTGGATCCTCAAGATTTTAAGAGAAAAGATTCATTTTATCTGAAAATAAGCTGGAAGGCTGAAGCAATCCATGATCTTTCAAAAACTAGCATTTGCTTCATTTAATTATTCTTTCTGTAAAAAAATTTCGCGCTGGTTTTATTTGATAAAGCAGGTGGCTTAGAGAGAATAAGCAGTAGATAAAACGAACCATTTTAGCAACCAGATCGTTATCAGTCGATATTATCATTTTCTCAATTCATAGATTTTTTAAGAAAGTGTACCCCTTGTTCGTCTTCGATTTTTAGCGCATGCCCTTGTTCATCCTCTGGCTACGAAGCATTACTCATCGAAAAATCGTCTATGTTTGAGGAAGGAAAAATTCATTCTCGAATTCAGAATTCGAAATCCAGCTGGAAAAACAGAACGGCGAAAAGCTTGACTGACAGGTCACGTGTCTCCCAAAAGCTGCAAATTTTTTCAATCCAATTTAAAAGGAATCGATTTAATTTTTTGATTCCAAGGAAAAGTCGACAAAGTAGCGCTCAATAAATGTGGTCATCTAAAGACTTTCTTGGGGGCAGCCAAGTTGTTCTTGATCTGCTGAATTTCAATTCAAAATCTTAAAATTGCTTGTCATTTCTTTTCACAACATGGTTGTCGATAATCGAGCCGCTGCAGCTGCTTGATTGAGCGACCAGGAGCTCAAGGAGACACGTTCCAATCTTGTTCCGGGCAATTTTCTCTGAAGCGATAAACAACCAGTTTTTCGGGGATTCTAGCGCAGATTTATCAATGATCCCTAGACAAGGGATGTTTTTAGATTTGCTTTGAGATCTAAAAATTCTTAGTTATTTATTTATTTAATAATTTTTATTAAAAAGTTTCAGTCATTTATTTTTTGATAAAAAACTAAGAGAAAGAAAAAGCAGCTGATAAGAATAATTGATAAGAAAAACCCGGTCGATAAAATGGTTCGGTTCATCAGCTGGCCATCTTGCCTCAGCCACCTGCTTACGTCTTATAAAAGGACAGCAACGCTTCTGATTGTCAAAATCAAAAAAATGAAACAATTTCATATCTTCAGAAGTATAGCGTCGGCATTTTACTTTTTATCTTCTGCACTTGAAACTTTATGAAATGATACGAAATACGTCGCGAATTTATCATAATTTTTAACACCAATATGAATATATAATAATAAATTAAACAGAAACGTTAATTTAAAAATGGCTTCAATCTTAACTCTTGAATATTCATTTTATTATTTCATTAATTGATTTAAAAAATATTTTTTTTTCAAAAAAATTGAATCAGGCTCAGTTGTAATACAAATTTTTCGAGGACTATCCCTAAATATTCAGTTAATCGTATATTGTCAAAACCAGTCGAGTGCCATTTGAAGCTCAAATGCGATATCATGTCATGACCTTCTTTAGTTAACTAGCGAAACGACCTGAATCCTGTTTTTTGATCACCTTGACGATTCGATAGTCTAATTGACCCTCTTAGACAGGAATTTTCAAACTACTGTTTTGAGTGAAAATTTTGGAGCTAGAAAAGAACTTGAAATTGGTCGTTGAAATAGTTGATTTTAGATAAAACAAAATCGTTTGTTTCCGAAATAAAAGCAAGAGCCCGGCGATTACACTACTTCCTTCTTACTGAAAGAAAAAAATTGCTAATGTGGCTCGAAAACTGTTAAAATGAAATGAAAAGATCTGTAGTTGTTAGATTCGTGTTCCGATGTTTGCGGATCGGATCTTTCGAGATTATGGCAGCGCAAAAAAGCCTTTTCAAATTTGCTCGAAAGACTGTCACAGGCGAATAAAGATACTGTCCACTTTTTATATAGCACCGTCGCCTGTCAAAGTCGAAATTAAATAAATTTGACGATTTTGGGCTTTTTTCTGAGCAGTTTCCGCTGTTTCAGATAGTCAAGAGAAGGAAGATTTTCAATAAGAGAGTTTTTTAAATGTTCGACGAAATTCTCAATGAATATAAAAGGTACTTATTTTTTACTATTATATAATATAATAGATTTCGGAACTTCCAGTCTCATGAATTGCCTTGCGGGCATAAACTAGACCCCTTTATATGGTGCCCAAATGAAAGCTCAGCTTCTGAGCTTTCCAAAACTGTGTCATATAGCCCCTAAACTAACTTATAAAGGTGGGCAGAATTTTCATCTAATAAGCCTAATTATATTCAAAATATCAATAAATAAATTCATAAAAATATCATTTTAAGTTGGAGCATGATTATTTTTCCGATTGTTTTCTTGATTTTTGAGAAAAGAATATTTCGGATACGTATAATCAATTTGATAATTTTTAATCGGCCAACTTTCAGCAAACAGGGAAGAACTCGGAAGAGACCCTGTCCAGTGCGGTCGATTTTGTTTTCCTGAAAGAAATTTCAAGTCCCGTATTCACAGGTGTTCATTTATAAATCTTCCTAGAATTCTGTATTTTTTGAGAAAGACCATAAGATCGGATTTAATTCTTCCTTTATGTATTTTGCTTTGACATTGTAAGTGAAATCAAATAACTAACACAAAGACCTCTTTTAGGCCATATAAGACCTCCCTAAAATTACTATTTTTTACATCAGTTAATTCAGAATTCGCGGCCTGACTGATCAAGCAAGGAAGAAAAAGCTTTGTCCGTTAATGCCATGATCTCAAATCACTTCTTTTATTGTATCAGTCTTTTGAAATCGAAACTTTATTGTTCAATTAACTTATCTTTGTTCCGGCTATTTTTTGATTCAATTTGAGAACATGTAACTGTAGTTGAAACAGCGCACAATGATCCGGATCGTGACTCCGGCAGGAAACAGTGGTGCTCTTTCCGCCCGATATTCGAGTTCATTCTTGTTTGCCAAGCACGCGCTATCGGCAATCATAAAATATTCACTTAACTGCGCTCAGCTTTTTCTTTTTAAAAATTTCAAATTGAAAGAGCAAATTTGAAAAACATGTTGCCACCACTGAAAACAGGGAATTTGAAGAAAGAAGAGAAAGCAATAGGAAATAGGCGTCAATATTAAGGTTAACCCCCTCGAATTTTTCGGAAGTTTCAAACATCGTTTTCTCCGTGTATACCCTTAGGGCTACTTAAGATTTTGGTATTAAAATAAAGCTTAGAAAGAGCTCTAGAGCTAAAATTTATAAGGTCGGTGATACCCTTAAGTTTTCGACCTAAAATCGCCACCTAAACTTGATTATCGACGCTAACTCAGACCTGCTTGAAAAGACAAAATTCGTGAAATTCCTGTCCGAAGAAGAGGCGATCTTGCAATTGCGCTATTTGCACTGGATTCTCAAAGGCGTTCTCAGGATTTATGAGGATTATATTGTGGACGCGAAAAGGCCGCCGTCAGTGCTTTTTCAAGGTGAAGACCAAAGAATTTTCTTTTTGCATTTTCTTTTTTTTTTATCGTTGCCACTTTTTACTGTATATCTTTCTTTTTATTCAAGAAAATGCAGTAGGCTACCAGACTAAGATCTCTAGAACTATCCAAGCCATCCGATCTTTTGATGATTCATCAACCAAAATTTTGTTGAAAAAATTGATCGACCAATTAGATTTCTGATTGAAAAATTCGTTGTTTCGAAAAGCGAGAGTAAGATAATTTCTAGCCGAAAAAACATTTTGCGAATTTCCGAATGAATTCCGTTCCAATTCCTCCTGGGATCGTTTCATGGCTTCTCGTCAGCAATCGCGCCGTCAACAACAAGGTATCCCCTTATTTGCCTTTGGCTCAAAAAAGTCATTTTTAGTGACAACTTCGAAATCCGGGCTAAGACCAAAGGAGATTGCCCAGCTGATGGAAGAAGCCGACAAATGGGAATTGAATCAAGAAACAGTGTTCAGAATTCGACTCGAAATTCGACCTTTTTTTAATTTATTATCTAAAAAGCGCCGAGGCTCCAGAAACGATTACGCTGGATTTTGCGCTTCTTACTCGTTGATTAATTTTTGAATAAGCGACTCAAATTGAGGTGAAGTTCGAAAAGAGGAACGTGAAATTCGCAAATTGAATTTGAATCAGCTTCTGTGAACACTTGAAACAAGCGCTCGAAGCTTTGGTGAAGTCACGTGTTGCGCGAGTCAGGCAAAAACAGGAGATTCTAGGAGATTACAGGAAGAAAAGTAAGTCAGCGGATTTTCGTGACAGAAGAGGACGTGTCTTTCATTTTTGTAGTTCATATGTCGAGATCACCTTAACTAGATTTAACGGATTAACAAGGGATGTCGATAGCTGGGCTCAAAAACCTGTGTTCAAAACCTGAGTCAGGATCCGAAGAAGCTTTTTTTCTCATTCAGGTCCTGACTCAGGTTTTTACACAGGTTTTCGAGGTCAAGAGCAGGACAAGACATTTTAAAAATTAAGATAGTGATACCCTTATTCAAAAATATGACCTGAACCAAAAAATCGAAAAAATCAACCTCCCCTTTGAAATTTCTATTCAGAAAAGTCGAACGAGATGTTCTTCATAATGCGTAACAAGAATCGCAAAACAGAAGTCATCCTTGCCGAGCGCGCCCGCCGCGACCCCCTTACCAACTGGTCCAAAATCTTGCGAAAACGATTTTCGCACGAAGAATCCGTCATCTTTCGCCACGAACTAAACCCGCTCGACTCCATCAGGCTTCCCCTCCTCAGCGCCAAGGAAAGCCGGGACCACGAATTTTTATCGTTTCAAATTTAAGCTATCTTGAAAGTCTTATCTTATTTGGTCCCGTCGAAAAAAAGCTCAAGCTGTGTTTTATGATCTTTGTATCGGAAATCGACGACCTTCATTCCAGAAATCCAAATATGATGGCTGCAATTTTGCAACGGGTTTTGATCCTTATTTAACCCTAGTAGCTCACGTTCCCTTTTCATTGATGTTGTAATTAAAACAACATTCGCGATAAGAATTAGTGTTGATTGAAACATGTGTTATTCCTGGCCGCTTCAGACGTAATTAATTACCGAACTAATGAGTTATTGCGAATTTGTCTCTTAGTAAGTGTCAATTAACAAGCATCATTAGCGCTCAAAGAAAAACGTAAAAAACCCTTGAATAGTACATCAAGGACATGCTCAAAATAACGGATAAGACGAGTCCAGAATCTCTTTTACCAGGTAAAATGATTAATTATCAATAAACAAAAGGGCTAATTCTTACAAATAAATTTAACATAGTGACACCCTTATTTTTTCTACAGATCAAGAAAAGTGTTTGTCTATTCTTTCTTATGGAAAAATAAGGTTGTCACTCTGATATTTTTTTGCAAAAATTGGCGGAAATCATTCATATCGACATAACCCTCTTAAAAAAAATCATTTCAGAAAGATCAAACTTCAGAAGAACACTTTTCTTCGGCTCGAAAATTTGCCGAACGATGATCTGATCTATTCCACACATTTTTCATTATACAACGACTGTAATCTACTGTTTACCCTGAAATCGCCACATAAAATATATCATTGGCACCATCATTTTTTTCGTGACTTCATTCTTTCCAAGAAGGAGATTTGACTGATTGCATGATGAAACCGCGCGGTTGGATTACACTTTTAAATCAACCCAAAAACCCTCGTTAGTTTTTTGTATTCCGCGGCTGGTTTAGTACATCGGAACCACGATAGTTCCCACATTGCGTCCTTCACAACCTTTCGCTTGTTGAACTCTTTGACTTTTTGAATTATGGGAACATGGAAAATTGATAAAGACGCTCTTAGACGTGTTGCTCCCCTTATCGCTTTTCGTAAAGTCGCTTGTCACCACTGGAAAAACCGCATGCGTCTTTCTATGGCTTGTAATTACGAAGAGATAAATCAAGAAGAGAGACTCATCGATTTTCAGAAAGTTGCAATTTTATGAAGAAAAAGAACTAAAGAAGAATATTTTTCTAAAAAAATAATGCAATACAATTTTTATATTTAAAATATTATACTGTATAATTTATACAATCCAATCAAGTGAGATTTTATTTGTCAGGTTTTCGCTTTAGCTCTGAAATATACAGTTTTTGAAAGGGTCTAAAAACCATAATCGAAGTGCGAGACAGTTGGTCCGTGCCCCTGAAATTCGACTTTGTACTGAATCAAAAATTGAACTTTTATCACTTTCCAAAATTGTCCTGACTATCTCTCAAAAATTGATTATTTTTTTGACTCATTCCTGAGCCGCCGCAAGACTTTTCCACTCCGTTTTGCTCCAATCTGACGCATTTATACCACTAAAATTTCAATCAAAAAATCAGAAGAAAATCTCTTTTTTGGCTTTCTTACCCTTAAATTGTCGGGCGTCAAACTCGGTTTTTTATAAGCAACATAAGCAGTCGGGTAGGAAACATCTTTTCCATCTTGAGAGGAATGAATCTGAAGACGAAGAAATTCGTATGATTGAGAATTAAAATAAGGAAGTGTACCTCGGTAAATGCCCATTGAACTTCATCAGCATCGTAGTGCAAGTAAATATAATTCCAGCGCTCGTTTCGATAAACCGGGCGACCACCGCTTTTTGGAAAACGAGACTTTTGATCTGGAACCAATCTGAAGCAAGAAAAAATGAAATCAAGGAGGAGAACTGATTCAGTACTCATATTCGCCGTTGAGAATGTCTTCTAAAGGCCCAGCGTTGGTGAAACCGTTGGAAACCGTGATGAACCGATGAACTGGAACTTTTCGAAAGGTGATTGGATTGCGGCACTTGTCGAACGCCCAGCCGGTTGGAAAGGGAATGTAGGCAATGCAAGTATGATTCGCCTCTTTCTGAGCTTATCAATTGCAGAATTGGGATTCTAGGTCCCTTATTGATGAGCTACAAGCCTATGGGAGTGTGTGTTTTGTACTGACCGCGAAGGATGATTACGGCCTTTTGAGTTCCGAGCATTTTTTTCGTCTTGAAATGCCACGCATCACTAGAATTTTAACAATATCTCAAGCCTTTCCCCTAAGTACAAACCTAGGTCGGTAGTACGTCAAAAAGATATCTTCGTTGTCCCATTTTTGAAAAACTGGTCGAGCCGCAACATTTCTGACTTTTTCTAGCACTCGTTTGTATGGACCTAAGAATGTGTGCTCAAGAGCCTGATTCTCGAGCGACTGAGATTCGACCAGAAGAATGTCCAAGTCCTTAAAGGCTGATGATTTTTATCTCCTTTTCTGTTATCTCACTGTTGGAAAGGCATAAATCTCGACTTCGTAGAGAGATAAGATACTTCGTCTGTTTCCACTCAATCGGATTTGGACAGTATCACCTCGCTCTCCAACAATCGAGTTGCACTGAAAAAGAACTGGTGTCTTTTCTGGCATCTGCTCTGTCTATTTCTTGGTCAACACGGTTTCGCTTATTCAAGGTAAGATGAGAGTGGCGACCCTTTTCATAACGTTTCCACATCGTTTTTGGTCGTTGTTGTTTCCGACCAAAACTTCGGTCTCCCCAACTGTAAAATCATTGTTTTTTGAAGATTTTTAGATGGACTTACCATTGTGATTGGGTCGAAGTGTTCTTGGATAGACGAAAACTCGTGAAATCACAAACTTATCATTCAACTTCGCTTTGGTTCTTTTTCTTCCTTTTTTCGAGAATGGGGGTCATTAAAAAGAATCAGAGCCTTGATAGTGACGGTATGTTCGTTTCCACGAGAGGATTCGATGTAAGATTCTGGGGTTATTTCTCTATCAACGAGGGAATTACAAGCATTATCGCTCGAGCAAGCTGTTGGTGACCAGACTTTTTGATTTGGTGAAATTATTGAGAATTAATTATAAAAAAGCGCCTGAAAATCCTAGATATATTAAAAATAGAGAGAATTTATCAAATAAATCGCTTGCAAAATACATTAACTTGCAGTGAAAAAATAACAATTATGGTCCTCAAGCCATAAATCATTGATGTGAATATCTAGAATTTTCGACCAATTTCCTGATTTCAGCGCTCCAGGGAGAATATTCTTTTCCTGTCCAGCTGCATCCGACTCTCTTAGAATTAAAAGAGAATAAAATATCGAAAACTTGACCATCTCAGATCTTTTTTTTTTTTCAAGAGAAGATACGAGAAGAAAGGATACGGTCAGTTCAAAAGCCTGGCCAAACAACGAATTAGCACTTTGTCAAAGCTGTCAGGATCAGGCCAGAGGGATACTTCCGAAAGGGATTATTTTCTCAACCTTGGGAGCAAGAAACAAACTGTTTTTGATCGATCAGATTTCGTCGAAGAAGCCGGAAAAAGAAGCATAAAAATCCGTCTCCTATCAAATTTTATTTTTTGATTATTGATTGAGTCTGATTAATTGTTTTTTTTTTTTCAGTTTTGAGAGTTTTTTATTCGGCATCGACCAAGTTCTCCTGAATCATCATTTCCAGCAGCCCGACCAAGTGATGCATTCTGAGCAGCTGTGTCGTATCGTGACTATTCTTGTCTTTTAGTTCAGATTCTCTCACAGCGAGGGGTCCGATTTGTTCCGAGAATCTTGAGTAAACATCGTGCCAAGTCGTGAAACCTGAAAATTCACGGGATTCATGTCATCTTCTCTGCCTCCACTTACTTTCTTTACTTGGCCCGTCGCTTGATAGAGCGTCAACCAAAACCATCGCATCAAGCCGTACATTATCAAAGTCGTCCACTGGATTTCCACTGGAGCTGAGAAACGTTGGCCAGAAAATTGTCACGAAAACATGAGCAAGCCAGAGTTGCAAATTTGCTGAGCTGAGTGAGCTGAGCTGAGCAGATAAGATCATCTTCCAAAATCACTGAGCTGAGCGACTGCTCTCAGCTCAATTATTTTTGAATATGATCTGTTCTGCTCTGCTCAGTTCAGCTCAATGATTTGAATACACTTTTACTACCAAAAAACAGCTCAGCTCAATCAGCTCAGCTCAGCTGTAATTAGAGTCCGCTCAGCTCAGCTTCGCTCGATGACCTCTGAAAAAGGCCAGCTCAGCTCAGCTCAACTCAGTAACCTCCTAAATAGGCAAGCTCAGCTCAGAGAAATTTTTAATCAGCTCAGCTCAGCTCAGTGATTTTGGAAGATGATCTTATCTGGTCAGCTCAGCTGAGACAATTCTCAGGTCAGCTCAGCTCAACTCAGTGATTTGAATACAACTTTACTTCCAAAAAACAGCTAAGCTCAGCTCAATCAGCTCAGCTCAGCTGTAATTAGGGTCCGCTCAGCTCAGCTCAGCTCAGAGAAATTTTTAATCAGGTCAGCTCAACTCAGCTCGGAAAAAAAAATCAGAATTTGCAACTCTGGGGCAAGCTGATCCCATCCCATCATTTTTCCGCGTCGCTGATTGCGCTCATCCAAATTCTCGCGAATCGAAAATTCTAGCACTTTGATGACGTCCTTAACCTTCAGTTTCCTGATATTTCGGCCGTGTCTTTAGTAAGCTCGAGTGAAAATTCATTTTTATAATTCTAAAAGAATTAAAATTTTTTTTCATTGAGAGCCACTATTCTTTCGTAATATTCGTCTTGTTCAATGAAGAGATTGCCCAAAATCGCTACTCCTCTTTTCCCGAAAACTTGATGATCTCCTTAATTAATCATTTTAATTTTTTTTAATATTTTAAAATTTTATATTTATAAATAAATATAATAAAATAACCCTCAAGAACCCTTATTCATAAAAATCACGATTCTAATAGATCAGTACTGAAAATGTCACGAGTGTCAAGAATGTCACGAATGTCGCGAAAGTCACGATTTTGCTGAAAATGTCACGAAGAAGAAACATGTTTTCGTGACATTCGTGACATTCGTAGCATTCGTGACATTTTCAGCACTGTCGTTCTGATAGTTATTCATATCGCCATTCCTAAATTTCACTCACCCATTAAAAGCTCCTCATAAAAATGCTCAGCATCTAGTTCAGTCGTCCAGATATCGCCCGATCCCCCGCTTTTCCAAATCGCCCTGGAGAAATATTTCACAAATATTTCCGAGAAATAATCCCAGCTGATTTTTTTCTCCGTCTCTCTTGGCATTTTGCTTAATTCTATTGAAAAAAAAATGAAACTCAGCTCGTTTTTCGGAGTTTTTCCTGTCTATTTCAATTTTTAAAATAAAAATTATTCAGAAAATCAACATAATTGTATTTTTTTGCCAATTGAGAGGAAATAAAAAATAGACGGCTCTAAGAACAGTAAGATACAGTAAAGCCATCCTCTCTAGCGTCATGAATAATGTGAAGATAATATAATATTATCTCTAATCGCCAACTGGAGAGCAATTTTTGAATAAAATATATTCCCAATATGCTCGAAAGATACTCGAAAAGCGTGATCGATCGTATCTTTTTCACTTTATAAGCTCGACCCGTTTCTCAGGAAAGAGCAGTCGCGAAAATTTAATTAAAAAAGATGAATTTTAGAGGAGTTTTTGCAATTATTGCCGCTGTTTCTGCTATTGGGAGGTAAAAACAATTCGAAAAATAAGCTCCCCTGAATATTTTTCTTAGATACGATGCTGCAGAGCTGGAGGAAAAGATGCATCAAATGGTTGCAAAACAAATCTTACGATACAGTGTATGTTTCTTTTAGAAACGAGCTGGGTACTCGATGCCTTTTGTCCGTCGATCTCCTCTTCCAGCGCAATTGAGAGCGGAAGAAGATATGCCACACGTCTTTAGCTTTTTCACATGATGATTTTCTTTGCTTTCAACTTATCAACTATCAACTCTTCTCAAACCGTAGCATTTCTTGTCCCAAAAACATGTCAGAACACTTCATTAATTAAATTTCAAGAGTGGCTCTTTTTCCGTGAACATGATTTTCCGTCACTTGCGGAAAAGCTGATTTTGGGAATGTGAAGAAGTGGGAAAAATCTTCTCTTTTTAAATTTTCATCAATTTTTTTTTTACAAAATTATTTATTTAGTTTTTTTTTGCAGAATTTAAAGCAGAAAATATAAACAGCGAAGAAAAAAAGCAGGGCATATTCAACATTTTCGAATTCTAGAATCTCAGCCCGAGAAAATTTTTCTAGCCAAAAAGATAGACCCGGTTGGTCGAAGAAATCTCCTTCCAACATCTTGTGCATCTTCCTCCATGATCTCCGAAAGCGCATTCGCTGCAAATCACGTGACCGCACGGAATAAAGCAAAAAGCGTCCTTCAAATCGCCGTGGCAGGTCTTGCAAGTCGTCAGGTCAGCGTATTGAGAGGAAGAAAAGTTGATCTTTGAAACGACTTTTTCCAGCTCGTACTCGTCGCTAAACGATATTTATGGATCGGGAGAGAGGTGGGAAAATCCAAGAAGAGGAAATTCATTTTGACAGGTGTGAGTGCTAACCTTTGATGCGGTTCCGGGGCTTCACAAGCCTCTTCGAATAATTTGCGACTAGCCGGCGCATTGTTTGGCTCTTTTGGCACGACAGGCGGTTTGTAGGTCTGAACGACAAGAAATGAGCTGATTTTCTAGCGGCCAATGAAAAAGCCCAAAAGATGGGTTGAGCCAATCAGAAGCTCTGATTTCGATTTTTGATGGAATCTGGCGGGAGTGAATATTTTCAAAGTTGATTTTATAAAAAATAGATTTTGAGATTCTGATTGGTCAATCGACTTTTTGGATTTTTTTGATTGGTCCTTAGAAAGTGTTTAAAAATGAGAATTGTCAATCAGAACCCTCAGTTTTTACTTTTTAACCCGATTGAAAATCAAGTATTTTGATTGGTAGACCATATTTTTTCAGCTTTTTGATTCGACAAAAAAGGCCTTATTCTTACATTAAAATTTGAGCTCCAATCCGCAGCGGAAAATCCAATTTGTCTTTCATTCGTGATAACCGACTGAAATCTGAAGCGATAACGATTGTCAGTCGACTCAGTTTCGCTTCTTCGATTCTCGACTTCTGGCCTCGTTGCTTGGACAGGAAGAGTTCTTGATCTGGAAACGCGACTTCTTGACGACGACTGTTCAACTGGATAATCGATACTGTAGGAACTGTAGTTGCTGTGGAAAGACTGGGAATGGAGTCGCATCGAGTCCGGATCGCGGATTTTCATGGAACTTTTTCAGAAAGTTCAAGATACTTGAAGTTTTATTTAGGTTAGAATTCACGAGGCTTTTCTCAGATCGTAAAAAGTTTTATTGTCAGCGCTTTTTGCTCACTACTACTAGAACGAGCAACTTACTCATTTGCCGGCGAGTTAATCGCAAAATCCAAAACTAACCACCAAACTTACCAAAACCATAAAGCATTATCAAAAGATTTTCGGGTTCACCAATTTATGGAAGTGATTTGACGGGTCAGGGTTTTGATTGGCCGGAAGGGCAAATACAGCAATCTTATTGGTTATCTAAAAATTCACTCCCATGAATTGGTTAAGCCCTAGATTTCGACATGTTCTTCAAAAAAAGACGAAAAAAAAAATTTATATTTTAAAGTTGAGACACCCTTATTTTCTCAATTTTATTGAATTTTGAACTGTTCCTGACCATTCTCGAAATATCACTCTCTATTTCTCGCATTCTCTCCAAGGACTCCATTTTTTTCGTGAATAATAATCGTGTTTTTTTCGTTGGTTTTTTTCTTTCTTTTTTTATATCTCTTTTTGGTTCAACCGAAACTCAAAATGAGCTGCGCGCAAATGAGCAATTTCAGCGCGGTTCGAAAAGAGTACTCAGATCCGGATAATAAATTTCCCGCCGCGCGAAATAAAATAAAAATCAACTAATTCAAATACGCTTAGAATTATATTTTCGATCTGCAGATAGAGCTTGGCAGCTGAGACAATTAAATAGGAAGCCATGATTTGGCGTGTTTTACGACATTTTGTGGTCGCTTTAATTTTCGAGAATTAATTTCGTGATTCAATGAATCAGATCGTAATTTCATTGTCACGAGAGTTCGATTTAGCAGCTGAAAATTTCGTAAAAAATGCATAATCAATTATATTAAATTAAATTGATTTAAATTTATTAATTAAGAATTTACAGTACAAATACGCCGGTCGAAACATTCCATGACCCAGAAACACGTGCCCTTTTCCTCATGATAAATCTTCATTTTATTCTCGTGTGAAGAAACAATCTGCTACTTCCATATCCGGAGGTGTGTTCCACTTTCTCAACAAACGAACAATTTTCGGCTTTGAAAACAAGGTCAGAATGAAACTTTTCCAGACACTTGCTTCCCTCGCTCTCGTTTCAGCTCAGGCACCACCGGAGCCGAAGAACTGTGCTGACTGTATCGTAAGTCAAAATCTTCAGAACCATTCCTCTATCATTTTTGAGGCCTTCGACAATGCTTACAAAGACGAGTGCAAAAAGAACCCCCACCTAATCGACGACTACGTCAATATGCTCAAGCAAGAGTGTTCCTCAGCTGGAAATCTTCAGGTAAAAGGCCCTTGGTTTTTCTTACTGAGGGTCGAAATTCAGTCGATTTGCGAGACAATCGCCGGCGGAGCATTCAAAAAGTACTTGGAAAAGATTCGAGATGAGGATTCCAAGCAGTACTGTACTGAAATTACGATGTGCCAGAACTCCATCGTCAGATTTTATCAACAAGATGACCCTGACTGCACCGGTAAGGAAATTTTATAGTTTTCAATCATTTTCTCGTTTTTAGCGTGTTTGAACTTCATGACCGATCTCCGCCTGATCGCTCGATACGACCCTCCCCACTTCGCTCAAATCTTCGACGCGATCGTCAAAGGACTCTGCGAAGAAACCGGCAAGTTCGAATCCAGAGTTTGCTACCAGGAACTCAAAGGACACGAAGAAGACGCTAGAAAAGCGATCATGAACGCGGACCAGCAAAAAGTTTGCGTCCAGCTTGAATATTGCTAGACAAAAAAAAAATAAATTGTGAAAAAAAATTATCTTTTTTCTTTAAAAAAAAACTAATTAGTTCGGAGTTGCTTAAAAATGACGAGTTCACGGGGAAAAAAGTCGATAACTAATGGCAAACTCAAATTTAAAGGCAAACGAATGGGAAAAAAGGAGATTTTCCGCTGACTTGGCAGAATATATTCAGCAGACTTGCTGGGAAAAAGTAAAGAGAGAATTCGAAATGATGTTACAGAAAGATTGATGGTTGAAAAAGAGACAGAAGAAGAGATGAGTAGAGAATACTTTGAACATTCGCTTGATCATGTTCAAGAAAGAGAGGATTTTGGTCATTCATTGAGGTTAGTCCTCATGATTCCCGTGGGCATGATTTCTTTTTTGGTAGGTTTCGGTGTTATTTTTGGAATTATTGAAAGTAATTTTAGATTATTGGTCTTTGTTTCTCTAACTTGATGTACTGTCACTCTTCAAGCTCAAGAAAAAACTCTGTTGCAAATCCTAAGACCATTTTAATATGTATTTAACCTTAGCCGGCCAAAATGTCATTTCTGACCCTACCGGCCAAATGCACCATGTATGGTGCATCACATGCTTATATTCTTGAAAAATTCAACTCAAAGCCCATAACGTACGTCTTTGGGTTTGTTTTTGGCTTCTTTGTTAGTGTTAGGCTTTGGGTTTTACTTTGGGTTTGGGTGCGGATTAAGGTTTGGGTTTCAGCATCAGATAAAGTCTTCCAATTCGAAAAGGGAGACTATTCGGCGAATTTTTCGGCGAAAAATACTGCCTACCGGCCAAAAGCACCATCAGTGGTGTCGGCGCCATTGTAGCAATGCACCATACATGGTGCATGCAGCTTTTCTCAAAAAAAGCCTATTTCCGAACCCTAACCCTAACCAAGGGTAGTCGAAAGGTAACCTAAGGGTAGCTTATCGATAAATACCCCTACAGTTTCTTCCGTTTTTCGCAACTCAAAATCACTTCGGTGGGAGACCTAATTCTTTGACCCCTGTTCCATAGATGGTGCACCCTGGCCGGCTAAGGTTAAAGAAAAACTGCATAATACATGAATAATCATAAAATGTCTTTATTTGTCTCTTCATTATTTTCTGAAGCATTGGTTTTCATCTTCTGCTTTCTTCTTTCATCAAGTTTCAGAAACCATTCAGGTCCAATTTCGAACGCAAATGGCAGGTGCAATACAAGCGGCTAAATAAAAATCATTAGACGAAAAAGGGTCAGGCTAGTTTTCAATAAAACTACTTCGACTTACGAGAGCGCCGACAAAGCCACATATCCAAATACTTTGTCTTAGAGTCTCAAGGTTGCCAGTTTTTTCAAAGGTGGAAATGATCGGATGGCCAAGAAAATTAAACAAACTACCAATAAATTCTTTTGAAGTTATTCCAAAGCCATGGCTTTGTCAAATAAAATTGTCAAATAAAATAACCACTCAAATGAGCTCTCGTAAATTTATTATTATTCTGATTTTCTTCAACATCTACGGTATTTTCGTTTCATTTCAAGAAATCAAACAATAATCGGAAGTAAATATCATCGTTCTTGAGACGCCGCGGTTTGAATTCCCATTCAATAAAAATTACGGAAAACGACGCGTTTCTACAACAAAGCCGTCACTCGACTGCGAGGAAAAAATGTTTTTTCCTCTGTTTTTTACCGTAATTTTCTTCTTTTCAAGAGATTCTCATGCTGGGACGGCGGCTCTTTCGAGAATGCTTGGAGAAAAGGAGGAATTATGCATGTAAGTATTCAAACGAAGGGATTTTTGGTCGGGAAAACTGTGTAGAAAACCTGAATCAGGGCTCAAAAGACATTTTTACGAATCATTTATCATATTTATTTCAAGCGATCGCCCTCTCTACGAGGAATGCTTGGCAATTTGCAGACTGAGGTACTTGGACTGCCTCTCTTCCTGCGACTCGTCTTTATGTCACTCGACGTGCTTGGCAAATTTCTCCGGTAAATTTCCATTTTCAATCAAAAACAAAAAAAACATCTAGCTTGCGACAATTCGTGCCCTTGCGGAACTGACTGTCCAACTGGCTGCGTCGAGTGCGAAGAACACCCTCTTTGTATCGGGAAATGCGCAGATGCGGAGCAGAACAACCCCGAGTACAAATCCTGCTTGAATGACTCACTCGATGAGCTGGTTTGATTGAGGAATTGAACTTTGAGTTGATATTTTTTCTTTCAGACTGCTTGCATGAAAACATGTGAGCCGACCGACACCTGCCATGAAAATTGTTGCTCTGGACATCGAGAAAGGATGACTGCTTGCCCTTGCTTTCAGTCTCAGGTAACAATAAATTATTTGCTCAGTCTTATTCAATTTTTCCTAGGGAACATCGTCGACAACATCTCCACCAACAACTCAACAGCCTCTTGATCCGGTAAACTCTTTGTATAATTTTTAATCAATCAAAAAATTTAAGAGCGAAATGTCCATTCTCGTCCTTCGTTACTCGATTTCTGACGCATATGTGATTTCTGGAGATGGAAATTCAAAAGTTTCTGCAACAATCACCGCTCCAGCTGATGATTATGCGAAGTGGCCTCAGCATGCGCTCATTGGAAATCAGTTGTTTATTTTTGGTGGCTATTCGGACAGAAAAAAGGTTTGATAAATACTTGATATTTTTTAAAGATAATTTAAACTTTAGATTGCTGTTCTTGAAGGATGCAATTTTGAGCAAAGATCGGAGAAGCTTTTGAATGATATAGACTACGCAAGTGCTGCTCTTTCTATTCACGGCAATTCGCGAGGTAAATTAGCGAAATTTTTGTCTAATTATCGGTTTTAAATATCAGATGAAAAATGAAAATTTCAGTATTGATCTGCTTCTCGGCTGGTTCCAATAAGAAGCACTGCGAAATTTTTGATGGATCGAGTTCAACGTCCACGACATCCTCGAATTACGGGCATGGTCTTGGAAGACTTGGGTTGTATAAAAATCAAGCCACCACTGTTGGTTCTTATTACGACACGCCGAAAGTGGAAACACTGACAAACAATGGATGGAGTGTGATTGGAGATCCACCAATAAGGTACAATCAATAATCTTTAATTATCGAAATTATTTTTAGCGGTACTTGGGGTCATGTCTTGGTCGGGCTTCAGAGCGGAAATTTACTCATGCTTGGTGGAGTTATGCTTGTTGGAGGTAGTAGATTGGATCATGTCTGGCTTCTTTCTAACGACTCCTGGTCGCGAACTGGAACTTTAAAAAACGTAAGTTTATGATTCATTATCAAATTTGATGGGTCGATGAGTCTGTCATTGAACTTTCCATTTGCTTTAATTTGTACGCTTTTTAAACGTGTTTTGAGGCTATCGACAATCATTCGTCTCTCCAAATCAACGGTTCGATATTCCTCATCCCCGGTTATGGAGTCAATTACCCCCTTGAAAGAGTCGACATGGACGAAGACGAAATTAAAAGCTCCGAAATAATTGGCAATCATAGCGGTACTGAAGACATACCTGTCTTGTTTCAAGTCTCCGCTGGATTTTGCACTTGAATATCTACTCGCTTTCATCTGTTTCTTGCGTGCATGTTTTTAATAAAAAGAACTGAAAAAATAATATTTACGAAATTTGTTTTTTTTTATCTATTTTTTAAATGAAATTGAGTTCTTGAAGGAAAGGATCATTTTTTTCAGGCGGCCAAGGATTCAGATTCCGGCAGCAATAAAGGAATGGGAATTTTGAGGAAAGTTTATGTATTTAACAGACCAAGACCTCGAGTCAGAGACCCTTTTAAATCATGCTTGTATGAGAGAAATCCGAGGAAAGCAATACCTCCGTAGAAAACAACGACAGATCCGAGGGTAATAATTTCTTTCGTGACAGATTCATCATCAACATCTGATTTCTTATTTGTATTCGGAAAGGGTTCATTCGGAATCGGCTTATTCAGGAAGCGGCAGAGTGGTTCCCAGCCTTCTTTGACATTAAAAACTGAAGAAAATTGAAGGGATTCGAGGGAGAATGATGTACCTAAAAGTTGGTCTTGCGGGACTTTCGAGATCACGTGTTCATTCCATTCCGTGTACGCGTTTTCAAGACCTTTTTGCGAAAAGTCATGAGGTTTTCCGAGAAACATTCGCATAATTATTTTGCCAAGTTTATCAGATGACTAAAAATATTATCATTTTGACTCGAAAAATCGATCTTACCGCGTCTGGGAGCCATGGAATTGGTTTCAAGATCCATTCATGAAGCCCAAAAGGAAAGATTTTCTGATGAAGCGGGGCATCTCCTCCTGTTTGGCGGACAAAAATCGTCGAGTGAACTGATTTGTACCAGTCCTCCGGCTTGTCGCGGACGGAGAGAAGGACCTTGGCTTTTGGGTTCATTCGCAGAAGATCTTTAAAGAACGAGCAAGCGGGGTAGTCGGCAGATGATCTGTATCCTTTTTCATCGAAGATTTTTCGCAAAGCTGTTTCTCGGAGCTCTATCGGTTTTCCTTCTTCGACTTGATTCCAGAGCTCGCCAAGGTTGTGCACAAAGTTCTGGTTCATATGATAACACGGGATGGTAAGAAATCGGTGCAATAAAGACTCGTTCAAACCAAAGTCCAAATTTTTCTAGAGCCAGCTGAATGCTCGACGTTCCTGTTCTCCCCAAACCGCCTCCAATACCTTCCATTTTCCTTTTTTTCTCTAATATATTTGTGCAAAAGCGTGATTTTAAACATTTATGCTCAAAGTTAAACTCGATTTTTATCGGGTTTAACATGGACCAATCGAGAAAAGCTTAAAGTACAAAAAAGTTTAAGATTTTGATGTGGTCAAAATTATTTATCTCGAAAATTTTCCGTATAGTCTATACGGTATAGACGACTCTTACCTTAAAAATAGACGATTGTTTGATAAAAGATGATTGAGGCCATTCTGGGGTGTCAAGGGCATTACGAAGCTTATCGCAGTCGCATATTCGACCTGTGGCGAAGACCATTCTATCAGACAAAATGAATTTTCTATCTTTGATCTTTTTAAAATTAGCATGGGCAGCAAATGCACGAGCTTTCGAAAAGACTCAACAGACAACGAATGATGAGCTTTCAAGGGAGAAAGCGAATACTTTTTTGCGAAACCGTAGAGCTAATGAAAGATTCGAAGAAGTCTGGAATGCTGGAAATTTTGAGCGCGAATGTATTGAGGAAACATGCAACTCCAGAGAGTTTAATGAAGTTTATGACGACATCAGCGTGTCTGAACCACTTTTGGTAACACAAACATTAATATTTCTCCTTTTTTAGATTTAGAAAAAATATATTCTTTGTCAACATGCGGCTGAGAAAAATAATATTACTTCGCAGGATTTTATGAGGGACTGCTATCAAAACAGTACCTATGATGATCTTTGTATTGTCCCCAATTCAATAACAACTGGCGAACCTGTCCTTCCGGTAATTCTATGAAAGTCAGAGTATTTTTTGTCAATTGAAAAAAAATTTAAGAGCGAAATATTCATTCTCGTTATTCGAAACTCGGAAGCTTATGTGATTTCTGGAGATGGAAATTCAAAAGTTTCTGCAACTATAACCGCTCCAAATGGGAACTATTTTCAATCTGTTCAGCATGCGCTTATTAGAAATCAATTGTATATTTTCGGCGGCTCTTCGGACAAAAGGAAGGTTTGATAATTACTTCTCATTTCGAGAGAAAATTTAAACTTTAGATTGCTGTTCTTGAAGCATGCAGTTTTAAAGAAAAATCGGAAAGGCTCTTGAATGATATAGATTGGGCAAGTGCGGCTCTTTCTATTGACGACGACTCTCGAGGTAAATAAGCGAAATTTTTGTAAAATTATTCATTTTAAATATCAAATGAAAAATATAAATTTCAGTCTTGCTCTGCTTTTCGATTGTTTCCAATAAGAAGCACTGCGAAATTTTTGATGGAACGAGTTCAACGTCCACAATGTCCTCGAATTACGGGCATGGATGGGGAAAACTTGGGTTTTATAAAAATCAGCCGACCACTGTTGGTTCTATTTGGTCTAGCGACACGAGGAAAGTGGAAACACTAACAAAAAATGGATGGAGTGTGATTGGAAATCCACCAATAAGGTAAGATGAATTACTTTTTATCATAGAAATTATTTTAAGCGGTATTCATGGTCATGTCTTGGTCGGGCTTCCGAGCGGAAATTTACTTTTGCTTGGTGGCACTGGAGTAGTTAGAATTTAGTGCCGGGGTCCGAGCAACATGGATCCTTTTGTCCTCCACCAAGGGTTGACCCATTGTTCCGGCCGAGGGTTGAGCCCATTGTTCCCGCCGGAAGTTGACCCTTTGTTCGGACCGATTTTGCTCGGACCCCGGCACTTTTTGTTTCTTTTGTTTTGTACTGTTTATTAATTACAGTAATCTTGAACAACCTAAGGGTTGAACATGAAATTGGCGTGCGGCGCCTCGCTCGCCCAGCGCCTTGCCGTGCCCTACTTTTCAGAATGCGCTACAATCTGAATGGATAAAGCTTTTTCAAAAGTTTCTTCGGATTTCAGATCATCAAAGCCTTTACTTTTCACAGATCAAATATGAGCAGAATCGTCAAAGAATAAATCGGAGAAAATGACATGAGTTGGTTAAACTCTATCTCCTCTCGCAATTCTTATCCGTTGGTAAGTAAAAAAAAAGTCTCTAGACGTTATAATATTGGAATGAAACCAAAGCCCGAAAAATCTCTAGTTGATAAATTGTTTACCTGGAATGCATAAAATCTCTAGTATTGTTATTTTTGTTAGGAAAAATTTCAAAAATCTTCGTTTTCTGATCAAAATTATTAGATATATAGATAAATTAGAATAAGATAATTTAAATTCTATTCTTTTAGAGATAAATATTGAGAAGATGGCGAAGAAATCATCAAAAACGAAGAAACTCACGAAAAGTAAGTGAAATTTGGGAGGGTCGGAGGATTGCTCTTATTTCCACGTCACCTTAGATATCGGGAAAATAACTTTTTGGTTGATAAATAAGACCCATATTTCAGTGCAAAAATTCGTGCGAAAACAATGCGCGACAAAATCATCGACCTCAAAGAAGAAAATCGCACAAGCGGCAAGAACGGCTGTGATTGAACGAGTAAGTTTAAAATTATAATTTTTCATTAATCTACAGGCGGAAACTAAGCCACGCTGGGCTCAGTTTCGTTAACGTCTGGTAACTACAGGCGGACCTGGGCCATGAAGTTGGTCCGGGTTACTCAAACGTCTGCAAAACCCACAGGCGGGGCCTGGGCCATGAAGTTTGTCCGGGCCTATCATAACGTCTGAATGAAACAAAAAATAATGACAGAATATACCTTAATGTTTTTTTCATTAAGTAAAACATTTTTCTCAAGAATGAAACTACCAAAAATGCGTGATTTTCACATTTTCCGTGAAAATGTTACTCGCGCCTAGTACGCTCTCAGCGCTCCACCATTACAATTTTCAAAACTAAAGCTCTAGTTTTAAGGGTGTTAAAGTGGAGATAGGGCGACAAAAAATGTAGCGAAAACCCGAAAGCCATAATTAAAAAAGCCATAATTTATAGAAATTAAATTTAAATATTCAGGATGCGCAATCTTCTTCGCAAGGACAAGAATTGAGTGAGGATAAGATGATCAACCTGCTCAAACGATCATCAGGGCAAATGGACTACAATTTTCTCAGCGCACCACAAAAACAACTCGGTATTTTTTCTACAGTTATTTTCTTCTTTTGTGGACTTTTTTTGTCCCAAATTTTCATCAAAATGTCCATAAAAGTGGGAAAGAGTCTTCAAAAAATGTCCCGCCGTAGGGCCTGAAAATTTTTTCTTCGATAAATTTTTTTCGAAAAATGGCAAATTTCGTCATCGAAACACCTTTTTCTTCCCCTTAAATTTTCTCGGCTGGAAAAATATCCACAAAAGTGGAACATTTTCAAAAACTCTGATCGTTCCCATGTGTGACTCCTTGTGAAAGTGACCTTAACTTGTGCGCAATATTCTTATTTTCTTTTATTTGATTGATCTTGACCTAAAATGGATTCAAATTGGAGGTGGATTTATCTCTGATAATTTAGAAGAGCCGACCAAAAGGAATCATTGATTTCTTGTCCACGGACTTCTCCACCACCACAAAAAAATGTAATTTTTCAACAAGCCAATTTAGGTCAAGCTCAATCAAATTAAAGAAAATATGAATATTTCGCACAGCGTGTGGAAGTCCGCGGGAGCAGCTGATCATTGCCGCCAGTGATCAGGCCGACCCAGCGAAGTTATGATTACCATTTTCCATGCGCCAGTTGATTCTTATTGAGTCGATCTAAGATCTAACCATTGTTCGCCTGTTGTTTTAGAAAAGAGTAACATTGTTGGGTTAGCAACTAGGTGAAGAATAACTTGTATTTTAAACACACTTTTAGCTATTGAAACAGTTCGAAATGTAATTGTTCGCGGCTCTGCGCCTACAATGAAAAATCTACAAAAAACACGGTCCACACGACTTTTCAAAAATTGTTTTTTTTAATTGTCAATTTTAAACAACCTGACAATTTTTTTAAGCAATAACCGCAAAAGGACTTCTTGCCGGAAATCAAACAATTTTGTCAAAGAGTGGAAGCGCATTTTGGGCAGAAGTCTTGTCAATTGTCGGTGACCGAGAATTCCAATTCATTCATTTTTGGACTCGGCAAATGTATATATTTTCGAGCGCGGTGTGGTGCGAAGTGCGATTTTTTTCAGCGGATTTTTCTGCGGTGCAAAGTGCGTTTTTTTTCAAATTTTCTTTCGCAAATTTCGCGCGGTGTGGTGCGTAGTGCGATTTTTTTCGCGGATTTTTCTGCGTTGCGAAGTGCGATTTTTTCAAATTTTTTTCTGCGGCGGACTCCTATAAAAAGGGTTCATATTTTATATCTGACGTTAAAAAAAAATATAATTTGCCGAGTCCATGGTGGCCCGTTGTTTTGCTTCATCTTACTTCCCAATTCTTGAATCATTTCGCTGATAAAAAGAAGACAGCGACAGAAAAACTTAACCCCTTCGTGAATCCGCCGAACAACAAAAAGATGAACTCAGTATTTCTTTATTATTGTGCGATTTTCTCTCTCTCTCCAATTTTCAAAAATTGCAATGAATCTATCTCGTTTTTCGACATCGTGAAAGCCCGGTACCCAAATGCAGAAAAACAACGCTTAAATGCGTATTTATGCAAGTGTTTTTAAATTTTTAACAGTAAAAACAGCCTTTTTGTCTTCGAATCTTTCGGGGAATTCTTCCGACAGTACTGAAAATGGCACGAACGGTACGAATGACATTAAAACATGTCTTTTCATCGTGCTATTTTCAGTAAAATTCTGGAAAATTTTTTGTTATTGTTTTTCAACCCTTGAGTTTCCTTCTATTAAACCCGCGGAGCGGACGTTGATAACTTGAATATTCGATGAAAAATTGATCATTTATGCTTGAATCAGTATTATTTCGATTTTTAATCAGCGACAATGGCAAAATTGAGGAATTTCACTTAAAAAGAATCTTTTTGGGCCTGAACTTGCGGTCAATTTTACAAAAGTTTCAAATTATTTTTTTATGTTTTTGATCATGATTAATTAACTTTACAAGTGTTAAATAACTATCGTTTCAACTAAATCCGTTAATTTTCCAGTTTCATTCAAAATATTCCTCAAGGTTAATTCGTAAAAAAATGTGTCTCTGTTTTCGTGCCATTTTCAGTGAATTCGTGCCATTCGTGCCATTCGTTCCATTTTCAGTCTTGACCAATTTTTCCATTATTTTTGTCTGAATTATTTTTCAAAAACACTTATAATTGCTCTTCTTCCAAAACTGTCTCTTTTTATAAAGATACAATTGACGGATAAAGATGTCATTCCAAGTTCAAAAAAACGGTCGATCGCTGAAATTCAGCGCGATCATGAGGCCGTCGATTGGCCAATCTACGCAATTAAAAGCGTTATGATGCTAAGGACAGCATTATAATAAGATGAGATTGCTCCGATTGCCCTACTTTTTTTTTCAATGCTTTAAAAAGTCTTTCGTCTTCTTCTTCTGATTCTCTCGCCCTAAGGAAACTATTCCTTATCGTTTGGTTTGACAACGCAGATAAAAGACGCCTGCATTTTTCGATTCAAGATGTAAAATCGTTCTCAGAAATGAACCATACGGAGATCGATAGAATTCAAGAATCGTTTTAAATTATTGTTATTTCACCGGAACGCAATTTTTGGGATTTTTTTTGAGAAGTTTGTAATTTAAGGACCCCCCGTCAAGATTTGAAAATTACGAATTTTTGAATTTTGACCTTGAATTCAGATTCCTCTTACCAAAAAACTATTTTTTTGCTTCATTATTATTCGCCGTATCTCGACTCTAACGCCCTTAAAAGTTTAGTTAAAATTTTCAAAATTGCAGTGGTGGAGAGCTCAGAGCGTACTAGGCGCGAGTAGCATTTTCACGGAAAATGTGTAAATCACGTATTTTTGATTTTTTTATGTTTGAGAAAAGTGTTTTTTTTTATTATTGAAAAAAACATGAATCATCATTTTTAAGAAGTATTTTTTTGTTGTTTTCATCAAGTCAGAACTTGGTCATAAGTTTCCAGCAACATCACAAAACGTATCGTAGAAGAAAAACATTTGAAACGGCTTCAAGTATCAAAGTTAGCTTTTGATCAGATAGACAGAATTAAAGTGACGTCGATAAAACTCACCTTTCTACAGAAAAATGCAAAGCCGGAATCTGATTCTCAAAAATCGAGAAACGCTTTATGAATTTCAGGATTTCGATGCTCGAGCGCAGCGTCCGAAAAATCTGATTTTAGCTTTGATACTGCCAGTCTGAATATTGAAAAGATGCTGAAGCCAGACTCGGCGAAGTACTCTTGGTGCAACTTTCCCCAGCACAGTCCCGGTCGTTTGTTCTGAAAGGATAGTTTTGAACTTTTTTGAGAATATATCTATGTTTCTCTCTTTCTCTTTTCTGCTAAACACAAAAGGATCTATTGATAGGCATCGAGTTCTTTTCTCTAAGAACCCGTCTCTGGAAATCGAGCGCTTCAGATTTTGCAATGAGTCGCAAGGGGATCAGGTTTTTCGTTTTTTTTTCGGGGATTTTTTAGGACTCGAGGCGGAAATCATCCGCTGCCGTTTTATTGCTTGAGCGATAATGCGCAATATTTAGGACTCGGGCTTTGGCACAGGCATAAGTTCGCGGAGAAATAGAATAAATCAACAACGCAGGGGTCAAAGTGTGCGGCGGGGGTTTTATTGCAGATAAAGCGGAATATTAGCTGCGTAAGCGTTTTTTTTTTCTTTTTGGAAAAGAAAGAAATAAGCTAATATTGAAAAATTCCTCCCTCTTCACATATTCTCATTCAAAAAAATTCACGTCCTCTCACTGTTATTATGAAAATTTGGCCAAAAGAACCTTATTGGACTGGGATCGAAAATGACCGTCGATCGAGAATAATCCTTTTTATTTATATTGCGCCTACGAATGAATTCTAACCATCTTTGAGGGGTTTAAATCTCTATGCTTCAATAAGCGAAATTTGTAAAAATTGGAGGGGATCGCTCTCGGAGGATTTCGCTGGATCGCAAGCTTGGGAGGATGTAAAAGGACATAAGGTGCCATAGACTTGTAAAAAGTATATTAATCGACGCTGATCAAATCCACGAAATCGAAAGTCTGCCACTCAAATCTTACGATTAGTGTTGATTCTCGCGCTCGCTTAAAGAGCAGAGAATGATTATTCTTACATAGTAAAATTAGTTGAGCGCGTCCAGTCTTTTTTGTTCATGATTCAGATGAATTTTCATGCCGCCAAATGGAGCTCAATTATCTTACAATCGGAAACCACACGAATGACTACTCCGAAAATATCTTTATTGATTTATTCCTCAGCAATTTCAATGTCTGTTTCTGGCCGCGCCAGAACGATCGCTCTTTTTTTTTCTACTTGTTGAATGCTTTCCCAATAAGTAATTCATTGATCCACTGCCAATTTTTTTCAAATGCGTTCCGGTGTATATAACGATATAATTTATAACGATATAAAGATATCGCTGCGATTGCAGAGCCTTTTTCCCTACGATCTCGTCGGTTTTACGAAGACAAGCTCGTTATAAAAAATCAACGCATGCGACATTTTAAAAATATTCTTTTAAAACCGTTTGTATTAATGCCGAAACTCTGGCAGGGTTAATTATTGTTGTTTCTTTTATTTTGCGTATCTATCAATTTTCCTCTTTTGTGGGCATTATTTTTCCCAAATTTTCGTAAAAAATGTCCATAAAATAGTAAATACGGAGATACCCTTAATTTTTTCTATTTAAAATTAAGAAATGAAGATTTCATACAACGATAGAACCTTGACGCCCTTAAGTTTTTTGAAATTATATTTTTGATTTAGGACCCCCCCCTATCAAGAATCGTGAAAATAGGCCGTTTTGGAGCAAGTTTTTTTCCGAAACTATCAGAGATAGACCCTTAATTTTCAAAACATCTTTCAGAGCCAACCCTTGACCACAACCGTTCCCATTATGATGACCTGTCGATTAATGACTTAAAGATATACAGGCTGTTAAAGGTTAGGTTGCTAGGAGCAAGCTTTTATGGGTTTTAAGTTGAGTGAAATCCTAAATTATTTCTGAGAATAAAGTTAAGGCCGTAAGCTATGACCGTTCCCTTTTTGAGAGTTTTTGGTCAACGACCTTAAGGAGGACAGGCCTTTCAAAATTTAATCAGTGGAATATATTTGTGGAATGTCAACAAAAATGATGTCCACAAAAGAGGTTAAAACAGTTAATTGAATTAAAAAAAAATTAACCCTATATTTGTCCAAACGAGCTAACTCTCGAAAAGTCAAAACAAGGGTTTATAAGCTGGGACGAGAGAGAGCCACTTCCGGCAAATTCTTTTGATGAATTTGATTGGCCGGAAACGACGGATGAATTCAAGGACATTGTTGAGGGTCTCAATTTTTGCAAAAATTAAAAGAACTCCCCCTATCAAGAATCGCGAAAAAAGGGGCCTTTCGCTGAAAGTTTTTTTCAGGAATAATCTAAACAAGACCCTTAATTTCAATTTTTACTGTAAGGTTAAATTGTCTGCGACAAGCGTTTCTCTTATGATGATTTCTCGATATCAAACTTAAGGGTATACGGACCGTTAAAAGTAAGTTGCACGATATTTTTCGGGTTAACCGATCAGATCTGGAAAATTAGGCGGTGAGGATGACGTGGCCTTTAGCTTAACCAATGAGAGCCAGCCCTCGCTCTCTCGGTCTGAGAGGGCTTCAGACCCAGATTTGCGGCCGCCTAAGCTACAAAATCTGATCGGTATAATTGGGCTTGTCCCTTTATTTTATCGACAGCGTAAAGTTAAGACTCAAAGCTTCTATCTGTACTCTTTTTCAGTTTTTGGTCAATAAACTTAAGGAGGAAAGCACCCTTAAATATTTTATGTCGAATCTTAGGCAAATTTTCAATTTTCATTTTCATAATTTTGAGTGATTTTGTGGGACGAATGCAAATTGAGACCCCTTCAAAGTCGAAAAAGCCTATAAAAAATGGGAAAATGGCCTCGGTCTGGAGACCGACAGACTTATAGCTGGAACCGAATTTTCGTTCGGGTGATATTCTCTGAATTAAAACAACAATTGCCCATTTATTTTTTAGGAAAAATATGCATTGCTCGGAATTTTTTGTTAAGGATCCCCCCATCAAGAATCAGGCTTTTTAAAGCAAGTTTTTTTCCAAAACTATCTAAGGTAGACCCTTAATTTCCATTTCAACTTTTAGATCGAACCCTTGACTATAACCGTCCCATTATTGCGACCTCTCGATTGCCGGCTTAAGGATATACAGGCCGATAAAGGTCAGGTTGCTAAGAGCTAGCTTTTTTTTGGGTTTTTAATTGAGGTATACCCTTAATTCTTTTTCTGGATAAAATTTAGCCCCTAAGCTACGACTGTTCCGCTTTTTAGAGTTTACGATCAAGGACCTTATGGAGGACAGCCCCTTAAAAAATTATTAGTCGAATTTCCTGACGAAACTTTTGACGTGATTTACTTCCGAGACACAATTCTTTATATTGCTGACAAACTTCCACTCTTCAAAAACTTTCTCCATGGCTAAAACGCATTTTTTCTCGGTTCATTTTTATTTTTATAACAGATCAATGTAAATGTGCAACATAATTATTCAGAATCTTAAGCTTTTCTGAAATACGATTTTACTTTTGATTCATTTTTGAAAATTGAAATTATTATAAACGTCACAGGAACGACATTTCCATCGAATTCAAGAGATTTTGAAACATTTTAAACATTTTTATCGCCAAAGCATCAAATTCGCTACTTTTTAGGACTGTTGTGTCATTTTGAAAAAAAAAGATATTTTTTGAGTGTGACAAGTTCTGAAATTCGAGCATATAACTTCCTCGCTAGCCAAAGGAGGGCGCCTCGAAAGGATTGGGGAGTTCAAACATAGCGGACTTGTCACCCGCTTGGTCAGGCCATTTTTGTGAGCTGCTAGTTTTTGTCACCCGCTTTTCGGCAGACTAGTCCCTCTTATTTCGCCTTTTTCTTCACATTGCCTGCTGAGTTTTCAAGTTTATGTTGGTAAAGACAAGGTTAGTGTAAATCTAAGAGTTTTCATAAGAAAAATAAAGAAAATTTTCTAGTAATTTTGAAATCTCGTTTTTTATAAGTGAGATTGCTTATTTTGCGGAAAGCATAAAAAACAACTAGTATTTTTCTATTTCATTTTCTTTTATTTGTCAAGGCTTGTTCAGAAGTGATTTCTTTCAGAGCAGATCAAAAGGGATTATCGCTGGATTATTCTGTCAGTTAGCCGTGGTTTCGATTGAGTCTGTTGATTTCAGCATCAATTCCTTCCTCGAAGAATCCCTCGACGAGCCAATCGATGGCTTAATCGTTATAAATAATTTTGAAAAAGAATAAAAAATTTCCTTACCGTAGAGGATGTCACGTACGACATCCAGATGGAAGGACGACATATCTGGACCGGCATGAGTATCGATCAGACGACAGCGCTCTGTCTCACCGCAGGTTCGGATGATGTTGAGAGCTCGAAAAATAAATTGTTAAAGGGCAGTTTTGAAAAAAAATATTTTTTACCTTCTTTCTGGCCTTTCAATCCTTTAAAAAGGATTGTTAAAAGATTCAAGAGGTAGCTCGGGTCTCTTGACATCTCGTCGTGAACACGTCTTTTTTGCGCTTCTCGATCCATTCGCAGAGTGTCGAAGTTGTCTGGATTGTTGGGTAAAAAAAGTTTTTTTTTGAGCTTCGAAGTGAAGTGAGTGAATTTTTTTTCGAACCGTTGCTTTTATTGCCAAATTTTCCCTTTCCCCTGATAAGGTTTTTTTGATGCGATGCGATTTTGAAAGCATCATGAATCATTAAAAGAATGCAACCTTTGAAGAAATATTCTCACATTTATCGAAATCTAATCTATTTTTTGAAAAGTATGCGAAGATGTCAAAAAATGAGCTCATCAATAGAGGAATTATCGGATTCTTCCGAAATATTGAAGTCTTCAAAAGCGGTCTCCAGTTGCTTCGTTGGCGCTCGGCTTTGTTTGAAGTCAGGAACAGCGGGAGTTTTCGTAATCGTGATGGACATTGCGAGAAGCCTTGACACTGAAACACCAGAAGACTTGAATGCCATCAGATCTAGATGATGCGACTCAAGCAGTTTCTGGAAAATGGTTGAGTCGGAGCATTCTTCCAGAAGTTCTTCTGCGTCGGCTTTCGATGCTGAATAAAATAATAAGTTGAAAGCAGCATTGGAAAATAAATACCGATGTAGACTGTGTCGTTGATTGCGGATCTTTGATTTGGGTAAACTATCTCGTACTGAATGGTGCTGCCATCTTCCGTTTTCTTTGTTGAGCTAGACAAAAACCAGAAATCTATTATTTTAATTGATGAATATAATATCAAAGAATTTCTCAAGGAAAACCTAGTTTGAATCGTAGAGGCAGGGCCATATTTTCTAATATACTCTTTGTTGTAAGATAACAATCCCTGTCGCTTGTGTATGGTTTCGTGAGCTCAAGTGTCTCTGACACGGCCGTCTTGTTCCAAGGAACGGGCATTTTCGAGGAATATCTTCGATAGTTGAGGCCTTAAGAAATAATCAATTTTAAAATGAAATAAAAAACTTACTTAAATATGAAGAAGCACTTCTGGTAAGACGACGGAAATTCCCCTCAAATTTCTCAATCGCTGTGTACTCTTCTTCGTTCAAAAATTCTTTTATTTTCAGTTCTGGGCCTGTAAAATTTTTTTCAATGAATCGCATTTCCGCCTTCAAGAAAATCCCATTCATTCTAAATCAAATATGAAAATACAACAGCCTGGTCTTATGTTCGAAAAAATTTATTCTACTTTTTGAGGAAAGTAAGTTTCTAGGGACTCAGTTTGATAAGGTAGAATAATCGCAAAAACAGGATGATTTAAAGGCTATAGGATTCATATGTTGGCATCATTCTAGGCGGTGATGATCGTTTCGCTTTATACATGGATTTCGTTGAGAAGATTAGTCGCTCATCAGGTTACGTTTCACTGAGACTTTATATTAAAATGACATCTTTTGATTATTTTTACTTTTTGGTGCAGGAGAGTCTTCGTCTGATTTCAGTGCGCGACGGTCGGTAAAATGTCGCTCTGCTGGTCGCATCGGCTCGTTATCAGAATCTGAGTCCTCGATGACGATTCTTTTGTATTTGCCTTAAATTTAATTGTGAGAAATTCTTTCTGAAAAGAGGATAAACTTACGTTTACGCAGTTTTTTGATGCCGTTCGTGATGTCCTTTGCCGTTGGTGCTGATGAGTCTCTTTTGAATCGCTGAGCAACAGCTTTAAAATTATATCAGAATGGGTTTTTTTTCTCTTTATAATTTACCGATAATATCTTCAAGGTCCTTCTTGATTTTTTCTTCCCTTTCAGCGGCAAGCAAGTTCTGTACAGCTAGATCGGATTCATTGACGCAATCGTCATTAATGAACTCTTTGTCGGCTTCGGTCGGTTCATCCTCTATAGAAGGAAAATGCAAATTTAAAAGTCTAAAATGCTTACCAGACTCCTTTTCCTCAAAGCAAAGGTGATTTTTGTCCCCACAAAAATCGTCGTTTTCTTCCTTGATTTTTGAAGGTAATAAATTCTTGCGTATGAAGTAACTGTTCGGCCCGATTCGTTGTTTTCCATCGTCAGAGTCGCTTTGAACAGACACAGAACTCTCGTCGCTGCTGTCACGACCTGCTTCGAAGTCAGCACTTGAGAAAATTACTTCTCCGTCAAAAGCTGCGTCTGGGATTTCAATCCTGACGAAATTGGTCGTTTCAATTTTAACTGCATGTTGTCTTGCCAGCGGTGGTTTTTCGGATTCATCCGATGGCTCATCTTTGATTTTCCCACAAGTTCCCTTGCAAGTTTCGATCGAGCAGATTTCAGGGCAAATATCTTCATCGCTCGACTCGCTGCTTGTGTCAGTGTCACTGACGTCTTCGCAGTCAGTGTGTTGGAAGCCTGGGTTGATTTTGAAGTAGTTATCGCAGCCTTCAATACATCCATAATGATGGCAAATGTCGCAAAATTCTTCTAATGGCTCTTCAGCAGAATTGATCCGATCTTCATGTTCATCAGAGCAGTCGCCGGAGTCCGAAGGGATATCGCTGATCATAGTTTCGTCTGAATCGTGACTAGATTCTCCGCATCTGGTCGTCGAGATTTCGCTGCATTTTTTTTCTCCCGTCAGTTCTTCTGTCGCGTCAGATTGAGCTTTTTTGTTGTCTTCACAGGAGGAATTGCTCGGTTTGTTCGTGTCTTTGGATAGGTTGAAGTCCTCGTAAATTTTCTTCAGGATATTCATTTTTTCCTCCGATTCCTTACGCTGCATCTCTTTTCGGCTATCGAAGATTTGATTGAGTCTGTATGACGTTGTCGCTTTGTAGTGGCGATCCTGTCTCAATTTGAAGACTGATGCATTTGAGTAGATTGAGGTTGCTCCAAACCAACTGTCTCGATTCTTCTTTGTGTAGCCCGGATGTTCCGAATCGCTTCTTATTTGTTTCACGCGAAACGATGCTTCCAGGGCTTTGTTTGTCAGCATGCCAGTAATTCTTGTTTCCGAAGTATTACTCTCACTAGAAAAAGAATAAGCGTCTACTCAAAGTTTCAAATCTTAAACTTACATGACGCGGAGAAGATCTTTGAAATCACCTTGATCGATTTGTAGTTTTGTCTGATGTGCAGCATTTATATCGCCAGACATTGGTGAGACCCACAGGTCTTTGATATTGAATTGATGAATTTGGGCGTTGCACATAGAACCATCAATTATGGCGTACTTGTAAATTTCTTCACTATTAAGCAGCGTCTCGAATCGACTTGTTTTCAAAAAAAATATGGACGACTCGTTAGTCGTATCAAGAATATGAATGCGAAGGTTGTCTTGCTTGCATTTTACATATCGAAGGGACTCGCCAAAAATGAAAGAGGACGATTTTATTTCGTCGAGAAGCCAGTCTGGACGTTTATTGAAATCGCGGACTTTTATCTGCAATATAATGATACTTTTGTCGATGTTAGTGAGGTAAACTGATAACAACCAGTACCTAAAAATATAATCAGTTGTTGACTGTAAAACAACTTAGTTAAAATCCTTATTTACGAAATTAACCAGCTAAATTGCTTTAATTGCATATAGCTAAAAGAATCATCAAGAAATTGCTTATCAAATTTCGACGCGTTGTTTGATTTCGACTTACGGGGATATGTCGTCCTCTTTGATGTTATCAGCGAGCTCGAACTCGCCAATTTTGGCAAGTAGAATTGATAATTTGTGATAGGACTTTTGAAGGCGAAACTTCAAGTCTGAATCGCTTAGAAAAATGTGCCGATGCGACATTCTCTTTCTCTCGTGCGATGAGTGTCCTGTGAAAATTCTTTTTATATCAGTTAGTGGCGCAAGAGAGAAGAAAAATTCTTTCGAATTTTCATTTATTGAAAATCACGACCGTTAAAAATAAACAATTCAAATAACATTTTTGTCAGAAAATGTCCTGGAAGCGAAAGTTGTAAGTAAAGAGATATAATAAATAATAATTTTCTTAATAATTAACAAATTTCTTCAGCGCGCCTAAGCCCGAGCCGCCTGTCGCGGCGGCTCCCTTCGAGCCTGAGACCTCTCCAATGGACTCTGACTTTGAAGGAGCAGGCGACGGTTTATTGGAGGAAGTCATTACGCAGGACCCTCCGACAAGGCTCTACCCAGTCCTTGATCATGAAGGTAGGCTTAAGACAAGATTCGAATTTTATCAAATTAAACTATAGACGAAACCGTCGTGGGACCGACAGACGAAACCGTCGTGGTACCACCAAACGAATCTGTTGCCATCCCTGAGAACGGCGAGATGATCATCCAGAATCAAACGTCACTGACTAAGACATTCGGGCTTGGAGCGGCGTTTGCAGCGGGTGCTATCACAGCATCGATCTTCCTCTGCTACCTCTACCGTTGGGCCCACCAACAGCAATCCCCGCTTGCGGTAAGAGATATTTAATTACGCGTCTTTTTATTTATTTTTAACGCTAGATTTTTAATCGAGCACGAGAAAGAATTGGCGAGCTTCAGGAGGAGCCGCAGCAAATAAAAACAGGTGATTTACTTAGCGTCCTTTTTTTTCTATTTAACCATCAGAAAACCCACTCCCTTTGACAAATCGCCAAGATGAGGAAGTAACCAATGACGCCGAGCGCTTCTACAGCTTCCAGGTCACAAAATTTCGATAATGAATTTATACTCAAAAAATTACTTTTAGCAAAGCTTCGCCGAGGAGCATGAGCTCGCATCAATCACTCCACTCCCGGAAATAACCGAAGATGAGCTTGATCCGGTCGAAGATATTGTCGTCAATATGAACGAGCTTTCTTTACAAGGTAGAAAATAATGACTCGTTTTTTTCTTTCTTCGATTTTTTATATTTTTTAGAATCAAAAGAAGAAGCCGAAGATATCCAAGCGCCCGCGCAGCCATCTGTCGCAACTCCGCAGCCAAATGAAGGTTTGATAATAAGGGATTTTTATGTGATTTTAACCGGATAATCAAGAACCAGCTCTACAGGTCGATGAGCACTCTGTCTCGCACCCAACTCCCGAAATGATGCAGCAGATTCTTCAAGGTAATGAAAAAAAAAACAATAAAAGTTATCTTAAATAATCTTCTTAGACCAAGTGGCTCAGCAGCTTCCGCCGCCCGCCCCCATATCAGAGAGCACTCCTCTTCCAGTTCGACCAACTCGAAGAAGCAGCCGAAATGCAAAGGCACGAGTTTTCAAGGGAAAATATCCAAAATAAGAAGCATTTCTGTTCCTTATCCTTCTCCCTATTCTAGCGACGCCCGAATAAAATAATCATTGATAGAAAAATCACTTTGTGTATTTCCTTTGTGTCAATAAAAAGGTTCTTGCAGACATTTTGAAAGCCTAGATTTCCTTGTTTGCCGATCAAAAGGAATAAGAAAAATATCGGATTATTCTCCAGTATTGTTTGCCTTTCTACTTTGTTGACGCGAGCCAGATCTCTTTCACGCTTGTTTTTACAAAAAGGTGTCGAATCGATACAGAAGATTTTGTGTATTCAAAGGGATAACATCCGACTTTCATTATTCGCTGATTGCTTGGTTGGCTTTTAATCAAAAAGCTTGGTATCCGGTCAGATATAAAAAGTCCCGGCTCATCCGATTTCGTTTACTCATTTTTATCAAAAATGAAAAATGTCGAGGGCAAAACAATCTTATAAATTTTTAGTAGAAAAAGATTCAAATTTTCATGAGATAGTGCGTCTTGGAATCGCAGTTTGCTCGTACGAGAGAAAAATAAATTGGAGAGTTTTGAAGGAACTGAAGAATCAAATAAGAACAACTTGTGACTACTACGGTATACCACAAGATGCTTATGAAAATATCTGCGAAGGATTAAAACTAAAAATTCCAATGTTCGAATATTCAAATAGACTTTTTTAATCCAACCCAGCGTGGCTAATATGCCGATTTACGAGGAAAAATACAATATTCATGTATTGATCTATGATTTGGGCGTAAACAACTGTTTATCAAATGACAGGTATGAACGATTTACCAATGACAAATCCGGTGAAAAATTAGTCTCGTCGGATATCAAACAGAAAACATAAAAAACGGACGAACTGAGCTCCGACTTACGACCCGATCCTTCGATCCCGAGAAATTCGGAATATTTGAAATTTTGGCAGACCCAAGTATAACTCAAATAGAGATGATACCAAAGGCGCTACGACTCGTCAACATTTTTGAGGCTGTCGCGCTTGTAAAGTACAAAACATCGAATGAGAACATGGCTGAAAAAATCGAAGAGCTAATAAAAAGCTTTGGAATGTCGATTATTGGAGAGGAGGACTTGATCAAATTCAGAGGTTTATTTTTTTTTAAATTTACTCTAAGAAAACAGTATTTATTTAGATCATTTCGAAATTGGCTTAGAAATTTGGTCAAGGACTAATCAAGGCAATCAAATTGGCCGCCAGATTAGCAGAGTGAAACTATTTACTCTTCTTGGAAGCCCAATGATAAAACTGGAAATGATCGGGCAAACACTTTATTTCAACAAGGAAACAAGGATGACCTTGATAAATGGAAAATTCAACACACACAGTTGTCCGATAAAAAATTGTGCCTTCGAGACAACACAACGGTGGGGATTTCGTCGACATGTTGACACGTGCAGAGGCGAAAGTGTCACGGTGCATAAGCAAAAAGTCTACGGCAATGTCGTCGACGAAGACGTGGAGTTTTTAAAGACTTCGGGATTTATTCCAGACCGTCACAAGACACGATTCATTGCTTTTGATATCGAATCCAACAACATGAAAGAGGGCTACGACCAGCAATCAAAGATAATAGGTCATTTCGAGCTTCTTTCCATCGGAATCGTTACTACGCAGAATAAAGAGCTCTTCATAAAACGGAAGGGGGATGAACATGATGATCTGACTGATCTGATCGGGCAATTTTGGGCAGCACTTAAACATTGCCAAAGGAAAATTGAAGAAACTCTTCCCGATGAAATAATCAGAGGAAAAGAATTTGTTTTGGAAAAACTCGCAGATACTACAAATATGGACGTCAAAGAAAAATCATCCTGGAAGCGCCGGCTACGCATTCTGGAAAGCTACAGTAATCTCACTGTTTACTCTTGGGTATGCTTTATTTGAAAATTATATTGTCTTATCATATTTATTCTAGTACGGAGAAAAATTCGATCACAACTGTATTATTGGACCACTTGTCGAGTATCTGGCCTCGCATTACGAGGAGGACTTTAATTCACATGATGTTATTCAACGAGGACGCGGATATATGCTCCTCAGATTTGGAAAAATTGTCTTCAAGGATTTCTTCAATTTTTCGTCGGGCAAGCTAGAAGAATTTGCAGCCAGCGTCGGAGTAAAGGATCTCTCAAAAATGACGTATCCATACGAGCTTTTCCAGTCAGCAACAGAACCTGAACTTTGGACCACTTTTCCAGATTACACACTTTTTCGATCGTCTACGTACATGCCATCGGATAAATTTGTAAACGAGGCAAATATGAAAATTGAGGAGCTCAGCAAGATACCCAATATACGACCGCTCAACGTTTTTGCAAAACTTCTTCAAATACCTCGTGACCTACTTCTCCCATTTTGGAATGCGGCGGAAAAGAAGTTTTGTAAGTCTGATGAGGCTCAAATGTTCTTCCACACAAGTATCGACAAGTATACGGCTTCAAGAGAGTATTTCGACGATAAATGCAAATCGATGGTAGATTTTCTGAAAGAATACAACTTACTTGATTGCCGACTCTTATTGAAGAGCATAAATGCGTATGCAGAAGGCTTCTTGCAAGAATATGGAATTGACATTCACAAAAAACTCTCTCTGCCCGGTCTAGCTCAGCAGATCGCATTCGATAAATATGACCCTGACTGTCAAAATATTTATTCGATCCCAGTTCCTGAATTAAAAAACGACGTGAGAAAGCATTTGAATGGTGGCATATGCTGCGTTCAACATCGTCTGCTAGCAATAAACTCAGAAGACCAAACTCTACCGGAAGCCGCGCGCCGAGCCCCAAACGGAAAAAAAATAATGTTTATTGATCAACAAGATATGAACTCTCTCTACCCGTTTACACTTCAAAATGATCTTCCAACTGGGCCTGGCTTTCACCTCAAGAAAATTCGAAAGAAGTTCAAACTTTTTTCAATGGATCGAACACAGACACATGTCTCGGTCGAATCGATTCAGTGGCTGGAGTTTTTTGCGCATTCAACTGGCTTAAATGTCATCCATGCCTTCAATAAAGGTGAAAAGAAAATCGGCACCTATTTTCTGGATGGCTATGCAGTCAAAAATGGCCAAGCAATTGGACTCGACTACAATGGTTGTCGATATCATCGCTGTCCAAATCCGGAGTGCAAAGTCGAACGTCCGATGCAAAAAGAGTCTGAGAAACGGCTTCAATTTTTGACTAGCGACGAATCGGGATTAGATTTGTATCTCACGATCTCTGGCTGCCAGTGGGCTGCCCAGCTTAGCACCCTGCGTGAATTAGGCTATGAATTCCCAAGGAACTGGTCAAAACTGCAGATTTAAGGGTTTTTGTTTATTCTTTTGTTTGATCAAAAAATAGGCCGAAGTATTGTCCATATTTGTTTGATGAGAACATAACATTTCACAGTCTTCTAGACTCGATAGAATCCAATGAACCTTACGGATTCTTTAAAGTCGATATTCGAACTCCTGAAGATAGGATCAAGGATCTTCTGAAATTTCCTCCGATATTCAAGAAAACGATTGTTACGGAAGATATGGTCAATGAAAAAATGAGACACGGAAAGTTTCCGAGAGAGGTGAACACTATGTGCTTTCACGCTGATGGCATTTTGCTGACTACGAACCTTTTGCAATTCTACCTGGATCTCGGTTTAGAAGGTGATTAATCTCGTTTCTGAGAAAGTGAAAATCTATAATTTACATATTTAGTTACGCAAATTCATTATGGCGTTTTGTATAACAAGGAAAAGCCGTTTGGAAAATTTATTAAAGATGTTGTCAGCCGGCGAGTCCACTACTCGAAGCCAGATACAAAAAATGATGTCGCAGCAAACCGAGCTAAGCTGATCATGTCATCTGCAATTGGAAAATTCGGGGAAAACCCAGAAAAGCGAGACAAAGTCCAATTTTTACCATTGGAGAAACTCTGGTTTCAAATGCGAAAACCTCATTTTATTGGATACGAGGTCATGGACGCAGAAGGCGACACAAATATCGTGAATATCAAACAAAAACGAAAGCGAATCAAGGATGATCTTGCAACCCATATGAACGGATAAAAGAAAATTTCTAATTAAAATCTATTTTTTCCCTAGAAAATGATTTATCCATTTTCAAAGCTCTCTCTTTGGTTCGAAAGACTTATTTTTCTTATCATAATCAGAATTTTAGTCTATCAAGAAAGTAAGCTGCATATGTATAAATTCATCCATATTATTTTCGAATTCCTTGTTGAAGGATCCTACGTTCTCTCATATATCGGTAAAACTTCTTTTTGACTCATCAAACAAATTTTTTGAAGACACCGACTCAGTGATGTTCGGTCTCACGCAAGGCAGCTTTAGGGATTGTGTTAAGCCGGAACTAGTCGCCAGGTGGGACACTGAAATAGTGCCGAATTGGTTCGTCGACGATACGATCGAGAGCAAAAGAAAACCTGGACTACTCAAAAGTGAAAAGTCAGCAAACTCTGGTGTCTTTGTTGGTTTATCAAGCAAGGTAAATAAAATAATATCTTTTGAAATATCTTTATTTAAAAAGTGCTACATCTTTGATGACGGAACAAAAATTAAAAAATCGACAAAAGGGACTAGCAGAGAATACAAGGGTAGGAGTTAATTTCTCTCTATTATCTACGCTTTTTTTTCTAGTCAGCTCTAAAGAGTTTATCAGCTGCCTTCTGGATCAAGAGCGATTCGAAGTGGATTCTGTTCAAATAACTAAGTGTGACAGAAGAATGGTGATGAGAAAAATACGCAAGAAGGCCTTGAACTCAGGAAATGACCGATATAAAATTATAATATATTAATGTTAGAAAGAACTGGATCCCGGTCTCTTTTTAAGACTACATCAAAAGCTTCGTTCATACCGATTTAGTCACTGTTTCACCACTGATGAAAGATGGATTGTACATCTGACAAATTGAAAATAAACTTGATTGATTGTTTGATAACACCGCTTATTAGTCTTTAAATTTGTGCAAGACCAGCTGAAAGCGGCAGGTGATATTGCGCCCTCCCTTCCGATATTTTTGGCGCCATCTTTGAATGAGTGGCCCATATAATGGCCAATTCTAGGAGGAAATATTCAAAATAGAAAAATGCCTAAACAGCAAAAGAAGAGCTTTCAAGAAATTTGCCTTGAGCTTGATCTTCAAACTCTTAAGGAGTATGCCGAAGGAAGACGTGACGGTGAGAGGGTACCCAGAGGAAAAATGAGAGCCGCCCAAGCAGAGCTGGCTGTGAGAATGATGTGCAAACAAGAAAGAATCGAGGAGACAGAACCATACTCGCCGTACTATACAGACAAACGGACGTGGTCAAAACAGCCGAGCCCGAATTTCGACAAACGCCTAGAAGAGATGACCCACAACGAACGAGAACAGCTCATGGAGCCCTACCGAGACGCTGCTGCCACGATAAGAAATCTACAACGACCAGAAATATTTCGAAAGGATGACGACCCGCTCGAGCAACTGGCGAATGATCATCACTACATCAAGATGGTCCACGATCATGCGGCCTTCTCCAAATGGTAGAGATAGAAGCCACAAAAAAAATTAAAAACTGCCTGTAAACTCAAAAAAAAATATAAAATTCTTGTCAAAAACCCAAAAAAAAAATAAAAAAATCCAAAAGGCCAAAATCACTTTTTGTCGTTTATTTATTGACTTCGAAAGCAGGATTTAATGAGTCGCAATATTCGATAAAAAAAACTTTTTTTTTCTTCTTTCAGTTTTTCCAAATTTTTCAAATAAGTGATACTTATATCAATATCTTTTTGAAGGTATAAGGTTAGAAAATCTAAACAAAAGGCGTGGTCTTTTTTTGAGCAGGAATTTTCAGAAAGAGCATTCTTTACCGCGTCATAAAAAGTCAGCAAGTTAAAAATGTGAGATCGTAGTAATTCAGTTTCATCAATTGTCTCTATGACAGAGTAAAAATGTTTGAAAAGGTCACAGATGGTCAGAACAACCCAGTTTATCACATTTGAATCATCCTTTTGAAGATATTCGGACAGATTTTTACTCAAAAAATCGTATGAAGTAACGCCCGCGATGGCATGCCGGTCTTTGTTGTTGTCAATGTGTCGATCAAAGATATAAATTTTAGGGTTGCTTGCTCGAAAGTCGGCAATCTCATCGTAGACTGAAAAGATAAAAGAAAACTTTTTAAAATTGCTAATTCTACCTTTTTGGTATCTCTCTTTGGTTTCATCATCTATGTGTCCCAAAAAAACTTGGTGAATAAAAAAGTGTGCGAATTGGGGAATCGTCATTGAAATGTCCTACAAAGAGTAAAAAAATGATCTCTTTTGTTAATATATATTCTAAAGAAAGCTGCGCCACCTTGTGTCTTTTGTTTGATCTGGCGCTCTTTTAAATAAAATAAATTGAATCAGAATAAAGTGATCTGTATTGTGCGCACAAGAGACAAGTTCAAGTTGAAATAATGTTTTCTTTTACAAAGGCTTCTAGCGTCGATTCAATGGGCTACAAGGAATGCAAAGTTTTGCACATTCAGCCGCTAAGTAATACCAAAAACGGCCTTGAGTTCCTTCTCACACAACAAAAAAGATATCTGAAGCTTGCCGACTCAGCGCTCGCCTTCAGTGTTGATTTACCGGACAACTATGTGCCGGATAACGATTTTTGTAATAAACTTTTTGAAAATATCGTGCTTGATATTGACCAAGACACAGTTTCAAAGAGAGGATCCGAATTCGACAATTGTATGAGTAGCTTTTTTCTCAATAAATCTATGTTTGACGAAAATTACATGGAGAACACAATGGCAACTCAAGGTGTTTACGATGTTTTCAACGACGATGCTGAGAAATTCGATGGAACGCAAATTGCGATCAGGCAGAATATGTGTACTGAGATAAAAAAAGAAGTTGATGGTAATACGCAAAGATGGCTGCGCTATGACTTTATTTTACCACTGAATCATGGCATTGCGAGAACTTACCAACCTCTTCCAGCAAATACGGAAATCCGCCTCAAATACCAGAGAGCACCAGCATCTTTTTCAATTATGAAAATAAAAGAGAATGTGACGGTTCTCGATAATCCAAATCTAGCATCCATCCCGTTCAATTTCACTGACCCAGTTGTTACCATTGTCAAGCCAGTTTTCCGAGCAATGTACCTGAAAAGCGACGAACTCGACAATAAGATGAGAGGATACGCCCAATATCCATTCGAAATGCCTTTTCTTGACTATGTCGTCCGAAAACCTGTCCTCAACGATCATGAATCCGACTTTCTTATCGATCTCACAAAGGGAAAGATGCCATCATATGCGGTCTTTGCAATTTGTCCGATCACGCGCTTAAACGGTTCAGATACCGAGTGCATAACAAAATTTACCCGTCATAAGCTCAAAAGCTTTGAGATTCTTCTCGACAATGTCAAAGTTGAAGGCTTTCCTTTGGTAACGGACACCGACTTCTATCACAACTTTTTGACCGCGACCGATCGCTATATGAATCCTTGGAGCTCGGGCGTTTTACCAATTCATCAATTCAAAGATGGAAATTTCATCATTGTTGTCAATTTCGAACAACTGGAGAGAATTGAAGGAACAACCTTCATTCATGCAAAACTCAGCTTTACCGAACCTCTTGACGATAAATTTGTTCTGCTATATATGCCGATCACTCAGAGATCACTGACAATTTCTCCTGATGGCGACGTTACTGTTGATTAATATTAACTGCAAATAAACTCTTATCATCAGTGATATTCCTGTTTTATTGATTTAAAGAAATTTTTAATAATTTGAGAATTTGCATGTTGGTCTTTGGTAAAGAGAAAGAGAAAGGAAGAAAGATCGTTGCCGCATTGAAGTCGCCAGTATAAAAAACAGATACAATACTGCCCGCAGTTCGAGGTTGTTGCTGATTGAATACGGGGGGATGCGTGCAGAATTTTTTTGTGCAGATGTGTTTGGAGAAATTTTTGAAGAAAAAGAAATGTTGAGTTAGTGACGCATCCGAGCGGATCAAAAAGCTCTATATAATCGTCTGCTAAGTAGACCACAAGCCAGTGCTCTTCATGGTAAACCAAAAATCCGATTGGAAATCCAAGCACTGCTATTTTGGCCAAGTCGTTAGCAAAAAATATTCCGCCGAAATTGGGAAGGTCTTTAACATACTTTTCTGCACAAAACAAGGATATCAGTCTTTAAGTTCGTTTCTTTGAATTTTTGTTATCTCGTTTCTTCCTGCTTCCATTTTTACTCTTCTTTTTTTTACCAGTTGATTTTCTTTTTCCTTTTCCACGGAGTCGTTTCGGAACAAATCTTAATTTATTTTTGCAAATACCTCTGCGTCTCATATTTTCAGTCTAATACGAAAGATAATTATAATTTAACTGTGACATATAATAATGACTAAGAATGAGTTATAAAAGAATTGATCACGCTTGATCCTGATTCCGAGAACAAAAGAGAAACAGCTATTGTTTAAAAAGACGACTTCCGTTGCAGGTGTTTCATTGTTCTGATTCGGGGGAAGTCGATTTTTAACGCGCCTTTGTTATTCCCATGTCGAGTCGCGCTCTTTATTATCATAGATTTTTAATGTTAGGCTTGCGTACATAACGTCTTCCGAAAACCTAGAAACAAAAATCTTCATATGGAAAAATCGAAAATATCTACTTAAGCTCAATGATGCGGAATTCTCTCGCTTCCATTTGCCATCTGTCGTCTGAATATAGCCCGTGGCCATGATAAATGTCCCCAAGACACCCATCGGGGTTTTTCCAATTGTCGTGAATAAGATTACAGCAAACTCTGATCGGTCGTTCAGTTATATTGCTACGAACCGCGTAGTTAGCGAGAGAAACATATTTTCCATTAACCGGCTGGGGTAAACTCCAACGGAGAACCATTTCATCATTTTTATAGTAAGCCCCGAGATAGTACTCTGAGGTCGTGGACAAGAAAAGTGATTGCGAATACATATCTAAAAGAAAAAATGAAAAACGGATATTTTTATCTTTTCCTCGCGACTAAGTTCAGCTCTTTCTCATAAAAAATATCTTTTTGAACAGTAGAATCTCTCTTCAACTTAAAATAGCAAACGGGCCCAGAGCGGTACACTCTCGAAATCGTGTATATTTCTTTTGACCATCTCGCGTGGATTCCTTTTCGAAATGTTTCCTTTGCCTTTGATATTTCTAGAGGAATACGCACTTGATCACCTTCAGCAAATTTACAAATTGCTAGAGAGTATGGCTTTGAATTATACAGCTTTTCATAGATTTCATGCCAGTTGTCAGAATTAATATCATCAGGCCGCATCCCAGTCGTTCGATTAACTGTCTTATTAAGCGCATTTGAAAAGTCTTGAAGATTGTCCACCCAGCGCTCGGTATTATTTTCCATAAAAAACCGTTGAATTCTTGCACCAAGCGATTGGCTTGAAAAAAAATTAGCGTTTGCGTTTTAGGGGTTTAAGTATACTTGAATCTTTCAATAATGGCCCCTTTGAGCCCAGCGAGCCGAAACTCGACCATTCCATATTTATCAACAACGATTCTTCTCACAGCTTTGTTAATAAGTTCTGTTCCTATATCTGTCGCGATTGTCCGTGGTTTTTCTGGCATAGAAGTTATTATTTCATCAAGCGCCGCTGCTGTTTCATCCCCTTCTTTTGTTTTTAACGGAGCAACCCAGTTTTTGCGTGAAAAACAGTCAATAACTGTCAAAATATATTTATATCCACTATTTTTCTTTGAATATCGGAGCATGAACCTTTTGCAGGGCTTAAAAGAAGACAAGGATAATTGATTCATATTTTTTATTCCGTTTAAAGCCCGAAAATAGTGTCGACTTGAATTGCAGTGAAGGGGCCATTCACGCGTGTACGTCGGCGAGGAAATTTTTTAACTCTTTTACGATGTCGAGAAATAGCTTCGTTTTCGAGAAGGAATTTTTGTATATCCCCAGAATAAGCAGAAGGATATTTAAAATTCGTAAAAAGATCTTTAGCACTCGTTTCCACTTGACGTGTCTGAGTCGCTTGATTCGGCTGAGGAACCTTCGGTTGAGCTTCCTGCTGACTCTTCTCCGTCGTCTTTTCGGTTGATTTCGTCTGTCTCTCTTTCTCCGGTGCTGATCTTTGGACATTCCTTTGATTCCGCTTCTGATTCTGAGGCAGAGCTTTCTGAACTAATGGAAATCTTTCTTTTCTTCTTTTTTGAGTTTGATTTGGTGCTGCTTTTCCGTTTTTGATTTGATTTCTTGTCCTCAGAGAGAGATTCTTCAAGTTTTCCTGCTGGCTTCTTAGTTTCATTCAGAAGAATTTTCTCTTTGAGATTACCGACAAATGTCGATCCTAACTTGGTTGAAGAAACACAGTGTCGCTTTATGTCAGCTAGATCGAAAATTATTTTTCGACCCATTTCTCAATATCAATTTATAATTCTATTTATTCTCCAGGCTTCATTTTTATGAAAAGATCAGGCGCGCCGCCAAGCGGCTTTTAATTATTCTGAAAATATATTCTGACTCATTTAAACAATGGAGTTTTTAGGCGCGACAGATTCTGCCGCTTTTTATCAAAATACTCAAACGTTTTTTATTGAAGCCAAGGTCATAAAGGTGACAGAGGAATCCCCACATCTATCCGAGAAAGCAAAAATTCTGACAAAGCAATCGATCAAATTTACACCGAAAAATCCTGAAGATTACAACTGGCTAGCGACTTGGCCTTATATCGCCGTAAAGATTTGCAGAGTTGAAGAGAAAAGAGGTTTCAATATCAAGCCAGGCAAAACAGAGAATTTGATAGCGATATCAATTGAAAAATGCGAACTATCCAAGGTCGAATCATTAAGGGAACCAAATTCCATCATCCAGCATCAATAATGATTGCTGGCAGTACCGGAACCGGAAAAACATTTATGACGGAGAAACTTATCAAAAACAATCATTTTTCAAAACGTATTCGACATGTTTTTTACTATGGAGCTATTGGAAACTGCAACTTGGATTGGGACAAAAATATACCTGACTCGGTTCGCGTGTATATTCAAGAAGGACTACCAACAACAAAGGATTTTCTGAACATCCCAAAGCGATCTCTCGTCGTAATTGACGATCAGTTTAGCGAAGCGATCGAATCAGAGGCGGTGGCTAACGCTTTTAAGGTCTACCGTCGTAATAAGAAATTTTCATTAATCCTGATTACTCAAAATGTTTATGAAAAAGGAAAACACGCAAAAACTATTCGTAATAATACAGAAATATTCATTCTTTTTAAAAATTACGGAGATCGTGAGCAAAACAAACGACTTGCGAAGCAACTCGGCATGAAAAAACGATACGAGCAGTGCATGAAAGATTTCACTCGAACAAATGATGACAAACACAGCTACGCAATTTTAAATGCTTCACTTCATTGCGAAGATGACGATCTCAGATGCATTACTGGCATAAACCGAGAGTTTTCAAATATTGATCCACCGAATTTTCCAATATGCTACACGGAATAAAAGATAAATTCTTCATACTTTGTTTTTGAATACTTTATTTTCCCTAAACAGTAAAGATATGACTAAAAATTTGAGAGAGAGAAAAAAATGAGAGCATGATATAATTTGAGTGGAATCTAGATCTAAGGAAAGTGAATGAGAGGAAATTTCTGTTTGAAATCAGTGTTGGATATCGAATCGTTTGCGCATCCAGGGAGTTGTGTATGCGAGCCCACGTCGAATGGGGAGTCGTTGACCAAGAAAGTGCTCTAAAATATAGGGTTGATATTATAGACGGTATTTTTGCTCACCATGAATTTTGTCTGCAAGCTCCTGTAGGTAGCGATCGAGCTCGCCAAGAAGAGCACGCTTCAGGGTGACGATAAATGAATTCACTTGAGCTGAGTCGCCATGACTCACTGATCCAATAATCATATAACCAACAGAAACAACATAATTATAATCGTAGAAGCCCATTAAGACAGTAAATTTACTGTCTCGTCTAGTGTCGAGACGTCTGCGATACTCCAAAAAAAGTTTCGTTACAAGTTGAGCATCGTCAATTAGACCGGAGATGTGTTCAGCGAGAAGCTCCTGCGCAAGATCAGCTGCCCATTTCTCATCGGGTAAAAGCACCTCTTCCGTAGCTTCCTCTGAGACGACCATGTTAGAAGCAACCGCATTTTTTATGTTACGAATCGCTTTTTCTTCAGCGCCTGTCATTTCCTCTTTGCTAAGGCCAGCAAAATGAACAGCGAGGCGACGGAAGTAAAGGTTGTCTCTCAAGGGCATCATATTTTCAACTTGTCAAATTTTTTGGAATGGGATACTTTTTCAAAATCGACAGCGCTTATATACTCCGACACAATAATATTTTCGAACTTCTAACAAAGGAAAATATGGATCGGTCTTTTATAGCGACATTTTTATTTCATACCATTGTTCGTGCGCGCGCGCACTTCCGCCGCGCTCTTTTCTTTTCGAGCCCGCAGCGAGCATGAATGAGAGCGAGTATTTTTCGAGGCGCGCGTTTTCTAACAAAGCACGTTTTCATACAAAGCACGTTTTCTTTGAACGCATATTTTCAAAGCGGTGAATTCTCAACACAAGAAGTTTTCAAGAAAACTAATTTCCAAGGATAGTTCATTCTCAGGATATGAAAATTTCTGATTAAAATATTTTTCACTCGAAATATTCAAATTTTGCTTTGCATCAAAGGATTAAAAACACAGAGTTTTTTTTTTCTTTTTTTTCTATTTTATTTCTTGGAATGAGATTGAGTATGTGTAATAGCAGATGAAAACTGAGTTATCAAACAAAATAAGCGATAGAAGCAGAAAATCCGGATTGTTTTTGTACTGAAGAAAATTTTTTTTGTTTTTTTTTTTGGTAAGGGCTAACGCATGTGTGAAAAAGAATAAAACTGAGCGACGAAAACGAGATAAGCTGAAGATGTTAAAGATAAAAAGGTTTTGAGTGGAATAGAAGTTGAAAAATTCGTCTGTGTTGTGCAAGAAAGCAAATTGAAAAAAGAGAAAACGCGCACCTGTTGGTTCATTTTCTTCTGATTAGTTGCCAGAGTAGAGGCGCTTCGGGTTGAATGCCAGGTCGCCCTCATCGTCGATTTCGACGGCGATTACGCAGGATTCGAATTGAATTTTCATGTTGGGTGTTCTCTCCCAGTCGCAGTGAAAAATGAAGTCCTCGCTTGATACGACGAAGATCGTGTCATGTTGGGTTTCGAGGGCAGCAAGCGGAGTAACGTCCATTCCATCCAAGTAGATTTCATCTTCGCTGCCAATTGTCACTTCGAACCTGTCCGGATTTTCCATTCCACCGACAAATCGTAGAAGTTGTGCTTTACCATCATTCGATGCCGAGACGACTAGCCAGCCATTGTAGGTCCAGAGCCATGAGTTGTCGACGGACATTGTAGCGATGAGCCTGAGAAATTTTCTGAAGGCGATGATCGGGAAATTTTTGAATTTCTGGACTCTTCTGAATTTCTCGACAGCTTTCGCCTCAATTTCCCGGTATGATGGAGGATCATTGGCTTCGACGTCCATTTTTTTCTTTGGGTTACACAAAAAAAAAGAAGTTTTTGTTTGTGGTGATTTTTCGTTTTTGATTTTGACGGATGCTATCGGGTTTTTATATCAAAATTTGCTGGCGCTGTTTCCTGACGCTATTTTTGCCGTGAATACACAAAATCCGTGACCTAATTAACTATATTCCTAGGTAAATTTGGAGTTCCAGGGTATCTAGGTCGCTGCGGGTGACACCAAAAAAAAACATTTCCTAAGGCGCGTGAACCTGCAAAAATCACGCTTCTCATGTCCAGTCAAAACATTTTATTTGTCCAGAAAGAATCAGAATGATGAGATGTAGAAACAGAATAAACAAATCTTTTTCGGGCGCAGAATTATTGATTCATGACAGTTCCGTTATCGCTTATGTAGAGTTGAGAGCGAGATGCTCAACTAAAAATAGATGTTATTTTTTGAAGAAGAAAAATTTATTACTATCAGGAATCAGATCACTTCGAATAGAGTCTTGGAGAAGGAAGTCGTGTTCTGTAGCTTCATCAATCCAGTTGAGAGCCAGTTTTTCTGGGACATAAATTCGGACTCTACTGCGAGCTTTAAGCCCCACAGCTACGTCAAAAAATTCAGTCACGTCTTTTATGTCGCGAAGAAGAATTGACGGGGAGTTATTCAGTTCATGCCGCAATTTTCGCAATAGTAAAACAAAATGCTGACATTTTGCTTTACTGCAGGTGTGATTGAAAATCATTGCTGAAGCCATCGTGTAATATCTCGGAACTTCATTTTATTAAATAAAAAGATATGAAAGATTTTTACTTACTGTTATCGGGATACTCCGGATTGACTTCAAAAGGAATTGGATTCTCTTCTTTTAATTCTTCAACAAGGAAATCATATCCCATTTGACGTGTCATGTAATATCTGCTGCGTTGATTATCACGTAATTTGAAGACAGCTGCCAAATCCTTACTTTCGGTGATTGCATAAGTTTGACGATTGTTAGTGAAATCAAATAAAATTCTTCTCAGAAATAAAATTCGTTGTTTACAGATCGATTGCTGGCATTCGATTTTCAAATTTGCTTGAATAACGGTAAACGTTTCATCCCCATTTTTTGTGATATGAAGACCAGGTTCGTCAGGATGAAAGGGCTCCTTATAATATGAGTACTCTCCCATATCTACTAGTATATCTCTCATTTTTTCTCAAAAAAGAAAATCCGAAATCGATTGAGGCAACTTAAAGTGAAAGCCTTTCCCTGGGTCCTTATATTTCCAGTTTTCTTAATGGTTGATTTGATTTGTAAGAGCATTGTCCTTGGAACGTAAAAATCGGCCGGAATCGCCGGAATCGCCGAAAACTAAGAAACAATGGGTCTAGGTGGTGACAAAGGTTTATTGAAATATTCGAGGGAAGTATACCGTTGAAAAGAATATTGGTTTCAATTATTCAAAAAGAAGGAAATGAAAAGAGAGATTTTCCCATATAATTTTTTTATCACCAAATGCACGAAGAACCCAAATTGTTATCGAAGCCATCTTCTCGTCCAACTGATTAGAAGCGAGTTTTTCAGAAAAGGATACTTCTCTTTCAAACAAAGATCTGGTTTCTGTGTTCTTTTCTCAGCGCCACTTGACTTCCGCCGTCCGATATATGTGACAGTCGAACGCTCTGACAAAATAGAAAGACTGGATGAAGGCACGAAAGAACGATTCCGACTTTACAAAAATAAAAAATTCCTGAAGGTTGCTATGCCCGCGCGAATTTTCGAACATAACTGTGACTCAAATGTCTGCAAAGATCGGATCAAAGTTCTGAAAAATCTTCGAGTACTGTTCCATTCTGATGCTTATCTCCCTGATATGGTCATTACTTCCGAGAGTGAAATCGGACAACTCTTTGCCGCGGATCTCTGGGACGACCCAAAAACTGTCACTTTCCATGAATAAAGTTTTATACAAAAAATTATGTTGTGTCTGTTTTATGCATTAATATATAAAAAAAATATGCATCAGGATATTGAAATAAGAGCGCCCAAACATAGGGTGTGAACGCAAACAATGGCCGGAATATCGAGCGCGGGGCGCCCGGAGGCTCAAGCGGGGCCACCCTAAAGACAAAAGGATCCATGTTGCTCGGACCCCGGCACTAAATTCTAACTACTCACTGGAAATGGAAGAACTTATTTAGATCATGTCTGGCTTCTTTCAAACGACTTCTGGTCCCGAACGGGAACTTTGAAAGGCGTAAGTTTATTTTTCATCACTTGATCGATCGATGAGTTCGTTGAACTTTTCATTCGCTTTTATTTATTCGCTTTTTAATTTGTTTTGAGGCTATTCAATCGTATTCGTCTCTTCAAATCAACGATTCGATTTTCCTGTTTTCGGGTTATGGAGACTTAAATAACCCTCTTGAAAGAATCGACATTAACGGAGACCAAATACAAAGCTCCGAAATAATTGGGAATCATAGCGGTGGCGAACCAGTACCTGTCTTATTTCACGTCTCCGCTGGATTTTGCACTTAAATATCTACTCGCTTACATCTGTTTCTTGCGTGCATGTTTTTAATAAAAAGAACTGAAAAAATAATATTTACGAAATTTGTTTTTTTAATCTATTTTTTATGAAATTGAATTCTTGAAGGAAAGGATCATTTTTTTCAGGCGAGGATTCAGATTCCGGCAGCAATAAAAAAAATGGGAATTTTGAGAAAAGTTTATGTATTTAACAGACCAAGACCTCGAGTCAGAGACCCTTTAAAATCATGCTTGTATGAGAGATATCCGAGGAAAGCAAGTCCCCCGTAGAAAACAACAACAGATCCGAGGGTGATAATTTCCTTCGTGACAGATTCGTCATCAACGTCTGATTTCTTGTTCGTATTCGGAAATGGTTCATTTGGAATTGGCTTGTTCAGGAAGCGACAGAGTGGTTCCCAGCCTTGTTTAACATTGAAAACTAAGGAATAGAAGAGATTTGAGGGAAACAGGTAGTGTACCTAAAAGTTGGTCTTGCGGAATTTTCGCGATCACGTGATCATTCCATTCTGTGTAGGCGTTTTCGAGGCCTTTTTGCGAAAAGTCATGAGGTTTTCCGAGAAACATTCGCATAATTATTTTACCAAGTTTATGACTAAAAATATGAGCAATTTGACTCAAAAATCGATCTTACCGCGTCTGGAAGCCATGGAATCGGTTTCAACACCCATTCATGAAGCCCAAAAGGAAAGATTTTCTGATGAAGCGGGACATCTCCCCCGGTTTGTCGGACAAAAATCGTCGAGTGAACTGACTTGTACCAGTCCTCCGGCTTGTCTCGGACGGAAAGAAGGACCTTGGCTTTTGGGTTCATTCGCAGAAGATCTTCAAAGAAAGAGCAAGCGGGGTAGTCCGCAGATGATCGGTAGCCTTTTTCGTCGAAGATTTTTCGCAACGCAGCTTCTCGCAGCTCAATTGTTTTTGCTTCTTCGACTTGATTCCAGAGCTCGCCGTGGTTGTGCGCAAAGTTCTGGTTCATGTGATAACATGGGCTGATAGGAAAATTAAAAGAAGGCGAAATAAAAACTCGGTCAAACTTACCCAAGTCCAAGTTTTTCTAACGCCAGCTGAATGCTTGATGTCCCAGTTCTCCCTAAACCGGCTCCAATCACCTCCATTTTTTCTTGTTTCTCGATTTTTTTCTCTAATATTTGTGCTAAAGCGTGATTTTTAATTCAGATAACCGGAAGTGAGTCTAGTGAGAAAAATCTAGGTCAGTTTTCTCTTTATGATTTTTTTATTGAAATGAAAGGATGATGATTTTTCTCAAGATTTTTTTCAAAGAAATTTCTTTGACGAGTCGAGAAGATCGAACAGAGCTTGAATGTCCTGTCGTTGGTTTTTTGCTTTTTGGGATAATTTTTTTGATAATTTTGGGATTACGAAGCTTAATTTTGATAGTCCTTTAGTCATTTTGATATCCGTCTCGTAATCGTTGTTCAATCCATACTCGCCAAAATCTTGTGGAATAGTATCATCGTAAAATTTCCATGCGGTTGTCGTTTGAGCAAGAAGAAGAAAAATTCTCTCAAAGAACATTGTGGAATTTTTTTCACTATAATACAGTGACTGTATACGGCTCTTCAGAATTTGGTGTTCTTTTATACTGCGGGAAATTCACTTTTGCGCTGCATTTTTAAAGGGAAGTTTCAGATTTTCGTGACGGGTGAAAAAAAATTTTTTCTAGTTTTGAGTGGTTTATGAAAGAGTACTAAAAATGAAGCATTTTGGTACCTTTCTCGAGTTCTATCTCTCAGGAATTTCGGAGATATGGCCCTCGAAAAGTTCAAAAACATCAATTCTAATATTATCGATTGTGAGTAATCCACACTATGAATCTTCAAGTTCTTAGTGGATTCTGATTCAGCAGGGTCTGAACCTCTCTGGAATCGAAAAATCGGTCATCCACGATCATAATTATGGCGAGAAATCATCATTTTCTTAGACCCCTATTTTCATAAAGAAAAAACAGTGAGAACCGGCCGAAAATAGGAAAGCGCAGCGACAAAACGGCGTCGAAATCAGGCGCCTAAGATTAAGCTCATCCCATTTTCTAGCCTGATTCCCATTTTTGGGTGGTGCAGCTACAAAACGGCCTCGAAATCAAGCCGGGAAGAAGTTTTCTCATCCCATTTTCTTCCCAATTGGCTAATACCTGTTGATCATCATAATTTTTTAATAACGCGCAGTTTTTAAGTTTGTGGAAGTTTTCTGGTCCACTTTACCCTAAAAATCTGGAACATCATACCGTTGTGGGATCAGCAGAAAATTTTAAGAAATAGAATCTAGAGTAATTTCGGCCCTTTTCACGTGATAACCGCGGACAACTCATATTTGGTAGATATGTTCCTCAGGTGGGGTATGTTAACCTGCCACATTTTGGGCCGCATGCGCAAAGATCACTAATGGTGCGTCAGCGGGTTAGAAATCTTATTTTTTTTCATTTTTTCGAATATTCCTCCATTGAGAAGACCCAAAAATACACAAACACAATGACGCGCTTTTTTTAAGGTTGTGGAAGTTTTCTAGCCCACTTCCGCCATACCGACCATAGAACACCATACCTTTTCTGAATCAGCAGAAAATTTTACATACTTTGACCCTTTAAAATTGGCTGAGCATCATTTTGATAGGTCAGACTTTACCCTATTTACTAAATTTTGTCACTTTCCGGCTCTAGAAATGACCCGGAAGTGACTTTTTGACAATTGCAAACTGTCAATTTTCTTGAAATTTTCTGCTGATCCCACAACGGTATGATGTTCCAGATTTTTAGGGTAAAGTGGACCAGAAAACTTCCACAAACTTAAAAACTGCGCGTTATTAAAAAATTATGATGATCAACAGGTATTAGCCAATTGGGAAGAAAATGGGATGAGAAAACTTCTTCCCGGCTTGATTTCGAGGCCGTTTTGTAGCTGCACCACCCAAAAATGGGAATCAGGCTAGAAAATGGGATGAGCTTAATCTTAGGCGCCTGATTTCGACGCCGTTTTGTCGCTGCGCTTTCCTATTTTCGGCCGGTTCTCACTGTTTTTTTCTTTATGAAAATAGGGGTCTAAGAAAATGATGATTTCTCGCCATAATTATGATCGTGGATGACCGATTTTTCGATTCCAGAGAGGTTCAGACCCTGCTGAATCAGAATCCACTAAGAACTTGAAGATTCATAGTGTGGATTACTCACAATCGATAATATTAGAATTGATGTTTTTGAACTTTTCGAGGGCCATATCTCCGAAATTCCTGAGAGATAGAACTCGAGAAAGGTACCAAAATGCTTCATTTTTAGTACTCTTTCATAAACCACTCAAAACTAGAAAAAATTTTTTTTCACCCGTCACGAAAATCTGAAACTTCCCAAAGCAAAAAATACATTTTCTCACGTGCGAATTGATTGTTCGAGTCCATGTGTTTTCCGCTAGAGGAATTTTTAGCTGGAGAGTTTGAAGATACAGTTATTCTCGTTTATTTGACAATGAACTTTGCAGCGTGAATTTCGTTTATATATTTTTGGAGCGTCATTTTGTTCATTGGATCAGCGTTGTTGAAGTAATCGCCTTTGAGGATAAATCTTTTGCTAAAAAAAAGTCATTTTTTCAAGTGCTCGCAAATTTATCCGTTCCGTAATCAGGTGAAAGCTCTGGAAATTTTCCCTCTGTTGGAATCGTATGGCCCATGAATCCCCAATTATGGCCGCTTGCAAAAGTGATAAAAAGGAGAAAAAACAAAATCATTCAATATTATCTGCCCTGTTTACTCTACAGTAGACTTCTCACGAATCTCTCCTCATCAAATAGAGCCGTGTTTTTATACAAAGATCATGAAAGGTAGAATAATTAATTTGATATTATTCGATGACCGGTAGTAATGCTTACCTTCAATTTTTGACTAGCCTTACACTGTGTTATACAGTACAGTTCAAATCATAGAGTATCAGTTATTCTGGTATAATCAGGTGATCGAAACAGCGAATAATTAATTTATAACATTATCTCATTTTTATTTTTGTCTAAATGATGAGATTAATCATAAAAAATTATCTCCGGAAAAATTGTCCAAGCCAAGTATTCCGTAGTTATGAGTTTGCCGGCTATTGCGAATAATGACGAAAATAATCACGAAACTGCAATTAGCTTAGAATAATTCCAGCAAGACAAGGGCGTCTCCGGAGGAAACAATTATGCTGTCAAGATGAAATACTTTTTGCATCTTCCACTCAATAGTAATTATACGCGTAATTTTATGCAGAACAATAAATATTATAAGAAAGGATCAATTATATTATTGTTGAAAACGCGTTTTTACCGTTTAAAGTTTTGCAGTCGGATCGAGAGATGATTTTCCTCTATTTTTTGCTATTTTTTGATCGGGTAAAAGGATGTTGCAATTTATTCAATGTCGAGTGCCAAGAAACGGGAGCTCTTGTTACACTTGTGAGACGAATTACCCGAGATATAAAACCAGGGATCTTTTTATAGGACTCGAGCTGCCATGAATCCTCGGGAAGTTCGATAGATGCCGATCTACAGAACTTGTTTTTGATCAGTGACGGCCATAACAATACTGTTTCAAACGACTGTGCGCTCTCGCCATCACAAATTCTTCAATACTCAACCTGTTTTGATGATTTTTCTATTGAAGGATCAGGTTGATATTTTTTTATGAGTTCATTATCAGAAATTTTTTAATTAGCGAATTATACGGCGCTTGTCGTGGAATCGATTTCAATCGACGGATCAACTTTGATAACAAACCGAATTGAAGATATTTTCTGTGAACCAACTATTGCCCTCTGGGGTCGGCAGAAAACGACGGAAATGGGGATGAGTGGATTGAGTCCATCCAGGATGGCCCGTTGACCCATCCTTCTCCATTCATCAGCTTTTGTTGGTTTGCCGACCCCAGATTGCCATGAAAACTGATAAGTCGGCATTAATGCTTCGAGATGAAAAAGCTTCTGGAAAAATCCCGATTGTGGCGCCAAATGTGACCTTAAATATCGAAGGTAGAAGGTATCAATCGTAAAGTTTCTTCATTTTTGTTAGGTGGCGACTCAATGGGGTCGTTTGTCAATATTTCAGTTGATGAGAAAACTGCTGATGGTCTTTATAGGTCGGGCTAGCGTCGGTTAATAAGTTATTAAATCAAAATTTAATGCTCAGCCTTACATTTTGTCAAGAACTTGTTGATTGTAATGTTACCTCAGACGGGATTACAGGAAAGCTTCCTAAATTTTTTTTACATCTAAGCATCTTAAAATAGGTGCCCCTTAAAGTTTCAATGCTTCAAAATGGGGTTGTCACTGATGATAGTGTCAAATTGGGAGCGAGTCTTTTGTCTGCTCATATTTTCAGATTCAGGCGATTTTCGACAAAAGTGGATATTGCGACTGCTTTTGATGTCAAGTGCTCTGTTATTTGGAGGGCATCAGCAACTTTGTCAGCGAGTGAATCAAATCTCTTAAATCCGGTAAAAAGTTGAGTTATAATCGATAATTTGAAAAATAATTTAGAGCGAAATATTCATACTCGCTGTTCCGAGCTCGATTTCAGACGCTTACGTGATTTCGGGAGATGGGAATTCAAAAGTTACGGCGACCCTCTATTTGCGCCTATTTTGCTGATTGGTGATTCTTTATAAAAATGCCAAAAATGTCAAAATGGCCTCAAATAGAGGGTCTCCTAAAGTTTCTGCAACAATCACCGCACCAGCTGATGATTATATCAAATATGCACAGCATGCACTAATTGCGAATCAGTTATATATTTTTGGTGGGCTTACGGACTACAGAAAGGTTTGATTATTATTTGCTACTCCAAAAGATCAAGAAACTCTCCTTTTAAATTAATGAAGAAAACCCTTTCAATAATTTTTTGATATTATTTTCAGACATATATCTTAAAAATGACAAAAGCTTTTTTGACTGAAATTTCTAAACTACAAAGGTACGCCGCTCTTTTATCCCTTGAGTTGCTACCGGGACATAACGAAAAAGGCGGCTTATTTATTGAAAATAAATGTTCGTTTCAAAAACCTTAAGATTGCTGTTCTTGATGGATGCAATTTTGTGCAAAAATCTGCGACGCTTTTGAATGATATAGATTGGGGAAGCGCCGCTCTTTCTGTTGACGGCAACTCTCGAGGTAAAAAAGCTTAATTCTTGTCAAAGAGAGTAAGCAAATATCACATTTGAGATTTTGTTTCTAGCCTACATCTGCTTCTCGAATGGAGATAATAAGAACCATTGTGAGATCTTTGATGGAACGTCCTCTATTTCCACGACGTCTTCTAATTATGGGCATTATTATGGAAGTTTAGGGCTGTACAAAAGTCAACCGACCACTGTTGGTTCTTTTAGTTATGGTGACACGAAAAAAGTCGAAACACTCACCAACGATGGATGGAGTGTGATTGGAGATCCTCCAATAAGGTACAAAGAATTATTTTTTCATCGAAATTACTTTAAGCGATATTCGTTCTTCTGTCTTGGTCGGGCTTCAGAGCGGAAATTTACTTATGCTTGGTGGCGCTGGTTCATGGAATGGTAGCACTTCTCAATTGGATCTTGTCTGGCTTCTTTCAAACGATTCATGGTCACAAATTGGAACATTAAAGAGTGTAAGTATAGAAGCAAGCAGCCTAACTTGTTTTCGATTCATAAGATTATGCCATGTATGGTTTTAGGCAATCTCTGCTGCGTCTTCGCTCAAAATCAATGATTCGTTATTTCTCTTCCCTGGTTATGGAGACAGATATATTGAAAGAGTCGATACGGATGGGGATCAACTCAAAACCTCCGAAACACTTTACCAATTTAGCTCTAATCCAGGAACCTTTCCTGCTTTGTTTCAAGTTTCCGCTGGATTCTGCGCTTAGATAACGACTACAAATTTTACCCTAATAAAAGCAAGCAGATCAGCACACTACTTTCTGAAATTAAATATTTTCAAATAGCTCTGACTAAATAAAAAACTAATTTTTATTGAAAATCTTCATTTATTATCTTATTTTTGACAGAAAATGGCATTTTGGTTGCTATTGGCAAGTTTTTTGAACTCTTAAGGACCCCCCCCCCCGTCAACAATTTTGAAAATTTTGAGGAATCCTCAAAAAATCGAAAATTTCAAAACAGCCATATTTTGGCTTCTGAGTATGTTTATAATGTCTGATTGTTTATAATGTCTGATTGTTTATAATGTCCGAATGTTTATAATGTCGTGCAATCGTTAATCTCAGATAATAAATAAAGACGAGATACCGGTAGTTATTATCAAAGAATGATTTGAGCAAGGCGTTTGCGTCTCCGGGGGAAAAATTAAATTGTCAAGATGAAATACATTTTTGCTTCTTTTACACAATAGTAATTATGCGCCTAATTTTATGCAAAACGATAAACAAAATAAGCAAGGATCAATTAAAAACTTATGAAAAACCGCGTTTTTACCGCTTAAAATTTCGCAATCAGATCGAGAGATGATTTGCTTCTTTTTTTTGCTATTTTTTGATCGGGTGAAAGGAAGTTGCAATTTATTCAATGTCGACTGTCAAGAAACAGGAGCTCTTATAACACTGGTGAGAGAAATTACTCGAGGGATTAAACCAGGGATCTATTTACAGGACTCTGCCTGCCATGAATCTTCTGGAAGTTCGATTGATGCGGATCTACAAAATCTGTTCTTGATCAGTGACGGTCATAACAATACTGTTTCAAACGACTGTGCGCTCTCTCCATCGCAACTATTGCAATACTCAACCTGTTTTGATGATTTTTCTGCTAATGGCTCAGGTTGATATTTTTTTTTATGAGTTCTTTGTCGAAAACTTTATAATAAGCGAATTTTACGGCGCTTGTCGTGGAGTCAATTTCAATCGACGGATCAATTTTGATAACTAACAGAATTGAAGAGATTTTTTGCGAACCGACTATTGCCATGAAAACTGATAAGTCGGCATTAATGCTTCGAGGTGAAAAAGCTCCTGGAAAAATCCCGATTGTTGCGCCGAATGTGACCTTAAATATCGAAGGTAGAAGGCATCAATCATAGAGCTTCTATATTTGTGTTAGGTGGCGATTCATTGGGGTCGTTTGTCAATATTTCCATTAATGAAAAAACTGCTGATGGTCTCTATAGGGCGGACTAAAATCAGATGATGAGATAAAAATTTAAAGAGAAAAATATGATATTCTTAGCCTTTGATTACGTCAAGAACTTGTTGATTGCAATGTGACTTCTGACGGGATTACTGGAATGGTTCCATAATTTTTCTTATGCATTAGCTCTTGTTTGTGGGTACCCTTAAAGTTTCGATGCTTGAAAATGCCGCTGTCACTGCTGATGGTCTCAAATTGGGAGCAAGTCTTTTGTCTGCTCAGATTTTCAGATTCAGACGATTTTCAACAAAAGTTGATATTGCGACTGCTTTTGATGTCAAGTGCTCTGTTATATGGAGAACAGCAACGACTTCGACAGCAACTGAATCGACTCCACTTGATCCAGTACAATTTAGTTGATTTTTCAGCCGATCGAGAATGAATTTTAGAGCGAAATGTTCATTCTCGTCCTTCTCATATGCGTCTATCTGACGCATATGTGATTTCTGGAGATGGCAATTCAAAAGTTTCTGCAACAATCACAGCTCCAGCTGATAATTATGCGGAGTGGGCACAGCATGCGCTCATTGGAAATCAATTGTACATTTTTGGTGGCTCTTCGGACTCCAGAAAGGTTTGATAATTAATTGTTATTTCGAAAGAAAATTTTAATTTTAGATTGCTGTTCTTCAAGCATGCAATTTTGAAGAAAGATCGGAGAAGCTTTTGAATGATATAGACTACGCAAGTGCTGCTCTTTCTTTTGACGGCAATTCGCGAGGTAAATTAGCGAAATTTTTGTCAAATTATACATTTAAATATCGAATTCAAAATAAAAATTTCAGTCTTGATCTGCTTCGCTAGTGGTTCCAATAAGAACCACTGCGAAATTTTTGATGGGTCGAGTTCAACGTCCACAACTTCCTCGAATTACGGACATGGATGGGGGAAACTTGGGCTTTATAAAAATCAACCGACCACTGTTGGTTCTAGTTGGGACACAGGGAAAGTGGAAACACTAACAAACAATGGATGGAGTGTGATTGGAGATCCACCAATAAGGTACTGTGAATTGGTTTATCATCGAGATTATTTTAAGCTATTTTTTTGGTCATGTCTTGGTTGGGCTTGCGAGCGGAAATTTACTCATGCTTGGTGGCTTTGGCAATGGAAATACTAGATTGGATCACGTCTGGCTTCTTTCTAACGACTCCTGGTCGCAAACTGGAACTTTGAAAAGCGTAAGTTTATTATTCATCACTTGATGGATTGATGAGTCCGTCATTGAACTTTTCATTCGCTATTGTATATTCGCTTTTTAATGTGATTTAAGGCTATAGACTCGCATTCGTCTCTTCAAATCAACGATTCGATATTCCTGATTTCCGGTTATGGATCAGATAATGTCGAAAGAGTCGACATGGACGGAGACGAAATAAAAAGCTCCGAAATTATTGGCAATCATAGCGGTGGCCAAGTTGTGCCAGTCTTGTTCCAAGTCTCTGCTGGATTCTGCGCTTAAATATCTTCTCGCTTTTATCTGTTTCTTGTGTGCCTGAGTTTAATAAAGAGAACTGGGATTCAAAAGAGTCGCAACTAATAAGATTTACCACTAAAAAACTCATGTCATGAGTCTCATGATCATTGAAAATCTTCATTTATTATCTTATTTTTGACAGAAAATGGCATTTGAAATTGGTTGCTATTGGTAATATTTTGAACTCTTCATATCTTAAACAGTTTTTGCATCATTTTGTGTTGTTGGCATTGGGTATTGTAGCAAGTCGACGATCAAAAATAGCAAGATTGATTTGTAAGTCGCGTTCTTGAGTTGGAAAATTGGAGCTAGAGCAGCGCTGCATTCGCGGTTTTTTTAGTCTTCCTTGTCTTCAGGAACGACGTTGAACAGGAGCTGACCTTGCTTCGTCAGATCGTCTAGAAATTGTTGATATTTTGGGGGTGAAAACAACGAGGACTCACCCATGAAAAATTTGTAAGCTTCGGGATGTTTCTTAGCTTGGTGGATGAAAAGGAAGTAAACTGGAATTCCTATCAGCGAAATTCCAAATCCAGCTAGACATTCCAGCGGCTCAGAATATATGCTGAATGAATGAATAAAGAAAGATGTCAGTATGGATGAAAAAACCTGAAAACAAGGAGCAATAAGCAAAGACCAATGAAGAAAAATGGAATAATGAGGTTTATCTTCATCGGGCGCTCCAAATCTTTTCTCGTAAATCGCCAGTAGATTAGTCCAGCGACAGCGAAGGCGTACCAAACCCAGTTGGCAAACATGCAGTAGCTCATCAGATTGTACATTCCAGCGCCAGTGAATAAATACAAAATCGAAAGTGTTCCCTTAGAAAGAAGTTTTGCATCATTTTTGACGGAAAAAATCATAAAGAGAGCGACTTTTTTGAGAAAAAATGCTTTAAATATCCTTAATATCGTGTCTTTTTCCATAGTTTATAGACCATAGTACTGTATACTTACAGTGCATAAAAGCGCGGGAATAGGTGTTAATTGTTCTGGGTGGATCATTGACACGATTCTTGGCAGCTGGTCTTCACGAGCTCCGATGAAGAAGATTCTAGAATCACCTCCTTATCATGCCCCCATCCTTTCTTACCCTACCTTGAGCTAACAATGATGGACCCGTTGACTCCCCCAAAGCAGCTAAGCGCGACGCAGATGGGAATAAGCCACTGCAGCCACCCAGGAAGCATTTGATTAGCAACGTCAATCGCTACTGCTTTTGACGACATCAATTCCAACGGGCTCAAGACTGCGAAATAAGCAATATTCACGAGCAAGTATACGCCGGTGCAGGTCAAGATGGAAATGAAGATTCCTCTCGGAAGATTCTTTTTCGGCTCGACGAGCTCTTCGACCACGAAATTTAAGTAGCTCCAGCCTTGGTACGAAAAGAGACCCCTGAAAATTCGGGTTAAAAAAATCTTTTTGAAAATCCCTGATTTTCGGATCCTCTGTAGAAAACCTGAGTCAGGGTCTAAAGATACGAGATGATCCTGACTCAGGTTTTTACACAGGTTTCTAGGCTCATCCTTACTTCAAACAAGCAGAAGCATATTTCCCCATATCAGTAGAAGTGTCTGCCCAAACAATGTCTTCGGCAAGTGATCCAGAACTGCCATCGATAAAAATTCGCTAGAAAACGATCCAAGAAAAGAAAAAATCGCGGATCTACCTTCAATCCAAGAATGATAAGCAGGCCGAGGGCAGAGACCTTTGAAGCAGTGAAAAGATTGTTGAGCGATGTCCCGAGCTTGGTAGATCTGCAATTAGCCCATGTCAAGATTGCAATTGCGCATCCGGTGAGCAACTTTGCCGCCAGCTCGTTTGTCGCTTTATCGCAGCTAGAATTTCGAATCGAGTTGAAAATCGATCCTTTCCTGTGGTTTTTTACCTCGAGAAGGGGGAGATGATGTACTGCCCGAAAACCCAAGCCATAATCGTTTGCTGAACTGGGTAAATGACCAAGATCGCGATCCAGAGCCGCAGGAAAGCGAGGAGCGGTCCAAAGCATCGTAAAACGTAAATATAGTCGCCACCGGAAGTGGGGATCGTCAAGCCAAGTTCAGCGTAGCAGAATGCGCCTGAACAATTGTCAAAAGATCCTTCCCTCTCCCTTTTTTTTACCTGTAATGCACAAAATTCCGCAAATGGCCCAAACAAGCAGCGCCGCTCCTGGAGAACCCACTTCGCTGAAGACCCCGACGGGTGAGACAAAAATGCCACCACCAATGACGTTTCCAATGATGATGGAAACGCCCGTCCACAAACCCATGTTCCGGACGAGCTGCATTTTCTTGCCGCTTTTCTCTTGTCCGCCCACCATTTGGTCCAGTTCATGTTTTTCCTAAATTTTCTTTATCTAGAAAACATCAAAAAATCAAGGAAAAAAATCTTGAATTATTCATCTTTAAGCACTCCCAATCAACAATTTCGATAATGGGCCTTCTAGGAGCAAGTCTTTCTCCCAAGCTATTTTAGATACTCCCTTAATTTCAATTGAAATTTTTAGGGCGAACCCTCGACTACGACTGTTAACTTATGATGATCTCTTGATCAACAACTTAAGGATATACAGGCCGTTAAGGGTAAGGTTGCTAGAAGCAAGCTTTTTGAGGGTTTTTAGTTGGGGGAAACCCTTAATTTTTTTAGGAGAAACCTAAGGCTCTGAGCTTTAACCTCTTTAAAAATTCTACCAATTTTTTGGTTCGATCTTCAAATTTTTCAATTATCTCAAGCAGAACGGTAGATAGTAGGCTCCGATAGCATAAAAAAAGATCTCCATCGGATATTTTCTGGAATATAAAAAAGAAGCGGGAATATCGAAAGCCACAAAAAATGAAATGATTCAAAACCCTCGTATTCTCTGAGAGAGTAATACCGATCAAAGTTTCAAATATATTTTTCAAGAAAAAAAAATGAAATAAAACTTACCAGTGACATTGTTTTCTTCTCTGTAAATATCTCTCTTTAACAATAACTTCCTCTTGTCTCGAAATCGTCGTGAGCGTATTAAAACGGTTACTCCCTTATTCGTTGATCGGGGAACGAATTATAGAAAGGCCGAGAAAATAAGTCACAAGAGTCTTCTCAAAGCGCATGCACTTTTCTTCGCAGCGAAATTCACTAAAACGTATTTTTACAATCAATTGGGCTAAGGAGGGTCGATGCTTTTATTGAGCAGGAAACAATGGGGAGAAATTAACAGAAGCTTCGAGAAAATAGACAAAACTCAAAAGCGCTGGAATTTCTTACTTTTTTGAAATTCGGATTAATGTTCGAATTTCGAAAGCTCTAGAATGATACTAATTGATCAGGGCAGGCCATGTTTTTGAAGCAAATTTGGGCGGGACATGTGCCCTCTTTGAAAGTTCATAATAAGTTAATGGCCTCTTAGATTCTCATTTGTCAAACTTCAAAGTCACTTCATTTCTAAATTTATCATCGAAATAAATTCAAACTTGACAGAAATAATTTAATTTATTAATGAAAATAAGCAAAAATCATGAGAAATTTTTAGTCAAATTTTTGACCAATAAGATCTCCTCATTTTGAGGTAAAGCCAATCAGATTTCAGAAAATTTTGAAGCAATTTTTTGTCGATAATTTTCATAATTATGTAAGTCTTACTGTTGTTATCAAAAGTGAGATCTTCAAAGAATAAATTCTCTTTTTTCAGTTTTCTCTTTTGGAAAAAAAACGTGAATGACTAAATTTCGTAAGTTTCAAGGAAGAGAGAAAATTTCAATAGTATCAAGAATCTGAGTGGCTGGGTAAGCCACGTTAAACCACTCGAGGCGAAATTCTGGCAATTTGCCACAGTGAAATCTTAATCGCCTTTAAAATAGACATTTCAAAAGAGAACTCTTGGAATCAATTCTTATCGGTCAAAAAAGAACTCAAGAATAATTTCTAAAATTTGATTATCTCGTCTATGAATCAATTAGCATCAAAACAGGTTCATTAAAATTAACGATGTATTTTGACATTTGAGGGTATTTTGGTCAAAACAGCCACAATAAAATATGATGGGAAGAAAATATTCATAAATGGAATTTAGCTGTAGATTCTACGATGAAAGTCGAAACAGTGCTCAAGTTTTTTAGAGGAATTCAGTGAAATTCGCTCATAAAAATATATAAAATTGAAAAGTAATGCTTACATTATGGTTTCCTGTTTGCGTCGACTTGAATCCTTCAATACCTAAAAAAGTATAAAAACGATATTCCTTCTATTTCAGCCGGTTAGTTCAATCTCAAAATCCACCTCTTTAGCTCCACAAGAGCTCAAGCTCTCTATCTAAAATCCGGATGACGGGCAGTCTCAAAATCAAAATCACTTGAATCTGGTCTCACAGAATGAATTCCTTCCGAAGCTGCCTAATTTCGTTTGTTTCTCGATAAATGACGAAAACTGGCTGGGAAAAAAATCTCTGATGGGTTCGTTGGTGAGAAAATGTTGCGTCAGATCTGAGATAGGAGCAGTTCAATGAATGACTAAGGAAGCAGAAGATGATAGTCGAATTTAGGGGAGGTGATTGGAGCGCGCCCGCCACACGTTTTATTGATCTCGACCCGTTCTGTCTCGTTTATAGTAAAATATTTCGTCAGAAATATTCATTTTTTTTTTCTAGACCTTGCAGAAGTCCTATCATTGAGCTTGAGTAGAAACTATAATATATTGTAATCAATCCTGGTATATAAACTTATAGGAGACGCTGGAGTACAAGTAATATCCTGTGTTTCTTGAATCTGCGAAAATGATGAGAAATTCACGAAAACATGTAATTTATTGAAAGTAAGCCTCAGTTCTTGAAGTTGAACATTGGATGAACTTTGGTCGAGCCCTTTGACTCGTAGTTGAAAGTTTCTTGAAGCTGCTCGGTTCCATCTCCTCGCTGCCACATTCGGATTCGGCCGATTTTCATCGCAGCGTCTTCTCCTTAATAATCCATGACTCCCCATCAAACTCAAAGTACTCACCATTCCAAGTATGCTCCCAAGTGTTTTTTCGGTCCCAAAAGTCCTTCATCGCCTGAGTCGACTGAGAAGTCCACGGCTTTGGGTTTTCGTAAATGAACTGATCGGACCAGTATTCGTTCACTCCACCAACGGCGAGGTTCATGATCAGGTAGAATTCAGTGTCAAAAGGAGCCATTTTCTGGTTTCGAGTTCCGTATTCCCAGGGATTCGAGAGGCCGGGAGCGGTGGTGTCCCAGTCGCCCATTTGCCAGAAGCCGGAGTAGCCGTTTGTATCAACTCTGTAAACCTCCTGACCGTCGAATTCCCAAGCGATGTATTCCGAAGTCCAGTCGACGGTATAAGTGTGCATTTGACCCGTCAACTCTCCCGGATTGTAGCAATGATTCGCATGCGTCTTTGGGAAGCCATTCATGTTCCAAGCCGGGCCCCAATGAAGCGTCGTCCCGAAACAGTTGTTGCCAACTTCCTCGCCGTTTCGAGGGTCGGTGACTTTATCGTTGCCACGAGATTCCATGATGTCGATTTCTCCGGATGCAGGCCACTTTCCATAGCTCAGGTGTTTGGGCATCATCCAAATTGCTGGCCAAAGCCAGTCGCCTCGAGGAAGTTGGGCTTCGATTTCGATTCTTGCGTATTGGAGGTTGATCGCGCGCACTGTTCGGAGACGAGCAGAGTTGATCGGGTTCAGGTAGTTGGGATTTGTTCCTTGTCGCTGGCAGCCCCACCAGGCGTTTCCGGTGCATTGATCGGCTGGAGAAGCGCCCCAGAGATCTTGATTTCCAGTCCAGAGGAAGGACTCTCCTTCGACATCGGCGAGGAAGGTGGGCGCGATGTAGAGCGTGTTGTCCTTGACGTACGAATTGGTGCGGTTGTTCAAGTAGGTCTGGAATTCCCAGTTGCCTCCGCCGCCCATCGTGATTTCGTGCTCCCAAATGTCCATGTTCAAATATTCCCAGTTTTCTTCAAAGACGAGCTCGCCTGGCTCGGCGATGACGTTGGAGCAGTCAGGACCACCGCCAATGCTGCCGCCGCCGTTTCCACCACCGCCGCCATTGTTGCTGCCACTGGTTGTGTGCGACTGTGACGTTGTTCCTGAAGATGTTTGGCTGGTGGAACCAGATGTGGTCGACTCAGTAGAGCGAGAAGTCGTGGTTGTTCGAGTAGTCGTTGTTGATTTCGTAGTGGTTGCCTTGCAGTTTTCGTCGCAATCGGTGCAGCAGCACGGTCCGTTTCCTTTGCAGTCTCTGAAGCCGTCAAACCCACAGAATCGGCAAAGAGGGTCTTTTCCTTCAGCGTTGCAGCCAGCTGGCGGAGCATCAGCGCACTCCAAGTCGCACTCCATCGGAAGCGACCCAACACATGGCTGCTCTTGCGCCGCGGCAAAGCCCAATACAGCTACTCCTTATTCAAAACTTTTGGATAAAAAACAGGGGGCTTCTTACCTGCTGTAAAAGTTCGCATCTCTGATTCAAGTCTTCAATGCTGATTTGAGAGACATCGCGCTCAATTTTATCGAAGCAAAGCTTGAGGACAAATATCAGGAAAATCAAGGTTGGCATTTGATATTTGAAGACAGTTAAGCTTTTTGCTACGAAAGCCGATTTTCTTCTTGAAAATGTCAGGTAACAACAATGCAAAATAAATTTTCCTCTTTGTTTTCGATTTTCGACAAGAAAATGAGAAACATCTAAAATAACCAATGAAGTTATGTGTTAAATTTCTTTCCAAAGCAATTATTTTTCTTCTGCTAAATGTAAGTATAATCATCTCTTTTTATGGTCTTTCTGTTACGGTAATTTTACGACCTACTCTGCAATAACTACCAGTTTAAAAGTCAGAATGTTACTCTCAAACCCAACAAGAGAAAATGAACATACCGGGCCTTCCAGGAGGAAAGAGCCCTCAGCTCAAGAAAAACAGCTCGGATGAGAATGCTAAAAAGGAAGGAAACACTTCAGCTTCTGCTGGTCAAGCCGTCAACTCGGCACTTTTCGTCTCCAGCTCAAAATATCTAAGGTAACCGTTTCTGCTATAAAATAAAATTTAAACAGTTAATAAAGTGATTTGCTAAAACAACGAGATTTCTGCATGAGAGAGTGTTACAGTAATGATACTTACACGGCTCTGCAATGCTCAGAAGACTTGGTCAAAATGTCTCGAAATCCAAATACATGCATCGAATCGACTCTTTACATCCCGATGGTCATCGTCATTCGTAAGTCCTTCTATCATCCATCAAATTTCATCCCATATCTTTAGTTTCCTTGATTCTCCAGCTCGTCTATGGCCTGATTTCCGTTGCGAAACAACGAGGAATCCCGTTGGTCGGCGATTTTTCCTCCGAAATTCCGGCCGTCGCCCGTCTTGGAAAAAAATGGCTGAAGGCTGAGATGTGCATAGCTCTGCTAATCAGTATTTCCAACTTTGCGATCGGCGCTTTTCAACTTTCATCTTGACCCTTTCTGATATCTGGGCTCGGAAAGCTGTATACTATACAGTGTATAGAATACCTGAGTCAAGTTCAGAAAGGCTTAAATGAAAAGCCGCGAAGCGGCTTTTTTAAAAAAGAAGCCGCAAAGCGGCTTCTCAAGTAGTTTTATTTTAACGGAAATGATGATATTCCGAAGCCGCTACGCAGCTTCGTTTTTGAAAAAGCCGCTCCGCGGCTTTTCATTCTAGCCCTTCGGAACCTCACTCAGGTATTCAGCACAGGTTATTTAGGACCAAAATAAAGCCTAAAAAAGAAAAGATATACTTTTTAGAACAGCTTTTTGAAAGTCACGTGTTTCCGCTTTCGCCCCTCAAACGGCTTGTAAGAACTTGACACGAGCTTCCACCAAGTCACTAAAAAGTGCCAGCAGGGTGGAAACCGCAGAGGGAGAAAAAGAAGTACCCACGAGAAAGGAAAGCCGAGCTCGTTAAAAGTCAACCCAGTGCCAGTGGTGGCGGCGGGCGCTTTGATCTGCCTGCGACTCTATAACGCGGAACTCTGCCAAGTCTCCTCTCCTGTGATCAGTCTGTCGTGAATCATGTTATTTTGTTGTGTGCGAAGCTCAATTTAAATATTTACTTTGTTCTAAAGCCACAAAAGTAAGAAGAAAGGGTTGGTTTCTTCAATCGTTATCAATTTTTGTTTAACAAACTTTGAAGAAAACCTGAGTCAGGATTTGAAAAATAGAAAGCCGCTTCGCGGCTTTTCCAAAAATAAAGCCGCGCTGCGGCTTTGCAAAGTTTTTCATCTTATTTTATTGAAAATTTTTGTTTTTCAAACCCTGACTCAGGTTTTCCACACAGGTTTTTGAGCCCTGTCATCAAAGAAAACAGTCATTTTTTGTATTGAGAAAATAGTTAAAAGCAGTCTATCTTTGGGCAAACAATCATTTTTTCAAGATCTGTTCTCATGAATAAAAGAAAAAGAATCCCTAAGGCCTTAGGTTTTCGCTATACTCTCCAATAAGCACATCTATCTCAATCCGTGATAAAATCATCTGCCCACTGATGTAAAGCCAATTCGACAACAATCTGGCCTGGGCCCAATTACCGGGTCGGAAAATCGGACTTTTCGACAACCAAAAATTATCGATTATCTTTCTTGGCACTTTTCGGTCACTTCCGGCCTCCCACGTGATCAATATCAAAAAGATAAATTTCAAATTTGTCATGGAAGTCTTTTTTTTTCATAGATTTATTGATTAACCTTACCCCGCCAGGGTACACCTCCTCAGACACAGAGGTCGAAAAATTAACTTTTAACCCAGAAGGACTTTGATTTTTGGAAAAATAAAAAAACTGTAGAGCTCTTTATCGATAAGCTTTCTCTTGGTCACCCTTTGAGCATTCTCGGTTAGGGTTAGAGTTCGGAAATCGGCCTATTTTGAAAATTACTGCATGCACCTCCTGAGGTGCATAGCTAAAATTACGGATGCACCTCCTGAGGTGTTTTTGGCGGGTAGGCAAGTGATTTTCCGCCGAAAAAAGAAAATCTCTTCCCCACTCACTAGAAATTTGCAGTCAACTAAATATGCTCCTAACATATAATACGCATGATTTTTTAATATCATATGACCTAACGTAGTTTTTTCAAGTATTAAATATATTTCTGTATCAATATGTGATTTTATGTCATATTTATACTAATTAATAACCCCCTTGAAGGGCCGATGCACCTCCTGAGGTGTTTTTGGCGGGTAAGGATAAGATGACGATTTGGCGGGGTAAGGTTAACTACAGTGGGAAGTAAACTGTATATTGTTCAAAGTGGTTTTGTTCATTGAATTCTGGATGACCCTTCCAAGAGCTTATCGGGATCAGGCCAGAGCAGAATTAATCAATCTCAAGTGCGAACTTACTCTTAAGGGTAATCCTATACATCGGTGCGGCGCTGCTCGCTCGATTGCCGCTCCGCTAGAACCTATTTTTTCACAAGGCCATAACATCCGAACGGAGTGAGATTTTTTCAAAATTCAAAAAGATTCTGAATGTTGAAAGTCTCTTCTATTTTTCTAGCAAAAATGAAAAAAATCGGCAACCAAGAACCATATGAAAACTGCCGGTTTCCTTCAAAAGACATTTCCCGCCACATTTCTCATCCAAATTTCACGAAAATCAGATGGTCTTGTAGAGAATCGTTTGCTCTACAATTCCTGTTTCTTAGATTTTCTTTTTGCGCTCTCAATAAATTTACATTGTCATTTAAAAAGGGTGCTATTCTTCCTCGCGCCTCTCTCCTTCCTATTTCTCACGGCGCGCTCGCGCAGAGAAGAAAAGCGCTCTCTTCAAACTATCATAGAGAATTTTTGAGAGCGCAAAAAGAAAATCTAAGAAACAGGAATTGTAGAGCAGACGATTCTCTACAAGAACATCTGATTTTCGTGAAATTTGGATGAGAAATGTGGCGGGAAATGTCTTTTGAAGGAAACCGGCAGTTTTCATATGGTTCTTGGTTGCCGATTTTTTTCATTTTTGCTAGAAAAATAGAAGAGACTTTCAACATTCAGAATCTTTTTGAATTTTGAAAAAATCTTACTCCGTTCGGATGTTATGGCCTTGTGAAAAATAGGTTCTCGCGGAGCGCGAATCGAGCGAGCAGCGCCGCGCTGATGTATAGGATTACCCTTAAATCAGCCCTCGAGGCATTCTTAGGAGCTCTACTCTTTGAATGTATTCTGGGTTCTATGAGGGTATTCTGGGAGAAGAATTGATTTTTCTCGAATGATTTTATGCAGTTGACACCCTTATTTTTGCAATCAAATTGATAAAAAAGGATCTCACTGCTATAAATCAGCCTCAAAAACAAAGATAAACAAAAATTTTTGATATTATTTATACCAATTTTTGAAGCCGCTTCGCGGCTTTTTTTAGATGAAAGCCGCTGTGCGCCTTTTTATTCAGTATTTTTGAAATCCTGACTAAGGTTTTCCGACAGGCTCCTGTCGACCGTTTTTCAATTTCATTATTATTCCATCTTCATCAATTTACCTGCCGAGGATGTATGTCCCTGGATTTGGGGACATGTCACGAAATCGAACCGCGAAATCCAGTTGCGGTTTGGCAAGATTCACTTCTCCGCCCTAGAATCGCGGAGGAGAGCAGTTTCGTAAAATCAAATCCGCCGCCTCCAAAATTTCAAGAGCTTCAACTCGGGCGACACTCGTTTGATGATAAACAAAACTAGAAAAAAAAACGAGCAAAAAGGGAGATGCTTCTCTCTCCTTCTGATCCTTTTAAAAACGAAAATAAACAAAGAAAAATTCGAATTTTGGCTCGAAAACCTGTGTCCAAAACCTGAGTCAGGGTTTCAAAGAGCTTGAATGAAAAGCCGCGTTGCGGCTTTTTTTGAAAAATTAGCCGCAACATGGCTTCGCCGAAATAAAAAGTTTTGGCTTGTCATTCAAGCTCTTTGAAACCCTGACTCAGGGTCTCGAGCTCAGATTCGAACTTTCGCGCATTCAGGGATAAATCAACGAATAATTCAGAGCCGACGAAAAGTCGCTTGTCAACTAGAGAAGTGAAATTGAACCTTCAAGTCCAAGGCCAAAAAACACTGTTTCTGTTTCGAGCTTTGAAAAAATCCCCTTCGACTCTGGCCCCTCTAATTAGCATGTTTCTCTCGTGTTAAAATATCAATTATTTAAGTTGACACAACAAGAACAAAGTTCCCCCAAGAGATCGGCCGGCCAAAAAATCTTTTCGAAAATTGAAAAATTGGAAAACCAATTGCTTTTTCACGACTTTAGAAATTAGAAAAATCTAATTGCAAAGTGAAATTATGTTTTTCACAAATATTTTTTTTTTTTTGATTTTTTATTTTAAAATATCAAATTTTTATTTACTGTAAATTAATAAAAAAATAACAAATTTCGGCTTAAATGAAATAAAAAAAATATAATTTGTGGTTGACGGTTTGAATATGGTATTTCTCGAGAAATGCAACCTACGCCCTCGTGCTACTGTTTTTTCTCTCTTCCTCTTTCCTCATTCGATCCAGTTGATCGTTTCAGGTAACATCTATTCCTTCTTTCTGATCCCTCATTTTACTGTAGCCTGATGATGAGCGTAAAAGCTCGAAAGATCTTGCTTCAATAAACAAAAACAACCATATAAAAAAATATATTTTCATAAAAAAACTTAATTATTTTTTAACGAAAAAATAAAATTTTATAAAAAAGATTTTTTTGAGAAAAAAAAAACAAAATTGAGCCGAAGAATAATCATAATCGTAAATTAATCCGCTTGAAGTTTATTCCATTTCCAAATAATTACGCATTCGACAATCAAAATGCATAAAAACCCCCAACATCTCCAAACTATCCCTCAATATCTCCGCGCTTTCCTTCGGGAGGGCGCAAAAGAGTCGATAAGCGCGGATTTTGCGCTGCGGCGGAGTTTTGGTGGCGCGCGCCGAATATATCGAAGCTGGAGAAAATCACTATTTTTGTCTTTTTTCGTCTCTTTTAACGAATTAATTGACTTTTTGTACATCAAAAAACCTTTTAAAAAGAAAGAGAAAATGATGAATTTGAAATAGAGAGCCTGCTGAACCGAAAAAAACGAAGAAAAAAACAAAGAAAAATGAAGAATTACAGTATATTGACGAGTTTCTTCTTACTGTCAATTGTCAGCGCTGGCAGCTCGGCAATGCGAAAAGAATACATCGCCATTGGCGACGATTATGTTTACACTTGTCGTTCCAAGCCAAATTCAAGGTAAGTGCGGGTGCTCATCCTTTAGACCGGGCTGACAAGCAGATGTCGCGTAAATATTTGAAGTTTGGATTTTTATTTGAGCGCGGCTTGTTTTGATTGACCATCAATTTGTCAAGAGCAGATATGCGCTTATGCATTTATTTATTTTGATTTCCTGGGCGCCGGGAAATTCTAGCTTCCTTGGCGCTTCCTTGAGCGTAAAAACGGGGGTCAAGAATGGATTAATTAATCAGGGAGTTGAAATTAGATTGACCCTGTTTTCGCGAAAGAAAGCGTTAAATGATAACCAATTTGTCTAAAAACCTGAGTCAGGGTTCCAGAAAAACTTAAATGTTCCTCTTGAATCCTGACTCAGGTTTCTAAGCCGAAAAATATCCCAACGTGGACTCCCAATTCAATGATTCTCTTATTCATTTCTTTGTCCAAAAAATAGGTGAACAAGCGCCAATAGTAGGGTAGGCCAAGAAAAAAGTGAAGTTTAATAGGTAAGATTATGTAATAAGGACTCGTGGGAGTGAAAATATGAAGAGAAGAAAAATTAGCTCGGTTTGACGACAGGAAGGTGCCCATCTCGGCCATTTGGCATGATGGCCCTGCATAATTTAAATTATGCTCTCAAATTACTTTTTCGAGAAAGAGAGAGAGAGAGTGAGCGATGTTACTTTTACTTGCACTTTGATTAATGAGCGAGGGCCAATCTGCCGCGATTGCGCTTTCTTCTTTCTCTTTCCGAAGGGCAAGGACACAATTACGACTATTGCTCCTCAATCTGCGATTTATTGCTCACTCAACAATTAGTAACATTGAAATCATCAAAACAATCAGCGTTAAATTAATAATATAATTGAGCTGATTTTAAATATTCACAGGTAAATTTGTAAAAGATGAGTCAATAAAGATTGAAAAAGGATTTAACACAGCTGCTGTGAAAATTGAGTTGGGCGCGGATCGTTTTGTCAGAAGATGGTGAGCTGAGCCTGGCTGAATCGGGGAGTTAATCGCGCCGCGAAAGGGAACCGCTCCGACATGATCCGGCGGATTAGCCATCACAACGACTCGAGAATTAACCTCAGACTCAGATCCTCAAAGCTCAGTGTAAATGGTTGTTACGGATCATTTCATTAATTACAATCAAATAAGGAAATATTATTTTTTGATAACTTGAAATTTCGACTTGATGCGGCTGAATTTCAAAAAAAATATGGATGTTTTAAAAATATACACCCGTCGTGAGAGGATTAAATCGAGCACGGGAAATCTTGTCATAATATTTTTCGCGACCAAATGAACATTCGCGAGATTCGCGTTAAAAATTGGATTCGAATTTTGGAGAAATCGAGGCCATCTGGAGCGTGTTGGAGTTTTTCTGTATTATGCAGGTGACGGGGCCCGTGAATATTCATCAAAGACCGGTGTGTTGGATTGGGAGCAAACAAATATGGTGGGGGTTTATTTTGAATAACCAAAAAAATCCAAAATTTTCATGCTGGAAAAAAAATTTTTTTTTGAAGAAAATCAAGAAGGACCCCAGTTTCAAAATACTGCTTTAATTCAGTCCAAAGAGCGGTTAGTTTCGGCTTTTGCGGTAGTGTGCATGTGAAATAAATATAAGATTTCTTGGCCCACGTGATGATCTTAGAGGGGTAATCGGGTTTGTAAAAGTGGCGAGATCGAGCTCCTGCTCCCACCAAAATGCGGCGGAAATCATCTTGTCAACCGACGTTTTACAAATGTCACGCCAATCGAAAAAATGTTCATGCATCTTTTTTTTCAGAAAATCTTAATTTTTCGATTTCGCAAATTACACCTGAAAACAATAAACTTCCAAAAATGAAAAATAGGTTGAAGAATTTTCCGCCCCAGTGACAGGCCGGAACTCTCACGGACTCCCTTCACGTGACGGGGCTTTAACAATGGCCAGATTATCACAGATGGCCTTTAGTACGCAAAATAAACAGACAGCTATTTTTCCCAGATTTTATGCCATTCTAAGTTTTCATTAGCCTAATCGCCCAGGCCAGAAGTATTTTTGCGTCAAAATAAGGGCAATTGGAAAAGCAGCAATTTTACTCTCGGTAAAATTCAAAGAAGGCGATTTGAATAATTGTTGATTTGAGTGGTTGTCTGGAAACTGACCACTTCAGTGGCACATGTTTACGCAAATCCAAACCAACGCAGACCATACAAAATAATCTCAACTCTACAAAAAACCAAAATGATAATAAATAGAATAATTTCCGAAGTTAAACCGTGTTTATCCTTTATACAGCCTTTTTTCTGATTTTTTGACTGAATTTGAAGCTGACTAAAGTTTTGGCTTTTTCTGATTTCTGTTCTAAAAAATAACCTTGCCTGTAAAAAGGCTCAAAATCAGCTGATTCGGATCGAGTGGCTTAGTCCGGTACTCGAAAAATAATTTCACCCTCGAAGCCCCGTACTGGCCTCTCTTTGTCAAATCACCTCCCGTCGGCAATTATCGCAGTTGTGATAATGTCCCGCCGCGATTAGCGCTGAGCACCTAACTGCGCCGCGCAAATTTCACTTTTTTTTGAAACACTTCCAAATTTCGCCGAATCTACAATCAATAACTCAAAATTTCAGGATGCTAAGAATCAGCGATTCCAGTGGGTACACTTTCGTCATGGTCCGGAACGAAGAACCTCAAAAAATCCAAGGAAGCTGGTTAGTCGACAGTTTTTCCTCGCTTTCAGGAACATGGTTTCTTTTTTCTACCGTAATACAGTAAAATCAGCTCTTATACAAGTTTTATTGGAGTTTTCTTTATCTCCTCAGCCATTTTTAATAATTAAATTGAGCGTTATAAATCATCAGCACCCTTAAAAAGAACCACGAGTGGAACAATGCTCTGTTTAGAAAAGAATATCTAAATTATATAAACAAGGCCCTTTTTTCTTACTGTATAATCGCTCCTTTTAAGCACACCTGTTAATTTTGCTTTTGAGAATTCAGAAGAGCGAGACCCCGTTTTCAATTATTCTCAGAGTAATTGACGGAAATGTCACCAAATGCTGACACAAAAAGCCTCTCAAATCAACCTTGAGAAAAATGATTTTAGGCCGCTGCTAAAATATTAAGCAACTCAATAATTAGCCAGCTCAGCGAAATTGAAAAGCAAGGCCAATTTAAACTGGAATAAACATGATTAAGGGTGTCAAGAGGGATTTCCTCAAAATGAGAAAATCGTTTTTGACACCCTTAAGGGACCTGGGCGAGCAGCGCTGAGCCAAACTTCACGTGCTCGCCGTTCTTGTTAGAAATAAGATTTTTTGAAATTTCTCTTTCTAAATTATATCTCCTAATCTTCAGCTTTCTGTTCCCATTCTTAGTTTTTCTCTATCATTCTTGTTTGATGAGCTAGCGAGAAAAAGAGAAGCGAAACTTCAAAAGGCATCAAGTCTTGCAAACTTTATTTTTTCTTCATGAAACTAGCATCATTGAAAAGCGCGTTAAATTCTGAACAGATCCCACCCAATCAGCTAAAGTAAATCGGTACTCATTAGCGTCTAAGGCCAGATAAACAAGATAACTTAACGCCCGCCCAGCGGGAATCATGTCCAGGAAGCCCAAAATAGCTTTAGTCGGAGCGTCCAGCCGAGCCGCGACCAGCTGCGCGCGCTAAGTAGTTTTCTTTATTTGGCCTTACACGCCAATGAGTACCGATTTAGTTTAGCTGATTGGGTGGGATCTGCTCAGAATTTAACGCGCTTTTCAATGATACTAGTTTCATGAAGAAAAAATAAAGTTTGCAAGACTTGATGCCTTTTGAAGTTGGGCTTCTCTTTTTCTCGCTAGCTCATCAACCAAGAATGATAGAGAAAAACTAAGAATGGGAACAGAAAGCTGAAGATTAGGAGATATAATTTACAAAAAGAAATTTCAAAAAATCTTATTTCTAGCAAGAACGGCGAGCGCGAGAAGTTTGGCTCAGCGCTGCTCGCCCAGGTCCCTTAAGGAGGGGGTCGACGAGAAAAAAATTTTCGACTTTTCAAAATTCTGATAACATTTTTGAGTTCCTCGATCGAAAACAAGAAATTTTGGTCTCCAGCTTTTTTCGATTAGCTGTAGTCAAAAATAGAAAAATTTCACTCAAAGATTGGGAACTCGGGCGCGCGAGGCGGAAAAATGGCCCGCGCCAAGCGAAAAATGAGAAAAATAGCGTCGAGAGCGCGCCGCGCGAGCTTCTCTTACTTTTTCAATCGTCCCTCTGACATATTTTCTGTATATAGAATTCCATCATCTCGTCGCCGCCTGATTCTAAAGGGTCTAAACAACCAGGTAAATAAATTTTATCGCGAAAACAAAAAGCGGGTTTCGAGATTTTTTGGTCAAGAGACACACCTACTTTGACCCAATTTTTCGTGAATTTTTTGAATGAAAATTTTTTTTCTCTTCACGCCGCCTGATTTTTCAAACGCTTATCTAACCACCCGAAATATCAAAGTTTTACTATCGAGGCCGGTTTCTCCGCATTTTTGGTCACGGAAATTCCGATTCTCGTCGACCCCCTCCTTAAGTCTCTGAAAATATCTATTCTTAAACAGAATTAAGGGTGTCAACAGCGAATTTCTTAAAATTAGAAAATCGTTGTTGACACCCTTAAAACTCCCAAAAATACGATTCTTAAGAGAGAATTAAGGGTGTCAAGAACGATTTTCATGGAAAGTAGATCGTTGTTCATACCCTTAAGTTTTCCAAAAAGGAAATTCAAAGGGCAGAAATTAAGGGTGTCAAGAGCGATTTTCCCGAAAAAAAAGATCGTTGTTGACACCCTTAAGTTTCTGAAAAGAGCAATTTTAGTGAATCGGCGAACAGCTGAAACAAAATATGCGGCTGTTAAAACTTTTAAATACAGAGTAAAGAGGGCTTAGTTTTGGACTTTCCTAATTTGAGTGTTTCTGACAGGTCCAATTGCATTTTCCATTCATAAATTAGACAAACTCACCTACTCAAGTACAAACTAAGTTTTGCTGTCTACTTTTTGTCAGTATAAGTGGACTGAATGACGGGATTTATTCAACCTTTCAATATCGAGGCTGACGGAAGGTCTTTAATTTGAAAGAAAAAAGAATGACGTCAAAAATTTAATAATAAAAAAGCGTTTTCAGGCCCTTTTATACAAGTGCGTATTTCCGCCTTTTTACAAGTGCAGCATTCCCAAGACGGTCAGTTCGAGCTTCCCAGGCGCATTCCGCCGCCAGCTCGCCTCTTCAATTCACAATTCCGGACGGCATTCCAGCTCAAGTCTCGAGCTAGAATATTCTCCGTTTTTTCACTTACAAAGAGCAATACTTATACAATATAAACAGTTTATTCAAGAGAGCCCCCTAAAACAGGTCATTGTTACTTCCGGTTTTTCGAATCGAATCGAGAAGCCGCTTGCGGCTTCGGGTTTTCAACAAAAGAGCCGCGCAAAGCGCAGCTAGATTTCTTTGACTCGAAGCCGCAAGCGGATTCTCGCTTCTTTTTCTTCTCGCTTCGTTTTCAAAAAAGAACCATGAACTAGAAACGCTTCAATTATCCCTCCGACTCACGAATTTTCGCGCCGAAAACAGCACTAGAATCAACTGCGGCGATGAGCGCGAAGATGGTCCTCGTCCAGTCCAAATCCTCCCATACAAAGCGCCAAAGATGACATTGACTGTAAATCAGGACGTTTTAGACGTCGACGAGCTGATACAAGTCACGTGCTCTGCTAATGGTGGTGTTCCAGGAACGGATTGAAAAGTTTTCTAGCTTTAGCAACCTGTGTCAGGGGGACCCTGACTCAGGGTTATCAAAGAATAGATGAATATTATATTTTTGGCGAAGCCGCTTTGCGGCTTCGTTTTAAAAAAAGCCGCTACGCGGCTTTTCATTTTAGTGACTTGAAACCCCTAATTCTTGATTTCTTGAATATAAAAAAAAATATTGGATATCCCTTTTGAAAGCAGTTTCGTTCTCCTGGATTGACAGTTTGGGTCGACGTTACAGTGCGTCGCGGAAGAAAGACAATGTCAGGTGAGCTGAAAAAGTAATGCTCTGAAAACGCAAATCGAGACGAAACAAAAGCGGGGTATAAATAATATCTGTCTTTTCTTCGGAGAATAAATCGGGACAAGTGGCTTTCTCCTGAAGTATCATCGATTCAATTCACTTTAGAACAGTTTGTTCGGAATCAAATCTGTCTATTTTCCACGAAAAGAACCGGTTATTTTTGGCTTTTATTCAAAAATCAGCTTTTTTGTTTATTTATTCTGCCGCCTCAAAATTCATTACCGATCATTCCCGGCCCATTTTTTTCCAAAAGTCCCCTCTTTTTGAGGAAATTATTGCTCGTGCCCGCAATTTCCTCTTATTCAAGTGTTTTCGGACGATCGAAACATAAATTACGCGGATCACCATTTCAGTTGTTTGCACTCTTGAGGATTACCGAATTAGGATATAATTAGTTGAGAGCGCTTTTTTTCGCAATGACGACAAGCGATTAATTCTTAAAAAAGCAATTACGCTTAACCTTTTAGTTAATGATTTTTGTTCAGTCAAAGCTGCGATTCGGCAAAGACGAAGTGCTCTTCGACCGTCTCGGTCCGAGCGAGCGCGGATTTGGACGGAGAAGTGATCCGCTGCGAAGTAAATCATGGAGGAAGGACGATTCAGGAATCGACGAATCCACTCAAGATAAACTACGCGCCCAACTCGGCCTCGATCAACCTGGCTTATCCGCTCCAGGACGGACAGGAGTCGCTATCGGCTAAATGTGTTTTCAATGGTCGCCCGCTCCCCGAAACTATTACTTATTTGATTCAAGACGATCTTCAATCCCCACAGAGGGAAATAAGGTAAGCCTTACCCTCCCCATCATTCCTTGATGACACCCTTAAGACCGTCAAACTACTCATTGTCTCTCGCGGACTCTGGAAAGCTCCTCCGCTGCAAAGTCTCCAACAACCTTGGATCGACAATTTCCGAAGCTGTCGAGCTTCAAGTTTCTCCCGCTCCAACTACACTGCCACATACCTATGCGAGGAGAGAAACTACTGTCGCCATGCAGTCCGATCAAGCGCCTTTTACGAAAGATATTCAGACCACAATTTCACCCTATCAAAAGTAAGCTCATCATGTTGATAAAAAGATCGAAAATAAGAGTTTGAAAGATTATTTTTTGACCAATAAAAATGCTTAAAAATGAGAATAAGCCAATCAAAATGCTCAAAATTGCATCCACCATAAAAATTAGTTTTAATACAGTGAGACTAAATTAAAAATATGAATGAGAAATTATTTCTTGGAAAATAAAATTGTTGAAAAAAATTGCAAGAACTGTAATTACAGGTAGCTCTTCACCGAGCGCGTTGATAGCGGCACAAGAAATTACAGCGCGCGCGCCCTTTCAAATAACCAGCCGTTATCACTTCCTCCGTTTAATTTTCCCCTTCCACATCCAAAAGAAGCGAGGGCTTGTTAAAATTATCGATGATGATTGATTTTTGTTATTTAGTTTGGCCGGAGTTGCAAATGGAGGGAATTCCACGCGATCGGCAGAATTAGCGGAAGAACAGAAAGGACTGAGGGCGGCTTCGAATGTGGCGATTGCATGTGTTACGATAGCGTTTTTACTGACGATTCTGATTGGTGGTATTCTTGTTAAAAGGAGGCTACAGTAAGTCCAGCTTTTCTTCCTTCTTCGCCGAAACCTCAATTTTCTAGTCGGAAATCGGAAAGCTGTGGAACAGACATCACAACTTACGATGAAACTGTATCAAGTCTGAAAGACCATGAACTAGAATCCAAGTTCAAGAAAGAGTACTTCATGTAAATTCCCAAAAATATTATTCTATTCAACACCTGCTAAGAAATCAAATCTCTGTAAAAACGCTATTTTTGTTCAATTCTTTTTTTCCTATTTATCTTCTTACTGTATGTTTATATGGCTACTTCTGTAAATAACAAACAAGGATAATTTCTTTTTTCTTGAATAAATGAGTAACAATCCGAAAAAAGAGTAAGCTACTATTTTGACAGGTTGAATTTATTTTAATCTTATCAGCGGCTGAAAGTGTACAAGTGTACGCGTAGATAAGGCGCACGGGAACGCCTTAAAACATCCGAGCAGATGTTTTGTAAACAATGTTTTGTATCTGCTACTTCATCAATTTGTACAAAAGACTGTTTCTTTGTCTGGGAATGGAGAGAGCGTATTTTCTTTAGGAAACAAAATAATTTGAAATCAAGGAAGAGAACTCCTTTCAGATATTTTTTAAGATATTTTCATCTAACTCTAGGCTCAAAAACCTGTGTAAAATACCTGAGTCAGGATCTCGAAGATCTTTTAGTGGCTCTGTTACTATCGAGAGGAATTTTATTCTCAGAATAAATATAAAATGAATCGTATAAAACAGTATCCACAGTGGCAATATGAGTTTCTTTTCAGTTCAATGACTCGAGTTTAAGGAGGTTTGCCTTCTTTCTCGTCATCTAGAAAAGTAATAAGATATGAAGAGTGAATGATCTCTTACCATTTTATTCTGCAAAACATAATTCTTGGGCTCTTTCTTCGGCCGAGCATAGATTTTGCCATAAGCCGAGCTGGTCATTTGATTTCTTCTTGGTGCAGCTGGCACAGTTGTGATATCATACGTCAGCTACAAACGTTGTTTTTTCCTATCAACGGGCATTTGCCTACCGTTTTATCAGAAGTAGAAACAAGAAGTCTTGAGCTCGCCTTTTCCCCAAAAACCTTCGGTGTATAAGTGATTGAAAACTCCAAACCATCTGGTGTTAAAACTCCTTCTTCAGGAGAGATTTCAAATAAAGAATCTTCTTCCTTCGCATTTTCTAATAATTTTGCATTGAAAGCGATGTTTTCTCCAAATAAACGAAACCGGACAACAGAGCTAGAGCCAATTTTGCAACCGGGAATGCAGATTTCATCGTCAGCTGGTGGCTCTGTCACGCGAAGTTCCAATGGAAAGCGCTAGAATAAATAATGAAAGGGGTACATTCTCATTTCTGCCTACCCATGTAGCGCCAATAGCAGAAGAAATGGAAAGAACCGCTTTTTCATTAACGCCTCCAATCATCGGCATAAAAGTCAAGCAAAAGACCAATTTCACTTCCCCACTTTCTTGGTCAATTTTCTGCCCGACAAGACTTATCGAAATCGCCTTTGCAAACACCGATTCTTCAGTAAACAAAAGGTCGAAGCTGTATCCAGATGCATTTTGCGCCGATTTCGTTCTGAGCGGAACTGTCGGAAGAATATTTGGTGCAGCGCCGTTCAGAGAAAGCTCGATCTTTCGCTCGAATCTTGAACGGGCGTTGCATTCGATTAGGAGTTGTTTTTCTTCCGGGACTTTGAAAAGGGTTGAACCGTGGAGAGGGTAGGTGAAGGTAATGGTAGTGACGTTGCCAGCTGAATCGACTGTGTATCCTTCTGGGAGGTCTTTTTCTGGGTTAATTTGTAGCCAAGGACTGAAAGTAGTTATTTTAAATATCCAATTACGCCGTATATTTAAATATTAATTTTCAAATTCAATAAAATATAAATTTTCTTTATTGAAATCGAACTTATGGTTCTTCAGAGAACAATTGAATTTTAACCTGTTGTCTTTTGGCCGGGCAGTCACAGTAACAAAAGCAACGACAGACTCCAACTCTCCTTCCGAAATAAAAGACACCGGAATTTCCAAGACTTCTCCTTTCGCGAGCGCAATTGGTACCCGCTTTTTTAGAAGAACTTGAAATGCGTCTGAATGCTGCTCTTGACCTTTTGACATCTTTAGATCGACTGAACATAAAATGCTCTTATCGCTTGGATTTCTGAAGGGAATGACGACAGTTTTTCCATTCGGAGAATTCGCCTTTGCGAAGATTTTCGTCGGCTCATATTGTTTTGGCGGAACTGCTTCTCCTTCAACGTCGACAATGGTTTTTCCGCAATCAGGGCTGGAGGCGATGAAGGTCGAGATGGACTTGCCAAGCTGGTGGGGGATGAAAAAGAGATGAATGTCCTTTGTTTCTTTCGCTGTGAATTTCTCGGCAGGAAGATGATTTGGGTCGAGAAACAGATCAGGGGAGGAGGTTGAAAAGGTGAAGGTTGTTTCTTTTATTGATGTGTTTGTCACTGTTATGGTTTCGATTGTATTTTTCATTACTTTGATGGAATTGCCAGTTTTCGCATTCATGAGATTGCATTTTTTCAAAGTAAACTTCCTGCTAAATTTATTCTCCCGTTGATGCTGGTTATACTCAAAACACGAAAACTTATATTATGGCCCATAATTTATGGGCTTTTATTTGTGTTATTTAAAAACCATGCCTTGAACTGTCAAACTCTCCCACTTTCCAAACGGTACATCTTTCGCCTTCACCAATTTCGGCAGCGGGTCTTCCAAGTAAAACTCAATCTGATACCAGAATTTCCCTGTCAGATCGCTCTCAAAAGTCAAATCAGCTGGAGTCGGATCAGAAGCATTTTCGGGCATGAACAGAATTTCTAAGGGCTTTTTTGAATGCGGTGGTATTTTGACTGCTTCTTCGACTTTGAGAATTTCCAAGTTGCTTGATTTTATTTTAAAGATAAAATCTCGCTCTGTTGGATTGTTGAGCTCGATTGTTTTTGAAAGCCATTCGCCGCAAGAGCCAGAAAATTTCAGCCGTTTTGCCGGATCGCTTCGGACAGAGGAAATGTCAAGCTCATAGAGAAGGAGGAATTCTTCGCCGTAGGGCATTTCCACGAGCTCATCGCCGTTTTCTCCGTTGAAATCGTCTTCGTGATCCGAGTCGTAGTCTGGATTATTCGTCTTGTACAACTCCTGACCGGCGAAAACCAGGAGGCCTCTGTAACGATCAATCTCAGGAGGAATGATTTCGAAGATATACTCAGCGCTAGAATTCTTCTCGACTGTAATTGACAAGGGACCAGCAATAATAGATCCAAGGGTCGTGTGAAGTTGAAACTGCATTTTTCGTCGACCCAGGTTTGGGACGATTATCGACGCTTTTCGTGGCGAATCGCATTTGACACTGTGAAAGGTTAATTTTTGCGAGACTTTCGGGTTCTTTCCGACACCGGTAATGTGGAAAGAAGCGGCGCTGCCGTCGGTTTTGTTGACCAAGTTGAGATCCGCTTTGTAAGTTTTCTTGAACATCGGGGAAAAGAGAAGTCGGTAGTTGTAAGTTTCACCCGGCTGGACGGTGAAAAACTCCGGCCCGGAAAATGGGTCGCGTTCTTGAGCGAAACCCGCCGCGGAGTTTTCTTGGATTCGAAGAGTCGCTGTCATTTGCCAGACATGAGGGGTCATGTTTTGAATCGGAATCAGTTGATCGACTTGTTCTCGTGCCGGCGCTTCGAGGATGAGGTTTTTCGACTCGCACTCGGCAGTTATTATTGCTTCGAGTTGAATGATTCTAGTATCGAGAAGGGAGTCCTCGGTTCCTTGGAAGAAAATGAGGCCAGGGTATCGGCCCTGTTGGTCGGTCAGGAGTTGGATGGGAATTTCTACTTGCGGAGTAGAAGTGTCGATCTCAATGGTTTTCGGAAGCCGAAAATGCTCGGAAGTAGAGAAGACTTCGAACTTTCGAATTTTCTTGTAAAAATCCGGGGAAACTACTTTTTCCTGCAGCGCCCTGGTGTTCAGTGAAAACGTCTTTTCCCTGATCTCCTTTTCTCTTTTCGGCAAGGAAAGCTTCACGACCCGCTGAAGTGCATTTTGAAAAGCGACGTTTTCTCCATAGATTTTCAGCACGGCTTCTTTTGATCCCGTGACGCTTGTTTTCCAGAAAATCTGATCGCCAGAGACAGTGAAGCATTTTTCTTGGCCGCGGAGGATTGGAGATGGTTTGGGCGGAAGGGGAGAGCCGTTGATTTTGATGGCGAACTGACCGATTTCTTCGTTTGAAAAGATGAAAATTCCGCTTTTCTGTATCTGACCGATCGGGTTGTAGAAAAGCTTGAAGACGCTTTTTTCGCAGTCGAGTTGCAACGTTTCATCTGAAGCATAAAATTCTCGCGGAAAGACATTGTTTTCCATTTCTTCCAAAAGTTCGTCCAGATGATAAGATGACTTGCCAACCCGATGAGTTTCCAAAGAACTCACTGTGAATTCCCTCTGACCTTCGAATTTCAACGGGCAATTTATTTCGATTTCAATTTGTTTTTCTTCATAAACCGGGCATTTTACCGCCTCTCTGACAAATTCTCTCGGCGAAAACTCGGAAATATTCCCTTTGAGAGTAAAAACAAGCGTTTCAGCTTGAACGGGAAAAGCTGGTGTTGGGAGACTTTTGACGACCAGAATCGCTTCTGTTTTCAGGAAAAAGGAGCTTTTGAAATTGACGACAAGTGAAAAAGAGGATTTCGGCGGAATGCTGAATTTTTCGTTGCTCGTTGAAAATGATTGCTCGTTATTTGAAATGATAAACGCTTCGTACTGAACAGCTTTTTTGAATCGATTTTTGATGGTGAACGTCTTTTTGCATTCTTGCGAGAGCTTTCCATTCAGATAAGCGATGTCGATCGGTTTCATTGCTGGAAGAACTTCGGCGACGTTGACGAGCAACATCAGCATTGTAATCGGATTCGGGTCCGTTATCTGTGTCGCCAGGGGAACCATTTCGATTCTGATCTTTTTGAAAATCTCGAGGAGGATCAGTGCGTTGTGAAGACATTGCTCCGCCATCGTGCAAGAAACAAACATCTTCTTCAAGTCTTCGATAAAATACGGACAGTAAAATGCCACGAGGGATCCAAGAACAAGTCCATCTCGTAAATCATTGTCAAAATTAATAATCGTTCTTCTTTCAACGCCAAAAACTGGCCCTCGAACTTGCTCAAAGACCTCATTTAGCCAAGCGAGAATTATCTTTTCCGATCCGTCGTAAATGTTTGATTCAATATGACTGGCATCGATTCCAGGGAGATATTTTTCAACCTTTGCGAGTGAGAAAACCCGGAATACTTGGAGCAAAAAGTTGGTCCATGCGTTTTGCGAGCGTTTTTCAAAGTCGAGTCTTTTTGATTCAGCTAATGATTCATTTTCTTCGAGAAGGTCTTCGGCGTTGATGTGCGCGACCATGCCGCCCTGGGCTTTGATGACTTCGAGGATGACTCCGTATTGCCAGAGAAGCTGAGCGCGTTTTTCTTCCTTGTTTTCAGGGAGGAGCTGGCCGGCGGGGAAGCCAGTGATAGTCCTACCGGATAAGTTGACGATCATGTCATAAACAGTGACCATTTGCGATCTTGTCCCAGCGAGGATTCTCCCCGTCCCCTTTGTTTTTCCGACCGCTCTTGAAGTCAAGGATCGAATCGTTGTTGGGATGGAAATGGGAAAAGGACCAGAAGACCAGCCAAAAGTGCCGAACCATTTTTCAAGTGAAGAGACAAGATCGCTTTCAAGACTCGAAAATGCGTCAATCGAGGACGTAGCTCTCCCCGGAACCTGCTCACGGCTCTGAAGCGTGACTGGAAAGGATGAGCTGTGAGGCGAGGAGCTGGAGCCAAATGACATGATTTCAGTTGAGACAGAAATGCTGGTTGATTTCGTCCGCGCTCGAACAACTGAATTGGTCTTCCTTGATTGCGACTGGTTGCCTTCGTCGGATTCTTGAAAGTTGAGGCTTGCTCGGCCGCCGCCTTCTGATTGCTCGACAATATGATGGCTCGTCAGTCTCTCCGCAACATACTGATAACATGTTGTTAAGGAATTGTCGCAGCAGATGTAGATGTTGACGGGGAATGTCTCTCCCGTCGTTTCTTCGAAAAATTCTAGCGTTTTCACTCCAGCGAAAGGCACCATGGTCAAATATGAAATCTTCATAATAATCATGTCTGAAGACATAGAGGAATTTTCGCTGAAAGAGATGTCCAATCGCTCAAACTCTTCCAAGACTTGTTCTCGCATTGCAATAGACGAGTCTTCTGAAAATGTATTTTTGATCTTCAGAACTCCCTGAAGCTCAGTATTTAGTGGAGCTGCTTCGAAAACGATCTCTTTTGGCTCAAATTCTAGCCCCGGCGCGGGCTGGGAGCAAGTTTCTGGGATGGGATGATGGAAACTGTGGCCATTCATGTCCAAAATTTGAAATTCTTTCTCTTCAAAAAGCTCGGTTTCGAAGACTTCATCTGGTTTCAACAAGTTTGTGTCGTCGTTGTATTTGATGCAGATGCTTGCATCGCTGATGTTTTTGACCTTGAAGGTAGAGTCGGTTGTTTTGACAAAAACGGGCTTTCGCTTAGCTGTTGCAGTGATTTCGAAATTGTTCGATCCGAGATCGATGGTGTTGGCAAGAATAGAAAATGGAAGCGTTTTCTGCTCGACTTGAGCTGGTCGGTAGACGAGATCTAGGCGTATTTCCTCCCCAGCTTCTAGTCTTCTCTTTGAAATTCTTTCTCCGGAATGTTCGACTGAAAAGGGCAGATTTTTCAGATTGAATTTGAGGGAGACGGGCGCTTTCGTTGGGTTGGAGATTTCGAATGGAATTTTTTTATAACATCCGACTGGGACTCCGTGGTAGATGAATTTCTCCACCGAGAGAACGATTTTTGGCTCTTGAACATGCGCTGCGACCCGGAGAACTGCATCTTCTCCATTTTTAACCTGAGCGATGACCGAGAATTCGAGCTTTTTCATCGTTGTTGGGTAGAGTTCAAGATCGACAGGGAGAATTCCTCCGACAGGAATGATCCCTTCAATTGGTGAAATAGAAATTGGGACTCCTCTTGGTTGATCAAATCGGAAAATGGCCGGATTTGAGAGGACGTTTTTGAGGTACACGCGGCGAGTGCTTTTTGAATTGAGAGGAATTGGGCCGAAATTTACCTTTCTGTCGGTGAACAAAACTTCTGCTCTTGGAATGATCGCGTTGCACTTTACCATATAACTGTTTCCTTCAATTTTGAGCTTGAACGCCCCGTTATGCGGCGCTAGAAAAGACGGATAGTAGTTCACTTCGCACTTCAAGCTTGATCGAGCGAGAATCATTCCAGAAGCAGGCCGCATAGAGAAGCCAAATCCAGCTGAATCTTCCGGAATGACCGGCTGCCAGAGAAATTCGAGAGGCATATTGAGTGGATTGCGGATTTCGATGGAGGATGTCATTTCGCTCGTGTCTGATTGATTCGGATTGAAGCGAAGGGAGATCGAGTCTTCCGGAATTTCGAGTCGCGGTGGTGACACTTTTCCGGAAAGAAGGACGAATGATGAGAGACCCTTATTCAGGGAGTACTGCAAGGAGCTACCAATCGGGCCAATGTCAGATGCGCTGTAAGAAACAGCGATTTCGATCAATGTTCTTCCGGGAATGATGAAAGAACTCGGCGTATAGAAGGTCACTTTCTCCGAAGTCGTCGAAATCTCCATCACAACATCTTCAAGCAATCGATTCTCAACTGGTAAAATCGCAGTTCCTTCGGATCCGTGGAGAACTTCTCCAAAGTCTAGGACGTTATCTTTCGTCAAGTTGCCGATTTTGATCATTTCCGAGTCATTTGCCGATAATTTCTTCCATTTTTCCTTTCCGCTTGAGATTTTGTACTTGCCAAGTGTCATTTGGGGATCATCCCTTTTTCTCAAAGCAAAGCCAGGGGACTCTTCGGGAGTAAAATCGATCATGGTCGATTCAATTGGGCTCAAACCAATTTCCACTGGGTTGTTTCTTCTTTCGAATCGCTCGCGAGTTTCTTGCTTTGATCGTTTGTTACGAAGAGCGGTTGCGGTTTTGGAAATTTCAGCGTTGTACTTGGCCACGTGAGAGTCTCGCTGCTTCTTTTCTGCTGGAGTCATTTTGTACTTTGGCTCGAACTCGTTCAGTGGAGGGATGTACGATTGTCGGACGCTTTCGAGACGCTCCTCGATCTTTTTCATGTTCGCTTTTCTCGGCTTGACATGTCCTTCGAGCAGAAATTTCGCTTTCTCCACAATTTTAGACCCCTTCCCAACAACGACATTGAAGTCAAACCGACTACTGATGTTTCCAATTTGACTTGGGTCCATAATAAACGTTACTTTTTTTGTCTCATTCGGGCCGATAAGTAAATTTTTCGGCGCTATCTTGAAATGGGCAATTTTACTCGCTTGAAGATTTATTTCAATTCCTGAGAGATTTTCGAAGTCGAGGATGACAATAGGAGTCGTTCCGAGAACCGCTTCGCCGAAATAGATCTTGGTGATTTTCGACGATTGTTTGACATTTTTCGCCAAAGAGGAAATTTTCAATTTCAAGGGAAAAAGATTCGCAGTGACGAATAAACCAACAGTTGAATTTTCTGAAAAAGCTTTGCCGACAACCCCAAAGACGACGTTCAAGATGAGTTCGGTGAATTTCTCGAGTTTCTTTCTTGATTCCAGTTTTATCGAAATCAAGCACTTTTCTCCGGGCGCTAGAGTTCCGCTTGAAGGGTTGAGCTGGATGATTTCAGTTGGGGATTCAAAAGGGCCGAACTCAACACCGTCCGCGTCCAAAGGGATTCTGGAAACCCACTGGACAGAATCAGGAGTCGGATTTTCGAGAAAAACGGAGCCGCGGCCCTCGGCGGAAGCGATGAAATCACCGAGTTGAAGAATTTCGCTGCTGAGCTTGAGTTTTCTTGAAATTACTTGCGCCTTGATCTTGATTGATTCTTCCCGGTCTCCGAGGAAGATTTGAATTTCTTCGTTGATTTCTTTTCGGCAATCTGCGATCATTTTTGCAGTGACAAAAACTTCTTCTTTGGGATCGACATATCCAGAATAGCTTGAAAATTTAACGACTTCGTTTTCACGCTTTTGGATTTGAAAGAATCCGCGCTCATCGCCTTTGTTCTTGATTTTCAGCTTCTTTTTGATGATGTTATTCGAGTCGGAGACATTCCCGAAGGAGATTGTTTGATCGACAACAAGTTGGGGGCATGAGTTTTTGGCAAGGAGGGGGAAGGGGATGATGGCATCGTCGACTTTGATTCGGATTTCTCCAAGGGGGAAGGGGAAGGATGCGAAATCGAAGCAATTTCGGTCGATGCTGAATGTTTTTTTTTTGTAAGAAAACTATTTTTTGAACAAAAAAATCGTACCTTATCACTGCTTGAACTTCAAGTCCTGGCGGAACGGGCTCATTTATCATCCACTTTTGCTCGATCTTCAGCCATTGCATCTCTGGAAAAAGGATGGACACTCTGATTGACGATTTGGAAACATTCTGTATTGCCAAATTGATAGATTCTCTTTCAATTTCATTTTCTTTGATCAGGCCAAAGTCAATTTCTGCTGGGTAGAGTGCGATTTTATCTCTGTACTTCGTCATGATGGAAGGGCCATGAAAAGGATGAGGAATTTAATTATCAATCAGAAGATTTGAAGTTCAGAAAAGTTGGATTGCTTGGACCCATTATGACAGGACCGGTTGCCAGGGCGACAGAGTTAGTAAGCTCTCGATAGAGAAAGTGGCACCGCAGCAATAATTGACATAAAGAAGTGGTTGAGAAGCAAATATTCACGCTCCTCGCTACTGTTTTCTTTTGGACCTGAAATAATTCCTTGACCGAAACCTTGACCATCGAACTGATCAATAAAGAAACCACAAGGGTCAGCTTCTTACCTTAATCATATCAATAATCGAGCAAACAAGTTAAAAAACAAGTATAAAAAGGGGTTGAGGTTCAGCATCTTCTCAGAACAGATCATGTTCTTTCTACTGTTTCTTTACAATTTTTTGAGTTTCGTTGCATCTGAAAGAGTCCCAATTTGCAGTCAAAATTTTTCTTGCAGAAATTTTTGTGAAGCAAATAAATCGATCCAAAGATATGGAAGAGTATGTAGAGAGAATTTCGAAGCTGACTTTAAAAATTGTATTGTCACTTGCTCATCGCTAGATTGTACTAAAAACTGCAGGTACTAGACTTCTATCATTAAGGACCCCCCCCTCCGTCAGCTTTTTTCGAAATGGATTCTACGGGTCAAAAAACGTTTTTGATGCTGTATTTTTTGGGGTCTATCTCGAATCCCTCGCCCTAATATCGCATTTGAAAATTGGACTTTACGCCGAAAATTAACGAGTTTGCCCTAAATTTGTTGCTTTTATAAGTTTCCATTTTTTGAAAGAAAAAGCTGACGGGAGGGGGGGGGGCTGTCCTTAATGATAATTTATTATCAAAATGATCGATGAAATTATTTTCAAAGACATCAACTCGGAATCAACATTGGTAGCTGCGCCTGCTCGAAAATGGACAATGAAGATTCCAATATATCGTGTGAGACAATTTCGTAGAACGCGTACTTTCTTCTTCTTTAAGTGAACTGGAACAACTAAGGGAAAGCTTCAGAAAATCTGAAGAAAGGACTAATGATGTAATCTCAAAATATCGGACAAGTAAATTAACAACTTCACGAATCTTCTTGATTAAAATAAATTTTAAGCTCGTCTTGAAAATCGACAGCTTCGCCGTGACTTTCTACTCCTTGAAAGTAGATTTTCATCATTAAAAATTGACAATGAGATGTCAAAATTGAAATCTGAGGAAATAATCGATAAATTAGAGAGCGAACTAGAACGATGCAAAAACATGAAAGGTGAGAATAAAATAGCACAGAAATAATTTATATAATCAGTGACGACGACAACGACTACGTCGACAACGACTACTACAACTACGACAACAACTACGACGATGACAATGACGACAACAACTACGACTACAACAACCACAACGACTACGACGTCTCGTGACTGGTGGACTACAACAACGACGACAACGACTACGACAACAACGACAACGACGAGTACGACTACGACGACAACAACAACGACTCCGACAACGACTACGGCAATCAGTGCAATAACGGTTCCAGCGTATAAATATGTCTTTTTTGTGTATAGTACATCAAGAACGGATTTCGCTACTGCTCAGAAAAAATGTGAGGAGATCGGAGGAGATTTGACTTTTTTTCTGAACTCTGAAGAGTATAAACAATATCATGCTGGAAGCCGACGGAATACTGAAAGATGGTTAGGAATAATACGTAATTCAACTTCCTCGACAGGCTGGAGTACAGTGACTGGCTTGGAAAATACCTTTTTCGCTTGGAATTCTGGAGAACCAAACAATCAGGGTGGCCATGAAAATTGTGTTCATGACTTGTTGCATAACCAAAGATGGAATGATGCCCCTTGTGGTATTTCGCATGCTTTCTCTTGTCGCATCGAGAAGAAAATTCAATTCAAGCGAATCTCAAATGAACGGGTTTCGTTCGAAACTGCAGCTGACGAATGTGAAAAGATCGGTGGTCATCTTCCATTTTTCATAACGCAAAAAGAGTATGATTTTTACAAGTCTCTTGGTCTAGGGCACGAATGGCTGGGAATCAAGCGACAAGAAGCGAGCTCAGATGACTGGATAACAGTGACGGGCTCCGAGAATACCGTTTTCGATTGGCACTCTCCTAATCCCGACAATTGGAAGAATAATGAAGGCTGTGTCGAGCGATACGTTACCTATAGTGACGACAGACCTGGCGAATGGAATGATGTGAGCTGTTCTCAAAAAAGAAATTTTTCTTGTCGGCTCGTTATCTCTCAATAAAAATTTGGATATTAGAAATCTAAAACTGCTTTGATAAAAACTAAAATAAATACACTAAAATTACAAAGAAATCAACGAAGTTTATTTCCGAGAAATACTCAGCACTCAAGAAATCAAGCAATTCTAGAAGATAATCGCAAGTAGAAGAGCGATCGGGGCGCTGTCCAATCAGCTCAGGCGGCTCCCTATTCAGAAGGTTCTGAGAAAAAAAAAGTGAAGCGTTGCCAACAACTCGCGCGCCGCGCTCTCTCTTTTTTCAGACTTGAATTCAGAAAGCCAATCTTTTTAATTTATTACGAGAAAGCGAAAAGCGCAGAAAAATCAGAAAAAAAAAGAGAAAAAACGATGATGGCGAATATAGAAGACTTCAGTTAGAGGTACAGTTAACAGGAGAAAGAATTGATTTGAGTTTATTTTTTGAGAGTTATTAAAAATTTTTTATTGAATTTTTTTAGATAATCAAAATTAAAAAAAAAAATTTACAAATTATTTTATTTTTATTAAAAATGTCGAGAAATCTTATCATTGAATTAATCGACTAATCCTTTTCCATCTCCACGTAATTTGATAAGATTCGATCAGGGTTCATCGCCTGAGGGCAAGCTCCGACTTGCCCCGAGCGCGTGATTCCAGCAGAAATCAATGTGATTATTTGCCAAAGCCTTAATTTGCCCTAATTGCTAATCCTTATATTTTAGCTTCAGGATTAAAGATGAGTGTATAAATGAGTTAATTTTTTTTTTAATCCCTTAAAAATTTCCTTGAAAATCAACGCTAAAATAATCGTCTTAGCACATTCACCGTTTTTTCTTCCGCTTTTGGCTAATCTTTCATTGTTCAGGCAACTCCCTACTGTTAAAGAAAGCCGAAAAAACCTATTCTACTGTAAATATCAACTCTTCTGCCAAAAGCACAATCTTCTTGACTTTCAACTGACCAAGCCCAGAAAGAGAGAATCCATCAAGGTAAATTGCTTTTTGAAAGTTTTATTTCCGCAGAGATAAAATTCTTTGGCTTGGCAACCTCTGTCCAAAACCTGAGTCAGGGCCTAAAAAGCTAGAATAAAAAGCTGGGTCGCGACTTTTCGCTCTTTCATTCCCTTATTCAGGTTTTGGACCCAGGTTGCCAAGCCCAGTCTTTTATGAGTGTTCAAGCTTCAATTTGGCCCCATTGACCATCGCTATCAGCCCATTTTTAGCTTACACCGATGATTTCTCCAAGCATGGGAACCCTTCGGCTGATGCTCATATCGGCGTTCGTAGCGATTCTCAGGCACGGTGGTGAATTTAATTTTCATCGGTGAGAAATGACTGTTTCGGACCGGTTGCGAACGGCTTCGAACTGGTTTTTGTCTTGTGAAACGAGCTTACTGTTCATTAATTGAGTTCAATTGAGCTCATCGGGGAAAATTCCATGATAAAAATACAATGTTGGCCGGTGACTGTTTGTAAAAATTAACAAAGTGACGCCCTTATTTCTATTCATCGATTGACGATTTGCCCGGATCAGCTTAATTGCTTTCTTTGAGGCTTAAGTTGAGGGCAAACTTGAACGCTAGAATCATAAATTCTGTGATCTTCTCCAATTGTTTACCACCATTGAAAAGCGCTCAAACCCCGTCAGAGCTGCTCCGCGACGAATGGCTCGAGTCGACCACATGGATTCTGGTTGTGGCGTTCGCTTTCGCCTTTATGCTCGCCTTTGCGGTTGGCGCTAATGATGTGGCGAACTCCTTCGGAACAGCTGTCGGCTCTAAAGTGTTGACGATGAAGCAGGCATTCATCTTGGCCTCGGTTTTTGAAACTGCTGGTGCGATTTTGCTTGGGGGAAGCGTTGGTGCAACTATCAGGAGAGGATTTGAACGTTTTCCAAGCTATTTTTCGTATCATAAATCGAAAAGTAGCTTGCGGCTTCGAGGGAAGCGAAAATTTTAGCTTTTGAAGCTTGGAAAACCTTTTTTATCCTGTAAAAGAAAAGGAATTGTCTCTGAGGATAGTTATCTGGGCCCTGAATACAACGAGTCAAACGTAAGTATTCCCACCGTCGAACTCGCCTACGGTTTAGTTCAACCAAACCACCGGCGATCTGGAGCACTACTATGCGGATAAATATTACAACGAAGAAAGGCGACAAAATGTTACGCTTCTCATGTACGGGCAGCTATCCGCCATGTTTGGAGCAGCTTCGTGGCAGATTTTGGCGACTTTAGGCAGGGGTGCACAATTGGATTGGAATCCAATTGGTTTCCAATTCCAATTGGATTGGATTGGTAAATTGGTTGGAAAAGGGGCGGGAAAATCCGGGTCTGTCCAATTGGATCGCCATTCCAATTGGAAAATGGGGGTCCAATTGGCAAGTGGTCGCCAATTGGTAAATTGGCAAAATGATTGGATCAAACCACCTCCATCCACATCGGAAACCGAATTTCCAAACGCCCTTAAATTTATAAATTAAAGAACGGGGCTGAGACGGCCCGAAGACTGCCCACCAACGTCCCGAAGACTACCCAGCACCACCCACATACCCACTATTTCCACCACTTTTTGCCAACCTCAGCTTTTTATTGATCAAAACGTCGGAATTAACGAATAATCGCATATGGGGGTCGGGGACTCCCAGTACCAAAGCTTTTTGGTACTGCCAGAACCAATTTTGACTATTCGATTGATATTTTAACGAAATATTTCATTGGGAACAATAGTAGGCGGGTAAATAGAAGTGTATCCTGGCCGAATCTGTAAGTTTCCTACCACAGAACCTGCGCAGCGGGCGTTTTTGGCTGACTAAAATTGGTGAACTTATTATAAAAACTGAATTTTCCAATTAGAATCCGATTTCTAATTGGAATTTGGCTGTCCAATTGGAAAACTCGTGCCAATTGGAAGCTTGATTCCAATTGCCGATTGGACAGCCAAATTTCCAATTGGAATTGGCATTGGATTGGAATTTGGTTGGATTGGCAAAATTTGGGTTGGATTGGATTGGCAGTTGGTTGGAAAAATCCAAATTTTTTTGCCAATTGTGCAGCCCTGCTTTAGGTAACAGATTATTTTGATAGAAGATTAACAGGTTTTTTTTAAGACTGCTCCTCGACTGTGGAGCGGTTTTGAGTATCTTAGAGTCGAGATATTTCAATTATCTCTTTTTCAGCAAGTAGGGGAGGGTCCATAGTGTGTTAAATAAGCTTTTTGTGGTTTGATCTAAATCGGTGGTGGAGCAATGACGTCATCATTCCGTAATTCTGGCTATTTTATAGACGGCAAACAAAAATTGAAAAGTGGTAAAAAGCAATATCATCTTCATCTTTCCCTTCAGCAAAACTTCCTGTTTCCGGAACTCACTCAATCGTCGGCGCGATTGTCGGTTTTCATGTCGCCTGCAAAGGCTGGGACGGAATTGGCTGGCCAAAGCTGCTCAAAATCGTCGCTTCCTGGTTCCTGAGTCCTGTTATTGCCGGTCTAGCTTCTGTTACCATGTTTTGGTTTCTCCATCAACGCGTTTTGATCCCATCACAGGTAGATTTCTTGTTTCAAGGTGCGTTTCTAGCGCTTACAGTAGCATTTTTCAGGCTCTTTCGAGCATTATCTATCAAATTCAGCTCTTTGAGCGATATTTTTAGCTTTCTTTCGTCATTTATCGGAAATTTAACCCGTTTCTGACCATTTTTCTTATCATTTTCTATCTTTCTAACTGATCATTAGGCCTTTTAAGTCTTCCCTTTACGATTTCTAGCGTTATTTTTAGCAATATTCGACGTCGGAAAACGAAAAGGGAGAAAAACTCGCGCTTCTGCTACTGCCACTGTTCTACTTCGCAACCATGGCTATCAACATTTACGCTCTTGCACATCACCAGGTTTGGCTAACCCTCCCTTTTCTACCGCTAATCTCTCTTCAGGAAAAATGCCCAAGTGGATTCTTATGCGCTGTGCCTTCCTATGTCTCGCCGCTGATCGCGATTGTTTCCGGCCTGCTCGCCGCTGGATTGAGTTATAAATTCCTGGTGCTCAAGTTCAAGAATGAGTGGGCCGAAGAAATGAAGAAATATGGCGACAAGAACCCGAATGAGCAGATTCATCTCACTGTCAAGCAGAATACGGAGGAAGAGACCGAGAAGAATGGCAATCAGAGCAGAAACATCGTTGATAAAAGGGTACTTCTTCCGCATTTCTCCCCTTGATCCCCTTTTTCAACCTCTTTCTTCAGCTCTGCATGCCAGAAATGAACGTTACCCCTCAAGCTCCATTGATGACCGCCCGTTTGCTGAGTCATATCGAGAAGAACGATTCCTTCGCGAGTAGCCGGGCTCTCCCCAGCGCGTAAGCTCAAGCTATTGGATTCATTCTTCATTTTGTTTCTTCAGAGCTTCGATGGGGCGAATCCGACTTACTTCCGGGGGCTCTTTCACTCTTCCTCCGACAATAACGAGCATCAATGGACGTCTTATGTCCGAGTCGGGGATGGATCAGGGCATCGTCATTAGCCCAAAAGATGGAGAAGGGGATGAATATGAATTTACGGAAAAGGTATGAGGGAAAAGTAGCGAGGTTCTTTTGTAAGGGAGAAATTGTTAAGAGTTCAGGCTCCGTCAATTTAGATGTAAGTTTTCTTTCAAGATGCATGAGTAGATACTGTTTTAGTACCGTACGCTCGTAGATAGACAGCTCTCATAACATGACTGGGCTCGTGAACCTGTGTAGAAACCTGAGTCAGGGTCCTGAAGAAGCTTTAATAAACCATGAAGCTCTTTCAAGACCCTGAATCAGGCTTCTACACAGGTTCCTGAGCTAAGTAATACGAACAGCTAGTACTCAAAACCGTAGTTACAATGTCGACAATTTCATATTTAAGAAATCTTATTTGAACCCCTATTTTCAGGACCTGGACAATGGAGTGTTTGACGAAAACGAGTTCGATGGAGATATCATCGTAGAAAAGACCTTCTCGGAGAAGCGGATCGACATTCTCTTTGAGAAATTGCAAATAATGACTTCGTGTTTCGGCGCGTTTGCGCACGGCGGGAATGATGTTTCGAATGCTATTGGGCCGCTGGTGGCTGTATTTATTTATAGAATTATTGGAGGACTGCAGATTCCTGAAGAAGTTTTTGGAATAGGAAGCGTTCAAGAAATGAAAAGATTTGTTTCGCTAATTTTCAGATAAAAGGGATGATTATACGCAGATGTCCTGTGTAGAAACCTGAGTCAGGGTTTTGAAAGGCGTTATTTCTAAATTTAGGTCCCTGATTCAGGTTTCCACACGGATCCTGAAGCAACGAAACTGATTTGAACGAGTAAAAGACCCAAATATTGGTGCTCCCTGGTATTTGCTCGCTTTTGGTGGCCTTGGTATCACAGCTGGTCTGTGGACATGCGGCGCAAAGGTACTTAGATGCAAAGAGAATGATTCTAGTCACCAATTTTAGCTGATTAAAGCGATGGGAGAAGACATAACGACAATCACTCCTGTGAGGGGCTTCTGTATCGAACTCATGAGCGCGTTCACGGTCCTGGGCGCATCGACCATTGGAATGCCTGTTTCCACGACACACTGCAAGGTAAGTCGATGATTCTAGCGCTCGTTTTCCTCAGATTTCAGGTCGGATCTATCGTGGCGATCGGAATCTACGGCCGCACAGGTGTCCCAGTGAAGCAAGTAATCAACATCGCGCTCGCCTGGGTCGTCACAGTTCCCACTTCTGCTCTGCTGTCCTTTATCATCATGAAACTGTTGCTCTTTATGATTCCAATCTGAACCGAAATCCTGTTTGAGATGAAACCGTAGCCTATCTTCCAATTTTCCAATCCTCTATTTGAATTATTTTCTCCTCTAGCCTGTTACCTTTCTTTTTTCCAAAACCATCGACTTCTCAAACTAGAAATTTCTAGACTAGTATTGATACCTTTTCAAAAAAACCCCTTGAATACACATGATTCAAAAGCTACTCTTCTCTACTATTTATTGGAAAGTTCAAAAGTTGCAAAAGAAAATCGCGAAATCGCGGAGAATGAAAAGACTGAATGACTGAAAACTGAATAAATTCGTTATTTGAAAAGACTATTTTCGAGGAAAAGAAAAGAAAAAATGCCAGAAAATGTTCAGAAGGTATTTTTTATTTTCAGATTCAGTTGTCAAGACTCTTGGCAAGACTTTTATCTTCCAGAAGATCATCTTTATCGGCAGTTTGATTGTTTGAAATGCAGGATTTCAAGCAGTTTGGTACGTTTTCTGGGCTCACTAGCCACGCTGATTTGTCAGACGATAGCTTGTGCAGTCGCAGAACAATTTTACTATTTTCAGGTTCAACTTAACTCTTCCGATTTCTATGAAGGTATTACTTGAACCAGTTCCTTTGAGTTAAAAACCATACGAGCGCCGCTACAAGTGGGAATATCAAAGTCACGTGATATGGCTCGATCTCGTGAGACTCGAAGGAAAGCTCTGAAGAATTACTTTTTGTCTCAAACATCGGAAAACTCTCCATTGCTCCGGTGAAGAAGGTGATCCATCCATCCCAAATTTTACCACTAAAATGTTCCATCTACTTTTCCAACTCCTTTCTACCTGAAGTTATTGATAGACCACAAAAAGGAAAGGTACGTTCCACCAATTCTTTCATCCCCAATCAGCGCGAAAAACGACCCCATCGAGACATAAAACGCCGCGGTAAATAAATGATCAATCCCCATTGTAACGAAGTAGATCAGCTTAATACTGTCAACCAAGTCGTCGTAGTAATACAAAATGAAACCAGAGGCGATGTTCACAATAGTAGTAGCAATCGCGATCGGGAAGAGGAAAAGAATCGGTTTTCTTCGGACAAATGGTGCGATGATCCAAACAAATGCCATTGACATTGGCATCAGGATGAATTCTGCTTCTGCTATCCATTCTTGTTTGAAACCCCTGGAAATGAATAGCGAATAGCTAGAAAGAAGGGGTACCTATCCGTCAGTTTGAGTGCAAAAATCCCGCCATGATTCGTACAAGCTTTGATGCAATTGAAGATGAGCAGATTAAGCATCAACCAAGCAACAGGAGAGACAAAGGATATCATCGCCATCTGTTTGTAGGTTTGCCCAAGTGAGGGAGTCTTAAATTGGTCGATTTGTTTTCTTTCGAAAGGACAATTTTCATCGCAAAATGGACCTTTCCTCTTGTGCCTCATGTTCTTCAGCGGCGAAAATGGCGATTAAACAGGTCGAAAAAGCCATGACAAGGGCAAAATAAGTGCAAAAATCTGCCAAGCTCAAGTATTCCTCGACTTTTGTCAAGCCAGAAAAACCAACTAGCACACCAATTTGGATGCCAAAAGATTGAATTGGGCCAGTTAGTCCTTTGAGATGCACTGGAAGCTTTGTGATGATCCAGCCGTCTGTTGCCACATCTTGAAGAGAAATGGAAAGAAATAGAAAAAACATGAGAAAGGTAATTGGGTAAACTTCGGCGTTTGCAAGCCATCTTTCAATGTATGCGCCCATGATGAACAAAATACAAGCAATGCCAGTTTGGGAGAAGATTATCCAAGTTTTTCGACGACCGATCCATTTGATAAAAATCGAATCAACGATGCACTTATAAAAAATGAAAGCTAGGAACTAATTTGAAATTTCTTACTGAGTAAAATATTTTGATTGCAAAAGGCAACCCGATGAGACTATAAACAGCCATTTTTTCATAAGGAGTTCCACTTTTTCGCAGCGAGAATCCTATTATTTTTGCGAGCCCAAAAGACAAACCCTGGAAAAAGTACAAATAGAGGAATAGTAAACATGTTGGCAAATAACGTAAACAAGAGGGTTTCTCTTCTTCGGACTTTTCGGTTTTTTCCATATTTGATTCTCTTTGAAAATCAACACTTTTCTACTTTTGGGCGTTTGAGTTGGGAGCATATTTGAGTACTCGTCTGTAAATATTACGACAGTCGCAGTTTTATGACCTTCCAGAACAATTTTTTCCGAGTCCATTGAGTTTTATCACGTGTTTCGCCCTGCAAACAACAAAAAATATTGATGGTTCAGATTCTTATTTATTTAACAGCCAGTAGATTCATTGATAGTTTCCATGGATTTGGTCAAGTACTTTGAAATCAATCGGTCAACAAAGGAGTTCTTGTCCTTTTTGCAGTGCTTTCCGTAGGCTCGAGTCCAAGCTTCAAGATTCAACTCAGCATCCAAAAGTCCCCCGCATCCGCCACTAGAAATTATTTTTAACACTTCTATTAGTGGACTTCTTACCTGATAGGGCCAAGACCAGGAGCTTCAAAAGTGCATCCATCCTTCTTCACGAGTTTTTCGCTGTGTTTGAGCAGTTTCTTGACGAGTTTTTGAAGATTTTTGATCGCTTTTTTGACTCTTTTCAGAGTTTTTGCATCAAGATCGGCATCAAGGACGGTGTCGTCGATGATGTTCGAAATTTCATCAACAGCTTCTTCTCCGTAATCTTCATCAGCTTTCGTTGTTGTTTCAGTCGACCATGTCGGATGAGTAATCGTGTATGATGTCTCAGTGGTATCTGGTGGAGTGGTATTTGGCGGCTCAGTCGTATCTGGTGGGGTCGTATTTGGCGGATCCGTTGGCTCTGGAGTTGTCGTTTCTTTGTCGATGCAGATGTAGGTTGTTTCATCAGCGCTGTTCTCGCAGGTTTGCGTGGCGAAGTCGCAGTCGCTTCTCCCACAAGGAAGAACAGTCGCCTTGCCGCCCTCGCATCTGACAATGACGCTATTCGACCACCCCTCGTCCTCGCCGTTGAAGCAGCTGCTGAAGCCGTCGCAAAATCGATGCTCGAAAATCGGCCGGTAAGCGCCAACGACATCCATTGTTGGGCACTGCGAACGAGGAGGAAGCGGAAACTGCGAAAAGTCAGCGGCGCAATATCGCTGCCAAACTTGCTCTGCATCCGTGGTTGTCAGGAGCTTGTGGGGAGCGTAGCCTCCTCCGTTTTTGAGCGAAAAGCCAGCGTACATCAGATTCGAGCTTGGTTCCAAAACGTGGCCGGTATCGAACCAGGCTTCTTCAGAAAGCCCGCCGCCGCCGGCTTGGGGATTGAAATGCTCTTCGAAATCGGGGCGATCTTGCTCGTGGAGAAGGCCGATCGCGTGAAGAAATTCGTGATGAGTACCGCCATATTGGACGCACCAGTCGGGCAGGCGAAGAGCTTGCCAACCTGCTTTCATCTCTGGATAGTCTGTTGCCCCGCAGTTGGTGCATTTGCCCACGTAGGACCAGCAGCTATTCCCGCCATCCGTAAACGAGGTCTCTCCGAAAACATGGACGCCATTCGGATTCGTTCGATTTTGATCGTGGACCATCTCAATACAGCCGAGGGAGTAGGAGAAGTCGACGAGCTCGGCGTGGACCTGGGCGCGGAAGCTTTCAGTTACTGTTTCGTCGAGATAGTAGGGGACGATGATTTTTCCCTCGGAGTTCAGAGCGGTCCATTTGCCGAAGGAGTTCAAGACGCCCTTATCTTCTTGAACGGTCGTGTCGACTTTATAGGTGCTAACGTCCATGCCTTGCCGACGGAGAGCTTTCTTCTGCAGCGGTGTGAGAATCACATCTCCGTGCGGACCATTGTGCCAGTCAAAATTCGGATCAGGGTGCACGAGTGGATCGCTCGCGGTGGCAAGAGTGCCGAAAAAGGAAACAGCGAATTTTTTCATCAAAAAACGAAATCAAGTCAACTTTTTTCGTTCTGATGAAGTGATCGATTTTGTCTTGATTTAAATAGTGCGCGTGTGTATTTTTCTTTGTTCGTGAAGATCGAGTTAACAATTGGATTCGGATAGAATACGATTACGCGAGTTTTATTCGTAAAAACAAATCCACGAAACTCAAGATTTAATTATTCAAGCCACGAATTTTTCCCGGCTCGTTTTTTGTCGATGATCTAAAGCAGAAAACGACCTCTTTGTGGTACGAACAATCAAAAAAATGACACCTTGATCATATCACAAAAAAGGACGATTACTAGTTCAGTTCTTCTCTAGACCAGATGGTAAGTCTCTCTTGTAGTAAATGAATGATGGAAAATCGAAGGATGCGTTGAGTAAAAAGGGTAAAGCAGGAAGTGAAAAGGGACTCTCCTCCATCGTGTGGAAGGAATTTATTAAAAGATAGACAGGAAATTTGTTTTACGGTGCTTTGAAGTTGTGCTGCTTTTCTGGTTCTTCGTCAATAAACATTATATTTTAAGTCGATCATTGAATCCTCCATTTGAAATAAAAAAAAAACATTTTTTCCATTAAATATTTCTATTTATTATCAAGAAAAAGAAGAACAGACAGAACTTTTAGAATTCAGCATCCAATTGATTGATTCAAAGTTTTCATCGATTTGGTCAAATACTTTGAAATCAATCGGTCGACATAAGAACTCCTATTTATCCTCTTTGAAAAGTCCTTTTTGCAGTTCATTCCGTATGCTCGAGTCCAAGCATCAAGATTGCCCTCCGCATCAGCAAGTCCGTTACATCCGTTGCTAGAATTAAAAATGAAGAAAATGTTTGATTAATCTCTCTTTTACCGGATAGGAGTGATGTTTGGGGCTTCAAAAGTACAGCCGTCCTTCTTTTCGAGCTTTTTGTTGTGCTTCAGTAGCTTTTTGACGAGTTTCTTGAGATTCTTGACCGCTTTTTTGACTTGTTTGAGCGTTTTGGCATCAAGATCCGCGTCGATTTCATCTATGATGTCAGAAACTTCATCAACAGCTTCTGCACCGTAGTCTTTATCAGCGGGTGTTCCTTCTCCAGGAGTTGTAGTGGTAGTGGTCGATGTTGTTGTAGTCGTTGTTGTTGACGTTGTCGTTGATGTTGATGTTGTTGTTGATGTTGACGATATTGTTATTGTTGTCGTTGTTGTGGTGGTTGTTGTTGTTGTTGGTTTGTCGATGCAAGTATAGGTAGTTTCATCAGCGCTGTTTTCGCAAGTTTGAGTAGCGAAATCGCAATCGCTTCTTCCACAAGGAAGAATGATAGCATCTTTGTGCTCGTTTGTCCACCATTCCCAGTTAGTGTTCTTGCATCTTACAATGATGCTGTTGCTCAGCCCTTCATCTTCGTCGTTATGACAGTCTCTGTATCCATTGCAAAGTCGATGGATGAAAATTGGCCGGTAAACGCCAATCAGGTCTGGTGTCGGGCACTGCGTTCGAGGAGGCAGAGGAAATTGGGGATAATCCGCTTGGCAATAAACTTGCCAAACTTGTTCTGCGTCCGTAGTTGTGAGTAGTTGGTGGGGTCGGGGGTATTCTCCGGTGAGGAGCTGAAAGCCAAGATACATCAGATTCGAGTTCGGTTCAAGAGGGTGGCCCGTGTCGAACCACTCTTCTTCCGTCATTGTGTTTCCTTTCGGATGAGGAACGTAGTACTTTTCGAAATCCGGCCGCTCGTGCTCGTGGAGCAAGCCCATTGCATGAAGAAACTCGTGATTCAGCCCGCTTCCTCTGATGCACCGATCAGTCACACGAAGAGCTTGCCAGCCCAATTTCATGCGGGGGTACTTCCATCTTCCGCAATTCCAGCATCTGCCGAGGTATGACCAGCAGCCGCTGTCAGCTGAGGTCTCGCCGAAGACATGAATGCCACTCGCAGACGCCAAATCCGGATCGTGGACCATCTCGATACAGCCGATCGAGTACGAAAACTCGGCCAGTTCTGTGTGGATTAACTCATGATACTCCTCAGGAATTGTCTCGTCGAGATGGTAGGCGATCATGATTTTTCCCTCGGCAGAAATTTCGGTGTTAAAAGAAGACCATTTCGTGAACCAGCTTTGAACGCCTTTTTGCTCCTCAACTTTCGTATCTACACTGTAGTTGCTAGTGTCTAAGCCTGCTCGGCGAAGAAGTTTCTTCTGTAGCGGCGTCAAAATCAGGTCACCTTGAGGTCCGTTATGCCAGTCAAGGGCCGGATCGGGAGGTCCAGAGGGATCCGGATCGCTGGAAGTGACAATTTGAAGTTGTCCGCTGGCAAAAGTGCCAAAAACGAAAAGAAAAAATTTCTTCATCAAATCTTTTTTCACCGTCTGAGCCCGGATGGGGTCCTCTCTTGGCTTAAATAGTGCCGATTCGTATTTTCTTTCAACGTGAAGATCGAGTTTACGATTCGATCCGCATAGCGAATTGGGGGAATTCAATTACTCGGATTTTCTCCGTGAAAATAGATCCTCGAAGCTATGAATAAAGTTCGACTTTTGCCCCAAATTTTCGACTCTTGTTTTTCTGTTTTTCTTTTATCGTCGATTATTTGAAGTAAAAAACGACCTCTTTGTGGTACGAACAGTTTAAAAAAAAAACTTGATCATATCACAAAAAAGGTCGATTTTTAATCCAGGAATTCTCACTATTAAATTTCTCTTGAAGAGTCTTGAATTTATTGATGAAAATATCAAGAGATCCGTCGATTATAAAGGATGAGCAGGAAGTAAAAGTACTCTACTTCATCGTGTGGCAGGAATTTTCGCAAAGATAGACAGGAAATTGGTTTTACGGTACTTTGATGTTGTGCTACTTTTTATCGCGTTTTTTGGAAATGATAATATAGGCCCATGAAATTCAAAAGAAAATAAAGAATCAAAAAAACACCCTGCGTAAATATGAAATTCTCCATGCCGTTGTTTATCGCAAATATTGATTAACAACACGATCTTTCCCATAAAACCGGGTAAAAACAACGCATTTTCCAAGAAAAATATAAAAAAAATCCAAAATGAAACTTTCTCTTTTCATTTTTCTCGGAATCACAAGAGGAGCTTTTATCGGGAAAGATGAAGCAACGGGCTTTTTGAAGAGTAGAACTAGAAGAGCAAACAGGTAGAGTCAAAATAAGGGTTAGGGTTAGTGTAAGTTTTTTTTTAATTTCTGAAAAAAAACTCCAGAAAAGTATTATTTTTTGGTAAATATTTTTTTTGAAAAAATTTTCTTTCTATGAGATAATTTGTTGAGATTTTTCAAAAATCGACCGAGCAAAAAGCATATTTTGTTGCATTTTGATTTTCATTAAAAGATTCTATTACCTTAGTTGGCACAGCTGGGAAGAAACCAAAGACGGCAACTTGGAGCGCGAATGCATCGAAGAAACCTGCGATGACGAGGAGCTCTTTGAAGTGTACGACAACCAGGAGCTCTTCCAAGTCGAGAAAAGACAAATGGACCGCTGCCAGAAGATCCTGGAAAAGATCGACGAATATGCTCAGAAATTCAACACCGACGATGAGGAAAATGGAATCGACAGCGAAGCGGAGAAGAATATCTTGCGAAAATGCCTTGTTGTAAGAGCTTTAAAAATGTTTCTAGACTCGAAAATTCGAGGCAAAATTGAGAAGCCGCTTGCGGCTCCGAGTTTAAGAAAGATTGGAGCCGCGCGAAGCGCGGCTTTTTCATTATTATTTTGACTCAAAAACCTGTGTTGAAATCCTGACTCAGGCTTGGTCATTTATTGAGACCGTCAGTCAGGATTTCAACACAGGTTTTCGAGTCAAGAGAAAAATGAAAAAGCCGCGCCCGCGCGGCTAAATTTTTTTTTAACTCTAAGCCGCAAGCAGCTTTTCGATTTGAAATTAGAGCAATCGAATCTTCAAAAATCATCTTCATTTTTTAGACTCAAGAATCAGATGTAGCGCTCCTCGCTGAAGGAATGCGAGTGAGCATGAGTGACGCTGACTTCCGGAAGGAGAGGATTTGAAATAATATTGAATTGAAAATAAAAAGAAAAAAATATTTTGCAAATCCGTTAAAAGTGGGTCGGAGAATGTCTCTCAACTTTTGCGAATGGAGTGGCCGGAACGACTCAAGAATTGCTCGGAAAGATTTCTGAAGGGCTCAAAGGTGAGGAATTCTGTCGTGAAACGATCTTGATGTTCTTGTAGAAATTGATTGGGAACGATTTGTGACCGATGCGAAGGACTTTGGAGCTCAGGTCATCAACGGAATCCGAGAATTTGGAAGCGACAACTGAAGAAACTCTTCTTTCCCTCTGACAACAAATGACATGTTCTAAAAATAAAATCCTCTTCGACTCTTTTTTTTCGATGATGCTCTTAATTTTTGAATTATATAAAGCTCTGAAGGCTTCATCCTTATTTAAGGTTATGTTACTGCTTACCTTCTGTAACATCTTATTAATATCATCTTATTTATAGACCCTTTCATAAGACTATTTATACAACCAATTATATAAGCGTCATTCCTATAAAAGGCATCTAAAGGAAAAATTCCTTTGGAGTAGTCACATTTATGATGCTCATTTATATTTTTATAATGCTTGTACAAAAGCAATTGTATAAATAGTCTTATGAAACGGTCTATAAATAAGATTTATTTTATTTTCATGCTTTGAAGGCTAAAGCATGATACCGAAAAAGCCATTTCTTTGTGACATATTCCCACAAGAATAACGAATGATCCTTCAGTAAACTAACAGTTGATAATCGAGAAGCCGCTTGCGGCTTCGAGCAAAAAAAGCCGCAGGCACCTTTTCGATTTTCAACTGTTAGTTTACTGAAGGACCACTCGTTATTATTGTTTGTGGAAATAAGTCACTCAGAAATGAGAAACGGTAGAAACGTAGGAAGCGCTTGGTTCCTAGTGCTGGGTTCCGGCGGGTGAATCATTCCTGGTGCGAAAAATCGCGTGGGCGCGGCGCGTAACGACGCGAAAAATAAGATTTTTTACTTTTCCTTTTTCCGATTCAAAATTTCGTCCTGATTGATGAAAGTTGCTTCAAGAGAAAAACGGAAAAGAAGTAAATGAAGAAAGAAGAGATCGAAGTAGCCGGAAGGAATGATAGAAAATGAAGACCCGCTTTTTGGAGTCGATGGAATCGGAGAATTGCTGGAAGAGGAGGAGAATGAACTCGACGTGCAGAAGTATTTGTACAGGGCCCTGGCTGAGCATGTCGAAGGTACTTCTTGTCAAGAAGCTCTTGATTCAAAGACAATTGTCTTTGCTTGGATGAGTTTTATGACTAGTTATTTTATAACATAAAAATATCAAAATAAGTCTCGAAACTTTCCTTTACAAATAGTTTAATAGAACTCGAATTAGATCTAATTTATATAATATAAAAATAATTTATTTACAACTCAAGAAAAGCACCTGCCTCAGGTTCTCTTCATCGGTTGCCGAGCTCAGATAATTGGGAAACCCAAAAAATATCTTTGAAAATATATTTTATGAGCCTAAAATGACGCCAGTGACATCTTGTATTCCTCATTTTCTTTATATCAAAGAAAATAGCGAGAGTAATTTTGAAATTCTGGTTATATAAAAGCCCGTTATAAAAGCCATTCTGGCACATCAAAAGATAAAAGCGTTACTTTTAGAACTGAGCCGTGAAAACGAAGAACTTCAAGCCCAAAATCGCCATTTGCGAAGTCAACTCGAGTCGTCTGGAAATGATCAGAAAAGAAGCTCGAGCTGGAATGGAGTTGAGAACGCGCTGGGATTCGCGTTTTCGACCGACAATCCCGCATTGCAGATGGACGAGCTGAGGAAAGAAATTGAAGCTCTTGGGTAAGAAAACATGCTTTTGGGAAAATATTTTTCTAGCAATAGAACTTGGACGACTTCCTATTTTCGGAGTTGTTTTCTTAGCTCCAACACGAACAATCAAAACCACTCTTTTTCAACTATTTATTTTATCAAAATAACGGACGAGAACCACCCTTTGGATGTTCTACGCTTTGTCCTGTTTTTGGCCACTAAAAAGCGGATATGTTCATTAAAATCGAAAAGCGAATTCTGTCTTCGAGCGAAATGAATCAAAAAGCTGATCTATGCGCGGCTTTAGGATTTCATGAACTCGAGGCAGTATGCCGCAGTACTGTATGCGGCTTCACGATTTCAATGAACATATCCGCTAACAAGAAAGTGGCCGTAAACAACAAAAAATAGAGAACATTCAAAGAGTGGTACTTCTTTATTGTTGATAGAATGAAATATTGAAAGAGAATGGTTTTGATTGTCTGTTCTATAGCTGGTTTCTTTGAAATTAACTGTAATTTTTCTAGGCAAACGGATTATGCAGACTCCAATGCGGGTGATAATTTGTCGATCTTCACGGATTCTGGCAACAACTCGGAAATCGGCGGCTCTCACTGGAGTTTGTCCGGAAGCTCTTCAACATTCGATATGTCCCGGGTCCAGCGGTGCCAGCGGAAGATTGCCGAACTGGAGAAAGAAGCCGACCAGGCGAGAAGATACAATAGATCGCTCATGTCCGACTTTGCCGATCAACTTCGACTAAAAGCACGCGCCCTGGGCGATTCAGTTCAAAAAGCAAGGCCGTACTTCGATGCTCTTCGAAAAAGCAAAAACGCAAAAGGGCGGACCTCGCATTTCGCCAATCAATACACTCGCGCGCAGCAGATTCTCAAGGCTTCGCGAGATCTCGTCGCCAATTCGGAGGAGAAAATGATGAGCGATCCGACGAACATGCAATGGCTGGAGCTGCTCAATGAGGCCAATGATCGAGCTAACCAGGTATTTTCAGTGAAGAATTGAGTTTGTGACGAAAAATGAGGTCGGTATATTTTTGAAATCGAGAAGCCGCTTGCGGCTTAGAGCTCCAGAAAGGATTGAGCCGAGCTAAACGCGGCTTTTCGAGTCTTTTTGCCCCAAGCCGCAGGCGGGTTCTCGACCTGGTTGCAGCCCCTTCGTTGAGTCAAGACTCATTTCTAATCAAAATTTCAGGCCTCCGCTGAAAAATCGAAAATCCAGTGTCGTCACGAAGAAGCTGCTCAAAATTATCGACTCGCGGAAGAAGTTGCTGCTCAATTGCTAAAAGCTGAGCGCAGAAATATTCGAAAGGCTACTTCCTATTTCGGTAGGAATTCAGCTCCCATTTATTGATGTTGGAATGAGTTATTTCAGAACTGAAGTCCAAGTTGGAGCAGAAACTCGAGGACTCAAGAAAAACGATGCAGAATATTGATTTTCGTCTCGTTGAAGCAAAGGTAAGCCCTTGAAATTTGCGCCAAGGACTCCACATATTATGATTTCAGGCTGAATTATCAGGCGCTCTCCAACGTCTTGGCAAAAAGTTCGACTCATCCGACCAGCTCCACAGGAGTTCTTCGTCCATCATTCCAGAGCCAGAGCCTGCTCCCTCCTCTTCTCATCCAATCGACTCTACTCCGAATCAATCATCCCCGAAATCGACTCTAGAAGACGAAGAAGACGGGTCAGATCGCGAAGAAGATCACTTTCAAAACGGAGATCAGGTCTTTTTCGACGATTTCTAGCGCTTTTTTGTTTCTGTCATTACTTTTGAATTCCTCTTTCTACCGTTGCAAAGGCAATCAAACTCTTCCAAATACCAAAAATATGCAAAAATATTGATTTTTTCATGATTCTTTTTCCCTTTTTCTGTATTTTTTCCATTAATTTTCGCTCAAACCTGCTAAAAACGACTTCTATTTATTTCAAAGTATCCCTGCTTCAATTTCACTTCCCGTGCCTTGTTTTTCACCAATAACAATTATTAATAAAATTTATTCAATAATATCTATTTGAGATAAAAAATTCATGAATGTCAGTTTCGTTTCTTGAAGCGAATCTTCATGGGAACAGTTGTTCTTACATTAGCGCCTTCGAATTTCATTTTCAATTCGTGGATTCCGGGCGTGTTTTCTCCCGGAAGGATTTCGTAGTTTTTCAGGACATTTGCGATGAAGACTTTTATCGCAACAAAGGCCCACCGAACAGCAGGACAAGAGCGGGGGCCGATTCCGAAGCCGAACCAGTAATCATCTGAAAAATGGAGAATTAAAGGGGTCCCCTTAATTTCGAGTTTAAAAAGAGGGAACTTCCCTTAGCATAAGGGGCTTAGGGGGTTTCCTAAGAGAGGTAGCAAAACCTTTGAACTTCAGTTACCTTGAAGAGTATTTGATTCATTTCCATCAAATCTATGGGGGTTGAAAACCTCTGGATCCTCGTAGTACTCCGGGTTTTTGTGAACCATGTAGGGCAAGAACATCACAAGATCTCCTTTCGCGATCTAAAATCAACCATTTTTCAACCGTTTTGGCTTTTGAAATCATACCTTGACTCCTGCCACATCGCAATCGTGGTCGGCCTCGCGCATAAGCATCAAAAAGGTGAAATAGCGCTGGGTTTCTTTGATGCAAGCGTCGATGAATTTGATCTTTTTCAGCCCTTCGTAACTTATGTCTGCGTCTTTTACTCGATTGTAGATGTCTTCCTGGACGCTGGGAGTCCTGGCCAAGGCGAAGAGCAAGAAAGACATGACTGTTGCGGTCGTATCTTGACCGGCGAGCTGGAAGAGGAGGGCTTGGGCGACGATTTCGTCCTAGAAAGGTATGTCTTTTGAAGGAGTTCTTTTGATAGTTACCTTGGTGAATCCCTTGGTGGCTGTGTGTTCCTCCGACTCATCAATGATATGATTCGCCATAAGCGAGACGAGATTAGTCCTTCCTCCCTTCGATCCCTGCTCCATAATCTGAGCAATGACATCTCTGAAGAACTTGTCCGTGGATGAAGGATAGTTGGTGATGTTCAATTTGAATCTGATCGATCTTGGGATGATGAGACTCTTCAGTGATCCGATGAAATCTGTGGCGAAGAGAATGTTAGAATGCTTGTAGACTTCCTCGACGAGCTCTTCGTTTTCTTTCGCGTTCAAAGAATAGCCAGAACCGAGGATTGCCCGAAGAGTATAGCCAGCAGAAAAGTCTTTGGCGTCGACCTCGATAGTTGGCGTTTTTGGGAAGTGATTGAGCTCGAAGTGCTCGTAAGTATCTTGCAAAACCAGGCAGGTTTCTTTCAATCTCGCGCCGGAAAAGAACGGAACGATCGTGTTCCTCAACCTCTTCCACTTCGCCCCTTCTGCAGCGGTCATCCAATCCACCGACATCTTTCCAAAAGCAAAGTTCGCTTCACTCCTTCCTCGCGTCGTGAAGTTTTGAAAGCCCTTGATGCAAACATCTTTCCAGACCATCGGGTCTTTGACGATCAGACAGGGTCGGGTGCCGAAGAAGTAGATGCCGAGGACGTCTTGCGACGGGAACTCCTTGAAGAGCCCTTCGCCCAAATCGTTGAAGATCGAAATGGTGTTTCCCATATCGGAAAAGGTTGGTCTTGGGCCTTGGACTCCCTTGCGCTCCCAGTACTTCCATTTGTTTTGAACCCAGCAGTAGCCAGCCAAACCGCTCAGTCCTTTCATGGTTCAAGACATAAGGGTATCAATCAATTAGCTTTAATTTTTGAGCCATTCCTATAGCGCTGATAGCAAGAATCTCCGCCCTCGAACGGGTCTTCAAAAACTCCGAGATTTTCTTCAGTTGTTCTTTCGTCGCATCCGGGATTTCTTCCATCGAGATTCTCTTGGCTGGAAAATATTCCAACAACGCCTCCATTTTGGCTTCGAAAACGGGGAGTTTTGAAGATAGATCTTATTATTGATCGCTCCCGGCTAGATCACGTATTTTTGTCGATGACTGTTCTCGCCATATTTGGTAGCTTCACCGCACAGTTCATATTTGTTCGAACTCTTGGTCAAATATGCCCGACATTGACAATGATGATCATTGAAAAGATATGATTGTCTATTTTCCGTAAACGACAAAGAATTATCAATGAGCTTGAAAGTACATTTTTATGCTAATTATTTCGTTTTTTTCGAGAAATTGCTTGAATCGAACAGATTCCAAAGTAAATTAGTTTATTTATTATTAATTACTTTTCGTCAACAGATTCAGAACAACAGTTGCGAATTTATTCACTGGCAAATAATTGTTAATTCTTCCAAGTTCTTGCTTGACAGTGAGTTTTCTTGCGAATTACTGTAAAACAGTGTTAATTTCTATTGACAGTCGCTTTGATTTCTCCTAAGTCAGTTATTTTTCCGTGCTTGATTTAAGAATTTTTTTAGGAAGAAAGAACGCTTATCGTATCGTTTAGTCGATTTTATCCGGGTAGTAATTGGTACATTACGGTTATAAGTAGATCAACAGATGCTGATTTTTGTTATGTGAGTTTTATGTAAAAGAAAAGCGTCTTTAATTGAAAGAAAGGTTGGTCGGTGATCATTATTCTTATGTTAGAAAAAATAATCTTATAAACATATCAATCAATCTATCAATTTGATTATGACAAGTCATAAAATAGACTTTTTTCCATATAAAGCCCAAGATAACATCGATAACGCCGATGACGTTCCTTATTTTATATCTTTAAAAATAGATTTGATCAAGGCAAAAAGGTCTCTTTGTTAGCTTTTTTCTATAAAAAAAGTCGAGGAAGGGATGGTTTTTCCTTTGAAAGGAGCTTGATAAAGATTTTTTTAGAAAACATTGCCAGAATTGAATTTATGATTTGAGCGAGCAGAAGTTCTATTTCCTTGACAGTGTGCGCAGAAAAAAATAAATAAATGAGAAGTAATGAAAAATGAATTCATTTTGACATGTGTCAAATGTCGGAATTGCGCCACATGATGGACCATCGAGAAATAATTAATTGCCTCCTTTCCAACTATTTATACGGAGCAAGCGACCGCAAAATAAAATCAGTTTGCGAATTCTTAGTTTTATATTTTTGTTGTGGTACTTGTTGTTCGCAGCCTTCGTAAAATGCGGTTTATGCTGTTGTCTATCGGTAAGTTTCGATATAAAGGATAAATTTAACCTTTATTCTTCTTTTCATCAAATTGCTCTTTCATATTTTTATCAGGATCTTGATATTATTCGATAACTTTAAGAAATTCAGCCTTTTTCGACCAAATTCTTCTTTCATAAATACCATAGTGATACCCTTATTTTATCATGAATGAAGAAAGCTGACACCCTTAACTAGGTTCTTTGAACGCTAGAATTTTAAGCTATCAATTTATTTTTAAATTTTGAATAAAAAAATTTATTGTTATAAATTCTAGCATTCAAAGAACCTAGTTAAGAGTGCAAGCTTGCTATATTCATGATAAAATAAGGGTATCGCTACGTTATTTATGGAAGAAGAATTTTGTCGAAAAAGGTTTTTTTGAAAAGAATCTTTTATTGGCAAAATGGATGGTCTAAAAATTCATTTCAAGAAAAAATCAGTAAGATCATATCTTGCCATTTATTGCAATAATTTCAATAAAAAGCCGATCCGGGATCATCATCTTTATCTTCTATTTTAGCTTTTATATCTGGCTCTGCGGCAAAATCATCCGGATTCGGTATGTTTCAGGCGAAAAGAGGATGGCAGGATCTAATGCAATATCAAGTACGTTTTCTTTAGTCCCACCCTCAATAAATCGAAATCTAGCTTGGCAAAATTGAAGAAAATCCACAAATGAATCTTCGAAAAAAGCGACTGTTTGGCGTAATCGATGGTGCCAGCGATTTCGTCAGCGACCCAAAATTCTCAATTTTTAGCGATCCATCGTACTTTGGCGGCCGGAAATGATCTTTTCTGATTCCCGAGTTTACTGATTTTTGATTTTTCTTGAGAAATAAATTTAAAAATGAGGAGTTTTACGCAGCAGAGATTTTTGACCCTTTCAAGGCGGGTTAAGGGTCTAGCGCCAGGTTTAAAGAAGTTTAGAGGCCCTTGATGCTGATTAACTTGATTCAGGCGCGTTTACGAATCAGGGAATCAAGGGATATGCGACGCTAGAACGGCAAGAAGGAGCATTGGATTGCTTCAAAGAGAGGTTCGTGACTTTCAAATACATCCCTAGGTGAGCATTTGGGACCATTCCCAATGAAAAATATCTTGATTTTAGAGCGCTGAGGCGGTTTAACGACAGCTGGTGGAAGTGGGTTCCCGCTACGGCTTTAGGTAGGCATGAGTAAAACATACTAATGTCTTGGTACTTTTGAACGGAAGAGCTTTAAGTTTTGACATTGAGTCTTCCCCCCTTCAAATGTCATAGTCTATGAGTCATAGACTTCCTTTGGAATGACGGTAAAAATGGTTCTAAGTTAGAACGTCTAACAACGATTCTTGTTTTTATGCGGAATTTTTTTTTATAAAAAATTGCTATTCTTTCAGCATTTTTTTGGATTGAATGGTCGCATAATTTCAACGAACAGCAAAAACGAAAATCACCAGCGGACTACGAAAACGATGAGTAGCAAAAGACACTCGTTCCTATTTTTCTATTTTCACTTTTTTGAATGTCGCTAATAAAAATGAGAATCCTCCTCTCTTTTTCTGCTCTGGCGCGCCATCGCATTCCATAAAAAAATCCATATAAATAAACGAAAACGCCTCGAATTTTCATCAAAAAGAAAAAGGAAGAAAAAAGGAGGAAAACCAAAATGTTCAACCAGCAGCTTCTTTTCGCACTTTTTCTCCTCTTCCAGCAAATTTTCGCGTCTTCAAACAGCGATCTCCGTCGCAACGCATTCCTGTCCTACCACGGGAACACGAAGCAAAAACGCAGCATGCATGCTCTTCCCGGATCCGTCCAGGACCCCGCGGCACTTCTGGTCAACAAACGAAGACAGCACTATCTCCTCCGAAAATACTACGAAACATATCGACTTGCTCAATCTGTTGGTGTTGAAAAACATGTTGCTGACCATTACTACAACAACTATTACGGAAAATTCCTCAGGGAACCTTGAAGAAATTGAATCATGATTTTCTGTGAAATAAAATCTCCAAAATAAAGACTTGTTTTCATAATTAATTATTTAAGAAAAGGCTGCGAGACAGAATTAACGGTAAAGTAAATTGACAAGCGAGCTACTTCGTAATTCATGAATTTATCGAGGCTCCCAGACAACAAAAGCCAATATCAGAGTTGTATTAATGTATTTATGAGTTTGTTAATTCGGTTCAGAAGATGTTGGGTCGGGATTTTTCACTTTTCGGCGACGGATAACTTTTCGTTCTTTCGGTTCAGCAAGCTGTTGAAGGTTTTGTTCGACGTATTCTAGATTTTCACTGACTATTTTTTGATTCAAACGGATAAATTTACAGTCAGTTAGGCCGATTATCTTTGATTGCCATGATACCGACGATTTTGGAGGTTTTTCGACACAAAAAACCTCGAATTATCAGACTTAATGAGCTCACGAATCAGTTCCTGAGAAGATAAGCTGCTCAATTCTTTCGATTCGCTTGAGAAAATGGACGAATTTCTTTGTCGTCAGAAAATATGGTCGAAGCTTGTCCACTTCTTCTCTCACTGCTTGTTGATACTTGAGCCTGGCGATTTCATGTTCCAAAGCATTGACAACGAATAAGTCCATTACTTCATCAAGTTTATCTTGTTTTCCCTGCGCTTCTTCTTTTAGCTCTTCTTGGAGTTTTAGGAAATCAACTTGCTTCGACTCTGAAAACAGAAAGGTTAGGGTTAGGGCTAGATTACTGAAGGAGCTACAGCGTAGGTTACTGTACCTTTCATAGCATCAAAACATCGTTTAATCTCTTCTTCTGCTGCATCACTCCCCATGTCAAATCGAGCAAGGATCTTTTCGACGACGTATTTGAAGTAATTTGAAATGAAGAACTCTTTGCTTTCTTCCTTGATTTCAAGATTGGCATTTTTCTTTTCAAATCGATAAATGGCGAAGATGAACGGTATGAAAGCAACCCAAAGAAAAGGGATGAGGAAGGTGATCGTGATGCCTTTGATTGGATGCATTTCAACCCTTTTTTTAACGAAAAAGTAAATCCAAATTCTGGCCCGTTTCTGGCAGCGATCTCGAAATGAGCCGATTATGCCGGAGCAGAAAAATCCAAGAAACGCTTCTGAAAATCGACTCGTTCAAGAAAAACAGGTTTTCCACCCCATAAAGACTCTTCAAAATCATCAAGACTCCACAAAACGCCGCGACCACCATCAAAATCAGGCTTCTTAGCCCAATGAACATCCGCCTGAAAGCCAGGCAGAAAGCAGCAGAGCTTCTGACATCGATGAAAAATCGGGTTCCATCGAAAGCGGTGAAGAGAGAGCAGGCGAGGAGGATTTCGTGAGGGAGAGCCTTTCTTTTGAAACTGTCGATGACGTAGCATTGCTGCTCTTCGTATCTTTTTGGGACGCAAGTGCCTTTTTCAAAAGCTCATATATCTCATTCCCTGGTTCGAGAGTATTTTCTGAGCTGTTCCTAGAATTGATAAAAGATTCAAAGCGACGAAAAAGAGGAGGACGATGTTGAGAAAACAGCATGTTCGATTAGCATCGTTGAAGAACTCTCTTTCTCCGACAATGTACGCCTCGTAGAATTTTTCGAAAAGCAGGAAGAGGGCTAGAAGCGAAAGGAGCGCGACGATGAGAACAGATGAGATCGTTATTTCGTCGAATCGGTAGGTCTGGAGAAGCAGGGACGCTCCACCCGTGCTCTCGCTCAGGTGAAAATGAATGTTTCCAACTAAGAAGAATTATTGACCATATGAAGAATCATAAAAACCTGAGATGAAAGTAGCTGCATCAGATTGCCAGTGAAAATCAATGTCGTTTATTTCGCCAAACTCTTGAATTCCGAAGTTTCCCTCGCTTTCCAAAATTGTCTTGGCGACGGATCCGTTCGCAAATCTTCTCGTGAGCCTGGGTTTATTGATAAGAAGCGTTGAAAACTCTCCAATAAGAATGTTTTCTTTGAAAACTCCACGAAACCAGCTTTCGAAGGCGGAAAACGACTTGATATCAGAAGATTCGCCGTCGAAAATTTTCTCCAAAACTCGGTTTTCAACTGTCTTTTTTTCGAAAAAATGATAGTAAAAAACCGTTTCTTGTAAAAAATCATCAAGCGCGCTGAGATACATGTGATCTGAAGCCAGCAAGAAAGTCATCAAAATGAAGAGAACGAGATATTTGGCTGCCTCATGCATCCATGTTTTGAAAATCTCATCGAAGTCCTCCTCATCCTCTTTTGTCAAATGCGTTCTGAAGATTTTCTGCAAAAAAGTTCTTGTCATTTCTCTTCTCTAACAAGAGCTTTTGTTTGCATTTTTTCATAAAAATTAAAATTCTAGAGAAAAAACTGGCTTCCTTTTTTTTGTTTATTACAAAGTTTTTAATATTCAATGCTATGATTTTTTCTTCTTATGCAGTCTGGGGAGGAGCATAATTAGGGTTGATGATCCAGAGGTTAAGGTAGTCGGGGTGTCGGATCCATTTCATATGGGCGGTCTTCTGCAGAGCAGCGAGGAGCTGGCCTTCTTTGTTCTTGTCGACAACCGATCCTCGTCGCTTTTTGACCAAAGGCGCTAGGGAAAGGGTTTGAAAAGGGGGATGAAAATGCGGATTACCGGAGAGTCCTGCTTTCTTTTCCTCAGCAGGAGCGTCGGCGGGCTGTGCGGGAGTTTCTTCAGCAGGAGCTTCGACTGTAATTGCTGGAGCGGCTTCCTCGGCAGGGGCTTCAACAGTGATTGCTGGGGCAGCTTCTTCTGCTGGAGCTTCGACGGCGATCTCTGGGACGGCTTAAAAAATGATTAAAATTATTCTCTAAGTCTTTGTCTTACCTGGGGTTTCAGCTGCAGGAGCGGCTTCTTCAGCAGCTGGCGCGGCTTCCTCAGCTGCTGGTGCGGCTTCCTCAGGGGTAGGCGCGGCTTCTTCTGCGGCTGCCGCGGCTTCTTCAGCGGCTGGTGCAGCTTCCTCTGGAGCTGGAGCAGATTCTTCTGGAGCGGGGGCGGCTTCCTCAGCAGCGGGAGCTGGCTCTTCGGCAGCTGGAGCAGCTTCTTCTGGTGCTGGAGCCGCGGCTTCTTCTGCTGGCGCGGCTTCTTCAGCTGCGGCTGGGGCGGCTTCTTCTGGAGCGGCTTCTAGTTTTTTTTATAAAAATTGAAAATAATAATCATTTTTTGATTCATTTCTTTCTCAAAATATTTTCAAAAACTCGAATTTCTAATAATTAAATCCTGAAAATAAAATTTATTCAAAACCTGGTGCAGGAGCCTCTTCTGCGGCGGGAGCTTCAGCAGGGACTTCTTCGACCTTTGGCTCCTCGTCTGCCATATTTTCTCTGATAATTTTTATTTTACCCATTTTAGGAAAGTGCACGGAAAAACACACAAGTTTTCATGTTGAAGTTCGAGTTGAAAGAAAAGCTTTTCACATCAAGAATAATGAAAAAGTAATGAAAAGAAGGAGAAAAAGATACTTACAGCGTTATAATTGATAAGCTTCAGGGAAGCTCTACAAATCTTCTCTGTCTGATAAGATTGAGCCTCGACGAGCATTTTGTGAAAGCAAGTCCTCAAGGATTAGCGCCTTGTGAGCTCATATCAAGAGCAATGACAAATTACAAACTTTCTTGTCATGAATTTTTTCAGTTGATTTTTTGATAAATAAATTCGTGATTTTCTTCATTTCGTTTTTTTTTGTTAATTCTATCTTTTATCCAATATTCCTTCAGTAACATACGGTTCACACAATTTTTATTTGATTCATATTTATTTTCATGCAAAATCAAAAGAAAAACGGCTAGATACGAGAAGCTCCAATGATCTTGAACAGAATAAAGACATAAAACGCGATGAGAATGGTGAAGTACGCGTACCAGTAAGAATCCGCATCATTCGAAAGCGGCCAAAACATCGAGTGCACCACCATGCTTGCTGATGGAAAAAGTCCTCCGCCGGATGCTGACTAAAATTTCATAAACAACTCATTTTTTGAACTTCAACTAACCATATTTATCGATAAAAACGAAGCTCTCTCTTTTTCTTTTTTTCTATTTGACCGCTAAAAATATCAAAAAATATCTCGCAGAATTGAGTTCTAGAGATTTCCGAGCTCGGCAATCAGCGAAGAAAACCTGAGTCAGGGTCACCGCTCTTCTGATTTCTGCCCATTAATTTAACGCTGTCAATAAATCGTGCAATCTGTCGATCGGACAATCCCGCGGTAGAGTTCCAAGTGTCATTTCAATTTTAAAGAAAGTAACTGAAGAGAACATCAAAGAACAGCAGTTCTATGCTGAAAACTCCGATTCAAAAAATGAAGTTGAAGAAAGCATTTGTTGGAAGAGAAAGCGAGGCTGAGCGTGAGTTTACTGTTAATTGAATCGTTCAGAAATGAAAGAATTTAAATTAAAATTGAAAATTGGAATTATTTGCGCCAGTGAATTTGTCAATGTCAGCTCGTTTGTCATTTTTTTCGCCGCATTTTTTCCAAGAGACAATTGCTTTTCTCCAGTATTTTCCTATTTTGTTGTCTTTTTGGGAAATGATAAGAGGAAGGCGGAAAATTACCAAAGGTTTATAAACTTATATTCGAAAAACGTCGGATCGACAAGAATGACGACAAATTTGGCCAAAATTTTGGTCGAATTCAAGACCAACCAGAAGGCCAATAAGATTTCAGAAAAACAAATATTGCAAAAAATCAATTTTTGTCGCAAAAATTTTTTTGAAATCTTATTGGCCAACTGGCGAAATCCTCTGGTCTGATTGGACTAAAATTCGACCAAAATTTTGGCCAAAATCGTTGCGTTTTTTGTCGATTTGGTCGAAAAAAAATAATTTCTTGAGAATTCTCATTCATTTTTTATGAATAAAATGGGGGAGAAAAACATGCAGATTTGTCAGAATAAATAAATGTTTTAGCATCTCGTTAAGCCAATTTAAATTATAGGAAGGTCGATCAAGTCGTGCAGCGAGCATCACAATGGGCCGACAGTCCATTTCGGTAAATTGAAGAAGTCACTCATCCTCAAATGGAGAAATTAAACTTGAAATTAATCTCCTCGTAGAGCTTCTCCCGGGACTCACAGTTATTGTTACGGACGATCAACAAGAGAGAAATACTACTTCAGTAAATTGTCAACAATGAAAAAATATATCCGCACAAAAAAAAATCGACAATCAAAAAGAAAGATAGAATGTTGGAGAGCATAATCGAATCGTCAAAACGCTCGAGATTTTCAGCAATAAAATCTCAGCCGACAAAAGAAAAGATCAAATGGAAACACGAGTTGTTGGATTGGGGCTCTAGGTCTGTGGTCTGAGAATTTCGAAAATTTTTCTTATCCCTTTTTTGACCAATGAAAGTTGTCCGAGATGTTTATCAGGAGACGGGAGCTTATCCAGCCATTAGCTTTTCCAGCCATTAGCTTTTCCAGCATATTAGAATTTCCAGCAAGGCTGGAAAAGCTAACGGCTGGAAAAGCTAATGGCTGGAAAAGCTTCTTTCAGATTGATATTTTTCTAATGAAAATATAGTTTGATAAAATAAGTACTTTTTTCATTAAAAAGTGTATTTACTTTGTGAAATATCATAATTAATTAATAATCGTCGATTAATATAAGAATATAAGAATTATCGAGAGATCGTTTTCTGAGAAACACGTACGCTCCGAAATCAACAGCCATGCTCGCAGTACCAAAATCGGAACAAGGAGTACCAAAAATCCCGACCGCCTTTGAAACCGATCTCTCGATAAATTTTATACTAATCGACGATTATTAATTAATAATGAACCATTATTAATTATATTACACTAAGACGTGCTTTTTTAAGGTTCACCAAGTTTTCCAGCTCACTTCCGCCTTATAGACCCCCGAACACCATACGGTATGGTCCATACCTTTTTAGAATCAGCAGAAAATTTTAAGAACTTTGACGGTTTAAAATTCTAGAAAACTCCACTTCCGGTCGATTCTAGAGCCGGAAGTTGACGAAATTTTGGTGTGATGGTAAAGTATGACCTGTCAAATTGATGCTCGGAAGATTTTGAGTCATCCTATAATCAATGTATATAATCAATGTATCAGAAGACAGAGTCCCAAACGTGGTCAAACCGACCGGCAAAATTATGTAAAAAAGGCGTAAATTGATGAAATTTTTTCATTTTTTTCGGTTGGTTTGACCGCGGTTGGTCTTTATTCTTTTCTAAAATGATAGGAAATCGTCAGATCAGCAATTTGATAGGTCAAACTTCACCATGACACCTTAATTACGTCAACTTCCGGCTCTAGAATCGACCGGAAGTGGAGTTTTCTAGAATTTTAAACCGTCAAAGTTCTTAAAATTTTCTGCTGATTCTAAAATTATATGGTGTTCGGGGGTCTATATGGCGGAAACGGGCTGGAAAACATCGTTAACCTTAAAAAAGCACGTCTAAGTTAATACACTTTTTAATAAAAATAGTACTTATTTTATCAACTTATATTTTCATGAGAAAAATATCAATCTGAAAGAAGCTTTTCCAGTATATTAGCTTTTCCAGCAAATTAGAATTTCCAGCAAGGCTGGAAAAGCTAATGGCTGGAAAAGCTAACGGCTGGAAAAGCTAATGGCTGGAAAAGCTCCCGTCTCGTTTATCAGCGCTTGGTCTCCCCTGCGTTTTTCTCTCGGATTTGAGAAAATCAGATTTGTTTCTAAGAAAATATCCAGGTAAAACAGGGATTGCCTTGTTCCTCGTTGAGCCTCTACATTAGTCCCCTTGTTCATCCTTTGGCCGCGTAGCCTTTCTTTCGAAGATCGTCTGCCAATCAGGATTCCTAAAGTGGCCCAAAAGTTAACGAGGGCTCACCTGCAGGAAGAGCCGAATGAACAAGGCCACCCCTATTTAATTTTCTTCCTATCCCCTTCCTTGAAAAACCTTCAGAGATAACACGATCAATGTCATTTTTAATGTGCATCTGCCCCTGCTCCTTTCCCCTCTTCATCGGCAGAACTCGTCATCAATTACGTCTTTCGCGAAATATCGATGGAAACTTTCTCAACGACTACATGACCAGTTTTCTTTGCTTCTGGGCGGTGCTTGTTCAAATGCACGTAGAAATAACTGGAATACACTGATGAGCATTTTGTATTTTTTTTGTTACAGGAAATCATTCATAATAAAATTTCTCATAAGTTCTTCAAGGCCAAAGTTTCTTGAAAGGCGTATTCCGATTCCAGTGCTTCGTAAAAACCTGAAAGATATTGAAAATTAAGGAGGTACCAACGTTAGAAGTTTACCTAAGACAAAATCGTTCGTATTCAATTCTTTTCGCCTCGCAATTTCTCAATTCCTTTTCAGCGTCTACTCTTCTTTCTCGTTCAAACTTGAATTTTTCCAAAATCTTTTCCTTCATTTCATCTTTTCCAGAGTTGATCAAGACTGGAAACACTTCCAAGTCCTTCTTCACCGTCTTTTTAGCTGTTAAAAGAGCCTCCATTTTTTGCAGTTTTGAAGCGAGCTCGTTCATTTTTTCCCTTTGTTGGTTGATCTTCATTTCTTCATCGGCAAATCTTTCTTCAAGCCTTTCAGCTCCTTCTTGCTCCGATTCTAGCGAGCATTTGAGCCGTTTATTCTCCGATTTTAGCTTTTGAAGCTCGATTTCTTTCATTTCTGAAATCTTCTTTGTCCGTTGTAAGCTTCGTTCTTCTGAAAGGCGTTTGTCCTCCTTGATTTTAGCAAGCTGATTTTTCAACGATTCTAGCTCTTCTTTCAACTTAGTTTTTTCGCCTTTCGCTTGGAGGAGTTTTTTGCCGCAGGATTCGTTTTTCTTTACCGCAGATTGAAGCTTATTTTCTAGCGCCTCTTTTTCTTTATTTTGATTTTCGAGGAAGGCGGCTTTTTCGTCCGTTATTTTTGAGAGTTCTTGAGCTTTTTGAAACAACAACTTGACATGATTTTTTGTCGATAAAATCGTCGACTCTTGGACTTGAATTTCGCTTTCTAGCTCTTTGAAACTTCGCTTCTCGATTTTTAGTTCTTCATTTTTTTGCTCAACTTCTTCATCTTTTTCTTCCAAAAGCTCTCGGAAAAGCCGTATTTGTGAATTGAACTGCTTCGCTTGTTTTTCAAGAAGAGATGATTTTTCCTCCTCTGAGTTTTTCAGCCGGTCCTCGAGATAGAAGATTTCGTCTTCTTTTTCTTCCAACAAATTGCGGAATAAATCCAAATGATTTGTTAAAGACAGTTGAAGGGCTTCAGAATCTAAAGCTGGGATTAGTTTGCTGAGTAGAAAACCTGAGTCAGGCTTCAAACAGCCCTTTCAGGGCCCTGACTCAGGTTTTCTAGGCAGATTTCCGAACTCAATTGAGCTAAAGAAAAAAATATTTTTCAAACCTGCAGGTGGCGCTGTTTCAGCTTGACGAATCAGATCTTGAGAAAATGATGAAAGAAGATTTGATCGTCGGAGATTTTCATTTTCTTCCATCAAAGAAGCAAGTTTTTCATTATTTTCAAAAATCTTCGTTTCAAACTCAGAAACTCTCCTGCTCAGGATTTTCTTCAGCTCTTCCGGGAGAAATTCGTCCAGCTCTAGAATAAGAAGGTTAAAAGATTTCTTGATTAAAGCTTGATGAAAATTAAAGATCATAATGAGAAATAAAGTAACTGAAACAATCGCTTATTCATTTCCTCCTTTGCCAAACTGAAGTGTCAATACAGTAGGGTCTATTTTTACTTTTTCTAAATGAGTAGAGGTTCGGAAACGTCGAAAATGAAGAAAATGATAAAAATCAAAAGACCAAAAGCAGGAGATCCAGAAAAAAACAATGAAGAGAGAGCAACCCAAAGTCGGACTTCGTTACAAAACTCGTTTGTTATGGAAACTTTTGTGAAAATACTAGTTGCGCTGATTGGTGCCATGGCTGTCATAATACCGTCTGTTTTGGTATCAATGAAGGACTCGAAAGAGATCTCTCCATGCGCCAGCGAACCTTGTCTCAACAATGGAATCTGCTCGAGCGATGATAGAGGTTATTCATGCCTGTGTCCTGAATCTTTTACTGGAAAAAACTGTCAAAATTCGATAACAACAACGACCACAACTACTACTTCAGCGATTGCTACTTGCAATGTACGAGTTTCGGCCAAAAATTTCAAATAAAAAATTTTTTAGACTTCAACTACAAAATGGAAACGAGCACGCTACCCAGGAGATCTGCCCTGGGCGTATACAAGAAGTAGCGCCCACGGCGACCAGGGCGAGTCTGGCGATCTCGTTGTCGCTCCGTGGCAAGTTGATGCCCTTGTCAAGCTCGGTTACGATGCTGACAAGCTGAATATTTACCAGAACGCACCAAGCAGACATAGAGTTGTCAGAGGTTTAAACAGCTGGGCTGTAAAGTGGAGCGAGACCGACTCGGATGGACGATACGTTGTTCCATATGCCATTCAAGATACAGTTCCAAAAGAAAGCTGGCAGCAAATCCACGATGAGCTCGCCGACCTGACCAAAGCCATGGGATGTCTGAAATTCGTGTACGATGGAGCCTTCTCGAACGACATCGGTGTTCACATTGTTGGTGAGACCTCGGACAGCACTGGTTGCTGGTCATTCATCGGTGTTTGTGAACTCGACGATTGCAGCAATGGCGTAAGTGGAATCCATCCCGGATGGCAAGCACTTCGACTCGAAAACTCTTGCATCAGTGGCGGCGGCATCCATCACGAGTTCCTCCACGCTCTCGGCTTTCTCCACGAAGAAGATCGACCAGATTGGGCTGACCACATCACCGGTGGAGATGCTGTCGGTGCCATCAACGAAGATGAATGGATTGACAGTGGCCATCCCTTCGAGCCGGCTTCCACTCTGATGAAGACCGGGTACACCCTCGTCAACGGCCGCAGCTACGCTCCTCATCACCTTCTCACCACCACCGATGCCGAGCAGGGGCACGCTCTCTACTGCGAAGGCAAACTCGATACCCACCCGCTCGTGCCGCGATCAAGGTGCCTTGAGCCAGATGTCGTTGGCGTGATCCGACCGATCTTCGAGCACAGATTCTGCGATGGCTTTAGGGACTGTCTCGACGGAGAAGACGAAGATAACCGTCTCGCTGATTGCTTTGAGGAGGCGCCTAAAACTGCCCTAGGCTGCTGCTCCTCTCTTTATGTAAACTGGAATGGCGTCGGATCTTGCGTCGCCTGTGGGACATACAACGGCAAGGATTTTTATCAATGCCCAGGTGACCACGAATGGCTCGGAGGGATCCGATGGGAGACGGAGAAAGGATGGACTGTCTGCGACTTCCCTGGGTGGGGTGGATGCGATGCTCCGTGGGCCTGGACAGGGGCCGAATCAGACAACGTCTGCTTTGGCGACAACGGAGAATTATCCGCTAGCTACGTTTTCCCGTTCGGAGATCATCCAGAAATAAGCTTCAGCTGCGAACCTGGAACCGAACCCCGAACAGGAGAACATTTTCCATGCGCTCATCATGATTGCGCTGACAACGAACGATGCGTCAACACTGCTGATAGATCTGGGTTTACCTGTGAGTGCAGAGACCCCGTCAAAAGCCCTTGTTGTGCTGATAAAGATAATGACTGCGCATCATTGGCTGCGAGCGGCAATTGCTCGAAAAATCCAATGTACATGCGAGAAATGTGCAAAGAATCTTGTGGGCTTTGTCCTACTGCTACCACTACGACTACAACTACTACCAGTAACACTGACGCCTAGCTATCGGTAATTTTATAGAATCTATCATCCAAAATAAGGAATTTTCAAATTTCAGTTCTTCCGGAAGAAATTCGACCAGCTCTAGAATGAGAAGAAAAATTAAGGGAGTGCACTCGGTATTTGCATAATAAAAATTTACTCGGATTTCATGTTGTAAAAAAATGTTTATTCATTTCCGGGCAGCAAATGTTCTATGTTCCAAATATAAAAAGATCTAAAAAGCAAGAGATACCAAAAATAACTTTTTCGAATCAGCGAGTTCTGAATTCATAAACAGAAAACAGTATAAATAGATTCCTTTTTTCAGCTCATTATTTGAGCTAAGAGAGACAGATATTCGGAGATGACTTTTTTCCTTGATTTAATTTTGTTGAATTTTGCCGATGCAAGAGTTTTTATCGACGGAGAGAAAATTTATGGCTTTCAATGCTCTTGGAATGAAGATTGGTGTCCTGGCCAGGGATTCTAAAAACTTCATCCTTTATGAAAACTAATTAACAAATGAGAATCCCCTTCGAGCTGGAAAAATGATCAGAACTCGAGTAAGTAAGACTTTTTTTAAAAATTCGTAAATATGAATTTCTTTTTTTTTCAATAAAAATTAAAAGAGATACGATTCGAGCAGAGATTTGGCCAATCTTACTCCGCCCTTACTGGGGCAAAATCAGATCGGAGTGGCGAAAAGGGCGGATATCTTGTGACTGGCAGTCGAAACAAGAAAAATATGGATGGAGCCAAGATTTTTTCCCCGGAAGTTCAAATTACAGACAAAACCTACTGTATCGAGCTCTTTTACTTGGCCTACGGAAAGGCGCTTTTTAGACGATCCCTTGGGCTAAAGGAAGGGCGAAAATTGGCAGTTCAAAGCGCTAGAATTCAAATTTGAAGCCCAAAAAAAGAATTTGAACAAAAACGAAGAAATAATCATCAGCAATCTTCCCAAAAAATCCGTCAATAATGAGCACTGGATCGAAGTTCGTCTAGAAACTGAGCTTCCAGAAACTTGGAGATGGGGGAAAATGCAGCTCTTTCTCACTGTAACTCGCGGTTTTAGCTTTGCGTCAGAAGTTGCCTTCGATGATATTTCGCTCAAGCCCGGAAAATGCCCGAAAAATGAGAAAAAAGAGCAACCACCGCCAACTGCGAGGACTTATCTCTCTCCAACGCCAACAAACCAGCCCGCAAAGATTGAAGTCGTGAGAGAATACAACCCATTTTTCACCCTGAACACGCGAAAATGCTCGATCTCATCTTGGGATGGAAAGAAAATGATACGAACAGAGGAGACCTACAGTGTCCAGTTTCACCTTTGCTGCGGAAACAAACTTGTAAGCCGAAGCGCTGGTGATAAATGCTGCGAAGGAGCACCTTATTATTCCAGGAAACAAGTTTGCTGCGGCGGAAAAGTTTTTGAAAAACAAAATGGATATTCTTGTTGCTCAGAAAAATATGTTAATGATGGGCGAGTCTGCTGTGGCGGTAGTGAATTAAAGGAGCCAGCGAAAGAAGGTTGTTGTTCTGGAAGTTCGTTTTCAAGGGATGAAGCTTTTTGTATCGAGTAAGTCGGAAATGAATAAGCTAGGGTCAGGCCCAGCGGAGATCGGAGGGGGGTCCTGTCTGATTGGCTAATGGAAAAAATACTTGACTGTGATTGGCTAAAAGGGCGCCCCCTGCCAAAAGATATTGCTTTTCCTGCGGGTTAATTTTCCAATCGTTTTTAAGAAATCGAGTCGTCCAAAAAGCCGAGGTCGATGAAAACCGATTATGCGGAAACAATGATTTCAAAATCCAACTCGCCCCTGACGAAGCCTGCTGCAACGGCAACGCTTACAAATCCCTTCTTTTCGGCTGCTGCTCTGGCGGTTTTGTCTACGACCTGCGCTACGAAGAATGCAACGAGTGGGGCAAACCAAAAAAGCTCAATTTTTACAAATCGCTTCAGCCGAAAATGCAGCTTGGAATGTATTTCTTTTCCTATACTCCCCAATAAACAAACTAACCTGAAACTGGCTCGATGACTCTTTCAAAATCGGGGCTTTTGTCGATTTTCCCGAGTTCTGCAGAAAGCGACTTTTCAATTTCGAAATCGCGGAGATCCAAAAGCTCTTCTGAAAGTCGCTCGTTTTCGTCATGTGATTCTTCGAGCAGATTTTCTAGTGTTTTGATTCGATCTTCCATGAAGTGTTCTTTCTCGGCGAGCTCGTTTTCGTGCGACCAAATGAGTTCCTCGAGCTGGATTTTTAAATTTTTGTTTTCTTTTTTGAGATTTTTCGCGAAGCTGCATTCTTTCTGAGCAAAAAAGGGTTGAAAAACGATCATTTTTTTATTTTCAAAACTGACCTTTAATTTCTTCATTTCTTCTTGTAAATCGTCGTATTCAAGACTTTTGTCGACATAATTGACGTTGATGATTTCAAACTCATTTTGCAGGTTGTCGTATTCTTTTTGAAGCTCTTCAAATTCGGCTCGCTGAACATGAGACTTTTGAAGCTCAGATAGGGTTGTTTGGAAGTCTTCTTCTTTTTGAGAAAGTGATTGTCGGATCGATTCTTCTGATTTTTCCAGCTCCTCCCTGAAATATTCAGATTGCGCTGATGATGACGAAGTTTATAAAAGATGCTTAGAATTCTCGATTTATGGCAAGTATGAAGTTGAAATGACCTTAACCTCTGTTTATGCCGTAAATAACATTTTCGTTGTAATCTGAAAGCTGTAAAAACTATGAACTGCGCTCAAAAGTGTTCAGAAAATCGTTCCATCTCAGACTAGCCACAAAAAATCAAAGATCGAAGAGATTTGAAAAATGAAGTTTGAACAAGTAAGATTTTTTTTTTTGAATTTTGAGCTAAAAATTTCTAAGCTTCTTATTTTGCTCACAAGTCTGCCGTTTCTGAGAGTCACTGCCATGGCTGTTTGGGAAATAAACTGTTCTTCCACAGATGATTGTGCTCCTTTCAATGCCTACTGCGTTACGACCGAGTTTATGGAGTTGATGGGGATCCAGCCCGTCTGCGCGTGCTACTTCGAGCTCGGTCACGTGATGAATACTTATGCTGAGCCTGTAATTATCAATGGCTATGCTTTGACAGGAGTCTGTGAAGATTCATCAAGTAAGTTCAACCTGTTTTAAAACCTGACTCAGGTTTTCTACACAGGTTTCCGACCTCAAAAGAGGGAACGGACAAAAAATTTCGACAATTTTCGTGAAAATTTTCAACCAATCAGAAGCCTTGATTCGGGGCACCGGCCAATCAGCAGCCAAGGAGCCGCCCACGCAAAATTTGTCGAAATTTTTTTTGCCACCCCCTCAAAAGGCCCCATGTCATGTGAAAACTTACCTTATCAATCTTTCTTCCTCAAACTGATGCTCCGTCCTTAGCAGCTCTTCCCTCACAGACTCCAATTTCGAGCGAATCTCCAAAACCGTCTGCTCACAAGAATCCGCGATAAACGCCTTCTCTCTGTTCAAATTCTCCGCTTTTGATCGCAACCTCGTTATTTCTTCCCTCAGCTGCTCATTTTCCAGCTCGCATTGATCAGCTCTTTGGGTCTGTTTGTAAATCTCCGCGCTTAGTTCGTCGTTTAGCGAGTGTTGATTTCGGAGCGTGTTCATTTTTTCCATGATTTCTTTTTGGCGAGATTCCGGCATTTTTTGGAGGATCTCGATGAGCGATTGTTGGCTACAGATTTTTTGATTTGAGCATCTTTAGAATTGCTTACCATGAGGAGTGCTGAACAGCGCAGAAAATGACCACATTTGAAATAGCTCGCCAGTCTTCGATTGAGGCCTTTTCCAGGCTTGATATCAGTGGAATTTCGTCTCTTCAAAAAGGTCTCGAAAATTCTAGAGCGAAAATATCATGTCAAAAGGAGGACCCTTATTTACCGGTTTTCTAATTTTTTGGCTCGAAAAAGCAAAAAAAGTACAATAAATCGACCGAAATTTTGTGTCAATATATTCTCGAATCTCATTGGCTCACGGACCAAAAGCGACCATCTGATTGGTTAAAATTTGACCGAAATTTCATCAAAATTATCTGATTTTATTCGTCGATTTTGCCCAAAATAAACATAGTTTTTTTGAGATTTTTCCCAATTAAGTAATTTCTTCAGTAAAGATTTGAATTTTTGAGGCCTTCCTTAGAAAATTCATCGAGTTAATAACCACATATCTCTTCAACTTATTAAGAAACAGATTAAAGTTTCCCTTGTCCAACAAAAACACACACTGGCCAAATCCACTGTCCATTTGGAACATAATATCCACCAAATTTTCGTAAATATCATTTTCGCTCGGATTCTCTGATTTGTCTGTTAGAAAATTTACGATTTGCTCCATATGGCATGTGCTTAGATTTGTGTTTTCAATCGCGCTAGAATTTGAAGAGAAAGGGATGAAATGAGTCAAGGGCGGGCTTATCAGCTGAGGATGAAAAAGAGTCATCAATTTTTTTTAAAACTTTGACTTTTATTTACAGAAAAAAGGTTGAAAAAGGCATTGAGCTTATTTTTCGTCAAGATTTTTCATCCATTTCTCGACCGGCAAACCGTTAAATTCGTCAAATCGAGAAATTTCCGCGATAAATTGTGTCATTGTGCGAACATCCGAAGCACATTGCCGGCAAGTTGAAGGGATCTCTGCTCCATTTACTAAGAAAAAATTGAGATTTTCGGCAAAAAAAGAGGGGGCTTTACGGTCAAATTGTTGATTGTGGCACTCTGTCAGCTCATTGATTCCGTGGGTCTTGTTGTTTTGTTGCTGGTTGATTTGGCATGCGGCGAATTTTTGCTTGCATTTTGCCTCGATAAAGTATGATTTTCCTCCTCTTCTTCGTTCCACTACTTGGCAGACCTGAAAGTTGATGATTCGATGGCTCTTTTTTCTGGCCTACCTCGTGGTCGTAGCAGTCGACTTTTCTTCCCCATTGAAGGCAGTCAATGGCGGTTGTTCCTCGGCAGTCAAAACAGGTGTTTTTCTCGACATCCGAAAGATATCGTTTTTCTTGATCTTCTTCTGAGAGGGGAAAGATCAGTCTCTCCTCGCTTTCTTCTGTTTTTCCGAGCTGGAGGTTGTCGATGGGGCGATCTTCAGAGCTCTCACTGCCTTGAGTTGGTCGGTCTGACCAGTGTTGGGTTGGAGTATCGTCGATGAGGTCGTCCCAGTGGGAGATGCTGTCCGTCAAGTTTCGGAGGTTTATTCTAGAGAAATGTTTATGATACGTGGGATGATGGGGTTTCAACTTTTAGAAATATGTTGTCAAAGGAATGCCTAAAATAAGTTATATATTCGAGAGGTTTGGCTATCCTCTTATGCTTTGTTTGAATAAATTTTTGAGTCTAGAATCTAGAATAATTTTCCGAAATTTAGAAAAATTGCCAGAAAAAAGTCCTTTTTTCTCGACTTTCGCAATACCAAGTTGATACCCTTAATCTTTATGTCGAGCTTGATAGCGTCTCTCTTGAGTCATGAGTCATGATCAAAGCTTCTGAGGAGTAAATTAAAGACATACCTTTGAGCAAAAGAAACGCTAGAAAGCAAAAAGCCGGAAATTTTCATTTTTTCTCAAAAAATATATCCTTTTTGAAATGTGATGGTAGAGAGCAAAGCGCTCACGATTATATACGCAAGTCCCTGTTTGGTCTAAACTCCGAGTTATGCTTATTTCAAGGGCTAAGCTTTAAGTAATAATATGCATAACAAAGTTTGTTTAACGAGTTATTTCTTTCCCGGCATTGGACCAATCCTTGCCACTCCGGAAAAAAAAGTTTATAAATAAAGTATTTAAAAAACTTAAATACTCAAAGCAAATTTGGTCGGATTAAAAATTGTACAATTATCAAGCGGAAGTTTCAGAGATAAAGCCTTGTTTCTAAGTGAAAATTAATGTCAACTCTGATTTTTTTCCGAATCGTTTTAAATGCTCTATAATTAAATTCTCTGACGAAACAATGCTCCATGCATCCGCTAGAAAGAGCTCATAAAATCAGCATTTTTACTGCTTTTCTGCTCCTTATTTCGTAAAAGAAAGTAGAGATATTCAAGGAGAGAATGTTATTTCTTCTACTTTTTTCAGCAACGACAGTAGCTGGGCAAACAACTACAGTAGCTCCGCTGACATATGCGGACAGCTGCTTGTTGTTTGAGGTGAATTGCAACTCGACGACGGCGGATTTGACGTTGAATACCACTTGCTTTAATGAGATAGACAGGGCTTTTGGTACCGATTTGACCGGGCTAAACATTGCTAAAACAAAAGGTACAGTAGCAACCCTCCCCTTAACCCTCATCTTTGTCTAGAATTCGATTCCTCCGCGTCCATCCCGACCAATTGTGTTCTAAACAGCACTTTGAACGTCCCATACGCTGATTGCTTTACTTCTTCTGGTGGAAGCTCAGGTACTCATCCATTCTCTAATATCTTACGCTAAAATGTAGTGAACTACACTGGATATGTCCAACACGCAGCTACAGTCGACGGCGCTACAGTATTTTTTTCAGATGTTCAAGAAATCACCTGCGAAAGTGTCTCCCTCGATGGGTATACTTCTTCGTCTTCGGTTACCAAAGATGGTAAGGAAAAGATGATCTGATAGGGCACTAATTGATGATAATTCTAATATTCTAGCGATGACGATTTCGACTGTCACGACAACGGGCGAAATTCCTTTCAATACAGTGTTTTCTTTCAATGTTACAGGTAATCTGAAGTATAAAAAAATACAAACACCATAAAGTTGGCTTTATTTATTTCTTTAGGATTTTCTCTAAATTTTATAAAGCTGAAGTAAAAATAAAATTATCTTGACGATTTTTGGCCGTATCCAAATTTATTCAAAACTGTGAGGTTGAATATCGAAAAATAAATATTAAGTTTTCTCAAGATTTTTCTCTAGGTGGAGACCGTCTTGGAGAAATGATGGACGTCAAGGTGACCCACGATTCCTCGGACAGTTTCTTCGTCGACCTGACCGACTGTACCCTCAATCTCGACTCCGCTTCCTTCACCATTCTCACCAACAAGTACAGTCCCCTCTCCATCCCTTCCTTCAATCTTCATTCTAGAGCAGTGACAACGACCGGAACAGCCCTTCACGTCTCCCTGGTCGGAACCGATGCCCTCCGTTTTCCTCGAATGACGACTTCGACTTCCCAAATCGACAAACTAGATATTTCCTGCTCAATTTCCACCAGATTGTCTTAGCTATTAAAATGCAAAATAAAACATTTTCTCCAAAACAAGGCGCGAATCCGGGCCATAAAAGTAATTGTCTTGCCAAAAAATGGAAATGCGAAAAGAGGCGTCTCATAAGAAGTGTGGCCCAGCGAGGCAAACACGAAATACTAGAATTTAAATTTTTTTTTTGCAATTTTCTTATTTTCATAAAAATGGATCGGCATTCAGAGGTTCGCAGAAATATAAGAAATTTTGAACAGTCTGAAAATAAGTGTCAAAAATCGTCAATTTGGAAAAGAATACGAAAAATATTTAGGTCAGTTTTTGGACTAAAATTAAGCGGGTGGCGTCAGGAACCGACAAAAAAATCGATAAATTTTGCGTGGGCGGCTTATCGGCTTCTGATTGGCTGGTTTGCCAAATCAAGGCTTCTGATTGGTTGAAAATTTCCACGTAAAATTTGTCGAAATTTTTTGTCAGTTCCTGACTCCTTAAAATATTAGGGGGGTTTATATTCAATTTTGAAAGCAAATTTTTAGCTCGAAAAAAGAAAAGTTCGAAATCCCGATTTCAAGAGAAAATTTCGAAGATCTCCGAGATGATGCCTTTTACAAGTAAATACCCTTATTCTATGTTCAAACATGAGAGTTCTAGATTGCAAATCGCCAATCAGATATCTGTCCACAACGTAGAACAAGTCAACCACAATCGAAAAACGTCCATTGCAATAAGAAACGGAGGCAGGTGGAAACGATCTCAGCTCCGGAAAGAAAATTCAGTCGATTCTGAGTCGACTTCTCATCTTTACCCATCTCAGTATGCGTTTTTCTCGATCCGAAAATCCATTTTTTCTAGGCACACGACCCCTTGCTCGATAAAACGATCGCTTCGATCGCTAGAACGACTTTCCGGCTTTGACATTTCGACGGATAAAATCAATTCTGGCTGCTCCAGCAGCGCCAATTTCAATTATCAAAGACGACAATCGCTCAAGAGGTAAACCGTTCTGTATCCAAAACACTCTAAGACTCTCAAAAGAGTAAGAGGATAACAAAACCAATTGTTCCAAACGTGAAAATATTGAATAATATTTTGAACTAAGTCCTTTTGAACTTTGCCTTGCTAAGAACCGTTTTTTTCATATTTGGGCTCGCAAATCTATTAACAGAATTTGAGACAGGGTTTTTTTATTATTTAAAATTTCAAAATAAAAAGCCGCGTAGCGGCTTTTATTAATACGAAGCCGCGAAGCGGCTTTGCAAAAATTATTAAATTTATCGAATAATTATATTAAGAACCTCAGAAACCTGAGTAAGAGTCTGATAATGGCTTCAATGAAAAGCCGCGTAGCGGCTTTTATAAAAATGAAGCCGCGAAGCGGCTTTGCCAAAAATATAATAAAAATTTATTTTATAAAATAATTGATTAAGATAATTTTGGCAAAGCCGCTTCGCGGCTTCGTTTTTATAAAAGACGCTATGCGGCTTTTTCTTGAAGTTCATTTTTGACCCTGACTCAGGCTCCAACACAGGTTTCTGAGCAAATGAAGAATCCTTAGTATTCCTTTTTAGTAATTATTCTGGACGAGTGACTTTTGAAAATTTCGGATCCTCCCAACGACGATTACTCAACAAAAGCATAAGCTGATCAGTTGAAGAAAGAAGACGCTGCTGTTGGAAAAGTTCAGGGCTACCTCTTCCTGCCTTCCTGCCTCGTGACAAGATTCAAAAGTGATTGATTGCGAGAAGATTATTTATGTTTTCGCTGTTTATGATCTTTGCGCACGCTACTCGTTCCTCATACTTTGAACAATAAATTTTAAATTTCATTCGAAAGAAAATAAAACAAAAAAAAAACCATCAAACAAAAAAAAATACGTAAAACGTCCCATTTTTACTCTCATAAAGAAATAAATGTCAAAATGTCAGCCTTGGAAACTCCTTTTTGACATTTGCCTTTCCTTTATTTTCGCGTTGTCAAACAAAAACTGAAGAGGAAAAATGAGAGAGACGGGAGAACCGTCCGAAGAATTTTATCAAGAGAGAATACAGGTTTCTTTCTTCGTGACTCCCTTAAGGGGGAGGTCGACGAGAATCGGGATTTCCGTGACCAAAAATGCGGGAAAACCAGATTAAAAAGGCAAAATCTGATTTTACTGGTGAATAGAAAGGGATTGAAAAAATAAACCGGCAAAAACTAGAAAAAATTTTGGCCAGAAAAAATCGGTCAAAAATCCCGTCAAAGTAGGGCCTTTTTCGGCACCAAAAATGGTCATTTTTTTACAATTTCAATCATTTCACCCCCTAAATCTAATTTTTATCAAATGATTTTAGGCTCAACAGATTCGGGAGGATCTGTACATTCCAAAAATATATGATTCATATCCAGACTATGGGTATAAGCGAAATTACGATCACCCCGGAAAAAATTCTCGTCGACCCCCCCCCCCTTAATTTTACCCCTTAATCGGGGCCTTAGTAATACTAAACTGCACATTCTCTAGTGTTTGGATTGCCAATGCATTGGAATATTGAAACGAAGTGGCAAGAAAACTTACCTCTTTCCCGAGTCGGTGTTGGCTTCTCGAAACATTCATACTCAAAAAGCAGATTTGAGCAAAAAATTATACAAGAAAAAAGTAAATGGGTCAGTTAATATCGCAAAGCATGGATTTTCAACGAACCCGCAAAAGTATACCTACACAGTTTTTGGCTCTCTTTTTTGGATTTCCATCATGGTCTTAGCGAATTTTCAATCACTCGAGAAATCGAAGGGCAAAACGACGTATCTGACTTCAACATGCCATCGAAGCTATAAAAATTGCATTCGATTTGAATCAATGGACATTTGCGGACATTTGATGAAGAAATGCTTCGAAACCAAAAAATTCATCCTCCCACAGCCCGTCGCCAAAATACCGCCCCTAGAAAACGAAAAAATGGTGTTTTCTGAAGAAGAAAACGAAGTGAATCTCAGACGATGCAAAAAGAAAAAATTCTACGATGCAAAAGTCTGCCGCCATTTATGCTCAAATACACTCATTTTGAAATCAACGAAGACAAATCCAATTTCCCCATGCGAGTCAATTTGCTTTGAGCTGACTAGATCTTTTGATTTTGCTGGAGAAGTTTGTCCTGGAGAAAATTACTGTATAAATGGCTGCCCGTGCCCGTTCTATAATTGTGAAAAGTTAAATGACGAGCAGCAGTTTATCCCTGTCTTCGACTTGGCCAGAAATGATTCTCAGAGCACTGAAATCGTCGACAATATACCACTCGAATTTTTTGATCTCACGCGGCCTGAGCAATCTGCTGTCAAAATAATGGCTTCTCAAGAAGACGATTTTGCGCATTATGAATGTTTTTGAAAACCGGAGATTGAGCCCCTAACCCTAACCCTAAGTTCATCCCGTCTCAAAAACATGAAAAGGCGATTGGCGCGACGTTCCTAAATGGTGAGCATTATTTGGTGGATCGAAAAGGCAATATGAAGCGGGTCCGGGAAAATGGCATCACTTCGCTTTTCATTAAAAACCGCTTTGATAGGTATGATTTTTCGCAGACGAAAAGGTAAAATCTTCGCTAGTAATTTCGTCTTTCACTATGGCTCGTCGATTGGGACTCACGAGATCACCATCAGAAATAAAGAAAAAGAAACGACGGTCTTTTCGATCGTTGCGATCTGCTCTCCGATTGAAAGAAAAGACAAATGTTACTACTACGCGCCGGATTACAATCTTGCCAGATTTGAAACTGCCCAAGGATACATCGCGAGCAACCATTTCAATGCCAAGACTTCTGCGATCAGCTTCGGCGGAGTTTTTCATCTACTGAGCATGAGGCTTGGCGACGGCTGGATTTTGGCCTCAAAGACGGTCGCTTTGAACAGAATTCGAGCATCAGAAGAGGTCGAAAAAGGCTGGCGAAAGGATGAAATCGCTTTGCCAGTGGAATTCAGAGACTTTGATCCTGTCCACGTGATTCCCTTGATCGACCTTGGAAAGCTGCTTCTTGTTCTTGTCACGAGAAGCATCGTGCTTTCAAACATGCAGTACTCCTTGCTGCTCGAAAAGGAAGGAAAGTACATCACGATCGGGACTGAGTGGATCGGCTCGCTTGTCAAATACGAGGAAGAATCGCGCTGTTACTCAGGTCTTTTTGCGCCAAAAGATTTTGCTTTCACCAACGAATTCGGAACTAACAATGACGAGTGCGAATACCTCATCAATGGTTTTTTGAACAACGATCGAATTTACCTCCAAAATGTCGTCTTTGATACCACTTTCGAGATCTTCTTCAACTTCGAGCAAATCGAGGTCGATTTTCAACAGCGAAAATCGAGAGAGAAGATGCACGTGACGAGCAATCCCTTCTTCGAGTTTCATAAAGATGTTTTTCCTGGTTTCGCGAAAAACGCTGCCCAGCAGGATCTATTTCCTCGATCAGGCCGGGCTCTAGAAAAAAATTTTTTTCTCGAGCATAGAGAGAAAAGCCCCCGAAAGCAAGTACCCTCAGTCCACCCTATCCAATGGCAATCGTTCCAGATTCAGACTTGGACCCGGCTTTTGTATCTTTCAATGAATTTAGTCACATTTCGTCGTTTGAACTTGATTTTAACGAGACAAGAAAGCTCAACATTGACCTAAAGGAAGGTTCTTAGTGAAACAAGAGCCTCATTTTCGATAATCCTTTGAACCTCAGAAGAAAACGAGCAGTGCCAATGCTTCCGTGAAAATTCTGGAATTTCGATCGTACAATAATGAAGAGTGCATATTCGACCTCCATCTTTTAGCAAACAACTCTATCAAGATTCAGTCTGATTTTTTCGAAGGATCATTAGTGCTCGAGCATGTTTTTGTCCATCATCTTGCATGGACATCGCTCGAGATCAACTTCGATGTGCAGGAAAAATCATCAATTTTCTTGGAAATTTTGAAAAATGGAACAACTCTTGCATCGGAAAAGATGAAGGATTTGAGATCGATCGATGATAAAAGAATAAAACTATTAAAATTCGACGACAAAACAGAAATCAAAAACATATTTTTCTTCCAAAATCGACCGAGTCAGATTCTCGTCATTTTTCCTGAAGAACGGTTTGCCCAGCCTTATGCTCTGTTTGGAGATGGTTCGAAAAATCAAAACATAAAAATTTCACCCAGCAATAAGAATAAGGCAAACTATGCGTATAAATCTATCTATGCTCTTGTTAATGGTCAATTGCATCTTTTTGGGGGTGGTTTGGATGAACGCAGGGTAAGAACAATCATCAGCGCTTGTTTATTTATCCTCTTGAAGATTTCGGTGCTAGAAGAATGCCAGTTTAAGACACTAGAATTAAAACTCATCCACAATTTCTACTACATCGGGAAAGCTCTATCTATCTCTGATGGAACCGAAGGTAAAAGTCATCTCTAGAAATCGCATCATTCTTGGCTCGGCAACCTGTGTAAAAACCTGAGTAAGGTTCTGAAAAAAGCTCGCATAGCGGCTTTTTAAAAATCGAAGCCGCAAAGCGGCTTCGCCAATATTTGAAATATATTAAAACTATCATGTTGCGAAGCCGCTACGCGGCTTCGTTCTTAAAATAGCCACTCCGCGGCTTTTCATTTTTGCTCTTCAGAACACGACTCAAGTTTTGACTCAGGTTTCTGAGCCCTATTAATTTTCAGCCCTTGTTTGCTTTGATGCGAAAACAGAGAAAAAATGCGAAATCTTCGACGGCGAAACTGTCAAAAAGACCTTTTCTTTGGTAAAAGGTCATTGGAATGGCGGACTTGATTTTTATAAAGGAAAGCCAGCAGCGATCGGAGGCTTTGATTACCCTTATTCGAGGTTTGCTTTTTCGGAAACATTGACAGAAAAAGGCTGGGAGCCGCTTCCGAACCATCCAATGTAAGACCCAATGTTTTCCTCCCGATGATGTGTTTTAGCTGGATCTTGCAGCATCAGACTGTTGGGCTGCCGTCAGGAGCGATCGCTACTTTGGGAGGCTACGATTTCAAGAATGAAAAGGGCTTGAAAGACATCTGGGTTTTGAATATCTTCGGAAAATGGAAGAAGAAAAAATCTCTCAAACAGGTTTTCACATTTTTCTTTCGCCTGATCAATAAGTGTGTCTTACTAGATCAGCTACTTGGGATCAGCCTTGTTTGTCGAAGAAAGCATCTATCTTTTTCCGGGAGAAACTGAAGGCTCTGCTCGGCAAATACAACGCATCAAATTAGGAATGGATGTTTTTGGCGCTCTTACGCTAATCATGAGTTATCATGAGAACTAATTTTTTTGGAAGTTATTTGGGGAGGTGCCTTGAATCGACAAAAACAATTTCGACAAATTTTGCATCGAAATTTTCAACCAATCAGAAGCCCGGGTTCTCCACACCGGCCAATCAGCAGCGGAGTTGCCGCCAACGCAAATTTTTTCGAAATTTTTCGTCGTTTCCAGAGCTTTTTTTTTATAAACATCTATAAAGATAATGATGATGTTGTGGATGTCGAGACGATTGGATATCATAGAAGATTCTACTCAAATCCGATTCTTTTCTTGACACCAATGAATTACTGCTCGGCGGAAAATAAAAAACAGCCCTAGTCTAATTTTTTTTTTTTGAAGACAAAAAGTTCAACTGCCGTTTTTTCTGGTGATTGACAGGAAAGCGCAAGCGAGTGAGAACCGTAAAATTGCACTTCTGTCAATTTGCCCAGAAGCTTCTGCACAATTAAATATGTCAGATGATGTGCATAAGCGTCCAAATTTGGCGTTCAAACGCTTGTGGCTCCTCAGGGACTGCGACCCTTCCGTTCCTGCTCTCCGACTGCGGGCCAATTTACCACTTCAACTGTCGCGGGCTACTTTCATCGGCAGAAAATTAGATCAGTACTTTTTCAAAATCGGGAAAAAAGAGAGGCGCTCAAGAGATATCGGGGCGGCAAAAATATCTTGCTTTTCCGATAAGATGGTTTTCATTAGAGATTTATTATTATTACTTGAAATTTTAATTCTTATAAAATTGAGAGTCTTCGGCATAAATGTCCAGAATGTTTTACTTAAGAGTCTTCAAGCGGCGTATCAAATGAAAAATTCTTATCTTTCATTTAAATTATAACATTATCACTTTTTTTCAAAAATTCTAGAAAAAAAACTGCATTTCTAACAAGAGTTAAGGGGGGAGGTCGACGAGAAGCGGGATTTTTATAACTAAAATCCGGGAAAACCTGATTTTATAGGTAAAATATGAATAAACTGCTGAATAGAGAAGGGTTGAAAAAATCTATCGGCAAGATGATATCTTAATTGTTAGAGAAAATAAGGAGGAAACCCCCTTTTCTCCTGTTAAAAAATCTTTTTTTTTTTTGAATGATCGTAGTTTAAAATTCATCATTTATACTAAACTGAGGGAGCCCCTAAGGACGGGTTTCTCTTGAAAATCGGCTAATCGATCTTATAATTAGATGACATCTGAGTCTTTTCTGAACTCCGCCATCGCGTCTTCTCTTTTCCTTTATTATTTCAGAGTTTATTCTTTCTTGATAAATTCTGAGCATCGGTCTTTGTCAAAGAGTCAACGCTATATAAAGAGCTGTTTTCTTTCAGTAAGAGGGAGAGAGGCGTGCTAAGTTGACCCGGGTTTACGTAGACAGCGTCATTCTGAGAGAGAAGAGCGCAGAAATAACGGCTCGAGACTAAAGGTCGACCAGACTGTAAAATTTAATATTAAACTCCTCAGCATTGAGCATGGTCAATGCTCCGAAAATGCCTCTCAAAAATGCCTCTATACAGAGAAATATTGCTAGATGAAGAGAAAATACTCAAATTGATAGAAAATAAAATAAAAACCCTAGGACTGTGTTTTTCCCTGTGTAAAATAACCTGAGTCAGGGTCATAAAGAGCGGCTTCGCAAGAATATAGAATGGATTGCCATTGATATTTTGGCGAAGCCGCTCTGCGGCTAAAAATTTATAAAAGCCGCTCTGCGGCTTTTTATTTAAGCTCTTTCAGATCCCTGACTCAGGTTTTTAAACAGGCTGCCGATCGCAGAATTCGCGAAAAGCGGAGAAATTTTCATTGTCAAGTCGAAAATTAAGACACGTGATCAATATGCCCCGTCGAATAAACTAAACCATCATAAATGCTTGATTTAAATACGATAATCCCCATTTCTGATTGACAATTTTCTTCTTTTTCTTCGCCAAAATTAACTTTATCTTTCGATTTTCCAGCAAATTGAGAAGCTCCACTTATGAGTATATTCTCCTTTATATTTAAATATAAGCAGCTTTTTAAAGATGTTTGAAGATGGAGCGATTATAAAACGAAAATTATAGTCTGCGTCTGTCCAAATTCGAATGAGCCGCAGAGGATCATCCGGCTCACTCGAACGCAAATCAGCCAGTTCGATTCACATAATTTTCTTTCAGACGTGAAACGACTCGAAATGCTGCTTAGAGTGAAAGAGAACCCGTTATGAATTCATCCATCAGGTATTATATTTTCGCGCTTTCAGTGAAAAAATATTAATATTTTATAAGCAAAAATCTTAAAATAATAATGATGAATGAGGCTTTTAAATTATTCTTAAGACCAAAAAAAAAAAACAAAAAAAAATCACACTTTTTCGTGTCAAAAATGAAGAAAATTTCCATATTTTCAGTATTTTTGGCCGAAAAATCGACCATTTTCACCAAAATATGGCAATTTTGAAAATTTTTCTGAAATAAAATCGGCAATTTTGTCGTTTTTCGAGTCAAAATGACCAAAATTTTCAATAAATTTTCGCAAGTCGTTTCGTAAAAATGCTAAAATTTGATAGTTCTGATCATTTTTGACTAAAAAAGCGGCAATTTTGTCCGCTTTCTATCAAAAAAGATGGAATAAGAAGCCAATTGTGGCCTCGTTCATCCTGTAGGCCACGTGGCTTGTCAATCAATGACTGTTTCTAGCCTCGAAGAACCCTGCATATCAAATGTCTCCCGCGAAGCAATCGAGTCGTTCCGCTACTTCGGATCCACCATTGCCGCCTTTGACATCGTCGTTGGAACGATCGGAAATTTAATGACAATTTTGGCCTTCTACAGATGTCGAGCGCTGCACACGCCCTACAACGTTTTCATTGTCAATCTTTCTGTCATCGATTTGGTCACGGCGAGCTTGATGATGCCGTTCAACTTGACCGGTTATTTGAAGAAAGAATGGCCCTTCGGAGCAGATCATTTCAGGAACGGCTTTAATGGAGTTGATTCATCAACTTCTATAGCTTTTTTCTTCGCTTGAACCCGCGGATAGACGCTGCCAATAAAAATACCGCAGAATGAGTGCTCTAAGAAATTAATCGCGCTAAAAGCCCATTCGAAGCTGCACATTCCAAGCATTCGTCTACTTCTGCTGCGGTTATACTTCGATTGTGTGCCTGATGGCGATCACTTTTAATCGATTTGTTATCATTATTCATCGCGATATGTATGTGACGCTCTTTTCGAAAAGAAATGTAAGTCATGAAAACTCTTGAAAAAGGGTCGAATTTTCGACTCGAAAACCTGTGTAGAAAACCTGACTCAGGGTCTTAAAAAAGAAAAATATCGACAAATTTTGCGTGGTCGGCTACTCAGCTGCTGATTGGCCGTTAAGCCGAATTCAGGCTTCTGATTGGTTGAAAATTTTTTTTCAAACGCTTCATTTAGGTGACGATTTTGGTGATTTTATCTTGGCTTATCGCTCCAGCATTCATGTCCCCCGTACTTTTCAAACACAACGGTCATTCAATTGTCAGTTGGAATGAAGATCAATTTCTTTGGTATTTCCAACCCTCTATCATCATTAAAATCATCATTTTCAGCACCTTCGTTCGCTCAGAAATGACAATCTGGTGGCTGGACTACATGCTCTTTTGTCGGATTTTCTTCCAATTTCTTCCTTGGATCTTCATGGTCATTTGCTACTCGACGATTTTCGTCAAAGTTCGGCAGCAGGAAGAACAAATGGCGACGTACAAGACCGCTAATTCGACCGTAAGTGCCCTAGTTCCCCGTAAATAGGTCTTATCAAAGTATGCAGGCGACGAAGAAGCCCTGTATTTACGACACAGAAGATTCTGTCTTTTCCGAATTTCGCCGAAAAACCATCGGTGAACGACTCAAGGGAATCCGCGCGACACTTAGGCGAACAATCCGCATCAAATCTGCCAATTCTACGCGGCAGAGCAAGCCGCAAATCACAACCTCAAGTGAACCACCTTCCAGTCAATTTCCGACATCAACTGTTTCACACGCCGACTCAGGTATTAAAAGAAGAATCAAGGTTGTGGTTGAAAAAGTGGGGTAATAAAATCACTTCAGCAGCTACTGGAAAAACACTACTGGCAGCTTCTGATTGTCTGGCATCGCCCGAATTAAGCACGGAAAATATCTCATCTAACTTTTCAAAAGTAAGATAGAGTCTTTAAAAAAAGGCCATGTTCATCCCTAAATTCGTGTAATTGTGAGTCGCAATTTGTGACCTTGTTCATCTTCTTACTTGATGCATGTGTGCCCTTGTTCATAGGCTAGGCCACGTAGCCTTGTGAATGACATAGCCTTGCGAATGTGATTTTGAAAATACAGAAGATTTTTCTTCGAACAAATGAGTGAACAAATGTTGGAAGTGAGACGATGAACAAGGTCACATTTGCACGAAGTCAAGGATGAACAAGGGGCCACCCTCTTTTTCTTATTTTTTCAGTAGTAAAGCCCGCAGCATAACTTATTTCAGGCTGCATCAACAATAACCCTCCCAAATACCTCAAAATCCACCGTCACCGTTGCAAAATCTTCATCAACCCATCTCCTCACTCCTCCAGTTTCGTCTGGCCCGCGCAATAGTCACAAAAAGCGAGCAGATACAAAATTGCTCATTTGCTCGGTCACCATTTGCTCCATATTTATCTCGCTTTTCTTACCGTCTGTCATTTTAAACTTGATACAGGTAGTCCTTCCCATCATCAAAAATAACTCTAATTTTGAAACCAGGGCTGTTTGGATCCAAGATTACATATGGCGGCGAGCAATTTAACCTGGCTCAACAGTTGCGTCAATCCGATTGTGTACGCGATGATGAACACTCGTTTCAGAAAAGGTTTGAGGTTTACCAAGATATACTTTTGACCAGGCTGGTTTGATACTTAAAAATGACTTTTGCGGAGCAAAATTCTAGCCCCTATATTTCTTGTGCTCATTCGAAAGAACAACGCCTAAGGATTCGAATGGTATAATTTTGAGTGTCTGAGTCATCACGTATGACGTCATAAAGGCCCCCTTTTGAAAAATGGTCATGAAGCCCTGTATCTCCGAAAATTTTCAGAATTATATGGAGATTTTGATATCGTTGAAAAGCTCAGCTCAAACTGTGTATGGGCACCCACTGCGCAAGAGAAAATTCCAAGCGAAAAAATATTTTTTGAGACAAAAAATTTTCAATCGAAATTTTTTTTCAGAATCATAACTTGCGCACCAGGTGCCCATACACAGTTTCAGCTGGGCTTTCGAATGATACCCATATGTATATTCGAAAATTTTCGGAGATACAGGGCTTCATGACCTGTCATTTTCAGGTACTTTAGGCGCTAGAATTTGACATTCTTCGTGGCTTGGACACATAAAAATTGTACCATTCGACTCCTTAGATTCTGCGCTACAAACTAAGCACTAAAAATATTGAGGTCAGGATTTTGCTCCGCAGAAGTCATTTTCATCTATCGTTTTTAGAGTATATAAAGATACTTTCTGACGCAAAAAGATGGCTGCTAAGAAGATGAAAAGCTTAATAAATTATCAGAGAATCTGTCTTTATGAGAATCTGTATATTACTGTACTAATAAAGGTTAAAATCGGAGCCTTCTGATATTTGAAATCAAGGAGGAGTGCGAGCTTTTTTTCGCGCAGTGACTCATCAAAGGGAAAACAGTCCGATTTGATAGCAGAAACAGCAAATAGCGAATTTTAAACGCGAATATTTTCCTTTTTATTTCATTTTTGCATATTTTCGCTGGAGAATTTTTGTTTTCAACTGTGAAAAGAGCTTATTGAAGAGTAGAAGAAGAGAAAATTTGCGGAAATGATAATTGGAATGGGATTTGAGCAGCCTTGTTCAGGGTAAGTCGTTATTTTTAAAAACGGGTCCTCTTGTTTATCTTCTGACTTCCTGCAGGTATCCCCTTGTTCTTCCTTAGGCCACGTAGCCTTACCCATGAAAGGCAGAACACGAAAAAAAGTATTCTACTTGGCTGAATAAGGGGATACATGCGGGAAGTTAGAGGGTGAACAAGAGGGCATTTTTTGACTCGAAATTCTAGAGCGCTAATGTGTGGCCACAAGTGTCCCTATCCAAATCATCCGCCGAATTTCACCCATGAATATCCTCTCTGCATGGAGCGTAAGTTTCCATCTTTGTACCCGAATCAAACGTAAAACTAGAATGCAAGCAAAAATGCTCTGGATGCGGAATGCAATCTTGCCAAAAACTCTGCTCCGACGCCTGCGACCGCTGCTTCAATACAATCCAAAAGATGCTGCCCTGTGGCCACAAGCAGACGACTCTCTGCTACGAACCGGTTGAAGAAACTCACTGTGCTGATCGATGTGGAAAAGAGCTCATTTGCGGACATGCTTGTAACCGGCCATGCTCAGAGGATTGTTTATGCGACCATGCGACGCTGTTTGATTGCAGAAACTGTAGGAAGAGGACAAATCAATGTGCTTCTGTAAGTATTTGCTCAAAGGGAGCCAGATGTCCCCTAACTAGAATGATTTAAGCTTGGCTTCTGCACTAGAAAATGCGATGTAAAACTCGCCTGCGGCCATCAATGCTCTAACCAATGCGGCGATCATACCCAGCACTCCCGAAAATGCGAAAAACCCTGCACTCGACCTTGCCGTCACTGCGGAAAATCAACCTGCAAACTAAAATGTGGCGAATGCAACAATAGCTGTCCTCCTTGCAACTGCCAGATGCACCAGATTCAACTCAACTGTGGACATGTAACTTATGGTTTTGCTGGAGATATCCAAAATCAGGAAAGGGTTTTTTGATCATTCTGAGCGTTGAAAAAGCGAATGAACCCTTAACCCACTGAAGACCTGCTTCCAAGATTGCGCCCTCGACCTGCCCTGCGGCCACGAGTGCCGAAACCGTTGCTCGGAAAAATGCGGACCTTGTGTGGAACCAGGAATCTACCCCTGCCGCGAGTGCGGAGCCATGTATGCGGGAACCTGTGGCGGATCCTGCACTATGGAATGCGCAGAGACCCTGAGCTGCGGGCATCCTTGCGGGGGAACTTGCGGAACTTGCAATAAAGGTAATGGATGAGTTGGAAACCGGCCCCAAACGCGGTTAATAAGGTTTGCTCCATGAAAAATGCTCTCAAAAATGCGGTCGAACGCTCATGTGCGGTCACATTTGCCAAGAACCCTGTCACGAAGTCTGCCCACCTTGCGATCAAAAATGTTCGAAGCGCTGCTCTCATTCGAAATGCGACCATCCTTGCTGGGAAGAATGCGTTCCGTGCATGGAACAATGCCCTGAACGCGGCTGCAAAAAGGTCTGCTCAAGTGGAGATTGCAATCATCAACGACTGTCGATTCCTTGCCAAGCAAGAAGAAGCTGTGGGCACAAATGTGAGCTGGTTCAGCATGATACGGATTGTGCGGAACTGCACTCTCCTGCATCCTGCGCGAGGTGCAATAGGGAGGTTTCGGAGATGTTCTACGATCCGATCATGATTTCAGAAGGTAGGAAAGGGTGCTTATTCTCTTTCTTCATTCTTTTTTATCTCAGAGTACGATGGTGAATCTCATTACGTCTTCATCCCCGACTGTGGTCATCGAATCGAAGTTGAAGCTCTTGACAATTACGTTCGAGCGACTATGGACGAATGCAGAACTGGTGAATTCAAGGTGAAAACACCCAACTTTGATAAAAGTTGGATAATCCCCATTTCTAGGCGATCTCTTGCCCGAAATGCAAAACCCCGATGCTCAGCTGCCTCCGGTACAACAAAGAATTCAACGCTTGGAACAAAAAATACGGGAATATCAAAGCCAAGTACAGGGAAGAAATGGCCAAGACTGTCAATTTCGAGGAAGTGAAACAGTCGATTCTCGAGAAGCTCAAGCGGCAGAGGTTTTTCGCCACGACTGAGCTTGATGAAGACAGCATTTATGCACGAGTGAACGGAACAAAATTGCAACCGAGTGATGCTAGAATCATCTTGTTGCAGCTGGACTACTTGGAGAGGGTCGACAAGTCGCTGGAAGACATTCGTTCGAGGGAACTGGAAAGAGAACATTTGGAGTACGAGGATGATATTCTAGTATTTCTGCAAACACTGGAAGAGATCATCGTCAAATTTGCAAGTCGAGAGATTCGAGTTCTTGGCGAGATTCACACGAATGCGATTGAAGATATTTTATTGAAGGAAAAGCTCTATAAAAACGAATCTAAACGAGGAAATCATAAATGAGCGTTTGAAAGATTGAACTTTTTGGAAATTTTTACGCTTTTTCGACTTCTCTAGAAGAAAAATATACCGACCAGACAAAGCAATTAGGAAACGTCAAAAATTATAAAGGCAGATTTTGTTTGAAAAAATTTCTGACCATGATGAGTGAAACAACTTCTATTGGAATTCGAAAAGCAGTTGATTGGAGATCGAGCTGATGAAATTCGAGGAAAGCGCAAGGCAGATCAAGACCGTGTGAATGCTCAGCTTGAAAGTGAGCAGAAACGAGCGAAAGCTTTTGAGCCTGTTACACGACAGGAGATTTCTGATCTTGCTGGTGTATTACAGTAAGCTTTTCCTGTAACGATCGAAACTAGATTTAATCTAGACAGGCGACTGGAATGCGACAAGGACATTGGTACACTTGCCCGAATGGCCACCCTTATTTTGTTGCAAACTGCGGCAATGTAGGAAAATGTCGAAAACTTTAACTTTGTTTCTCTTTTTCTTCTTTTTTTGACATTTCAAAGTCGTCGAGGCGAACTGTTTCTGTGGAGCTCGGATCGGTGGACAGAATTATCGACCTGCAGAAGGAAATCAACAAGAGAATTTTTAGCCAACCTGCCTTTTTTATCACAACCAATAAAAGTTTAAATATATTTAGCTCGTGTCTCAAAGAGTCAAATTCAGGCGAATATCTGATTTATCCCAACGGCTATCTTTCTTGAAACTAATGAACTGCTTGCCATCTTCGGCCCAGCTGTGAACTCGGTCAGTTTTGAACACTTTGTTGTCGTCGTTGATATGCTGGGCTACGCAGTAAAAGCTAGGGGTAGAACCTAAAAATGTCGAAAGAGCTTGGAAGAATCTGCCCTACCGTAACTCTTCTCAAGGAAGAAATAGAAGGTCTTTCGTCTGCCAAAGCCGCCACGATGAAAGTTCATCTTCCAACCATGATTCGCTATTTCCCAGTGATCCGAATTCATGAACTTTCAAAATGAATCCTTTCTTGGCGGTTAGGGAAATATACCTTCATATTAACCTTTTTGACTCCAAGGGAAATGAGCTCAAGAACTTTGTCTTTCTGCTGATAAGACATGTTGCTCCGATAGTCCCAGTAGTCGAGATAGTGCCCGTTGCCTTCTCTGCTACTCATGGAAAGAACTTGAGGCTTTGAAGATCGTTCCAGCACTTCGCATTTTTGGGCATCTTTTTCAGCGCGGACTTTTTTGAGATTTTCCTTGACTTTTTCAACTTCTGCTCGGAGGAGTTCTGTTTCGTTCTTGAGCGCTTCGATAATAGAAACATTTTGAGCTAGCTCTTCATTTTGCTCCGTTAAATTTTTGTTTTCTAGTCGGAAAAGGTCGATTTCAGACAGTTGGAGGGACAGATTTTTTTGCAGATCGTTGTTGATTTCAGTCAGATTTTCATTGAGCTCAGTCAGATGTTCGTTTTCTGAGGTAAGATTGACATAAACTTCCCTTATGACCTCCAGTTTTGCCAAATCTAAATAAGGATCATCATGAGATAGAGGAAGAACTGACCGTCAGTTTGTTCATCGAGTTTTTTCCATAAACGATAGCTCCTTGTTTTTAGCCTTTCTTCCTCTGATTTGACAACTTGGTATTTCTCCTGAAGATCTGTCAAATTCGCTTTGATTGCGTCAATTTCTTCCTCCAATGCCCGGTTTTCGGTTGTAGCGAGAGAATAGCCATCCTGACAGTCTTGAAGAAAAGAAGTTTGATTATCGAGTTTTTGCCAAAGTCGATAACTTCTTGTTTTCAACCTTTCTTCCTCTTTCCGAAGAGCGTCATTTTTTTCGATGAGAGTTGATAGATTCGCATTTTGTTCGAACAAGGACTTTTTGAGTTGGTAAAGCTCAAAGTTCGAAGAATTCCAATTCCGGACACATTCATCAAGCTCTCTCTCCGCTGCTTCTCGGTTTTCTTTTTCCGATTTCAAGTCGTCTCGAAATGCGTTCATCAAATTTTGCCAATCCTCTCGCTGAAAGACCTCATTTTCAGAACCAAACTGGTCTTTTTGGGAACAAGGGCAGGTCTCCAAACTATGAGCCAATTCATCTCTACACTTTGAAACGCAAGAAAAAGAGTCACAACCGATCGTGCAAATTTCAAAGTCCATTTCAGCAGTTTCTCTGCAAATTTTGCCCCTTTCTGCGATTTTCAGTCCATGTCCGGTCGAGCAAAATTTCGAGCATGAAAAATTTTTGCTGCAAATTGTCTAAAATTTGATAAGTAAGATCAATCGAAAAAAGCTTACATTTGAAGCTAATGCAAAACTGGCGAGAAAGAAAGCTATTATTTTGGTCATCTGTTTTCCTCTCTGAGTCTCAGACTAAACTTGATCTTTGTACTCAAGCTCAAGTTTTCACTTTTTGACTCATCAAAAATCCCATTGCTAGAATAATTCTCTGTATAGAAATATGCTTTTTTCGTAGTAAAAACTTATTTGTTCTTGTTCTAATTCCCCTCTCCGATAAGACGATAATCAGCATAATTTTCATGTTCCGACATCGTTGAAGGCTTCAACTTGAAGCATTGAGCGTTCACGAAATCGGACGTCAAGAGGCCCAAAAAGAGAGATTCAAGAATGAAGCTTTTTTCTCACCTGGCTCTGGCCAGTATTGCAGCAGCTGGAAAAGCGCACAATCCTCTTGGATCATCGGAAAAATGCTCCGAAGTCGTTTTGGTAAAGGAACTCATAGCTCAGCTCGACTACAGAATTCTGGTGAGGCGTACTTCCAACAACGCAGAAATCAACTGCCGAATTAACTATAAGAAACAAAAGAAGGCGGAAGAGAAGAAAAGCAAAGCAGCTCGGTAATTTTCTCGCTAAAATCGCTTTTGATCATTTTTTTAGATCTGAAGCTGGACTTGGCGCTAGAAATGGCGGAGCTTCTAAAAATCCCAAAAAAGCGTTGAAGAAGTCGAAGAAAAAGGCCGAGAAGAACGACAAGAAAGCTGGAAAGAAGGTTAAAAAGGCCCAAAAGAAGCAGAACAAGCATGGAAAGCATCCAGTTACGACTCGAGTTCCAGTCAAGGACTTCGAGTTTTCCGATTTGGATGGGAATGTTGTCTCAATCGAAGGTAATTCTCCCTCAAAATGACAGATTTAATCTCTTTTCAGGCGAAACTCCAACCGAAAATCCACTCAAAGGGATGCCTCTTTACTTGGAATGCGACGGAGTACCATACTTCCCAGACAAAGGTTAGCCAATATCTCTTTCCTAGATCCTATCTCTCTCTAGAGAACAAGAACGAAGCATACTACTGGCGTCCTTCCCGAGATTCTCCCGTCAAAGAAGTTGCCTTGTTCAACTGCTAAGCAAGAAATAATAAATCAGTATTTACAAGCTCTTCTATTGAAACTTTGAAGTACGAAGTTTGAAGGCGTAAAAATACAAAAGCAACAACGATCATTTATAAATTATAAGGCAAAAGTTTTGTTTAATACAAAATTTACAAAAAAGGATACAGTGGAAGGCAAGGGGTCTGATATCGACATCTTAACCTTAGCCGGTCAAGGTACTCCAATTTTGGATCAGTGGTCATTCAATCGCATTAAGCTCCGAAAGTTGAAGAAAAAAATTTTATTTGAAATTCACTTTGAAGAGTTTTTTTCGTTTGCCTTTCGAATGGAGGAGGTTTTAACCCGCTTCAGACTGACCAAAAAGTTGGCGGAGCCTTATTCTCGCGAAAACTCAACGCGCCATATATGGCGCCGGGTAATAACAGGAGGTACTCCATATATGGCGTCCTTTGACCGGTACCCGAGCTTTTTCCCGGCAGCGGGCCGATAAGTTTATCTCGAAATTAGTGTTATAAAATATTTTTTTTTCATTCTTATGATCAAATATGATCTTCATCTGGAAAGCAAACAGAAAAAACAATATTTAGGCTAAATAGTTTAGCGTTTATCATCCGAAATCAGTTTTTGACTTTTTTCTGGTCATTGATAAATTTGGAGCATGAAAAATTTTTGCTGCATATTGTCTAAAATTTGATGAGTAATATCGATTTAAGAAAGCTTACATTCGTAGCTAACGCGAAACTGCAGAGAAAGAAAAATATGAAATTTGTCATTTTATTTCTCTCTGAGACAAAACTCAAGCTCAAGTTCTGACTTTTTGACTCATCAAAACTGCCATCGCTTTTTATGGAAAGAATGGTTTTATTTTCGTTATAAAAAACTTTATTATTTGTCCTGGTTCTAATTCCCCTTTCCGATAAGACGATAATCAGCATTATTTTCATGTTCCGACATCGTTGTTTATTCATTATCCGTTTAATCCGTTCACGAAATCGGACGTCAAGAAGCCCAAAAAGAGAGATTCAAGAATGAAGCTTTTTTCTCACTTGGCTTTGGCCAGTATTGCAGCGGCCGGAAAAGCGCACAAAAACAAGCACAAGAAAGAGAAAGTCCCTCCCTTCTCCTTCGGCGACTTGACTTGTGTTGATGAGCATATTCCAGTGCTTTTTGCTCTTGCGGATGATGTGACCATCGTCAGAAACAGCAAGAACAAAGATGGTGGGAGAGAATTTCTCCTTGGATGTGAGGACTCGATGACAGAGCCAAATTTCAATGTGATTCAATGTAAACCGGAACAGGGCGGCAAAGCTGATGGAACTGGCATGGCCGGGATTGAAACACTCGTCGCAGAGAAATGGATCGACAGGTAATATAAGGGCGTGACTTTGTTCCTCCTTGGTTTTGTGCATGTGTGGCCTTGTTCATCAAAGCTACTGCGTAGGTGGAATGAACAAGGTTACACATGCAGGAAGTAAGAGGATGAACAAGGTCGCCCCTCTTGTTTGATTAATTATCATTTCAAAATTCTAGAGACCATAAGACCGATGAATTCGAAGTGACAAACGCCAAGCTTTCGATCTCCTGCGTTCCTCTTGGAACTGGATCATCAGCAAAATGCTCCGAAGACATTTTGAGAAAAGAACTCAAAGCTCAGCTGGACTACAAATTTGCGCTCACACATGCTTTCAACAATGCAGAGATCAACTGCCAGATCGACTTGAAAAAACAGAAAAAAGAGGAAAAGAAGAAGAATAAAGCAGCGCGGTAATTTCGCCGCTAGAATCGTTTTTTGAGCTGTTTTTTCAGATCGGAAGCTGGGCTTGGCGCCAGAAAAGGCGGAGCTCCTAAAAATCCTGCAAAAGCGTTGAAAAAGTCGAAGAAAAAAGCCGAGAAAAACGAAAAGAAAGCTGGAAAGAAGGCGAAAAAGGCCCAAAAGAAGCTAAACAAGCATGGAAAGCATCCAGTTACGACTCGAGTTCCGGTCAAGGACTTCGAGTTTTCCGATTTGGATGGGACTGTTGTTTCAATCGAAGGTTTTTCTCCCTCAAAATGGCAGATTTTATCTCTTTTCAGGCGAAGCTCCAACCGAAAATCCACTCAAAGGAATGCCCCTTTACTTGGAATGCGACGGAGTTCCATACTTTCCAGACAAAGGTCAGCCTAACAATCCCCTTTCTTCATCCTATCTCCCACTAGAAAACAAAAACGAAGCTTACTACTGGCGCCCGTCTCGAGATTCTCCCGTCAAGGAAGTTGCCTGGTTCAACTGCTAAGCACAAAGTTACCACAAATAAATCGTTATTTACAAGCTCTTTTATTCAAACTTTGAAGAAGCAAGGCGTAAAAAATAAAAGCAATTACAATCATTAATAAGGCAAAGGTTTTGTTGAATACAAAATTTACAAAAAGATACAGTGGAATTCGGTTGAAGATGAGAAAAGAAGGGGTCTACTATCGACATCTCCAGTAGATTAGGTGTTGAGTTGCATCGTGTTTACCAATTGCATCGCAGGAGTTTTGGGTGAAGTTTTCGAGTCTAGAAATCATCTTTGGAAAAACCATAAGAGGAGGTTGTAATGCTGTGTATTTATACTATGTTTTACTTTGTAAATCGGCATTTCAAGATGTGAAATAAGACGATTATTTAAGGTGTTAGGCATAGTCATAGGACTAATTACAAGGACTAATCATTTCAAACTACCAGCCGGGGTATGAACTTACCCTTCTCCAGCCGAGACCAAATAAACCTTCTTTTGCGTCGCCGTCGCACTCATCCGCCTTCTATTTTCATGAGTCATTCTCATCTTTGACTTGTCAACTTCCAGCGCCGCTAGAACCAAAACTCTTCCTGTATGCCCATGCGAAAGTGCTTGAATCAATTGTTGATTATTATGAGTCGCAGCTCTTCCAGCATGAATTTCTGAAACAAATCCATCAATTTGACCCTGAAGTTTTTTTAACTTACCGATGTTTAGGACAACTCCAGCAGAAGTTCCCACCCAAAGATAATTCTGCGTCATCAATAAGCACATAATCCTGAGTCTATTTTTCTTGTGTTGCCTGATTATATCGTCTTTGCCGGTGGAAAAGGCGTTTAATTGTCTATTCACGTGACTATCTAGGTCAATTGGATCGAGCTAAAAATAATCCTTTCATTGCCCGAAATGAGCAGTAAAAACTCACAGCTGCGCGAGTTCCAGCTTCGAGAACGAACAGTTTGCACTTTTCGTCGACAGCAATGTACACAGTGCCGTGGCTGGATGCCATCGCCGTGATCTGAAGACAAACGGATTGGCGACACGATATTCCCCCAGCGGACAGTTACCTGAAGTGGCCTGCTTCCGGGCGTCTCGCTCTTCTTCGCATCGAATACCTTCCGGATTTTGTAATTGTTCTCGCTGTCCAGGATAAAAATGAAAGGGCCAGATGCAGCCCAGATTTCATTTTTGAAGCCGTCCACTCCTAAAATATTTCTTCAACAAAAACCATAAATAATTTTTTTCTTTTCGTTTTTTATAAAAAAAATGAATAATAAAGTTTGAATTTAATTATAAATTAACAATATCCCGCCAAGAGGGCCCATCATGATTGATTGGGCCATCAAAATAGCTTTTTGTACCTTCAACGATGATCATCTTGCTAAAACCCGAATAGAGCATATTCAAAAACTCCTCTTTCCTCTCCCCATCGCAAAGATCCTTCGCCACGGAAAGCGTCCTCCATTCATCAATCTTCCAACCAGCAGAAACACGGCTAAAGATGCAGAGAGCGGCGGAACTATCCGTCGTTCCAATGGAAATGATCACGTGCTCCTCGTGAACCAAAATGCAGAGTACAGGAGCATCGAGTTTAATCGTCGCTCGCGGCGTCTTCTTTTTCGCATCTTCTTCCGTTTCAAAGATCAGGACTCGATTATCGTCCGTTCCGAGCCACACGCAATCGTCTGGAACAAACTGTCCCCCGCCAGCGAGGGAAAGTGGAATTCCGCAATCACTTTCGTCCGAATCCGAGTCGTCTCTGTACGCCCGGCTTTCTAGCTCTCGGAATCGACGGTCGCGGACCCGGCTCGATGAAGTCACGTGACACATTGTGTTGACTTGAGCATCGCAAATCTAGAAATAATGAAGACTCTTCCTTGATTTCATTTTTTTACCTCGTAATGCGGCGAACTTTCTTTGGATTCATTCAAAATGCAAATCTGACTATTCTGTCTTTCCGAAGTCGAGAGCACCCAGAGCTTTCCATTCACCGAAATTGCCGCGCTCGGGTCTTGACCATTCCTCGACTTTTGCAGCGGAAGACAGTGGCTCATCCTTGGCCCAGCGCTGCGGCAACCGATGGATTCTTTCTTGGCTGCGTCGAAGAGCTTTTTAAAGTCGTAGCGTTTTTGAGGATCGAGGGATTGGAATTCGATCGGGATAGTTTCCAGGCCGTTTGTCGCGGTGTTCACTAAAGACCATAAATATAACTGGCTTTGGAAAGATCGAGGAAATAAATTTTTTCTCGGAGCTGATAAAATTAAGCACTAGCCGCTTAAGGACGTAGTTCCTCCACCAAGTCATGTGACAAAAAATCTATCAATAAAAGTTCCAATTTGATTGACTTTATCAGCCGTCTTCTCAAATACCCCCTAATCTGGGAGCTTATTAGCTCTTACTGGGATTATTTATCAGTACCTTATCGTCAATTCCTTACCTTCAATCTCCAGTGAAGTATTGTGCTGTATCGAAAGATCGCGGAATTCCTTGTCCAAGTCTTTTTTCAATTTTTCGAGTTCCAGTCGTTTGTTGAGGATTTCTGAGCGGGTCGCTTTGTCAAGTATGTCGATGGCATTGTCGAGGATTTCTATTTCTTTTCGAGCTCGGTCGAGTTTATCGTCGGTATCTTGGGATTGGGAGGCTTCTTTTAGGGAGGTATCTGAACACCATAAATCAAATTCAGAAGGGAAAATATGCTGAATGCGAAATTGACATGAATCGACAAAATGATATTCAGAAACTAAATACCATCAGTATCAGAATCCTCATAAATTCTCTTTTCCGAGAACGTAAATTATACTAACTCATACCTTGTAGGAGAAAATAATTATTGCCCTTATATTTGTGCGACAAATCGACTTCTGGGAACTCTTGTTGAACTTCTGGAGGAACTTTAAGCTTTGACTGCTTTGTTGACATCTAAATTAAAATGAGAATTAGCATTTTATGGTTCATAAACCTGAGATATCACGAGCATATTATTGAAAAGCCACAAGTAGTAAACCCCCTTATTTTTCGAAGTTTGAATCGTAATTGGATCGTAGCACAAGTACTTCAAATTTCTCGTTTCTTCCTAAAATTGGATTTTCACGAAGCTCTACGAGCCAGAATTACGTTGATTCCAGATGTCGAAAAGTCATCTTCGAATGCCTTTTCGATCAGGGAAACAAGGATGAGATTTCGTGCAGTTTTCTGGGCGATTTTTACTTCGCGATCGAGACGGGTCAGGATAACACCGATTTCGCGTTCGGCCTTGAGAATTTCCTTGTGGTCGTCGTGATACTCTGGCGTGTCCTTTTAAGAGATTTTTGAATGGCGCCATTTTATTGGTCGAAATGTTCTGTAAGCGCTTTTGATTGGTCAATGGGTTTTTCAAAATCTGTTCCTTGACGAGCCGCTCGGTGAACATCTTGTACTTGTAGAATCGATCCCGAATCGTTCCTAGCATATCCTCCACCCTCTGCTTCATTGGCGGCGTTTCCCGACTGAGATTCGCGTATTCCTCCGTGAGAAAATCATCAACAGCTTGTCTCGAAGCAACATCTTTCCAGCCACTTTCGTTGGAAGCATAGTTCGTCATGAACTTTATGTACGCTTGTGCCCGGCTATTCAATATTTTCAGGAGTTTTTTTTAATCAGAAAAGGCCAAGTTCCTTGATGAAGACTCGTTCGTTGCGCGAAGGAGTAGATTACGTCTCCGATCGAGGCATTATCTTGATGCTCGATGAATGACTGTATTTCTTCGAGCTTCTTGACGAAACCACTGTGTTCTGAAAAAAAAACAAAATATAAAAAAAGGGGAGAGTAGAGTTGCAAATTTTGCTATATTTTCGCTGAGCTGAGCTGATCTGCGTGAGAAATTATCTCAGCTGAGCTGCCCTTTTTCAGAGGTCATTGAGCTGAGCCGAGCTGAGCAGATCTTTTTTTTAGGAAGTTGAGCTGAGCTGAGCAGACCCTCATTAGAGCTGAGCTGAGCTGAGTGATACTTGTCTGAGCTGAGCTGAGCAGAACTGATCATGTTCGAAAACAGTTGAGCTGAGCTGAGCAGATCTTTTTTAGGAGTTTGAGCTGAGCTGAGCTGAGCAGACCCTAATGAGAGCCTAGCTGAGCTGAGCTGAGCTGAGTGATACTTGTCTGAGCTGAACAGAACTGATCATGTTCGAAATTAATCGAGCTGAGCTGAGCAGATCATTTTTTTAGGAAGTTGAGCTGAGCTGAGCTAAGCAGACCCTAATTAGAGCTGAGCTGAGCTGAGCTGAGTGATAATTGTCTGAGCTGAGCAGATCAGATCATTTTCGAAAATCACTCGACTGCTCAGCTCACTCTGCAAGCTCAGCTCACTCAGCTGAACAAATTAGCAACTCAGGGGGAGAGAGGGAGGGAATTTCTTGCCTGTGTAAATTTCATCAATGTTGCAAAAAATCTGCGAAATCTCCTGCTGAGTACACAGTCTTTGTCTCTTGAGCGGCTTGATAAATCTATCTAGGAGGATTCTCAAGTACTTGACGTAATTTTGCTCCGTGTCAACGACCTCGCGCAGGATCGCAATTCGATTTTGACTCTCTTTTGAAAGCGTTGAAGGTCGGGCAAGATCGAGTTCGTCCGGTCTCGGCCTAATTGCGTAGCCTTTTCTTTTACTTCTCGGTTCGTTTGGGTTCTTTTCTGAACTGACGGAGTCGTTCGAAGAGGAACGATAAGTGGAGGGGTTGATGGTTTCCAGGATGGAATCAGGATTTGGCTCGGAGCTCCATTGCTTCCCTCTGGCCCGACGACCGGACGGACCGACGGGGAGAGGAGGGAGGGAGGCAACGGAGGGTTTGGAGAGAGGGTCTTCGTATAAAAAGGTTCCAGCGGACGATATTGACTCTCGCTCATCTGCTATCTTTTGACAAGGATCAATAAGAAGCGACAAAATGGCTCCGACGAAATTTGCGTGGGCGGCTTCTGATTTGTCGCCCAGCCAAAAAGAGGCTTCTGATTGGTCCTTTTCCTGAAGAGAGCAGTCCGAACTAGACCCATCATCTGTAGAATCACTTTGAAAATTCGGCTGGGAGTTTGGTCTCGAGCCATTATACCCTGTATCTAAATTTCCTTAGAACCTATCAATACAGTAACTCGATTCTTACCGTCAGAAATCCCCGTAATGTTGCGATCGCCTTGTCTCCTTCTCTCGCTGATCTGAAAAAATGACATGCATGAAAACTTTTCAAAGTGACTTTGATTTTGCATCGTTAAAGCTTTTTTACGAGCAATTTTCAAAGTAAAAAAGTTCAGTGCTTTTAAATCAATCGTTACCTTTTGCACAACGGAAGGAGTTTGGTAGACCTTTTCGACGATAACAGTCTCTTTTACTTCGGGTAAACATGCGGTGCTCATCTCTACTGAACTAATTTAGGGGCAACTACTCGAGTTTTGCAATACTCCTGCGAGTTTATATTTAATCCCGCGTCTCGTGGGGATCGAAGATAGCTTTCGCAAAAAAAAAGTATGAAGTAATCAAAAATTATACACAAGCTACGTCATTTCTCGAAGTTATATTATGTTATGTGAACCCGGCCCTAGAATTTCTGGTTCTGGTTTCACCAATTTCGTTCTGACCGGTCTTCGTCTTATCCCTGAAAATGAACCCAGCGATGAAATTAGCGAGTCCAAATCATCATCTTTCTAATGACAAAATATTAGACGAACATTTTTTTTTGACGAACCATTTGGTCCGGCTCCTTGACCGTTTCTTCTGTATCTTCAGTCTCGCTACTGTCGTTGGACTCGGATTTTTGCTCACTCACTTGCCTGGAGCGATTGATTTGGCTGGACTTGGACGAAGACAAGGAGGAGCTCGAGCTCGTCACGGGCTGAGCCGATTCTTCGTCGATTGCTGCTGGCAAAACTGATCGGAAGTTGGAGGAACTCGATGCTTCTGAAATCTCTCTCGCCCTTTTTTCTTCGAAAAAATTTACCTGATCCGGGGACTGAGGAATTTCGACGGCCTCGGCCTTCAATGACGATTCTTGCCCGCTCTTTTTCCTGGTCGAGGGAAAATGTATTTTATGAAGCAGATGATGATTCATAAAATTATGATTTACTGGAGCAGTCATGCGTTTTTCCGACGGAAACCGCGAATTATGCATAAATATAATTCGACCTCTTAGAGAGAAAAAAATGTATGAAAATTTATTAAAAAAATTTAATATTTAATTTATTCTTCGACCAATTCCTTCATCTTCTCTTGACATTTCATCATCTTCATCATTTCTCGGTCTTCTCCTTTTTTTTCGGTTTTGAAAACAAAAAAAAAAAATGGAAATTTTCGGCAATTTTTTTTAAGAAAAAAACCTGATTCCTTGAACCAAATCGATTTTTCGTAAACTCAAGGACCATTGAATTTCGCGAATTTGCTCTTACATTCTGATTGCCATCGATCTGAAGGCCATTTCAAGTTTAACATTATAAAACAGGCCCGATCAATAGCTGATCTGCCCATCGTACTGGATTTAAAACACGCATATACTGATATACAGTGATTTCCTTTAATTTTAGTCAATTGAACCAGCTTTTTAGGAAAAGCATTTTTTTGGAATAAAAGGTCACGTGACTTTATCAAACCAAGATTTTCGCTGGAATTTATGTGGCTGCGTAAAGAAGTGGTTTAATTCTCAAGAGTGCGCAGGTGAAGAACATGAGCCAATATTTAAAACGCAGTGAATCTGTATTTGCCAGGCCCTGCTGATTTCAGCGAGTCTTTTACGCAGTTGCAAATTTACGATTTATGCTTGATATTCGGCTCGTATCAAAAACATACCAGGGTCACAATAAAATCCGCTTTCTATTTCCTCTGAATTTTCTTTGGAAAAAAATAAGGTAGTGACACCCTTATTGTGTTTAACGAGGAGAATAGTTTCAAATTCGAGGTCAAAATTTTCAAAAAAAAAGTTTTCACAAAATTATAAATTTATGAATTTCAAGCAAGAAAATTAAGGGTATCACTGTGTTAAATCAACGAACTTAATCGCTAGGGTTAGGTTATCCGGAATTATTAATACATAATATATTATTTAACATAGTGATACCCTTAATCTTCCTGCTTAAAATTCATAAATGAATAATTTTGCGAAACATTTTTTTTTTTTTGAAAATTCGGGCCTTCAATTTGAAACTATTCTAATTAAACAAAATAAGGGTGGTACTTCTTTAGTTTCAAGGAAAATTCTGAGGTTAAACTTAACCCTAACCCTTTTTTTGAAAGCATGTTAAAATTACCTGTTGTTGAAATTTCTCCAGGCGTTCCTTGACGCTCCCTTCTTTCGGGTGACCTCTATTCAATCAAATTAAAATCTCTAATTCCGACGAGTCTTATTATTCGTGTCTACATATTGATTCAATTCGCTGTTTCTCTCTTTTTTGTGTGAAGGTGTACCCGTTCCCGAGCGTATTCCGTAAATAGCAGAGCTCTGGCGCCTTTTGATTTGTTATTTTATGATTATTCAATTTTAAATAAAGTTTCAAATAAAAAATTTTTTGAATTGATTCAATTTTTCTTCTCACTTTTGGACTGACCTAGGATTCATGTTTCAGAAACTGGGCTTTTTTCTCGTTAATGAATAATCCCAAGCAAACAAGACTCCGAAATCTCCGCGGCGAAATTCATCATTTTCCAGTTTTCAGTTCATTTTTGGACAAAAAATTTCCGAAAAAAACTTTGAAAAATGTCTTTTTGAGGGAATTAGGGTGAATTTCTTTCAGGAATTTTTTTATGATGATCCAGGGCAAATTTGTTGATAGATTTGGCAAGTCAAACTTCCGGAAGTTTGGGAATAGTTTTCTTTATTTGACAAAGAAGACGCTTTTTTCTCAGCTGGTTTTTTTGGGAGAGTTTTTAAATCTCTGGTCAGCGGATCTCCGATTTAGTGGTACTAAAAACGCAAGGGACAAAATACTAAGTTGTTATTATCAAGCGCGAGGTGACCTTTTGCTCCTTTACCGAACAATAAATTATCAGACAATACCCTCGCTAATCATCGGAGAATTCGAAGAGTTGGTGGTAGTTATCGAAGATTTACGCTCTTTGGTCAGATGAAAAGCGCGATTTTTTTTATTTGATGAACTTGAAAACAAGGAAGAGCAAATCATTTGTCGTGGCAGAGTTAGTTTTTTGCTGGAGAACGGAATTTTTTTCTCCAGAGATTCATTTGTGTGTTCAAATTGATGGCACGATTCATAAGGCTTGAAAAGAAGCTTTCCTAGATATCTCCTACACCGAAAGGCTTTGTTCGGCACGGTATCATCTTTCGTTAGCCTTCACGTAATTATTGACTGCCTGTGACTTTGAGTTCATTATTCCAGAGAATCACCAAATACAGATAAAAAAAAGATGTCTCATTTTCGGCGAATTATTATCGCCGAATCTCTCTTTATCCTAGGTTTTTGGTTAATAAAAAACTAATCGTATTAAAGATCAATTAAGCAACTCTTATTTTGTCAGTGTATCTGTCAGTAGATTCAACTCATCTTTCTGAACTGGCTCCGACGTTGATGATTCCGGACATCGTAACTGCTCTTAGTGGTTTGTTTTCTGCATTTTTTGGGAGAAAAATTATTAAATTCGAGTCGCACTCAAATGCAAGTGAACAAGTTTTGGCTCAAAAACAACTTGTCTTCAAGATTTTGGTAAGAGAATATAGAAGTAAAAACGCGACTCTTAAACGGTGTAAGACTGCGATCTTCATCTTTCTTCTCTTTGGAAGCATTGTCTTTGATGGATATATCATTTTTGTTGCAATAATTGGTCTCGCACTCGGGGGTGGTGGCGTCCTTCAACGCTTCTTCGCAATAAAACTCACTTTGGTTATGGTAAACCTCGTCCTTTTCATTTGAGCCTCGGTGACAATGTGTATCCAGGTATGAACTTTTCTACACGCAGAAAATACATTTTCAGGCCGGTTGCTGTTGCTACAACAACAAGAAACGCACTGTATCAGTCACAGTATAGACTGATTGCTAAAAACCGTCTTTCTTTTGCTCCTTTACCGAACAATAAATAATCAGACAAAGCCCTCACTAATCATCGGCGTATAGAGGAATTTGTTGGTAGTAGTTTTCGAAGTTTTTCGCTCTCTGAAAAACGCGATATTTGAGTTGATGAACGTGAAAGCAAGGAAGAGGTTAAATATCTTTTTCCTAGGATTTTTTTTTTGTATTATTTTCTTTTAAAAGTTGACAATTATTTTATGCTTGAATTAATTTGAAAAAAAAAAGACTAAGCTTCTAATCGACTTTGTTCATTTGTATTTTCTTTTTCAGAATTTAACCTTAAAATGAGTGAGAATATAGAAGATCTACCTAATGAAGACTGGATAAAGGTTATTTTAAAATGTTCGATTCAACATAAAGGGAGTATTAAGAGAATTGGTAAATTTCGCAAGATGATTATCGCCAATTGGGCTCTTCTTTCAGGTTTTTGACCAATCAACCCTGAGAATTTGAATCAACATATAATTAAGCTGTCATTGTTACATATTGGTTGGGAGCTGTTCTTGTCTTTGGACTTACGGTCACGGTAGTTGTTCTGAACATTGCCGCTGCTGCAACTGGAATTTCTTCGGCTGCTTTTGGAACAAGAATTTTTAAATCAATAAGTCAAGAAGAATCAGCCGTTTAAAAAGTGCCCTACCAAATCTCGGTAAATTTAAATAATGATGATTTTAAAAACGAAAGAACTAGACATCGATCTTCATCCCTTTTCTTTTTGTTTTCATGGTGAGCGACGTGATTGACTTTGGAAGAAAATTTGGAAATATTCTATCCCAAACAAAAGCAGTTTCTTCAAGTTATCTTGATTTTAATTACAACTACTATGATATTTTTGAAAATGAAACGATTGATACCGGTATATCTTTTTCATCGAACGAAACCCAACGACGTCCAACCATGAAAGATTATGCAGATTTTATTGCGACAAAAACTATTCTTTTTATTTTGAATTTTGTTCTTTTATTTGTTGCTGCTTTCACGCTTTCAATGCAGGTATGATTTCATTTCTTTATCATCATCATTTATAATTGTTTTTTATGATGATAGTTACCCTATCAATGCACTCAAATAAAGATGAAACAAACGACAACGTCAGAAGAACCAGAAAATAGCGATCAAAGAGCTTGATTTCTTGTTTCATGATTTTCAGATGCGTTCAATTAAACCGATTGTTTTCAAGAGAACTAAATGGTCGATCAAATTTTATTTATTGAAAGAAAACCCGTCAGCGAGGTTTAAAATTCAGTAAATTGAAACTGTTTTGTTTTCTTCCTTGATGTCAAAAGCGCCCAGATCAGAAACATTGAGTATCCGCAAACCACGAGCCCTAGATTTTTCGGAATTCTCACTGCGCGTTATCAGTTACAATACCTGAAGAAACTAAGATCGCGTTGCCGAAAAGGCAGGACGATCCCCAAGCCAAGGCCAATCCATACATCGAGAACTCAAAAACCGAGCACAAGCTGTAATGCCCCGCCGATGTTCGATTCCGCTTCTCCGCATCGACATTTTCTTGAAACATTTGAGTCACTGACATGTCGAAGATCCACAGGCCCCAGCGCTGAGCGACTGCCGATGAAAATATCACTCCAATTGAGATGAATGATTCGGGAAGATTGACTCCAGGAGGACAGCGGATCCAATAAGAAGAGAAGATTTCTTCATCAGTGACTAAATCATCGAGGCACTCATTCTCATTCGCAAGAAAGTAGGGCGATCCTTGGGCAAACAGTCCATAAATTCCCAATCCAACAAATATCAACTGCCAAATCGCCCCAGCACAGGCAGTTCCGAGTAATCCAAGAGTTCGTTTCAAAAACGGGAAAGAAATGGGCGCTAGGAAACCAGATACGGCGCTCCCAATGTAGATGATGGAAATTGTCGCTTCGGAAAGACAGTTTTCTCGACCGTAGCCTTGAAGGGGGAAGCTCAAGCCGAGGATGTTGACGTAAAGCGTTGCCAGAGCCAAACCAGGGATGGCCACTTTGGATGTGAATAAAAGAACCCAGCCGCCGAAAAAAGTTTTGAACGCTTCTTTGATTTTCTTTATTTTTCCTCCGCAAGAATCTGAGTCTGACTCTAACGCTTCCTTCTTTGCTTTTCGTTTCTCCGAAAGGGCAGGAATAAGCTTGTGAGTTTTTACGAGGCAGATGGCTTGAATGATCATGGCGAGAATGTTGAAGCTTGCGACAGCTACGGCTCCCCAAGCTTGATCGAAGGAAATGGAGAAGCCGGAGAGGGCGGTAGAAAGGACCATTGTCGCTTGATCTAGAAGAAGAAGTGGAAATCAACAAGGACTAACCGAAACTAACCGATGGATCTCATCCAGGCATTCATCGTCGTGAGTTCTTCTTTCGTCGTGATTTCTACAACCCAATCTCGACTTTATCGAATTCTCAGCGCTTGACTTTGGCTATTTCCAAAGGTTTGAGAGCTCTCCCCTGATAGCATTTTGAAGACCAACAGATGCCAAAATAGCGAAGCAAGAAAATGTCGTTACAATGGCGAACACAGCCTAAAATCAACCTGTCATTGAATCAAATTGTCATTGCTAGAATTTGGCAATGCATCGGTAATACTATTTACCCAAGGTGAAATTTCGACATTATCAGAGTAAATGATCCAAAACATTGTCAGGCAGGATAAAGCAACTTGAAATTCAAAAAATGATGATTTGGATGGTTTCAAGACTTACCAGTTGTGTTTTGAAAGATCAAACTCGTCATCGCCCCATGAAGACGTCTGCTGGATTCAATCAGCGATCCAATAAACGGGGCAAACAAAATCTTGACCGAGGCAAGGACGACGCCGTAAAGCGAGGCAGTCATGATGCTGGAGACATTCGCGTCCAATTTAGCTATCGTATCGATGAGGAGCAGTCCCGCTGCGTAGAGCCACATTCGATCGGCTAATGTATTGCACAGGTGCTCCAGCAGAATCAGCCGCTGCGCTCGCTTTCGATTTGCCTCGCCCTCGGGGCTGTGCTCGCCATTTGAATCAGGCTCGACTTTGGAATCTTTTCGATTTGCCATGGCAAGAATTACACGCTCTGGTGTAGATTCTTGTTCAAGGCAATCTTCTCATGGTTTTTTTTTTATTTCTCTCTATATTCAGTTATTTCTCATTTTATCTTAGAAAAAAATCATTAAAAAACCATGCCTTCTTGTGAGAAAAAAAATTTGCACGAGAGGTACTTATTTATAAGTGGGACTTTGTTTACTTAGAATTTCAGAAGAGTAAATACAGGTAAGGACAGTTGCGGTCTTTGTACATAAAAATCTTCTGGAAGAAGCTGACTCCCGTATTTGTCCAATAAAGAGGCGATGAAGCGATAATAGTCTTCATTGATTTCATGATTGTCAAGTTTTTCGATAATTCGAGCATATTGGACAAGCCGATTTTCATAATTTATCAATCCAAGCGCCGCCGATATCCAACTGAGCACCGTATTGGCGAGAAATTGACAAATGCGCAGAACTATGGAAGGAAAGCGATTTTACGCCTCACCAAGTTCTTTTCGAAATGATTTCGATTGATTTCAGTTTCACCAGCATATAACACAGCGCTTCCACAGTTCTAGAACTAGGATGGAGGGAAGGGTTGTTGTTTTGAAGGAAAGCATTCTGAAAAGATGGGGCTTTTAGATTATTTTTCGGTTTTCGATCTCTGGCAACTCGATAAAACTAAAGGAAAGGCTCAAAAACCAAAGCTTTTTACCAAAAGGTAAGCATATTTTAAGCATAATTTTTATAAGTATTGATATATATCAAAGCTTTTTTTGTGAAATCTATGACGAAATTGTTATTTTTCCATTATTTTTCAATAAAAATTCTCAAGAACTTGGAAAAGGCAAGATACCATCTGTCAATGCACCTTGATCCCCCGCTAAAGCTCCCTGTAAATTCCTTCCCTCCTCCCAGCTGGCCTCCTCCTCTCCCACCGAGTCACCTGACTCCTCTTCCCTCTACCGCCCCTAGCATTCCCGCATTCTTTCGTTTCGCGCTCTTTACGCTCATTCAAATCTGGCGCGCTTTTGCCACCCAATAAAATCGCCTCCTTTTCGTGTAAATTCCTCTGAGCGCTGCTCTTGCGTAACAGTATAAAAAGAAAACAGGGCGTCGGAGAGCGCCTTGGGCAACCTGAACCCGATATCGCCGCGCGAAAAATAGCAGTCTTTCAGAGATCGTTTTTTATTAATTTAACAAGCCCTGATAAAAGAAATGAAGAAGCAACAATCGAGAATGGAGAAGGTGGAAAGCTACATCAAAGGACTTGAACCTTCGCAGTTTGAAGCGGTAAGTCAAATTGAAAAAAAGATTTTCTTTTTTAAAGAATTAACGAAGAGAGACCCTTATTTTGCATGAAAATTTGTAACAAGCAAGATTCTAGAATTTTTAATCCTTAAAAAATACGAGGAAATTTATAAGATTTTTATTAATTTTATAAAATTTAAGGCGCCCTCTTTGATATTTTAAATTTTATAAATTAAGGGTGTCAGCATCTTAATTTTCAAAGAAAATTCTTTTTTAAGACCTTCTTCTTCAGAATGTCGGTTCATTTTTTTATCAATTTGAGCTCATCCAGATTATCCAAGCTTTTTCAATTTCAGAGTAATCTTTAGCTTCATTTATTTTTTGCCCTTTTGTTCCTGAATTTAACGACCGATCTGGCCAAAAAATAAAGAACTTATTTCTGCTGACTATTCTTAATTGGAGATTCTGAAAGTCAACATCTTGAGAGCATTCTGCCAGGGCTCATTAGCGAATCCAGCGCAAAACGAAAACGCTTTATTTTTCTCCTCAGAGCAGGACTCTCAGGGGAGAAAAAAGAAGGGAGCTGTTGATTTACAGCCCGGGATGTAACAATAAATCGCTAGAGAAAGGTTTTTCAATTAGCCGAGCTATTGACCTTCTCCTTCGTTTTTAAAAGAGAAAAAAGGGGAGGAAGGAAGAGAATGAACTTCGAAGAGGTACGAAATCTGTCAAAGTCCTTGTTGATTTCAGTTTTTACTCAAAAGAAAAAATGGTCTTTATTGTTTATAAAAGTAATTAATTTAACGACTTCCATGACTCAACCGGGGCCTTAGATGAGTTGAAAAAAGAGGCGAGAAGAGAAATCAATTAAATCTGGTTTAGGAATTCGAGAAACTGAAAATCGCAGAAGGATACGCGGAAAAAGAAAATCAATCTATCCCGTCGCTGAAAAGCTCATCCAGTGGACCGACGACGAGATCTCAATCAGCCAAGGAAAGTGGTTGCGAATCATTGATTCTAGCGCTAAATTTCCAGGGAAAAACGGCTCGAAATTGTGAAAATTTCAAGCCGCGTGCGGCTTTTTTAAGGCAGAATCGTCAGATTTTTGACTTATCGACCCGCCATTTCGGCCGCCATAATCCCTTACGGTCAATTCATGAAAAATGAATTAACTCGTATCTCGTCCCATTCGCAACCATGACTCGCAGGGCACTTTGAAAATGAATCGATCCGCAATGCTGCGCATGGAGAAGAGAAAGTCGATGATCCCGCAATCTTCCATCTCCACAAACGATCCGTCCAACGATTCCATGTCCGTCCGATCGGGCTCGACGACGTCTAGATCTGGACCGATCAGATCCAAAATTGGCTCGCTCAACAACATTTCCCACAAACCAGGAGGAGGAAATGTCAAAATTGAATCGAGAAGAAAAAGCTTCGCAAATGTCCAGGTAAGACAACATCTTGAAAACTTTTCTTCTAGGAAGAGCCGCGTAGCGGCTTTTTAAAAAACGAAGCCGCGTAGCGGCTTCGCCAAAAAACTCTTTCAATCTGTATTTATATTCTAGCAAAGCCGCTAAGCGGCTTCTTTAAAAAAAGCCGCTACGCGGCTCTTCAGTAGAACTGTGTCTACCCCCTGACTCAGGAAAAGACAGGTTTCTGAGTTCTGATAAAAGACAAGTTCAGTCAAGTTTGTAACCATGGAAACATGATTCGAGATTTTCAAGATGATAACTGTTGATATTTCCCTTGTTTTAAGAGATAGATATTCTTCATTTAACTCCCCATTTTCAGTCTCGCTGTGGTAGTCTGGCAAACGCAGCACACACACCTGGCGGCGGAAAAGTCAAGATCGAGTCCAAAAGGTAATTAATTGACCCGCGCCAAATGAGGCCTACAGAGCTCGCTAATTTATTATGCCATCAACAATTAGCAGAATCGAGTTGGGCTTAGTTCAAGTTCAAGTTTGATCACTAATTCAATGACGTTCATTTTCGCTTTCAGATTGAGCGTGGCTGGTGTCCAGTCAAAAGTCGGCAGCATGAACAATGTCACTCACACTCCTGGCGGCGGCAAGGTCAAGATTCAGTCGCAGAAGATCAAGATTGAAGCGAAATCGAAAATTGGAAGCTTGGACAACAAAAATCACACTCCAGGTTAGTTGAACTCATCTCATTCCACCCTACGAGTCTCAGCGCTTTGAGAGGCTAGTCAGCCAATCAGATGCGGCCATTCTTCATATTAACCAATCAGAAAACGTTAAATATCCTCATCTTCATTTGATTCGCTCAAATTAACCTTTCGCTTTGCAAAACAAATTTTAAACTCTTTCAAAAGCCGGCGGTACTAAGAAAATTCTCCATGAGCCGTTAAAAATCGTTGCTTCTTCCAGAATAGGCAGCTTGCAAAACGCCTCTCACCAGCCTCGTACGTTTCCTCTTTCTTCCTTGATTCCCGACGCCGATTTTCTTACCATTTTTTTCTAGGAGGCGGAAAGGTAAAAATCGCGACTCAGAAGCTCGATCTCACCAATGTCAAATCAAAATGCGGGAGCATGGATAACGCGAAGCACACGCCAAAAGGAGGCAATGTCAAAATCAAGTCTCGGCGATCGGACTGGAGCGGAGTCAAATCAAGATGCGGGACATTCGATAATGTCGGCCATGTCGCTGGAGGTGGCGATGTCAAGGTGAGTTTTTTCATCATTTTTTGGTGTTTATCGGTTTAGATTTACGATGAAAAGCTGACCGTAGTGGCAAAGTCCAAATGCGGCACTTTTGACAACATCAATCACATTGCCGGCGGTGGCGACGTGCAGATTTACGACGAGAAAGCGCTGCCCTGGAAGGAGGAATCGTCGAGAAAGGGCTCGAACTCGATGGGTTCGATCACTCTTGAGACGCTTTCCTCTGTTTCCGGCTCTGAAGGAATGGCTTTTTCAGATATTTTGAGATAAAAAAACTTTTTGAACTCAAACTTCATACTTGAAAATTAAGAATTTTGAGCCGAAAACGAAAAATGTCTGAAAGCCAAAATAAGGTCTTCCTCAATCCGAGCAAATCTCCCTGTAACCTCTATTCTCAACGAGATTCTTCCTTGTCTCCCAACGTCTAAACCAAGCAATACCTACATCAGAAACATCTTCCTGAAAATCGAAAACGAATTCCAAGAAAATCCTAAAAATAATTCCAAAAAAGCCCTGTTGGATCAGAAATTCACACTTTCATTTATCTATTTTTATTTTTTTCACATTTGTATTATTCCACACTGATTTCTTGCCATATATCATGTGTTTTGCTTCTTTTTACAGACTTTTTACCGTAAGTGACAGACTGCGCATGCCTGTAAATAGTGCATATTTCTAATCAAAGAAAAAGGCGAAGATGCTGCATTTGTTGAATCTCTCAATTTCTGCGCTGCTTTTCTTTTCTTTTAATAAAAATGATATTGACTTGAAACACGAATCGATGAAAAAATGATGAAAAAATCTAGAATTTTCAACATTTCAAAGGATTTTTACAAAAATCAAGCCGAAAATCAAGAAAATTTTTTCAATTTCAAAGACCATAAAACGACTATTTTTTGGATTTTTATGAATTATTCTTCCTATCCTTCGTTAGCTTCGATAATGATCGCACTCGTAACTTTACTGTGACTTAAGTGAGGAACTTGACAAAGTTCAGTCAGTTCACTGATGTGTGTGAATTTACTTTTTGGAGCCCAGAATTGGGCCGTATTCTTCAATTCTTACCAATTCTTTTCTGAAAAGGAAGAAGGTTGACCCCTGCTACCTTCTTAAAAATTTCAGCCCCGATCGAAATCAAGAAAATTTCCGAAATCTCAGAGACCATAAGACTATCATTTATTCGAACATTTTAGTTTATTTAATATTATCATCATGTAGCGCGGTGGTGATCGCTGTTGAGTAATTTGACTAAGTTGAATTTTAGTAAAGTCAATTTTTGGAGCCCAAAACTGGGCCGTATTCTTGAAACAACTTGAAGGAAAAATATCTTTCCAAAAAGATTCGGCTAACCGCCTTGGGAGGGAAAGATTGAGAGAAGATTGAAAGAGCAAAAATAATCCCGACAGATTTGGAAATTCCTTCCGAGGCGGCCTTTTATGAGAACACTAACAAGAGGAGCTCTTCCAAAGATCTCGAACAGAGCATTCAACAAGCGGCAGGAGTTGATTTTTTTTCGGTTCCATAGAAGATTTTGATTTTTGCTTTTAATGCGATCGAGTATCGAGGAAGAGAGTAATGATGGTGCTCCGAATGAATCTGTAAGAAACGAGTTGCCACAGAAAAAGAAAAAATTGAACGAATTGGCAAATGTCAAGTGCTTGGAATGCCATTGTACAGGGACAGTGATGAAAACAATCGACGGCATCGTGCTTTTTCCGAACAAGGTGAAGAAAACACTGCTCGAGCTCGGTGGAGGAATTTTAATGCCAAAGCTGAGAAAAATCAAGCCTGTGAAAAGGGTTCAAACCGCAAACCAAAAGGCGAGAAAATTCGTGGAGGGTTTTAATGAAGCTAGGGAAATTGAGGACGACGGAGGAAACGAAGGACTTCTTCAGAGGTCTTTACGGAAGGTAGATAGATTCAGAGAGAGAGTCGCAAAGGGGTTCGATAATGCGAGAGATGAAAAAAGAATGGAGCTTGTGAAAGTGATGGAGCGAATTCATCGAAAAAAGACCAAGACTCCAGCGCGGGAAATTCCAGAACGATTCACGGGTTTTTTCTCAGACGAGTTCGAAAAAGACAATTTCTGGAAATCGAATAAACGCTTCTCACTCCAGTAAGTAATGTCGAAACTCCCGATTAAATTCAAATGTTTGATTTATTCAATCATTTGCAGTGGCAACTCAACAATGCGACAATTCTCTGTTTACATGTTGCTTGGATGCATATTCTGGGGAACCGTCGTCGCAATAAGTAAAATCGCAAGTGTATAAAATCTTAAATACCATATTCCCAGCGAATTATTATTCGATGCTTGCAGCTCGAGTTCAACCAACTTACTTGACCAATGTTTGTCAAGTCGGTTTCAAGAAATGCACGCTTACTACTGACATGGATTACTGTGCACATCTTCTTCATGACTGTATAAGAACAAGGGAATTTGATCAACCAGTTGGAATTAAACAACCGACAAGAGAACAAGTCGCGCAAATCGAATTTTCTGACACAGAAAATCTCATAAACAAACGACGATGCAAGAAACAACAATTCTATGCCATGGTTCTCATATATTTTATATCATATCATGAAATAATGCCAAGCAGAGTTCCAAATTCACCTCACCCAAGATTCACCAAGGTGAGGGTGGGTGAAGGTGAAAAATCTTCACCTGACCTCACCTCACCTAAAATTTTCGAAAATCGGCTTTCACCCAAGTTCACCTTTAGGTGAAATTTAATTTCCTAATAGGTAGGGGAAATCACTAATAATTCGACTTTTTTCTGGGCTAAGTAGGATGGGCATATAATACAGTTTTAGAAAGCCCAGGAGCTGGTGATCATTTTCACTATTGAAAGTAGGGGGTGATTTTGTACCCTGAGGGCATTTAGGTACCTCGGAAGTCCGAAAATCTGGCCAATTTCAGAAATGGGAATTTTTGAAGCCCTAACTAAGCCTTTGAAGGGCTGCCTACTACCCTAGATTGTAGTCCAGGCTCTAGCGGTCATTTTGAGCTCAAGAAAACCTGGGAGGGGGGTGGGTCTGGTGGGAGCTAGAGGCTCTTGAAGTTGGGGAACTCCACAGGAATTGAGTACTTTTTTCCAAAAAGTACATGATTTCTGTCACAAATGTCTAACAAAGACTATTAATAAATCTTTATTGATTTAAAAATGTTAAAGATGTCATTTGAGGTTATCTGAGGTCACTCTTGGTCAAGAATTATGAAAAATTCAGAAAATTCCGATAAGTGACCCGATCTGACCTCAAATGACCCCAAATGACATCTTTAACATTTTTAAATCAATAAAGATTTATTAATAGTCTTTGTTAGACATTTGTGACAGAAATCATGTACTTTTTGGAAAAAAGTACTCAATTCCTGTGGAGTTCCCCAACTTCAAGAGCCTCTAGCTCCCACCAGACCCACCCCCCTCCCAGGTTTTCTTGAGCTCAAAATGACCGCTAGAGCCTGGACTACAATCTAGGGTAGTAGGCAGCCCTTCAAAGGCTTAGTTAGGGCTTCAAAAATTCCCATTTCTGAAATTGGCCAGATTTTCGGACTTCCGAGGTACCTAAATGCCCTCAGGGTACAAAATCACCCCCTACTTTCAATAGTGAAAATGATCACCAGCTCCTGGGCTTTCTAAAACTGTATTATATTCCCACCCTACTAAGCCCAGAAAAAAAGTAGAATTATTAGTGATTTCCCCTACTAATAGGTGAAAATTTTTCACCTCACTTCACCTCACCTAAAATTTTTCAAAATCGACTTTCAGACAACTTCACCTTTAGGTAAAATTAGGTGAACAATGTTCACCTCACCTCACCTCACCTAATTTTTTTGAAAATTGGCTTTCACCTTAGTTCATCCAAAGGTGAGGTTTGGGTGAAAAATTTTCACCTCACCCTTGGGTGAAAGTGAAAGGGTGAATTTGGAACTCTGATGCTAAGAAAACCATCTGAAAGACCAATATATTTGCCGTCATCTCTGTTCTCAGTCACTCGTCCTGCAGTCAACAAGGAAGACGAATTTCAATTCCTGCGAAAATATCTGCTTTGGCTTGACGAGAACACATGACTTTGCTGGTGAAATTTGTCCTTTTGAGAAATACTGCAAAGCAGGATGTCCTTGTCTTTATTATCAGTGCGAGAAAGTTGAAAATGAACAAACGGTTGTCCCTGTCTGGAATTTGAAGAAGGGGAAAAGCATTGAAGGAAAATTGATGAAATCAAAACGCGAGATATTTACTAGATGTTAGATTTTTAGAAAAGTTTTGATCAATTTTTAGTCCCAAAGATTCCTTTGGAAATGAATCTAGGTGTTGAATTTATTACGAGAAGAATCAAAAAAATTGGTTTAGTCGATCGCAAAGCGGATTTCAAAAAGTTTCCTATTATGTTTTCTAATCTCAAACCGAATAACGGATCTCTTATCACAACCAAAGTTATAACACTTTCAAAAGCAAGCCAAAGACTTTTTTCTCATGAACGTTTTAATTAATTGCAATAATTATGGGCCCCCCCTCGTCAGCTTTTTTCAAAAATCAAATTTCGGAATAACAAAATTCGGACCCCGGAAATGGATTCTACGGGTCAAAAAACGATTTTGAGGCTTTATTTTTTGGGGGTCTATCTCGACTCCTTTGCCCCAAAAATCGCATTTGAAAATTGGGCATTTCGTCAAAAATTTCGACGAATTCGCCCTAATTTTGGCAAAAATATTGATTTTTCTTGGTCAAAAATTTCTCTCATCGAGTTTTTGCATCAAGTTTAACCTGATGACGCATGAAGAACTAAAAATATGGTGTTTTCAAAATTTCCATTTTTCGGACGAAAAAGCTGACAGGGGGGGTCCTTAAGCGAAATCGAAACTATCATTGAAAAAAACCGTGAAAGTCAACCGGTTGCACTTTCTTGAATGGCGAGCATTACTTGGTTGATGCAATCGGAAACATGATGAAAATCAAGGAAACTGGGGATTCATCTGATCTTGTTCCAAATCGACACAAAAGAATGTAAGTTTACTCAAATTGAAGAAAAACTTTCAATGAAATACCAAAGTGGCTTCTTCGTTTTTCATTTTGGATCATCCATCGGAACTCATCAAATTGAGATTCGCAACAAAGAGAAGGACAGACGAGTGTTTTCAGTCGTTGTTATCTGGAAAGGTCGGAACATATTTATATCTTAATACAGTTTACATTAAATACCTGAATAAAATTTTGATCCAACAAAGCCGCCCAACAGGTAGAGAAGATAAATGCTTCTATTACGCTCCAGATTACAACTTGAACCGTTTCGAAGAAGCACAGGGCTTCATCGCGAGCAACCATTTCAATGCCAAAGTATCTTCGCTCAGCTTCAAGGGAGTATTTTATCTGATGAGCGTCAAGCTAGGAGACCATTACATAAAATTGTCAAAAACAACTGCTCTGAACAGTATAAGAAGGGATGAAGAATTGGAAAAGGGCTGGAAAAAAAGCGATTTGCGAGTTCCAGCAGAGATAAGTGACCTTGATCTTGTTCACGTGGTTCCATTGGAATGAGTTAAAAGTAATATTCTTGGAGATATTTAGAAAATTGACCCTTTTGACTCAATAAAGATCGATTTGGGGAGACTTCTTTTAATAATTGTAGCAAGAAGTATTATTCTGTCGAACACACTGTACTCAGTACTGCTAGAAGCAGATGGTAAATTTCTGACCCTGGGGAGCGAATGGATTGGTTCTTTGGATAAATACAAAAAACCTTCTATTTGTTATTCAAAGCTGTTTTCTCAAAATGATCCTCTCTATACTGATTTGGTTGGAGTCAACAAAGACGAATGCGAATACTTCGCGAATGGAATCATCAACGACGAAAAAATCTATATTCAAAATTACGTCTTTGATCTCACATTTCGAGTTGACTATGATTTCGGAAGGAATAATTAATATGTAATCCTACTTGTTACTAACTCGGGGCTAACTAAGGGCAGTCTCTTCTTAACCGTTGTTTTAAAAAATTGTGTGTTTTCACTTGGCTCATATTTATCTATTTAAAAAATTCCTTGAAAGACTCAATCGAGCTTGAATTCGTCCTCCAGCAGCCGCAGCAGAATATGCTCCTGCAAAGCAATCCATATTTTGCATTCCACGACGATATCTTTCCCGGGTTTTCGAAAAATGCTATTGCCCAGCCGGCATTCCCGGTCAAAACGTATTCGACAACCATCATTCCAGACTATCATTTTAGTTCGCTTGGAGAATTAAAACATATTTCAACTATCGAGATGAAATTAATTAAAAAAGAACGCTTACAGCTTGACATAGAATTCAAAGAAAAATCAATTGATTTTAATGAGAAAAAAATTCTTGAGTTAAAGTTTTACGACGAAACTAATCTCTTGACCTTTGGTGTATATAAAAATAACTCTCTTTGGATCGATTCAGAGTATTTTCATGGGCGCATTCTTTTAAAGACTCATGTCGACAATACGAAAAAATTGACATTTGATTTCGACTCATCTTATTCAACGCAATCATCATATTTAAGAATTATTCAGAAAGAGTTCAATAATAACTTTATTGAATAATAATAGAATAAGCGCGCCTTAAATAGGAATTACCTACTTCAAATGCGCTTCAAAATGACAAAAGCGCTGCAGATTTTTCTGACTCCAGTACAATTTATTGAACAAGTACAATTTAATGAATTCAAAAAGAATAATAAGAAAAATCAAAAAGAAATCATTATGCGCGGCCTGAAAAATATAAAAAACAAAAGAATTCGAATTTTTAAGTTTGACCGGCACACGAAACTGAAAAACTTCATTTACTCCTCCAAGTTCGACCAAACAAGACTGTTGGTTATGAGCACAGACTTGCAAACCGCCTTCTCGATTTCTTTAGATGGATCAATTAAGAAACCAGCAGTTAATAAGGCACCGACAAATGACTATCTTGAGTCGGTCAGACATGCGTTAATAAAAGATGAGCTCTTTATTTTTGGTGGTAAATTCGGTGAACACAAAGTATGAAGTATAAACAACATTGAAAGAAATAAAATTAAGATTGCGAAACTGAGAGGTTGCTTGTGGGAAGAACAGAAAACACGATTAATCAACCCAATCGGTGAAAAGGGTGCTGCGCTTTCGATCGACGGTGGTTCCAAAGCATTACTTTGCTTTCCCTATAAAGGGACAGAATGCGAGATTTTCGACACAAAAACAATTGTTCCTACTTTCTCAACCAAATTTTCACATCAGTCAACACAACTTGCCTTTTACACAGAGTCCTAAATACTTATTTCAATGAGAGCTAAGCAAGAAAATATGAAGGTGTAAATATTTTTAACACTCATCGGTCAGCGCTTTTTCCCGATAAATTTTTACTTTTAAAACTTTCGAAAAAAATAATTTATCGAAAAACTAGGAAGTAATAAGTCTTCTTATGGCCATTTGTGGCCTTCACTTGAAGAATTTCTATAAATAGATATCTAATCGAGGCCATCAGCGAAGAGCTCATTGTATTTGAGACCAATGACATCGAGGACCTGACCATGATTACGGGGATTAACAACTTGTAATTTTCAAGCCTTTGAACATGGACCATGTAACATGGTCAATGTCCAAAGTGGACAATCTGACAGATGATGTTAAGCTTCAGTAGAGTCCTCCATTAAGGATGGTCATTTTCGTGATCTGAAGACCGTCAAAAATCAAAATAACACTCTAACTTTGGATTAAAAAGCCAAAAAATTTAAAATTTTCCAAATTTTTCATCAAAATCTCGCTTTTCAAGCGAAATTTTGGAAGCTTTCCTCTCACATTTGAGAAAAATGATCAGTACGAAGTTTGTAGCTCTTCAGACGAGCTTTCAGAATCTGGAAAGAAAATTTGAAAATCCCGATTTTCTCAAAACCGAGGACTACCCCCTTGATGACCGGGCATCCTATCCTTGTTCATCAGATCTAGAACTCTGGCTTAACAAAGGAAATCCAACAGTTGTTGGAAATTATGATACTGGCTTTTTTGAACCAACAAATAAAACGGAGACTCTGGGTCCTTCTGGGTGGACGACGTTAGCGGATTTCCCTATAAGGTATCTTTTAAAGAATATTTCGTTATGCAAATCTTTTAAGTGGTTTAGGTGGTTATTATTTGAATGGCCTTCCTGGCGGAGGTCTTTTGCTCGCCGGAGGGGTTTCAATATTAGATTTAAAATTTTCTAAACAAGTGTGGCGTCTTAAAAACAACGTTTGGAATTATATAACCGACCTAATTTACGTAAGTTGAAATATTTTTATTAAAAAAGAGTTTGATTAAGCGTGACTTATATGGGTCCTCAATAAGGATTCAAAACTCGATTTTCCTCGTCTCTGGCCTTCGAACTCCAATTCAACGACTCGATTTCAAAGAAAATCGGTTGGTTAAAAACGTTTTCATCGGAATTACTGCTTCTGCATTAAATCTAGAACCTGTTCTTCTCGAAGTCAATGCTGATTATTGCGTATAAACCAATTATACAAAACAATTTTTCCGTTTAGATGCTACGAATAAATTCACTAAATATAGACATTTTGTTATGAGAAAAACGGGTCAAAATTATGGGCAATAGAAATCGACATAAATAGACAAGCCTTTATTAACAAAAACAAGGAGAAACATTGAGCCGTTAAAAATCATTGCTTTTTTCCAAAATAGACGCCTCTTACCTGCGTCGTGCGTGTCATCTTCCTTGATTCCATAACCCAAAGTCAAAATCGCGACTAAGATACTGGATCTCACCAATTTCAAATGGTGTGAAACTAGGAGAGATTTTATTGAAGCATGCAAAAGAAAATAAAGAAACGGAAAGGGTTGATTTATGCGATGATGAGTGGCTGCTTTTCAGTCTTATCAGCAACTTCGGCAGCCACAAGAAGAGCTCTTCGTCGCCGCCGAGCTCGGAAGAGTCGGAGGAGCACGAAAAAGATTCCAAATCCGAATCCGATCGACATGGCCGCCATGATCACGCATCGAACGATTTTCTTAAAAAAAAAACATCACCAATGATGATCGAAAACGCCGCTGAAAACTCACGTGATTTCGTCGACGCTGGTAGTTGAATTTTTGAATCGCTTCTTCTTGCTCGATTTTCGCTTGAAACTGGATTCCCTCTTCTTCCGGCTTTATGTCCTTCTCGTTCTCGCAGTCGTCTTTCGCATGGGGAGCATAAACCGGCTTCCATTCTGGTTTAGCTCCTTGAACGGGAAATTGAGGACTGAAGCCTGGAAAGAAGCCTCCCTTCGGTGGGCGATTCCAATCTCGATAATGCTCGTAGTAACAACTAAATAAGGATCATCGATAAGAATGATGGAGGAGATAGATGCTTGTATGGATATGTACGCCTAAGATAAATGTTCTTTTTAATTCTGAAGTAAAATTTTAAGAAATAGGCTTTTTATTTATGATTTCAGCAGCGAGAATTTTAAGTAAACTAAGAAGGTTTCTGACTTTTCATTTTGTGTTATCATAAGGACCATTTCCTTGGCTTTATACAGTCTTCTGCAGCTGGCAATGTTCTGCTTGAGGGCGATAAGAAAACCAGATTTTTGAACATCTTGCCAACGAAGATGCCTTCAAAAAACTCTTTGCCCTCAAAAAAGAATAACTGAATTCTGACCTCTCAGCCATTTATGAAGTTCGCCGCAAGGGCAAATACTAAAATAGCAATTTCACAGAGAAAGAACTCTGTAAGAGCAGGTGATTAAATCTTCAAACACGCATCAAATTTTGACAATTGTCACTCGAAAAATATCTGTCAGTATCTAACTCCTATCGAAGGGCGTTTAATAATTCCACCGAAGAGAATATCGGACAGTTTTTCAAATCTATCGCTAATCGCCAATTTCTTCTTTTCTCCGTCTGCGAAGCTGTTAATCGCCGCGGCTCTTTTATTGAAGGTTAGTTTAAAAATTATATTTGAGAATCTGAAAAAAGAGAGAAATAGAAAAGCAGTGAAAATCGCCAAGAACTGGACTCAACTCAGAGCAATCCCTAAATTCAATAAATCCAAGGGAGCTTATTTTTGGTCCGTATATAATTTTGTTAATTCATTTGCATCTATTATTCTGAGAAAATAGCAAAGAGAAAAGGGGAAGGGAAAGTAAGAGGGTTGACAAAATCATATTTTCTGGTATTGAATAGATAAAAAATTAATATAGTGAGCCCCTTAAAAATTTACTTCAATTTGACATAAAGTCGATTGGATAAGAAAAAGTAAACAAAAATAAACAAGTGAAGATCTTTTTTTAAGAATTTGTATTTCGAAGAAAAAACCCTCGATTGTCCGAATTTGAAGGATGAGTGACTCGGTGCGACAGAAAACTGAAAGGCCAGAGTCCTATATATAATCATGTTAGCTCGATCGAATTAAGAAAATGCTTTACTCCGAAGAGCAGAAGGCTGAAAATATGAGCTCGAAAGAAAGAGCACTGTGGATTTTGGGGCTGCGGCCGAGAGACAGATTCAGGAAGACGCAGTTGAGCCAGGTTGCCAAACGGTAAGTCATCGACAATCCTGACTTAGCAAACTGTTACAGTAAACTGTAAAACAACTGAGTCAGGGTCCTGAGAGAGCTCTCAAAACTATCGAGGGATACTGACTCAGGTTTTCTTCACAAATTGTCGCAGAGCTGCAAATTTGCTGAGCTGAGCTAGCTGAGCCGACGGTGATTCCTGAAAATGATCTGATCTGCTCAGCTTAGCTTAAGTATTTTCGAAGTTGCTCAGCTCAGACAATTATCACTTAGCTCAGCTCAGCTCAATGATCATTACACAATTTTACAATTAAAAACACAATAAAAAATGGCTCAGCTCAGCTCAACCAGCTCAGCTCTAATTAAGCTCTGCTCAGCTCAGCCCAGCTCAACTACCTTAAAATAAAGGTCTGCTCAGATCAGCTCAGTGACCTCTGTAATAGGCCAGCTCAGCTCAAAGATTTTTTTATCAGGTCAGCTCAGCTCAGCAAAAATAAAGCAAAACTTGCAAGTTGCAACTCTGGATTGTCAAGCCCAGCCACGAGCATTTCAACCGTATTTGCTCGAAAATAAGAATGTCTGTCCCTTTAGTAGACTATAAATTCAGCTGCATGTTTAGCAGACTCAATTCAGCCCATTTCTCCGAATAATCCTATTACAATCTTTCCCCGTCTCGTCTTTTTTGACGTTTTGATAGTCTCTTTTCTTCATAAAAATAAAGAATCCGTCTAAAAGTCAATGAGGAGATTGTCTGTGTTCTTGTCCTTCTTTTTTTCTTTCTTGAAATCCCAAAAGACCTTCAGACCCAGAAGCCCAGTTTCAGCCGGCGAAAGAGACTCACGCTTTTAGCAATTAGCCAAATTGCAAGGAGAAAACGCCCGAATCAAGACGCTCTATCTACGTTTTTGTTCGTGGATGATTTTTTAAGAAGCAAAAATTCAATATTTATAATAACACTTGTGCTGATTCCACTCCAAAGATCGACCAGAATCACGTCGAATCTGTCATTTTTTGGACCAGACAAACATTTTTGGAGAAAAAAAGAGAAAGAAAAAAGTGACCCCGAATGACCTCGGAGGCGGAAAAAGTCAACGAAAATCTGGCTGAATTGTTAAGTAGACCCTTAATCATTGAGTGAGCTGATCGATTGAAGAGATTGATCGAAAGAAAATGCGATAATTTTAACAAAAATTTTTGGTCAAATTTTGGCCCAAAATGACGAAAAATGGGAAAAATTATTTTGTTTTTTTTTTCTGAAATCTGATTGGCCCTGAGCCGGAATTAGAATTTGAGCGGGCAAATGTGACCAAAAATTTGGTAAAAGTGTTTCATTTGAAAATTTTTAATAAATAAGGGTGTCTCCTTGATAATATCAATTCTTTAGCCTCGAAACTCTAATTGATAGACACGAAGCCGAGAAAAACGTAACAGTTGAAGAACTCATCGGTCCAACAAAACTTGCGGTTCAGGTGCCTCATTTCTTTCCTCCTTGATTTCAAGTCTTTTCCTAGCTTCTCAAAACATCTCTGAGAGGTTCGCCCATCAAAAATGATCTGGTCAAAATTGACTCGACAGTTCCAAAAGAAGTTCGGCAATGGCTCATGTCGACTTTTACTCCTCCCAAATCTTCAACCAGATCTGTCGGTAACCGCTCCTTTTTCCCGTTTTCTTCCCTTAATTTTTGTTAAGGGGAGTCTCGCCGAAAAGGGCTAAAAGGAATCGTCGCGGGAATCAGCGCCGCAATTCGAATGGAAAAACTCACAATCGGCAAAAACGACCTCGCGGGATTCACGGACGACATAAAACGCCAGCTGCAGGAAATCGCGTCCTGGAACTTTGACATTTTCGAATTCGGGAAACTGACTGGAAATAGGCCGCTGAGATACATTCTTTACCAGTCCTTGGCTTCCTTCGACCTTTTGGGCGATTTCAAGATAAAGGGTCCTGTTGTCATGAATTTCGCCGCGAGATTAGAGGTTAGCGAAGAAGATTCTCTTCGTTTATTTAAGATAGTGACACCCTTATTTGATTTTTTCTCGAATTTTAAGAGTGTGGCGTCAGGAACCGACAAAAAATTTTGACAAATTTTGCGTAGGCGGCTAGTCGACAACTGACTGGCCGGTCAGCCGAATCCAGACTTCTGATTCGTTGAAAATTTTCTTTCAAAATTTGTCGAAATTTTTTGTCGAGTTCGAGAGTGGTTAGTAATTTACGCTAGGGTCGGCACCGACCACCGACCAAAATTATCAATTCTGAAACTTTTACTGATGAATCAGAGATCATTCAGAAAAATCATTTTTTATTGCCTTAAGGATATAGCCTTGAATATTGAACTTTCGTAGCGCCGAATCCCTGTTACGAATTTATTCATTTTTCAAAGAAACCCTACCTAAAATCCAGCGTAGATTTCGAAAATTCCCTTATTTTTAGTACTTTCGATAGTGTTTATACCTAAAAATTGACTTCAAAATAAAACAGACCGTCGTTCTCTGAAAATTTCCATTAAAAAGGTAAACCTGGATTGATGATATGAAAGATTGAAGCGTTCTCTCCAATCTAGCGGAGGATTTTGTAAAAATATTAAAAATTACGGCTTCTAGTAACTGGTTTATGATTGTACTTCGAAAAGGAGAGTGGCGCGTGCAGCCAATGAGAGCGAGGGGAAAATCTCACTCAGCCCATCGCTCATCCTATTTTACACGAGAAATTTTGTCGACAGCTTGGACGAAATGTAACTAGGATTCTCCCCTCGCTCTAATTGGCTGCACGCGCCACTCTCCATTTCGAAGTACAATCATAAACCAGTTACTACCGATGGGGTGTTGGATAGCGGAAAAATTCTCATCGGAGCCTGGGTTGGACTTGTAAGGCTAGTAACCAGACATCCCAATGACGGGTGCTCTGATTCGTCCGTTTAATTTTTCTCGAATTTTCCATAAGATTCACGTAACCCGTTTTTCCAACATCTGACGAATCGGAGCGCCGACCAAGAAAATGTGTGGTAACTGGCCTCACTAGCCTATTTCAGGCCCGTTTGAGATAGGCACTCCGATTCGCCACAGCGCTCTGATGGAAATTTCCGGGAACGGTCGGTTACAATACCAAAGCTTTTTTGGTATTCCAATACCAAAATTTGGTATTCCGATACCAAATTTTTTAGACAATTTGGATTTTTTGCCCGAGAAATTATTAAAAACACTTCTAAAGTATCGTATAATACAGGCGCGAAGCGCACGACCGACTTTTAACTTTGAAAAATTGGCATTTTCTGCCGACTTTGGTATTGGAATACCAAAATTGGTATTCCAATACCAATTGGTATTGTAACCGACCGTCTCCCGAAATTTCGCTATCAAACACCCCATCAGTAGAAGCCGTAATTTTTAATATTTTTACAAAATCCTCCGCTAGGTTGGAGAGAAGGCTTCAATCTTTCATATCATCAATCCAGATTTACCTTTTTAATGGGAATTTTTAGAGAACAATGGTCTGTTTTATTTTGAAGTCGATTTTAAGGTATAAAGACTATAGAAAGTACTAAAAATAAGGGAATTTTCGAAATCTACGCTAGATTTTAGGTAGGGTTCCTTCGAAAAATGAAAGAATTCGTAACAGGGATTCGGCGCTACGAAAGTTCAATATTCAAGGCTATATCCTTAAAACCGACCCGACCCGACCAAAAACCGACCAAAAAATAAGGCGACCCGACCAACCAAAGCGACCACGGATTTCGCCAATTTCTGGGAGACCGACCAACCCGACCTGGGAAAATGGTGGTCGGTGCCGACCCTAGTAGTAAAGAACCTTCTTCGTTGATTTGAGATAGTGACACCCTTAAGGCTTGTCTCATCTTATTCCCTTTTTAAGGAGCTGTATTTATCCAACAAAAACCCTTACCACAACGATATCCACGCGGCAGACGTAACGCAGGCCCTATTTTCGATAATCGAACTGAACGGCGCCCAAGTTTGGTTAGACAATGTCGAACTTTTTGCCGCATTATTCGCCGCTGCAATTCATGATGTCAGTCACACGGGGACGACGAATAATTTTCATATTATGACAAAAAGCAACCTGGCGAATTTATATAATGATAGATCAGGAAAGCGGTCTTCTCGATTTTTTTACGCGACCTTTAATTCTGATGACCTTAAAAAGTGCTTGAAAACTTTCATCTAACAACTGGATTCGGAATTTGTGCAAAAGATGAGTGTAATATTCTAGCTGGGCTGAATGATGAGCAATTTTTCAACTTCAGAAATATCGTTATCGGTAAGTAACAGTCAAGGACTGGAGTTTATGGTGTCTAGATATGGTTCTCGCAACGGACATGGTTTTCCACAACGAGCACTTGTTCTACCTCTCCGACGCCAAGAGTTCTCCTTCCTTTGCTGACACTACAACCGTCCTTGGTTTCATGCTCCACTCTGCCGACATTTCCCACTCTCTCCGACCCTGGAAGCATCATGAAAAGATGGTCGAATTCCTCTTCGAAGAATTCTTCCTCCAAGGCGACCAAGAAGCTAAATCTGGTTTTCCGATTTCTCCTCTTTGCGATAGAAATACGCTGCATATTCCAAATAGCCAAATAAGTAAGAAAAGTTTATCAAAAATATGCTCATGAACATTTTAGGTTTTAATAAATACATTATCGAGCCGACTTTTTCCGCGCTGACGGAATTTTTCAAGGCAGCTAATGAGTGTCTTTTTGACGAAAATGGCATTTTATTGGAACCATCTGAAAATGGCACTGGTGATTCATTACGACCAGGAAAGGATACGATTGAGGAAGCTTGCGAGGGTACCTCATTGTGCCTTCTAGAGCCGCCTTGTGCCGCTTACGGCCGTCCTGTGACTCCTAGTGCCGCTTAGAGCCAGTTTTTGCCTCCTTGTGCCACTTAGGGCTGTTTTGCGCCTCAAAGTGCCGCAAAGAGCCGGTTTGTGCCGCTTTGGGTCGGTTTGCGCCTCCTAGTGCCGCTTAGACCGAAGATGGTCAGCGTATACCGGCACAAGGTGGCAAAAGGTGGGATAAGGAGGTAAATTGGGCAGAATCAACGGAAAAGCCTCAGAAAATATCCCTTTTTGAAGAAACTTTTAACAGAAATCGCCGAACTTCGAACCCAAACGTCAGCGGTCACGTGACGCGGAGCCGTTTCGTCCGTCAAAATTCCCAAAATCGCGGGAGTATCAGAATCAAACGGCAAATAACAACCGATATCGCCGACGCTCAAGATGTTTCATCGCAAAGAAAGATTTTCAAAAACAAAGCAGGCTGCTTTGAGCGAACTTGGAGGGGGCATCTAAAGAAGAATTTAGAAAATTGGGAGAAGAGGGCAAAAACATAATTTATGAAAAAACTATCATTTATTCAAATACACAGAAATACAAACAGCATTGTTACAGAGAAGATTTGTGCTTCAAAACCCCGTGAATTCTCTTCATCGTTTTGTTCGAAAATCTCTTGCCACAGGAAAGACAGACATGTTTCTTGAGCCCGGCTTTAGCTTCTTCCCATTTTGCATGGCTTATCCAGTCGGTCTCGACATCGAAAAGATCAGCATCATTTTCATCGTGAAATTTGTTATCTTCCTTGATTTCTGGTTGCTCGAAAATGAGAGTTGAAGAGAGAGGGCGGAGTTTTTTGACTGTAGCTCGGCGAGAGTAGGCAGGAGTCAGTTGGTTTTGATGGAAAATGGAGTTGGAATAGGCGATTGTGCACATTTTTAGTTATTTCTGGATATGGAGGGTTGGGGGAAGGGATTTTATAGGGTGAGGCGGAAGAGCGCCACGCTCGGAAAATGAAGAGCGCTGATCGAGGATATCCATAATAAGCGATGCATATCGGGGCTGATTATACTCGTTTGATATTTACGAAATGATTTTAATAAACTCTTTGTCTTTTTGGAGCATTTTTACAGGATATTTCTTGTAATATTCATGCTTATTGAAGAATAGATATTATCACACTTTTTCTTCACTGGAACAATTTACTTTTGCTATCAGCTTTGCATTACAAGAAAGAAATAAACCAATTTATTTACTTCCATTATTATGGTTTCTTGGTACCTTTTCACTAGAAAAAATTGTTGTCAACTTATAAATATAACAAATTGTTCTACTGTAGAAATAAGCTTCGAAGGCTTGATTTGAAAATTTCGATGACGACGACGGTTATTTTTCTGTCCCAATTACTGTCAGACGTTTCTTCTGCCTCGGACCTATTTAGGGACTTCCGGGATCGTGCAATAAATCAAAATTTTCACCGTTCGTAAAACAACGATTGCGCTCCGGAACGCTTATTTTCAGACCTAATAAACAAATGCCATGATCATTTTTCAACCCTCTTTCAAAAATGCCCATGATTTCTTCGGCCAAAATAAGGGTGTCTCGATCTTAGAACCGCTTGAATATTCAACCCGAAAATATCATCCTGAAAAGAGTCCTTCCCATGGAATCGTGGATCGATTTCGAAAAAGAAAAAACCTGCAACTGACCCTCTTTTTAACCAAAGTCATTACCGCGTGTCACTTCCGGGAAGGAGCAGCGTGCCTGTATTTGACCCTGTGAATCGCGATAGCAATCGATACATGTCGATCTTTCAAAATGATGAAAGCGCCCGGTTTCTTTCACAAGACCTTTCTTTTTTTCACACAGACTGAGTCGTTCAAGTTCATTCATTTTTTCATGCTCTTGAGCAAGATCAAAAAAAAAATGTTTATTAAAACAGGGATAAAGCTACTGAAAGGCAGAAAACAGTGACTTGAAGACTAAAACTAAGACAAGTTCGTTTCCCGGAGGCGATCAAATTTTGATGAGGTAGAATTTGAATGGAAGATTGGACTAAAAAGAATGATTTTATATGCAAGAAAAAGGTCTAGAACTTACGAGACAAGGAGTTCAAACTCTTCTCTACTTCCGAATTCGACGAATTTGAGGAATTGGAGTAGTTAGCATAGTAATCGGTCTCGTTGAAATAATCATAAAATCCTTCATACATCGAGTCTCCAGCTGATTCTTCGCATCTCGGCGGCATAGGATCTACGATCGTCTTGAAAAGAAAGATGATTACAGTCATCGCCTTTTGATTTTTACCAGAACAGCGAGATTGCATTTGACCTCCAACGATGGAACATCATCCAGCTTGAAGAGGATGAAGGAGAAGGAAGTGAAAGATTTTCGTTTTATCGAGAGAATGTCTCTAGAATTACAGTATGATTTCAGAAGAAAGGTTAATCTTACTTGAATTCTTTGCTTGGGCAGAAGTTGTTGAAAATATTGAGGCTTTTCTGTCCACTTTTGATGTCACATTCTTTCAAATATACCCTTAAAAGTTGAGTCTAAGAAGGGCGAAATCGATGTTGACGCCCTTAAGAAAAAAGTCCTCTACGCAGTTTACCAGTAAAAATCATTTGGTTTCTGCATCTGAACCGAGACGGTAATCGTGTCGCCGAGAAAAAAGCTCTTTTCGCTCATTTTGCCATCATCGTATTCCCGCTCATCACGGTCGTCACTAGTCACGAGTGACAGGCCAAGGTTGTTAATTATCTCCGCCGCTTGTAATTCTTCCTTGACGGCGGAGACGACTGGGTCGCTGATTTCGATCCGCTCGTTGTCCAGGTTCAGGGTTTTGTTGTAGTAGCACTCGAGTTCGACCGGTTCCATCAATTTGATTTCAAAATTGACATTTACCGGAGAAAATTGAAGCCAAGCGGATGTTCTGACAAATGAAGAATCCTTTCAAAAATGACAAGAATTTTTAAGGAAAAATATTTCAGAAAGAAACTTACCGGGATTTCTTCAGTACAGGCAACAATGGCCGGCAGGCCAGGAGCAGTTCCGTTGGCGGGAACAAGTGGAAATGTACAGTTGTCTCTGAGCTCTAGAATACGAATCGGAATCTTCAGCATGAAGCTGGTATTTCGTACCTTCGAGAATCGAGTCTTTTTTCAAATCCCTCGACTTCGTGACGTACAAACCCGCTCCGGACCTCGGAACGGCCGGGTATTCCATTGCCCTGCATGTTTCATTCAAAGTAATCGCCATCGTTAAGAAAGTGCAATCGACATTTACAATGTCGCAATTTATCGTGGCTGATCTTTTCACCCGCCCATTTTGAGCCAAAATCTTTAAATGGATCCTTCTTTTTCCTTATTAAACCCTTTCTCTTATTCAAAGATCGATTCCTGTTCGAGAAAAAAGATTAATAAAATATTCATGCTTCTGAGTAAATTTTGAACTGTTTCGGCTGCATCCGATCTGCAAATCCAAAGTTGCATGGTTCATAAAACTGCGCTTTTATGACGCTTCAAAAGAATAGCAATTTTGATCGCATAATTATTGCCCTGGAAGTGAAAAAGAAGAAGAGAGAAGAGGGGAAAAGAATCGAAAACGAGTTTTGCTTAGTTGCAGTTTCTTGGGTGGTGAAGTTCGTTGGTGGTGCACGAGAGCACCGAGGCTGGTGCAGTTTAGTTCGCAAGAAAATTTCGAGAGGATAATGCTCTTTACTTTGAAAAAGGTTACATAAGCCGGTAGCTTTGATTTCACAAGAAAAAGTTGGACTAAGAGGAGAATTTATTGAAGGCGGAAATAATTTTTTTGAAAATAATCATTTTTTTTTTACAGAATGGGTTTTGAATAAAAAAGGATCGGAAATTCGTCAATGGGCGGAATTTTTTTATTTTTTTTTTTTGATGAAATCTTCAATCGTTTGTTTATTTGCCGGAGCAGGTCTTGAGACAAGTGGAGCTGAGCAGCTTCTTGGAGGTTGGATCTCGGAGGCAGACGTTGACGGCGCACTCCATGTAGAGATTCATGTCGCTTGGGCCAAAGGTGAAACTGGTGAAGCTGAAGCTTGGTGGAGCGGTTCTGGTGCCGGAAATCTTGCTGTTATCGAAGGCGACGGCGGCTTGGGGAGCGCACTGATTGGCGAGGACGGTGTACTTCTTGCCGGTCTTGGTGGACTTGTCGTAGACGGTGCAGGCGGCGATCTAAGAAATCATCAAAAACTGGTAGAAAGAAGATATTGTTTACCTGGTAATCGTATGGGACGGATGGGGCGAAGGTGGATGTGACGGTACCAGTGAGTTTGTCACCTAAGATGTTCGTTACGACACGTGATTATGAGCGATGACTTACCAATAGTGATGGTAGAGGAAGGTCCCTTGAGACTAAGTGAGAAGAGAGAATCGAGCTTAAAAAATGTTAACCAGTGTTTAAAGAGCTTGTTTTACCGTGGAAGAGCCGGAAATTTGAGTTGTGGTGACACCGTATTTGACGTTGAAAGCGCTGCTCATCATGTTGACTTGGCTGGCATATTCGCACTTGGCTTTGAACTTGAACACTCTGCTGGCGGTGATGGTTCCGGTGGTTGGATCAGTTGCAGAGACGTCCCATTCGACGGCGATCTTGGATCCCTGAGACCACTTGCCGCCGCAGGAAGCGAGACTGATCGAGCGAGTTTGGGTACCGCTGCTTGGGAAGGTGTACTTGCAGGTTCCGATGTTGAGGACGGTCTTGCTGAAGTAAGAAGAGGAGAGGTTGGGGAGGAACGAGCCGACGCCGGCGGTGATTGTGGCAGAGGTGGCAGAGCAAGCAACTTCGACTGTAGTGGCATCCTTGAGTCGGAAATGTCTGGTGTAATAGCGAGTGTATCGACCGGTCGCATCCATTCCGTACCAGCTAACTGAGTGAACGTATTGGTCGAGCTGGGTCTTGTTTGGCGTCCATTCGCAAAGAGAGTATCCGGAAGTATTTGGAGTACCGCATTTGAGCCCGTCAGGACCATAAACATGTCTTCGTGGCAACTTGCTAATGAAAGTTCCCTTGCTCGTGTGGGCGCCCTCTCGAATGTAGAATTTGATGACTTGCTTCGATGAAGTGACCGTCACATCGGTGATGTAGGAACCAGTGTACGCAACAAATGGGAAATATGAGCAGAGAGAAGGAGTAGAGCTCGCAAGATCGAAATCACCAGCGGGTGCCTCGAATACGGGATCTTCAAGAGCAGCGGCGGCTTCGATTTCCTCCAAGTTCGGTTCTTGGTACTCGGAAACAGTGGTAATCGAGTTGTCCTCTTCGGTGATGTAGTTCTCGTTTTCAGGCAAGTTGTTGTAGAAGTCGTAAGTCATGTGCTTGGCTTCAGGGATGAACTGGACAGCTTCGTTGACCTCTTCACTATCGCTGTGATTCAACTCTTCTTCGCTGGCTACGAGCTCATCTTCGATTTCGGTCGAGTTGTCACCGCTTTTGTAGCTGTAGCTCCAAGAGGCATTTCTCTTGATGATCTGGAAGATGACGGGCATCGAGTGAAGTCGTTTGCCACTAGAGTCAAAGTCCTCGACCTGGATTGCGATGAAGTGGTTCTTCTTGTAAGTGTCCTGTCTAGGGTAATAGCGGATAACGCAGTTGTTTGGCTCGAGGTAGATATCCTTGCCGCCGATGAAGGTGGTGCCGCTGTAGAGTGAGAAAGTACCGGCCTCGGCAAACGTAGACCATCTGCATGAGACTTTGTTGCCTTCGGGGTCGAGTGGCAGAAGGTTCAAATGTTGGTAGTAACCAGTCGTGCAGCTTGTAAGCTGAGGGTTGACGAACCAGGCTGGTGGAGCGTTAAAAGATGGAGAGCTGTTCTTTGGATCGGTAACGATGGCGGTGTACTTCATCTGATTGCTTGCGACGGCGGTTTTAGAGCCGTTCGGTTGGAAGGGATAGCTGGTCGATCCAAAGAAGGTGTTTGTCGCGGTGTTGAAGAAGGAGTTGATGGTGAAGCCGGAGGTGTACTTCGACACGTCCAGCAATTGGTCATCTTTCTTTCCGTAGCAAAAGCTGTCGGCAACGTCGAGGTTGGTTACCTGGAAGTTGACTGCGCCGACGATAGATTCAGGACCGATCAAGGAGCTGGAGAGCTTTTTGTTAGCGATGTCGGTGGCAGAACAAGCTGTGGTGAACCCGAATCCGTTGCCTCTCTCGTACGAGAGCTCACGATTGATTCGGAGTTTATTCGCATCGGAGGTAGTTTGAACCTAAAAATTTTAATTAAATTTTTTATTTTTCTCTTGGCAACTTTACCTGATAACCCATGCCCCTGAATCGAGACCAGTGACCGGCCTCGCTCAAGGAGAGAATAGCCAAATTCAGCTTCATCGCGTTTTTGTTGTTGGTTCTTTCAGAGCCCAACAAGAAAAAAGGTAATTTCTCTAGACGAGTACTACACCCGGAGCATGCTGCATCGCGGTTTTTATGCTACCGAACTTGGCGGTGGTGCACGAGAGCACCTTGGCTGGTGCTGTCTAGTTCTATGGAAAGTTTCGCGCAGGAAAGTAATCCTCTTTACTTTGGAAAATGCTCTATAAGCACCACAATCAAGTGCTGGTTATCCAATCAGTGTTGCTAAATCATAAAGTCGAAGGCGAAAATAATTATATAATAAAAAATTAAATATATAATTCATCATATAATATAATAATATCATTTATATAATATTATACATTCTTTTATACCGTATATTATATTATATTCTCGGAATGAAATTTGACGGAGACAGCATTATTTCAAGAAGACAGATATTTAGAGAGCGAAATTAATAGGCCGTATTATACATCTAAAAAGTTGAGCTCTGCTACCATCCATAACATATCGAACAAGCACCACAAATTAAACTTTGTCAGCTAAGTAGCTTATCTCAAGTACCTTAGATAATAAAAATGTCGTCTAAACAGAAACGAATTTGTTGTCGATTTTTATGCAAGGATCAGCAGAAGACGATCTTTTGATTTCAAAGTCAAGGGGTAATCTCCGGTTACTAGACCGAACGCGCGGTGCATTTTTGTGCGTTTCGGCGCCAAGTCTAGTGCAGTTTATTTTCGATGACAGCGCTTAACCCCTTCTTTTCTCCTGCTTTCAGAAATCATTTTTCCTAGTCCATCTCATTTATTCAATAAGTTTTCTATACAGACGTGACAGGGCTCGTATCCAACCAGAAACGAGTGAATAAAGTGCTGATAAGCAAGATAATGATTGCTAAAATGTAAAAATACGCCATTGTCCGGTCAAAAACAGTCGCTGCGTATTTCCACTCTTCTTCGTACGCTGCGCCAAGATCTCCCTCGTGAGTCGCTTTGTTGATGCAAACGATTTCTAAAATGATCGTGAATCGAACGCTCGAAAATTTCAGCTCTACCTTCAAGAATCTCTTTCAGAAGACGTTCAGTGGTGCTTTTCACTTCGTCGAGAACATCGTTGATTTCTTCCGCCTCGGCAGCTGCTTCTTCGTCCGTTTTTTCTTGCGGCCGATCTGGGGGTGGGCCCATGGTAAAGAGGATCTTGGGCAAGAAATCGATGAAAACGCATCGAATCTTCAACGGATTTAACAAACAATGAGCTAATTCTATCATAAGAAAATTAAGATATTTGAAAATCCGTTGGCCATTTTGGCATTCTCTTCGCTTCTTCTCCAGTTGTATGATGTAGTCGAAGACAGAAGATTGTCGAAATGAGAGAACATGCAACGAGAACGAGAGATGCGACGAAAAACTGCCCGATAAGTGGTGTTTTAGCGGGCATAGGGGGAATTTGCTGAGTCAACTGGTCCATAAAAACGACGAGAGCGAGGAGAATCGTGATGTCTAAATACAAAAATATCGTTGGAGCTTGTTCGATTGACTGAGAATGTTTGATTACTTACTTAGGCCGACTTTTTCGCCAGCATCTGGGGGCATGAAAAAACCGAGAATGATGAGAATTACTGTCAGAATGCAGGGGACGACGATGGAGAGTGTTGGCAAGAGGGTGTATCGCTTGAAGACGATTTCGTATGTGATGTCTTTTGACAAAGTTAAACATTAAACATAGGGACATTTATCTTCAATTTTTTCAACTTTGCCTGGATATTTTTCTACGCAGCAGGGATACTTTGTTTCTCTCATGATTCCATCAGTACTAAGGATATTCCATTCCGTCGAGTTTGGTTTCATCGGATCTAATTACTGTAACTCCACTTGATAAAATCAAAAAGAATCCTTACTGTCGAGAATTTGCCCCGTCTGGCCTGGACCAGTTATATTATTCGTCGCGGTTTTGAGCTGGAAAGCAATGTCTCTGCTTGAATACGTCCAAGGACCAAAAGTCAAGGGACAGGCTTGAGTGTCGTAAGGAAAGAAGGTCATGTCAAAAACGCAGCCAGCCTCGAAATTGATTGGAGTGATCCAGTTGCATGTGCCATCGTAGTTGACTGTAATACCCGCCTGATACTTGCTGTCGAAGTCGTCTGATAGACTCTCCATCAGAACAACATCGGGTTTCCAGATTCGGTCAGGAGCAATGATCACGTGCGTGATATTGTTGTTCAAACTCGGTCTCCAGTGAAGAAAATCGTCTCGCCAGGTGAAATCCATTCTAGGAAGAATTCATGGCCATTCTTTGTTTTCTAACTTACGTAGCCGTAAAAAAGACCCGTTGCTGTTTCGCGTCGATTCCATGAAACTGGCTCAATCGAATGTCCAATTCCATCGGCATCGGAGTGTCCGTAAAAGCAGTCGGAATCTTTCCCGGATTCGCTTCTTCCATTTCATTTTCAATATATTTGACGCACTCGTCGGGCACAAGAGCCGAGTCCCAAGGATGCACTTCGAATTTTTCAAGCGCTTCGGCTTCACTCATTGTGCATCCAGGCTGACTAACGTCGACCACGTAGCTCCAGCCTTTTAGGAGGCGATCGTAGAGGATTCCAGTGTTGAAGCGGCCATGAGCTAAAAAAGTTTTTCTTTCAAAATATCTCTTAAAAACTTACCTAGGCTCAAAAATCCAAAAAAGAAAAGCCTCATTCTTGAGCCCGTCTCACTTCGGACTGCTTGACGCACTTCGCGATCACCTTCGAAAATAATGTGGTATTTTAACGATGAACTCCAATAACGCCTCCGTCTTCGCGTCAATTCTCATAATGTACAACTTTAGTGCATCCGGTATTATTTCGCCTTGACGAAACGAGTTAAGACTCTTTCAGCTTTGCGGTAAAACTATAAATGTAATAAATATTTCCTCGACTTTGTGACCTTGAAAGTCAGAAAATTCAGCATTTTCGAAGCTTTTTTGATAATTTTGATGGAAAGATCATGAACTATGATTTTTTTTATTTTCTTAATATATGATGCGGTTTCTCTTTCTCAGCTTTTTTCTCAAAACCATTTTATGGGCTCAATTATTTCAAGTTTTATTTACAATTCTAGCAATAAAATTAGCAATTAAAAAGCAATTACTCTACCATCAACCATCAACCAAGCAATAACCATCAAAGAATAGCGCCAAGAAAGAACAGCTGAGCTAGAATCTCAAATATCCCGCTTAGATGAAAAATCAGCAATTGTCCCCTACCTTGGCGGAAATTTCGAAATTTCGGAATTGCGCCCACCTGCGCGGGCAATTTTTCCGACCACCACATGAGGGCTTCTCTTTCATAAAAGCTCGACCGTTTTTTAACAATCCAAAAAACACGCAAGAAAATGATCTCCAAGACAACCATCAAAAACTTCTTCGCCTCTATGAAAAGCTCCAAAGAGTCCTCTGAACTGCGAAAACTGAAGATCGACTCCTCCATGATTTCACTCCCGATCGGCCAGGTCATCAAGCACAACAAGTTCGACAACTCCGAGATTGAATTCAATACAACAACAAGAAAAGCGATCTGCAACCAGAAACAGAAATTCAGAAAGTATCAAAAACTTTGAATAAAAAAGAAAAAGGAAATTTATAGTTGTACGTTTTTATTTGTTGAGAAAAGCAGTGTCAGATGTATTCTTGAATTCTAGTTGAGGAGTAAGACATATGATTTCCACTAAAAACATATATAAATACCTTTTTTCGAGAAGAACTTTCAAAGAGACACCCTTATTTTTTCCATCGTAGAAGAAAATCAGGGTGTCTCTATAAACTTCTGACAAAAAAGAGTATTGCTTCTTTTTGAAAAGAATTTTCTTAGAGAGACCCTTATTTTATTCGATAATTGAGTAAAATAAGGGTGTCACTTAGTAAGCCTCGGACAAAAATAAGATTTTGACCATTGTTCCTTCTCGAAAAGAATTTTCAAGGAAATACCCTTATTTTGATTGATTGTTGAATAAAATAAGGGTGTCTCTTTGTTATCTTCTAACGAAAATTAAACAAGATTTCTGAGCATTGTTTTTTTTCGAAAAAAATTATCAAAGAGAGACCCTTATTAAAACCGATTCTTGAATAAAATAAGGGTGTCGATATGTGAATTTTTGAGCAATTACCTCACGCATTCTGGTCGTTCATGCCGCTGTTCGTGACCATTTTCCAGCAGTTGATTGCTCCATTGATTTTGCTATTTTCAGGACAATGGATTAAGGGATTAGCGAAGCGATGATTTTTCATATTTCCCAGCGAAATATATATCACATTAAAATGAGCGCACCTTGATTGTTAAATTGTACCCGCATTCCTGGAAAAAGCGCGAATTCGGCTTTGCGGACTCGGCTGTTATGAGGCACGTAAGGACTAAAAAGCGATGAAGAGGAAAGTGTTTAAGGGGGTCTCACCGATATTTATAAATATAATGAAGAAAGATGCTACTAGAAAATATATACACCAGCTGGGAACTGAAACAGAAGATCCCTTCAAAATTGAGACGGGAGAAAGCTGAAAGAATTTCGAGACGAAAATGAATGACGTTTGTTACCTTTTGAGAGGGCTTGTAGTAGTCCCGAAGAAGCGGAATTGTGAATGATAATGTACAGGCCAGTACTGACAGCAAATCGATCATGTGGAACAGAATCGATAGAATGTTCTGAAAAGCGGTTTTCCCTTTCTTTCTCCGATAAAAAGATGAATTAATGACGATCATAATTCTCAAGCTGATAAGAAAGAACTTACGAGTCTGTATTTAAAATCTGGTCGATGTCCACCGATCGAGATGCATCTCAGTCCAAAAACTCCGCTCAGAAATGCCAAAGAGTGGGATAAAATGGAGACGATGATAAATAATCGTGAAATCTGAAAGACAAAATTTCAAATTTGAAATTCTAGAGCCGACTTTTTGCAGAAAAATCGGCAAGGCTTAAGGGTGTCAACATCGAATTCGCTATTTTTCGATGTGGACACCCTTAAACTATGATAAGCAGTTTAAAGTTAAGATCAAATCATTTTTTCGAACTACAGTATTGCCAATATTGAATACTGGCTTCTTATTGGTCGAAAAAACCCTTGAAAAGAACCAAGAAATGGATGAAAATTGAATATTGAACCGATTGTCTGAATTCGTATTGAGCCAAGACAGGGGTATAAAGCGCGATTACTGACCAAAATTGCGGCTAATGTAAATCTGTACCTTTATCTCGAGAGGAATTTCTTTGTACACATCTTCTAATCCCGAGCAAATCCACTTTGCGCTCTTTATCTCTTGATTGCACCTAACCCAGAGGCCCTGGTTGTAATCCGGAAAGATGTTTTTGAACAAATCGTCGGACTTGTCGATCTTCCAATACGGCGTAATCGTCGCCACGATGATCAGTCCTACAGACGGAATAATAAATAAACCAAGAAGAAGAAAGGGTTCAAGATCGAAAGACACAAAGAGCCTTTTTACCTAATGATAGCAAATTACACAGGACAGAGAGGGTTTCCACGAGGATCATTTTTTACTTCAGAAAGTTCAAATCGGAACAAAATTGAAAGACCATAATGATAATAAGATAAGGATAAATATGTAATTTATCAGATCGAGATTTTATTTGAAAATATAAATAAATTATCGTATAGAAAACGAAGGGTAGAAACCGACAAAAATCTCGAAAAATTTCTTGTAGATTTTCAACCAATCAGAAGCCAGGATTCGTCGCATCGGCCAATTAGGAGCTGAGTAGCCGCCAACGCAAAATTTGTCGAATTTTTTTGACGTTCTCCCATTTAAGGGATCCCCCCCTGTTTTTTCAAGTGCTTCATAAAGGTCTATTTTTGATATTTTCAGATTCCTCATGTTCTGAGGATCATTATGATGTATCATATGACAAACAAAATTTCCCCCATTTTTTAGACAAAATTTAGTATTTGGACCCTAAAGTAGATAATGTAGGAAACTTCTTTTTTGGGCCAACCCTAACACATTAAATATATTACCCTCTATCTCATTAAAATTTTGAACTTTTCCTTTCATCTGTTCAATATGCATATTCCCATGAAAATAATTTCTCTCCTTTCTTTCCAAGATCGTATCTTCTTTTCTCTTCTATGTCTCCTCCTCGCCGCTTCCTTTTTCTCGACAAATGCGTCTCTCTTTTCGTCAATGCGAATTCAGTATAAGCTGAATATAGTTTTTACTTTTCAAAATATGTTGAAAATGAATTATTCGATGATATTTTTAATCGCCGCAGAGTGGCTCCTGCCTCATGAAAAATGCACAGCCCTAGCCTCTCGCTGGGGCTTGCGGGCTCGAGCGGAGCTCAACCATTAAGGGTGATCAACAACACAATCCATTACGTCGTTTTTCCGAAAAAAAAAACTTTCAAGACCCCTCTCTTTCCTTAGAAATATCGAGCAATTACAATCCTTAAGGGTTCTACCTTCGATTTCCCCAACATTTTCAGTCATTGGGGTCATCGACGGTAGTATCCTTAATTTTCGGAAAAACCTCGAAAATAGGTCCAAAAATTGCCAATTTTCGGAAAATCAGATTTTTTTTTTGCGAAAATCAACAATCTTAGGCCGCTTTGAACAAGTTTTAACGACAATTTTCGCAGAAAAATTACCTTCTGAATTATTTTTTTGATCGAAAAAAAGCAATTTAAATCCAATGCATTATTATTTTTTCTCTGAGTAGCCCTTTTTTCCTCAGTTTTGAGTTTGTCAAGTTATGTGAAAAAAAAAACGCTTTAGAGGACACAAGGGGAAGTGAGCAGGATAATCATCAGGGCCATCGATTCTCTTTTGAAAAAATAATTAACGAGTACGAGCCGGCCCAAGGGATACTAAAGAAAAGCGCATCTTCATCATCATTTGGCCCGAATTAAGGGATGATCGCCGAGTTCGAATGGAAACAAAAAAAGACAAGTTCATATTTTGACTCTACTTTTCTTAGCTTAGTTTAAACTTGACCTTGCTCTTACCTTTTTTCTTAAAAGCAAGTGAACTTTTTCTCTCTCTTTTTTTCGACGCAAGCGATTTTAACGAACCTCGTAAGACGGTGTAAGAAACTGTAAGAATGCGAAAAGAAGAAAGAAAGAATTCGTTTTGTGAAGTTTGATTGACAGCTTTTCAATCTACGACCGCGTGCGAATGAGTGTGATCCCTGCGATCGAAATCATTCCATTGATTACAGTAATCGTGCACCAGCACGTTTCCCCTCTATTCCAAGTTTAGCTAAGACCATTTCTATTGATAGAAGCATTTTCGTTTAAGTATCGAAAACATTATTTTCAAATTATTCATCAAAGCAGTAAAAGAAATTTTTGACTAGAAAAGGAGAAGCTGCAGGGTGCCATGGATCGCTGACGTAAAAATTTAAAGGACCAGAAGAATATGCACCAGAAATATCGTAACTTCCAGAGGTAAGAATTTCTCCATCTCGTTTCATTACATGCTCAACCTTTTCATCCTTCGATTTCTCATCGGAGAGCGCTTTCAATTCGAGGGAGTATGTGTTCCATTCTCCTTCATCACAAGGCGCCATCGTTACTTTTTGATAGTTGACGCTTGGATTTTTGTGATGAATAGCAATGTGAAGATCAGTGTCATTGATATTTCTCCAGATCCCAAAAACTCGGTCGCCAGGGTGACCAATATTATCACCAGCGGTCACGTGGAAAATGTTGATGAATTCACCAAGTGGCATCGAGTTGTTGCAGAAGATATCAATACTGAAAGCAAAATACAATGTTGCCTCGCCAGATCCAACATGATTGTCTCTTCGTGGTTCGATGAAATCATCTATTATTGTGACCTTATTTTTATCGCAGATTTCCAGAGCTTGAGTTGGTGTTGTCTCGATGTCTGCTGACATTGTTGTTGTTTCGATTGATGAATAGGTAGTAGAATCAATCGGAGAAGTTGTCGTTGTTATCATTTCTGCGGTTGAAATTGAAGATGATGCTGACATTGATGTTGTTTGTGAAGGTATGATTGAACTCGTTGTCTCTGTCATCGTTGAAGGTAGAGTTGTTATAGTAATTGACGATGTTTCGGACTCATCAACGCTGAGTTCTGAAGTTGCGATCATGATTGAAGTTGGACTCTCCTCCGTCGCTGTTGTCTCTGAAGCGGATGTTGATTCTTGGTTTGTCGATGCCATAGTTGTAGGCACACTCTTTGTCTCCATAGAAAATGATGTGATTGGGGAAAATGTAGTCATTTTCGGTTCCTCAGTAGTTTCTGCGAATGAATTTGAAGTCGTTGTCAAAGTTGAAGACATTGTTGTGAGTGGAACTTTCATTGTCTTGTCAGTCGTTGCGGCTGTAGTTGAAGGAGCTGGAAGAACTGAACCATGCGTTGTTTGACGATCAAGCGCTGATGTTGTAGAAGTTGTTGTAGTAGTCGTCGAAGTAGTTTTCAAGCTTGAATTGTTGAATTTGTTATACAAGATCGGTGCTGTAATACAAGCTCCCAGAAAGCTGAAAAATGCAAAAAGATAAAGTGAAATCGCTATTTTTCTCTCCATTATGATCTTTCTCAAGTGGTAAAAGGTAGATGTGCACCAGCTTTCAGATGCTTAAATATTGTCTTTTATTTACAGTGATGTTTGGTTATGCACCTGAACCAAACGAATACTTTTGATCTCCGAACGTTTGAACTAACCAACGAGGTCTTACAGTAACAAAATGCCTGAGACGGAAGCAAGTTTGTCAATAATTCAGAAATCCGCAAACACTCTCGGATCAAGATTTTTCTTTGGGCGCCTTGACAAGTTCGATTACCTTAAGTGCCAAAAAATGTATCCCGAAAGGAAGAGATAAAAGTTCATGCGGCATATTCAGCCAAATTCAATAAAAAGAAGCAGTTTATTATATAAAACAGAAATAATAAGCGGTTCATAAAGATATTTCCTCAAAAGTCTCAATGCTCCTGAAGTTCAATCCACCAAAGAAAGTCTCTATTTTTCAAGTCTATTTTGTCCATTCGAAGCCAATTATAGCTGCCATCTATATTATTTTTCCACCCTTGAAAAGATTTTTAATCAAAAGCTCGAATTTTTTGCCTACCTCTTGTCTGGTCTCCTGCCGCTCTCACTGTATAAGGACACTCTGAATCATCACAGGCGATTCGTTCTATCAACCAAGTGTTTCCATGCTGTGACGAATCAATATCACTGATTCTTACATGATTGACGTATTGGTAATTTCCATCCTTGCTGTTCTTAAAGTAAACGGCTTTTGTTGGCTTCTTGTCTGCGTATAGTGTGTGAGTGTGGATGATATATTCGTTTTTTCTAGGGGTCGCTTCAAATTCCACGTGATGGATTCCTTTATTATCCAAATTTTTCGTTTTCATCCATTTTTGGTTTTTTTGCCCGTCACCACATTTAACCGTCATCTAAAGTGTAATGTTTGAGGAAGAATTTTGAGAAGGGTTTCACTTTTTTATCGTGAGTAAGGAATCCGATTGTAGCGTGGATGCATGTTGGAACATCGTCGATTTCGAAACAGACTCCTCCACCGCAATCGTAACCGTAGCATTGATTGATGGTTGGGTCGACTGTCGTGGTGCTGGTGGTGGTGGTTGTGGTTGTCGTAATCGTTGTCGTGCTCGTAGTCGTTGTCGTGGTCGTAGTCGTAGTCGTGGTCGTAGTCGTGGTCGTAGTCATTGTGGTGGAGGTATTGGTGGTGGTCGTAGACGTTGTCGTTGTCGCTGTGGTGGTGGTGGCAATTGTTGTTGTTTCGGTTGTTGTTGAAGTCATGGTAGTAGTATCCATTATCGTAATTGTTGTTGGAGTCGTAGTTGTAGTCTTTGCTGTTGTAATCGTTGTTCTGGAAGTTGATGCGGAAGATGTTGCTAATAATGCTGTTGATTTTGTTGTTTTAGTTGTTGTTGAAGGTGATTTTGAACTCATAATTGTTGATTGTATCGAAGATGGAGGCAGACTCGTTGATGCAAAGGAACTTGACGTGGAACCCGAGCTCGATGTTTTTGTTGTTGCTGAAGACATAGTCTTTGTTGTTACAGAAACTGTCTTTGTCGTCGAATCAAGTGACGAAGACTTCGATGTTGTTGGGACTGTTGCTGTTGGAGCTGATGTAGATGTGGTCTCAGGTCTTGGAGGAAACCTCGTTGAGTGGTAAACTGTCGTTGTTGCATCATTTGGAGAATACCGTGATTGCTCACGGTTTTTGCCGTATAAAATAGGTGCAGTGATACAAGCTCCAAGAAAACTCCAGAAAGCAAAAAGATAAAGTGGAATTGCGAATTTTCTCTCCATTTTCTGAACTCTTGAATACGATGAGTATTATTGATACGAAGTTCGCGTCTGTTTATATCGACGCGATTTTATTTGGTTATGAGGACGCCCAGCTGAAGTAAACGAATAATCGCCTCGAATATTATCGCTCTTTTTGTCAACGATTTGACTCTGACCTGGAATCTAAGGTGCATATTCTCGAATTGATTGACATACTTGAAGGAAGTGATTACGAGCAGCCAGGTGTTTCGAACGAATAAATGATTTGGGACATTTATCGGGAATAAGTTGACACCGATAAACAGCAACGGAAATAAAAATAAATCCTATTCGAAAATTGATGGACTTCTAACCAAGCAAACCAGGGTTGTCAAAGGCCAGTGAAATACTCATTTGGTAACTCGGGTACCTGATTTAGGGTCGCTTCTTTGGTTCTTAAGGACCCCCGTCAACAATTTTCGAAAAATCTATTTTCGGAATTTCAAAATTTTGACCCCGGAAATGGACTCTACGGGTCAAAAAACGATTTTGAGGCTTCATTTTTTGGGGGTCTATCTCGACTCTAACACCCTCAAAATCGCGTAATTTTGATCGATGTCCTTTGCGAAAATTTATTAAAAGCATAGTTGTTTATTAACAAGTTCAGAGATCAAAGAATGATTGGCATGATTTTATTGCTCGTGAATTTCTATCCACCAAAGAAAGTCCTTGTTGTTCAAGTCAACTGGTTCAAGTCGGATGTAATTATAGCCACCATCCAACATCTTTTTCCATCCTTGAAAACAAACAAGTCAAAAGCTCCATCTTTTCGTTATCTACCTCTAGTCTGATCATCTGCTGCTCTGACTGTATAAGGGCATTCAGCATCCTCACAGGCGATTCTTTCTATCAGCCATGTGTTTCCATACTTTGACAAATCGGCACCAGCAGTTTTTACATGATTGATATAATAATAATTAATATCTGTATTTTCTCTGTAATACATCGCTTGTGTTGTGTTATCCAATGTGTGAGTGTGAATCATATATACGTTTTTTCTCGGGGCTGCTTCGAAATCAAAGTGATGAGGGAGGCCGTTGTTCAAAAGTTTTGTTTTCACCCACCACTGGTTTTTAGAATCGTCTCCGCATGCTGCTGTCCTCTTAAAAATGAGCCTTGAAAAAATTAAGACATAAAAACGATATACTCACTGTCTTGTCGTGAGTAATGAAGCCAATTGTACCGGAAATGCACATAGGAGCACCGTCGATTTCGAAACAAATGCCTTTGTCACAATCGAAGTCGTAGCACAGGTTAGCGTTTGGGTCGGTTGTTCTTGTCGCAAGCGTCGTCGTTGTTTTTGACGCTGTTGTTGTGACGATTTTCAATAAGGATTTCTGAATGAAATCCTGACCCCCCTTTTTTATTAGCTCATTGAAAAGAGGAAAATAGCGTCATAGCACGTGACTGAAGTCCCAAAAGTGCCAAAACTTTCCCGCCCGGGAATTTTCGACTCGTCTGAGATACAAGAGCTTGGTATAGCTCAAAATGATGCAATTCTTTTAAATTTCTATTATTCAAGCAAGAGATAAAGGGATGAAAAGAACTCACAGAGACGATTATTTTGAGCTATTACAAGCCTTATTAGCTCAGACGAGCCGAAAATGCCCGAGCGGGAAAGTTTGAGTTTTTTGGGACTTCAGTCACGTGCCATGACATCATTTTTTCGAAAACTTCATCATGTTCCCGGCGAATCTGGGATAACTTTTTAGGCTCTTTCAAATGAGAAAATAAAATACGGGGGTAAGGATTTTACTCAGAAATCCTTTTTGAAAATCGTCTGTTGTTTTTGTTTTAATCGTGGAAGATGTTGTTGTAGTCGTCGTAGTCATTGTCGAAACTGTTGTCGTTGAAAAAATTGGAGATGTAGGAATTGTTGTTGTCCATGTTTTTGTTGATAAAACCGACGCTGTTGTTGTCGTGATGGGCAAGCTGTGTCTGCTCGTAGTTTCTGGCTCCATTGTCTGTGCCGCTGATGTCAATTCCCTTTCTGTTGATTGGGTTATTTCCACAGTGGGTTCATTAGATGAGCTTGCAGTAGTTGACTGCATTGAAGATGATGACGCTTTTGTTGTTGAAGGAAACCTCGTCGAATCAAAAACTGTCGTTGTTGCATCAATCGTGGAACAACTAGACTGCCAGATTTTGCCATATAAAATTGGCGCAGTGATACAAGCTCCGAGAAAACTCAAAAGAGCAAAAACATAAAGTGGAATTACGACTTTTCTCTCCATCTTAGGAATGAGTTTTCTCGATATCAAGTTTGCGTGTGTTTATTTCATCGTCTTCGTGTTTGATTATGAGGACAGCCAGCTGAAGTGCAGAAGAACGCATGAAACGGGCTATCAGAATTTCTGGACTTTTATCAGGACCAATTTGACATTGATAAAAATTATCTAATTAAACTTCGAAGAATCAAGGTCGAAAAAAAAAGTTTAATCTTTGACGATCTTTGATAAAATACGACCGTGAAAAATTGCATCAAAGAATTTGTCACATTTCTGGAGCCGCTGACATTTTCGCTTGTTCATCGCTACGGTAGTCGATCCTATCGCCAGCGAAAAAAAGGATGATCCAAGATTGACTGATTTTACTGCCTCGATCACGTTTTAGGCGACACTATCATCCGCTTATTATCGAAAACTTCGAAATTGATGGATCTCGGACTTATCGGATCTTACTTTACATCAAATCATTCACATGGGTGTCATCTATCAAAATTTATTAAAAGAATAGCAGTTTAGTATCAAGTTCAGAAGTCAAAGAGTGATTGAGATGAGTTTCATTGCTCGTGAATTTCGATCCACCAAAGAAAGTCCTTGTTGTTCAGGTCAACTGGTTCAAGTCGAATGTAATTATAGCCACCATCCAACTTCTTTTTCCAACCTTGAAAAAAAATTTAATCAAAAGCTTGATTTTTTTGTTATTTGCCTCTAGTCTGATCATCTGCTGCTCGCACCGTATAAGGGCATTCAGCATCATCGCAGGCGATTCGTTCTATCAACCATGTGTTTCCGTACTTTGACAAATCAGCACCAGCGGTTTTAACATGATAGACATAATAATAATTGTTGTCTGTATTCTCTCTGTAATACATCGCTTGTGTTGTACTATCCAATGTGTGAGTATGTATCATGTATTCGTTTTTTCTCGGCGATGCTTCGAAATCCAAGTGGTGAGGGGGGCCGTTGTTCATGGCTATTGTTTTCATCCACCACTGGTTTTTTGAATCGTTTCCACATGTTGCAGTCCTCTGAAAAATGACGTTTGAAAAAATAAAGAAATAAAACGAAAATTTACTGTTTTGTCATGAGTAATGAAGCCAATCGTACCAGAATCGGAGCATCGGAGCATCGTCGATTTCGAAACAAATGCCTTTACCACAATCGTAGTCGTAGCAGAGGTTGATGTTTTCATCGCTTGTTGTCGTCGCCAGGGTCGTCGTTGTTGGTGGTGCTGTTGTTTGGGCTGTTGTTGCTGTCGTCGTCGAAGAACTTGTTTTCGTGGTTATAGATGTTGTTGTAGTCGTCATTGTTGAAACTGTTGTCGATGTAGTTGTCCTTTCCATTGATGGTGAAAACGTTGGATTCAAAGTCGACTCTTTCAAACTCAAAGTTGTTGACTGGAATGAAGATGATGACGCTTTTGTTGTTGAAGGGAACATCGTCGAATGAACTGCTGTCGTTGTTGCATCAATGGTAGCAGAACTTGACTGCCAGCGGGTTTTGCCGTATAAAATCGGCGCAGTGATACAAGCTCCAAGAAAACTCAAAAAAGCAAAAACATAAAGAGGAATTGCGACTTTTCTCTCCATTATCTGAATGAAAATTCTCGATACCAAGTTCGCGTGTGTTTATTTCCTCGCATTCGTACTATTTGATTTCGAGGACAGCCAGCTGAAGTAAACGAATAAAGTGGACTACCAGAACTTTATCGGGAATTATTAGACACTGATAAGAATTATCTGACATAGAACTTCCAAAAAAGTAGGTCAGAAAATATTTTATTCTTTGAAGATCTTTGAAAAGAAGACCGTGAAAAATTGCATCAAAGAATTTGTCACATTTCTGGAGCCGCTGACATTTTCAGCTCCACGGTAGTCGTTCCTATCGCCAGCGAAAAAAGGGATGATCCAAGATTGACTGATGATACTCCGTCAATCCTGTTTTAGGCGACACGTCAAGAAGGTACTTCGCATTTTCGTCAAAAAGCATCAGCCGCTTATTAGTGGAGAAAAATTTTGAGAAACATTTTTTGCGTCACGTTTTCTTTTCAGAACATGGTTGAAACCGCCACGAGTGTCACGTTCCAAAATGTTTTATTTTTCAAGAGACGAATTTTATTCTAGCGCCAGTTGACAGGCTCGCGGTCGGATAACTATCCACATTTTCGTGTCGGACAGTTCTTTTTTACAAGAAAGATGGAAAAAAGAAACACATTTTTTTTCTGACGAATTCACCTTGGAGGTTACAATAATTTCTAAGGAATCGACAGGTTTGTAGGTTGAGCTCAGCAACCTGTGTAAAAACCTGAGTCAGGGTCTGACTTTCAGACTCTCAAAAATCTTGAATAAAAAGCCGCGAAAAGAAGCCGCTACGCGGCTTTTTATTCAAGATTTTTGAGAGTCTGAAAGTCAGACCCTGACTCAGGTTTTTACACAGGTTGTCGAGCTCAGTCAATAGCGCTTGCATCTTTATCTTCCATTTTTTGTGAAATTTTGGACGAAAAAATTCTGATACGGGCAGCCCTAGCTGAAGTTATGCAATAATTAAAATCTCTAATTATTATGCTTCTGATTTAACATTGTTAAATGTTTGACATAACCATTCGGTTTTGTTGACTGATCAAAACAGATTAACATTGTTACCGATTTCTTCAGAAAACGAAATTGATAGACAGTTTGATGTTTAAACTTGGAACTTTACCATCAAACACAAAACTTGAAGTTTGTTTTATCTTTTGGTACCGAATTAATTCAATAAAACTATATATTTTTCGCTAAACCAAAAAATGGAAGTGAACTTTTGAATTACCAATAAGATTGCTGCATTTGGTTTACCGGCCAATCAAAACCCTGATTCATAAAATGAGTTCCATTTTTGGTTCTTCCTATATTTTTGGGTTAAACCGATTAATGGAAATGATTTTATGGATCAGGATTTTGATTGGACGGTAGGCCAAATATAGCAATCTTATTGGTAATCTTAAAAAACTTGCATTTTTTGGTTCTTTCCATATTTTCGCTTCTTCTGCTTGAAGTTGAGGCAATAGAAGTTCTCTGAAAATTACGAGTTCTGTGTTAAAAATAGAACTACTGAGAAAATGGGTACTGGGGATAACAAGAAACAACGTCATGTTCGCGAAAATGTAAAATTGTCGTGTAGAGCACGAATCAGACATTTTTCACCGCATTTTGACCACATTTGATCCCCGTGTTTCTGACTCACTGAGTCACTTAATTCCATTGATGTCCGAGTGTTCCTTCTACAGTACTTTTTTTTCTGGAGAAAAAATGGTGAACTTTGGGAACAAGAAAAAAATAATGAAATCTCGAAGGCTTTAGAAAATCTCGCTTGAACCGCCAATTTAACAGTCGGCGGCCGAGCGGCTAAGTCAGAAGTTGCATAATTTTACATTTTCGAAGTCTCAGAGTTCTCTTAGATGCTCCAGATACGACGTCTCAGAGTTCAACCACGCGGTTTTTTCGTTTGCCAAAGTTGATTAGCGAGTAATTTATTTCCCGCGCTTCAGTTTGCTGAACGCTAATAACTGGGTCAAGCAGACGATATCGAAGAAGAAGATAAAGACAGCTTTTTAACTTATTTTTTCTTGAAAAAAACAAAGTGATACCCTTAAAAATCTAGATAAACAGATCGGACAATGATAATATTTAAAAGGGCTTTTAGAAAAGATTAAACAAAGTGATACCCTTAAGGGATCCCCTCCCGATTTGAAAAATATCATCGAGAGCTTTTATGTGATATATTTTTGGAATCTCCGTTGTCTGGCGATCATTTTCATATATTATGTCAAAGGGAGTCCGTCACGTGGTAAGCCGTGACACAGCTTTGAAAATGGCTAATTTTAACGAAAAATTTTACTTAGAAAAAATTCGCAATTTTTTCGACTTTTCAAAGTCGACATAATCAGATGAATAAATGCTCATTAGAAAGCTTAGAGAAAACTGAACTAGAAAAAAATAGATTTAATAAAATATCTAACCACCAAAAGGCGCTAGAGAGCAAAGAAAGTCAAAAAAATGGCAAAAATCAGTTAAAAAACATCTTGTTAAGAAAAATTCTACAATCCTTGACGGAATCACATGCCTGTACTAGAGATTGTAGATCAGGGATCAAGGAAGACAGTTGTTATTGATTTAAGGCTCTATCTAAGAGCAGAAAAAACAAGTTCGATTTTGAAAATGGCCCAAAATGGGGGTTTTCGCGAGTATCAATGTTTTCAGCCCGTCTTTTCAAGGTGTTTCCCCTTATGAAAATTAATTTCTGTACTAGAGTTTGTTCATTAAGAAAAGGGCTTCAAAATGAGCCCTTATACTTGTAAAAAGCTCACCCCTAAAAAAAGTAGTTCGAAGTCAAAGTTGACGAAATCGGGGGGGGGATCCCTTAATATTTTTTTTATAAATTTCACCATTTTTTTGTGCCGAAATTTTCCAAGATTCACTCGAAATCCGCAGTTTGTCTATCAATTGAAAAAGGTTATTTATAAAACTTGACGGTACGAAAGGGGAACAACTAAGCTAGAATTTTTTGATCAAAACAAACAAAGAGTCCAACCAAGCAGATTCTAGTAGACGGAGCAAAGTCAAGAAGACTCAGAGGGCGCGCGAGAGGCGTGCTAGAAACAGCGGCGCGGCGCGATTTTGCGCTTGGAATTTTTTTTAGCAAAGAATTTTGTCGACGAAAAATTGAATGGAAGAATAAAGCTTTTTGTCTTTGAGAAATTTTAGTTTTGATTCAAAAGAGATTAAAAGAAAACAACGAGGAAGATTTAACAATTTACAGTAAGTTCTTGATTTTAAGAGAGATTCAGCTTTGAATAATACTATCATAGTGATACCCTTAATTTTTTCTCCAAAAACCTGAATTCAGTCTATTTTTTGTCAGTTATGCATGATTTTTCCGAGTTTATTATAAAAAAAAACTCAAATTTCTGGCAAAATTTTATGTCTGGTACACGATTTTCGCCTTAATTTAGCAACTTGAGCAGAAATACAGTTGGTTTCCTAATTTCCGGACTAATTTTGTCCCCTGGTTTCCAAAAAATGTCCGGAAATTTGGGTCACCGGAAAAAATTTTATGTCCCACCAAGTATTCTTAAAAAAGCGTTGGTACAGGGTCAATACAAAGAGATTATGAAAGAAAAACCACCCTAAGTTATTACTCTTCTTCTTCAACCTCGCGAACAAGCTCAGCTTGCGCCCAAAAAGAAGTTAATTTAACCGTTAATTGATTCCTCTTCTAGAGAAAATGATCGCTAATCAATAAAATTTTGAAAAAAAGTCCGGAAATTTGGACAATGGTCGATTTTGTAGTGTCCCACTAAGATGCCTTAAAATCTGAAAAATGTCCAGAAATTTGGACTCCGGAAATTTGGAAACCAACTGTAATAGAATTAACAAACTGCAATCTTGGAAGTTAGAGTTTTTATCATCTAAAAATCCCGGAAGATTTATCAAGAGCGCAATTAACAATCCCAAGTACCTTTATTTGCCCATCGACAATAGTTCATCCCCTTATCACAGGACGAAGATTGGAGGGATACCCTTACTTAAAATAATCTTTCATTTCAATTCCAGAATCTTTGCTTTTTTCGTCAACTGAAGGGGTCACGTGTAGATCCGTAAATGAGGAGTTGAGTTGTTTACATAAAATTTCATGTTTTCAAGTTTTCATGAAATTTTAAATTCGTGTTTTGTTTTGAGAAGTGGGGATCGTTCGTAGTTAATCGAGGTTATGTTATCCGGATCAAGCAATTTAAAGGATCAGTGCTGACGTTTTTCCCGTTACCGTAGGACCCGGACGTTCCTTCCTCGATTTTTGTTTGAAGGGTTAACATCGTGACACCCTTATTCTTCAATCATTCAAAAAATGAAAGTTTCTACTTCAAGAATCAAGTTTTTCTGAAGATCTAGACGTTTGGACATATTTAAATAAGGTTTACGGTAAAAATTTTGGATGTGATGTCAAATAAGGGGCTCACTTTGTTAATGCTTCGGACAGAAAACCGGATTTTTCTTCTGTGGAAGTTAAGTAAAACCTTATCAATTATCCATTAATTGATTGATCCTTAAGAGACAACCCTTATTTTTGATAGAATTAACTAAGGGTATCACTATGTTAACTCAAGAGAAATTTTAAATCGGCATGAAATCAAATACTTTCAGTTGTTCCATCTGATAATTACTTTGCAATGAAGCTCTTGTCCTAGAGTTCTATTCAAATGATGACTCAATTAAGATAGCCGATAGCAAATTTATCTCCCGCTAAATTTTTAACCGACCATAAAATACATGAAACCGCTCTGATTATCCTCCAATTATCGATTACGTTATCATGTTCCAGCGATGTCTTTACTCAACAAAAATCACGTTGATCACGTGTCTCACATTTTGTCATAAAATTTTACAAAATCCGGCGCTAAGGAAATCGCTTTTTTCAAATTATTCATTTCAGGAAACGACGAAAATCATCATCTGCTGCATCATCTTTCTTCAAGTGGACTCACGTGGGTGACCAAATGCGCGGATTAGTCGGTAAGTGGACAATCATAATAGGGATAAATGGTCTTTCAGAGAGACCACGTTAATGAAAAGTCTAGTTTTTATGGGTTAATTGAATCATAAATTATGATTCATAATTAAATGTGAACTTAATTGTCTATTGATTAAAGTAAGAAATCTCCGGCTTTAACCTTGTCTAAACATGAGAATTCAACAAAGTGACACCCTTATTTTCTTTTACCATAAGGGTCTCAACATCGATAGGTTAAGGGTCTGCCTGATGAAATGAATAATTAGTTTCATCTTTCCCAAAGAACTGTCGAAATCAATGTTGACACCCTTAAGGCGCCTTAGTTTTACTAAACAAATAAGGGTGTTACTCTGTTAAGTTATCGAAAAATAGTGTGTTGAGATAAGTTGAAATTGATTGAATGTTTCTTCAGATATTTTTTGATTATTTAACACAGTAACACCCCTATTTTTCAAGATAAAACTACGGCCCATTGAGATGGAAAAAATAAGGGTGTCACTTTGTTAGAATTGAAGAAAAATCATGAAGAATGAATTGATGAGCTTTCACTAGAACAGATGTTATCAGTTTTAACCGAAAATTGTAGCTCTTCCAACACTGACAGTAACAGTACTTGGCAGCGGGGGAATCGATCATCTAGCCGGCTACCTTGGCTTCGAAAACTGCGGAACAACGCCTGTCAATTCTGATGACGGAAAGGTTAGTTACCAAATTCAACAAGTTTCGGTTCTTATTTTCGAAACGACCGCTGCTTGTTTTTCGTAAATACTGTTACAAAGGAAAACTTCTTAGATCTCCGTTTTCCGTCTTTGCTCGGACAGTATTATGCAAATAACGATAATAACTGTTTACCAAATTAAGAAATTACAAATTGGGATCTCAGTTGAAGTTCGCAAAACAAGTTTATTTTGACAGAAACAGTTATTTTTCTAACTGTTACGACAATATGCTTTTTCAAGATGGTTAATAACATAAACAGAAATTTCTTGATCCTTATCAAGTACTGTCAGCCTATTTTTAAAAAAAGAAAACATGCTTTAAAATCGAGAATTTACGGGGGTTTTCGACCAATCAGAGGCTCGTATTGTTTCCAAGAGCCAATAAAATTTTTAGTTCAAAAACTATACTGGCCTCTAATTGGTCGAAAACTCCCAGCAAGAAATTTAAATAGACTTCGATCTTTTTTCTCGAAAATAAGATTGAAATTAAAAAAATATTTTTCAAATTTTTCATTAAAAAACTGCTTCGAATTTGAAAAATCATCATCAAAAATTCAGGTCCGCTACGAGTTCCAAGATTGCGAAGGTCCAAGATGTCGACTAACATACACGTGTCTCGATGAGGACCAGGCATGGCTCACCAGTACATCAGATTTTATGCTAATTCCGTGATTTAGACAGCTCCATCCTTATTTTTACGAAGATCGTCAATAATTAATTTCATCTTTTTTTTGAATTTTGACCAGAAATGACGCTTCTTTCCCACGATTCTTGAATTAAGGGTGTCTCAAGCGTAATATCTAGACTTGCCGAAAGACTTATCTAAGGGCGTAGCACAGTGTGACAGGATTTTGGGATACTTGTATTCGGGGCTAGCTTATCTGTTCCAGGAAAGAATGAGCTCACTTTTTGTCACTTTATGTTTTTTGAAAAACATCGCTATCTTCATGTCAATATTGACTCACCACATCTTTCTTCGGTCATTATCCTAATGCCTAGCTCAAAAAGTAGGCTCTTTTAGGAGGTAGATATCAAGAATCGCCATGTTCTGTCAGACTTTTCTGCCAAAGTTTAAATAGTAACACCCTTATTTTACTTTCGAAACAAAAACTTTAGACCTTACTCTATTTCCTATGGAGGCCGAAATTTCGAATTTCAAAAAAAATTTTAGCAAAATTTTTCGTCAAAGATCGCTTACTTTCCAAAAATGATCATTTTGGCAAGAATCGGAGGTGCCAGATTTGCATTTTAGCAACTCGAAATATCAAGAAATCTAAATTTTTGGCTTCCATAGGAAATAGATAACTGCCTGAAGTTAATTTTTAGCAGAGAAAATAAGGGGGTCACTATGTTGAAAATCTGGGAAAACCCTGACAAGAAATCTGATTCTTGATATCTACCACCTGTGTAGAAGATCTGAGTCAGGTTTTTTTCTTCAAGATTAAGATTGATAAGGTTATTCTGGCGAAGCCGCTTTGCGGCTTCGTTTTTAAAAAAAGCCGCTACGCGGCTTTTCTTTTTAGATTTTTCAGAACCCTGACACAGGTTTTTACGCAGGTTTTCGAGCCTTTAATCCCTATTTATTCGTTAAAAAATAATTTTCGGAATATCGATGTGTACGCCCTTAAGTTAAGACCCTTTTTTGAGCCTTTTAAAAAAGTTCGAGCGACGAAAAAATCTTCAAAACACTTCGGTCGTTTGTCGCGGCGTTATTCACAAAGCCTGCTGCGGGCTGAGTAGAAGATGGGTGTTGGAAAATTCCTTTGGTCTGGACGACGAGCGGCTCAAGCATCTCGGCGCGGCGCAAATGTGCCACAAGAGAGTGGACAAATGCGAGGTAGGCCATTTAGAAGGTGAAAATTTTAGCTTGTACTGCATCGATGGGGACGGGAAGAAATGCGACACAAGTGGGGGGCACGTCGATATTGGCTGCCAATGCAAGGTAAATCGGAAAAGAATGATTCCAGAGCCTGTTCTGTGAAGTGAATAACTAACGATGAAGTGAATTAATCTGGCTTTGATTCAGTAATTATTCAGTAAAGAATAAAAACTGTCAAAAATTGAATTTCTTTCCCATCAAAAATCCCGTTTTTCGGCTTGTTAGGGAGCACAAATCGACGAAAAACGCGACAATTTTCACAAAAATTCGACTCAAAATTGTGATCAATCAAATGTTCGAATTTTGCTGGTAGGCCAATCAGATTTCTGGAAAAAAATCGCAAATTTCTCGATTTTTTAATTCAATTTTTGGTAACTCTTTGAATAATGAATAACAGAGCGACACCCTTAATTCTTAAAGCAAAAGTGAGAGCTGTTTAAAAGATTTTGAAACAAACGCGGGATAATCCGAGGTCTGAGCGCCGAAAATCACCCGATCGCTTATTTTCTATCAAACAACGGAATTTTCAAAAAGACAAATTTTCAAATTTCCATATTCAGCACTTTGCCAGACTTTAATAAACTGTCTTATCCGCTCCAGTTGGTTTCGCATCACATTTTTGGAACCACGTTTTTCGGTTCGTTGTTTTGGATAAAAAGACCATTATTTCATGTTTCCCCAAAATTGACACAAAGCAAAAATGATGATTTTCCTTAATTACTCAATTATCAACAATTACAAGTAATGGCTATTGGAAGTTAAGGGGTTAATACGTCATTTTTGAAGTGGCACTCCTCGTAAGTTTTAAACACAGGACTATTTAGAGCGCGTGTTTTGAGTGTACCAAAAGTGGATACTTTTAAGGGGCCCCGGAACAATCTTGTAACTTGTAACTTAGTTAATAACATTGTTGATAACATTAAATATTTTTGATTAATTCTCCAGGTAAATTTGTTTCTGCAGAGATTAATGCTATGACACCATTTGGTTACTAGTCGATAATAGAGGAGCAGAGTCTGTTGGTGTTCAAAACAGCCAAGGAAGTCGTGACATTGATCGATTTAGGATTCTACTAACGTTAAAATAGTTATTAAACCTCCGATGAGTTTTTGAGCAAAACTTCATCATCATCATCAAGTGACAAATTTCATTATCAAAAAAAATTTTTTTTCATATGTTTGTCACACCCTTAATTTCAAACAGCATTTTCTCGTTAAAAACCCTCAGGGGTCCATAAGATTTTGATATCAAAATGTGCCTAAGAAAGAGTTCTAGGGCAAAAATTGATAAGCTTAGGGATACCCTTAAGTTTTGATACTCAAATCGTCAAATAAATTATATTTAGGAAATACAGACCTTTAAATTGTTTGCTTTTTTGTCATCAGAAAATAACGTGGATGCCCTTAATTTCGTTGGATAACAATGTTGATGGCCACTTTGTCAGGCAGACTGTTAGAGGCTAATGAATCTAATAAAGGAAAGAAACGTGAGTTATGAAAATTATTGTAGCGAAAATAAGCGAACAATTAAAATCCAACAATTATCTCTTCATGGTCTTTTGATTAATAAAAACAATGAAAAACTGTTATAGAAAAAATGCGAAGCAATTAGTTGAAATCAGCTTGTTTGAAGTCAAGTTTAGAGCTAAACCAAAACTATCTTTATTTTTCTAAAAAGGATAAGCGTTTTCTGGTCAATAATAACGAGCGGCGCGCTGGCTAGTGGACCAGGGTCTAATGACTTTTCCGCGAGTTTTGAATGAACACGGGCCGCGCTGATAACTTTACTTGAGGAATACTTGAGTATAAAGTTACGTCGGAAAATTAGATTAGCGCCCCTGCATCTCGCTACGAATTCGAATTTCTAATTTCGAAAACACAAAAAAGAGTTGGCTTGTCTTAAGGGATCCCCCCCCCCAACAAATAAATTTTCGTAAAAATTTTCGGAAGGGAGGGGGGAATCCCTTAAATAAAAAATTGTCGATCGAAGTTCGAAAAAAGGGGCCCATGATTGTCAACTTTCAACTCAAAAGCAAATTGACAATCTTGGGCCCCTCTTTTGAAGTCTGATCGACAATTCTAGACATTAATAAATAGGTCAAGTCCTGTCTATTCGTGTCTTTGTCTAGTTAGGACTCTCAAGTCCGAACTAAGCATGTCTATAAAAAGTTAATTTAATCACCATCATCATCAAGGGTAGCTCCTTAATTGCCACCTTGTTAACGCTTGAACGCATATTGCGCAGATTTCTGCGCAGAGCACCTTCGAAGCTCGATAACTCAAACTTTACATGATCAAAATTTAAAATGACCCCCACTTTTCAGACTCGTTTTCGATGAGGAATCTGAATCTGACATCAAAAAAATTTTTTTACCTCGGGTTAAAATTTTGGCTTCAGAGCGAAAATTTCCGTCGAGTTCAAATCCTCAAAATTTTACAAGTAAACTGACTCTTTTTGACGAGATCAGTTATTTTTTCATGGTTTATTAAAATTTCAGTAAAAGCTAACCTCTAAAAACGATCAAAATGACGACTTATTCTTAAAATAATACCTTCTTTTGCATTTGATTCGATCAAACTTGAAAAAATGGCATATTTTTGGGCAATACTCGAAATCACCTGTTCTAGCTAGGTTCAGGTTAGGGTTAGGACTCAAAACTATATTTTTCTTGTCGCCAAGCGTCTCAGCTTTAATTAGGTATCTTCAATATTCTTAAATCTTTTAAAAAGTCGAGGCTAGAACCCTTCAAAGGCACTGCGCAGAAATCTGCGCAATATGCGTTCAGCGAAACTTTTCAAACGTGCGTTCAAGCGTTAAATGATTCAAACAGAAAGATGCTTATTCGATAGTTTATTTAATTCATCAACAGAACAATTTCATTTTCTTTTAATTCGCGCGTTTTCACCCAAAACGACTCCAACACAAACAACCCGCTCATTTCTGTTGATCTTTGCGCTCGTTGTTACGTGAATCTGACTAATTAATTCATCGAAATCTATTTTTATCTATTTTCAGTTTCTCTGCAACGACGGCTTTTCCTACAAAAAGGAGCATTACGAGCACAGTTCGTACATGTGCGTAAATGAACGCTGGAGCGCGAAGATGATTCGAATCGCTGGCAGGAAGATTTCGTCGATGAAGGATCACACCCCCTGCCATTGAAAATATGCAAAAAAATGAGAAAAATAGTGAAAATTTTGAAAATTACTGTAAATAAATTCTTTACAAAGCTGAAAATTCGATTCATAAGCTCTTCGAAATCCTGTGTAAAAACCTGAGTCAGGGTCTGTATCCTGTTTTTTGAGCTCCTAACCTGAGTTTGACGACAAAATTATTCTTTTTCTTGGTGGAAGACCTGTATTCCCAGCTCAGGGTCCTGAGTCAGGACCTGACTTGAAACCTGTTTCTGTGAAGATCAGGGATCGACCCTAAGGAAAACCAACTCCCAGAAAGCTGAGCTGAGATGTCCAGAAGTTGAGTTAAATTTGAACTTCGATGGAAAGCCCATCTTATAAATTCCTTCAAGTAAGAGCAGCTTGAAGCTCTCAGAGTAATTGTAGTGATCTGGGAGAATATGTTCTAAACTGGCAACGGATTCTAGTGGTTAGCCATTCGCTTTATTGGACATTCCGTGCGTCTTGTTCTTGACAATAACATTCTTCCTTTTCGTGGTTTTTCTTTAAATGTGCACTAGAATTTGTGGGTTCTGTTGGTCGGCATGAGTCAGAAAAGGACCATTCTCGACAACTATGTCTGGAGTAAATTTGGTGCGGAGCAAACTGCGTGAAAAACCTGAGTCAGGGTTTGAAAGAGACTTTTTTTACTTTCAGACCCTGACTCAGGTTTTCTACGCAGGAGCACAACCTGTGTTTCTGATCAAAATTAAGGCTTTTATGAAATTTTTCTGAGTCAGGAATCCTGACACTGATCATAGTTCACAGGAACTGAGCTAGAAGCACAGGGCAAGTGTTCATTTAGAAAAAACGTAGATATCCTTAATTTCTTCACTTCTATATAATTTCCTGAACCTTACGATATAAAAGTGAAGATAAAGCCACGAGCTTCCGTCCATCTAAAACCCTGAAACCTGCAATTTTTCGAGCTGGCGATTCCGAAATTACGCGCGTTGGAAATTCGTTCACTGGAAATTTTCGCGCAACGCAATTAGAGCGTAACTGCGGTACTTTGCGAAATCTTAAACCGTTTTCCTGGCTCCCACAAAACCGCCCTCAAAGTCGAATATTTCCGACGTGTGGCGGAATAAAAGAAGAATCTCGCGAGAATGCGACGAACCGCGTCTTTTCGCGGAAAATCGATGTGAAAAAAATATCGCGAAATTAATACTAATACAATAAGGCCTAAAAATATCTACATAGAAATAAGGGTATCCGCCCAAAAACTACATCCGAAGTGCTCATTATCGATTAAGGGAGTGAATCCCTTAAGTTTCTTTCCTAATCGCCTATTCCCGAAAGCTAACTGTACTCCACTCTGATGACCGCTAATTAATGGACAATTCAACCTCTTAATACCCTAAGGTAGACCCTTAGGAAAGAAAAATATGAATCATAAAGGGCCTTTCGTGATAACGGGAAAACAACAACAGAAAAATGGACCAACCTCGATTCCCTTCACGAATCTTGGGTTGGGATTCGATCATTTTTGTGAAGTATTTAGGCTTGTTTATTACAGTAATCATCATAATTGAAGCTTACAGTAAATTACAGTTGTATCATCTTGGTGAGCTCTAGAAGGATTTAGGCGGTCAAAACATGTGTTGGTAAATAATAGTTAGGCAAAATCGGGATGGTTCCATTTTTGGTTCCAAATTGGTGGTTCAAAAAGTGGTTCAACTCTTCCTACTGTTGAGGAGCACCCATGAGCGCTTGTTTGACGTGTTGGCTTTTCATGTGGAGGTCCCTTGTAAATTCATGTTGAAATGGAGGAAATGAAAGCGCTCTTGAATTTTACCTGAGATTATCTTGTTCTTTGGCGATTTTCTTGCTAACATCGTTTACCGTTTGCGAGCAACTAAAGGGGATATTTAGTTGAAAAGAGAAGGAAAAGGTTGTACCGTTTGAGCTCAGTTTCCATGTGGGATTTTCGATTCTTGATCGTCGCCAGGGCGAGTTCGCGCTCTTGCTTGACCAAGACCGGGCCCAAGAGCTTGTAGATTGTCGCATCATCACCGATCAGCTCTAGAAACAAGATTAAACACAGGGAAAAACGGGCAAGTTTAAAATTGATTATCGAAAGTCTGCTAAATCCGTGTCAAGAGGTCGGCAACCCGAAATAACCTGAGTCAGGACTATGAAAATGCAGATGCTCTATGAGCTTCTTTCAGGACCCTGACTCAGGTCTCTTACACAGGCCTGCGTCTCCCGCTCAGGACTTACCTAGTTCATCCAAAACAACCTTCGTCTCGCTGAGCTGAGCCTCCAACGCTCCGATTTTCTTCCCCGCGTTGTCTCGTTCCTTCGTCAATTCTCCGACCTTTTCCGCCTGAGTTTCAAGCTCCTTCTGCATGTTTTCCAAAATGTACTGATAATCATTCGCCACCATTCTACAAACAAGAAACTTGTCAGAAAACAAATCTAATTTGTCTAAAAACAAAATCAAGCGCCCTTGATTTCAATTTAGCGCCAATTAATCGTGTCATTCTAGCGCTTTAGAAGCGAGGAAAAAGAAAGTGAACGTCTGTGTTTTTCTTTCCGAAGAAAGATAACCACTCGCGTTTGACGTTTTTGGAAGGTCGCGAAAATAATATTTTAGCTTTGAAGAGAGCGTATCGCCATTTTGCCGCGCTACTGTTTTGGAGCATTTCCTGAGTCAGGTTTCTTCATTTGCTCAGCAACCTGTGTAGAAAACCTGAGTCAGGCTTAGGGTCTAATAAAAGCCGCTACGCGGCTTTTTATCTCAGCTATTCAGAACCTGACTCAGGATTTCTACACAGGTTTTGAGGATCAACTTTGAATTCAAACAAAAACAAAACTTGAACGCTCTTGAATCGACCGACTCAGAGCGGGGGCTGTCTAAGTATAGAGAACGCTGAGTTGAGCGTAATTCAAAATGCAAATTCAACAGCTTAGCCCGACCCACAGGTTCTTTGTTTCATTTTCACGGCGACGGGGCTTCGCAGAACGCGCCATTTCACCACTTTGTTGCGCTCAACCGAGCAATTAACAGCACTTTTTTGAGCTTATTGAATCTTTCTTTGGTGAACTTTCTATGCTAAAATGATGAATTTTCTTTCAAAGCTAACATGTTGACTCCCTTATTCCAAAAAAATTGATTAAACTGGAGAAGCCGCTAGCGGCTTTGAGCTTGTAAGAGATGAGGGCGGCTTTTTATGGAAAATTGTCCTTCCTTACTAAGGTGACACCCTTATTTCGAAATGCAAAATATTCATTTTAAATGCTATTTTTGAACTGACAGTAATCGACAGTAATTATGCTTGTATTGGCAGTTATTTGCAGTATTTATCAGATTTCATGGCGGCGCGTCTGTCTAGCAGACAAGCGTGGAGCCGTCCTTTTTTCTTCGCGATTTCGACCTCTTTGATGTCGTTCTTGTTGATCTTCATTTTCATATCTTGCCAGTGTTGATACTTCTTGGCGATTTTGAGCTCGACATCGGCCGCGTCGCCTTGTTCTTCGAAAGGAACGACGTTTACTTCGGGCTTGGGAATGTTCGTGCGGATGCTCAGGTAGTTTCCCTAGCAAAAAGAAAGGGATGTTAGAATAGATGCTGTTTGATTGCAAAATTTGATAATTACGAATTGGGGAGAATGGATTTTCGTGGAGGCTCGTGGCGAAACATGTTTTGGGAACATGGCTTTCTCTTGTCATTTTTGTAATTTTGTAAGCTAATCAGGAATTACGAGAATTATATAGTAATTATATAGTGATTCTAGTGCCAATGCTAAGAGGTTCTACATTCGTTACCCGATTATTAGTTGAAAGAGGGTTTATGTCAATGACTACGCTTGCTGACACCCTTATTTTCTAGTCCATTACTCGGCAACCAGCCTAAAACCTGAGTCAGGTACTACCCTGAGGTCGGCGACCCATCTTTCAAAGATGGGAATGATGGGAAAGATTGGTTAGGGGAAAGGTGGGAAAGATGGGTTTTTGTCTTTTTTCCCTCACCCATCTTTTGGTCTGAATGATGGGAAAGATGGGTTTTCAAAAGATGGGTGTCAAAGATGGGAAAGATGGGTTCGAAAGATGGGAAAGATGGCTTTCGCCTATGAAAGAAAAATGTACTCCCAGCTTAATTTCCTGATTTTATGTTTTCGAAATACTGGAACTTGAAGTATCAGCTCGGGAAGCTTTCTTTGGCTGCTTTTTGCTGCTAACCCATCTTTGGAACCCACCTTTCCCATCTTTAAGGAAACCCAACTTTCCCATCTTTGAAACCCATCTTTCCCATCTTTCGGAAAACCCATCTTTCCCTTTCCCATCTTTTGTTTAAAAGATGGGTTGCCGACCCCAGATACTACCAAAGATACGCTCAAATTCTTTGTTTTCAAGAGAATAACGCCTCTCTTCTAAATGAGAAACTTGGAGATAATGGGCAAACAAAAATTTCACAAATTCCTCCATCTCCAATCTGTGGCCTTGTTTATATGAGAAAGAATCCAGGGAGCGCGCCTTAATTACCTCTTCTGCATTTCGCTTCGTCGCAACTAGATCGCCCTCTTCGTTGAACTCAATAAAGCAGCCATTCGAGGCGATCAGGGCGCATTTTTCTTTTCCATCGACTTTTTGCCAAACTAGAATTCAGCGATGAGTCGATGACGCCACATTTTAATTAATCCGATCGAAGAGTGACCAGTAATCCAGTTTTCTCTCAGTTCAATTTCGGTCGTACCTGGTTCAAATTGCTCCAGCGGGGTAATTGCATCCGATCTGCCGATGACGAGGCCTTGCTTGTCCACGCCGAGATACTTTCCGTAGCCAGATTTCAAGGCGATCTTCGTGTTTGATATTTTCGATAGAAAGTACTGTTCTTTCCAAATGGTTTTCTAGGATAGGCTCCGCAACTCGAAAACCTGCGTAAAAACCTGTGTTAAAACAGTCAAGCTTTAACAGGACCCTGACTCAGGTTTCTGCGCAAGTATCTGAGCCTTTCTTTTTCTTGACTAGAGTAGAAAATAAGCCCCGTTTTTGACTACTGTAATCGAAATAAGCACTTTATTTTGACTCACACTTCCAGGGAGCCGTCTAAAATGAATGAAACAATGTAAAACAGTGTGTAAAACCATTTCCTTCGGGTGCTGGGGCGCCTCCCTCGTCCTTTCTGGGCGCGCCAAGCGTAAACAAGCCCGTGTCCAACGAGAAAACATATGTTCGATCGCCGAATTCAAGCGCCGTCAGCCCTGGTTTCATCATTTCCACATCGCTGTACTGAAACAGCTTGTTATTTGAACGCAAAATATTTTAGAAAAAGCATCAAATAGACCGAAGGGACAAGAAAAAACTATTTCGTCATCATTTTAACCTGTTCTTGCAGGTTAAACCAAGATACCAAATAAAACCCCGTAATACGAAAAAATAGAAGAAAGGTGTATTTTGGAATAAATCGCAAATAAGCCTCGTCAAAATAACTTTTGAAGAAAAAGCTTGAATAGAAAATTTTAGTCTGGCGTTGATTTATTTGAAAAAGCAGAAAATGACAAGTTCACAGAAAGGGTTAAAGAAATCAGCAGTTAGGCTCGCTGATGGGACAGATGCCGTTGCGACAGATGTGGACGTGGCAGACCATCTTCATCTCCGTTGTTTCGCGATTTTCGTTTCCAGAGAATTGGAAAGCGTGGTAAGAGAGCTTGAATTGGTCGGTCACTTCGAATTCTTGGGCGACCGCGTCGTTGTTGACCACAGAATTGGCGCAGCCATCTTTGAACACGTCGAAAGAAGCGGTGGTGTCGTAGCTTGGCCCTTGGACTTGGCAGCTATCAACGGTGAAGGAAATTCCGTCAATGGGAGTAGCCAGCGACATTCCAAAGAAAACTTCTTCTCCGACGACTTGGACGTCTGTAGAGTCGACTTCCTGGCTAAAATCGTCGTCGGTGAAAAAGTCGGCGTTGAATTCGAATGTTCCCATTCCAGATGAGCCAACTTCTTGCACCGCTGGAGAATTGGTGTAGTTTCCAGAGGTGACTTCAGAGACGAAAGCAGAGAATCGGCACTTTTTATATTTATAAAACGGTTTTTATGGGGCAGACTTTTTGGTTGGCAACAAGTAAAATGGCTTCTTATGGGCTAAAAGAGAGAAAAATCCTACAATGCTTTACAAATTTCCTGAGCTTCGATGTTGACATCGGAATTGAGGTCGATTCCATAGTTGTTGTGTCGAGAAAGAACGCTGATGGTATTCTTGAAGACAATATCGTCACCTTCAGTAGAAGTCGTCGTCGCGCAGCCATCAAGTGGAGTTTCAATCAAGAACTTATCGTTGTCGAAGTCTCGTTGAGAAGTGCAGTTTTGCTGGTCGAAAGCAAGGGTGATCGAATCGCTTGGGTCGCCAGTGTAGATGCACAAGTCGAGTTCCAGCGCCATCCCAGTCTGATCGCAAGTGATCGCCATCTTCGCCGGATCGGGAGTGCAAGTGACCCCGTCATCCTTCAAAATCCAACAGGAAGGGCATTCGCAGACGTTGGTGTGTCCATTACAGTAGTGGGAACAGCCACCATTATTTCCGTCGGCGCAACTTGCCGCGGCCTTTTTGGAGTGATAAAAATTTAATAATAGAGGACCCTAGACTCAGCTACCTGTCGCAGTGTGTCATTCTTTGCTTTATTTCCTATATACAGAGATGAGTCAGGGTCTTCAAAAGGCTTAAGAGAAGCTGACTCAGGTTTTAACAAAGGCCAAAAGCCTGTCACACTTTTTCAGTCAAAGAACTAATTTTTTCTCTTTTTATCAAGCTTCCTTTGCAGCCAAGCAAAAAACAGGGAAATACTTCATCTCAGATTATCTCCAAGTATGAGAAGCATTTCTTCACGTTCAATCTTTTATATTGGCAGTGAATTGTGACAAGACTCGCTCGGCGCGACTGCCGAGATCGCTCGCAAAAACAATAATTCTCAAAACAGCGAAACCCGCGCTGTTGAAAAACAACCCTTCATTTGAAGCCTCACCTTGTACCATCCAGCGTGGAGCTCTTCGTCTTCATCGATGCCCTCGTTCAGCTTTCTTTTTCGCGCTTTTTTCTCCTTTTTCGCCTTCTTCTTCGCCCGGCGTTTTTCGTCTGTATCGTCGCCTTTTAGCTTCAGTTTGCCCGATTTCACTTTTTTGTATACTAGGGTTGGCCATCTTTGGGTCGAGGTCACGTGGGGTGAAAAATTTGGTCATATTTAGATTCCTCGGGTCAAAAAACATATCCTCCGAAAGAATTAGCCGGATTGACCAATCAGGTAGCTCGTGGCTATTGGAAAACCTAATTTTTTTGAAATATTCTTGACTTGTTGAAGAAAATCGTTCCTGAAATCTGATTGGACAATAGTTGATGATCATTTTAAATAAGTTTTTGTTGCTTAGCGTCTAAGCAATATAAACATAAAAATACAACATAAAAAATTAATCATATTTCGGATTGGTGGGCGGAAACCTTCACTGGACCCATGGAATTTCACCTCACTAGCTTCACATTTTGAAAAATTTTATACAGTAAGATCCCTGACGCGGTCGATTTGATATGTGGATTTAATAGCCTAGTGTCTGAGCTTTATTTTAAGTACCTGAACTTTTGAATAGCAGGTGGGAAAAAAATTTGGCAGCCCGACAAAGATAGGTTAAAAAATCGAAAAATTGAAAAATTGCGAATAATGGATGGCACTTATTAAGAAATCGTCTAACACTTTATTTTTTTTTTTCAAGATAGTGATTAATAATGACGTAAAAAAGAGTCACAAGATCGAAAAAATATATATTAAGGGTGTCAACATCGATTTCCGTATTTTTCTGCGTCAGTTAAGGCACCTTCCGCTCATAATTAGGATCTGAGTTTTCGACAAGTTTTAGTCTAAAACTTTTAGATTAAACCTTATTATTTAGCATGACTTTGGCAAAATAGTAAACGAATAATTCGTTTAACCCCGCCGCCCCTTCAAAGAACACTAAAAAGACGAATTTCACCAATTTTTTTCCTTCGGGCCGTCTCAGCCCCGTTCCTTGATTTTTAACATTAAGGGGCTTGACGGCCCTTCGGGCCGTCTCAGCCCCGTTCCTTGATTTTTAACATTAAGGGGCTTGACGGCCCTTCGGGCCGTCTCAGCCCCGTTCCTTGATTTTTAACATTAAGGGGCTTGACGGCCCTTCGGGCCGTCTCAGCCCCGTTCCTTGATTTTTTACATTAAGGGGCTTGACGGCCCTTCGGGCCGTCTCAGCCCCGTTCCTTGATTTTTAACATTAAGGGCTTGACGGCCCTTCGGGCCGTCTCAGCCCCGTTCCTTGATTTTTAACATTAAGGGCTTGACGGCCCTTCGGGCCGTCTCAGCCCCGTTCCTTGATTTTTAACATTAAGGGGCTTGACGGCCCTTCGGGCCGTCTCAGCCCCGTTCCTTGATTTTTAACATTAAGGGCTTGACGGCCCTTCGGGCCGTCTCAGCCCCGTTCCTTGATTTTTAACATTAAGGGGCTTGACGGCCCTTCGGGCCGTCTCAGCCCCGTTCCTTGATTTTTAACATTAAGGGGCTTGACGGCCCTTCGGGCCGTCTCAGCCCCGTTCCTTGATTTTTAACATTAAGGGGCTTGACGGCCCTTCGGGCCGTCTCAGCCCCGTTCCTTGATTTTTAACATTAAGGGCTTGACGGCCCTTCGGGCCGTCTCAGCCCCGTTCCTTGATTTTTAACATTAAGGGCTTGACGGCCCTTCGGGCCGTCTCAGCCCCGTTCCTTGATTTTTAACATTAAGGGCTTGACGGCCCTTCGGGCCGTCTCAGCCCCGTTCCTTGATTTTTAACATTAAGGGGCTTGACGGCCCTTCGGGCCGTCTCAGCCCCGTTCCTTGATTTTTAACATTAAGGGGCTTGACGGCCCTTCGGGCCGTCTCAGCCCCGTTCCTTGATTTTTAACATTAAGGGGCTTGACGGCCCTTCGGGCCGTCTCAGCCCCGTTCCTTGATTTTTAACATTAAGGGGCTTGACGGCCCTTCGGGCCGTCTCAGCCCCGTTCCTTGATTTTTAACATTAAGGGGCTTGACGGCCCTTCGGGCCGTCTCAGCCCCGTTCCTTGATTTTTAACATTAAGGGCTTGACGGCCCTTCGGGCCGTCTCAGCCCCGTTCCTTGATTTTTAACATTAAGGGCTTGACGGCCCTTCGGGCCGTCTCAGCCCCGTTCCTTGATTTTTAACATTAAGGGGCTTGACGGCCCTTCGGGCCGTCTCAGCCCCGTTCCTTGATTTTTAACATTAAGGGGCTTGACGGCCCTTCGGGCCGTCTCAGCCCCGTTCCTTGATTTTTAACATTAAGGGCTTGACGGCCCTTCGGGCCGTCTCAGCCCCGTTCCTTGATTTTTAACATTAAGGGGCTTGACGGCCCTTCGGGCCGTCTCAGCCCCGTTCCTTGATTTTTAACATTAAGGGGCTTGACGGCCCTTCGGGCCGTCTCAGCCCCGTTCCTTGATTTTTAACATTAAGGGGCTTGACGGCCCTTCGGGCCGTCTCAGCCCCGTTCCTTGATTTTTAACATTAAGGGCTTGACGGCCCTTCGGGCCGTCTCAGCCCCGTTCCTTGATTTTTAACATTAAGGGGCTTGACGGCCCTTCGGGCCGTCTCAGCCCCGTTCCTTGATTTTTAACATTAAGGGCTTGACGGCCCTTCGGGCCGTCTCAGCCCCGTTCCTTGATTTTAACATTAAGGGGCTTGACGGCCCTTCGGGCCGTCTCAGCCCCGTTCCTTGATTTTTAACATTAAGGGGCTTGACGGCCCTTCGGGCCGTCTCAGCCCCGTTCCTTGATTTTTAACATTAAGGGGCTTGACGGCCCTTCGGGCCGTCTCAGCCCCGTTCCTTGATTTTTAACATTAAGGGGCTTGACGGCCCTTCGGGCCGTCTCAGCCCCGTTCCTTGATTTTTAACATTAAGGGCTTGACGGCCCTTCGGGCCGTCTCAGCCCCGTTCCTTGATTTTTAACATTAAGGGGCTTGACGGCCCTTCGGGCCGTCTCAGCCCCGTTCCTTGATTTTTAACATTAAGGGGCTTGACGGCCCTTCGGGCCGTCTCAGCCCCGTTCCTTGATTTTTAACATTAAGGGGCTTGACGGCCCTTCGGGCCGTCTCAGCCCCGTTCCTTGATTTTTAACATTAAGGGGCTTGACAATGGCTGGGAGCTTCGAGTTGATCAATCTCAGTTGCGTCCCAAACCCCGCCCACCCCCATTCACTGTTAAAATATAATTTGTCCAGATTTTTACTTAAATTATGGTTTTTAATAAAAATTTTGAAAATTTCCATAAATGGCTAATAATCGGATTATTATAATCCTCTCAAGAAGGCGTATCAGACCAGGGGTGACTTGTGTCAGGCGCACCACGGCCGATTTTTTTGGCCAATCCAACTGCCAAGTGATTTGATTTTTGGCTGAAATCGTTATTTTTCGACTCAAAAAATCAAAAATTTATTTATTTTCGAATTCTCTGGCCCAAAAGCGTTCGAATAAGGGGTCGAAGTCAAATTTTCATAAACAAAAAAATTTTGATCCTTTTCCCCAATTTTAACCCCGATTCCCATCCCCAATCCCCATAATATTGCTACCACTAGAATCCTCAGCTCCTGAGCTTTCAGAAAATATATAGTGTTCGACCACGTCAGCCATCGACTTTTGGATGGCCAACCCTATTGTATACTTCCGACATTTTTCTAAAGACAGACCGTAAGTCTTCCTTTCATGATTTTCAGCTTATAAATTGAGTATCTGTTAGAACAAAAAATGGACGAGTCGCGAAAAAGCCGCGGATCATCAGTGAATGTCCTCGTCGATTTTCCTGACGTCGCTACGACACGCACTCGAAAAAGTCAATGCGCATCCCGAAAGTCAGGTTACACCAGGTTCGCCGATGAAGGAATAGTTGCCCACTTCCACAAGATATTGCCCTGTTATGGTGGGTCCAGATCAACGAAGAAAGCAGAGGAAGAGATCCGACAAGCTCGGTCCAAAAGTTCTACGGAAAGCTCAAGCTCGAAATTTGAAGAATCAAGGCTTTTCTGTTTCGGAATCCATCAGTCTCTAATTGGAAAAGTTTCTTCTGGAAAAGCTTTGATTCCGTTCATAAAACTGATTGTAGCTTCCAGAAAGACCGATAAGATGTCTTCTTCGACGAGATTTGATTGCTACTGGGTCCTCTTGAAACAATCCTCTCCAGTTCGTTTCTTGCTGCCCGATTCTTCGAGCAGAAGATATCATGATGTCGCACTTACTTTCTGAAGAAAGAAATTTTATAATCAAGTAATTTTGATAAAAACTACCGATTCCGAAGACAAAAGAAGGAGAAAATGCATCGTTTTCATCCTCATTGAAATCGTAGTAGTCGTAATCGTAATCGCCATTATCCCTGCTTCTTCTTCTTCTTTGATCGGAAGTAACGAAAACTCGGACTTTGATTACTTTTGGTCTGTTCTCGACAAAATCGACCAGGTCCTTCAATTTAGGATAAGTTCAATCGATGCTGCTATATTTACCGTTCCAAATAGGTTCGGAAGCGACTCCAACCTAGCTCCGTTCAAAAGGTTCCCTGGTCAAGGCTGACCAAATTCACATCCTTCGGATCGAACGAGCATTCCTTTGATAGAACAAGATCCAGTTCTACGTTATCCGTGGCATTTGTTCGCTCGAGACTCACTCCAGAAGCAGCTTGATCAAAATTCTGTTTCGGAATGCAGAGGGCGTTGCGGAAAGAAAACGCTGCCGGAAGACAGGGAAATTCAACGGCGAATCGGTCCATTGATGATGGAAGACGAAATTCATAAGTTTGGAGGAGGAATTTCTCTTGAACTTGGATCGTTTTCTTTGATAGGAAACTTAACTTGATCAAATATATCGGATATTTGATCAAATATGAATCACTAGAAAGGATAGGCCAATAAGAAACCTTTATTCGATGGTTAAGCCAATAAGACATCTCCTGTCTGTTGGGCTATATTTCCTTGCCTGTTTCTCAACTCTCGGGAAAACGGAAAAGAAGCAGTCCGCCACTTCTTCTGGCGTTTTCTCGACTTCTTCGAGGAGCAAATCGATTTCTTCCGTTTCTTTCATTGATTCTAGCCAACAAATGGCGCAAAACCTCGACCTCTCTCTTTTCACGCATTTTTCGCTACAAAGCTCGGTCGTTTTTTCGTACCACTCGGACGCTAGAATCGTGTCCAGAAGAACACTATCCTTTATCCCCAAACAAGCAGTGATTCCCCGCCACCAGGGGCTACAGTCAGATAAAGACAAAACAGTTCTTCTGCAAATTCGTTCTCTGCAGTTCAATGCACTTTTCAAAAGAAGAAAAAAGGGGATGAGACGCATTATTAGTTGGAAAAGAATATTTTTATTGCAGAGTGTAAATTGTTCAAAAATACAGAAAAGTGTACAATTTTAATTTTGTGTACAGATGACCTTTCAATCCGGATATCTGTTGAGAGGATTAGCAAGTTAGGCTGAAGTTAGAGGCTCTCGCAGAAGATAGGTCGCGTAGACAGAAAGAATAGCAAAGGAAACGCTCAATGCCAAATTACCAGCTCGGCTTAACCTTTTCAGAAAGCTTAGAATCGAAGATCCAAGAAACAGGACTTACAGGCTGTTTGAGCTGTCCAGTTTTGACTCTTTTACTCGATTCCTGAAAATGGTTAAAATGCTAAATTTCAAAGCCGAGGAACGAGCCAAATATCAGAGAATGGCCAAAAATGATAAATATCTAAGGTCGATAAGATAGTATAGACTGATCATTATCTTATGCTTCCAGTATATAATGAACTTTGGGTTGAAAAAGTCACCCAATCTAAAATGAGCAAAACACTAAATTCTCGCCGAAGTAATGATTCATTACTAATGAATCTATTTTCTCTAGATAGAGACATAAATTAACGATTTTAAATATTTTCATAAAATGACGAAGCAAAAATAAATTTGTTACATCCAAGTTCGTATGATTATGGTAATATTGAAATTTCAATTGGTATCCATTTGGTATCATGTTAATAAAAAACTGATCAACTCTTACCTCTTGTTGAAAGGACCTACCTTATTCTCAAAACTCTTTTAGTCAGGTCCTTCTTGAGCATGTATTCGGGCATTACATCGTCGAAAATCACGCCCAATCCAGCAAGCGCAAAATACGAATGCGTCGCATCTGCATATTGATTCTTCGCATTCAGCTTTTTGATTCCGCCAATATTTTCATCAACGCAGCTTCGGACAAAGCTCAAGACTCGTTCCTTGTCTAGTTTTTCAGAAATGTCAATCGACGGTTGCGCCAGTTTCAGCGCCGCACAGGTCCAGAAGGTGTAGCAAGTGTCGTCAGGCTTGTGTGGCCGGCCGTGAATTCCTTCCGATTGACGATTGACGCAAAAACGAACGATCCGTTTTAACTCTGCGGCAGAAAGCACTCCTTCATCGCTGTGTAGGCAGCCAAAGAACTTGAGCGAAGCGAGAGCGCAAAAAGTCAAGGCTCCGTGGCCTTCTGCACCCGGAACTTGGCCGAAAGCTGTATCGGGGCTTTGGCAGGAGATGATGTATTGAACTGCTCTTTTTCGATCTTCATCGGAGAAATTTGATGTTCCGAAGATGTGAATGAGGAAGGCGGCACAATATGTGAATCTTTCAAGGGGGTAGGCATTGAGAATTTTGATTTTTCTTTCTTCTATAATTGAGTGACCCCCTTAATCTATTTGGGCTACGAAAGAAGGAGTGGAAATCAAGATTCATAACGCTTACTCCCTTAAATCCGTCGGCTCAGAAGCATCCGCTGCACCTTGAAACGAGCCATCCGGGTTCATCAAGGATTTGATCCAAGAAAGCAGCTCTGGAATGTGAATTCTGTCGAGTTCGTCGCCAAGTAAAATGAGGCACTGAACAGCTGCGAATGTCGAAGCAATATGCGGCTTGGCAAGATGGGAAGGAAGTTCTTTCATGATCTTTGAGCCAAAGAAGCCGCCATGAGGAGACTGAAGAGAATAGATCCACTCGATGAATTCTTCCTTGTTTTGAAGCTGGTCGATGGCGCCGAGAAAGGAGAGACCGCCGAGTGCGAATTGAGCGATGACCAGACGCTGCGAGTCGAGATAAGAGTAACGAGAGGGCAAGACGTTGAGGATGTTTCTGAAGTAGCGCACATGGCTGCGGACGTTTCCGATTCCGTACTCCTCGATTTTCATTTTTCAGATCACCTCATCTGAATTTTGAAAGCTGTCATCAAAAGAAAGAGATAGTTTTTGCATTTACCATTTTTTTATTAAAAATAAAAGATAAAGACTAAAAAAGAAAATAACTGGCAGTGTATAAAAAAAGATTTCGTTTTTCAATTTTTCTTCGGTTTAATCGTTTCGATCTTCGAATAATTCGCAAAAACACCAGATTCAAAGAGCAGATCGGTCAGTCCGGAGAAAAGGAACGCCAAGGCTACAAAAACACCAGTCAATTACGCCGTCCAATTGAATTAAATTTACCAAGGAAGAAGGCGAAAAATTGAATGAAGCCGTATTTGACCCAAGTCAGGGCTTTCGCGTTTCGTTCAGCAACGACCATCGGGATTTCGTAGTTGACTGTCAGAGTGAAAGACTGTGTATCACCTGTACTCCACCTAGAAAGGGGATGATTATTGGTCAAAGGTGAAGGGACGAAGCTGAAAAGTCAGAAGCCGCTTGCGGCTTGGAGCAAAGAAAGATGGGCTCGACAACCGGTGAAGATAGCCTGAGTCAGGGTCGTGAAAGATCTTAGAAAAAGCCGCGAAGGACCAAATCTTTCAGGGCCCTGAGTCAGGCTATATGCACAGGTCGTCGACTTCAGGATTCATCACAAATTTGCTCCCTCCCCTTCTTCCTACCTGGTATTAGAATGAATCTCGTCAAATCTGATGGTCCTGCTTGTATGATTGCGCAAGGCCAAGTCTGGCGACCACAAATCCGTCTGTAAGGAGGGCATCAGGGCGGGCGATACATTCTCCCCATCTGCGGGCAGCAGCGCGCTAGAAAATTACGATTTGAACCCGCGAAACTACCGTAATTGCGAATTACGCGCTTTGGCTGTTTTTACCTTGATTCATCATAAATCGACGAAATTCGCTTCAACCCAATTTCTGAAGAAACAGTTGCTTCGGCAGAAATTTGCGGGGAATTGGCGCTGGTGAAAATCAGCTGATCGAGAAAATGAGAATCGTGGGTGGAAAAACCGTTCATCTTGACGGCCAAGTAGGAGTAGAGTTCGAAGCCGATGACGTCCGAGACCGAGCAGGAGAATTTGATGGAAAGTTGGGAGCGATCCTCGAAGCGGGGGAGGATGGAGGTGGAGCAGAGGGCCGTTTCGGTGGAGTCGGCGAGATTTGGGTTTCCTGGAGAGTAGATCTTCGTCTCTTGAAAATGGCTTTATTTTTATACATACAAGATGGAAAATAATTTTAATTTAAATCCACGTTCCTGTTGCAGTTTTGAGAATAAGAACGGCTTCTTTCGAATGTCTAACTTCAGGGATAAGAATTTTCGTTTCGGAATTCGACGAATACAGATTTCCATCGGCATTGGACTCGTTGAAAACCATCAGAATCGGAACTGTGATGATGAAAACGACCCCAAAGAGCAGGTACACAAGCGGAAAGACTTTCTCTGCAAAATATTTTTTAATAATTTTCACGGTATCAATAATTTTTTATATAATATTGTCAAATAAAGATTCAAAATTAACCTGACGCGAAAGAATAGTGTGAAACAACGACATTTCTTCTCCAGAGCAGCATTTTTCTCGTTCCGCTCTTTTTTCTCTGAAAAATTCCTTACCGTGGGAAGTCTCCTCCGACGGTGGCCAATCGCGTCGCTCAAAAGGAGGAAGCGCGCGATTTGAAGAAGAAGGCAAGTGATGGAAGAACTCTAGACAGTAATTTACTGTGAATAAAAAAATTGATAGTATCTTTCTTTATGCCGATAAAAGCACTCATTTGTTTATAAAATGGTAGAAAAAAGAAGTTATTAATTTGAGAAGTCTTATTTTTCGGATTATCCTTGATAATTTATCCATCAATTTCACCGCAACCTCGTCCGTCGTTTTACTGTCAGGGTCAGTACGTAATTACAAGGTATCAACGTATAAGTACCCCACCCGAAACCTTATCTGGTTATGCTGAGAATAATCCCTCCCCCGCGGCGCTTGCTAAAGTTTAAAAGAGCAGGTACTGCCTTTTTTCCTTTGCAGACGCTTTTTTCATCAATACTTTTTCTGCGGCTTTGAGAAAAGATGATGGGGCTGGCTGCGTATCAAGAGCCAGTTCCAGGGCCGTTCGAGCTAGAGACATTTCATGGCTGGAATCCGCAAGGAGGAAGAGAGGATGATAGACTGTGGACTGTGGAGCAGGCGTGTACCCTTAACTTGGACTTCGATAAGGACTGTTTTTCATGATTCTAGCGCTCCGTCAAGAGAATTTCTTTTCGCCGAAATCTCGAAAAACTTCAAACAGGTGCTGATTGATCCAAACGATGCATATGCCTACTCAACCCCCGAAGAAGAAACAACAACGACCGAGTTTCAAACAACATCAACGACCTCCCTCCCTTCTACAACTTTGAACTACGCCGCTTGGTATTCAACAGTGGGAACCACAACAAGCTCAGGTAACTCGTTCGACGACCAGTTCTCTAGCTTGGAAGAACAACCAGTTGATTACTCCGATGATGTCTTTCGCTTCCGCCGATCAGGTAGCTCGCTCGCTTCTCCACAAATCTGCGATTACTTCGAATCCGATGAGTACAAACAACAGCAGTTCGAAACGCTCCTCGCGCAAAACCTCACGGATGGTCTTCAATCCCGCGGCGCCTTGAATAGCAAGAGTTGGCCTGGCGACCTCGACGGGGTCAAAACCCGAAAACATCTCGTCATTCCTTTTCGCCACGATCCGACCGCCGAGCATACTGCCACCGCGAAGAAAACCATCCAGGAATCGTTCGATGAAATTACCAAAGAGCTCAATGGCTGCATCAAGTTTCAAGACGATTCTTCCCAGAAAAAATTTTCCTACTGGATCAATATCTGGAACAAAGCTAGCTACGGCTGCTCTGCGAATGTCGGCTACTTGGGAAGCTACAGCAACTACAAGGGAAAGGGGCAAATTCTGAACTTGAGTCCCAGTGGATGCTTGGTAAACTACATCATCAACCACGAGATGCTCCACGCTCTGGCATTCAACCACGAACAAGAACGGCCCGACAGAAACAAATTTGTAAAAGTCCATTTCGATCGAATCGCTTCTTCGAAAAAGCACAACTTCGAAATCATCAAGGCCGCGGACTGGTTCGACATGGGCATTCCCTACGACATCCAATCCGTCATGCACTACTCCGCCTTTGCTTTTCAGACCAGCGATGCTGCGACAAAAAGGCTTCCAACAATCACGGATCTGAAGGGCAATCCTGTCCAATGGCCAAGAACAAGAAGACTTTCCTCGATGGATTTGATCCAGCTCGGGAAAAAGTACGAAAGCTATTGTGGAAAGCCAGGAGGGCAATTTATCAAAACGAAGAAATGCAAGAACGGACAGGACTTCTTGGCGAATAGGTACTGTGATGGAGTCAATGACTGTATCGATGGATCTGATGAAGATGCAAAGACTTGTCAGGCGTACTGTGAGGCTGATACGATCGAGATTTCCAAGGGCGGTAGTGCGACTAGCGAGGTTCATTCTATTTTGATATATTCAAGGTTTATTGTTATAAAAACATATACTTTGTATGCTCTTCTTTATCAAATTTTCAGAAATGGACCGGGACGTATCAAAAGATCAAATCTTCTGGCTACCCAAAATCAATTAAAATCACCCACAAAGGTGGCGAAATCGCCCCTCTTTACGGCTTCTCTGGTGTTCACCTCGCTTTGCCACTGAAAGACTCTTGCCTCTTTTCGCCGAAAGTGCCGATGTACAAGTTGATTGACAGCAACCGATACATCTATTTCCGGCAATTCAGCGACGGGACTTCCCGCTGGTACCATTCGACGATCCCTTGTCAGATGAGCTCGGGCGTTTACTACATGTTCGATCCGGCGAAAAATGGCGGAAAAAAGAACATTTGGGATCTCCCAAATCCAGTCATGAGCAGATACGATACATGGCAAAAGAAGTGGTTTCACGACTACAAAAATGTGCAAACTCAAGTTGGATCGGATGGCTGGAAAGCGCTGAAAAGCAATCATGTGCTCGCGATGAGGGATGATGGAAGATGGGAGATCTCAGAAACAGGGAGCAGTGCGAAAGTTACTCTGAGCAGAATGTATCATGAGTTTTGCGTTGTGGGGGACTATGATGGAGACATAAAGGTGAAGAGAAGAGAACAATAAGCAATTTCACCTTCGAGCAAAATTTTTGGTGACTTTTCTAGCGATTTTTAGGTCTCAAGCAAGCCAACGCCTCCTCCAAATCCAGTCATAACTGGCACCAAAACTGAAGTCATCTGCACCGATAAAACAATGACCATCAAGGCCAGGATCAAAGCAAGATCTCTTTTCTCAATTTTAAACCTGCTTCGATCCTGAAAAAGGCTCATGTTCTCTCCCTCTTCCCAAAACTCCCAAAAGCTCAATGGCCAAGTGTCAGGTTGAAAATTGGAAGCTGTTCATTTTCAACCGCGCCTGTCAATGGAGAATTCAAGCAGACGATTGAAATTTCAAAATGCGCGGCAAGCTATTCTCAAGATGCAAAAGTCATCAAGACAACCTGGAAAGTCGTCGGAACGAAACCAGCGCAGTCCGGTGGAATCCTATTGGATAAAATTGCCCATATCGACGCAACATGCGAATATCTCAGCGCACTGAACTTGATGTCCGATGCCTACAAGGTCAACCAGAACGGACCAATTGTCGTGACAGATCCTCAAACTGGCGGAGCTGGAAAGCCAGTCAGTTTGTCCGGCGTTTTCAATGTAAAAATGACCGGTATTTCAAATGCCCAGGTTCAAATCGGTAAGAAAAATTTGGTTTTGTAAATTTCTTATCTTTCATTTTAGGTGGGGAAATGAAAAGCGCGGTCACCACTGACTTCAAATTCGGCATCCCCTACGACTATCAGGTAAAAAATCACCCTTTGAATCCTCCTTCTACCCATCTTTTCCAGATCAACAGCTGCACTGTGTACGATTCTAGCGCCAAAACCGGCAAGAAATACGCGATCCTTCAAAATCCTTGCAAACCATCAGTCGCGGTCAAATTCGACAACTCCAAGCTCGTCGGAAACATCTCCGATCCTCCCAAATTCGGCTTCACAAGTTTTACTTTCGATCAAAAAGACACAACGCTCTACTTAGAATGCAGCCTGAATCTCTGCTTGAAAGACCCAAGCACGGGCGCCTATCTCAAATCTGGCTGTATCACAAAATGCACCTGATGTCATTTTCGCCAAATAAATTGACTGAAGTACAGGATCATTTCTTTATTTTTTCATGTGTGGACATACTCAGTCGTTCGATTTCTCCGACAAGAGGTAAAAAATTGCATCAAATAGAATATACAAGTAGGTATTACGCAAAGCATAACGAGGCATATTCCAACCATTATTTGAACATACAGATTTCTTGCTTGCAAATACTAGAAAATAATAAGAAATTACAAGAAGCTGACTCGACCTACTTCTTGATTCTTATCTTTTACAGCCACAGCAATGCCAGTAACTCCCCCAATCAGAGCAAAAGCACAGCATCCACAGCAGCAGAGCAGTTCGATTTTTTCCCAGTTAAAACTTTGCATCCAGCTGAATTTTCGATCCAACTCCGCTCCATAAATGAAAAAGGTAATAGCGTGATATGAGAATCTATGTTGAAAAATAAGATAAAAAATATTGGAAAATAAATTTTACATAATATAACCAGAAGCCGCTGTAAACTGTAGGGGTTGATAAAGATGAAAATATTGCAGGTCCCAGTTGATTTTCACATTTATCGCTGTTTGCACCAAAATTGCTCCAAGTAAAGCCATACAACCCGTTATCATCTTCATCATTCCCATAAAGGAAAAGAGGTACCCAACAAGCCCCATTTCGTCTTGTCTCTTTTACGCGACTCTTTTAAAATGCTGTGAGTTGGACTTTTGCCCTATTTATTGAAAATTTGGAAGCACTATGCAAATTTGCATTCAGCAGGAGAAATTTGAACTGTGAGTTGTAAAATCTTGCTCACAGTATTATGAGTATTACAATAAATGACTGTAACTTGAAGGAATTTCCGCAAAAATGAATCGCTAGAATTTTCGGAAAAATACCAAAGTGCCCTGTTTTTTTAATATTTAATTTTGTTTGTTTAAAAAAAGTCACACGGTTGCCGCTAAACTCGACTTGCCTATAAACTTAATTGCAGTACCTACGTATAAAATCGCCCCAATAAATTTTTATTAGACAAAACGAGAAAGAAAGTTCCCATGTTCCCATCAGAAACAAAGCGCAACTGTCAATTGTTCACAAAAGTCAAAATAACTTTGGAATGGGAATTGAATTATTATTCGATCGGAGCTTCATGGCGTCGGCCAAAGAGTGGAAGAAGATTAAAAAGAGAATCAACTATGGCTTCATTTTGCATGACAATCCAGTAGGATAGAGGGTTCAAGAGACGCTACCGTGATTCTGACAGTAACTTCTGTAAAATGCTAGCTTAAAATCGAGAAGCCGCTTGCGGCTTCGAGTAAAAGGAAATTAAGCCGCGCGAAGCGCGGATTTTCCGACTTATTTTACTCGAAGCTGCAAACGGCTTCTCGATTGGTTCATCGACCTCGACCTTATTTTTGAACCCTTCAGAAAGTTGCTAAAAGACGAAATGCGTCTACCCCTGCAGAAGTCCATTTCCCGCCTGATCCGAGAAAACCAAAGCGAAGATCCTTTTCCCTGGGAGCGTGGAAGTTCAGCTTGGTGAGAAAGGACAAAGAAAAGGAAGAACTTGGCGCGAGGGAGAGACCAAAAGCGCTGTGGAAAAATGCTGGGGCTAAAGTGATTACTGCTAACAAAGGATTTGTTGTTTTACTTTCCTCCAGAAAATGACAAGCAACTGTAGTTTTCAATTGAAAATCCTGATTAGTTATCCAAGCAATAAGGCCAGATTTGAAACGGGTCGAAGAGGGGGACGAAGATGTTTTTGATTCAAATGTAAGATTCCAAGAAAATCTTAATCAAGAAGATGATTTACTGCGAATAATGCTGGAAGATTGCGACTTGGAATCTGAAGCTGACCCAACAGAAGATCCTTTCTACGACGAATTTCTTTAAGATCTCGTTTTAACGATTCGGGTCCATTATTATTGATACAACTTTCGGGCTATAGGCCCATTATTGTCGATTTCCACATTAAATTTCGCGAAATCAAAAAATGGAAGCCTAGGGTTTGAAGTTCTATCGACATTCTTCGACTCTTACCGACAATCTACAGTCACTGATTATATACTGTAAGACCAAGATAGAATCAGTGACTGTAAATTGACGGTAAGAGTCTAAGAGTGTCGATAGAACTTCAAAACATCGGCTTATATTTTTGATTTCGCGCAATTGAATAAGAAATCAACAATAACAGGCCCTTAGTTCGAAAGTTCTATCGATATTCTTGGACCCAAATCACGGAAAAAGCATTTAGTTTCTGTATGACAGGACCTGCGTACAAATAAACAACACACTCTTTTTTTTTGTTTTCGTATACGATTACCGAAATATATATTTAAACGTTTTTGTTAGCAGAATTTCGCTTCAAAAAGAGCAAATTTGAAACTGTTTTTGTTTATCACGGTAAAAAGTGTACTTTGAAGTATAATTCGTTTTTAATAATGTTTTCATAAAATTGAAAAATTTTCATTTGAACTTGTTTTGTTTGAGTTTCAACCAGAAAAAGAAGAAAAAGTAGAAAACGAGATTTTTTCTGAGGATTTTCGTTGCTGGTGGAATTTTTTTCTTTTTTTTTGATGAAAAATAGAGCACATGTGAGAATCTACAGCAAAAGATTCAGGTGCAGGACAGGTGAAAGTTGATGATTACTTTTTTGGCATCATTATTTTTTGTTTTGTTTTTGTTTTGATGATGTTTAATTTTTGCGTTTTCGTTTTTTGTTTAGTCAAACGCGTGCACAATACACCAGAATTAATATAATTTTAATATAAATAGCTATTTATCTTTTTTTAATTTTTTTTTTGATATTTTAGGTTTTTGGGAAATAATTATTAAATTAGTCTAGTAAGCCTTTTGGAATGAATTCGGACTCGACAGGTTGGCGGCTGTTTTGACGAGCGAAGGCGTTTCCTGCGTCGGGAAAGCCCAGCAGAGGCGACTGGCTGAAGCCCGGCGGTCCGCCCAGGCCAGGAGGTCCTGAAATCGAGGGTGAGGGAGAGGAATAAGGGGGGGGGGCGCTACCTCGCTGCATCGGTGGTTTATGCTCGGAAAAGGACGAATTTTGTCTTGACATTTGTTCGTTGTATGTAAAGTGGACGTTTACATTCGGTAGCAGCCTTCTCAGATTCTCCTGCCTGAAAAAGAAACGGTGGTTACCCCCTTATTCTATTCCTTGAAAGCTCACCAAAGTCCTTCGTCCTTCCCCGACTGTGGCCGCGGCGCTGGTCGTTCGCCGAAGAGGCCCATCATTCCAGACGGCGATTGGAGATCCCCAAAGATCGATCTAAAGAACAGTTAGTGGAGGGAGAGCCTAAAATTTTCCCTGTCTAACCTGCTCGGCAATTGAGGTGATGCAGCGAGCGGACGATGCGTTTGGGCAGATCTCGGTTCGTTCAACTGAAGCTTGGAGAGTCCCTTCATCGAGTAATCAATCGGGTCAAAGTCTAGGTTTTCGAAATCGGCACTGTCTTGTCGGCTTCGCCCAATCCCACCGTTTCGCAACAAGTCGGGAATCGGGCGCGGCATCAGGGAGGACGCTGGAGGGTCTAAGCGAGTATAAGCAACAAATACAAAGTTGCGTTTTTCTGATGAAGTATTTTTGGCAAAAATGATGATAAATGAATGTTAATTGGATTGTTAAAAAACTAAGAAATAAACAGTCGTTTATTCCTACTAAAAATATCATTGACTGTAACTGGCATACTGTAACAAAAGGCGGTTACAGTCAATGATGAAGGAATAAATGCGGCCCTTGTTCGTCCAATTTTTTGTCTGAAGACACCCTTGTTCATCATCATTTGGGCTTATATGGAAGAACAAAGGTATCCTCAAGCAAATAAAATGAATGAACGAGGGCCATTACATTTAATAATTTAAAAAATATCATGCAGTTGATGCTACGGAAAATCTGGCGATACCAAAAGTGGTTTCGCCAAAGCCCAGCAGTGGAAATCGAACTCGCGATCAAGAATGATAAAACGGGGTGGCCGATTTCCTGGATCCTCTACTTTATTATCTTCAACTTGTGATTTCTCTACTGCTATAATGAGGTCGACCTCAACTCGCGAAATAAAGCCTAGAAAGCGGAAAGAAGAGTCTAATGCAGAGTTACAAATCAAGTTCAATCAAGAAGGGGTGATGATGATTTCTAACTCTTACTAAATCGACAGATGCCAAATTGGAGGCCCAAAATGGGATTCCGATTTGGAGGAATTTGGATGAAAGTAAAGTGTGAGTTGATTGGGTGAATGAGTCATTTTGTGCATGCACTAGAATAAAAGAATTGGTGAATTGTGATAAGTGGATAAATGAATTGATAAGTGCTAGTGACAGGAACGTACCCATCCGTCCACTACCACCCCCAAACAACAAGGGATCGACACCATCCAAACCGGGAACTAGCTTTGAACTAGAATGAGATGAACCTGTATCGAAAAGGCCTGCAGGGGGAACACGCCGAGAGAGCGCAGGAGGCGGCATCCCAGAACGAGCTGACGAATTTGAGTCCCAGTCCTTCGCTGCTTGGCCTAAGCCGGGCTTTTTCGTGGTTCAAAATTGTACTTTTTAATATAAACTTCAAGAAAAACACCCTCAAAGCTCTGATTGGTCTTTTACAAGACTTCTTGTTCGATAGAAACCTAGTAAACAGTCGATAAGAGCTTTTGAGAGGGCACTTGATGGTTCACTTTGCATTCTGATGCTTGTACTACAGACTTAGAGCTACTACTTTTGGAGAAAAGATTTTGAACCGGACCGGAGGGGTGGCAAAAGAAGATCTGCTGACTCCATTCGTCTGGCTGGGTGGTTTCCTCGCAAAAGGGTCCTTTAGTTGATCCACAGTTGGTAGTCTGTTGAACAAGCTTCCTCCCTGACTGACACTCGCTCCTTGGCTCGTTTTCGTCTGATTCTGAACAAGGGTCTTAAGTTTCCACATTATTTTTTCTCATCTGAGCTACTCGATTAATTCTTTTACTTACGTGGGAAGAACTTTGTAACTTTTGCGCTGGATCAGACTCAGAAAAGAAGCTGTCGAAGGGATTGAACGGCAGTTGCGAGGAAGATGAGGATGATTTGGGAACCGGCTGGAAGCTTGAAGAGAAACCAGGAGGGCTCCTGCTCGCCTTTGGCTGTGTTGTGACTCCTGGCGGCGCACCAAGTCTGCTAGACGATGTCGTCGAGGTCGAGGCAAGGGGATTGAGCGCGAAGGGGTCAAACATGAGCCCGGCCGGCGGCTGGTTCACTGGCGATCTGGCTGGAAGACGAGACTGACTACTGATCGATACTGGCAGATGATTCTGATCTTCGACTGGAGATGGAAGCGTCCGCGGCGGGTTGTCACCGTTTGCGAAGAGGTTCTTGCTAATCGTGCTGTTATTTCTAGCCTCGTTTTCTGCGTTTTGCTTCGCGGCGGCTCTGCTGGCGGCTTTTATCTGCGCTTGCGAGAGCTGATGATCCACTGTAGGAAGATTGAGCTCGTTTTGTTTCGCTTTTGTTTCTTTTTGAATTGAATTTGTGTTACTGTTACTACTGTGTGGCGAATCCCGATGCGATCCAGACTTGCTGCTGCGGCTGTTTTGGCTGTTTGGACGGCTGGTTGTTACTGTTTCCGACTGGGAGTTACTGTGTGAGTGATGATTTGAATGATTGCTGAGTGTGTGTGTTTCCAGCGGAGTGCCGTTGCGAGAGGGAGCGCGGGAGCTCGGCTTCGAGTTTGATTTTGACGATTTGCCCGAGTTGCTGTTGCTTTTGTGGCAGTCTTCCTCGTCGCTTGTGTCCCACGAGTCTTTGACGTCTTCGTCCACAGCGTCTTTGATTTGTTTTGATGTGATGCGTTCGAGTTCTAGGAAGAAAGAAGTTAGCAACAAATTACCAATCATTATCGTACCTGATTCATCATCCGAGTCGACATAAATATTCTTTTTCTGCTTTTGCACTTTCGGCGATTTCGGCTTTGGCGGCGCCGGCCTGCTCCTCGGATTTTGATTTTGCTTCGGTAACGTAACAGTATTCGCAGTAACAGTAGCCGCCGTCGGGACTGGCGGTTTTCGCGGCCGTTTTGCTTCTGGCGCGTGTGGCGTCGTCACTTTAGCTGCCGCCGCTTTTTTCCGCGACGCTTCTTCTTCTTTCTTCTTTAGTTGTTCGCGGAGACGGCGCTCGCGCTCGGCAGCTTCTTTGCGAGCTTGTTCGGCTTGGCAGGCCCGGCGGAAGTTGTCCATCAACCTCCTCTCGTACTCTTCAAAGAATGGGTTAAAAAGGGCCGAGTTTCTACCAAAAAATTGGTGAAAACAACTTTTGCTCGAAGAAAATCATTTTATGTCGCATTTTCCAGGTCATTTGGGCTCACGTGGCCTCATTAAGGTCACTTATCCTACTGAATAAGACGATTAAGGCCTGAGCTACCTCTGAGGATAAAGTTGTTCAGGGATAACTCATTCGGTTTCTGTGCTAGAGAGCGTCAAAGTGAGGAATCCATTGCTTCATTTGAAATTTCAGGTAACTTCCTTACTTTACCGCCTTCTAGCGGATAAATTCAATGATTAGTCCCCGAACAACTGTATTCTCAGAGTTAGCCAAGACCCTTGTCCGGCCGATGCAGTAAGTTTGGTGACCTTACTGAGGTCACGTGACCAAGAATGACCTCGAAATGCGATGTTATAATTCGTTTTTTACCTGTGTGCTTTTGTTTTTGCATATCTTCTTTAGTAAAGCTAGCATCTGGATCTGCGATTTCATGGAGATACATACAGTCTTGTAATTTACACTGCTGCCCGTTGAGGAATCTGGAGCAGTACTTGGTCGTGCCCAGGGTCGCTTTGAGGGTGCGCCCGTCTTGCGTCAACCCGTGAACCGTTTGAATACATCTCAACGCCGCATCCGTCGTCGAAAAGGTTACGTAAGCTGATGCTGAGGGGCCCTGATAAACGAGGTTACCGTTGGTTTTACAGACAGGGAAAATAGAAAAATGGGGTACAGTAGCAATGCTACTAGCATGCAATGAGGGGCAAGATAAATGAAGAGGGAGGTACTTCTTCCTCAGCGCTTTTTCTTTCCTGTGTAGAAACCTGAGTTTTCAAAGAGCTATGACAAAAGGCCGCATCGCGGCTCTTTCGAAAAGGTAAAGGGTTGAAAAGCGCCGAAGAAGACAAAAAATGATGATAAATTTGGATAAGTGCTTGTAAAAGCCTACCTCTCTTGCAAAATCATACAAATACCGATGCTACAAATAGGTGTTAAATCAGTGCAGAACAACAATTTCGATGCTGGATTGGTTGATTGATGGTTAACTGTATATTGATCCATATACTGTATATACTTTTGATATTCATTCAATTCAAAAGCACCAGAATCCGGTTAGATATCTAGTTATAAAGAGAAAAAGTCCGAAAGAAAGCTTGTTTCTTGATTTTGATTGGCAGAACCAGATATTACTCGCTTCTGATTGGCTGAAAGCCCCTATAGAGAAAATAAAGGGAGAAAAGTGTCAATTCACGAATAGAAACCGGAAAATCATGCTTTCAAATTGAGTTTGTGCGACTATACTGTAATAAAAAACCATTTTACAGTCAGTAACTAACCTGTACGCCGGCATAAGTAGTACATTGATTGACGGCGACCTTCATGATCTTTCCAAAGCGCCCTAAAAAGGAAGCTTAGTCGAGCAATCTCGGACTGGGTTCATTTTTTAGTCTCACCGAAGTACTCTTGTTTCCGGAGCATCGATTCGTCGGCCAGTTTCGGCTGGAGGCCCACCACGAACACCAGATTCTTTTGCATCACTCGCACGTCGCGCAGCTTTTCTTTGTCCTGGATCGGCGCTACTTTTGGCTTCGCCGCCGCTGGAACTAAAAATAAGGGTGTTCCTTACACACGGGTCGAGAATGAGAGTAACTTACCGGTATTATTATTGGATCGTTGATCGCGTTGAACAATTAATGCTTCTTGCTTCTCGGTAAGCGGTTTGAAGCTATACGGCTCGTCCGGATAAGGAACGCGACAGTTCGGACACAGATTTCCCTCCAGCTCCTTTATGCGATTCCAGCATATCGAACAGATCTATGAAAGAGAATCAAAAACGGGTAAATCGACTAAATTTTCCTAGAAAAACCAACTTTTAACTCAAAAAAGCCCCCGAAAAACCAGATAAAACGATCTGAAACCAGTTTTAATGTGAAAACTAGTTCAAAAAACCCCGGAAATTGATCCGATTTTATTGTGTTTTACTCAATTTCTAAAGGCAAAAGCCCGGTTTTCAGGGTTTTTAGTGGTTTCCGAAGATTTTATATGGTTTTCGGGCCGTTTATGTGGATAGTAAGTTGGTTCGATGAGGGTTCACAAGATTTATAGAGAATTCAATGGGTTTTTAGTTGGGTTCGAAGGGTTTTAACTGGTTTTCGTCGGTAAAAATGTATTATCAATGGTTTTCGCAAGAAAATGACTAATAAAACGACAAAACCAAGAAACTCCCCAAACTGCAACTTACTGTAATCTATCTGAAAGTACCTGGAAAGCACATTGACAGGGATAAAAGTTGAGATCATGATTGAGCGGCTCACAGCAAAGTGGGCAATCTTCCTCCACATCTAAGTTGTATTCAATCGCCATGTTTTTTTCGTTTTTCGCTTCTTTTTGCTTTTTCAAGAAAAGGTTTTTTTCTCGACGATTCGAATTCAATTGAGAATTCTGCGCTGTTTATTTCAGTTAATTTTTGAGCTCACGCAGCTTTTCTGTAATCTAAAAAGGACAATTTTTTAAATTAAATTTTTATTTTTTTCACAAAAAAACGGAAAAAATGATACAATTTTATCTGAATTAAAAGAAAATGAAAAAGTGTCAATACGAAGAAGGCCCTTATTCTAGAGTTACAGGTATCGAAGCTTTTTTATCATAAAGCGATCAAGAATCAACTCCAAAATAATAAATCCTGCATCACGAGTCGCGATAAAAGCGGTTTGTTTTGCGTTAATAATAAATAAAAGTCTGAAAACAAGAAAAGAAAAAAAAGGGATCCGAATCGATTTGAAAACCCTGTTTCTCGCGAAATTTGATGATCAAATTTTAAAGGTCGAAAAAAGTTTATCAAGAACTTTTTCTCCACTTTCTTGGCGTAAAGCCAAATTTGAGTTGATCGAAAAAAAGATAAATTTTTTGACTGGAAATTTTCTCTTCAGCGTTTTTTTTTTCATTTGCGACTCCGTCATCCCTTTTTTTCTTTCAATAGAAAATTTCTCGCCAAGTTGGAAAAGTTTATCTACAGCCAATAAATGCCCCGGCCAATGAGAAGGGCGCATTTTTTCACTCCCGAAAACTCAGTTTTACCCAATTTTACGCGAAAAGCATTTTTACCTTGAGCGTGAAGTTTTCCGAGTCTCTGGGAAAAAGTCGAAAACCGAATTCGTCACTTTTTGACGCGCTCTTCTGATTGGCCGGCGCCGGTGATTGGCCGATACTGACGCCGCAATTCTATTTTCTTCGACGCGAAATATTTATTTTGAGTCAATATGAAAGACTGCTTCATTTTCCCTTTCTCGCCTCGGAAAGGCGATGACTCATCGCCGATGAGTCATCATTATCATCTTTTTTTCGACTCAAACTTACAAAGTTACGTAACAGCTTTATTAAGGGGGTGGACGTGCTAATTGTAAATTCTTGAAATTATCATAGTGACATCCTTATTTCTTCTTTTATCGAGCGAGAAATAAGGGTGTCAGAATACTTATTTCTAGGGTTTGCACTTATCGTGGGTACCCCCTTAATTTAAAGTTATTTTATCATCGTAAATTTGAGTCAAAAAGGGGCACTCTTATTTTACTCATAATAAGGGAGTCACTCTTATATTTATTTGCCCTGCAACTTTATTCTCTTGCCTTTTTGAATATGCAAAATCATAAATTTTGAATAAGAGTTATTATTTTTATTGAATTGATTCATTTCAGAATATAAATTGGTACAGGAAGATTTTTAAATATATTCACCTTGAATATATTTCATTCTGGAAGCGAGTGTAATAAAAATTTTAATCCTTGAACTACGGATTTTCTTGGAACTAGAATTTAAAATTCAAATAAGGGAAGCCCCTTTTTAGCAAAATTAATATTATTATTATTATTATTAAATAAAGGCATTACGGATAGAAAGGCACAAGAATAGATAAATAAGAAAAGAGAAATAATAAAAAAAGTTGAAATAAATTTACATTTGCAAAGAAAAAAAGGAAGATAGAAGATGAGTTTTTCAAAATTTGAAATTTCGAATTGAATAAACTGTCAGATAAAAAGTTGGAGAAAATGCTTTCGGTGGTGTCTTTTTTGTTGTTGGATTTTGGCGGTGTTTGCGACGCTGGAATTTCTTTTTTTTTTTGGGCTCCTCAGACGGGCTGAAATTTTGATTGATTGAAAAATATAAACAGGGATACCCTTAATTGTCGGTAAAATTAGGGGAAGAGTTCCTAAATTGTTCGATTTTCGAGATAATAATCAATTCAGGTGCATTTTGGACATTTCATCGACAATTTAGAGCCTTTTTTCAGAAATTAAGGTGATCACCTCTGTTATTTAGTAATTACCGTTGGAATAAGGTGATAGACGTTTTGGCCATGTCCTTCGTCCCTTGAAACTTCGAACATCTGCGCTAGAACGATCAAGATTTCACCCGTCGTCGAATCATTCACGTACTAAAAACACTATCAACCCTTTTCAATCTTCAGTCAACTCACAGTTAGCATGGCGAAGTGCTGGAGCACCACATTCATCTTATCTTTATTCGGCGAAAGTTGGAGGAGCCGCTCGATGAAGCCTTTTCCATACTCGCAGAATTCCCAATTCAGTTCAAAGAACGTCCTGCCGTTTTCTTCGAAACAAGTCGGACTCTGAAAAATAACGAAATTAAGGGGGTGTCTCCCTTAAGTTTTTTTACCTGTTCTTTCCTCATAGCTTCCTTCGAAAAGCTGTAAACTTGGGTCGTAACTTCGAGCGGTCGTTTTTGGTCGATTTGAAATTTGGCGTTGAGCTCGTACTTTTGATCCATCGTCGGGTCCAGCACGAAGTCGGCATCGGCCCAGAGTTTCAAAAGATAGAAGTTTTCCTTGTGGTTCGACTTTTCGTACAGATGGGCTAGGCTCGTTTCCCCATCCTTTTGGTTGATATTAGGAGAAAGGGAGAAGTGAGATAGTGATACCTTGGAGTTGTGAAAATCTGGGAGAATGGTTCCAATCGACAGGTCTTCTACAGAACTCGGCCGCATTGCTGATTCGGGAACGGATAGAAAGACATGCTTCTGCACCTAATAAGATATCAGAATAAGGCTCTCACCTTCAATTTAAGGTTCTTCACCAAATTTAAGGTTTTCGATCATTTTCAAACAGAAAAAAGTACCTGAGTTTCGCTACCATCATCTGAAACCGAACCAAAACTCGATTGCGTCGCTGAAATTTCAAAATCGCACATCCTCAGTTCTTTCGAATCATCTCCTTTGACTCTGTAAGTCGAAGCTGGAACGAGTCTCAAAACGTCCAATTTTTGAGCTGAATTCGCCAACGACGGCCGGGTCGAATTTCCGTTCGTTGCGGTACTTTGATTCGGGCCACTTGGCGGTCCTTTTTCCCGGTCCATTCTTCGGGCGAGAACTTGGATGTGCGAAGAAACCTGCTTTCGCGTCCGCTTCTTTCCGGTTTTGATCAAAATGTAGCGGGCGATCATTTCGTTTCGTCCGTACATTTTTCCTTCGTCCGGAAGAATGATTTTTCGGCGACCACAAGGGGGGTAGATTTCCATCGCTTCTTTGAAAGCTGTTTCGATGTCTGGAGACCACACGCCCTCGTCATCTTGGCCCATCGCATCCTGAAATGGAGAATAGTAGAGGGGTTTTTCTTTCTGGGTCCTATATTGTTGATAAAGCTGCAGAAATACAGCCCAAGATAGTCAAATCATAAATTTGATATTCTTGACGCATTTTTGACCTACGCTTAGGAACCTGAGTGTAAAAAATCGAGTTTCAGGACCCTGACTCAGGTTTTTACGCAGGTTTCTGGGCCATGCCGATGCATTATGTTGTCAAATTCATGAATCGACTATCTTGTGCTCTTTCATTGAACCTTTATCGACAAAGTTGACTGTAAATTCGATTTTTAGTTGAAATTTTCTAAGGAATTTCAGGAATTTCTAATAAAATTCCTTTGAATTCGAAGATTTCCGAAAGCGACGCTCGATAAACTGACAAGTTGACTAAAGCCTTTTCGGCTAAAATAGTCATCTCTCACCTCCGCGGCTAATTTCGCCGAATCGACGTTTTCTTTTTTCACATTTTTTTCGGAGCCATCCTCTGAGCCGTCCCCAGCGCCGCTTGTCATGTTTTCTCTTTCTTCGCTTCGCTTTGCTACTTTTTCGCTACGATCTCTTGCAGATTTCACTTCCCGGGAGCTGTTTCGAGTCGGAAAACGATAAAAGTTTCGCTAGTAGTCGCGCGGAGAGTGAAAATGCCGAGCGCGATTCTCGCGGGTGACTCATCAAAAAAGCTAATTGGGCGCTCGGTTTGAACTGAAGCCACTCAATTCTGCTCCGCTGTACTTTTCGAGCCGTAAAGGGTTTTCGGGGCTCTTTCAAACATGAGTTTTCACGATAATGACTCATTATTGATGAGTCATCATTCCGAGTTTTATTTCTAGATTTTTTTCTAGAAATTCTCGAAATTTTAAAATGATGATTCATCATTGGCGACTCATTATCGTTAAATCTCATGTTTGGAAAATCCCCGAAAATCTTTCTAAGCGAAAAGTCCTTCTAAGCGAAAAAACGTTATTTACGTCTTTTTCGAACCGGTCCGTACATGCCCCGTTCTCTTTCGTAAAATGTCATTTTTAATCCCCCAACTCATCAAGTGCTCTTTTCCTCCAGAATCTCTCTTTCTTTTCCATCATTTTCAAAAATGAGAGATCTCGCTTCGATTCTTCTTCTCCCTTCTGCTTTTGCTCAGAATGCTAGACCGATAGAACCTGCTTTTATCAAAGAAAAAGAGCCTTTTTTCCGTGACTATCGAAGTGATTTCTCGGTCGAGAAAAGGGATGAGGAGCCATGGAATTATGTTCCTGCAGGACTGGGCTCGTTAACCTGTGTATAACCCTGACTCAGGTTTGAACGCAGCTTGGCGAGCCCAATTGTAGGCGCTGCTATTGATCCTATGGACGAGAGAATCTGGAACGAGCAAAATGATCAGTCCGAATATGATATTGTCTACGATACGACCGAGTTTCCAACAACAACTGAGGAGTCAACAACGACAACAACAACGACCACAACAGGTCCTGAAATTGTCGATGACGCCTGGCTCCTCGATGAGTCCTCGGAGTCATCAATTCTAGACGGATTTGGTCTTCCTGGAGCAGTAAAAGACATGATCAAAGTATTTCGCTCTTTCCAGTTACCTATTCTATCATTTTTAAGAAAACAATGTCCAACATCTTCGACGACAGCGACGATGCTGCACTCATCATCACCGTCAATTCCGCTGTTGACGAAACCCCGCCTGTTTTCAATGGAAACATGGGCATCCCACACGATTGGATGCGCAAAAAAGTCGACGGGAACGCTTTCCCTTGGAAGAACTACGAGCATCATGGAGATTGGAATCGCCCACCGAAGGGAGGGTTTTTCCCCGGCTTCAGCCCTCAATTTCCCGTTCAAGGGGCTAAGCCTGAATGGAAGCCGGTTTATGCTCCCCATGCGAAAGAGGACTGCGAGAAGGAGAAGGACATAAAGCCGGAGGAAGAGGAAATCGAAATTCAAGCAAAAATGGAGCAAGAAGAAGCGATTCAAAAATTCAAGTACCAGCGCCGACGACATCACGTGAGTTTTCAGCGAAATTTTTGAAAATGACATCACTTTTAAGAAAATCGTTCGATGCATGATCATGGCGGCTATGTCGATCGGATTCGGATTTGGAATCTTTTTCGTGCTCGTCCGACTCTTCCGAGCCCGCCGCCGACGAAGAGCTCTTCTTATTTCTGCTGAAGTTGCTGATAAGACTGAGAAGCAGCCCCTTATCATCGCGTAAATCAACCCTTTCCATTTCTTCTTTATTTTCTTTTGCATGCTTCAATAAAATCATTTCTAGTTTCATTTTTCTGTAGAAATTTTTTCGGACAGAAAGACGCGCTATTTTTAAGGTTGGGCAAGTTATTTCACCCACTTCCTCCTTTTGAAACCCAGAACACCATACATATTTGGAATCAGTGGAGAAAATCTAGAAACTTGACGGTTTTAGTTTTTCGAAAATCACCTCCGGTTGCGATTCTAGAGCCGGAAGTAGGCGAAATTTTGGAGTAAGGGTAAAGTGTGACCTATCATATTGATGCGCAGAAGATTCTCAGTCATCTCATCATCAATTAATTAGAAAAACAGTACCAACCGCGGTTAAACTGACCGGTAAAACTATGAAAAAGCATGATTTAGCGAGAATTTTTTCAATTTTTACCGGTTGTTTACCGGCGGTTTTTGACGACGGTTGGATTCGGTTTCGATCCTCAATGACTTGACCTGTTGTAAGCTTCAATTTGATAGGTCATATGCATGCTTTTCTTATAAATTTCATGCATTTCCGGCTCTAGAATCGTAACCGGAAGTGAATTTCGAAAAACTAAAACCGTCAAGTTTCTAGATTTTCTCCACTTATTCAAAATATGTATGGTGTTCTGGGTTTCAAAAGGAGGAAGTGGGTGAAATAACTTGCCCAACCTTAAAAAAAACGCGTCAAAGTTTTCATTCAAGTTTTGGTTTCAAGAATACGGCCCAGTTTTGGGCTCCAAAAATTGACTTTACTAAAATTCAACTTAGTCAAATTACTCAACAGCGATCACCACCGTGCTACTTGATGAAAATATTAAATAAACTAAAATGTTCGAATAAATGATAGTCTTATGGTCTCTGAGATTTCGGAAATTTTCTTGATTTCAATTAGGGTTGAAATTTGTAAGAAGATGGAGGGCTCAACCTTCTTTTTTGATAAAAGTTCGAGAATACGGCCCAATTCTGGGCTCCAAAAAATACAATTCGCACACATCAGTGAAATGACTGAACTTCGTCATGTTCCTCACTTAAATTACAGTAATTCAAGTACAGTAACGAATGCGATCATTATCGTAGCTGACTCGTGAAAATTATAATAATTCATAAAAATCCGAAAAATGATTGTTTTATGGTCTTAGAAATTGACGAAAATTTTCTTGATTTCGGCTTTTCTGCTTGATTTTACAGTCTTCTTTCTCTGTGAAATTGCTATTTTAGTATTTGTCCCTGCGGCGAACTTCATAAATGGCTGAGAGGTCGGAATTCAGCTTTTTTCTTTGGCAAGATGTTCTTAATTAATCTGGCTTTCTTATCGCCCTCAAGCAGAACAATTCCAGCTGCAGGAGACTGTATATAGGCCGGGAACGGCTACTTGTGAAAATATAAAATGAAAAATCAGAAATACGTCTACAAGGCAGGTTATGGGTAAAAGCTTTGGATTATTTTTTTCGTAAAATGAACAAACATCATCAAAAATATTATTATGTAATTTTTCAGATTTGATAAAAATCTGTTTTTTTTATGATTTGAATCAACATATTATCCGTTTCATTTATACCTTATTTTTATAAAATGAAAAATCGTTATCTGCTGTTTTTAAAATACTGAAACTTCTTTCTGATGAAATAATAAATAAAAAGCCTATTTCTTACAATTTTTATTCAGAATCAAGAAGAAGAACATCAATTTTAGCCGTACATATCCATACAAGCATCCATCTCCTCCATCATTCTTAGCGATGATCCTTATTATGCCAAAAGTAACTTGATATTTTGAAAGAAGGAAATTAAGGACCACTTGCATGATATCATCATGATTCATCTGATCGCTGTAGTCGCTGTCGTAGTCCTCGTAATCCGCGTATGAGTGCCTGCTTGTATCGACCAGCGTCAAATTCATCTAAATACAGTCATGGGATGCAACTGTATTTGAAAGTAATTACCTGTTGAACAGCAGCTATTGGCACGCTTATCGCCTGCGCAAACGAGTAATTCTGCCTAAATAAGGTTTAAATCTGACAACTTTTGTTTCTTCTTCTCATTTTAGACTACAGTTGGTAGTCCAATATCATAATAAGGAGAATAAGGGGCTTTGAAATTTCATAGTGGAATGCATGTCTTACTGTGTAAAAAACCTGAGTCAGGATGCTGAACGAGCTTTCAAGCGCTTTCAGGACCCTGACTCAGGTTTTCCACGCAAGATTTCGATTCCAGGGTCCCTGAGTCAGGTTTTCCACACAGGATTTCGATTTCAGAGTCCCTGAGTCAGGCTTTCCACACAGGATTTCGATTCCAGGGTCCCTGAGTCAGGAATTTTCCACGCAGGATTTGACTCAGGGTCCGTGAGTCAGGTTTTCCACACAGAATTTCGATTTCAGAGTCCCTGAGTCAGATTTTTCACGAAGAATTTGACTCAGGGTCCCTGAATCAGGTTTGCCACGCAGGATTTCGATTCCAGAGTCCCTGAGTCAGGTTTTCCACACGGGATTTGACTCAGGGTCCGTGAGTCAGGTTTTCTACGCAGGTTTTCGATTTGAGAGTTCCTGAGTCAGGTTTTCCACGTAGGATTTGACTAAGGGTTTCTGAGTCAGGTTTTTATCACAGGATTTCGATTCCAGGGTCCCTGAGTCAGGTTTGCCACACAGGTTTCCGATTCCTTGCATAACTACTGTATTCATTCGTCTCTTTTTTTCTTACCTTTGTTTTCTGCTAAAGCATCCACCCATCATCTCATATTTTCATTTCTGGATCTCAAGAGTCGTCTGTTTTTTTTTCTCGTGTCTCTCGTTCTTTTTATAATTTGTGATCTAAAGATTAAACTTGTTTCTTTTTCAACTCTTCTCAGACTGCCGCTGCAAATGAAAAATAAATAACTGACACACAGTGCAACAAAAAAGAGGGGGAATTGAAACGCTGGGAGAAACTGTCAGAGCTTGTACATTTCATGACAGTACAATTCAGCGCTTAAAGAAGGGGGAATGAAGAAAGAGGGAGGGGGAAGGAGAATTTATAACTTTGTGGGCAATTTTTTTTTCAGGGAGACAACGACCCTTTGGGGATTAAGCAAAGCAATTATTTTAAGGGTGTAGACATCTCTAATCACAATTTGCTTTCCACAGTTTCTAAATAAGGGTTGAAAGTTTCCATAGAAAAAATAAAATAAGGGTGTCAATATATTAATTCTCGGAGAAAAATCAGCGAGAAAATCACGATTTAAGATGTCTACCTCCTTAATTTAAATAGAAAAAAAGTCGTTAAAATAAAATAAAATCTGATAAAAACGATTTTTGAGATTAAAATGAAATGAAAATGAAATTAGTTAATTAATTCAAAGCAAACATCTTTCTCGACTCATCATCAATTCTCTCAATTATTCAAAATGCCTTTTCTGATCTTTAGCAAGTAGCAGCTCATCTTCAAAGCAGCGAAAGCATACTGTCACTGATAAAAATCTCTTTGCAAGCGCTACTAGTAAGTGAGCGTGTAAGTCGTCAGGGGGAGGGTTGCTCAAGGACAGGCAGCTTTTGATTAATGAAAAATAGTCTCGAGCAAATCCGTTCTACTGGAACTTATTGACAAGTTTTTAATTGAGCCCGACCAGTTTCCATATCTCCCGGGATTTCTTCCCTTCTAGCGCACTTGGAAATGAACCAGATACTTCTTCCTTCGTTTTCTTCCACTTCAAACAATTCCATCTTCTTTCATATTTCTTCAAAAGAGCAGTTCTCTGGCTCCTGCCCTGGCAATCATAATAATCTTTTTTCCGCTCGATTTCTTCCTTCATTTTTCGCGTAGTTTCCGTTCTTCCGACTCCTCACATAATGAATCTTTTTTCGAAAGAGACGGGGATCAGATTAGCTGTCGTCAATGTCCTCCTGTTTTGTGTACTTTTGTTTACGCTTTACTACGCGGAAGAGCATAATATCATCGACCTTCTATCCGACTCCAGTCCAAACAAGTTGACTGATGAGGAACTCAGCCAAATGGTCTGGACGCCGTCGCCGCGACAAAAGACTCACTTTGGAGCAAGAAAAAGCATTCGGAACTTGAAAACTTGAGAAACATCCTTCTTTTGGTAAAAAATGAGCTGAATGTAGAACGAGGGTTAAATATATTAATTAATTATATTTTGAGCCTAATATTCATGCAATCCAATATCTCGGCGACGTTTTAAGGGAGAGGGGGTCTATGGGGGTGACCATCAGGTAAGGGCCCCTAGGGCACTCGTAAGATTTCGGTACAGTAGAAAGAGACTTTTAGCTTCTCCCTTTAACCTAACCCTTACCTGGGGCTTCGCTCTCCCCCTCCCTCCCCCCGGGACCCCCTAAAGTTAAAAACTTAGTTCCTAACCCTAACGCCTAACCTAGGGGGTAAAAGAACCCTAGGAACCACCCTAACACTAGGGTGGGGTAAGATAGCTCCCTACTACTAGAAATGGATTCTATTCGCAATAAAACGAACTTTTCCTAGGGTGAGCTAACATACGACCTTGAAGATGAAATGTGCAAGGGAAATGTGTTTTTCATCAAAAATGATTCAATCGAATCCTCGATTCACGAAACAAATGACAACCTTCTCAATGGTGAAAGTAAGACACTCGCTTGAAAAATCGCTTAGAAATGTTTTCAGTGGTTTTTGTCCACAATCCAGTAGACAAAATCGGCGACAATGAATATCTCATCCGACAGTACGACCAAAGAATGCCTGACAACGCTGGAGAACCGTTTCTTTCTTTCCCGGACGCGTCGAGGGAGTATTTTGAGGGCACGATTTTTACCGGAAAAATTGTCAAAACGAAAAACGAGCCAGTTTTTTGCTTCGAGACTTCAAAAGGTACGCTGTTTCGGTCAATCGATTTTTGATTAAAAATTTGCTTCAGATAAAAGTAAAATACTTCCTGGACAAATAATTCGATCAACACTAGCAAATCTCCGTATTTTTCATTGTGCATTTCGAAAACTTTGCCGCTCGACTTTTATGAAACCAAACCTCGACCGTTGTTTGGAGAGGTCGATGAAAACTGGAGATTTTTGGATGCAAAGATGGAAACGTATATTCGGCTTCAACAGGGCTTCAATTGCTCTTTCGGGGAGATTTTTGTTCCGAGAAATAGAAGTGATCTTCAATTTTTTCAAGAAATAGCGATTTATTATGATCAGGAAAACGCTCTCAACAACGAGCTGAGCTAGGCCTCCTGTTCAGAAAACCTGAGTCAGGGTCTCAAAATCTTTTTGCGGAATTTCAGACCCTGACTCAGGTTCTCAGCTCGGTATCCATTGAAGAAAACCTGACTCAGGGTCTCAAAATCTATTTGCGAGTTTTCAGACCCTGACTCAAGTTTTCAGCTCAGTATCCTGTGAAGAAAACCTGAGTCAGGGTCTTTAAAATCTTTTTGCGGCTTTTCAGACCCCGACTCAGGTTTTCTACACAGGTTGCGGAGCCAAGAAGTGAGAGCGAAAAAAGTATCATCTTCCGATATACCTTCCATATCATCTGAAATTTCAACGACTAGTGGATTTCAACGGCGAATTTATCGATATAAATGTAATAAAAACTGCAATTTCTCAGATCTAAAATAATTTCTTAGCCGTATGAATTCACCTCAACAGAAAAAGAAAGCATCTTTCACCGCGAAGATACTCTCATGATGAATTATAATCGAAATGAAGTACAATCAAAGCCGACCATCCGACTTATATCGCGAAACAAAGCATATACAACGAGGCCTTTTTGTGAAGATGAAGTTATTTCTTTACAAGAAAAAGAAGGTACGAATAATTTTTAAAAAAAATTTTTTTTGAAATTTTTTTTTTCAATTAAGCAAACAATACCAACGATCTTACGAGTTTCCTAAACAAGGACCTTTATGTGGGATTGACCGACAAGTGGACCGACGAGTATCAATTGTCGAAAATTCGCTATGCCGGAAGTTAAGGCTTTCAAATTTCCAAATATATAATATAATTCGGGTCTCCGGACAAAAATTATCTTTCGATCCTCAAGGGGTTTTTGGCATTTTTATGGGCTCTATCGATAGCTTAGAGGATACTGAGTAAAAATATGAAATAAAAAAGTAGGTGTATAATTTCGGAAATTGGTCAAAAAGGGATTGAAGATTCGTACTTTTTCACATTTTGGCATATTTGACCAACTTCCGAAATTATACACCTACTTTTTCATTTCATATTCTTGCTTAAAATCATCTAAGCTATCCATAGAGCGCTTAAAAATATAAAAAAAACCTTGAGGATCAAAAGTAAGCATTTTTACTACCGGAAACCCTAAATATAATATAAAAATTTGAGAGCCTTCAACAGAAAAATTGAAAACAAAACATATATGGAGGATGTTATTTTTTGCGATGAAAAAGACCGCTTCATGATCAATAGGTACTCCTATCGTGTAAGTTTTTATATCATTTTACAGCTCAAATTCTGTCGATGAAATCATCAAAAAACTTGGAGATTTTGAAGGAACACGAGAAATCTGGCTTGGAAATGAGTTTCTTGCAAGTGGAATCGAAGATCTAGATGAATACATCATGTATGCTATTCTTAGGTTTGTTCTTCGAGAAAAAAAATAAGAATTTAAACAATTCTAGCGACGGTCCAAATGACAAGCCCGCGTATAAAGCTGAATTTTTTACTTTTGGAAGGACTCATTGGATGGGCCTTCGTTTCACGAATATTGAAACAAATGAGGAGTATCCGATCTATAATTATGGTCCCACCGATGAAGCAACAAGAGAGTATTTCCTTGCCTTTCCAAACCATCGTTCTGGAGGACACTGTATACGCTCTGTGAACCGCGAGGAATTGGACAAGTGGAGCACAAGAATCTTTACCATTTGCAGGATGAATGTCTTAGTTGACAGAGATATTGAAGCTTATACTAATGCGACGTTTGTAAGTTACTTTTTTATTTAAAATTATATAATTCTGGGGAGGTGTCTAGAACCGACAAAAAAATTTCGACAAATTTTGCGTGGAAATTTTCAGCCAATCAGAAGCCTAGATTCAGCAAACCGGCCAATCAGTTGCTGAGTAGCCGCCTACGCAAATTTTGTCGAAATTTTTTTTGTCTGTTCCAGAAACCATCCCATAATTCTCACCTCCCTTCAAGGTAGAAATTGATGAAGCAATATTAAATGATGCAGCAAAAGCTCTGGACTATGGACTTTACGGTTTCTACCAGGACAAGGGTCGATATTTTTTCGAAACCATCTCAAAATTTTATGAAAAAAATGGCGATCCGAGCTTCAGAATGCCTATAAAAGTAGATGTTCCTCTGGATCAATAGATTCTTACGACACGAGCACATATCCTTTCGAAATCGAAACTGCGGAAGATTTGAAAATCCACGCTGAATTAAGGAAGAGGCTATCCACACTAAGAAACGCCATTTTTCGCCTCAACATCATAAGACATCCAAATGGCTACTTCATTCATCCAGATGGACGACTGGTTGAAATTGACGTAACTCATAAAAGAAGTTCCTCTTCATTCAATTTTTCATAGCTCTCTTTGTATACAAACTGCGATACGAACCTCTTCCGACTCAAAGATCTCCTGACTATGTCCGTTACAAAAGAACCTGACGAAGCAGCAAGGTTTTTCTTTCGACGAAGATCAAAGTACGACGATGTCAAATACTATTCTGCTTGTTTTGAGGGGCACTAGAATTGGACCCCAGAAAGTTCAAAGAGCAATACAGTAAATGTCCGAAAAAAGAGGAGTTTGTCGTTTTTTTTATTAATTTTGAAATGAACAAATTTGAAGAGTAGGAGGAGCAATTTAAGATTGCTGGTCGATCCAGTCTCGGAACATGGCGACATCGGTGTAGACGCCGGGGTAGTTGGGGTAAGCACATCCGATTCCCCAGGAGGTGGCGCCGACGATTTCGTCGTTGAGGAGGACTGGTCCGCCGGAGTCACCCTGGCAGGCGTCCTTGCCTCCCTCGCCGATGAGACCAGCGCAGAACATGCCCTAAGGATAGAGAAAAAGAAGAGGGATGGACTGCTTACGGGAAGGATGGAACCGTTGTAGTGGTTTCGGGCGTTGCAGGTGCTGTTCTCGACGATTGGGACTTCGACGCACTTGAGGGTGTCGGGCATGTTGGTGCCGATCATGGAGGTGTTGCCCCAGCCGCAGACTCGGACCTCAGTACCGTTGGCCATCCATTCAGCGTCCTGGTAAGCTGGGAGAGCGTATGGAACGACGTAGTCGTTGACGGTGAAGGAACCGCTACAACACGGAGTTAAAAGGGGGCGAGAGAGAGAGGAGTCCTTACGCGAAAGAGATAACGGCGACATCGTTGACAAGAGTGTTGGAGTTATATCCAGGATGTCGAATCCAGGTACCGGCCTTCTTCTGCTGGGAGCTCTCGTTCTGTCGGATGTTGTGAGCGCCGGCGACAGCATCGAAGGAAGCGTAGACGGTGCAGTGGCAAGCGGAGACAGCTCGGTTGGCAGCGTAGAGGGAGGCGCCGCAGAAGTGGGAGCCGAATCGCTGGAGGGAGAGGATGTAGGGCTGCGAGTGTGGGTCGGGGGTGTAGCCGCCGATGACGGTGACCTCAGTTTCGGCCGCGGAGGCGAAGGCGAGAGCTGCAGCGAAGACCTGAAAAAAACCGTTGGAAATTCTCCTGCTCTGAAATTCTCACCTTCATTCTTTCAACGAATGAAACTTTCTTCCGGCAAAATCTTCTTACAAAAAATACAGATTTCGCTTTCTCACGAAATTTTGCGTAAATTCAAACAGCTGCTGGCGCTCCCTTGCGGTTTCAAAATCCACCAGTGTTCAAGAAAGTTTATGCAATCCTAAACAAAGTTGCATATAAAAAGGACCCTTTTCACTTTGATTTCATAACTTGAAAAATATCAGACTCGATAAGAATCGGTAGAATAGCGATGAAACTTTTCTGCTTTTTGAATTTTTCCGTTTTTGGAAACAATATTGCTCCAAGACGATATGTTGATTTGGAGGGAATGATGACGACGAATGATAATTTGGAGCTGAACATGCTCTGGGGATACGGATGCCACTGCTTTACCTTCAGTAAGAACCATAAATATGACATTTGAAAGGGAAAACATGAATTTTAATCGATTAAAAGAGGCGAGACTTTAACCCTACCCTTGATAGAGGCGCAACGATTAAGCCTTTTCAATTTTCTTTGCCCTTGAAATATTTTTTTAAGATGATCGACCCTTATCAACAATGGGATCCGGCCAACCACGTGACCAGCTCGATCGCCACTGCAAGGAATACAAAGAATGCCAGCGCTGCGCAAGAGATCGATTTGGCGACGAATGTGTGCCGGAAATAATCAAGTACGAATGGAACAACTCTACCTCAATAACAAACAGAAACGTCGAAGGCGAAACGACCCGCGAATGTTCAGATGCTCCAGGGACTTGTGAGCGCGCTCTTTGTGAATGCGACAAGGAAGGGTTAAGAATTCTAGTCTTTGAAATTCAGGGCTTTAATTTGAATGGTAGCTTTTTGGAAAAAGCAAATTTATCTGGACATCTTTTCATTCGTAATAAAATAGGGTCAATGAAAATTTTTAGAAAAAATATATAATTTTTTGGTTTTTTAAGACTTATGGTTTCCGAAAATCAGAAACCCGAAAAGGCCTTCTCTTCATCTCTTTCCGAAAAAATGAAAGTTTACAACAACGAGTTCTCAATTTGGTCGCGCCGTTGGGATCGTGAACTCGAATGCGTCAAGACCGGAACTGGCCAGGGAGAGCGAAAATGCTGCGGCCTCGAAACGGGGCCCTACTTCATCTACCACGAACGACGACATCAATGCTGCGATGGAACTGTTTCTGCCCCTGGAACTTGCTAAATAAGCCTTAAATCTATTCATTTTTATTTCCTGCTGAGAAAAAACAAATAAAATAAATGAAACTCAGAAAATTTTTACCAATTTCAAGATATGCGAAACAAAATATTTTTATACAAGAGAGCTTAAACAAGATGAAAAGACGAAAAATGGGAATTGAATATAATTGGACTTTTGAGGTAACTTTTTGACTAGAAATCAAAATGCTTGGCTCGGCAGCCTGTATAAAAAGCCTGAGTCAGGATTTGAAAGACCAATTTTGCCGCTTCGCCAAATGTTTTCGCGAAGCAGTTTTTCAAATCCTGACTCAGGTTTTCTACACAGGTTGCTGAGCCAAGTCGAGAAGCAATAAATTGTTTGTCCATTTTTATAATTTTCATGATCTTTTACGAGTTTTAACTGCCCCAATTCCCTAAAAAAGCTCTGAAAGAAAGCACCCTTCGATTAAATAATGCCCAGGAAAAGCCTTGCCACGCCTATTTTTGAGCGCTAGAATTTGCCGCGCGTTCTCCACGGCGCAACCGGAGCAAACTGGCTCAGAATCTAGAACCTACGTTTTCCAGTGCCTTTTTGTATCAAAAATCCATTTGATTCAAGCTTTTTTGCTTCAATTTGGAAGAGAATTGAAATCAAGGAAGAAAGAAAACATACACAAGAAAAAGAGCTTTGAAAAAATCTCGTGGCAGGTAGAAAATTTTTAATCAGAGGGTCGACTCAAGTTAATTAATTGTCGCGTGATTGGCTCAGAAGGAGGTGGAGGGTGCTTTTCTTGGCTTTCTCTAGCTCGAAATTGGAGGCTAGATAGATTACCCTGGCCAAGAAACAAAGCGGAATCAGTTTTACTTTTGACAATTTCATAAATCGTCGAAAAAGAGAGAGCGGAAAAATCGCCAAAGGGCAAATTCTTTGGGGTTGAAATGGGTCACAAAACGGTGAGCGCTATAAAATTCACAAGTCTTAAAAGATCGAGGAATTCAGGACTCAGAAACCTGTGTTTAAACCCTGAGTCAGGGCCTAAAGGCTGAGCTTGGGAACCTGTGTTGAAAACCTGAGTTAGGGTCTTAAAAATCTTCGATGAAAACTTTAAGCCGCGAAAATCCTTTATTTTGCGGCTTTATTCGGAATAAAAAGCCGCATTGAAGATTCTCAGACCCTGACTCAGGTTTTCTACACAGGTTGCCGAGCCCAGCCTTTAGGCTCTGACACAGCCAAAATATTCGGCTCAATCAATTTTTTTGTGTAAAAATGGTCGTTTTTAAAAATCCGACTAGAATTTTTTTTCGCAAAAATAATGAAACATGGTTGACTCTTGCTCGGTGGTCTCGACAACTTTACAATTTGTGCTCAAATTGAGCTCGTTAAGTAGTTCATCCAGAGGTGACCAGTTTGAACTGGCCCTCTCTCTCTTTCTCTCTCTGACGCCCCAAAAAAGGATGGGCCCTTTCTCGACCCCTGGCTCCTTCAAAAAATTATGTCTCGAATCGAAAAACCAAAGAAATCCTTCTTCTTTTCGCCTAAACCTTAGCAGAGCTAAGAGAGAGATACTTTCCAAGAACTAAAGATTCAAAATCGTTGCACTCGAAATTGTCACGTGGAGACTCTAGAATCACGTGTTTACGAATAGATTCCGAGAAGAAGGACTTGAGTTTGGGATCAGGAACAGGTACTCTTCAGACGAAACTTTAAAACTCTTTCGGAATGAGTGACCATTATTGCTGAAATGTAAAAAAAAAACTCGGAATGAAATCCCGGCTTTCCGACAAAATGAGCTTTTCCTCGTTGTCTTCCTGTCTTCGCATATATTGGCATTATTCTGCTAAAAAAAATCGGAAAAACCGAGTTTTTCCAGCTTTTCCGAAGGTATTTAGCAACATAAAGCAAATAAGCTTCCGCAAAAAAGGGAGACAACGAGGAAAAGCTCATTTTGTTGGAAAGCCGGGATTTGCCCAAAATCGACTTACGCGCGACTCGCGCGGCGCGAGCGCCACCATCACGAACTTTTTATGGGACTTTTAAAGGTCGTAAATTTCTGATTTAAAATTACCCTTGGGTATTTTCTTCTGAATATTCGAGTCTATTTTCAAGTTAAAAATTATATAATCCCTTTTTTGACCAGAAGGCAAAAATGCCAACCATCTGGAACCTTCAAAATTACGTAACTACAAGCAACTTTCAACCTACAGTTCTTTCAAAAACTAGTTTGGTCCAGTTCCTCTCGAAATCGCGGAGAATCTTCCCTTTGTCGAAGAAAATCCCGGATTTTGATTGGCCGGCGCGGCAAAGAATTCCCATTGTTGCACCAGGAATCTCACTAATTGCGAGAAACAACGAGGAGAAACCAAGTTTTTGACAATTTTATTTGAATGGTCGGACTTTTGACTACTGTCAAGGAAGTTTTTGGAAGAAAAGAGGAACAACTAACGAATAATAATTTTAATCAAAATGACGAACTCACAAAGGTACTCTTTTTACTTAAATTCTGGGGCCATTTTCAATAAGGAATAGAAATTCCAAATCCTTACCTCCCATGTATTTATGATCGTTGGAAAGAGCGTAAAAAGTTACGTCAGAAAAAAATATTTCTAGAGGCTGAGTCATCACAAATGACGTCATTGCGGCTGGTTTAAGTTCCAAAAGCCCAAAGGTTGGGTCCCCTCTCATTTTTTTTCCACAAATGGAAAATTTGAGTTAAATACAGGAAAATGATCGCCTTGACCTACTCTAGGTGAAGAGCTATATTTTTCGGAAAAAATTTTGAAAAAATCGAAGAAAAATTTTTTTTTCTAGAGTTGGATCTTTCACATATAGCTCTTCACCTAGAATAGGTTAAGGCGATCATTTTGATATATTGAACTCAAATTTTCCATTTCTAGAAAAAAAATGAGAGGGGACCCAACGTTTGGGACTTTTGGAACTTCAACCAGCCGCCATGACGTCATTAATGATGACTCAGCCCCTAAAACTATTTTTTTCTGACGTAACTTTTTACGCTCTTTCTAACGAGCACAAAAACATGGGGGGTTAGGATTTGGGATTTCTATTCCTTATTGAAATTGGCCAGGGCTAGGTTTCCTGTGTAGAAAGCCTGACTCAGGGTCTGATTTCTGACTCAGGGTCTAATTCCTGACTCAGGGTTTGAATCCTGACTCAGGGTCCGAATCCTGACTCAGGTTATCAATTCTTTTTTTCCTGAATCGTAAAAAATCGTCCCTATTTGAACCTTTTTTGGGGTTGAAAATTTTCGCCACGCCCTAATTTTAGCGCCTTGTTTTCAGAACACGGTCGTTAATCTTATTATTTTTCCCATTTGGCATGTTTTTGGAGTCGCAAATTTGTTTTTATTGCTTGTTGATGAATTGGTGATCGTGTCCGATCAATATTCATTTGTGGTCGTTGCACGAAAGTCAGAAGGGATGACAGTAACACGGAAGAGAAGGTTGAGCTTTCTTTTTACTGTTTTCTTATGGTTAGTTTTGACTGTGTATTGACTTGAGATCTGAGCTCTGGGCTTCGCAACCTGTTCTGAAAACCTGAGTCAGGGTCTGAAGAGCCAAATTCGCATATTTTCCTTTTCTTCAATTTTCAAGAAGCGGCTTTTCCAAAATTTGAAAATTGAAGAAAAAAGGAAAGAATGCGAAGCCGCTTCGCGTCCTCATTTTTAGAAAAGCCGCTATGCGGCTTTTCATTTTGGCTCTTCAGACTCTGACTTAGGTTTTCGAAACGGGTTGCCGAGCCCGCTAGAAATCAGTAAAGAAATTATGATGTGAATATTACGAAAAACGAAAATCTTCTCGAATTTATTAATTACATAATGTTAAAAGAATTTTCTGTGCTTGAGATGGAACTCTCTCTTTGTTTATTCACTAGTCTGTGAGGCCATTTTCATCATGTATTTCGAAAAAGTCTGAGTTTCCTCAAATTCTGGATGAGTATCACTTATTGATCTGGAGCTTTGTCAAGTCCAGACAAAGCACTTCACGTGATTCGCGATTCGCGAGTTTTGCGTCCTCAGAGACGCAACTAGGCGTAGTCTTTCTTTCGAGAAGAGTAGTAGCTCATGTGCCGCAAAACCCACAGTTTGTAGCATGTGTTTGGTCTGGGTCAACAAAAAACGCAGAAGGAAGCCGATCTTTTTCTGAAAAAACACGTCTGAGATAGACTCACTCTACCAGGGTAAATCCGAGATAGAGAAAAAGAGATCTTTTTGGAGAGAAACTCTCTGAAAAATAAAAGTTTTATAAAGCAAAAATGGCTCCTAAAGGCCACGATAATGTAAGATATAAAATGAAAGACAAAATACTGCATGCTTAATTTTTTAATATTTTATATATCATTTTCTAACTGACAAATTTTCGCAGAATTTCGACTGTTCGTAAAGTAAGACACCAGCTTAAAATCGAGAAGCCGTCTGCGGATTCGAGTAGGAAAGAATTTAAGCCGCGCAAAGCGCGGCTTTTTCACCTTCTCCGCTCGAAATCGCGGCTTCTCGATTTTCAGCTGAAGTCTTACTTTACGAGCAGCCGAAACTCAGTAAAAATTTGTCAGTCAGAAAACGATTTTTTCATAGACAGAAACGTCTTTAATCTTGAAGCAGTGATTTATGGTCCCAAATCCTTGCATGTGGATCGTTTACCACCATGAAAGCGCAAATCTGCCCCTCCTATTTTCGAGCAGCATAAGATTTCGATAATCTTTCGTTTGCACGTGATTATGTCATCCTAGAACTCGATTCTTAGGTCGACCCAACCCTTAAAAAAGGGTACCCTAATTCAATATTTTTATTTTTAATCAACAGTGAAGTTTAATACTATTTTAGGAAGAAATGCTCCAGCGGAATGCCAGCAAAGTACGGCAGGTTGCGTCCGCCGCCCGCTCAAAGGTAAGATTCCACATTTTTGGGCGCTTTGCCGACGATGGGTTAAGGTTTTAACCATCGACTCAATGAATGAGCGAGTCAAAGCTGTGCAGTACGCCGTTCGAGGGCCAATCGTCATCCGCGCTGGCGAGATCGAAAATCAACTCAAGGCTGGTTCCACTGAGGTAGGGATCGTTTCTCGAATTCCAGCGACAATCATTCCTTTCAGTTTCCTTTCGATGAAGTTATCAAGTGCAATATTGGCGATGCGCACGCCATGCAGCAGAAACCAATCACTTACCTCCGGCAGGTAGTCACTGGAACTTGCTACCCCGATCTTATGGACGGAGAAAATAATAATGGCGTCATTCCCAAAGATGCTTCCGAGCAAGGTAAAGGTTTCTGTTGTTTTTATCGCTAAATCCTTTCTGCAGCAAGGCGAATTCTCGGAAGCTGCGGCGGAGGCTCAGTCGGTGCATATTCCAACTCAGCTGGAGTTCCAGTCATTCGCGAAGACGTCGCGAAATACATCGAAAAACGCGACGGAATCGGCAACGTCGACCCTGAAAACATCGTCCTTTCTACCGGCGCTTCTGGCTCAATCACGACGCTTTTGAAGATGCTTGTCAATGGACCACAAGATGGAATTATGATTCCGATTCCTCAATATCCACTTTACTCCGCCTGCCTCGCCGAGTTTAATGCAACTGTTGTTCCGTATTATTTAAACGAAGAGACGAACTGGTCTCTTGATCTTGAAGAGCTTGAGCGGTAAGCCGCCACTCTTCTTCCTACTCTACTCCTTTTCTAGAGCTTACAGCGAGTCTGATGTGAAGCCCAAAGCCATCTGTATCATCAATCCCGGCAACCCAACTGGCCAAGTCGCCTCCTATGAAAATATCAAAAAAGTCCTCAACTTTGCCTACTCCCGCGGCTTGTTCGTCCTCGCCGATGAAGTCTACCAGGTAAATATCAACCTTTGGGCTCCTCCCTTTTACCCCTGTTTAGGATAATGTGTACGCGGAAGGAGCAAAGTTCCATTCATTCCGAAAAGTTCTCTTGGAAATGGGCGAACCGTACGCTTCCGAAGTTGAATTGGCTTCTTTCCACTCTACTTCAAAGGGTTACATGGGTGAATGTGGCTTCAGATCTGGATACATGGAGATTTTGAACATGGACCCTGATGTCAAAGCTCAACTTGTCAAGGTAGTGTCTCAATTGTCTCCCATTTTCTTGACTATTTCTAGCTTATTTCTTCCCGCCTCTGCCCTCCAGTACCTGGCCAGGCTGCCATGGACGTCGTCGTCAACCCTCCAGTTCCGGGCGACGACTCCTACGAGCTGTACATCCAAGAAAGAACAAAAGTCCTCGCCGATTTGAAATACAAAGCCAAACTTGTTGCCGATACTTTTAACGCTATTGAAGGAATTAGCTGCCAACCTGTACAGGTCAGTAAACTTCATCTCCTTCTGTTCAGCATTTTGACGGTTCTTTAGGGCGCCATGTATGCTTTCCCAAATATCAAACTTCCAGAAAAGTTCATCAAAGAAGCAGGCCAAAAGGGTCTTGTCCCAGACGCGTACTACTGTACGCTTTTGCTTGAGCAGACTGGCATTTGCGTCGTTGCGGGCTCTGGTTTCCGACAAAAGGTAAAGTAACTGGTCTAAGAAACAGACAGGAAACAGGTCTACCTGCTCTAACCCTCAGTCAGGGTCCCTGACTGTTAGTTTTCTGTCTACTGGACACTGTTTTGTGGTCGGAAACCTGACTCAGGATTGGAAGGAGCTTGAAGGGAAAGCCAAACAGCCCTTTCAAACCCTGACTCAGGTTTCTACACATGTTTTGGAGCCAAGAGAGCCCTTTTTGGCAGAAATTTAACTTTCATTTGACCCTTCCTTCTATAATTTTTAATCCCTCTTTTCAGGCCGGAAGCTGGCATTTCCGAACGACAATTCTGCCGCCAAAGGAGAAGATGGAAAAGTTCGCGAAGCTGTTCACCGAGTTCCACCTCGGAATCCTCGCCAAGTACGAGTGATTTGTCGAAACGCCGCTTCTCCCCATTTTTAAAGATTCTTCTTCTGTTCTGAAATGATTCAAAAAGCTTCATCAATCTCAAATCAGCAAATAATTATAAAGAAAGATATTTTTCAAAAAAGAAAGCAACCTGTTTGTCAACTCTATTTTGTCGATCTCTGATTTTTGCTCATGAAGGCGCTAGAACATACCAAAACCAGTAGTAAATTTAGCGAACTTGAACTAGCTCAACTTTCAATTTTGTAAAATTGTGAAATGATGATTGTCTGCATTTTTTCTGTGACTGATTCCCAAACCTGCATCTATCCAATTTAAATACAGTATATATAAAAGAGAAAGCACGAGAGTGAATAATTATTGAATGTTTATTTGATTGAATATTTTATTATCTTGACGATGTTAGGACTTGTTTTCTGAAATCAGGAATAATATCCGCGAAGATTGTAGCCACGCGCGTGAAGGCCTCCAATGAAGCCTCTTTTTGAACAGTAGTTTCGAGAGCTACAGAAAGACCTGAAACAGAATATGAGCTGACTACACACTGTTGGATAAAAGTGGGTTCCGCAATCCGTATCCAATAGAAGGGGCATCTGTTAGCTGAGTCTTGTTTTATGAAACTCTTACCTGTCAGACACCCGTCTCCCTGAGTTCGACCCTGACTCAGGGTCGCTGAGCGGGGCTCTCTCAGGATATTTTTCAAGAATATTTGATTCGAGCTTACCTTCTCAGAAATTCTGATCAGGTCTCCTGGTTGGGGTTAAAAACTCGAATAAGTACCCTGACTCAGGTTTATACAAAGAACCAAATACCTAGCTTTTGTCAGACTAGTTGTTTTCTTATTCTATCTTACCAGCTTTGAACAGCTTTCAAGCATCCTTGACAACTTTCAGCATCATTTTTCTCAATCAAAATCGCGTTCAAAAATAAAACAAAAACGCCAGTCAAACGCATTTGCTTTTCCTTAATAATCTTTCTTCAATCGCCTTTTCAATTGAGAATTGTTCAATAACACAGAGAATTTATAAATGAAGCATTTGAACATTTCCACGCGACAAGACTCCTTGTGGACTTCGTTAATTTTTCATCCTTTGAAGCGATATTAGTCTGTATAATACGCCGATAAATGAATTTATATTGGAGCTGGTGATATGCCTTGACTACAAAATTATTTAATCATAAATTAGAAATTACTCGTGAAATTTATGGATAAACGCTGAACAAACCATTTTACGTGTGAAAACCGCACCAAATATTTACTGTTTTTAACGACTCACCGACTTTTTTAAAGCTTGCCCGGAGCATTTTTTGAATCTGAAAAGAAGAACTCTTCCCTTTTCATTACTCAATTGGCCTTTGCCCCCTTTTGCTCATCAAATCAAGCTATTTGAGAGTAATTTAACGCGCGAGAAATCGAATTTGCTTGGACCTCACTTCTGAGAAGCGATAAAAAGAGACTTATCCAGAAGGTTATCCATCGTGAAAAGCAGAAAAGAAAGAAAAATCGAGGGAAATGGAGGAAGAGGAAGAAGAAATTAGACTTTTAGGTATTTAAATCTTAAAAAATACATTTTGAATTATTCTCAAGAAAAGGGTTGTTCCACAGAAAAAATAATACCTAATACTTGAAATTAATAAGCGGCCTTTTTCAAAAGGAAAACCCTCTATAGGAAGTTTTTATCAAATATAAAACAGGTCCTACCTTATTCTGAATAATAAAATCTCACTAAATGTCAATTTCAATGCTGGGATAAAAGCTTGGCTTACAAAACCGCGGACGAATTTGAATGTCCTTTAAAAGAAAAGTGCGTTCAAACAGACTTTCATTTCTATGAAAAATTCTAAGTTGGTTTCTTAACTTTTTTTCCTACGGGAATGATGACGGATTTTCGTTCAAGGGATAAATCGTATCTTTTATCGAAAATTTCAGAGGAAGGCGATTATGGGGAAGATGAAGATTTCACGAAAACCGAAGGACGGATTTTCCCGACGACTTCTTTTATGAATGCTTCAACGAAGACAAATGACCAATTTGAGGTATGTTTTTCTGAAAAATTTAGCAAAAATTTTCATTTCTAAGCAGAATTATGTTTTTGACTGTTTTTTACAATGACATGGTTGGCAATTGCCCCCTATTGTTCCTTCCTCCAGTTGCCAGGGGTACCCTCTCGGACATCCTCCTAAATATTTATTCAAATTTTCATCGACGATCGTCATAATTTCCCTTGACACTGCCCCAATCGCCCTTTTGTTCTGGTGTTCTATGACATCTTTCGCTGTTTTAAAGCTGATCCGTGGCACCTTCGTTTTTATGTAACGAAAGCCATTTTTCATTAGCAAAAAATGGCTCAAGTTGCGCCAGAGAACCCTGTAGAAGAAGATGTATTTGATAAGGGGATTGAGAGAGGTTTTTCTAGAGCTTATTTTCTTAAAAACGCATCTGCTCTTTTTCTTTTAATAAATTATTTCTCAATCCTTTGTGGCACAAGAGCCAGACCCATCCCCTTTTGATTCCACAGCGATTTCTACAGAGAACAGTCCAGATGGGAAAATAACCTCGAATAGTGGTCAAAAAATGGCTCAGATTTTGCCATCGCCAGATGGGAAAGCAGCAAGTGTGGTCAAGAGCAGTTTATACGTTAAAAATGAGGATGACGTCTTTGAGGTTTTCACGTCTTTCAATCTTTTCTTTTCTGTTTCAACCTTTGCTTTCAGGAGCCGTCGAGTGATGAAAGCCTGGAATTCAGCAAGCAATACGAGTCAACGACCTTCCATCAAGCCGCTCGTGACGGCGACTGTCACATTATTGAGCAAAAGCTCAAGCATCAATATCGAGGTGGAAAAAGAAAATATCTAAAGCGCGATATTAACTTATTGGATTCGATGAAACTCGCACCGCTGCACTACGCCGCCAAGGTTAGTCATTTCCTTACCCTTTTTCCTCCTTCAAATGTCATTTTAAGTATGGAAGGCATGATGCAGCGAGTTTACTGATCGAAAACGGCGCCGATTTGCTCCTCTCGGGCGACGATGGATGTTTGCCAATCCATTTGGCGGTCAAATACCGTCCAGAAGCATTTGCCCAGATCGAATCCAAAGTTGGCGATTTCGAAGAGCAGCTCACTCCGCTCGGCGTTCCCGACCCACGCGACAGGGCGAAATCAATCGCGATTACTTCCGACAGCTTCCTTCAAACGCTAGAGCTTCTGATTCAGCAAGGAATTCCCCTTGACCCGGAAATCGTCAGCGCTGACGATGCTTATGGCGATTCTCCGCTTCACTACGCCGTTTACCGGAGCAACGATGCTGCGGCAAAGCTTTTGCTAGAGAAAGGAGCGGACATTGACGACTGCGACAAGTCCAATGCCACGCCGCTTCATTTTATCGCAAAGAACGGCGACAACGAGTTGTTGAATCTCTTCATCGAGTTTCGCGCAAATTTGTCGCATAAAGACGACGATGGAACGACTGCGTTTCACCATGCCGTTTCTGGCGGCCACATTCAATTCCTCGAAGTGCTATTTGCGTCGATCAAGAGCGGTAGAATCACGTACGACGGCTTGACCGGCGATGAAGGGCTAACAAAGTGCATTCTTGAGCGCGACAATGAAGATTTCTCATGTTTGCATTATGCGATCCGCGCTAGAAATACCAACGAAGTCCTCACTTTTCTCCTCGATGAATTGAAGCGTCTCGGGCTGAAAGAACTCATCAACCATCAGACGAAACAAACACGAGATACAGTCCTCCACCTCGCCGCGGAAGAAGGCGGACAAACAGTCGAAAAGGGCATAGAAGTCATTCGAACGCTGCTGAAACACGGAGCCAAGCGACGAGTCCTGAACGAGTCTCACGAGACGCCAGTCTACCTCGCTGCAAAAAACAACAAGCCGAAGATCATCAAGTACCTGTCTCTTCGAGCCCGCGATCTTTTGGAAGTTCGAGACAAAGATGGATGGACACCGCTCATGATCGCCGCTGATCAAGGGCATTTCGAAGCGACAGATGTGTTGCTAGAGCTCGGGGCAGATATAACCGCCAAGGACAAAAATGATCGAAATTGCGTCTTCATCGCTGCGAAAGAATCGAACTACAAATATCTCCGTCACATTCTCAATAAAAACAAATCCATCGCTTCCACACTCGTCAACGAAAGGGACACGTATCACAACTCCCCCTGCCACGAGTGCTGCCATATCAATCAAAATGCAAAGCCCTTGGATCGGCTAAAAACGCTAGAATGCCTCACTGATTTTGGCGCAAAAGTCGACCATAAAAACGACGAAGAAAAAACCGCACTGCATATAGCCGCAGAAAACGGACAAATTACCCTCATACGTTTCCTTACTAACTTTGACAACAAGCTTCTCCAGGATTGGGATGAAGAGGGAAATACTGCACTCCACCTAGCAGCGTACAATAAACGAGGGAAGACAGTAGCGGAGCTTTTGAACAAAGGAATTCAAGTCGATGAAGTCAATTCAAAAGGATGGACAGCTCTTGATGCCGCGGCAGCTGTTGGTCATCTCCAAAGCGCGAAGATTCTTCTCGATCACGACGCTCCCGTCGATTCTACCGACAAATCGAACGTCACTCCACTTCATTTGGCATCGATGAACGGCCACTTAGAAGTCGCCAAATACCTGCTTGAGCAAGGAGCAGATGTGAGAATCGTCGATACGGACGGGCGAAATGCGCTGGACTATGCAATTGATTACTATCACGAAGATATCGTCACGATGTTTTTGGAAAGCGACGAGTGGAAAGCTTGTCTTTCAAATGCCACGGATATGAGGAGAGAGAATCCGATGAGGCCATATGTGACGCCCATGAGGAAGCTGATTCTGCACATGCCCGACCAAGGTAGCCAAATCTGTCGATCTTGATTCTTCATCTTTTTTTTCAGCAAAATACATCTTCAATCGCTGCATGGAAGTCACTAATCACCCTCCGAAATCGAAAGAAGGAGCGATTTGGAAGCCTTTCCTCAGCGCTACGAGGAAGGAACTTGAATCAAAGAATCTTCAAGTTCGAATGAACTTTTCCTTCATCGACGACGAATTCGTTATCACAAAGTACGAGTGGGACAAGAACAAGATGAGGGACCAAAGTTCCGATTCAAAATCGTACGTTTCCATGGGCGATGCTGACCCAGAGCCTTACGATGAGGATAATACCGTTTTGAATGAAAACCACCCGCTTATCTACGTCATTGAATCGCGTGCAGAAGAACTGTTGACGCATCCGCTCGTTATCGCACTGTACAACCTGAAGTGGAACAAGCGCGGCTTCTGGATTTACTATTTGAACTTGCTCGTTTACATCTTTTTTATGATCTGCCTGAATATCTACGCGTACGAGTCCCCTCCACCATATTCGGTGGATTTCTCATTCCAATTCGCCCCTTGCGTTGGAAATCGCCTGGAAGAGCCGATCGGTGTGCCGATTCTCGAAGGAACAGCGCAGGACATTTGGGGCGATTGCTACATTTTCCCCCCAATTCGCGACAATTTAGGGATCATCTGCTACATTCTCATTTCCTTCCGTTTGCTGCTCGAAGTGCTGGAAATTTACACATCTGGGCTTCTTTCTTACATCCAAGAAGTGGCTAATATCCTCGAGATCGCGCTCTACGTCCTTTCCATTCTGTTCCTGAACAGTGTCGATTCTTGCTACGACTTAAATGAGCTGAACCCGGCGCATTGCTGGCAATGGGATGTTGGAGCCACGGCGATTTTGCTCTCTTGGATGGTTCTCATTCTTTTTATTCGAAAAACTCCGGTCTTTGGTATCTACATCCTGATGTTCGTATCCGTCATGAAGACATTCTTCCAGTTCTTGTTCATTTTCGCACTCTTCATTTTCGGCTTTGCCCTGACATTCTTTATGCTCCTTCAGGTAACGGAAAAATAATTCTTCTTGAAATTAATCGAATTTGCTAGAATCAAGTTCCTTTCGATTCCCTCCCAAAATCCGTCATGAAAACCGTGGTAATGATGATTGGCGAATTCGAGTACGAAGGAATCTTCGAAAACTTTCCAGAAGACTACGACCCGACTTGCGAAGATGATCCCGATTGTGCGGAATGGAACTCGATCAATTTTACATCCAAAGTCAGCTACGTCATTTTTTGCAGCTTCATTATTGTCGTCACGATTGTCATTTCCAACATCCTGGTCGGTTTGGCTGTTGATGATATCAAAGGAGTTCAAGAAAGGTAACTTTTCGATCTCTTCTTTTTCCTTTCATCGATCATTCTAGCGCGATTCTACAGCGCCAAGCGATGAAAATCCGACTGGCTCTTTTTGCTGAATACAAACTCCCGCATAGCTACCGATACTCGTTATTTGACAACAATCGAAAACATGTGGTGAAAATCGGAAGTGAAAATTCGTTCTTCTTCAGCTGGTATTCTCGCTTTATGAAGTGGATCGATAGGGATTCTAGAGTAACAAGACACAAGGTGAGTCGCTCTTCTTTATCTCTATCGACCCTCATTTTCTTAGCTGAAAACTCTTTTGTCCGAAAAAGAAGACGACCTCGATGAAGTGTGGGAAGAAATGCACAAGCTTGGCGATCAAGTCAAAGAAATCCAAACTGAGATCGGCGATGTATCCGAAAACGTTCAAAAAATGTCTCGAATGTTGGCGAAGCTCCTCGAGCAACATAATTTATCGGAAGATTGATAAAACTTCTTTTACACATGCTGCCTTATTTTTATCTAAATATACTTCCTTCGATGTAAAGAATATGATATGAACAGAAAAATAGGTTTGTTTTATTCATTTTTTGTCAAATTTCTCAGGCCAGACTTCCAGCTCTCGTAGGTCAGACTTTTAATAGTTCTGTATTCGCCAGAGACAGAAGTAGGTACCCCTCGTGAAGGGAGGAAACAATCAGGGTTGGAGATATGCGAGCAGGGTTTCAGACAGGCGAAACATGTGCTTTCCTATTTTGAGTTTTTTTCATTTTTATAAAGTCTTGCTTGAAGAAATCATAAAACAGTCCCTCCAGTAACAATAAATAGTTTTAAATCTTGACCAATGTGATGATAATAAATGACCATTACTTCATATATTCTTAATTGCACTTCATAATAAAACTCTTCCTTTGGGTTGGTCCCACATTGCTGCAAAAAAGCAACCGACGATGAAAAGTTATTGCCATAATGAGCCAGACAAGTCGGCCTCGTCATGCATCGGACCGTCATTTGATAAATTTCTTTTGGCAAGAACCTGTTGAATTTATTTTTTCCTCTTGACTTTTCTCGCACTTCGAGTCCACAATACTCTCCGACTTAACTTTGGTTATTTTCTTCGTTTGATAAGGTTGCTTTACATTTGCAGGTTGTCCATCTCCCTTTTTCAGCGCACTCTTCTATTGTTCTATTTGATGATTCTGCACTAGCACTGCAGATAAAACACTTTGGGTATTTGGTGTCTGTTTCATCGAAATATGGAGCTCGGGATGTTCTCCTTGTTGTCTTCACACGGGTTGATTGTGTGGTTCTTCGAGTCGTTGGTTTTGTTGTTTTTGGTTTTGGCAGGGTTTTCAGGTTTTCTAGCTTTATGACATCTTTAGGAGGCTCAAAAGTATTTTCCTTGTAATGTCTTTTTGAAAGCTTTCTATTAGCCCGTTTCTAGAGTAAATTGAGGCGCAGAAATCGTCGTTGCCGATTGAGAGGATGTCTCGACCTTTCCATTCGTATAATCATAGCCATCGAAGTTGTACTCGCCATAGCTATAATCGTAGTTTGCTGACTTTGCTCTAGAAGTGCTCTTCGTTTTCGCCGTAGGTGCACTGGCCAGTGCTTGGATATTTTCGCCATATTGGTAGGCGTATTCGTAGTTCGTCTCTTTCGCACCCCATAGTTCTGAAATCATTCAACTTCAATCAATAACAGAGAACTTACGAGATTCAGTATTCTCCCCTTCAGTCGGAAAATCAGTGTAGTTGTTCTGATAGAGCCAGTTTAAATAAGCTTCGTACATGGTTTCATTAATGTATTCATAATTATAGTCGAATTCGTAACTTGAACTCTCTGAGCTTGAATCGTAACTCTCCGCACTGACAAATCCTAAAATAAAAAGCGCAAGTTTCATTTTTGAAGATGATTTCTGAAGAAAAAATCCTGGAGCGCTGAGATTTTATATTCAACCAACAAGAGCTGACCTTTCAAGGGTTGTTCTTACATTAAAAGGAGGCCTAGCAGGTTTTCAATGGCTTATTGAGGGAGAAAACAGTAGTCTTCTTTTTCATGCAAATAAGTCCAATATCGCGATATTTGATCGTAAAACACTTTTTTTTGCATCTGCTTAGCTCCAATTTTCCCACGCCGAACCGAACATATTCGGGGAGATACATTTTTAAACCAAAAAAAAGGATGGAAGCGAGGAATAAATTCAAGCAGATTTCTTTACAATACCCGAAAATTGTCCAGAAAAGCTATGGGAAAGAGAAAAGGTTTATATGTCCTCCTCCGTTGATTGAGGTTTTGGGGAATGGTTGGACTTCTACCCCGAAGAATTGTACTCTCTTTACGAATGTCGACGACGGTAATCAGGTAAGGGCCTTACTTAGGCGATAAGAGGAACAATACATAATATGAGGAATATCTGACGAAGAAAAATCAATATTTTTGCCAAAATTAGGGCAAATTCGTCAATTTTCGGCGAAATGTCAAATTTTCAAATGCCGTATTTTGGGGGCGAAGGAGTCGAGATAGCCTCCAAAGCTTTTTTTGACCCGTAGAATCCATTTCCGGGGTTAGATTCAGCAGAATCTGTAGATTACAAAAATATAAAAATCATAATATGCATAATGCAGACTAGAATAAAGACTTCTAGAAAAAATTTTCAACATTACTACCGCCGGTATGATTGATAATTTAAGAGCCATAATACAGGTTTTCTACTGTCTATATTTGTATTTATTTCACACGGCTGTTTCCCGAGTACGTAACAAAATAAGTTCTAATGTAATAAAAGTACCAGACAATCACAACGAGAGTGAGCTAGATAACATTCCCTTAGATTCGATCTCACGCAGGAACTCAAATAGAGCCTGACGCAGTCACCAAAACCTCCCTCGCAAAAAACATTCATGAACGGCTCCGAATATATTTGAAAAAAAAATTTCATCTTCCATCTACAGAAATTTGAACACGTACTTCGATGTTAGCTAAGATGACACGTTACGCGTTGCTAGAATCGGAAGACATTTTGATCAAACGCGAGCGCGTGTTTATTTCTGAGTCACTTTTTCTGATTCCGGACGCGGCGAGTGCAAAAGATGTTCAATTTACGGCGGCCTTGAATGATGCCGAATTCAGATGCGGGTTTTCGAGGGTGATTTCCAAGCCCTCAAAGGTAAATTTTTTGGACTAAACCAATTTATGGAAGTGAATTTTTGGATTACCAATAAGATGGCTGTATTTTGCCTACCGGCCAATCAAAACCCTGATCCATAAAATCATTTCCATAAATTGTTTTTACCCTATTTTTGGAGTAGAACAAATTTTTGGAGCAGATTTTTATGAAAAGGGTTTTGATTGGCCGGTAGGCAAAATACATCAATCTTATTGGTTATCCAAAAATTCACTTCTAAAAATTGGTTTAGTCCTATTTTTGAATATTTGTTTTCCTTTTTAAGTATATTTCTTATAGAAGCGGCAAACAGTACGATACAATGAGCTCAGGAAGCGGTTTCGTTAGTTAGACTTTTGCGATTTTTGTGCGGTTCCACTAATCCCTCCTGTTGAGTAAACTTCGAGTCAACATGATTATAACCTCCCAGTACCAGTTAGAAGAACTCTTAAAAGCCCTAACCGCATTGAAAGCTTCGAGTCCGGCGGTTGCGTCGCCCTATTCAACAGGGTCAGATCCCAAACTCTTGGATACATTTCCGCCTCGACTGATGGATTTGAAAACGGTTTTAATTCATGAAAAAAATCAATGAGATTTTCAAGCCCATAATCTTATTAGTTGAAGCTGAATAATCTTGATCAAATTCACCAATTTTGGTGAGCTGGCGGGTTAACACAGAGTTTGAGTTGTGGCCAAAAGTGCGTGTTTCGGAAAAGCTCAAAATTCAGCTTACATCAGAATCCAGAGTTGCTAATTTGGTGAGCTGAGTGAGCTGAGCTAGCTGAGTGAGCTGAGCAGTCGCTCAGCTCAGCTCAGTTCACTGATTTTCGAAAATAAATTTATCTGCTCAGCTCAGCTCAGACAATAATCACTCAGCTCAGCTCAGTTTAGCTCAGCTCAGCTCAATTATTCTCGAACATGATCTGTTCTGCTCAGCTCAGCTCAATGATTCTAACACAATTTCACTACTAAAAAACAGTAAAAAACAGCTCAACCCAGCTCACTTAGCTCAGCTCAGCTCAAATTACGGTCTGCTCAGCTCAGCTCAGCTCAACCACCTTAAAAAAAGGTCTGCTCAGCTCAATGACCTCTGAAAATGGCCAGCTCAGCTCAGCTCAGCTCAGTGAGCTCCGAAATAGCTCAGCTCAGCTCAACGAAAATAAAGCCAAATTCGCAACTCTGTCAGAATCTCTCAATAGGACTTTAAACCGGTCAAAGTCGTTTCAACGGGAAAATGGAGTGTTTTGCACATGTACTCTCTTGACAGTGACTTTGAAACTGCCCGCTCAGGTTTTATCAACTACGGACAGGCAAAGGGTTGAAATTAAGGGCGTTATCGTCAAACCAGGTTTGCCACGGTCAAAATAGAAAATTTCTATTACGTCTGACGCTATTTAATGCTGTAGCAAATCCAGATTTTCAGGAGCGCCTTATGGTTTAATTAAATAAATAAGAATTTAACCCGTGAGAACCAAGGTGTTCAATAAAAGAAAACAACCCTTTCCCAGGTCGTTCAGCTCGTCAGCGAGAGCTCAGGACTCAGCTTGCCACCAACGATCATCCACAAATGCGAACTGACCTCGGCGAAAATTGATTGCCAAGAACCTGTAAGGAGAGTTTTGAAAAAAGATTTGACTGAAGTGGGATTCGAACCCACGCCCCCGAAGAGATTGTAGCCTTAATCCAACGCCTTAGACCGCTCGGCCATCCAGTCTTGCCCCGAGGCGCTAGATTTACGCTCAGCCCTCGGGCAATTTGCAAAACTCAAAAGCCAACTTCACCGCGTGGCTCTAGAATTTATTCGCCCATCAATGTCAGTCCAAATCTCCACGACCCGATATTCCAACCGATTAATTTTAGCAGCATCGGTGCATCAAGTCGATATTTTCTCGAAAACGATCATGGCAAAGTCGCGATTTACGAGGCCAAAGTTGGGGAAAATGAAACCGTCTCTCTGCCCGACGGCTGTCACTGGACAATTTTAAGAAATCGGTTTCAGAAATAATTTTTGGGAAAAAGTCAGTTTTGATGAAACGGTAAAAAGTGCGGCGAAGAAAAATTTTATCTGGACGGGAAGCGAAGAAGGCGTCATCTTTCCATCTTGCGAGGAAATTATCATTCTAGGAAGGATTTCTACCGTTTAATTTTATAAAAAATATAATATAATATAATATTATGAAACCTCAAAAAGTCGATGAAGAAGAGCCCACAATCGAGCTAGTCGGACAAAACTTCACCGACGAGTTCGAAATCTGGTTCGATTCCGTCCCTCTTCCAACAACTTTCGTGTCTACCAGACGTCTTCGGCAGGGTTCTAAATCGACTAATCGAGTTTCGACTAAAGTCGAAGTTGAGTCAAGTCTTGGTCGAAAAGACTAGCTCGAACAATGATGAGGAGAAAGTCGAAAAATCAAGTCGTAAAAGTCGAAAAGAATCACTTTTTTTTGCAATCGACTTTTCGACATAATTTCGACTTTTCGACAAATTTTCGACTTTTCGACTAAATTTCGACTTTTCGACTAATTTTTGACTTTTTCGAGTAATTAAGGGTGTCCCCAACGATCGGATTCGACTAATCTTAGTCTGATGACCAAATTTTTTTTTGAGTTAATTAAAGGAAGCTGATTCTAGAGCTTTTTCAGATCTGAAATATCTCCTCTGATTCTCGAGATATTACTGTTTCTATGACAGCGCTAATGCATTACGGCTCGATAGAAATGCACTGTAAAAAGTGTCATTTTCAAACTTTCGATTTTATATATCGACCTGTATATTTTCTGAGAGCTTGAAAAATTCTCTATTCAATGATACCTATATCAATACGATAGCACAAATTTTTCACTTTCAAACAGTGCGCCAAAAGTCGCAAACACCTGCACTTTGGCGCCGGAAAAAGGGATTAAGGGTCTTATCAACGCAAAATCTGAGCGTACCGTGAGATTGAAAATAGATCAAACTATAATCCCTGTAAAAATGAGAAAAATTGAATTTCAGGAACAGCGCTAGAATCGAGCTCAAACTTCAGCAAAATCGTTACTTCAAAGAATGCATCGTATCTGATGCATACAGATAAATTTTAAAAATCCGTCAAATTTATGGCATAGAGGAGCGTTCAAAGAATCAGGATCTGGTCAAATTTTAAAAATTGAATTTGTAGAACTCGAGAAAAACGATCTCAAAGATTAGTCAGAATAGAAAAATCAGAACTCTTTGAAGAAGCGGTAGGGGATTAAAAGATCACAATTTCAAAATTCTGCCAAATTTATGGCATAGAAAAGGGTCTAAATATTAATGAGTATATTTCTTTTAGCCGAAAAGCCTTCAGGAAGTCCTATAAAAAATAGCTCAAAGTATAGCCTGTTTTAAAAAAATCGTTGGGGACACCCTTAATATATTTTTCCAGTTTTTCGACTTTTCGACTAATAAGTCTATTAAGTCGACTCGACTCGACTCGACTTCTGATTTTCAGCTTAGATTTAGAACCCTGGTCTCCGCGCCCCCATTCCAAATTTAAACGCCATCAAGCCAAATTGGAAGATGCCCCCTTTGGAGGTCGTTTCCGTGCATGTGAATCTCGTGTTGAAGAAAAATGCACTGTGTGTTGCGACTGGCATGCTATTCAAGTACTCGCCTGTTGAGCTGGCTGAAGAATGTGCCTTTTCTTATGAAACTTCTGCGGACGATGTTCCAATTGTTCAAATAAATTGACAAACTGACACTCTTTTTGAGCAGCGTTTCCTCGAACGAAGATGTAAAGTGCGTAATGACTACTTTTTTCGACAATCCTTTTACGCGAATTTTAACCCGTTTCGCCGTCTTTTTTTTCTGACTGGCTTCTTGTAACGCTCCTTTTTACTCAGAATCCGGTTCAAATTCAAAAACGCATCTCGAAAAAAAATGGCATGGGCATATTTACGATAGTGACAGAAAACCGCATTTTACAAGATTTACGAAAGAAAATTGCCCCGTTCTTCGCAAAAATGCTGCTCTGGTTCATTTCGCCATTTTAATTGGGGATAAGCGCTAGAAGGACAACGCATCGAACCGTCGATTTCTGACGCAAGCGTTTTATTTTGAACAAAGAGGATTTTAAGTTCCACTAAGAGTTTCTTGCATATTAAGCACCTTGTTTTTGGTTGAATAGTTGGCTGTTCTGTGTCAGGTCCTGAGAGAGCTTTGAATGAAAAGCCGCGTAGCGGCTTTTTTTTAACGAAGCCGCAGAGCGGCTCCGCCATAATATCTATCTACTTCTTTTTTCTATCCTTTGTTTTCAGGCCTTGACTCAGGTTTAACACACAGATTTTCGAGCCAAATCGCAAAAATTGACTCCTGGGTGTGCCCAAATCGCGTGGGCGCCATCAGGACTGGATGGCCGAGCGGTCTAAGGCGTTGGATTAAGGCTCCAATCTCTTCGGGGGCGTGGGTTCGAATCCCACTTCAGTCAAACCTTTTTCCGTTTCTAAAAAGCTACATCGTGTTTTTCTCCGTTGCTATACGCGTAATTACATCAAGCCCTCGTCAAAACATCATTTGCTCTAAAGATTCCTTCCGTCCAAGATATCAAAGTTTCATCCCCAAAATCACCAGCTTCGTCCACTTTCTCCGAACACGCAGTTTGTTTTTGTAAGAACTTGGATCTTACGTCAACCGACCGAAAATTCCAACAGCTTCAAGTTGACAATTTGACATTCAAAAAATCCGGGTGCTTTTTTAGAAAAAAAATCTATTTTTTAGAATATGCAAAAATTTCGCGAATATTTTTAAGAAAAAAATATCTCGGTCAAAATCTGTGTCAGACTCTTAATAAGCTGAAATGTAAAGCCGCGTAGCGGTTTTCTGAAAAAAGCCGCTGAGCGGCTTCTCAAATTATCAGTTTTACTTTTCTCAAAATTTTGGCCAAGCCGCTTTGCGGCTTCGTTTATAAAAAAGCCGCTACGCGGCTTTTCATTTCAGTTCATTCAAAACCTGACTCAGGTTTTTCAAACAGGTTTTCGAGCCCATGATTATTCCAAAATCATTTGGAGCTCAAAAAGAAGGGCAAAAGGAAGTTCATAAAAGATCCAAATTCACAGAGCATTACCTCTTGGGCTCAACTAACCAAACACTCGAAAAACTGGTATCTCCTAAAAGCTGCTCGATTGACTTGATAAAACGACAAGCCGTGTCTATTCGGCTTCCGATTTGAGTACACACACCCGACTTTTTATTCTGAATTTTTTCTGCGAAAAAAAAAACGAAAAATGACGGAAAAATTTCAGAGCAATAAAAGAGAAAGAGCTCTAAAATGATATTTCCAGTTATAAAAAATTCTCAGTTAAAAAATACAGAGAAAAAAAAAACGTTGATTGTTGCAAATCAAAACTTAGGGTTTCATTTTTGGTTTGTGAACAAAATGCCAGCTTTGGGTACATAGGAAACGTTGCAAAACTTTCTTTCGGGGAAATATTCAGTTTCTCAGATTTAAGATTTTGAAGCTCCAAAAAGTTATAAAAGAAATCAAAGAAGAACGACAATCATTGTCCTCGGCACAGTTGGCACCCTCGTGACTCTATATTTTTCCCTTTTTTTCCTGTTCACGAAATCGAAAGTGTTCAACAACTAATCAACTCAAAGCAAGAATCTCACGTGTCAACATCAAAATTTTCCCGAAATCTTCTGTAATAAAGAATAACAAGAAATTAACCTTGTAAATTGATGATTAAATATTATCAAAAAATATCTCCATTCTTCGAAAAATCATCAGCTTTGATGAAAAGTCTAGTTTTCTTTTGAGAAAAAGGTTTGAAGAAGAGTGGTTATTTTGAGCTCAGGGAGCGTTAGAAATTGTCATCAATCGTTAGACTGTTCCGTTAGTGATCTCAAAATTAACCTCCATAATGCAGGGGGTTAACTGCGGGTGAAATTCAAGGGACACGGGGATAACCAAAGAAGTCTGTTCAGAATTAATGTAACCTGTTTCTTATCATCATTCTGTGGTGAAAACCTGAGTCAGGGTTTGGATTTTTCTTCAAAAATTCTCAGACCCTGACTCAGGTTTTCTTTACAGGTTACCGAATGGTTAGCTTTATGAGTGGGGTTTATGGTCGTCTCAACAAATCAAACGCCAGTATTTTTTCTTCAGCCAATCAAAACCAAGTAAACCCACCCCCACCATTGGTGTGACATTGGTGGACAGTTGAACTGTCCTCCTCTTTTTCCCCTTACTTTGATATAATTTTTATTTGAACATTTACATTTTCATCTGCGCTTCAAACCATTTTTATCTGCCTCAAAATGCCGATAAAGAATGAATTACGAACACCGCCGAAATAAATCTTTGATTGACCAAAACCATTCAAACGTGAACATGACGCGATAACAGAGTAGACTCGTGTGGTCGGCTAAGCTTATCACAAAGCCCGAGTCTGGAAATGTTTGAAAAAATCGGAAAACCGCGCAACCGCTGACCGACAAATGTGATTTCGAAGCATTTTTTTTTCTTTTCGATTTGAATTATTTGCACAGAAAAATGGAGATATGAAAAAGAACACAAACTTCGTCCACGTTCTCAATTCAATCTTCTTTTAAAAAATATATCATCCAGACAAGAACACCTTTAAACATTCGGGCGCCCTGGTTTTGTCCACGAATGACGCCGAATATCGCTCAATATTGCCAATAGATTTACTTTTGGTTTTCGGAAGATGGTTTTTTCCCAACAGTCGTCGGCATTACTCGACATTTAAGGACATTTGGCCACATTCAGCGACATTCGTGGACATTCAGCGACATTCGACCTAAAATTAATACAAAAAGTGCAAAGTAAAGTCCCCCTCTTCTTCAATCCATCAAGCTGAATTTTGGAGTTGTCTAATATTTCTAGAGCAGCGGAGCGCTTCGAAAATGAGCACATTGGTTGTTGTTGCAGTTGCAAAAAACTGCTTCGGAAAATTTTGCAACCTTGCCACTTGAGAAAATTTGAATGACACAAGTTTCGCGCCGCTCAGCTGATGGCCAGATTGATTTTGGAGAGGATGGAGGAACGCAAAGGTCCGTTGAACGTGATGGATCAGAAAGCCGTATGTTTATTGATACCATCCAAAACGGGCAAGAAATCTGTTTTTGATCAGCAGATATTAAGAAGCTTTCTGACGATAGGTAAACTTCCAAACACCCTTAATCTGCAATTACGTCTTGAATTCGAAGAAAAAAGTTATCCGATTGATTTCCATTCCATGAATAATTTTCTCCAAAAATAAGAATTGAACAATTAGTTTTGAAATTCTTCCTGAAGAAGAATCACTGTAAATCCGACCAACTCATTTTCGCCTGTCATAAAGCCCATTCCCCTCTTTTATAACAGTCTTAAATCGTGCCGGCGGCTTGTAAAGACTTTCTTTAACCGAAGTTAAACTTGACTTTGACGCAGATTAGTCGTTCTCTCTTTCTTTTAAAAGCAGCCGTATATTCTACACTTTTCATTCAAAAAATATGAATAAAACAATATTTCTTCCCAACACTACCGGTACAGTAAGTTCTTACTGTGCCAACTGCTCAGCAATTAGCTCAAAGAAAGAGAAACAAAATGCAAGACTTGTCACGTGGATTCTCAATTACCAGGTACAAAATACTCTTTTTTGAGTCGAATTTTCGACGAATGAAATTTGTCCATTCGGCCTCTTCGCCAATCAAATTTCAGAAAACGTATCTTGACGTGGATTTAATAGGTTTACTAAAGCGCAGAAGCGTTCATATAAAAATTTCGCGGTTACGAACTTTTTCGCGTTATCTTTCAAAAAGCGCTTTGATCGTGTTATTTTGTCTCTTTCCGGAGTAGAACTTGACAGTAGCTTTTACCTCTTTTACGTGGTCTGGAAATTGAACATTTTTTCAGCGAAAGGAAAACATCCGCGAGTTTCGTTTGATGAATTTGAAAGCACGTTGGAAAATGTTCGACTCGATGAGCCAGAAAATGCCAGTTTCTGACGATCGATTGTACAAAGAGACGAAAATTGAGGATCAGCTGATTTCGCAAACGACCGGCTGGTCGATCGAGGAAATCAAAGAGATAAAAAAATATGGGAAAAATGAATCGAGGGAGGAAAAATTGTTGAGCTCGAGAAGAAAAAGCGGATTGATCATTACTGTTATCTTACTGTGCATTCTAGCGCCTCTCGCCTGGCTTCTAGGGGACTACTTGTCAGAATTACATGGATAATCCGCCTTCTCTAGAAGTTCAATAATTAAGGGCAGGTCTAATAAACATGTCGATTTTAGTGAAAATTTCGAGAACAGCGAATTTTCACCCAAAAACTTGAGCCCTCACATCTTGATCTTGAAATTTTCTGTCGGTGATAATTATCCAATCGAAGTTGAGCCAGTTTTCATAAGTAGAAATACAGGTCCTCCTTGAGATACCACTACACTGTGTACTCGAGGTTCACTACAGGCATTTCAACAGCCTCGAACAGGGCTCGAAAACCTGTGTAGAAAAACCTGAGTCATGTTATGAGGAGCCGAAATGGAAACCAAACAATCAATCCAAACTTTGCGGCTTCGTCGTAAAAAAAGCCGCTACGCGGCTTTTCATTTCAGCTTTTCAAAATCTGACTCAGGTTTTCAACACCGGTTGCCGAGCTCAGTCTATGATACTTTTCCGCTGAATCCGAAAAATCGTGATTCAAAATCACAATCTTGAGTGCTCCTTTTCGACTCCTTTAGAAACCACCATCGCCAACTCACCAGTCCTCAAGAACGCCGCATTCTCAAATCGTGATACTCACGTTTCTTCGGTTTTTATTTGCGGCCCGGATCACTTACTAACTCACACAAACCAACTCCAGCTTCCAACTTTATCAATCTTTTTTCGCTTGATTTTCGAGTGCGCTTGAGATAAACCATTTAACACGAAGAAATCGTAACTTTTTCACGTTTCTCTTCAAACTCGAAATTAAAGCGAGTTGATTCGGATCAAAAGTAAACTTTTTCGCGTGATTTCAAAGCCATCGATTTTTGGCTCAAAAACCTGTGTGAAAAACCTGACTCAGGTTTTGAAAGGCTAAAATTAAAAGCCGCTGTGCGGCTTTATATTTAAAAAAAGCCGATACGCGGCTTTTAATTAAAACTCTTCAAAACGTGACTCAGGGTTTTTACACAGGTTTGCGAGACCAAATCTTACCCTAAAAAGCTCTAAACGAAACCGACCATTTCCGAATTTTAATGAGATTGGATACTGTAAGTCAGCCTGACAAGGATTTGAGGTTTTTAAGAGTCCTGCTAGAAAAAACTCGCTAGTATTTATGCACCGGAAGCATTTTTGTCCGGATAAAAACGTGATGTTTCTAGCTCAACAAAATCTATGCTAATTTTTAAAGAAAAAAACATTCAAGGCAAGAATCAAAGCCAAAAAGTTCATCGATTTCAAATGGCAAAGATGACAAAAGTCGAGTTTTTAAAGCTCTCTCAAGTCACTCAAGTGACGGTTTCTTCCGTTAGACGTCTGTTAATCGTCGTATTATTGATTTTACGGTAGTAAGTTTATTTATTTTTGAAGAAAAGGAAGATAAAGAGAAGAAAAATGAGGGAAAACGAAGATGTCTGAGCGGAGCCAGTTGCTTTCAGAGTAACTCTTGTCGTTGTTCGTTTCGCCGTCGTGGTTGTTGTTGGCGCGGTAGAGGTTGTGGTGGTCGTAGTAGTTGTGGTAGCAGTGGTTGTGGAAAAATAACTTGAGTAGTAATTTCTTGCGTAAATACCGCAAATGTTCTGAAAGAGTTTTATTTTAATTTGTTTGGTCGTGTTGATAGTTACTAACGACATCGCATCCTTTGGAGTAGCAGGCGAACTTTTCTTTGATCAGATCCTTGTTGCTGTTGTCCAACCAAGAGCAGGAAAATGCATCTACGAAAAATACAATTTCGAAATTTAAAATAATCATCCAAATACTTGAATCTTCCACCCAGGTCATCCACTCCTGAGCCTCTTCGCAGCCCATATCCTTAATTTGCTCGAACATTTGTGTTATTGCCGCGTTCATTTTCTCTCCGTGAATAAAAGTGAATGAGTCGACTGAAAGTCGGAAGCTCCAGCTTTTTGTTACTAATAAAAAGGTCAAAGTGACAGTGTCTTGTCTGGTGACCTTCTCCTCAGTTGGATTTTTTGAGCCAAAAAGTAGTTTTTATTGCGTCCGGTGAGTTATCTTTGATTGACAGCTGCATTCTGTGTTGACCGAGGAATTTGAAAAAAGGTTTGACTGAAGTGGGATTCGAACCCACGCCCCCGAAGAGATTGGAGCCTTAATCCAACGCCTTAGACCGCTCGGCCATCCAGTCCTGATGGCGCCCACGCAATTTGGGCACACCGAAGTACCAAAAAAGGGGATGCCCTTTTTCATCCTCGTTTTTAACAGAGCATTCTAAAGCACAGGAAATCAGTCATCTCACTTAGGCCTTACCCGGAAAGGAAAGAGTAAAACTGACGTCCAAATGAAAATCTGCAACATGGCTTCGCGGTTGCAAGACATGAAGTTCAAACCAAGCCATCTGGGTAAACTCACGAAGCTACTACGAAGACGCACATTTTTACTCAAGCAGTTTTGCTTGAGCTGTTTACGTTTTTTGACGTAATTATAGATTTTAAAATGCTCCTTTTAGCAGATTCTCAGTCGATTTTAAGAAGAACCCGAACTCGTGACAACTCATGATTTATGACTCAATAATTCGGCATTCAGGCTCGGCAAACTGTATTCAAAACCTGAGTAAGGGTCTTTTCATTTAAGATTACTCAGACCCTAACTCAGGTTTTCAACACAGTTTTCCGAGCCTGTATGCTTAATTATTGACTCATAAATCATGAGTTGTCATGAGCTCTGGTTTTTCTGAAAACCTGAGTCAGGGTCTGAGAAATCTTTAATGAAAAAGCAAAGCCACAAGGAAAAATTGTTTTTTTGCAGCTTTGTTCGAAAAAAAAAAGCCGCAACGCGGCTTTTACTCAAAGATCTTTCAGACCCTGACTCAGGTTCTCTTCGCTTTGTGACAAAGCTCAGTTTAAGGGGGAGGTCGACGAGAATCGGGATTTCCGTGACCAAAAATGCGGAGAAACCCGATTAGATAGGAAAATTCTGACTTTTCAGATTTAAAGAAAAGGGTTTGAAAAATTAACCGGCAAAAAGCAGAAAAAAATTTTTTTTGATAAATTTTTCAAAAATAAGGGTTGAAGTGGGGGTGTCTCGTGACCAAAAAATCTCGAAAACCGAGTTTTTTTTTCTTTATCAAATATAATTAATAAATAATTTAGACCCTTAAAAATTAACCGGCGATCAAAAAATTAAGGGTTACTATCATAAAAAAATTTTTCTTATTGATTAAAAATATTCGATTTTCGTCAAAATCGTCATTTTTACCCATTTTTCATAGAGAATTTTACCAAAGTCGTGGAGACTTGGATTCTTTTATTGATAATGATTAAGATACCATTAAAAAACAATATCTTGCAAAAAAAATTTGGATGAAAATTGTTTTTGAGCGAAAAAACTAACTTTTAACTTTCGAAAAATCTCGGATTTCGGACAGAAAATCGAAAATTTTCTTAAAAAAAGTTAACAAATGCGCAAAAAGCTGGGGACCAAAAATGTTCCTTTTTTATTAATGTATTCAAAAATATAATCGAAATTTTGAAAGAACGAAAAAATTTTTCTCGTCGACCCCCTCCTTAAGGACCCTGACACAATTTTTTCTTTGAAAACTCAAAAATCAAGAAATCGTGACAACTCATGATTCCGGAAATCAGCTTGAGAAAATTTTTCCCGACGCTGATAATGAAAAATTCCTCATTTTTCTTCGCGCTAGAATCGCAAAACTATGCACAGTAAATGTCTTCTGATAGGAGTTTTAGACTGACGTGTTCGTGGAATTCTACATCTCAAGAATCCTGAGAAGGATTTTTTGCAGATTAGCTTAATGAAACTTTTTTTTTCCAACTTCGCGATTTTTTGCTAAGTTTCTAATCGTTGATCTTCTGAGGATTTGTCAAGACGATTCGAAAATGCGGATCTTCGAAAAAGCCGCAAAATGTGTTCAATTTCTGTGTAGAGCTTGTTTTCGCTGGATTATCCGCTTTCGACCTTGCATAACTGCTCTTTTCTATACTAGCCATTTTGAATTTTCGACTCGAAATTGAGCAAAAATCGAAGCACACGAACGTGAGCTCCTCAAAATTGAAAGATTACCAAAAAAAGAGCTCGAGTTCTGGATTTGAAATTGCTGCTCACAGGACACTTACAAACCTAAATACACGCATAATAAATAGGATAATGGATGGTTGCGATAATGGATAAAAGCGAAAAACGGTTTTAGAAATCGCTTTTTTCCACCAAACTTTCGTTTAAAATTTTTGCAATTTCGAGTCAAAATCAAGTATCATCAGTCGACAATATTTATGATTACAGACACGTGGATGATTTTTATTTTGAGGCGATTTGATTTATTTTGCTTTTCGTAAAGAGGTTATCTCATATTTTTTTTACTTGAGTTGAGCCCGTGTCTTTTACGACGCGCTTGGAGAGAATTTCACCGGCGGATTTGGCCGGATAAAGAGGTTTTCTAACGTGAGATTTTCAAGTTCAACGGAATATCTTTCGTTTGGTTATTCGGCCATGTTCAAGTTAGCTCACTCCTCTTCACATCGTCCTTTTTCTTGCCGCGCAACTTTTCCGCGAACGATGTTCTAGGGCTGTTTATAGTCACTTAGCACGTCGCGCATATTAGAGCTGCATCAAGTCTGAGCGCTTATATTTTAAAAGGGTCTTTTTAAGGTCTTTCGGACTCATTTTTTTAATAGGTTTTGGTAAACAACTTCAATTGGAAAGACCTAAGGAAGCAAAGAGTCAAAACAAAATCCACCTAGAGCGGAAAAAATTCGTGTTTAGAAAGGAATTTCCTACTGTTTTCGAAGCAAGGCCGCAAATTCAATCGCGTATTCAAAAATCCTCAGACTGTCTCGTAATCAGATAATCAACCGTCATAATCGACTTGACACGTGTTAGTTAGATTTATCAAGCTCTGTTTACTCTTTCCTAATAATTACCTCCTCCTGTCCCGCTTTTTTGTAAAACGCGGACGAATTCGGGAATTTGGAGTTTGTAAGTCGTAAATATTGTGACATGAAAAATAGCACGAGGTATTTTTTATAAACATGAGATGACAAATTCTTAAGGGTATGGCCACGTAACTTGTTTATGTCTATGGGTTGATAAAAATTGAAATAATACGGAATAAAGATGATGAAAATTCCAACAAAAAATATTTAAAAAATCGTTTTTTTTATCTGAAAAATCGACAAAAAATAGCGACAAATTTGACCGAATATTTTGCCAAATTCGAGTTACTGTCTCCTCACGTTCGATTCGTTTGTAACCTTTCGAAAATCCTGGAAAGAATAATCCTCTTTTCTCCCTCCTGAGAAAATAACGCAAATTCAATCTCAAGTAGAGCGCGTTTTCTGAACAAACTTTCTTACGCGAAGAATTTCGATAAAAGGGAGCTTTTTCAAATTCAAGTTCAAAATTCTTCTCTAAACGAAGAATCACAAAACTGCAGACTGTGGTACTCAAAACTGTTCTTTCCAACTTTTCTGACTTCAAGTACCACTAGCGCTTTTGTTGGTCAAAATTTGACCATGATCGTGGAAACATTTTCGCGAACGTTTTTGAGTGCTAAAAAAGTAAATTTTTCACAGCTCGTGACTTGAAATTTTAAAGATAAAATAGGTGGTGGTCTAAACTTTGAAGTTCTTACGTGCGATAAGAACTTCGTGTGGCCTAAACTTTGATCGTTCCCATGTGCGATTCTTTGAGAAAGTGGCCTAAACTTTGATTCTTCCTATGTGTGAAAGTGGTCTAAACTTTGAATTTCCCCTGAGGCGCTCTGACTAGTTCTATGTGTGTCATCACCTTGAATGAAAAACGTAAACCTTATTGGTCTGCATAAAGCGTAGTGGCCTTAGCGGGCGGTGCTCTAGTCACCGATGGCAGAACCGCCTCCGGGGAAATTCAAAGCTTAGGCCACTTTCTCAAAGAATCGCACATGGGAACGATCAAAGTTTAGGCCACACGAAGTTCTTATCGCACGTAAGAACTTCAAAGTTTAGACCACCACCTATTTTAAATATGCTTATCGGGGCAAAACCTGTCTAGAAAAACTGAGTCAGGCGGATTTTCATAAAAACTACAAAAATTGTGATTCGCATTATTTATTTTCAATTATTTAGACGAAAGTCAGGCTGCAATATTATTATTCTGATTATGATTCTGTTTTTATGGACTTGAGAAAAATCTAATAAAAGGAATGATAATTGACTCGATTCAAATTTACGCCGCAGCTGACGTTAAAAGATGTGCCACGCCATCATTTAAACGTGATTTAGAAATGCGTGGCAACGATCCTTAAGCCGGTTCTATCCTGTTAATTACTCTTTATCGCCGCAAAAGACAAGAAATCGGGTCATAGGAAAAGATCCTAAATTTTGCCCGGAAAAGCATTTTTTGTTTAGCGATAGTACTAGTCTGGCCTTGGAAGGCTGCGAAAAACCTGAGTCAGGGTTTCAAAGATCCTTAATCAAAAGCCGCCTAGCGAGGACAAAAAATAAACTACTATTTGCTGAAAATTTGTCGACAAATTTTTATCAGTTATTTTCGCTTCGAAACACGTTGCAACCTGCAAGCATCACGCTAGGGTTGTATATTCTATTCGGAACGATCGTTTTCACGATTCGTTTTTTCCGCTTATATATTTCGTCAACAGCTCGTACCTCGACAATAATGTAATTATCCACGTTCTTACATACATGGATTATCAAAAGTCACGTTTTCGCGTGAGCCCCAGAGGTTCAAAAATTCTAGCCAACAACTAATAATTATCGATAATCTTTTAATAATCGACAAGTTCAAGTAGTTTCGCTTTTAAATTGCTAACGTTATCAAGAAATTTTAGAACACTCTAACTGTCGTCAAATAAAAATGTTGTTTTAAAGATATCTCGG